TCTTTTAAGATAAGTACTAGGTCTTAGATTCTAAAGAGCTTTATATAAAGCTAATCTAGTATATATACGACTTAGTCTTAATAAGCTATCTAGATTATAAGGTTATATCTGCCCTTATAATATACTAGTTCTTCTAGCTAAGGATACTAAAGAATATCTACTATTTTATATAGAATTATAATTTGTATAGCTATAATAAGGCCTAGAAAGATTAGAAGTAAGGATTCTTAAAACCCTTACTTATACCTAATTAGATATAAAAAGAGATTTTAATTAACTTTATAGTTAACCTACCTAAGAGTTAAGGTTATACAAACCTAATAGTTATTATAGACTAGCTAAGTAAAAGAGTAATTCTTAAACTAATAGTATAGATTAGAGTAAAAGACGTAGTTAACGCGTTTATATAATACTTTTATTAATATTATAGACTACTATATATAATTATATCTAACAAAAGACTATAGTTTATAAGAATTATATAAGTATAAATCTATACGTATTTAAAGATTATATAAAGGCTATTAACTACGTTCTACCTTAAAACAGACAGGTTAATAAAGCGTATAAACTAGATAGTAAAGACATACCTTTATACATTTATAAATTACGCTTAAGATAATTAGGCTAAGCTACTACTAGCTATAGAACTAGCGATTAATAATTAAGATATAGTATCTATAAGAGTAAGCCTTTTCTTTTTAACCTATAAGTACTATATTAGCCTAATCTAGACGTTATACGACCTAATACTATATAGTACTTATAAGAGCCTTACTTAGTAAGTAGATAATATTATAAGAAAGCTTAAAGATATAACTAAGTAAGTATAAGCGTTAATAGCTATAGCCTAGTAAGTATAAAAGGACTTAACAAACTAGTAGTACTTATAGGCCGTATAATTTAACGTTAGTAATAAGGTCTAGCTTAACCTATAGAACGTTTATATAAGCTATCTATTAAAGAAGCTTAATATAAAGTATACTAAGTTTATAGTAACAAAGGTCGTAGGTTTATATAGCTACTAGCTTAACACTCTACTAAGGATCTATAACGTATTCTCTTTTAACCTCTTACGCCTAGTGTTATATAATCTGTTCTTATTATAAAAGGTAACTAACGATTAGCCTAGGCTTATAATTATAAAAAGAAAAGAAGAATACTATATTAAAAGGATTATAAGAAAGCGTACTATATAATAGGGCTAGGGTAGCTAGGTATAGTACCTAGTTAAGTAAGTAAGGTATTAAGCCCTTACTTAAGAACCTATATTTATACTAACTAATACTACTATACTAGTATTATATAAAGAATAAGAGTAGTAAGAGAAGAAAGGACAGAATACCTAGTAAGGCAGGTATTGTATAACGTACTACTAGGTATAAGAATAAGTTGTTATTTGTATTTCTTATACTATTATTTATAACGTATAAAGTTATAGTTATTATAGACGTTATAAGTTACAGATTATTAGGTAAAGGTATAACCTTTTATTATACTAAAAAAAAGAGAAGAGTAAGAGAAACACTAGCTAAACCCTTGTCGTCTAGACCTTATAGTACAATTAGGTTATTATATAACCTTAACCTTTTCTTAAGAAAACGTATAACCGCGCCTATACCTAGCTTATTATTATTACTCTTCTTCTCTTACTTTAGGGCTAGTAGCCTTAGACGATTATTTAGAGAAGCTTGTTATACGCTACTACTATAGGTAAAATACTTTATACTATAGTCTTTTTATTTATAGTTCTTATATACCTTATTCTAGAATCTAGGTAGTACTTAGTAGTTAAAGAAGACCTTCTAGTTGTTTTTATAACATAAAGAATAGCTACTAAGGACAAGTACGCCTATATACTATATAAGTATTATATTTATATAAGACAGATAATACGTCTATACTTATACTAAAGTAATATAGCTAAGGTAAAAAGGTACGTTATACCTTAAAAAGGCTAGGGCTTAACGTTACTTATTTATATAGATAAGTTACGTAAAGACGTAAGAAGAGGTAAGGTATAAGATTAGGTACTACTAAGTAGTAAGGGCGTTTAACTACGTAATAGTATTGTTAACTATATAGATAAGGCTATATACGTATTAGTAAAGGCTAGCTAAAGGTAAGGTAACGTTATACACGTTCTATAGGTTTAAGGTAGCTATTTTTGTTATATATATAAAAAAAAAGAGGCTTAGTAATAGGCTAGTACCTACGTTAGCGCTATACGAGTTCGTACTAGAGAAGAGCTTAACTTACTAATCGTTAAGAGTAGCTACTTTAGAACGATTAGTAGTAGGCTAGCGGCTAAGTTAGCGCTATACAAGCTTAGAAAAGAGCTTGACTTACTAATTATTAAGGGCAGCTACTTTAGAACGCTTAGTAGTAGGCTAGCGGCTAAGTTAGTACTATATAAGCTTAGAAAAGAGCTCGACTTACTAATCGTTAAAGGATAGCTACTTTAGAACGCTTAGTAGTAGCTTAATTAATAGATTATAGTACGATCGTATAGCGTAAGAAAGGGGTAGTAGTAAGAGTAGTAGATTAGGTTGTTAAGGTTAAGTATAAAGAGAGAGGGGAATTAATTTGTAATAGTGTAAAGATTATCTAGATTACTTGCTAAGAAGAGCTAATTAGGGCCCTTATATAAAGCGTAGGTTATAGGATTAGGCGTTAGTATAAGAAAGAGAGGAGAGAGGTAATGTTATAAGTTAGAACCTAGTAAGGAGTTAGTACTAAGTACGTAACTAACCGGACTATTGTTGTCCTGTCCTAATAGTAGAGTTTTCTCTTACCCCTTACCTTATACAAACCCTTTCCTTTCTTTTCTCTTTAGAGTATTCTCCTTATAGAATAAATCGACTTTACCTAAGCATCGTGTTGTCGACCCCTGACAGACATCGACGTTAGTGACTCGTACCTTTTAACACCCCCGCTATGTATTTAAAGGTCTTCGCTACTCTTTAATATTCTTTACTAATGCAACCTAAACTATCTAACCACACTAAACCTCCTCTACAGTTCTACCTCTAACTTTTACTCAACATTCAATTTCTAAGACTACATCTCCCTTAATACAACTCTAAGTTCTACGACCCCGAGTACAGAGATTCCAGTCTACTCAAGACATATTCTTAACTACAACTCAAACACTAACTCCCTAGCAAGATGTCAAGTACAACACAGCCGAGTAGAGCAACCGGCATAAGGTTGTGATCAAAAGTTACTGAGCTTGCACAGAAATATCTAGCATCTCAACCTGGACTAAACAACACCATAGAGAACTGATGGGCTTACAGCATGTCTAACGACCTAATCAGAGGTACATTAGAGGACTCCGAGTTGGTGAATCTTGAGCATATGCTCTTATATCGACTATACAAGATGTATAGCGCCGAGAGACTTCTTAGAGATAGGCTGTGCAATGGGTCCCCATGGGTTGGGTTTCTATAGGTAGGACCTAACCTATAGGGATCTAACCTATAGGGTAGGTTTAGACTAGTGGCTAGGCCCTAACCTATAACCTAACCCGACCTAACCTATAGGTTACTAAGAACCTAACACGTGATTTAAGCCTTATACACGTGATTTAAGCCTCCTAACACGTGATTTAAGCCTCTTAACACGTAGTTTGTTCCTTAATAATATTACCTAGTAACGCGACTATAGTTGTCTATAAGTAAGTAATCTATAGAGTTTATACTAATTTTCCTACTAATCAACCCCTTACCTTAGGTATCGCGAGCTATAGTACAATAGTGCCTTAGTACCTTAGGATACGCTATACCTATAGGTTAGGTCTACCCTATAGGTTAGGTCGTAGATTTATTTAGAGACCTATAGGTTAGGTCCTATTCACTATAACCTACCCTATAGGGTGGGTACCTAACCCATTTGGTAGGGACCCATGGGTTTCTGCGCAGCCTACTTAGAGAGATAGGAAATATCTCAATGCCTCCTATTTCGAAATGGGTCTGGGAGAACTGGGCTTCACATTTATCCGATCCCCAAAAAAACGCAACTTTCTTGAATAACCTCGAGAAGATCAAGAAATAGAAGCTTTGTAGTCCTCCTGTTAGAATTAACTACGGTCGAGAGTACTTGAAACCCGAGAGGTACCTAGCCGCAGCATTCACTATGCAAGGCAAAAATCCCGACGAGGCATACGCGGTATATCAAGAGGGAGCTCTTAGAGCGGCAAGGAGAATGGCTACAAGACGTTTAAAGGGAAGACTCTGAGCAGAGCGTGTGACGAGGTGAGAAGCTACAAGGTCTCAAAACCACGTAGATCTCCGGCGAAGGGTAGCATTATTGGGATGTTTGAGCAAGATTCTGGAGAAGGAGACGCAGGTCCTTCAGGGTAGAATCGCAGGGTTTGAGAAAAGTGCTAAGGTTTCTCAATAGTCTTTTTTGGAAATATTCTATATGTACACATGGGCTTTCGATAGATTAGAATTTACCATGTGCACTACTGAGCCTTTCTTTCGTGGCATCACAATTTGCAACCCCCATTTCTACCCCGATGCCAAAAGTTTTGAGTTGAAAAATAAGCTCTAGAATATACCACTTGCAACAAAATCTCTTGTGCGCGCTTCTTCTCATTTTAGTTTCGCGACAGAGGTAGACGCAGAAATCAAAGTAGCGGTCGCACTTCTGGTAGCAACAGTGCTAGAATTGGTGAGAGAGGATGGTCGAGCATTTGCCAAATACTCGAAGACTATCAATTGCCGAGACATTGAACAGAACGAGAGGGCAGAATATTAATGTAATATAGAAAAAATCGTGATTGACAGTATTCGAAAGAGGGTTGCTAGCTGTGCCGGGAGATTTAAGAGGACTGGGTGAGAGGCTACAAAAACTAGACAGGTTCTCCTTCCAGACTTGACTCCGTAGATCCTCTCAGTTTAAGGAGGAAATAGAAAAGAAACCGCGAAATGCTACTTCGTTTCTGTGGTTCTAGAACAAGTTATAAGGATGGAATTTGATACCTGAACAGCGAGATGATATTTGCTGATCTACCCCTACTTCGGGTGTTAGACTATCAAGGATGTATATACGCCTGGAGCATAGAAGCACGAGAATAGATCAGGTCTGACAAAATGAAAAGTCAGAGAGGGTGTATTCATATTTTCCCTGTTATTGACTGCAGGTGAGTCCGAACTTGGATAAACACCTAATTCAGTGGACTTTTTGACGAGCATCCAGGAGCTGGCACCTTCAAGCCTGACGGGAAACTCAATTTCCCGTATGCTTCTCATGATAAGGACCTTGAAGTCGCCGAGGAATACATTCTCAACACTGCTGTCACATCATATCACACTGCATATATGTGTACGCACATACCTCTGTAAAGATAATTGCGAAGTTGAGGTGCGAAAAAGTTGGATTTGGCTTCACGGAAAGCGAACCTTATCCTAATCACGCGAGTAGTTGCCTCATCGATGCCCGAGGCTCCAGATCTCCGCGGCGGAATCCCACCGTGTTGCCGCTGCCGCCGCCGCCGCCAAGCACGGTACAAAGCACGCGAAGACTCGTCGTCTCAAGAACACATATCCACCTCCCCTAAACCCCCATCTTGTCTTCTTCCTTCCCCCCCTTTTCGACAGCCCCATTGCGCATTGCTTTTCCACTCTCATGCGCAACCATGGCGCCTCTCGTCGATAACCCCCTTATTGCATCGGCAACTTTGCACAATCCTTGTGCGTCTTCCCACGTCCTTGATAGCCAAACCGTGAGACTGATCCCATATAGTGCCGCTCTACCTGCATACCTACGTCTGGCCCTTTGCAATCATCTGGCCCATCTTCTTGCGATACTTCCTCTCCCCAGACCTTTATGATAAATACATCGGAGGTCCGGAATGGACCTTTGTCTGGTGCGGAACCATCATCACGGTACAAAGCTTGTTTTGGCTGAGCACGCATTGGAATGTCAATCTGAAGGCTCTCTTCACCTCTGTGAGAGCCAACACTGTTGAGCAAGCGAAGTTGATTAAAGTGCTTCCGGTTACAAATGCTGGCATTTCGGAGATCTGCCAAATCGATAGAGACAACGTGAGGCTAGAAGATTATCTCATATGTGGGAGCTGCTAACATACGCATTAGGCCGGGGGCAAACAAAATATCTCGTTCCTTTTCCAGAAACGCCGATTCCTGTACGATGCCGAGAAGAAGTCCTTTCAACCTTTGACATATGCTATCGATTCAGAGCCAAAGCCTCTTCTCGAACACTTCCAAAAGTCCCGAGGCATAACCTCCACGTCCGAGCTCTCCAGACTCCATCAACACTATGGCGACAATACTTTCGATATTCCCGTTCCGACATTCACGGAGCTCTTCAAGGAGCACGCCGTAGCACCATTCTTTGTGTTCCAGGTATTCTGCGTCGGATTGTGGATGCTGGACGAATACTGGTACTACTCACTGTTCACCCTTTTCATGTTGGTTGCTTTCGAGAGCACAGTCGTTTGGCAACGTCAGAGGACATTGAATGAGTTTCGTGGAATGAGCATCAAGCCGTACGATATCTGGGTTTACCGACTGAACAAGTGGGAGGAGATTCAGAGCGACAAGCTTCTACCGGGAGATCTGGTATCGGTTGGCCGCACAAAGGACGACAGCGGAGTTGCTTGTGACATGATCTTGGTTGAGGGCAGTGCCATTGTGAACGAGGCCATGTTATCTGGGGAGAGTACACCACTGTTGAAGGACTCGGTACAGCTCCGGCCAGCAGATGCAGTCCTAGAACCGGAGGGTCTCGACAAAAATGCGTTCCTCTATGGTGGGACCAAGGTCCTTCAAGTCACGCACGGAAATAATGAAGAGGAGAGACCCAAACTGACCTCCGGTGTCCCTGAACCCCCGGATAATGGCGCCATGGCTGTGGTTGTCAAGACTGGCTTCGAGACCTCCCAAGGAAGCTTGGTTCGGACAATGATCTATTCCACAGAGCGCGTGTCGGCCAATAATGCGGAGGCTCTACTTTTTATTCTCTTCCTCCTGATCTTCGCGATTGCCGCTTCTTGGTACGTCTGGGATGAGGGCGTAAAGAAGGACCGAAAACGATCCAAGCTTCTGCTCGACTGTGTCTTGATTGTGACCAGCGTTGTACCCCCTGAACTCCCCATGGAACTCAGTCTTGCTGTCAATACTAGTCTTGCTGCTCTGAGCCGTTACGCCATCTACTGTACTGAACCTTTTCGCATTCCATTTGCCGGAAGAGTGGATGTCGCCTGTTTTGATAAGACTGGAACGCTTACAGGAGAAGATCTGGTTGTCGAGGGAATCGCTGGTCTTGGACTCGATCAATCTGGCACTGATACCCCTCGCGAGAAGGATGGAGCCCACAGCCATATTACCCCTGTTTTACAAGCTGGCATGGAGACAACGCTGGTACTTGCCACTGCCCATGCACTCGTCAAGTTGGACGAAGGGGAGGTGGTTGGAGATCCCATGGAAAAAGCTACGTTAACCTCCCTCGGATGGACTCTGGGAAAGAACGATATCCTCACGAGCAAAAATTCGACGGCCGTTAAAGGAGCCGCATTTGCCACGGCCACGAACAGCGTCCAGATCAAACGTCGATTCCAGTTCTCGTCTGCACTGAAGCGCCAAAGTTCTGTTGCCACTGTCATTGCTCTCCACCCAGAAACTGGCAAGAAGATTAGAAGCACATTTGTCGGTGTTAAGGGAGCACCTGAGACCATTATGAAAATGTTGGTCAAGGTCCCTGCAGATTACGAGGAAACATACAAATACTTCACGCGAAAAGGCTCGCGTGTTCTTGCCCTGGCTTATAAATATCTCTCGGTGGATCAAGAACTTGGCTCCGGAAAAATTAATGAGCTCAAGCGTGAGAAGGTTGAAGCCGACTTGAACTTTGCCGGCTTCTTAGTTCTCCATTGCCCTCTCAAAGATGACGCGAAATCTTCTGTCCAGATGCTCAACGAAAGTAGTCACCGTGTTGTTATGATCACTGGTGATAATCCTCTAACCGCTGTTCACGTTGCCCGGGAGGTCGAGATCGTTGACAGAGACGTCCTGATCTTGGACGCTCCTGAACATGATGATTCGGGCGAGAAGCTCGTGTGGAGGAGCGTTGATGATCTTATCAGTATCCCAGTCGACCCTGCCAAACCTATCGATAAGAAAATCCTGGAAGAGAACGATCTCTGTGTCACTGGATACGCTCTGTCAAAATTCAAGGGTCAAGCGGCGTTATCGTCAATCTACCGCTACACTTGGGTATATGCTCGTGTCTCGCCAAAGCAAAAGGAGGAGATTTTAATGGGCTTGAAAGACCTCGGATATCATACTCTCATGGCCGGTGATGGCACGAATGATGTTGGCGCTCTCAAGCAGGCTCACATCGGTGTGGCTTTACTAAACGGTTCACAAGACGACCTCAACAAGATTGCCGAGCACTTCAGAAACAACAAGATGAAGGAGCTGTATGAGAAGCAATGCGCTATGATGAAGCGCTTCAACCAGCCAAACCCACCAGTACCGGTCGTCATCGCCCATTTGTACCCTCCAGGACCTACCAACCCTCATTACGAGACCGCGATGAAACGCGAGGCAGAAAAGAAGGGTAATACTGCAGCTTTGAACGAGATGGCATTGAGTGACAAGACAAATATCGAGACAGTCACCTCGCCTGGCGCCCAAGCTCTTATCAATAGTCAGAATCAACAATCCTTGGGACCCGCCCAGAAGCAAGCTGCAAGCCTTGCAGACAAATTCACGCAGAGCATGATGGAACAAGAGTTGGATGATTCCGAACCCCCAACAATCAAACTTGGTGATGCTTCTGTTGCCGCTCCGTTTACTAGTAAACTCAGCAATGTTGTTGCAATTCCCAACATCATTCGACAGGGTCGATGCACTCTCGTGGCGACCATCCAGATGTACAAGATCCTGGCTCTCAACTGCCTCATTAGTGCATACAGTCTTAGCGTTTTATATCTCGAAGGCATCAAGTTTGGGGATGGACAAGTCACGATCAGCGGAATGCTCATGAGCGTCTGTTTCTTGTCGATTTCCAGAGCGAAGTCTGTCGAGGGGCTCTCGAAGGAACGCCCCCAACCCAACATCTTCAACTTCTATATCATCGGATCTATTCTCGGCCAATTTGCCGTCCATATTGCCACCCTCATTTTCATTGCCAGATATTGTGATCAGCTCTCTCCGTACGTTTTTTCCTGTAGATAAGAGACCTTCGTCGCTAACAATTTCCAGACGTGACCCGGATATTGACCTCGAAGGAGAGTTCTCGCCTTCTCTGCTGAATAGCGCTGTGTATCTTCTGCAACTTATTCAGCAGATTTCAACGTTTGCCATCAACTATCAAGGCCGACCTTTCAGAGAGGCCCTATCAGGCAAGTAGCCTGTTGAATCATAATTTAGCATTAGCTAACAACGAATAGAAAACCGAGGCATGTACTGGGGTATCATAGGTGTTTCGGCAATTGCATTCTCCTGCTCCACTGAATTCATCCCAGAAATAAATGAAAAGATGCGCCTGGTGCCCTTCACATCCGACTTCAAAACCACAATGACAGCCACCATGATCATTGATTATGTTGGCTGCTATGTTATCGAGAAGGTCTTGAAAGCGCTCTTCAGTGACTTCAAGCCAAAGGATATTGCGGTTCGACGGCCTGACCAGTTGGCACGAGAGGAGCAGCGGAGAGAGCAGGCCTTGAAGGACAAGATCAGGGAGGAAGAGGAGAAGGCTGCAAAGGAAATTGAGGAGCTTGAGAGGAAATTAGAGGAGCAAAAGAAGATAAAGGCTGCTCAGGAGACTCTGGAATCGGAGAGGGTGGTGCCCCAGAGGAGGGCGTAGAGGGCTATAAGTGATAGAGCGTAGCTATAGATCCGCAGAGATTTCCTTGTAATATAGTCTCAGCTTCTCCGGAATATTTGGAAGTGGATCTATTGCGAGGCCAGTGTAGAGGCGGATGACGCTCGCCCATGCTCGATTCTAGATTTGCCAATCCGAAGCGCGAAAACCTCACCTCCCTCCCTTAGCTATCCATCTATCATCGACATTTCACAAGAATCGCCGTTCTACTTACACTCCTCATGCCGCTCCTGTTCACTGCAGCGTCGAGATGCGGACAATGCGATGCGCTATGCCGCACGGATATAGCTTCCCAACCTCGCGCTATCGTCGCCAAGCTGTCCAGAGGCAGGAAAGGTCGGCGCCGGAGAGAGGTATATATATGAATGAACGCCGCCCAAACTCTCCCCTTCCTCTCCTCAGCATTCAGTAATCTTCGTCTTCTGTTTCTCTGCAGATCCGAGCTCCTGACCCAATTGCTGTGCTGAGACTGTCACCACTCTCACGATGGTTCAGTGGAAGAAGCTGTTTGGCTTCGATCGCGGTGCAGACCGCCATGCGTGGAGAGACGAAGCCCGCCGCCGTGAGTATTCCCTCTCCAACCCTCGCCCTCTTCTGGGCGTGTTCTTCCATTCATTCAGTCCGGTCGTTCATTGCTGACTTCTTCCAGTCCTCCCGTCCCACGACGAAGAGGCCGTGGTCCCCACCATCCCCGCCGCCGAAGTAACGAAAGTCGCGCTCCGCCTGCGATACCTGCTCGAAGAAGTCATACCCTGCGAGCTCGAGGAAGACACCATAACCCGCGCGCACTCGCACATCATCACGCCGCGGGTCATTGCCGCTGCGCGGGAAGCGGGCGGTACTGAGTTCGGGGCCTGCGTCGTGTACGCTCTCCTCGTCAACAAGCGCTGGTTCAAGAAACAGGCACTGCTGGAGCTCTGGGACGCCGACTTGCACAATGTGCGCGCGGTGGCGGCGGAGGTCATTGCGAAGCGCATCATCGAGTCTGAGGAGGACCAGAATCGTCTGATGCAGGATATCCTGCTGAAGCGGTACTCGATCATGGTGAATGAGGAACAGACGATGCCGGCGAACGTTATTGAGCGCGCGGTGGATCTGCACGCGCTCAGAGTCACGGGCAGTGCGGGCTATCAGAAGTGTGTCAACTATCTGTGGAGGGGTTGGATGATCCAGGACGAGAACGACCCAAGCACGTTTGTGGACTACAAGAAGAAGGACAATGCGGATTACTGGGCCCATGTGCATCCGGATCTGATGAGAGCTCCGGTCTATCAGAATGCTACCCAGATCATCTTCTCGGTCGTATACCTGGCCCTATACTCGCAAGCTATTGCTACGGTCAATCCGACGGGCGATATCGACTTTGTGGAGGTTATCCTGTATACCTTCACGTTTGGCTTTCTTTGTGACGAGTTCAACAAGCTTCGCAAGGTGGGACGGAACTATATTGGATTCTGGAATGTGTTCAATCTAGTGCTATATGCTCTTCTGACCACAAGTTTGGTGACGAGGTGCATTGCGCTGAGCCATCCTTTGGGAGACTCCACACGAGTTTCATTCAACGAGCTTTCATATAATTTCCTCGGTACGCGCCCTTTTGACCGTTTCCCCTTCTTTCTCCATACTGACAGAAGAAGCCTTTTCGGCTCCCATGTTCTGGATGCGCCTCCTCCTCTACCTAGACACCATACGCTTCTTCGGCGCCATGATGGTCGTCCTCAAAGTAATGATGAAAGAATCCCTAATCTTCTTTGCTCTCCTCCTCGTGATTCTGATCGGCTTCCTCCAAGCCTTCATCGGCATGGACAACGCCGATTCCAACGCCGATGCCACCATCTTCATCGTCCAAGCCATGGCCAACGCTGTCATGCAATCTCCAGAGTTCAGCGGCTTCGACAACTTTGCACACCCCTTCGGCCTGATCCTTTACTACATCTTCACCTTCCTTATCATGGTCGTGCTGCTGAACATCCTGATCGCCCTGTACAACAGCGCTTACGAGGACATCACCGACAACGCCATCGACGAGTACATGGCGCTCTTCTCACAGAAGACCATGCAGTTCGTCCGCGCCCCCGACGAGAACGTCTTCATTGCCCCGCTTAACCTCATCGAGATCTTCCTCCTCATCATCCCCTTCGAGTGGTGGCTCCCAAAGCGCCTGTACGCCCGACTGAACGACTACGTCATGGGCGTGGTCTACGCTCCGCTCCTGCTGGTCGCTGCCTGGTTCGAGTCGCGCAGCGCGAGACTGGTGCGTAGCAATCGCTCACGCGGCGAGGAGGACGATGATACAGTTGAGGAGTGGGAGCACATGAGCATTGATATGGAGGGGGAGGGATGGGCTAAGAAGGTCGAGAGCGCGAAGCCGAATGTCGAGGACGATGTGGCGACGCTGGAGGTTAGAGCATTGAGGGGAGAGGTCCAGGAGTTGAAGGAGCTGATCTTGAAGTTGCAGGTGGGGCCGAAGGTGGAGGACGCGAAATGATTATCCAGGGAATGAGATCTCACGTATAGATGGTAATAAATAAGATATTTCATGCCTGGGCCGTTCTCAGTTGGTGTACAGACTACTAATTAGGAGCTCTCTTTTCATTTTATTGTGTTTTATGCTTTGCATTGTATCTATTTACTAGACCGTCTGACTGTGTATATGTAGGACTGGTACAGCATTGGGAGTGCCTACTACACGGACCGGGTTTGATGGGATTACACATTATCAGCGAATGTCTATCTCATCAACACATCAATCCAGCCATAACTAGACCCAAGCCCAACAAGCCCGCTGAAGCTCCAACTCTCAACCCGGGACTGGAAACTGGGAATGCACTAGGGCTCGGCGTCGCAGTCACCGTGCCATTTGTCCCCATTGCCGTCCCGTTCAACCCACCCACCAAGCTCGTCGAATTGGCATACTGCACCAGTGGTTCCAACAAGCTCCTCACGTTCGGACCCACGCTACAGCTCCCCCCGATCGGCGCATCATAGTCGACTGTGAACACCGAGACCGCGGATTGGCACCCGGCGTTCAGGATCGCTGTCTCGCCGGGGAGAGAGCAGTTCCCGTTGATGCACGTGTTCACCCCGTCCGTCACCAGGCTCGCGTAGGAGAAGAGTCCGGTGGTTTCGTTGTAGGCCGCCCGATCGACAACTGCGGAGCCGGTGAGCCGTGTCTGGATGAAGGGCGGGTCAATGCAGGAACTGTCCGTGAAGGAGGAGATGAGCGGGATGTTAACATTAAGTCCATATCCCAGTGGCAGGAGCCGGGATAATCCTTTCTTCTGAGCGTTGGTGATCAGCTGTTGAGCGAGGTTTGCGGAGAGTTCGGCCATGATGGTCGCCGGGTCCTTCAACCCTGCGGCTGTTGTGGTGTTCACCTCGTAATAGGGAGTTTGGACCGAGTAGCCACCGGAAATGCCAATAGCGGGGATTCCGCGTTCGACCGCTGTGTATATAGCGCCGAGGGTGCCCGCGAGTGTATACAGGAAAGGCCCGAGATTCAGCCCGTAGTTGGGGCCGCTGAGCATGAGGTCGAACGTTGTAAGGTTTGTATAGCGAGGAAGGATGTAATCCAGTGCCACCTGCACACAGGTAGAGGGCGTGCCATTGTAGTACCAGATGTGGCTATCCATCGGATCCATCCCGATTGAAGGGGCTCCTTTCTTGACAATTCCTACCATGGTATCAGTGCATGTACATATAGACGCATACGTAAGGTATACAATAGAGTTGGGACAATATACCGAATTCGCCATCAGAGACCAAATTGCGGTCCTGGGCATAGATAGCAGTTCCTCCTTGCCCAGATTGGTTCGTGACACTCGCAACGAGGTAGACATTGTGTCCATATGCCTTCACAGCTTTGTACAGCTCCCTAATATTAGCCGTCCCAAATCCATCATCGTTCTACAGCGGTCAGTTCTCTTCGTGATGGCCTGTGGGTCAATCGACGTACCGAGATCAGGATATCCAAGCCATTGGCCACAGAGAAGGCGCTCGCAGCGACAGCAACCGCTCCATACACCTCCGAAAAACGCATCTTGAATTGACCAGGAGGAGAGATGAACAGCGAGCGACCTACCATTCAAGGAGATGGACGGGAATCTTCAGAATATATACTCCGTACATGATATACTCCGCCCAGACCCCCAACCTTGCAGCGTGTGCTCAGGAACAGGGCAAAATACCGAAGATCGCATCTATTCCAGGGCCGAGAGAGCGAGATTGATAACAGATCACGCTAGGTCAGAAACAGCAGGTCTCGACTTTCAATCTTATCACTTGCGCGGGCCCTGAATTGGGGAAAAGATCGTGTGAGCAGTGGATGGGCCCGGCCGAGCTTTAAATGTTGCGAATTTCATTTTTCCGGATATCCACTGCTTGACGAAGAGTCCCAGAATCTACTGGTACTTATCAACAGAAGTAGCCCTGAAAATCGAAAGAGCCAGAATGGATAAAAGCCCTTAATGCCACGTATTAATTATCTCACAATCCAGCGCACCCCTCGGTCACTCTGAGGCAGCCTTGGCCAACATCTGAGCCGCATGCTCCTTCGCAAGAGTCGCATACTCAGTATCATTATAAAAGATAGAGTTCACATCAATAATATCCTCCACCGGGACCGTCAGATACGGCGTCGCAAACTGCCAAATCTGATCCGCGGCCAGCCCACTCTTCAGTACCGTTGCCTGCCATGGGCCTTCGACACCCGTATGATTGTGTGGGAACGGAGCTCCGTATTCTTCCAATATGACGGGTTTGCCCGCAGCTTTGCCCAGAGCATCGTGCTGCTCAATCCACGTCGACCCCCAGGTGTAGTTGTAGCCCCAGGAGTCGGGGTATAGGTGGAAGACGCCGTAATCAAGGGTCTTGATCTTTAGATTAGCTGCGAAATCAATGCCGATACCTCCAGCGTAGGCATAAGAACCATCACCCAGGCCGTCATCAGGAGCAAGCCAGCCTTCATCGCCGAGAGTTATCATGTGTCCGGGATCGAGACTCTTGACATATGCCGATGTTTCGGCTGCCCATTTCGTGATAACTGAGGTATCACATCCTTGGCAGCGTGGCTCATTGCATAATTCCCAGGCGAAGATGGCTGGGGAATCTGCGTATCGGGTTATGACCGTTTTTATGTAGCTCTTGTATGCTGCTTGAGTGGTGGGATCTGTGTAGAAGGACGTAGCATTACTGCCGAATGCCGCGGAGTAGGTATTGATGCCTCCATAGTCGTCCCAGTTATTAACAAAGGGAAGTACCAGCTTGATGCCGTGCTTCTCAGCAGAAGAGACGACATAATCGAGACGGGGAATACCATTGGCTGCCCAGTTAATATAGGCGCCGCTTGAGTTCAATACTTGGAAGTAGACCTGGTGTGTCAAGTCCGTCTCTGCCAGATCTGGCACTTCATTGACGTTTCCAAAGGCCCAGACGCGAAGAATCTTGTATCCAGTCTGAACATCGGTCAGTGACAACATCAGAGTAGCGTGAGAGTTCAGTACTGACCTTTGCCACCTCGTCCAATACTTTGTCGACATCAGCGTTATCCTGCAGATGCGCGAGCCACCAAGCATTGGTCCCTAGGAGTAATCAGCATTATAATTTATACAGTGAAATTTATAGCTTACCTGCAAAGCGTTCAACCCTACCATCAATATCAAAGAGTCTACCAGCTACCTTAGCATTCTGACCCCCAGAAATTCCAATTGGATAGAACGACGCTGGTTGTTGAGAAGATTCGGCAGCTTTGAGCGCAGGCGCTGCGACTGTGACAGCAACCAATGTCGAACTCAAAATGCTATGGAATAGCTTCATTTTTTATATGAGTATACAAAAGAGACCCGGGCAAGGAAAAACTCATGTGTCAGTGGGACGATCAAGATTTATAGCCATCACTGTATGAGTTGCAATTTATCCACCGGCAAAAGAACGTCCCTACAATCGCAAGGCGTATGGATTGTTGCATAGGAATGGCGAGTCATCGAATGACAACGCTGCGTCTCCAGGTAAGATGCCAGGATAAAATTGTAGGTCCATGATGTTTCCAGCCAAAACCCTGCTTCCTGGGCAGGTCGCATCTCGCGGCAAAGTTATATGAGGCTATTTAGCACAGCGCGGGGTACGGAGAAACTTTAGCCTCTATTGTAGGCCCCGCCTGACATACTGTTTTTCCGGCAGCGATAGCTACTTGCTATCGTGACGTCCAGATTCCGCGTGAGGAGAAAGGAACTGTAGCAGGATGCTCCAACATCCAAAAACATAGACTCCAATCCTACACTACCAGGCGTCAAAAGATCTAATTGGATACAGAAAGGTGCCTGGCATCTTCATCGAAGAGCAATCTTCTCCAACACCAGCTCCACAGATCCGCGACTCTGCCTTTTCCCCGAGACTTGCTTTTGAGGAATGGAAGGTATAGCTCATGATCGCCATCATGTTCATAAGCCCATGCAACACAGCCACCGTCAGTACAACTGTCGGAGCGGAACATACTGTACCGGTGTGCTGCTAAAAGAACTTCCAGAAGGAATCCTGAATCCAGATTCATGTAACCGAAATGCTCCGTGGACCATTTCATCGGAGGCTACCCTGGCTCACAGCTCGAAGTTGCCGTCCCCGTTGCAGGTCTGGTGCTTGTCAGGTTCTCATATCTGATCTCTTCACACCTCTCTCATGGGAGAAACCATCAGACCATATCTTGCTGTCAGGGCGGGCCGTGTTAGCTCCACTTGTATGAGACCTTGGATGTCGTTTCCAACAGTGCCCAAAGAAACTGTCGAGGCCAGAGTCAATACTGGCCGACACATCACACAACATCACTATAGGGGTGTCAGGCACTCGAGCTCGTTAAACCACGAAACGATGCCAGGAGTATCTCGAGCGATCTTCCAAAACTCGAAAGGCCTTCCAATAGTTTCAGCCAGCTGAATAGCGATAAGTCTGAACACATACCAAGGGTTCCCATGAACCCTAAAGCAGGAGGAGCAAGAAGGGGAAGTATGAAATAGAAAAAGCAAAAGTAGGTAATGATCTGTAGAGGCACACGCCGGGGATAGGGAAAGCACCACTTATCTCCATATAGGCGCCTATGACCCCACAAGAGGCTGCCTCAGTTCGTCTTGCCTCGTATATCAAAGTCGTAGCAAATAGTTAGAAAGGATCAACTGAGAAAGGCTGTGTTTCAGAATATTGCGACTGAATAATATTTTTGTTCTGCGGTGGTGTACTGGCTGCCAAAACTCGGCCCCATATGCGTTTGTTGGTCGTCGACCGGATACCACTAGGGTGAGGTTCGCGGGAGAGCCTTCTCGCCCAAACCAATTTCCACCCCAATAAAGATCTTCCATGAGTATATCCGCAGATTTCGCCAATTATCTGCTGCATGATAGCATTCACCTCGGTCTTCCGAGCCCTTTCAATCGTAGATAGACATCGCAACCCCATCCGTATAGGCTCTGCACTGCAATTCCGCCTCCAAAGTATTCTGCGTACGCTCGACTTAATGGTAATCCATATCCTAGACCAGCAATGGAACTTCCTTCCCCACCCGCACCTGAAATGGCGTTCAACGCATCCATGTTGCCGCTACCAGGGAGTTCATCCTCTTCTGAAAATGTTGTGAAGGAGTAGGACCATATATTGGGTAAAACTTCCGGGCTGATGCCTCCTCCTCGATCCCGAATTCTTATCGTCACGCCAGGAGCCGAGTCTTCGAAGGGCTCAATTGGATTCCCGTTCGTCCCAAATGTGCGCCCAAGGCCGTCTGGATGTGCCGCGCTTGATCCACGCCTCGAGTTCTCGGGTTCTGCGGCAATTGTGATGACGATGGGTTCGTGTGATCTTCCAGACTCAACAGTGGCGCGGAACGCATTTTTCAGCAATTCGGTGATTATATATTCGAGGTGAACAGGGACGTACGCTAAAGTTGTGTCAGGTTCACCGTCAATGATCCAGGTCGGTCGAACACCATAGTTGAGCTCGCATATTTCGGAGACGAAGTTGCCACAGGAATTGATGACTGAAGCAGGTTGGAGGGCAGTGTCTATTACACCAATATAGGATGTCCCATTATTTGATCTTTTCGAAGCTGGTTTGGTATCTTGATGTGGCTGGGACGAGACGTGAAGAGCGATGTGTTGTTCAGCAATTAATCTGGTGCCAATTCGAGCACGCAGATGCTCGTCCAAGAAGCGTGTGACCTCTGTAGAATTGATATACTTTCTGCATTCCAAGAAGCCTCGAGCAAGCGTCGGTATGGTCTGGGAATGGGTCTCCACAAGGTCTGCGAGGACCGATGTGAATCGAATCTCGTCTTCGAGGTTCGATATCGACTTGGATTTGTATGGCAACAAGGTCGACAGGGAATGTAGGTAGTTATTGTAGATCTTCGATATATTAGGATTGGACACCACAATGAAAGGCAGATTCCGGAGACTTTCGACTCGGTGCGCCAGACGGATTGGGAGGAGGGACAGGGTGAAGTTTGCAGAGGCGTATAAGGCTTCTGTCGAGAGAGGAGGGCGCCCGTGTCTGAGGGTGGGTAAGCAAGTCGCCGACAAAGGGTTCTGGGTATGTTGTATCGCACTTCACCAAGTCTTCTAAACTTAACGTATGTAATGGCTGGCTGGCCAGCGTCGATACCTCATCATCGGCGACTGTCGTCGAGCTTGGGGGATGGGACCACTTCTGAGATGACGACGACGGCTGCCGGGCGAACCTGGAAGGCCAATAAAAAGATCTCGACTGTGCGCAGTGCTTCAGGATACCATTGCTAGACCGCAATGGCCTCGAGAAGACATTCATGGTAGCATTGAAGTTGGTGGTGGTGAAAATGAGGGCATCTTGACGGCAGTGGTGGCTAAATCAACGTTGCGGCGTATCCTGATGAACATTTCGGAAGGGAAATACCGTAATAACCTGCAAAATTAACGCTGCGATTCGTACAGTGACGCGCGGCGAGTCTGTTTTACGTTAAAATACCGCAAAATGGCCGTCAAGACTCCGGTTGCATTAGATTGATAGGTGCACCTCAATAACCGAACCGGGTAAGCTCATAGCCACCGGTCAAAACCCCCCCAAAGGAATATACAATAGTTAAGGTATCTCGGTAGCAAGAGGCATAGTAGTTACGAGAAAGACGATGGCATAGTTTGTTAGATGTTCGTGAATCAGGGATCTATGCTCTCTCTCTCTGTCTGGCACTCCGCACAACCTTTCCTAGTGCCGCTGAACCCTATTTGCGCGTAGAAACCTCTCCCGTTACCTCTACCGAGTCGATGTATTTGTTCCCTTCGAACGTAGACACAGAGTCCTTTGGCATCTCGACCCTGAACAGACCCAAATTTAGGCAAAACGTATAAGGGCAAGAGGCTTTAGACTCACGTGAAACCGGGATACAGGGTGCGAGTGTCCGTGATCTTGCCTCCCTGCTTGATGAATAGCTCCTTGGCTCTGATCGAAAGGTCAGCCGAGTCAGGTCAAGGTATAGATTTTCTCCATGGAATTAATCTTACGGCTCAACATCTTCAAAATTCTTGCAGGTTACCTGAGCATCAAGTATCAGCGATGGCGTTTTGATTTTTGTTTGGCTTGTTTTTTCCCCGCCTTTTTGAAAAAAGGGGGGGGGGGGGGTGGGTTGCGGCGGTTAAGTAAAGAGAACGAGATGGTGAATGGGAGAGGGGAGCTCACCATGTGCTCAATCTTCTTGGAATCTTGATCGGCCATGTTGGATTAGGTTTTGATCCTGCTTGTTGTGAAAGTATACCCTAGGTACTGAAACCTGATACTGTAATACAGCGAAGGAAGGACGAGGAGAAGCGGAGTGACAAGTGACGGTAATGGTTTGTTGTTGAGACAAGAGAGAGAGAAAGCAGAGAAAGCAGAGAAGATGCATTTTATTTATACTCGAGCAGTAGCGCAAAGTCGCTGCCTGAAGAGCAGACATCTCATTCTGCAGTCCTTTCTACGTCATCCGCGGGAGTTGAGCTGACGTGCATATAGTGTAGCTCCGCCAGGGTCTGCAGCGTACACATCCAAGCTATCGTGATCCTGTCAGTTTCCTGTTGCTGGAATCGATGTATAGAGGGAGAGCCGTACTGTACTCTCCCTTTCCTCCCCATAACTCGAAGTTCATATCATATCAATACTTAGACATCTTCAACGTCGTCAACGCCGTCAACATCTTCAAACCTCCTGCTTCTTCTTCTCGGCGCGGGGTTTGTCGATAAGCGGTACAACTGGCTTTCCCTAGTCCATATGGGGTCTAGACCCGCACATGACCCTTATCACCAATCTGATAACCGGTGCTCAGGAGACGCTTACCTAAAGTGGCTAGCTCCTAACGGCGAAAAGTTTCCCGATTTTTGAAAATATTATTTGGGAATCAAAGTCCAGTCTGCGCGACGACCCTGCTTTTCGCAGGACTCGACTGAGCAACCATGGAGGAACAGAAACATAGGCCTCATCGGCCCTCCAAGGAGAAGAAGAAGCATACAGGAGGTGCGAGCTCTACCCCCCCCAAAAACAATCTATTCCCGGATGCTAATGCAGTGCTCAAGACCGCAATCCAAAGGCCTTCAGCTTCGCAAATCCAGGCCGCTTAGCAAAATCCGCGGCTCGATCGCACGATGTATGTTTCGCGGAAGTCATTGTGCCGTAATATGCTGACGAGTATCATAGATCAAGGAGAAGCGGCTCCATGTCCCTCAAGTCGATCGAATCCCCGACGAACCACCCCCTCGACTCGTCACCATCGTTGGCCCCCCTGGTGTTGGGAAGACCACGCTCCTCAAATCTCTTGTCAAGCGATATGCGAAAGAAACCCTCTCGAACCCTCAAGGACCGATAACAGTCGTTACCTCGAAGCGACAACGTTTGACATTTGTAGAATGCCCGAACGAACTCGAAGCCATGGTGGATATGTCCAAGGTTGCGGACATTGTACTTCTAATGATCGATGGGAATTTCGGCTTCGAGATGGAGACGATGGAATTTCTGAACATCTTAGCGGCGAGCGGGATGCCAGGAAATGTCTTTGGTATTCTCACGCATCTGGACCTCTTCCGAAAACCGCAAACCCTCAAGGATGCGAAGAAACGGCTTAAGACCAGATTCTGGAGCGAGTTATACCAAGGCGCACATCTTTTCTATCTGTCCGGGGTCATCAATGGCCGCTATCCCGACCGCGAAATACACAACCTCTCGAGATTTATTTCGGTTATGAAGAACCCGCGACCTTTGATCTGGCGGAATTCCCATCCGTACACGATCATCGATAGCTTCCGAGACGTGACGCATCCTACGAAAATAGAAGAAGACCCGAAGTGTGATCGGACAGTGGTACTGTCAGGGTATTTACGGGGGACAAATTTTGCTGCGCAGGGACAGAGAGTGCATATACCAGGCTTGGGTGACTTTACTATCGCGGCTATGGAGGCGTTGCCAGATCCGTGTCCGACCCCATATATGGATCAAGTCGCTGCGAAGGCCTCGGGCAAGAAGGGGCGAAGACGGCTGGACGAGAAGGAAAAGAAACTGCATGCACCGATGTCCGACAAGAGTGGGTTGAAGATTGATGGAGATACAATTTGGATCACCCGAGAGAAGGGTTTTACTTTCGATAAAGACGCCGACGACCAGGAGCGTGGCGAGGGCGAAGAATTAATGATTAGCCTTCAGAACGAAAGAAAGCTTCTAGGAGAAACAGAAGAAGGCCTCCAATTATTCGGCGGTGGTAGCGCCATCAAAACCCTCCCTGACGAAGCACCCAATGATGAGGAAGAGGACACTGGCCGAAAGCACCCCCGGTCTGTAAGATTCGTTGAACGCGACGAGGAATCCGGTGATGAGGCGCCTGTTGATGATGAAGGGTTTGTCAGTGGTGATGAAGTTGATTCTGAGGACGAGACAGAGATCACGGAAGAGAAATTGGGACGAGCGTTTAGGAGGACGGATGATAAGGATGATGGCGCCGGTGGTGATATTGCATTCGCGGACAGTGACTCTGACCTTGGATCTATATCCGGGGATGATGTGAGCGACGAAGAAGAATATTCATCAGATGATGAGGATGGAGCTGCACGATGGAAGGAAAACATGTCGGATACTACACGGAGACTTCATGGGCAGAGAAGATCATATCGAACAGCGGACCTTGCGAAGTTGATATATGACCAGGCCTTAACTCCTTCTGAGGTTCTGAAAAGATGGCGTGGAGAAGTCGACGAGGAGGAAGGGGATAATGAGGGATCGGATGACGAGGAGACGTTTTTCAAGAAATCCAGCGCGGAGAAGGCCGATGAACATTACGAAGATCGAGCAATTCCGATTCTCGACTATGATCAGCTAGAGGCTAAATGGTCTGTTGACGACAATATTGAATCATTGCGGCGACGATTCACAACGGCAACTCTACTGAATGAGGGCAAATCCAATGGGCATGGATCCGAGGAAGAAGGCGAAGGAGAAGAAGAAGAAGATGATGATGATGAAGGTGACGGAGAATTTGAGGACCTCGAAACCGGCGAGAATCATAAGCCAGACGACATCGAGGCTGAGCGAGAGAAGAACGCCCGAAGGAAGGAGGAGTTGAAGCTTAGATTCGAAGAAGAAGATCGGGAAGGCTTCAATAATGACAAAGCCAATGCTAGACGAGAAGGTGGGGAAGAAGAGGAGTTTGGAGAAGATGATTGGTACGATGCACAAAAGGCCCAGATCCAAAAGCAACTCGATATCAACAAGGCAGAGTTTGAGATGCTCGACGAAAACCAACGAGTGAACGTCGAAGGCTTCAGGGCCGGAATGTATGCGAAGATTGTCATTGAGGGTGTTGCGTCGGAGTTTGTCACCGGATTCAATGCGCGGATGCCAATTATTGTTGGCGGCCTGTCTGCCGCGGAAGATCGTTTCGGATTCGTACAGGTCAGGATAAAGAAACATCGATGGCACAAGAAGATCCTGAAGACCAACGATCCCCTTATCTTTTCCCTCGGCTGGAGGAGATTTCAGACATTGCCAATCTACAGCATATCAGACAATCGGATACGAAACAGAATGCTGAAGTACACGCCCGAACACATGCATTGCTTTGGGACATTCTACGGACCTCTTATCGCCCCCAATACCGGATTTTCTTGCTATCAATCTTTCTCAGCCAAGAATCCTGGATTCCGGATTGCGGCCACCGGCACAGTTTTGGATGTTGATGAGGCTCCAGAAATCGTCAAAAAGCTCAAGCTCACTGGAACGCCGTACAAGATCTTCAAGAACACTGCATTTATCCGAGACATGTTTAATAGCTCTCTTGAAGTAGCAAAATTTGAGGGCGCATCCATCAAAACAGTATCAGGCATTCGAGGACAAATCAAGAAAGCACTGAGCAAACCCGAGGGACATTTCAGAGCCACGTTCGAGGACAAAATCCTCATGAGCGATATTGTTTTCCTTCGATCATGGTTCCCCATCCGACCCCACCGTTTCTACAATCCTGTGACCAACCTCATTGGATGGGAAGCTATGCGTCTGACTGGAGAAATTCGACGCGACCAAGGAATCCCAACCCCTCAACAGAAGAACAGCCTCTACAAGCCCGTTGAGCGTGTAACACGACACTTCAACCCTCTCCGTGTCCCTCGTGCTCTTGCAGCAGAGCTGCCATATAAATCTCAGATCGTCCAGATGAGGAAACAGTCGAAGCCCACGTATATGCAGAAGCGTGCGGTGGTTCTGGGAGGAGAGGAGAAGAAGGCTCGGGACCTTATGCAGAAGATCATGACGATTCGGAACGACAAGGCCGCGAAAAGACGAGCAGCAAAGGAAGAGAAGAGAGCAGTGTATAGAAAGAAGGTCGAGGAGAACGCTGAGAAGCGTGGCGAGAGAGAGAAGAAGGAAAAGCAGGAGTATTGGAGAAAAGAAGGGAAAAAGCGCAGAGCAGACACGGATGCTGGCGGGGGTGGGAAAAGGAGACGTTAGGCGTTCTTGGAAACAGTCGGGGACTAGTTGCATATAGTAGCATATTTTCATTTCGATGAAGCGCCGAAAAAGAAATCGAATGTAAGAAATAATAGGAAGAAGAGATCTATAGCTCCTTGAACAGAGTTTGGTAGCCTTGTTCAGCCTCGCCTCGGCCGCACGGTGTTTTTTTTTTAGCCTCGGCAGACTTGTAGCGATGCGGGGAGCTTGACAAGAGCGTCATTAATACTCGAGCCATATACATAGCATCAATGCGCTTTGGACATCTGAATTTTATATATACTATTGCACAGTTTGGCTAGATTGATCGCGTTCAATTCCCACAGTCACGATGCCTAAAGCTATCACGATGCAGCAGGTTGAGGGGAAACCGGGGCAGGTCTACTATCCGTAAACATATCCAACTCCATGAACCATCAGACCAACATTTCTTCTAACCTCAAACCAAACAGTCTCTCCCTGAAAACCGTTCCAACGCCAACTCCTGGCCCCCACGACCTCATAATCAATATTCACGCCGCCGCTCTCAATCACCGCGACCTCTTCCTCCGCCAACACCTCTACCCCAGCCCCTCCTTCGAAGTGCCCCTCCTCGCAGACGGCTACGGCATCGTGACCGCAGTCGGCTCCTCTGCCTCCAAATCCTGGCTCGGAAAGGCGGTAATCCTGGTGCCCGGCCGCGGCTGGAAGGACTCCCCCGATGGCCCCGAATCCCCCACTGGCTACGCCATCCTCGGCGGCACGAAAACCTGCCTGCTCGGCACGGCCCAGGATGTCATATGCGTGGATGAAAACGAAGTTGAGGAGGCACCACCACATCTGAGCCCTGCGGAGGCGGCAGCACTGCCGTTAACCGGCCTCACGGGTTGGCGAGCCCTGGTGAGCAAGAGCGGGAACGCGCAGAAGGGCCGCAATGTCTTGATTACCGGCATTGGGGGTGGGGTTGCGTTGAATGTCATGCAGTTTGCGGTGGGCATCGGCATGAACGCTTATGTGACGAGCGGGAACGAGGAGAAGATTGATAAGGCTAAGAGTATGGGTGCGAAAGGAGGGGTTAATTATAAGACTGATGGGTGGGAGAAAGAGCTGAAGAAACAACTACCAAAGGACAGGCCGTATATAGATGCTATTATTGATGGGGCGGGCGGAAACGTCATTGCCAAAGCGACGAGGGTCTTGAAGGTAAGTGAGACTACCACTCACTGGGCAACCCTTTACTGATGATAATAGCCTGGTGGAGTTGTGGTTCAGTATGGCATGACTGTCTCCCCAAAGATGGATTGGTCGATGAATGCGGTTCTCAATAACCTGGAACTCCGGGGATCGACTATGGGCTCTAGAAAAGAGTTCAAAGACATGGTAGCTTTTGTCAATGACAAGAAGATCAAACCCATCGTCTCAAGGGTGGTCAAGGGGCTGGATAACCTCGAGGAGATCGATACATTGTTTGATGATATGAAGAAAGGCTCGCAGTTTGGCAAGCTTGTGATTGAGGTTGCAGATGGGAGCAATTCGAGCAAACTATAGACACAACAGGATGAAAATGTCAAGCTAAGTACAAACATCTTAGTGATTGGTGCTACAGATGAATACGAGTTAAGATTGACGAACATGTCCAAGCGTTCTCCTGATCGAATATCCTGATTGAAAATCCAGTCACCGGAAAAGGTCCACAGCCAAGTGAGCTCATACTCTCCAGACCTTTTAGTTGCTGCTTTGCTGCATCCTGAGGCAGGAGGTGAAGCACGGAATCATCATCTTCAATTAAGGTCAAATCAAGGGGACCACATGTCAAGATCCAGCGGATTATTTATAGTATTAGTATTGAACCTGAGAGATCCACTTGCTATTTGTCCACGTACGGGCACACGTACTTCCCGCCTGCTGTTCAACTGTTGGCCCTCCATCGGCCTCGATACTTCACAATGTATATCACGTGATACGGCATCCCACGTTATGCCTCATATTCAAGGCCGCAATCCACATCGCATCTTGCCCGCACAATTCGCTTGAGGAGGGGTATCTCAGGTATCTCAAGAGAGTCAGAAGCGCATCTTCACCCTCTGTCTCCCGTAAACATGGCGGCGTCCGAGACCAGCACAGAACTACCAATACGCGACGGCGAGCAGAAAGCTGCCGCCGAGCAGCAGATCGACCCTTGGGATGTTCAAGCTGGACAGGATGAGCAAGGAAACGCCCTCGCTTTTGACTACGTTGCCATCTCACAGTACGTGCAAGTTCCCGCATTTCATGGTGGGCCACCGACTCACTGATGGCGAACAGGAAATGGGCCACGAAATTGATTGACGATGAGCTCCTCCAACGCTTCGAGCGTCTTACGGGTCACAAACCGCACCGCTGGTTGAGGCGCGGCCTCTTCTTCTCCCACCGAGACTTCGACAAGATCCTCGACAAGTACGAGGCTGGCGAACCCTTCTTCTTGTATACGGGGAGAGGACCGTCAAGCGATTCCCTGCACCTGGGTCACACAATTCCATTCTCTTTTACAAAGTGGCTGCAAGACGTATTTGACGTCCCTTTAGGTACGTTGGGGGAGCTCAGAGGACCGGTGTCGCCCAGAAGCTGACGGATGGGGTTTCTCGAGCATCGCTAACACTGTGAACAGTCATTATGCTTACTGGTGAGCCCCGCTAGCTATCGAGTGGTAATCGCTTTATGTTGACCGTGAAAGATGATGAAAAGGCGCTCTTCAAGGACAAGCTCACATTTGAGGAAACCCACAAATTCGCGCTTGCAAACGCAAAAGACATCATCGCATGCGGGTTTGACGTGAAGAAGACATTCATCTACAGTGATTTGGACTACATCCAAGGCCATTTTTTGATGAATATCTGGGAGTTTTCGAAGCTCATACCATTCAATCAAGTGCGAGGAGCGTTTGGGTTCAACGAGAGGTCAGTTAGGAACCTCCTGGCCCCTTAATTTCAAGAGCCACAGTGGCAGGGGAGATGCATAGCTCTGTTCGCTCTTGAATTTGCCCTCCATCCTATCCCCTTCGTAGTCCATCCATTGTACTAACAATCTGCAGCACCAACATCGGACGAATTATGTTTCCAGCCGTGCAATGGTAAGTTGCTGGTCTTGCAAGTGTGCGGCTTCGGCTGACTCGTATGACAGTGTAGCTTCCTTCGCGACGTCCTACCCTGAGATCTGGTCCGACAAGCCACCGGCCGATCGAACGAAGGAGATAGCAAAGATCCAATGCTTGATCCCCATGGCCATTGACCAAGACCCTTATTTCAGACTTGTGCGTGACAACGCTCACCGCATGAAATATCCGTCGCCAAAGCCTGCTCTGATACATTCCAAATTCCTTACCGCGCTTCAAGGCGCCGGCGGCAAGATGAGCGCAAGCGACCCCAAGTAAGAATAAGACTCTCAACACCTCTCTGATGTGAATTATAGCTTACGTAACCTGCAGTTCCGCAATCTTTATGACGGATACCCCAAACCAAATCAAGGTCAGTCGTGCCGGACCAGTTCCCCTAAAGACCACACTTCTGACAACCGGCGCGTAGAACAAAATCAACAAGCATGCCTTCAGCGGAGGAAGAGAAACCCTAGAAGAGCACAGGCGGCTGGGTGGAATTCCAGAAGTAGATGTCGCCTTTCAATGTCAGTACTCGTCCTCTAGGCTGTCGACCAATGAACGCAATCTCTGACCAAGCACAGATCTCGCCTACTTCGAAGAAGATGACGCAAAGCTCAAGGAGGTGGAAGAAAGCTACAGAAAAGGCGAGCTGCTTACAGGAGAGCTGAAGAAGATGGCTATCACATTACTGCAAGAGTATGTCAAAGGGTTCCAAGAGCGGAGAAAAGACGTCACAGAGGAGATTCTGAGGCAATTCATGAAGCCTCGAAAGCTGGAATGGAAAGGCAATCCGAACCCAAAGCCGAAAGAGACAAAGCCAAAGGCGCCGAAAGAGGAGAAAGAAGCAGAAAAGTCAAAGGCCTGAAAGGCTAAGTCACTGGCTACGTGCAACTACCTATAAGTTAGACGGATCCAAAATGGGCCCTGTGCTTATAACCCCAGAAATGTTCCTCGGCGCGTGGTTGAGGCAGAAGAGCTACTGCTTTAAATAGCAGAGGGCACGTTACTAGGCAAGAACTTCAAAATAATGCCTCTCAAATCGTGTTCAGAAGTCGTGCTTTCTTTGTTGGCATTGGCAAGAAAAGAAGTCTTTGAATTTGAGTAACCTAAGTAACTCACCTGAGTAGGCCTGATCATCCCGAGCAAGATTTACCACATCGTCACGTTCTTTGACTATTTAGGTATAAGGTAGAAAGCATTGAAAAGATACCTAATACGGTGAGTACTACTAAAATTAGGTACCAGTAAAAGACCGTGTTCCTCCTGTAAGGCGGTGCCGCATAACAATAGGAGGTGTGCAGCATAACAAATTCCAATAAAAAGAGAGAAGGGGGGGGGGGGGGGTGCCGCATTATCATGTCCACCCATCCTAGCTTCCATCCTGCCTTCTAGGCGGCTTTTTTTTCTGTGGTGATAAAGACCGAAATCTGTGCTTCAGCCTGCCCACAGTGTTATACAGCCGTTCTCGCATGGTTTTAATGTCGGGCTGATTGAGAACAGCTTCTCCAAGAGGCGAGCGAGCTGCGCGTTTTGCCTCTTCTAATTTATCTACACAGGAGTTAGAAAATATCGGAATAACCATTTGGCCAGGAATACGTACATTGCAAGAGATCCTCCAACTTCTTATAGATCTGCTGGGTTGGCATCGGACCCTCCGCTAACCTAACAGCCAGATAGGCCTCAGGCTTATCATAATCAAGCCCTTGGTGAGGAAGTGGATAGTCGAAGATGCGAAGGTCAAACACCCAACTCCTAATGGTATCAAATCTCTGTAAGATGTCAGTGGCAAATTTCGAACGCTCTGTCGATCTTCCATTCTTTGCTTCGTGTTGGAAACGCAGCCATCCGTATTCATCAAATTTGTCAATCTGTCGATCTTCCGGCACACCTATCTCCAGGGCATGACAATATACTTCTGCTAGCCCTAACTGACTTTGCCGGTAGTCTAAGATCTCGTTGAGTCGATAAAGTTCGTCAAATTCTAAACGAGTCCCTTCGACCAACTTGCGGAACCCGGGATGGCAGTTGGTGTTCCCACCCAAATTATCAGGGCCCGGAATCGAGTTCATATATGTAATCGCTTTGACTCTGACAATATTATAGAGAGCATTGGGGCTTTTTGACATGATAGAGCCAGTAAGGGGACCAGCGGGTGGGTAGATATTCTTGCTGAGTGGAGCTTCTGGCAGGCTTTCCCACTTCTCTTTGTAGTTCAAGAGAGGAAGTCCAGTCCTCTTCCCCCATGCTTTGGACCAAATGTCGTCTTGGGAGGCAAATGAAAACCTGTGTATGTCCCATAGTGTCCCATATCGTGCTTCGCATTCGTAGACGATCTGTTGTGTCAAAGCGGCCATTGAAAGATCTCCTCCCTCGTCATCTTCATGTACTCTGACGAGTTTTCCCTTCATGTCCCCTTCCTCAGAGGCATCTCTTTCCCCGCTGTAGAAGCCCTCTGTTCTATCAGAGGCCGTGATGATGGAATTGAGAAGACATGTTGCAAAGACACTTCCTCCAGCTTGTCGTCCAATGCTTTGACTTAATGCCCAGGAAAGGCTCTTATTCTTGGATCCCGCCGCTGTGAGAAAGGTGTGATTGAACGTAGGTTTAACGTCAAACTCTTTGTTCAAATTTGGGGTCATAATCCAGCCGCCTGAGTAGCACGATGTCAAAATCAGAGTCGTTTGAACCTCTTTTCGCAACACGGAAGCGAGTCTCGCCTGTGTCAGTTTCAAGTTGCAGCCTTCATCACAACCAATAAAAATTCCCGATTTTTTCTTTTCTCCATGCCCAAAGATAAGTACCAGTACTGGCTGCTTAGTTCGAGCAGCTTCTCTAATCTCAGCTTTGAGAGTTGCAAGAAATCTCTCAAGCAGATCTCTTGGCTTGAAAACACGAAAGCCAGCCTTCATTTCATCTTTAGGAAGCATTTTCTCGTTCATGACAACTCTTCGATCCCCTGCGATTCCATTTGCAGGTCCGTGGAGATAACGCTCGTGTTTGCGGATAAGATCGCTGGGCGAGCAGCTTGAAAGCCATAGTTGGTTGGGCAGTTCAGCTACGCTTGTGTTAGTATCAATAGAAGGCAATATGAAGAGAAGGTAGAAAATGTTGAACTTGCACATACGTCGACCGCCTAGCATCTGATAAAATAGAAAAAAGTCCGAAAAGAACCATCCATCATCCTGTGGAGCCGCTTCAGAACCCGGTATTCCACAGACTGCAACAATTCTCGTGCCTTTCTGGACATCTGGAGGGCATCTGGCGGCGAACTCGACGCCTTCAAGCCCTCCGTAGGGACCTGTCTGCCTGCCGTATCCTCCAAAGGAAGCAGGTTGCAGCATGGAGCTTGAGCTGGCTGCCATTTTACTGACCGTCGTGAGTAATGAGAGGTGGTGAAGAAAAAAGATTTAGAAGATTTGAGGGATGCGTTGCCAAGTGTTGTGAATAGAGGGTCTTTAGCTATCTCAAGTATCGGATTCGCGATGATTGTGGAGAAGGAAAGAAGGAAAGAAGGAGAGAAGGAGAGAAGAAATAAGACTGAGGAGGCTACCAGCAGGTGCGGGAAGTTAAGGTGATTCATGGGTTTCTGCGTAGCCTAGTGAGAAGAAATAAGACTGAGGTGGCTACCAGCAGGTGCGGGAAGTTAAGGTGATTCATGGGTTTCTGCGTAGCCTAGTAAGAAGAAATAAGACTGAGGTAGCTACTAGCAGGTGCGGGAAGGTGAGGTGATCCATGGGTTTCTGCGTAGCCTATGAATAGGGAACCCAAACTTTTATTTGCGATGCTTGCTTTGTCGTTTCGTTATGCCGATTTTTAGAGCAGCCGATATATCACATCAGAGGGATTCGTCGAGGAATTACGAAGAGTTATTATGGGCGTGTAGGAATGGTTGAGCTTTTCACGTTGCAGACGTTAGAACTTTTGACTATGGTTGATTCTACTAGTAGGAAGGATAGTATGTGTAGCGTAGGGTGATTATTGCTGACCTGGATCTAGATGGAAATATACGACGAGCCACCAGCTCCCACTTGGTCTCCACAATACGTCAATGTCGTCAAATCTCCCAGGTCATTTTGGAATCTACCTAGATCTCCCCCTCCGTTAAACATGGTTCACTTTTGTCTAGTCTAGTACTATAAAAACTATATATAACAGAAACCATGATTGGTAACAGACCACAGAGATTGTAGATATTCCTCTTCTTAAATTCAAAGACCGTCTTATATCGAGCCACTAATAATGTGTCTTTAAGTTAGGAAGCCGAATGTATCAGCCGTAAGTTCCTGATTCTAGTTCTAAGTTTATTGTGAACCTTTACTTGATGAGTATCTAGGGTCTTTTATGCACGTAATTGCAGCTGGTAACTTAGAGACTGAGAGAATCCTTGTCTCTGTCCTCATTAAGCGTGTAGAATTTGGTCTTATGACCAGACTTACCACAATCCTATAAAGTCGGTTTTGATCAAAGTCTTTGATCAAAACCCATGGGTCCCCACCAAATGGGTTGGGTACCCAACCCATGGGTCCCCAAATAAATCCACGACCCAACCCTAGGTATAGTGTATCCTAAGGCACTAAGATTTAAAAATCTGCCTCTAGAACCTAATATTCACCTTCCTACCTGTGGTCTGCAGTGAATGTCAAAATACCAAGGGATTTCGAAAGGGTGCTTAGAAGCTGAGGTGGAATTGTTACACAAGGAAATATAGAAATTATACATCGAGTGTGATACAAGACATCGCTTGTACAGGCTTCATAATGCCAAGACATAGACATGGAGAAGTAGCACGCGATTGGAACGCAATTAACATTGATAATAGTAATAGTGATGTAATAGTAGTAGTGACACGTAATTAGACAGACAATATAAGGGTAGTATTGGTAGGAGTAAAGTAAAGAGAGCAAAAGCATACGCCTTGAATGTTGTAGCCTTGTTTATAGCTTCATTTAAATTGATATTGGCATGGCAGTCATTTGCCATATATTTATTTCAACTTCTATTATAGAACTATTAAAGGTGTTTTTTCACACCTTGGTGAAAGGATCATCAAAATACCATACAGGATTGCCGTCCGGGTCAGTCTCTGTTTCCGTATAACCATTACCCATGAATTGAAACCTATTCTCGCTCCTGTAGGTGATGTCGTAATCTTCGTACCTGACCTTCTTCAATACTTCAAAGTAATGCAATCTACTTCCAGGCCAAATAGCGACGACCGGCCCATGTTTCTTCCCATTCTTGAACCAAGAGCTGCAGGCGGATGACCATACGAGACGCTTCATGAGTTCATGTGTATGGTTATAAAATTCTCGAACGGCTTCGGCCTTTGGATCAAAACATTTGATGTTTTCCTGCTGGAGCTTTACCACCATGTCAAACATATACCGAGTATGCCACTCGAGAATCGGGAGAATTGATCCATGGCTCGCAGGTCCGCTCGGACCGATGAGAACTAAGTCAAGGTTTCAGTACCAAATTCTAAACATATGATCCAGTGCCCATTTAAGCAGAACTCACGAAAAAGATTTGGGAAATTGTTGGCCATGACACCGAGATACGCCTTAGGGAAATCGCCAAACTGGTCTTTCAGACTCTTTCCGTCTCGGCCAATACATTCGAAATGGGGTGAAAATGAGGTGTCAAAGCCTGTAGCACAAATAACAACATCCACCTTGCGTTCTGCACCAGAGGCATCTACGATACCGTTTTCAGTGAGCGCTGTCACATCACGAGCAACGACTTCCACGTTTTCTCTGGTCAAAGACTGAAGATAACTCGGGCCAGGAGTCATACGTCGACACCCAAGGCCAAAGTTGGGAATAAGATGACTGGTGAGGCGTTCATCGTACCCAAGCTGCTCAGACATATTGTCGGCCACAAGGTTCCGAGACACCTTCTGATCATTGCTTTTAAGATGCATCTAATCAAGCTCTGATTAGAATCTAGTCATTTGCAAAGAAAACAAATACGTTTTAGAAGATTGGCACTTTGGTTGTGTCAACTCACCAGAGTAAACCGCTTGTTCAGCTCACCCTCCAAGTCACGACAGTATCTATCATAGGCTTCTGGGTCCTCTTTGAAAGACTTTATCTGTTCCTCCGAGTCTAAATACACATTAGAAAGAGTAGTTACTTTAGGATTATTACTTACAATCGAAGTTGGTGCCACCGGGTCCTGCGAACTTCGCACCAAAGCCTGACGTGATCCAGACAGGGGATCTCAGAAAGGGAATCAGTTTCTTGACAACTAGTAATAATGGGAGTCAGCTTGTGTGGTCTTATAACAAAAAGCTTTGTCTCCCATAATAAGTCTCGCGTCCTCACCAGGCTGGATACATGGGATTATCTGGACTGCAGAAGAACCACCCCCAATCACGGCAACAGTTTTTCCAGTCAAATCATAAGTATCATCCCACTGCGCACTATGCATAAGTTTGCCTTTAAAGCTGGCTAGTCCTGGGATGTCTGGGTATTTCCAGGAACTGTGGTCAAGGAAGCACGTCAGCTGTAACTGTAACCCTCAACAATCTACCCAGAGCATAAATTACTCGGAGACAATATCAAACAAATTCTTGCTTACTTGAGTATCCCGGAGCCATTCACTAGTATCTCACATTCATCTGAAAATATCGTGTGGTCTGGCGCTCGAACAGATAGAACCCAGACGCCACGGTCTTCATTCCATCTGGCTGATTCGATTTTATGTTCGAACTTGATATACTTCTCAAGGTCGAACTTTGTTGCGACGTCTTTGAAGTACTGCCAGATCTCCTTTGAAGAGGAGTAGAAGCGAGACCACGCGGGGTTCCTAGCCCAGGAAAACTGGCTTCTCGTCGTGTTATTAGAACATGAAGTACCAAAGCATGAGGGGTACAGTTATTGAGACTCACTAGCTGTGGCTTGGAATATCGCAAGTGCATCCTGGATATCTATTCTCCAGCCAAGTGCCGCCGACGTCCTTATTCTTTTCGTAGATTTGAATGTCAACGTCCTTCAGGACTCGCTCCGCCTTGTAAGCAACTTGCAGACCCGACGCTCCTGCACCCACACAGACAAGCCTAACGCGGCGTTTGGTGAACAGTGGCTGTTCTGAAATGCGATAGCCATCAAAATCTTGATTATACCACTCATTTTCGTGAACAGCGCCCTCATCCGGGATTGCTTGCGGATCCGGCGAGAGCTGTGTAGTAACGATGCGAGCGGGAGCCATGGCGATGCTGGGCGTCAGAGGAAGAAGATATCAAAGATTGAAGATAGATACAAGCGCTCGTGGGTTCGGATACACACACATATATATACATATACAATGAGCAAGCAATTGAATATGGTGTGAAGAATTGTAGATGATCTCCAGGTCTGCGTGGTTCATCTGACATAATTCCTCGCCGAGGTAAATACGGATATGACTGGGGATTGTATTGGCTACCGCGGTCGGCATTCATTCGCCCGGGCTTGAGATATAGGGAGGCAAAGATTGTTTTTCCGGGAGCAACATCGAGACTAATTTACCGTAATTGGCGCACAAAAGTGCAATATGTCAAATGCGACGTCACGAGCTGGAAAGAGCAGCTGGCGTTGTTCACGGAAGTCAAGCAAAAGCATGACAGTATCAATCTAGTCTTTGCAAACACTGGTATTGCTGACAATGATAGCGTCTTCATGGACATTTTGGACCATGAAGGCCTTTTGGTGGAGCCAAAGCAGACAGTCGGGGCGTCAACTTTAAGGCTTTAATTCTGTGTAAGTCGCAGAACTCACCTCAATTGCCATTAGCAGATACGTTGTCTATTGACCTACCTCGCTGCTAGTTGACCTTGCATCAAATCGTAGCCTCAAAGCCTGCACTTCACCTTTTCAAGAAGAATTCTTCTGTCGGAGGAGGCTTGGTCATGATAGGGTCGACCTCCAGCTACAATGAGCGACCCAACCTACCATTGTACTCTGCGGCTAGACACGGCGTATGTCTAACAATTTCTTCAAGGATGCCACTTGATTAATGGACCATGCAGGTTATTGTATTGGTGAGAGCAGTTCGTCACATTGGTCCAGCGTTCAACATCAATGTCGGCTGCATCGCTCCTGGAGACACTTGTCAATATCTTCCCTAAAGCAGGCAACGATCACTGTAGAAACTGGCGCAAGTCTTGCGGAGTCTAATATGTTCCCCGTCGAGGGTGCGGAAGCATCTAGAGCAAAGGGATTACCTGTAAATAAAACCTATTCGGTCGCCTTGGCAGCTGTATTCTTAGCCAGCAGACCAGGATGTAATGGCAAGGCTTTGACCATAACCTTGGATATGCTGAGCCGTTAAGATCTATTCCAATAGTCTAAAAGCAATCATCAAACATGATCTGCATTGCTAGGAGGTATTCGTGTCTGTGTTCTCAACCGTGACCTAAAATAGCCTGTGAATTATGAAGTCAGTCTTGTGCGAAGTATTCAAGAGACTACCTGGGGCATCATAGTAGTTGTGCGTACACACCTATATATGAGTAGATCCCCATCACCTCTCTGATCCATCTCGCGCTCTTACTCTGCTTTTGGCAGAAAGAACCTGCTTTGTCATCTCATCTCGTTTCTCTAAGTCATCACGCTTCACATCACCATAGGCCTCTGTCGTCTGTTGAAGAATGGTCTTCTCCCACCCATCTCCCATTTTCAGCATTCCAGCATCATCCCAGCAGGCCTGAATCGTTCCACCGATGTTCTTCAAAAGGCCTCCCATACCCCCAGCTCCACCGCCCATATGGTACGATTTGAAAGGGCCAGTGACAGCCCAACGCGGTCCCATCGAGCTCTCAACCACTTCATCCAGCTCCTGTGCCGACACCACGCCTTCGTTGACAAGATGGACCGCCTCTCTCAGAAGCGCAAATGCCAATCTGTTGGCCACGAACCCCGTGACCTCCTTCTTGAGCACCACGGGCTGTCGGCCTAGCTTCTTCCAAAACTCCACCGTCTCTTCCACGAGACGGGCTTCCGTGATGGGGGAAGGCACAATCTCAATCAGCGGCATGAGATGCGGCGGATTATATGGATGCACAACAAGCAAGCGGCTAGGTGAGCGCATATCCACGGACTGCACGGACGCTGGGATCCCAGAGGTGCTACTCCAAAAGAGGCACTCTGGTGGCGCGTGTTTCTCTATTTCTGGCCAGAGTTTTTGTTTGAATGGGACATTCTCAGGGCCTTGCTCCTGTACTATGTGGCTGTTGCGCACAGCGTCATCCAGCTGAGATATGATGCGCAGCCGGCCTGAGGAGATGAACGAGGAAACAGTGTCTTTCCCTGAGGAGCTGCCGCCGAAGTACCCTGAACGTTGCCCGGCTTGTCAGAAGATGCCACACTGTTTTGAGGAGAGGTATACTCACCAGGAAGCGTCTCATGTATGTAGCGTTCTATATCTGGTCTGGTATCGTAAATAACCAGTTCCGCCTCTTCCAATGTCCCAAGATGAAGTGCTGCAAAGGACAGGCCGATGGTACCAGCTCCTATGAGCGTGATACGAACAGCAGGCATACTGTTGGGTATAGGGTTAAATTGGACAGACTTGAAGGGAAAAATACCGTCGTAAACCGATCAATTGAAGTGTGATTGAACCCCCCAAGTCGAAGGATTTCAGGGTTGCTACTAAGCTGTTTTACTGTATCCGGGATCAACGGCAAGGGATATGCTACTGATAGCAATGCGTGGTATAGTCAAAAATAGCCCCGGTTTGACTGTTGGCCAGGTTCTTCAACAAGGTAAAGTACCTAGGTATGGTACATCGCTTTTGCCAGACTGGATAACTAAGGTCAAGGTACTTTGACGAGTTATTAGCCGAATGGCACGTGATTTGCCTCGGCATTCGGCAGCGTCATGACATGTGTGCCTACCTAGCTCAGGCAGAAACAGCCTTGAACTATACCGATTACCGGTTACCGGTTACCGATCACCGATTACCGATCACCGGTTACCCGAACTTATACTTCGGGAAGCATGACTGGCCCAACGTACACATATTAGACAGCCGTCCTTGCTTCCCTTCCTACAGCGCGTGCTTTTGTATCATGGCAGACTATACACATCTTGCGATCCCCGCGACGGAGTGGAAGACATTTGAGGAGGCAAACCCTCCTCCCACCTTACCAGCAGAGACGACGCTAGAGCATCGAAGGAAGTTGTTCAATGATACCCGCGAGCAGCTATTCAAGAGTGTTCTCGGCCCAGTTGGTGAGGAGTCTGCCATATCCTGCTTGATGGTGGCCAGATATTCTAATTTGGATATTGATACTACCAGAAAACGTAACATCTGAGGACGTCTTCATATCCACATCGGGTTCGCACAAAATACCGGTCAGGATCTATCGTCCTACTGATGCTGCTGGGAGGCTGCCTCTATATATACATCTTCACGGTGGTGGCTTTCACTTAGGCAATCTAGAAACGGAAGATACAAGCTGCCGTCTGATCTCCTTGCGCACCAACTCCATTGTTGCAAATGTCAACTATCGCCATGCCCCTGAGTGGACCTTCCCCACTCCTAACGAAGATGTCTGGGATGCTCTAAACTGGATATTGGATTCTGCCAATACATACGGCATCGATAATGACAAAGTCATTATTGGAGGGACAAGCGCCGGCGCTTCTTTGGCATGCGCGACGGCATTGCGAGATCTGGAAAACGTGCGTCAGGAGACCCAAATGATCTGCTTGACAGGACTTATGCTTATAGCGAAGATAGCAAGGAACGCGCATCAAGGGTGTGATACTCACCATTCCTCCCACTGTTCATGAGCAACTCTTCCCACGTGAACTCGTCAAGAATGGATATAGCTCGCTGGAACAGAACGCAGAAGCTCCAATCTTGCCAATATCCAGATACCGGGCGTTTATAGACATGTACAAGCCTGAGCCTGGACACCGTTACTTTTCGCCTCTCATAGCATCAGATGATCTCTTTCGTGGCTTCCCGCCAACGTGCTTTCACATTGCAGGCTTAGATCCGTTGCGTGACGAGGGTTTGCTATTAGAAGAGAAGCTTAGGGGAGTAGGGTAAGTGGATTTGCTGAATATGCCCGATTGTCAGCTTTGATAACACGGCCCTAGTGTTACAACGAGGCTTGAAGTCTACCCAGGTTTTCCTCATGGATTCATGGGCTTCCCACAACTGAGAGAGAGCGAGAAATGGAGAGAACATCTCTGCCGAGATATTAAGTGGCTGAAGGTACTTTAGGATACTTGAAATAGAACTTCCAATATATGTCTGTAGCTAGGCTAGAAGAACTCAACTCGAACAAATTCATTTCTTCTAGCACCACCCTGGGTAACAGCACAATGCGGAGTCATGTTGATGCTGAAGACCTGTTCAGAAACAAGTCATGACAACATAGGGCTAGAAAATAGAGATCTAGAGTAGTATAAACATTGACATACTTTCTCGCGACACTCGTCGGTGAATTCTGCGGTCGGATGATGGCCGCTGACGCCCGTGCAATTGACGAGTATATCAATGACAAGACCATCCCCCAAAATCTTTGCGATGCGTTTGCGAATCTCGTCTACGTTTTAGAGATCGCAATCGTAAACATTGACCCGCCTGCCTAGGGCTAACAGCTCGTTGTGGGGGTCCGATTTGTCCAGCCCTCAAACTTGCAACCGAACTGCAACAGGTGGAGCTGTAACATGTCTGTAAAGTCTATAAACACATGACGAGTCAAAACCTAATCATAGGCCTTACACCAATCTACATTTGTAGACGATAACACCATTATTCCTAAAGAATATTAAAATCCTCTGAATCAAAATGTGAACCGAGCTCAAGATCGAGTTCCATGTGTGTACTAAGAAAGGCGTTATTCAAAGCTCAGTCAAACTCCTAAATCAGCAACAGATGGATTCTTACTTGATGTTTGGATCCTCAGACATACTCAGAAAGGGATTCCATCCAGTTGAAAGGAACTCGTCTAGCAGAAACATAAAATCGTTGTTTGTCTCTTGTGGGGCTATTGGCTCTTCGCTGTGTGTCGTTGAATCAGGAGTGAGCTGGCTTGGATTCCTTACTGCATGATCAGCAGTTTTAGATGTCCTTGTGTTTCTCAATGTTTTCTGCGCCTTCGAAAAGAGCCTGCAGAGGAAATCTGCTGCCCAGTAGGTTTTCCTCAATTCATTCAAGACAATCATGCAAAGATCTAATTGGTGGGAACCATGTCGTTGTGCTAGCATGTTGCATGAAGTCGATTCGTAGAGATGGATCTGCATTGCCGGTATCAACGCAGTGACACTAAATAGCGTATATTAGCGGTGACATCTATGCTCATGAACAGAATACTTACAACATGGCCTGGCAAAACTTTACCATATTCTTTGATATAAGCTGATTTAGTATAGAGCTTGTGTTAAACGCTGCTGATTTGACCTTTTCTAGCACTGTATTATGCCAAGCATCTTTTTCCATTGATGTGATACCTTCTGGGCTGGTAAGGAGATATTGGCGGTATAAGGCAATCATCGTCGCTCTATTACACGGTTAGCAACACTCGGGAAATGAGTACAAGACCTTTTACTCATAGTATAGTTGTAAATGGTAAGCGTTAACTTGAACAATGGGATCGGCTGATACAGTCTCATTCCGACAGGCTCCAAAAGATTGAAATATCTCTTTTTCATCTCTTTCTAAGTCAGCAAGAGATGGAGTGTCTCTTCTCGGTCTGTAATGTTTCGACAGGACATTTCCTAGTGCTAGCGAAATATGCACCAGGTTTATCCAGTATCTAGCTAAAGAAGCAATGCCTGCTGGAAGGTATGTATCTTTAGTCTCGGCAGGAACGTCGATCAGTTCTGCGAGGACATCGTCGACAGTTGGTAATGGCATGTCACAATCTTCAATGTGGATTCTCATTGGCCTTCCCATACCAAAAGAGAGCCAAGCATCGCGTATATAGCAGCTCCACCATATTCGTCTCCATACTCGACACTGAGAGCTAGAGAAGCGTTGCTTTTGATGCTGGCCTGATTCGAGATTGCGATGAAGTCCTATAGTCTGACAGAGACTGATAGCAACGCCAATCCAGTGCCATGAGCCAGTACGATCTTCAGTGTCGGTATACCAGTATCCCATTAGCATAACCGACTGGATAAGCGCAGTCTTGTCTTTTTCATAGTCTGCATCATAGAGACACTAGAGGTGCAAGCCGCGTTAGCATAACAGCACGATTTAAAAGCCGGAACTGGAATGTGGACATGGGCAGACTTTTGCGCGAGTATACATGGATCGCTTCATTGATTTGCGAGATGAATGTCCAGCTGCCTGCAACAAGTCGTCGTCGACGAACTGTTGTTGATTAGCAAACTGTTTCAATGAAAGGACGTCCGCCTACTTACACTGGACGCGGCAAAGAATATGCTCCACAAGAGCAGAAGGTTTGACTTCTGCTGGCCACCCTTTATATATTGCGTGAGGAAGGTATTAACATCTAAAATAGGGAGCAATGGGTGAACATGATTGAAATAGCATTGGAGGAGCCTCTTGCAAATCTCATCAGGTGGCAAGGAAAATGCACCCTTCATACGCAACACGGCGAGGTCTTCAGCTGAGTACAATTTGGCCGTTGCGCGTGGTACCAGATAATGATTACAATTTGGCGAACGATCAGGCCGGCAGATGTCAACTACAAAGCCAAGACCCTGCTGGTCGCCTGTACAGTTCATCTATTAGTAGAATAGCTTTATGACAGTCTGTAATCTAACCTCGCCAGGAGGCACATGTCACATACCAACATAAAACGGAACGGCGTCGCTCCCTGTGGCAGTCCCTTCTAGGGCCGCCAGATACGCCTTGCTATTTTCGCCCTCATCGTAATCAATATCTTGTCCGTAGCTGTCTATGTCCTCGTCAGGCACGTCTACTAGAGCATTGTGGACTCTCTCTGGTGTGCTTGCAGGCGACACAGGCGAGGGCTGCACTGTTGAAGAGGGACGGACTCTTGAAGAGGGAGTTGATAGACTGCTGGTACTGGCTGACACTTCTTCTGGCTGAGGCGCATTCAATGGACTACGGAATCTCCGCGCTCTAGAAACCGCAATCAAGACCTGGTCAGCATGATTATTCTAGCTTATAGTACGTTGTGTCAGGCAGCGCGTGGGGCTTGATCAGCTTACGTTGGTTTCTTTCGCGGTGCTACTTTGCATTCGATGGCATCATGAACACAATTCGTACAAGGAGGGCCGCATTGAGAAACATTGCATCTCACTTTACGTTCTCGACACGTCCAACAAGCAGCAGCAGAGCGCCTCCGGGGGCGTGCTACCGGAATGGGTCCTGGCTGATATTGGGACATGATGATGCTGGAGAAGGCAGAGGTTGGAAAGAGGTATGAGTATGAATTGAAGATAAAACACATTAAATACATGAAATATATTCTTGAGACGGAGGAATGTTCTCCATTCCCCTCACGCGTTGCGGGGTCAATATGGGGTAAAAGGGGTGCTAATATCCCAGTTGTAATACCACGCCCCGGCTCTTGACTGCCGATGCACGGTGTTCGCTACGTAACAACTGAGCGAGTGCCATGTATCAAATTGTGTATATAATTACCTCGGCAAGCCTCACCCAGATATCCAAATGATCAGGTCTCCAATAATCCCATATGGGGATTTGAGCAATAGAAGTCTTTGAGCTTCGACTATCAAGCAGACGTTAGGCTTTGGTTTTGAAGGTCGCTTTCATTGCGCCGTCTTATCAATCGCAAAGTCATCTGTATCAGGATGTTATCCCTTCGCTTGACGACAACGCCGCCCCAGATATTTCAAAACTTCACACAATATTCTCATATTTCCTTGCCAAAATGACCCAAATCGTGGCTACTACTGACCGCCACGAAATTGTCAAGATAATTTCGGATTTCTACAACTTCATCACCACCTTTCCCTACCTTCCGGCTTCCTCCATAAAAGCGCCTCCTCGAGACGGCTGGCCCGAAGACGTTCGCGAAACTTTCCGCAAGATGGGCAAAACCGACCAAGTCGTCGATTTACTTTCTCATCTGCCATATGTAGACACCAGTGCCTGGGAAGTCTTCCCCGATACCGAGCCCATTGACTACACTAGTACCCGGAGCTTGAAACGCATAGATCGCAATGTCAGCCTTGATCCCCCACACTGCGAGATTCCAGATCATGTGGTATCATTGACGTGTGGGAGGAATTATGGAATTTGGTTGTTGCTGGATACCAACACTGGTATGTTTTTTTGTGAGGTAGCGGTATGATCAAAGGAGGATTGCTAAGAATCTCAGCAGGTACTGTTGCTGAATATTCGCTTCTCGGTGGTCCCCAGCCAAATTTTACTGATGAAGAATTTCAAAGTGGCAATACCTGGCGCCTGTATCCTACTAAACCTCTGGGGGAATTAATCGCGACTCTGAAGGAGAAGTACAGATCCTTGCAAGCGATTCCTGTGGTCCGAAATGATGGTCATTCGGGCATTATCCGGGTTGGCGGTGGGGAAAGGGACGAGGAACTTGAGGTATGGATGTTACATACTCCCACATTTACAAATCCCAGCCACTACAAAGGATATTGCTAACCGGGATTTCTTTTAGGAAATCCGGAAAATATATCGTGGCCATGGCTGGCCCTCTCCTGACTTCCGCAAGGAAGAATGCAAGGCCGAGCTCCAACTGTGGTATACAGGGTGGCTTGACAAGAATTCAGGCAACCAGAGATAGTAGACGTGATGAGGATGAATAAAAAGGGACAAGAATCGGGGTTTGCTGCCACCTGCCGCAGCCTTGACCTCCACTAAGGTATACCTTAAGATTCCAGATCATGTGGACGCTGGGTTTCGTAGGGAAGGATTAGAGGCATAGTCACAGAGCCGCTCAACCTTCGACACGTTGAAGATGGTAGTATTGGTATATCTACTTCACCTTTCTATCTCGGGGGGGATAAGTTTCTGTTCATATGGGTGTGCAGCCGTGTCCTTCTAGAGGCCCCCCCGGCTTTGAAATGGACATACTAAGACTACACACGCATAGAGTCCGTCAGACGGTACTCCACAGACTCCGCACTCAGTGCCAATACTTCCACGAGAGGGCCCTCACTCTTTCCCAAGCAGCGTCAAATGCTTGGACAACGTCCTCTGGAAGGGGTCCCTTCTCCAAATTTACCAGGTTCTCTTCCAGTTGTTTTGCGCTGGATGCACCAATGATAACAGCATCTCCATGCTCACGTTTAAGCAATGAATGGTGCGTCATCCACCGCAAAGCGGCTTCTGCCTCAGTTATTCCGTGCTTCTTCACCACCGGCCGGATGATATCTAAGGCATCGAAGTATGCGTCATTCCAGTATCGGACCCTGTAACTTTGACCCTGCCATCTGTTAGAATCGAAGCGTGAGCCTTCTTCAACCTTCTCAGTTTCTCTGTGGTAGCGGTCCGTGAGGAATCCTATGTTGAAGTTAGACTATCGTATCAAAGATGTTAGGTGTCAGGGCATGCACACCTCCAGCAAGGGGATTATAATTGTAAAACGCCATGCCGTAATGACGAAGGCACGGGAAGAGCTCCGGCTCCACTGCACGATGGATGGCGTTGTAAATTCCCTGATACACGGACGGCTTGATCCACCCATTCCGATCACAGATCTCGCATATCTGTGCCACTTCCCAGGCCATGTAGTTGCTGATGGCAAATTTCTCGAAGTAGCCTTCGCGGTGGAGCTTGTCAACTTCTCGAAGCGTCACCTCATACGGCGTGGTGCGATCCGGTCCATGGAGGTACCACATATCAATGTGATCCGTCTGTAGCGCCTTCAGGCTGCGCATGAGGTTCTCGCGCAGATGTTCCGGGCTATGTGTCCACTGCTCTTCAGTCATATCACGTCCAATAGTCGGGTAGTACTTGGTATCCATGACTAGGCCTCTGTCCTTCCAATGCACCTGCCCGAGGTATTCCTCAGACGAACCTTGGCCATAGAAGCGAGCGGAATCGATTTCCTTGTGGCCGTGCTTCTGGAAAACGTCGAGGATGGCGGTGGTTTCTTCAAGGGTGTGGACACGAGCTTGTTCAACGCCAGGCTTGAAGCTTCTGTCAGCGAAGGGACTCGCGTTAGAGCAAAGACTGAAATACCTTGCCAATGGTCATAGCCCCAAAGACAATCTTGACGTTTGTTTTTTCAGATGCCATCTTGAGATATAGGTATGTCGCAGTTTACTTATTTTCCTGAATGTGGTTGACGAAGATACAGCAGTAGGTACCTAGTTCTTATATCAAAAATGGGCGGACATTAAATAGTAAAGTCCGTTGTTAAATCCGAAATCCCTAATTGCATCACTATCTTGCACGACTGATGGAGTATGTTATATTCACAGAATACGCTGCTACTGTACGTGATTAACTATTCCCAACTTTTTCTTGGCGCCAGGCGAGCATTGTCCTTTGGGCCTTGGCCTCATCTCTGGAGTTGCTAAGTCCAAAGCTTAAACCCAGTAGCTTGAGGGCCTCCGAGGATTACCTTATTTGATGCTGGAAACGGGGCCTAAAGCGACAAGGGGTTAGGTTCTAGGGAAAAGACAGTAAGAATTTTCGTAGAGACTTCTTAGATTATGGCACAAGTAAAGGCACGCATGCTAGAGTAGCAGACTTGAGTACTTTTTGCATGGCTGTATTTGAATCTTATCTTATCTGCCAATAATCCGGCCCCCACCTAATTTTAGTTTCACCCGGGTATATGTTGGCTGTGAACTTTCGGGCCATCAGATTCGATTCCTCAAGGCATTTCCACTCTTGATAAACAAGGCAAAGACCTGCCCAATGCCTGCAAAGAATGCCAAAGTGCGTGCGCTCGCCATCGCCTCTGTCGTACCCGTGATATAAATATAGTTATACACGATTCGGCTAAGAATATATCCTCCTGACAGCGTGTTCAAGGTCTCAGCGGGCAGACCAGCAATGTTTCCTGCGATGACGGCGGCGGCGAAGAGACCGATATTCTCGAAACCGTTGGTTTGCGCGCCTTCGCAGCGGTGGATCTTGGCTTTGGTCTGTGGAAGGTTAGCGGGATGGTAATAGAGAGGGGGGAATTGGGGAGGGTGAGAATGTGGGAGAGGGACGACGCACGGCTTTGTCAAGGGTCTGGTCACTCTCAAGGCTCTTGGCATAGGTGCGAGGGGCAGTCTTGTCAATGGACTTTGCGAGCGCCAGCGTCACGGCATGAGGCGCGAGGGCGACGACCCAAGCAGCGGGGATCTGCATGCGATTAGCAACTTGGGATCTGGATCCAAAACACCAATTGGGGAGCATACGGTGTAGAGGGAGTAGTTGCTGGTGAGATTGAAGAATGATGCCATTGTGTCTGTTGTGAGGGTCTGTTTTTATGTGTTTTGAAGAGGTGGTGTTGACGGGGCAGATTGAAGAACGAGGAACACAGTCTGGGGGAGCGGGTGGGGTAAATAAGGTAGCAAAGGAGCCGAGGCACACACTCCGCAGGGGTCCCACGCTTACGTCATCGTACCCCTCCGCCCTTTGGAGCGAACCTTGAAAGAAATATCTTAGCAACGAACAACAGCAATACTGACGTTGAAAGTATCTGTTCCGGTCTGGAAAGGTGGGCAAGACTGCTTTATCGGCATTTACAGCCATCCACATCCCCCGACGGCAAAAGCGGCTCGGCCCTTCGTGCGCTGTGACCGGCATTAGTGGATTGTGGAGTGTAAGGAGTCGGCAATTCTCGTAGCCACTGCGTTGGTATCTGAGTTGCCAAACTATTGACTATCCATCAGAACTTTCCTTTCCCGACTCGTCGCCGGCAGCCCCAAATGCTTTTTGTAATTGATGAGTGTACACTTCAAAATCCTTGATTTTCGAAGCGATCACTTCATCTGCATCGGTAGCCCAATATGGCGCTACGATTCGATCGAACACCGTCTGATTGTGCGATGGTGCGAATCTTGGTTGAATATGTTGGAAGAAAAGGTTATATATGCCCTTGGGACTCTCAAGAGCGTGGAAGTACCAAAAGTTGCCAATCTTCCAACCAGTCCTCATGATATTTGTGCGGTATAAGGCACCATGCTTTGTGGGAGACAGCAATCTCTCTTCCTTTTCGAAGGCATCTAGGAACTCTGTGTGCATACGAGTGAAGGCTTCGAGGTGTTCCCCTTCTTGTAATTCATCAATCGCTCGACCGGTCAGCCAACATGGAGGATGTTGCATCTCAATGGGCAAGGAGCATGCCCACTCCAAGTCAATTAGACACTTAATGCGCCAATCGGAATCGACTAGAATATTGCTTTGGTGGAGGTCTGTAAGGCTAAAAACAAATGGTCCATGGCGAAGGTCGCGGCTAACAAAATTAGGAAGAAGGGCTCGCATCATTACTAAGGTCGCCATCTGTGCTCTACCATCAAACTCGTCCCTAATGGAATTAGGTTGATATCGTATACGACTATCGTGATATGCCAAGAGGTCAAGCAAGTACGTGCCTGTGTTAGAGTACGTGAGATTCCTGTCGATGTTGGTTGGAATGCCTCCATTTTCCATAATCTGGAGCTGACACGTCAAAGGGCGATTTGTCAGACTCAAAACACCCCGATTATCGATTGTTAAGGAGCCTATACGTGGCATCGGTAATTGGCCTAACGCAAGGATAATCCGAGACATGTCCCTGAAAAGGGTTGTTCTTCGATTCGGGTCGTGATGAAGCTCCTCCCAAGACTCCGAGAGCATCCTCCCATCCGCGTCTTCGATGTAGTCCATGATGAGATATCCAACTCCTAGTGAACTAGGACACCTGCGACTTATATACCGACATGGGACAGGGTATCCGAGCATTGATAATATGGTCCTTCGCAAATTCCACTTCAATCGAATGAGAAAGGGTACATTTTCGTCTTTGGTGAACTACATGTTTCCAATCAACGAATTAGCATATGCTCTAGAGGTTAGAATTAAAACACCAATACATACACTCCGACCATCAGAGAACCCAAAACCCCATAAATAAGGTATTGGAACAGTGGGACAGTTATCTTGGATCCAGATGAAGGAAGCAGCTTCACAACGTAGCTTTTCATCTGCGTTGCCGGGGTATCTTGACTCCCCAACCTTGTAGGGAAGCGGAAACCTAATAATCACCCGTTTATTAGGGAATGCGGCCCAATTGTTGATATAGACAGGTATGCACACGTTGAAGCTGCCTGCTTTCCAGTCTTTGAATTCTCCAAGGTGACACGTCTCCGTCTTGCGTAGACGTAGATGGTGCGACACTATAGCTTCGATGTCACTACGACGCTTGAAGAGGGAGAGATAGAATTTGACCCGTAGGTCAGGGTATGCTATTTTTCAAGGGCCGACTCCAATGTGACATTTCCGTGAAGAAGTGGAAGGGTTTCCGGCATTTTGAGGTGTTGGGTGACAATGCCATCATCTGACGAATTGATGATGCTTGTATAGGCTAACCACCGGTGCAGTTCAAATCCAATATGGATCACCAGTGTTTCTGCAGAGATGGGACTGCGATTCCACAAGATTCAGGTGCCATCGAGTTTCGCTGTACGAAGCTCGGCTCGGATCGAAACTAGTGCCGGGGATGCTAAACCTTCGGTTGTATCCGTGGTGCCATTATCGCGCTACGGATTAGCGACCTCCTGAACCACAACTTCCAACGACGCATCCTCTCCGTCCCCTTTACAGCCCAACTCTGTGATGCTGGACTCCCTACCTCTTCTCAAAGGGAGTATTGCCCTCGATCGAGCCCTGAGCCACGATGACAACATCTTTCCTCAGATCGGGTATCCTCGGCAGAAACTGGAGTTCTGGAATTACTTGTCCGCTCGGAAGCCTGAGATCGAGGCAATCGTGGCATTTCACCTCCGTGTGCCTGTGAACATGTGCCGAGTTGCAGGTGAAGGGACTTGGATATCTGGCAGCTACAACGTCTGTATTCCTGTTCATATCAATCCGCCTTCTGATGTGCGAGCCGTGCTCGTTAGGATTCCGCTACCTTACAAAGTCGGAGAGGCATATTCTCATGGAAACGTGGACGAGAAGCTTCGATGCGAGGCTGCGTCGTATATATGGATTCAGCAACATTGTCCAGATGTCCCTATACCTTCTCTATTTGGCTTTGGATTCCCTGATGGCCAGACGGTACGTTTATCTAATTTCTACACGGATTTATGCTTATGGCTTGGCTAGTTCACAGCTCCTGAACATGTCTCCCTCTTAACGCGAATGACGTGGCATGTACGACGAATCTTACTGTCCTGGCTTCGGCTTCCTACCCCGTGTCGATATATTGGTCGAAAATCTTCCTATACTTTAGAAACCGGTTATATAATTATAAGCTGGGTTTCGCAAGGGAAGATGCTTTCAAATTCATGGAATACTCTCCGCCACGATCAAACTCGCCGATCAAACCTTTTTCATGGCCTGGCTCGAATCATGCTTTCGTTAAACAAGTGTCCCTTGCCTCGAATTGGCTCATTCACTTTGAACAATCAAGGTTTTTTAACCTTGACAAATCGTCCTCTGACCCTACGACTCCAGTCCCTAGAGAACGAGGGTATTCCGACGTCTATTAGCAAGAGTTCTACTTATTCAGCTGTAGATCTCTACCTTCTTGACCTCTTACGCTGTCATAATAATCGCATTCAATATCAGCCAAATTCTATCCACAGCCAAACTGACGGTGAGCAACAATTAGCAGCATTAACCATGATGCGCGCTATCCTCCAACAGTTTACTTCTCTCGATTATCGTTACGGACCTTTTGTTTTTACCCTCACAGATATTCACCAGAGTAATATCTTCGTTGACGATGAATGGCATATAACTAGCCTGATCGACCTCGAGTGGGCCTGCGCACTACCAATAGAGTTGCAATGTCCTCCATACTGGATTTCCGGGAGAGCTGTAGACTGCATCGAACACGGCGAACCTCTTGAAACTTTCCGTCAAATTATCGCCGAATATTTCGATGCTTTTGAGCAGGAAGAGAGGGATATGGTAGGAACTCTGTATCAGACACCTTGTAAGGGTCGGCAGGCACGTGACCCACAACGCCGCCAAACCCTACTATAGCTAGAACTCCCCTCCTCCTTAGAAGAGGACAAGAATAACAATACCATCACACAATCACCGAACTAGTGACTGTGACGGTACATATTCTCATATCCGACAGTTCCCATATCCCACACACCTATCATGCGGAGGTGTTGGGATACCGGAAGCTTCTGGTATTTTCACGCGTTGAATAGCCCAAAGGGGTTATATCAGCTCTTCAACGAACACATACAACCATTGTTCCATCCAGAACACAATGAAATGTCTATTTTCGATAAAGTTGTAGCTCACTATTGGAGTATTGGTGCAGCTGAGGTGATACAGAGGAAGATTAAGGAGGAGAAAGAATACAAGGATAGACTGAGAGAAGCTTTTGCCACTAATGAGAAGGAATAGCGAAGTGCTGTTTGCAGATAACCAAGGGGGCCTTTTTTTTATTCCACTGCAGGTCTAACAGGTATAGAGAAGCGGGAAGCTCTGGGTGTAAGAGTAGCATTACTACTGTATTGATAAACCCAGCTGTTCTAGCCAGTTGCTTTAAACATCTGGGAAATCTCGATGTGTTGCTAGCTAGTGTCTTTCCAGCCTTCCGATAAAATACCACCGAAGGAGACAAGATGGAGAGATTGATAAGGATTCGCATAGGTTAAAGGCAGAGAAAGCCCGTGAGAACTTCCCACGTAACTCTTAATTGGAGTTCTTACCATTTGTCTGCCTAGTTGTCTGATCCAAAATAGGAGGGCAGTCCCAAGCATAAGTCGAGCAGGAATAGGATTTGTGTTCCCAACAGCATTTCTGTTTTGTTACGGTCGCCATGGGCAAACTCTTGGTACTTGTTGACCAGTGTCTTTGGCGAAACACAAGTTTGCTTAGATAGCAGGAATCGGGGAAGTCATACTCAATCTCTATGATTCGTCGCCAGTCAAGACTGTTACGTTGGGAAGCTATAAGGAGGAGAGAACGGGGGGGGGGGGCGCGTAAGGTCCTTGAGAAGGTGATGGAAGTCGAAGGTATGGGGGACAAAGGGTGTCAAATCCGACGTTTACAAGGCCGCTAGATGCAGGCCAAATAACACTTGTACAGAATTTCGGGTATCTGAACTCTAGAGCTGATAAGTAATCCTCCATAGTACACACCACCTAGAGAGCATTTGCTTCTAAACATTTATGAGGGAACACAACTACCTTTGCTGTAGACATCACAATTCCCAGGCACGACGAGGGATCTTTCTAAGGGAATATGGCCGAATTCTACAGACAGAGCCTAAACACTACACTAGCTTGTGCTGTTCCGAAACCTCTCGCGAAATTGAGTGGGCTGATTCCTAGTCAAGTAACTGTCTTAATTTATGACGACCGAAGAAGATGTTGGATAGGTAGGTACGATACGCTTGTTATCAAACTTCCACAGTGTAACTATCCTTCCATCATATTGCACCTTAAATTTTGGGTCTTGTATCTTTGTGATGCCGTTTTCCGGCCTTGTGTATCTATCGCTAGATATATCATATCCTTGATTAAAGTCTCCTGGTCTTGGTTGAACAAGATAACGGAAGGTCATGGCGGCGCGGAACTCGTAGAGGAATTAATTTTGACAGGACAGAGTTTAGATAGTACCTATCCTGTGATTTGCTGCTTGGTTAGTCAGACCCTCTAATAGAGCGAATTCGACCTACCTACTCTCCTGTCGTGAGGTCTCGTGTTTGACAGTTGCTATTCTTATCTCAGAGATGTTTAAAGCTGTAGATATCATAATCCCCAGGCACGGCAAGATTACTTAATGGCATATTAGACCCAATCAGTTCATGGTGTTGCAATCACTGATTTTAGTCCGAGGGCTTCAATTATCTCCAGTATCGGATACGCGACGACTTCATTATGGTGAGAGTTAAGCGAAATACGCTAATCCCAAGCAAGTTAACAGGTTACCAAGTTAGGTTAATAGGTAATATGCTACAGGGCCGCGGGAGTGGCGAGCGGAGAGCGGGGGCAGGTGGCGGAGTGGGGCGGAGTGGGGCGGAGTGGGGTGGGGCGGGGTCTGGGATGGTAGCTAAGGTACCTGACGTCATGACATGGCGAGGCTGGGAGCTGAACATCTGGGCCAAGATCCAGGATCTAAGATCCCAGATCCAAGACCCAAGATTCAAGACCCCCCCATCACTCGACTGAAGTCTCTCCTTTCTTGCCCTGATAGCGGGCGCATCCTGTACACCACCATATCTGCTACAAGCCTTCAACCAGAACTACGCTTCAACATGTCGACAGCTGCTCCCGAGGATGGCGGGTCCAACCCCGAGAGATTGAAAGATAAACTCAAGCATCCTTTCGACCAGATGCGTGAGAAGTTCCGAGACACAAAACTCTACGATGTGAAGGTGGGATTGAGCCACAAGAAGTATGTGTGCAAGATGCCTTGACGCTGTGGCGACTGGGACATTGCTGACCTGCACAGGCATGAGCTTGGAAAGTTTGGAAATCTAGTAGGCTTCATCGTGCAAGAACCCTTTCTCGCATTGTCTGACCGAACAGTTCAATCCGAATCACCGACATGACGAAGAACACGAGCAAGTCACCGACGACAAGAGAAAGAAGATCTGTGAGAGCCACAGATTTCAATCCTTTGCACCCGAACGGCCCGGAAATAATATCAAGTGGTATGTCGATGGTCGGGATTACTACTGGGTATGTACAGCTGTATCTACTCCCAAAATGGCGCACAGCTGACCCTCCTCAGGCTGTCTCGATTGCTCTCGAGCGCGCCAAAGAGACCATATATATTGCGGATTGGTGGCTATCTCCCGAACTGTTTATGCGGAGGCCCCCATACTTCAACCAGGAATGGCGGCTGGATCAGATATTGAAGCGCAGAGCGGAAGCGGGTGTAAAAATATACGTGATTGTCTATCGTGAAGTCGAGGTGAGCATATGGATCGGGATCTAGCAGCGACTTGATTACTGATGCTTTTCAAGGCCGCAATTACATGCAACTCCGAACACACAAAACATGCCCTTCAAGGCCTCTGTCCCAAAGGAACCAAAGGACACGGGAACATCGTGGTCATGCGCCACCCTGACCACAACGTCTTAGAGAACGCCGCAGACATGACCTTCTACTGGGCCCATCACGAAAAGTTCATCGTTATCGACTATAATCTAGCGTTCATTGGAGGGCTCGACCTCTGCTTTGGAAGGTGGGATACTCACCAACATCCTCTCTCTGATGTACACCCAGCGGGTGTTTCGAACGAGATCTGGCCTGGTCAGGACTTCAACAACAACCGGGTTATGGATTTTCAAAGTGTTGAAGACTGGAAATCGAACGAACTGTCTAAAGCCGAATATGGACGGATGCCATGGCATGATGTTGCTATGGGTGTGGTGGGGGACTGCGTGCTCGATATTGCAGAACATTTTGTTCTACGATGGAATTTCATCAAGCGTGACAAGTACAAGAGAGATGGTAGATACAATTGGTTGACAATGGAAGGCCGAGAGGGTCCCGATGAGGACTTGGTTGGAGTTCAACGACCCCGATTCCCTGTGGGCGATTACATTCATCACCCGCTGTCACCTCTGAGTAGCAAGGCTCTAGGGAAGCAAGGCACAGTTCACGCACAAGTCGTTCGAAGCAGTGATGACTGGTCGAGCGGTATTCTCAACGAGCACAGCATCCAGAACGCATACACTGAATTGATTCGCAACGCACAACACTACGTCTACATCGAAAACCAGTTCTTCATCACCGCAACCGGGGACCAACAGCCGCCTATCAAAAACACAATCGGGAGAGCCATCGTCGATGCCGTCGTGCGAGCCGGAAAAGAAGGACGGAAATTCCGTATTATTATACTCATCCCAGCCGTCCCCGGATTTGCAGGCGATCTCCGATACGACGCTGCTATGGGAACCAGAGCGATCATGCATTATCAATATATGTCCATCTGTCGGGGTGAGCATTCCATTTTTGAGCAAGTCCGAGCCCAGGGCGTGGATCCTACTCAACACATCTTCTTCTTTAACCTCCGCTCCTATGATCGTCTAAACATCACTCCCGGTCTCAAAAAGCAAGAGGAGGAGGCTGGCGTTAAGTACCAGGATGTTCAGAGGGCTGAAGCCAGGGAGATTATGGACTCGGGAATCCAGGGTTCACGAGATCAAGATGAAGGCGCGGATAAGCACATGGGCAAGAGAAAAGCTCTCGATCCACGCAGTGACTCTGGGGATGAGGAAGAAGAGAAGAAGACAGACGCCAAGCGCAAATTCGAAGCAGCAGCCAAATCAAATGAGCTTGAGCCACAGAGCGCAGACAGTGTGGGCAAGAACTCGATGTACAACACTCCAAAACTTGAAGACGAGCCTTGGGAAGGCGATCCGAAAGCTGAGGTTGATAACTGGATTCAGGAGGAATTGTATATTCACGGCAAAGTAATGATCGTAGATGACAGGACGGTCGTTTGTGGGAGTGCGAATCTCAATGATAGGTCCCAACTCGGCTCTCATGACAGCGAGTTGGCTATTGTCATGACGGATACCAAACCCCTGGCGTCGAAAATGGATGGGAAAGAATACGAAGCAGGATACCACGCAGCTACTCTCCGACGGTACTTGTGGAGAGAGCACCTTGGTCTTTTGCCTCCACAGGAGTTAGACGCCAGCAAGGACCCGAATGCGCAGCCGCCGGATGTGCCGAATGATCCCCACGAGGGCGAGACATATGAATACGTAGCCGATCCTCTCGGTGATGAGCTCTGGAAGATGTGGACCTCGCGGGCTACCAAAAATACCGAAATCTTCCGCCATCTCTTCCATGCTGATCCTGACGATTATGGTTTGTTCCCCCCGCATTCCCCTTTAAACTTCCCTTATACTAACAACTCTACTCTGAAGTCAAAAACTTTGACGATTACGATAAATACCTCCCATCTAAGGGCATCAAAGCCGGCCATATCTACGACAGGATGATACCACCGGACGAAATCCGGAAGAAACTGGATATGATCAAGGGTCATCTTGTGTGGATGCCGATGGACTTCCTGAAGGATGCAGAGATGGCAGAGACGGGATTACAGATTAATGCATGGACAGAGAGTATCTATACTTGAACGCAGATTGGGTTTCTGGGTTTCTGGGTTTGCGGGTCTAAGGTCTGGGATCTTGACGGAGGCGGGCTGAGAGGTTCAAATCCTTTTTCGTCGAACCCTCTTTCGGGTTGCCTGGTCGACGACACGTGAAAAAGGGGGGTCAGGTGACCTTAGGTAAAGAACAATTGGAATCGGTACCTTCAATAACCATCCAAACTCAATGCAATTATTATGATCAGACGCCACCGACTAAGATGCTTGTTATTACCAGGCCACAACATCATGGTTATAACAACGCGCAGTGTATATCACAATCAGAGATATCACGCACGGTTAGGTAAGGTAACTCTCGATCTCGTGCAGCAGTCTCCACCGCTCATCATCCATTCATCCTTCAACCATTTTCCAGAAGGTAAAGATAAAATTTAGAAATCAAGGTATTCTTCTTCCTTTCTCAAAACAAACAACACCGCACCCCAAATCAATCATGTTTAACATTATTACTAGACTTCTCGCCCGCCACCGGCGCCTGGGGATCGTGGCCCATCGTCACGCCGCCCATGCCCAACTCCTGAGGGCCAGTTTCTGAGCGCTTGATGTAGTGGCCAGAGAGGAGGTTGTCGTGTGCCTCGCAAGGCCCCAGAACATAGGCGGCTTCACCGTGGATGGCGTCGTCGCCGGCGAGGAGCTGTTCTTCGGTCATGCGTAGCGGCACGCGCAACACGTACTTGATGAACATCATGATGAGGGATGTCCAAACAATGTTCCAGCCGATGATGAAGAGGGCGCCGACGATCCTGTTGGTGACGCGTTAGAGCTGGGACTGAGAGGGGGAAGAGGGAAGGGGAACGTACTGCAGCCAGACCTGCTTCCCATTACCGTCGATGGCGCCTCCGGGGTTGGAGATCCCAAAGGCGGCACAGCCCTCGATGGTAGCAAACAGACCGGCGCAGAAACCGCCAACAAAGCCAGCGATGCAGTGCGTGTGGAAGATGCCCAGCGTGTCGTCGATCTTGCGGAAGTACGCGACCCTCCTGCCCATGTCATTCATGCTGAGCCATGGGATGGTGCCACTCGCAAACCCAACGGCGATGGCGCCCCAGCCAGCGACAACTCCCGCGCAGGGAGTGATGGCTACCAGCCCGGTGATCATGCCCTGCACGGCGCCAATTACAGACGGCTTCTTAAAGTAGATCATGTCGCAGGCGGTCCAGCACAGCAGCGACATGGCCGTGCAGACGTTGGTGTTGAGCACGGCGACGCCGGCATCTGCGGACGCAGAGTAGGGGTCCCCGCCGTTGAAGCCGTTCCAGCCTAGCCAGAGCATGCCGGCGCCGACGAGGACGCCGAGGATGTTATTCGGACGAGAATCCTCACGGTCTGCGGCCAGGCGGGGGCCGATCCAGTGCGCGCCTATGAACCCCGCGGTGCCGGACGAGAGATGGATGACATAGCCGCCGGAGTAGTCAATGACGCCCATCTGGTAGAGAAAACCGCCGCCCCAGATGGAATAGGCGCCGATGCAGTAGGAGAAGGTGATCCAGAGCGGGACGAAGATGATCCAGGCGGTGAAATTCATGCGGCCCAGGAAGGCGCCGGCCATGATGACGATGGTGATGGCGGCGAAGACGAACTGGAAGTAGACCATGGTCGACAGGGGGAAGTTCTGGAACAGGACGGGCGACACCGACGGCAGCTGGGACTGGCCAAGCTCCTGCTGCATCGTCATGATGGGACCAGGCCGTCCTGCGAACGGCAGCATGTATATCCCGAAGGCGACCTTGTAGGCCCAGAGGACCCAGACGATGAGCGTTGCGGCAAACCCGTAGAAGGCCATGAAGGCACTGTTGATGGCCCATTTGCTGCGCATGATCCCCGCGTACCTATGCAGAGAGGCATGTTAGCACCCTGAGTATGGGTTCCTTCACTGGAATCAGGGGACTTGACGCACATCACGACAAGGCCAGGCACGCTCTGGAGCCCGACCAAGGTGCCCGCGGTGAGCTGCCAGGCATTGTCACCGGTGTCCAACCAGTCAGTGGTTGTGTAGTTGTACTGCGAGCCGACATTGCCAGCGACGTGCCCCAGTCCTGACATCTCGAATCACGCCCTGGGGTGCTGGCCAGAGGTGGAAGCCGGCCCAATTGCTCTCTGCAAGCAAGTGCTCGAAATATCTAACTATACAGATAGACCTGGTGGCTCGTCAGCGCTTGATCCCTTCCCCAGAAGGTGGCTTTGTGCTCAATTACACCGTCGAGGGTGTCTGCTGGCCAGCCGGTCGAGGTAGGATTCGGAGAGGGAGCAACAGCAGGCTAGAAACAGAAACGAAGAGCAGAAGCTCGGAGCTTATATGAAGACATGGCGGGCCATGCGTATCCCGGTCCCTTATCTGGGCCTATGAAAAGTGGTGCACGCTGGGAGCTGAGAGTTGGGATGGAGGCATCCATGTTCTGGGGCAGGGGGTATAGAACAGTACCAATACCCCGGACTGGAGGATGCTAGTCTCTCACAGCTGGCAAATGGCAGGAAAGAAGCAGAAATGTGTATCATGAACCAACAGCCCGTCAGTCTGTTCATGGCTATTGATATTTGACGGCGGCGGCATTGGCCTTTTTTGACAACCATTTATGGAAAGGCATGGAAGGCAAGGCAAAGCCATTTTATTTTATTCTTGAGGGTTGGTATTGTGAAGCCAGAAAACACCATCAGAGCATGTCTACCTAGGGCGGGTTATTGGCCGCTGCCCACGTTTCCGCGTGGGCAGATACCACGGTGGTGGGACTAATAAATTATATATATGACATGGATTTTTGTATTACTTCATGCTGTGACATGTTATTTACCCGGCTTTTGTTTTCTCCAGGTCTCTTTATTACTTATGATTTCTCCAATTCTCTTAGGAGTCCTTCCGAATGCCCTCCTTTCCTGCCGTCTGAAGCATCTCTCTTCTTCTACGCCACGATGGAAAAAGAGGAAGAACTTAGCAACCAGTCCAGTCAGACCAGAATGCAAAATGCAAACTACAGAGTAAACATAAACTCGAAAACAGAACCACCACGGTAAATGAGAAAACACAAAGCCACCCTCCCCGAGTTGAGCGAAGACGGCTTCGTCGTCTGGATCATCCAATAGCATGCCCGAGCCTTATCAGTGGCGGCTTGAGCCAAGAAAAACAAGCAATGTGGGGTCGGGCCAGGCCGTCTGCGATGCTTTATTGGTGCGTGGCCGTTTTTTTGTTCATTTATTCCGACTTGTTGTCTACCTCGACAACTCGAATATGCGAGTGCACTTTACTCAATGCAAAATGGGAGTTGTCCGCGTTATATGTTATATGGTTTGTGGAGAGGACACACCTTTAGGAATGCCGATGACTTTCTTGTGGTCCCTTTTCAAATATCACTCACTCGCGGCCAAGTAAGTTGAGTGTCGGCGTGTCGCCGTCTTCAATCCTACGGCTATAGCAGTAATCGAGTCGTTCATACTATATCTTCCACGAATAACCACGTTTCGTTCCAGATACACCAGAGTCATACCTAAGGTACCAAGTATCGTCCTTTCAACTCTGACTCTCACGTCTCATTGAGTGTTCCCTTCTTCAACGAGAGCCACTCAAACGCGAAACCAAAGGACACCTTGAGCGAGGAGTACGAAGTCTCCTAGCCTCATGCCAAAGCCGGCATGAAGACCGTCGAGCAGATGATAGCGAGCCAGTTCGACGATAGGAGAGCTTCAAAGAAGAGACTCCGGGAGTTGGCAGACACGAAGGGTTTAAGATAATCAATTATCTAGATGTTTCGTACCTTGCAATATATATGGATAGCTTACGTGGGGTTGGGGTAGAAATTAACTATTTTCCCACGAAAGATCCTGCCAAGACATAAGGTACATCCCCACAAGATCCACTTTGTAGATCTTCTTGGCGTCTGCCAAGGTATGTATGTAGTATATATAGCTCTCCACAAAACAAATCACGGCCCGCTACTGGACGTAGGGCTGGGAAGATAGAGATAGTGAGGCTGAACTACTGTAGCAAGATGGGAGATTCAACCCCTGAAAACGTGGTTGGCTAATTGTTAAGACCACGGCTCACATTATGTAAACCGGTATATCGAACTCCTTTTTGGAGAGGCCAAGAACAGGCATACCTAGCATCTGAGTTGATTGTCACGTGCATAGGTTTTGACTGGAGCAGCTTCTGCACATCCGTCGCCGAAACATTGACCTGTAAACTTGCAAACGATGTATCGTTCTCATTACACAGTCGTCAAACAAATGAACTCTGTACCACGATAGCCTATCCCAACGCCACGCTGTCTCCTGCCATTCAAGAAAATGCGTATCCGTCAGGTGTTCGACTTAAGAAAAGAGACACTCGAATGCGCCTATCCCGTTCATGCTTTCTAGGGAAAGGAAGCTGAGCAGTGGGATTATGGGTATCATAAAAACACCCCCTCCTTACTCGTCTTCTTTGACCATTCGCTCTCAATCTTTAGGCGTTTTGCACCCTGGATCCGCTGCTTCTCTGTTATCTGCTTTCTTTGCACCGGTGGTTGCTCCGTTCCCATCCACAACTGCAGTGACCGTGAAACCCACCGCATGTTCACTACCCACATTATATATGAGCTTCTGGTCTTCCGGTACTATATCTGTTTCCATAGTCTTCCTCTCCATTTGCCGAAGCCGGCTCTTCGTCCTTATGCGGTTGACCTGAACCCTGCCATACACTAGGACTTGTAGCACAACCATGAAGACTGCGTAGCGCCAACACAAGTGATCATCGGCATGCATATCCAGATATGGTTTCGATCCCGGAACTGGGCCCATGGATTCCATGATCGGGTGTGGAGAGACGGATGTGATGGGTGGCTGGTGTACGAGGCGCGATATAAAAGTGTTGATTAGATGGAGGAGGAAAGGCGGGTTGAGGAGGATGGCGGGGAACAGGTAGGTCGTTGAGAGGGAAGGGAAGTGTGTGCGGCGCATCTTGTGGTGGGGTATGATCCGGTGGATACTTATCAGTGGGCGAGGCATTCTGTATGTGTTTGGGGGGCAGAACATACGGTGAGTTAAGAGTTAGCGGAGGGTATGTTTTCACTGCTCTGTGGGATTTTGGCAGAGTCATAAAGACCGCAGTGCTATTGTGGTGAAAGAGAGATGTCTGTGGGACAGTCATGGATGCTTGCTTGACCGTCATATCTGTGTGATCTCCTGGTTGGAGGGGCCACTGCATTGAAAGCAAGAAGTAATTGTGCGATCACTCGACATGCACATTGTTTAGCACAGGGAAATGCGAGACAGATAAGTTAGTAAATGGAGTGCGGCGAGTTGAGTCGGTAAAGGGCAGTGCAGTAGTCAAGGCTACTCGTCGATCAAAGGACTCATGATGGCATGTATGTCCCGTACAGTTGTATTGCTAGACACACCGCCAGGATACTCTCTCGAGGGTTGTTTTCTTCGCAGCACAGTAGAGAAAGATTGGAATGGCCTACTTACCTTTGAGCAGACGGACGATAACAAAGGAGAAGAGGGGGGACTTCCATTGCCTGTGAGGTCTCTGCACTTCCTGCACGTCCTATACGCCAGAGCCTCCGCTTGCCCAGTAAGAAGGCAGGGTTTTCTCTGGAAGCATACTGTCGAATGCTGTATAGAAGAACTGAGTTATTTGGATGCGGTGAGGAGGGAGAAAGGGAGGTTGACTGGTTGACTGGTTGATTGTCTAGAAGGGCGGTCAATCGATCCGCCGGATGTGGGTGTCACGGGACGGCAGAATTTGATCTGGGGTACTAGACCCAGATAGGCAATCATATGGATCAGGCCTTACACAGAAATACACCAAACACCTTATCAAAATCCAGAACTTGAATCACAATGCAGAACCAGAGTCAAAATCCATTCTGAATAAATCTCCCCTCTGAAGTGCGCTCGACGATACTTATGCGCCCGTTATCTGCTCTGTCTCAAGGTCGCGCAACCCCCCGGATCTCGCCACGTTTTGCTTTACTATTTACACGAGGCTCTGGTCGTCAACCTTCAAACATCAACACCACAACCCCATTGTCACCACTCTCCCAGAGCTCTACTTGACCTCACTCTCTCTCGATCTCAGAATGGTGCCGATTTCCCTTCCCTTGTTTTAGACACAACTAACCATCAGCCCCCCGAAACCAGAATACCCTCTTCAATACTGCTCTCAAACAATCCACCTCCCTGAAGCGCGACCTCTCCTCCCCACCCACCGCCCTCACGCCCTCGCTGCTCGGCCAGATCTCCGCATCTTTAACCTCCTTCTCGCGCACCATAGACCAGTATGCCGACCTCGTAAAAAACGAGCTCAATCCGTCAAAGAAAGAGAAAGCTCTAGAGCGCATTGCGTCGTTCCGCTCCGAGCTCCAATCCTTCCGAGAGCAATTCAAAGAATTAAAGCTGCAGAGCGAAGATGCCAGTGCGGCAGTTGACAGGCGCGAGCTGCTTGGTCGAAGGCCCCATAACACCGCGACGCCTGACAATCCATATGCGAATGCGACGAATCTGGGCGCGGCAACTAGTCCATGGGCGCCGAAGGATGGAAGCTTGAGTATGGGGAGTAACGACTACACGCGAGAGACGCATGCACTGCGTGAGCAGGCCTTCTTTGCAAATACGCACTCGGCGCTGGATGAGTACTTGGCCAGGGGGCAGGCGGTCCTGGGGGATCTGGGACAGCAGAGGGAGATTCTGAAGGGGACGCAGAAGAGGCTGTATAGTGTTGCGAACACGTTGGGGATCAGTGGAGATACGATTCGTATGATTGAGCGGAGGGCGAAACAGGACAAGTGGATTTTTTGGGCGGGAGTGGTTATCTTCTTTGGATTCTGCTGGTTGGTGCTGCATTACCTGGGGTAGTAAGAGGAAGATAGTAGGATATGCGGTCTACGAGTCAAGACTGACGAAACGGTCTGCCAAAAATCAAGCCGGGAGGAAGATTGACGGGTTTGGTATAGCGCGGAGTCCGGCGTTCAGGAGAACTACCATGGGTATCAACAGAAAAGATGGGAATATCAGCATTTAGCCTCTTCGCGGCTCTACGAGTTTACATACCCTCTTCTTTCCGCTAGGAAGAATGCCCAGTACGCAACCGCAACTCTCTTCCGTCTACCCCTGCTTTCTCTGTTTCTGTTCTTGCCTTTATCACTTTGTACCCTCTATTCACCCGTCCCTCTGCCGCAAGTGTGGGTAGATCTGGTTCGATCGCTATACATACAGCGAGGGCGATACTTAAGTGTTCAAGTCGCTCTAGCCCATCAGTACCATGATTCTTGCATGTAGAATTCCCTTGCCCAATGAGAGAGCTGAGACGATCAGCCCTAAGCATGTCTTTCTAGCCATCACAGCTTCCAATTCTCTTGCTATTCTCATACCAACAAGATAACCCTTCAGATCATGTAACTGCTTTATGTTTGTCCGTCAGCTTTCTAAACCTCCGCGTCCTTCATGACAACGGATATTTATGTCTACTCGCCCAAGTCTCCACGTTCATCAATACCTCTCTGGTCACGCTTCCTGGGTCAAGCGAGCACGACCAAATCAAGTTTCCTCCCACGCCTTCCCTTGACGTCACGATGCTGCCCCTCGTAAATCTGGGAATTCTGGGAATTCGAACTCGCCCATATATGACCCATACGGTTGTCTCTTTTTGCTTATTTTTTCTTCTCAACTATTCTCCATTTTATATATCATAACATCCCCATCTTACAACATGCCGCTCTTCAGCCGCAACCGCCCCTCCCCCTCCAACCAACCAGCCAACACCTCCGCCTCCGCCCCCGCCCCCGCCCCCGCTACAGACCCATCCCACTGCCGCAGTCTCTTCCGCTCAAGTCCCAACTCCACCGCGCCCTCCCCTAACCCCAACGGCGGCCTCACAAACGGCGCGCCCACGAACACCAGTCCCCAGCGCAGCAGCATCCTGCGCCACGACGCCGAAGACGCCAGCATCACCGCGGCGCGCGAGCGCGTCATGAGCGCCGAGGCGGCGGAGAAGGACGCGGACAAGGCGTTGTTGAATGCGAGGGCGGCGGTGAGGGAGGCGAGGGAGCAGGTTAAGATTTTGGAGAGGGAGGCTGGTGAACAGTGAGTCTTTCAAATCTTTCGCCTGTTCTGACGGATGGGGACAAGTGAAGGAGGGGTCAAGATGAGTTACTGATGTGTGTATTAGAGCGCGGCTGGCGAAAATTAAACAGAAGCAAGCGGCTAATATCTCGGCGAGAGCAAAACCACTTGGTCGTAAGTATCCCTTTCCTTTGCCTTGGTTTATATGCCAGTTTCTGAGATCCGGCGTTATAGGTCATGATGTGAATACTTGAGAGAGGGTTCTATTTGTGTATTTCTATATGCTGAGGTCGTGATGATGTGATATACCTGAGTCTGTCTGCCTGTTTCTGTTTTGACGTTTGCGTAGTTGGGTGGTCGGTTTTGGATTTTGGGATATGCTGTTCCTATCTCTGTGCTCTGTGCTTTGTGCTTTAGGGTTGCACCTCTAGCCTGTTCCTTTAGCTCTTCGAGTTTTGTTCAAGAAAAGGGATTGCGACATGATGGATGGGTTTTGTGGAGGGTTTTCAGAGAAGTTGGATATGTTTATTATCTATCGGATAATTTGAATTGTATTCTCTTATTGAAAATGGTTTAAGAAGTGGGTAGGTTATTGCCGAAACTTGTGTGTAGGATATGCTCAGATGCCCTGTGCCCCTTTTGTTGAGGAACTTGAGGTGAAGCTTGAGGTTCCTTGTTGCAGTTGCAGTGTCCCTGTTACTTCACTGCCCCCTCCGACATTATTAGCAGATCGGCTTTTGTTAATCTTAGAATTAGGGGATGTTGGATGCGTAGACCTTGGACGCAGGTTTTGTCGTTGGAAATCCCCATTTTGCATGTCCAGCTTTGGATGGTAACCTGGGAGGGGAATAATGGAGGTTGGCGATTTCGAAAAGAAGGGGAGGTCCAATTACAAATAGTAGCATACTAGCCATTATCCTTCACAAAACTTGACCCATTCCTCCCTGGTTATATACGTATGTATGATGCTTCAAATCCATGGGCCAGGTCCCCCCCATTCACAAACCTCTGAGTTCCCTTACCTTGCATAAGAATCCCATTAGCAAAAGATTACACGCCTGGCTCAAGACCAGAGCATCCAGCCCCTCAGATAATGAATTATGACCCATAACCGGACTAGCAGAGCTCAAAGTTGGGGCTCTTCTGGATTTAATAGAATAGCTCGGCGATGAGAGAGAATGCGCGGGTCGTTTCAACGTCCGGAAAAGAGTATCGCTTCGGGCCACTATAGAATTTCGTGCTAGAAGGGACTCAGGAGAGATTCATTTTGGGGCAGACGATATAGTCATACTGAGCATCATCAAGCTCTAGCCCGATAGTTGTTTGTCTCCGCCCCCCCTTTTAGCCCGGGGTATTCTCTTGTCGACCTCCTGTATATCAAAATTACAAGGGAACGTCGTCGTCTCTAGAAGAGAGTAGACCTCAAAGAACAAGAGAGAACAAAGAAAAAGAATATAAATTCTGGGATCATGCTCTTTGAAGTAGAGGCTCGGGAAGCTACCCCGCGTCCCCGCGAGATGGATGTGGGGTAACGTATTGGAGTATAGAATGATCAACTAAGGTATCTACTCACTTCTTGTATCAAAAGCAGTTGTTGTATAATCACATGACTTAACCACACCGCACCTCCCGTCATGATTCGACTTTGATCACTATCACGTGTCTCATCCCACTCTCCTTTATCTGCAAATTCTCACCGCGACATCCATCCCACTCTTTTTATCTTGCAAAATTTGCATATCTAAAAGCCACGGCCGCGTGTTCATCCGGTGCTACACGATGCTAGCCGGACCCGCCTCCGGAGATTCCGGACAATTCCCATGTCTTACCGCCGCTTTATTTCCGCTATCTGTTGCCTCTTCTGGATAGCGCGGGGGCGCGGGTATGGCGCTTGGCGCGTGTAGCGCGCGTAAGAGATATCGGGGCTGGAAAGCTCCCCCAACAATGATAAAAGGGGGGAAAGTCAGGATAGGGTAAAGCGCCTGGCGAGGGAGCCTTGTGAAATAAGGCTATGGGCGAGGCTGGAATTTTTGCCTAGCCTTCCAAGAGCATCCCATGTCTCAGATCCTACAGTCCGATAAGGTGAACTTTGAGCAGGCATAGGCATGGAGAACAGGAATAAGACACTCGATTTTCTCGGAATTGTCTCTAATAGTGGGTATATCATTGATCTGGAGCCATTAGAGAGGGTCATTAAAAGTTACATAAAGTATCATTGACAACAAAACCCATCACTGATCAAATCCTATCTCAAATCCCCCTCTCCTTTTTGCTCTTGATCAACCTCTCAATCTCCCCACAGACCTTATCAGTAACCTCCTTCGTCGTATTCTTGCCGCCCAAGTCCAATGTCTTGACACCTCCCTCCAACACATTCTCCACGCTCTCCATCAACAAGTCCGCTGCCTCCCCCTGCCCGAGCCACCTCAACATCTCTGCACTGGACCAGAAAGTGCCTACCGGATTCGCGACTCCCTTCCCCGTGATGTCAAACGCCGACCCATGGATAGGCTCAAACATACTCGGGTTCGCCCTCGTCGGATCCAGGTTACTCGTCGGCGCAATGCCAATACTCCCCGCCAGCGCCGCCGCCAAATCACTCAGGATATCCGCATGCAAGTTCGTCGCGACCACCGTGTCGATGGTCTCGGGATGCAGAACCATGCGCGTCGTCATCGCATCCACGAGCATCTTATCCCATTCCACGTCCGGGAACTCGGCGGCGATTTTCGACGCGCAGAGATCCCAGAACACCATGCCGTTGCGCTGAGCATTGCTCTTGGTAACGACCGTGAGCCTCTTGCGCGGCCGCGACCGCGCCGTCTCAAACGCAAACCGCATGATGCGTTCGACGCCGTGCCGCGTGAAGATCGAGACCTCTGTCGCGACGGACCAGGCTTCGTTCAGGTGCGAGGTGCCGCCGTGCCCGGCGTATTCACCTTCGGAATTCTCGCGGACTATCACCCAATCGAGGTCTCTGCGGGAGCAGGATCTGAGAGGGGAGGAAGTGCCACGGAGGATCCGGGTCGGGCGAACATTGGCGTATTGCTGGAGGGGTTGGCAGATGGCGAGACGGAGGCCCCAGAGTGAGATGTGATCGGGTATTTCTATTCACATGCGTACGTCAGCTCAAATACCTCTCATATTGCAAATCTTCCGTCGTGTTAATACAACTTGCAAGTTGCAAATATAACTCTACCCCAGATCTAGTCAGGGGAGGGACAAAGGGAAGACAAACCAGGATCACCGACAGCCCCAAATAAGATCGCATTGTATCCTTTCAAAATATCCAGCGCATTGTCGGGGAGATACTGTCCATTCTTCCTATAGTACGCACTGCCCCAATCAAGATGTCCAAATTCCAGACCAAATGTATCTAGTTCTTTTGTTAATGTTTCGAGGACCTGGATTCCGGCGGAGATGACTTCGGGCCCGATGCCATCGGCCGGGATGGAGGCGATTTTGTAAGTTGGGCGTCCAGGAGGCGCTATACCTTCTGTGCCATTCTGTTCTGTAACCGTGGCTGGCGACATGGGAGCTTGTGAGCGGCTGGAGAAATATCATGCATCGACTGTCGACGATGCTGATGCGGCTGCGAAGAAAGAGTGGGATATGTCGTCTTCCTTGAGCCTCGGGGTCAATTAGCCCGAGCCTCATATAGCGAGACTGACAAGGCTGGAGAGGTTGGAGACAAATGGAGTGTCAAGCAAAAGAAGTTCTATAAAGGAAGAAGATCCATGTCCAATTCTACAAAAAAGTACTTCGGTATATAATACAAGCCCTTACTTCCATCGTTTGGATAGCCTGATGAACTCCCCACACATCAGCCAATCAACACTTTCCCTAGATTCTACGCTCAAATACCAATCATCGGAATGGAAAAATACAATACTCGTCAACTATCATTTCATTCCCTCCTGCTCGATCTCCGACTCCCGAACGGATTGGTAGATCTCTCGCTCGCTGGGCTCGTCGGTGTCTCTGTTCGGGGAGTCGGCGGCAACCCTAACTTTACTTCGCCCACCTTTCTCAGGAGGTTTTGCAGTGAGATTCGAACCTCGACTCCGAGTTCTCTATTTAGGAGGTCTATGCTCAAGGGGTAGAACGTCTCGAGGTGTTTCGCAAACCCTTCGGCTGGGAAATTTGTGTACCCTTCCAGAACATCTACGACGACTGGTCGCCAGGCTATGATATTCCTTTGTTGGCTTTCTTCCTCTAGTTGGATGAACCCACGGATAATATCTACGCACAGAGGCACAAGCGCAGCCTCGGTGTCAGCGCGGTTCCGCTTCCGCTCTTCGTCCTCGTCGTGGTACATTCGGAGGAGGATGCTGACGTATGTTGCTGCGGATCCGGATTCTTGTTTCAAAAGGTTAGGCGGTTGCTTCATGAACCCTTCACGCCATAACCGCATACGAAGCTCTTTGTTCTGGTTGAATTTCTTGGCGAAGAGGAATGACTTTTTGAGAAGGCCCATGAGACGGAGGAGTTCGGGCGAGGGAATCTTGACATAGACTGCATCGTTGGAGAAGAGTTCATTGACCGTCTCGATCATGAGGAGTTGTAAAACGCAACGTGTGATGATCTGGTTGAAGAAGCGACGTCGTGCCGCTGTGACGACGACTGGCTGTTGCTGAAGTCCGGACTGAGGCTTGTAGTCCTCTAGCTCGGTTGCAGGTGCTTTTGATGCTTGAGCTTCATCATCATTAATGGACTCGCTATCCGAGGTTATGCTGCCGTTTGCACCCTTGTTGATCTTGAGACTCTTCTCGTCTCCAAAGGGGTCTTCCACTTCATTATCATGCCCACTTGACGCTGTTGAAGAGGTGGCTGCGCGAAAGAGGTCGTATGCCGTTGTTCTTTCAAACAGTTCCACAAATGCGCCAACAATCTTGGACCAATGTGTAGCCTTGAACTTAGTCACGTTTTGCAAAATGAGCTGCTGGAGGCAGTTGCTGCCGATTCTGGCAATGGTGTCGTTCTCCTGGCATATGCATAAGGCTAAAAGATCCAGGAATCGATCTAGCATGTACTCTAGTGACTCGAAGTAATGAGTAAATAGAGTGATCATGTTTCGAAGAGCTTGGATCATTGTAGTTGATAGCCAGACAGAAAGCTCCTCGTGACTAAGAACGTTCGACATCTCGGATTTCGATTTCAGTACCATGAAAATAGGGTAGAGAAGCTGTCGCCAGAGAATATCCCAGAAATCGGTTGGGAAATCGCCTCCATATTTGATAAGGGATTCAAAAAGATAGTTTAGCGCGTTGGACCTAACTTCGAGATCTTCACCAGTCATCAAGACATCATGGAAAGCGAAGAGGACAGGAAACCAGAACGCTTCCTCCTGAGAGGTCCGACTTGGCTGTTTTGATAATGGCTCCGATGACTTGACGGAGCCGTCTGAGTTGACATTCGAGCGGTTGGAGAGCGGGCATTCTGGTGTTTTGAGCATCTTCGGTATGACCGATTTCAGTGTTTCCATCGCCTGGAGGCCCTTTTTCTGGAACTTCATATTCTTGGAAAATTCCGTCAAACAGACGATTAGATCGGCAAATGCACCTTGAGAGATGACCATGCCAAAGCGAGTCTTGTATACTTGGCAAACATTCTCAAACGAGAGGTTAACAATACTCTCATATGGTTCGCGAGCGGCGACGGTGAAAACACCGAACATTGTCCGCCAGCCCGACCGGATGTTGTCACCACGTGCTTGAATCATCTGAATGAGGCAGCGGAGCGTCATGTCTTTCACAGAAACGACGCTGCTATTTGATATGATATGCTCGAATGGCTTGAGGAAATCCTTCTGGAATTTGAAACCAGGCAGTTCTTCGATCTCCATGAAACGCATCGATAGTTGACGCAAGGAGTCTAAGGCAAAGAACACCACCGCGGTATTGTTGTGGCATCCGACACGATTGAAATGCTCACCTAGAACAACCCAGATGGCTGCCCACTCGTATCTCACACGGGTCATGTTATAGTAACTGATCTCGACTAATTTCTGAAGGCTGTAGGTTCGAGGCGACTCATTTGATCCCGAGATCTTGATTTCTTCCCAACTGACCTCGGTTAATGCTCGAGCGAAATGTACTATAGCGTCTCCCGAAAGATTTGCTGTATTGGTAAAGATGCGATCAACTCCTTTGATGACCTCATCCGAACGACTCTCCATCGCGATCTCCACCGAATAGCTGGTGCCATTGGTTGTAGAGCGAGGTCGAGGTCGTGTCCTTGGTGCTTGGCTCTGAATGGACTTCCTCGATGAATTCGTATCTTGGCGCGACGGCGCTACTATGCGAGCTTTTGACACGTCCGGAATAGAACCCTCATCCACACCGTCGGATATTAGTTGAAGTCTATCGAGCTGGCTGACACACATCAGAATATCTCGCCATGACTCCTTTAGCAGATTTCCCTCTGTCTGTGCGACTTCAAGCAAAACTTTGAGCGCTTCGACATTCTTCGACATCATCTCAGTTGGATTGTTGAGGTTGGTTGCATTCTTCAGCGCAGAAACAAAAGCCTCCCTTGGGGTTGCCAAATCAAAGAGACACGAAATGCGGATGGCAAGTTTCATGCCCTCCATGCACAGCTTGATAATCTCAATGTTGTGGGCGTTTTGCATTTGGCCTGATAGTCCAGAGAAGAAGGACATCCAAGTTACGTCGAACATTGGACCCACATGCTTGAAAGAAGTCGCTGGGATAAATTTGATTCCACCGGCTTTGGAAGGACTCTTACGTTGATTTCGGAAGAGGTTCTTGAACAGCTGTTCAGACCTGTGTGAGATCTCCTCGGATTGCTGCAGATAGGCTTCACGCTGCAAATCCCTACCAACCGTAGCAAGAGCTTGTCCAAGACCAGCAGCAATCCCGCCGCTAGTTGTAGGTGTCATTCCCATCGCTGCCGCTGCCTCGCGTTCGCTCTTCAGGACAATCTCATCACGGGCAATCTCATCATATATCCCTATGAGATACTCGTCCGGAAGATTGTTGTTATCGTTGATTCCTCGGTTATTCTTGATGAAGTCCTCTTTGGTCATACGCTTAGCGACTTTGCCGCTATGTAAATCGGTATTCAGCATGATGACTGAGTACGCAAGAACATAGGCTGTGTCAGCATTTGCAAAGGCATTCGGATTTCCCGTGACATATCGGTTGGCAAATTTCAACATAAAACGGTCAATCTTCTGCGCTTCACCCGGGAGGCGGAAGGATTGAAGGAATTGTCGCAGAGCGTCAACAAAACGCCGCTTGGTAAAGTCCATGGTATCAACAAAGGCGTGCATAATAGCAATGTTCTGCTCATCACCTTCTCCCAGAAATTCTCCGAGCTGTGTTTTATCAAGCCTTTCTTCTGTTGCCAGAAAGCGGCCAATATCTTCCGGCCGAGAGCTTGGGATGAATTTTTCAGATATCAGAAGCTTGATTCCTCGCTTAGGCTTGAAGTTGAATTGTTTGATCGCATTACTCAAGGCCGTTTTCCGTTGCTTCACCTTTTCTAATTGCTCAGGGTCGTCTTCCAATATCGGTGTCGATGGTACAGTCGGAGTGTCACCATTGGTAATTCTCGAGGAGCTATCGTTTCCTGACGGGTCAATAGACTCCCGATAGTCTTCAGATGCTCTGACATCCGTCTCAGTCCTACCAGTAATATCAACAATGCCTTGCTGGGACCAATTGACTAGAGATCTCAATGTCTCCACCAGACATTCCAAACCCTGTCGTTTAATGATATATTCTCTTGGTATCTCATTATCATTATTCTCATGGTAAGCTGCCATGTGAGCTGTCGACAGAGGTGGAGGAAGAGTGCCTCTGGCCTGCCAGTCAGACGCTGATCCATTGAGGGTAGATTTGGCAGCTCGCTCCTCGTATTGTTGCTGATGTAAGGGAAGTATCATAACCGCCTGGCTTGCGATTTTTGAGAGATCCTCGATAAGCTTTTGGAACATGTTATCGACATTTCGGTCGCAGTCATAGTTGAGATAGGTCTCCACTAAAGCTCGAGGATCGGCACAGAGCCGCTGAAGAATCCCCATGAAATAGAGCTTTTGTGTCACAGGCCCACTCCGTCTCTCCAAAAGCGCCAGATAGATCTCATTTAAGAAAACGTCTATCTCTTTCTATTTGGTCGTCAGCCGCGAGCTCCATCATCATCAGCACGGTACAAACCTTAAAGGGGGCCCTCATGAATTTCAGCATCAACCAGAATATCTCGCAACAAACTTCAAACACCCTATCCACCGAGCTAGCGCCATTGCGGGTGATGCTAAGACACAGATAGAATTTGATGGCTTGCAAAAATGGTGTTGGTTCATTGCTTTTGCTGTTCGTGATCGTACATAAAGGAGACGTGAAGACGAGCATATGGTTGCTCAGTAAAGTATGTATCAGGTGAAGCGAAATTAATTTTGAGCGCATTGTCTGACCCTTCAGATCGTAGAGTTGATCCGGCGGGAGGATTTTCGTGCTGAGATTGCAAAAGGATCGGAAGACCAGATATGCGTCCCGTATGTAGACTTCATCTTCGGTGTCATCGGAATCCATACCATCTTCGATGCTCGGATCAGGGGTTGTCTGCGTCGATTGTCCCGATGCAGGTCGAGGAGGACTCTGTGCGGGCTTCACTTGTGTCACCATTGTTGGTCCTTCTCCCATCTGCGAATCGTCGAAACTTTTCCGATTCTCAAGGTCTTTGAGTGTCAGCTTAGGGCCGTCTTCCGCGGATGGCCCTTCGGATGCGGCGCTTTCTGCAATAGATTCTTCTCCCTCATTGCTTCCGCGAGTATCATTCATCGAATCTGTGGCATCGACCGTAAGAGAACTATGATTGCCGGCACCCTTTCCCAGTTTTGATAAATTCAGCCTTGCCTCCTTCATGTGTATTCGTGTCTTGACCCTCTCGAAGACCGTGCCAACCATCTGCGCTAACGTCCCTTGTGCCACCTGCTGATTCGCACTGCTTTTTGACAGGAGGAAGACATTGTAGACCTGGCGGACAGCCTTGAGAAGCCCGGCTCCATGCACCACTATTTTGTCGTTCAGCACAGCAGCCAGCAATGACTTGACAATCTGCAATTGGATCTCGACCGGCGTTGTTTCGCCCTGGAAGCAGTCACATATCGTATCGATAGCCCGTTCGATCAGAGGCGCCCGGTCGGCCTCCTTGTCGGCGTTCGGAGAGGATGGCACTGAGAAGTACGAATAGCTGATGAGTTTTCCAATGCAATCCAAGGCAGCCGTGGTCAGAGGGATGCTTCCCGACTGCGTGGCGAGTTGCAACGGGGCAAATATAATCTCTGGGTCTGGCAATTGAGGCTCATGCTGTTTGATGTCCTTGAGGGCTCTTCGAACAGACTCTCCCAGCTGCGGCCGCTTCTGGGCCTCCTTGGAAGCCGCGATAGCTTCCAAAGCTGATACCACAAAGACAAGGGAGCTCATGGTGGGCTCTCAAATTCGCCGACGTCCATTCGGAGCTGCACTTCTAACAGGGTTCGTCGTGGGCGGGACGGCTGTAAAGTGATGACCCTTTGGCTGCGACACCACGTAACCCAAGGGAAATCGTATCCCTGGCGCTAGTCGCGCTTAATTTCCCTCGCGTCTAACCCGATCTTGCGCTACGCCCCTTTCGGCCATCGCCCAAAAGTTTCGCTGGGAGCTTTTCCCGGGGGCGGCGCTCAACGTTCTGCACTTAATCTACCACGTCTGCCATCTCATCCTCCTCCTCCTTCACCCACCATCGGTGTCTCTTGTCCGGGACGTCAATTGTCTGGATACAAATCTTGTCGTCTCTTTCATTCTCTTTGTTACCAGTATTTATTCCCATTCACGCCGTCGGGATGTTGACCACGGTTCTCCGAAGGCGCGCCCTTCAATCCTCCGTCTCCTCCGTATCTTCCTCCCTTTCGTTCCGGTTTGCACGATGTTATGCCTCCAAGACCTTCCCACCGCACTCGGTGGTCACCATGCCAGCTCTGTCACCAACAATGATGCAGGGAAACATCGGGGCGTGGCAGAAGAAGGTCGGAGATAAGGTCGTGCCCGGCGATGTTCTGGTGGAGATCGAGACCGACAAGGCCCAAATGGACTTCGAGTTCCAGGAAGAGGGTGTGCTGGCAAAGATCCTCCAGGAGTCTGGAGCAAAGGACGTCGCTGTTAACAATGTGCGTGTTCAATTGATCCCTGAGGTTCTAGCGACACGTTGCTAAATAGTCACAGCCCATCGCGGTCATGGTCGAGGAAGGCGAGGATATTTCGGCTTTCGAGGATTTCACAATTGAGGATGCTGGTGGACAGAAGGCAGCCCCAGCACCACCGAAGGAGGAGGCCAGCAAGCCAGAGCCATCAAAGGCACAGCCCTCCCCAGCGGCGGAACCCGCGCCAGTTCCTGAGGAGACTGGGCCAAGTGGTGGAAGGTTACAACCAGCTATTGAGAGAGTGCGCAATGCCAGTGCTGCCGCTGTGAATCTGGCCGTCGAGACCGGCGTCAAGCTTTCAGGTATCAAGGGAACTGGAACTGGCGGACAGATCACTGAGGCCGATGTCAAGAAGGCTGCCTCTGGCGGTGTATCTGCCCCAGCTGGAACTCCCGCTGCCTCATACGTGGACATACCTATCACCTCGATGCGCAAGACTATCGCCAGTCGTCTTACGGAATCCGTGACCCAAAACCCCCACTACTTTGTTTCTGCCACCGTTTCGGTCTCCAAGCTTCTGAAGCTCCGACAAGCTCTCAATGCTTCTGCGGATGGAAAATACAAGCTCTCTGTTAACGACTTCCTGATCAAGGCATGCGCTGTTGCATGCAAGAAGGTTCCCACTGTTAACTCAAGCTGGAGAGACGGGTTTATCCGCCAGTTCAACAATGTGGACATTAGCGTAAGTTTACAATCAATCCCAATCTCTCTTCAGCCTACTAATAATCTATCTACAGGTTGCCGTAGCCACTCCTGTTGGGCTCGTGACCCCAATTGTCAAGTCAGTCGAGACCCTTGGTCTCGAATCAATCTCCGCCCAAGTCAAGGACCTTGGAAAGCGTGCCCGGGATGGCAAGCTCAAGCCAGAAGAATACCAGGGTGGAACTTTCACTATTTCCAACATGGGCATGAACCCCGCCATCGACCGCTTCACTGCTGTCATCAACCCTCCTCAAGCTGGTATCCTTGCCGTAGGCACGACCAAGAAGGTCGCGACGCCAGTCGAGACCGAAGAAGGGACGCAGGTTGAGTGGGACGATCAAATTGTTGTCACCGGATCATTCGACCACAAGGTTGTTGATGGTGCTGTTGGTGGCGAGTGGATCAAGGAATTCAAGAAGGTGGTTGAGAATCCTTTGGAGCTGTTGTTGTAAGATGTTGCAAACCACATGGAGGCGGTAATGAAGGATGCGACAAAGATGAGATTCCCCATGTACCCTTGTAAAATGACCTCCTGATGCATTTTCTGCAGTTAGGGATAATCAAATTAGATGCTGAAGTGGGTTGTTAATTAATCTCCCTCTTTCCCTGGCTTAGAGGAAGACCATTACTACGACTGGCCTATTGGCCACCGGACTACGGATAATAATGAAGTCGATTTATATTATTTCCCTTCTCCTTTCATATTGTGTTGTGGTTCCTTGTCTTCACTGTTGTAGAAACAAATAATGAAGTTTTGTATGGCTGGCGTCGAGTGATGATCCGTCTCAAATGCTGAATATGATACAACCATTGCAGAGAGCGCCCTATAATGGAGAGTGCATATACATCAAAGCGATGAAGCTTATATTGTTACAAGAAAACCTTATGACTCGTATTTTGATCCCCCAGCCCCAGACGCCATACAATCTATTATATTCAAATCCTCATCCCCAACCTACAAAGAATCCAAACGACCCATCAAAGCCATCAAATTCTCCTTTCGTCGCTTTGAGGCAGTCCAATCGAGGAACCTGGTCCGAAGAATAATACGTCAACAGAGTAGCCATATCTTCCTCATCCATCTCACACAGGTCTTCCAGGCTATAGGCGTCGCTAACCCTGACCATCCTACATTCTGTCAGCACTGTGTCCTCAGCCCACAATCAAAACTCTTACCAAGACATCCTCTTGGGGCCCTCCTCGGGACCGGGTGCAACCTTCCTCAACATCTGTCTTAACTTCCCAATCTTCATGATAGCCTCTCCCGTATTCTTTGGCAATGTCTCCGCAATGGATCTCCTCACGATATTGGCAAATCTCGGGCCCTTCCCGTTCGTGCTAACCATGATTTGCAGCGGGCCATCTCGATGCACACTCCCGAAATAAAAATCGCATTCTGATGGCACATCCGCGATGTTTGCCGCAATCTTCCTCTCCTTGCACAATTTCCAAATCTGCGTCGAGGCCTCGGGATCATCCACCGCGGTTAAGACCATATCGACATCGTCGAGGTCTGAAGGTTCGAATTTCCGGTCGACGTGGTCAACCTGCCCTTTCCTAACCCTATATGCAACTTCGGGATTCAGTCCTTCACGAGGGCATACGACAGTCACTTTGGCGTCTGCATTGAGAACATTCAAGATGCGTCCTGCGGCGACCTGGTAAATTGTCAGTGGCGAACAGAAGAGGGCGATTGAGCAAGCTTGCCTCTCCGCCTCCTACAACCAATACTCTCTTGTTCCTAATCTGCCATGCCAATATCAGCGACCCGCCCCCCTGGACCTCGGGGTACTTTTCTTCGTCCATTCCGGAAATATTGAAGCTGCGAATAATTTCTCGCCGCGGAGGAGCTCGGACTTTGCGATAAGGCTTCACTATCGTCTAGTTCGCACCGCCACATCAGGCGCAGGTCTTCGCTAACGAGGCTTGAACCTCTGTCTGCAACATCCAACATCGAGGAGGGGAGCACCTCGAGCTTGTCTTGTGCGGCTCTGAGGATATATCTTCCTACCCAGCACCCAGCAACGGTACCATGTCCGGCAGAAAGCTGGGAGGCGGGAGGATTCTAGGAAGTGGGAAGTCTTTGGCGCCTCCCGCCCCTCCGGCGCATCATCGATCCTCTTCTCTGACCTCTGCCCCCGAGAGTTCGCTCTCTTTGAGCTCGAGGGACACCACCACTTCCGCATTGGCAGCAGGCCCATTGTCAGACCCGGGACAGGACCTGAGCTCGCAGGTTTCGTTGGAGAATGGAGGGGCCAGTACAGTTACCGCGGCCAGCTCGAGGCTTGTCTGCCCGATATGTAATGAGGAAATGGGAAGACTCCTTCTACTGCTTTAGTGATTCCTGCTAATATATTGCAGATGACTTTGCTGCAGTTAAATCGGTACTGAAGCTATCTGATGCGCCAGAAAACTAGGACTAACTTCTGGCAGACATCTCGACGATAACCACCAAGAGTTGCCAGCAGTCGAACAGGACGAGGTCAAAAACTGGTTCAACAAACAAGTCATCAAGGCGAAGAAGTTCCAACCTCTAGCAGTGATCAATCAGAAGCTTAAAGGACTCGACGTCTTCGAATCGAATGAAGGGCCATCTGTGTCACTCCTCCACCCAACCCCTCTGCCAGGCAACCGTGTATCGTCTCCCGAACGTAGACCAGATCCCGACGAAGTGGTTACGAGGGCACATTGGCAGAAATCCGGATACAATGATCTATGCACGGAGCCATCGTGTGGGAAGAGATTGGGTTCGGTCAATGGGAGCGTAAATTGCCGGAAATGCGGGCGGCTGTTCTGCGAAGATCACACCATGTACCAGATGAAGCTTTCGCGCTCCGCTCAGCACGAGCCAGTACGAGGATTTTGGTGTAGGGTTTGCGAGACATGTTACAAGTCCAGAGACGGATACAATGATCATAATGGGTACATAAGGGATCACACCAATGATTTCTTGGCCATGCGGAGGAAGACTGTAGATAGGCAATATTTGGAGATATCACGACTGGAGAAACGCCTGACAAAGCTCACACATTTGCTGGCCCACCCGCCGGAAGAGGTCTTAGGGAATAATGGAGGGATCCTATCACTTGCTGGCCAGAAGAATCAAAGGAAGTTACTCGAACAATCTGTTGTTCCTTGGGAGGAGGATACGAAGGTTCTAAAATGCCCGTTCTGCCAACAAGAGTTTGGATCATGGTCATTCCGACGACATCACTGCAGATTATGTGGCCGGGTAGTCTGCGCCGACCCACGTACGGGCTGCTCTTCAGAAGTCGGGCTAAATGTAGCAGCTAGTAAGTCCAATCCGTCCGCTCCTCAAACCACCCATTGACCTCATCCAGTGACTGACATTCAGTCAGAAAAAACCGGCGACCTAGCCATTGACATCCGCATGTGTCGGGATTGCAAAACCACCGTATTTTCCAAAAAGGACTTCGCTGCAGAGGCGTTGCATAAACCACCAGATCAGCGCGCTTATGAAAACCTCCTACAATTCGAAAGAGGCATCCGGCTCCTTCTCCCCAACTTCCAAAGGCTCCTCCTTGCACTCCAAGACCCCGACAAACCGCCCTCACAAATCCAACTCGCCGAAGCGTCGAAAGTCCGCAAACGCTTGATCGATTCCTTTGGCAAGTATGATATTGCAGCGAAGAGAATCAGAAATCTACCGACCAATAGCCCAACGCAGAAAAAGCTGCAGACGGCCATCTATCAACAGAGCGCGAATTTCCTAAATTCACACATGTTACCCCTGAAAACACTGCCGAAGATCCTAAAACATGCTTCTCCGCATGGCTCCAATGGCGTGCCAGGAAACGGCCGTTCCGCACTTGCAAACATCAAATACAACGACATCGACACCTCGTCACAGGTCTCAAGTGGTAGCGCGGTATCAGCGATGGAAGCAGAAGAGAAGGAGTTAAGAGAGAAACTGATCGTGCTCGAAGAACAAAAGTTCTTCGTCGGCGAGATGATCGCCGACGCGAACAAGCGGCGGAAATTCGAAGAAGTGGCAAGCCTGAGCGCAAACCAGGCGGACCTGGAGAGAGAGATCAATAGCTTGCAAGGGATGATCAGCCAGCTGGATTTCGCGGGTGCGTATGCCCGGGAACAAGCGGCGCTCAACGGCTCAACATCATCCTTGTCTCTGGGCAGATAATCTAGTTGAAAGAATGGAGTAGGCTGTATTGCAAGCATTGAAGGCGTTTGCGTAGAGGCGAACCTGGGCATGGCGAATGTGGATGGCGGATAAGTCATTGGGTGGCGTTTGGAGCGTGCGTGTCTATCATACATACATACCTATCTAGAAATCTACATATTACCATGAGCCCGTTGTTGCATTTTTCTGTGCTATCATCGCTGATATACTGATGCTGCAGCGAAGACATTGTTGACTTGACGTATGCATCCCAACCTCCGCCCCTTTTTGGGAGTTGGGGGAGGGAGGAACTCCCAAGAACGCCGCATATTCATGGAAGAATATAATTCATCATGCATATGAACCCGGACTCAGTTGGTCTCTACTAATTCTTCATATGTCTTTTTTCCGATTCTTTTATATTTATCTCGGAATCGGACAATCCCCTCCAACTCCGCCCCCCTCCCACCCCCCCCCCCCCCCCAACTTTTAATCACTACACCCAACCTCGCCCACAATCCAGTCCCGCAAGACCAAGTTTATTTATTACCTATGCAACAGCCTAGGTATACGAACATTATAGCAGCGACGAAGCGGGGGAGAAGTAGGTAGATTTCTTTGGTGCGGTAGAGTTTCCTAGTTTGGGGCGAGAGATGAATTAGATATGGCTGCGGATATGTTTTATTTAGTTATTGCCAGGGATCGTAATGAAAGATAAGGAAGGTATGGTAAGGCGAGTTCAGAAATGGAGGTTTGGTTCAGTAGGCCAAACCAAGCATATTGAAAATTCCTGGGAAACTCGCAGTTTGAACAAATTCAAAAAGATTTAAATCTTGGCCAAGTTTAACAAGAGAGACAGATAGACATATGCTAGAAGTTGGGAGATCTCGAGCGGTTGTCTAATTGGAAATGCATATACTGTAAAAGGCAGCTAAAAATCTATCTTTTGCATCGTTTCTGTGTATTTCTGATGGTTGAGTGACATAGTTTGACATTCAACGCGCTTCACACCCCATTCTATGATGACAACAACGAGAAGGTAATGTCCTGCAACTCTTTCATCCTTCCGTATCTGATTGACTACTAGTTTCTCAAGACTTTTGGAAGATGGATATCAATATCCTTATAAACATTACTAGGTTACTAGAAAATTGGGATAGAATCTAGAATTTCAGCGTACATATCCCTAAGGCTCTTGATTAGAGAATCCTTGATCGTTGTGTCTAAGTCTGTAGATTAAAGCTATTCGGAGTGATAAAAAAGTTGGTCATTTTCTGGGGAGAAGTAATTGGCTTTGTTCGAAAACAAATTCGAAGTCAAAGATTGTTTACGATCCGGCCAGCACTCATGGACAATGACAGGAGATAATGGGTATATAACTAAGGCCTTAGAATAAACTCCAAGTCAGTAAGCGTCTTATTTCACCCACAACAACTTTGCCTTCAATTCCACTGTGCACTATGTGGCCGTAGAGAACCTAGATCAAACGCCGCCTTGCTTTTCTCGGAGCGGCTTGCGTGCCCAACACCGTTGGGCTGAACGAATGTACTAAAGAGAACAGCAAAGGCATCTTGGAGATGTGACTAGTCGATATCAGCAACAAGAAATAGAATACATGCGTGGGACAAACTTACAAACGAGTGCGGACCGGCATTCTCAAGTTCCTGGAAGGTCACCGACGCACCAGAGCTTTCGGATATCGTAGTTGATATCCCTTCCAGTTTACGGGCTAGCGCTGAGGCTTTCCCACTTGTATCAGTAGTGATGCCATCTAGCATCTGGACGAAAAATCCTAACAAAGGGACCAATTCTTCTCCAGGTATAGAAATGCTCTGCAGAGGCAGTCTCCCAGAAGACAATCTGTTGGCAACTTCAAAAAGACTTTCCCGCGGAAGGTGTGCCGTCTTGCCATTGAGTATCGGCTGGGCCTCCACCAACACATCAACAACGTCATCGTTGGATCTTTGTAAGTCTTTCTCAACTTCTTCACCGGCCTGGGGTTTTGAAGGTGCCAGAGACCGAAATATAGCTTCATAGCTCATTTCTTCAGTTCTTTCTCTTCCTATTTCTTGGTTGGATATAATTCCAGCCGTGACAAAAATCTCCCGATCACGACCGGACAAGAAAGCCACGGCGCGGGTAAGGTCATCACAGGATAATCTTTTAAGGCTGACCTCCGCGGTGGAAAAGGGGTAAGCTGCGAAATGGAAAACGCAACGAGAGAGAATCCCCGAGCAGGCTTGAAGATGCGCTTTGCTTGATGCTGAAACCTGGGACTCTAGATACGAGCTAAGCGTGTCCTTGGTCCAATCTATATGGTGGTATTAGCTGACGGGGAAAGACTTCAACCAAAAGAAAGGAGAATAACAATGAGACAAAGAGGAAAGGAATCAGAATAAAGCAGAAGGAGAAGAAGAAGGAACAGGCAACATGGCAAATCTTACAGTCATTTGACCCCTTCCGTGCTTCGAATATCGTCTGGATCGTTCTGATCTCGTTTGGTCTCAAGCAGGCCCAACGTGTCGAATCAGGACCATCCTTGGTCAACACTCTGGTGAGATCTTGCAGTAGCTGCTCTATACAGTGCATCAGTGTCTCTGTTATATTGTAGAAGACAGGATTGGTTGGTACCTCGAGTGATGTTCTGTAGCCAGAGGGCTCTCTGTGCATCGAATTCCGGATTGTTGCCTGGACCACCAGTAATGATGCGGTCGAGGAAATCGTGGACATATTGAAGGGCCATGTCTGAAGGCCTGGATGGATGGATCTGATGCGTTGACGGATATGAAAAACTGGAAGATCAAGAATCAAGAGCAGGCAAGCTTGCTCGTGACTTATTATGTTTCTCAGATGAGATGCTGGCCACGACCTTGTGGGTGAACAGGCTGGGAGAGCAAGATGATGGTGATGGTTGAAAGAACAAGAGGAAGATGAGAAAGACGAAGAGGGAGGAGATGGGAGGAAGATGAGCAGGAAGACAAAGGAGAAGATGGAGATGAAGACGAAGAAGATGACGATGAAGATGAGAAGGATGGGGAATGAGGCTGCCTAAGAAGGTAGAAGAGGGAGTAACCGTATTGGGATATACTTTCAGCCTCGACCGGGGTATCTGCGGGACTGCGCCACTCCCTCCCGAGCCGTGGCTGTGCAGGATCTGGCTGCCTCAGGTTAGCACAGGGGATGAAGGATCAATGATCTCGCGGTCCCGAAGCTCACGCCGCACGTGCGCATAAAGACGAGACTCACGATGGATCTACAGAGAGACCACAGCCTCAACTCTAAAGCTTAACTACACCGACATTGGGTTTTCAGTATCTCCTAGCTCTTATTCCCCTGTTGTATAAAGTATATTCGGACTTGAACAGCGCTGACAGGTTGCGGTACAAGGTACATTGCACATGCCCTTAGCTGCTTCAAAGTTCGAGACTTCAGGTCCATCTTGCCTTAAGCCTCAACTCCTACCAATCAGCCTTGCAATACGAGCTTCCCTCAAACTGTTTCTCTTGGCTGGATCTTACGCTGAGTAATCTAGTCTTGCTTGTCATCCGCCTCTACCTTTTGCATAGCAATCCACCACAGGGGCTCAGTTCCCCCTTCCGGAGCAATGGCCCAGAGACGAGCAAGCGTGAAGACCTGACATCGTTCTCCTGTGTACACACATTAGCCTTCATCCTGAGCCGCAACATTATGCTGATGTCTCCACATGGCTTCCACATGGCTTTCCGCCATGTTATCCCTCGCTTTGTTTCACGTTATTTTAGCATCCATGTCTCCCGCGTGAGCCTCCTCCAGGATGTGTGCAGTATACTGCCAAGACAGGTACTCTCTCATTATACCAAATCTTTGTCTCATCCTGATGGATTGGATTACACTCAGTGGAGTCGTATTATAGCAGACAAGTACAGTTCTCAAGTATAAGTACATCCCAATACATCACCATTACCACCATCATCAGCATCAACAGCATCTCATTCAGACTTTTCCATTCTCAACTCAACAGTCCTCAGCCCTTCTCCAGCTTTTTATAACCTCTTTCTATTTCTCTATTCTCGTCTTTTTTCTCATCTCTTCCTTTTCAGCTTTCTTCAAAATGAAGTTTCAAGCAACTTTCGCAGCCCTCCTCCTGGCTCTCAGCAGCAGAGTATTGGCATCACCCATCGCTAATCCAGAGCCCACCTCCCTCCAAACACGCGCTGAAATCCCTGAGGTTGACTCTCTCGATATCGATTCTGGCGAATCTCGTCTAGAGCGCCGGGTATTCACGCGAGACAACTTCAGTCCCAGGTATGATTCTCCCCATCTCTCAACTCCACACCTCACCATCGCGCCCCGATATCCCCTCATAGTTTCCTAATACCGGCTAATGATCAATGCAGAGCACAGTATCTCTGGGACGCTGCCAGCAAAGACGGGCAGACGTCCAAAATCGCGCCACAGATGATCTACGCCATGCGAGAATCATGCCCGAACCCTCAACAGGGGGTGCATTGCCGCTTGGTCGTCGGAAAAATCAGCCTGAGCGGTCAGAAATATGACTGGGATGCCAAATTATACGGTTCGTACCCTCTGGTCCCTCCCTCTCCTCTTCTTTTGTCTTTTAAGTTCCATCTCTTCGAGACATCGTCTGCTCACTCTCGCACCCAGATCTCAACTACAAGGAAGTCAACGGCAAGAAGATGACCGTCATGCGCCAGATGACCTGGACCCCGCCCATCCCAGCCGGCAGCAAGAGCAAGTACACGCCGACATTCATGGGCCAAATCGCCAACAAGTGGTCACATGATGCCATCCTTTCAGAAAGTACATCTCTCCCCCTCCCCCTCCCTCCTGTCTGGCACACCCACACAGAAGAATCCACTAACGATGTAATACTAGCCAATAAACTCCAACAACAATACCCTGTGTACTGCTTATACAAGAGCGTCCCGTACGTCGGCATGGCGGCACCTTCCGACTCAACCAACTGCTACGACTACGCGGACAAGCTCTGGGACATCATCAGCAAATAGATGGAGGAGCCACGCCACACACAGATTATTTTTCATTCTCTGTACCTACACTTCAGTATGAATTGTTATCTAGCATTTCTGTGCAGGAAATCATTGGGTCGGCGAAGGTGGAAGAGGTATAAAAACTGGGAAGAGAGTTTGAGAGCGCATGTTGCATCTTTGGAGTTCTGCGGGTTGTTGCATCTATGGAGTTTTCGCGGGTTAGAAAAAAAGAAAGGGGGGATCAGTTAAATTCAATCTTATCAAATATATACATACATACATACATATCTCCAAACCTCTTCCCTATCACCAGCACCCCCTCTATCACTCATACAGACCCAAAGTGCCACTCCTCCCTCCAAACGTCTATCCCCAAAAGTCGAGATCAAATTCAAGAATCCGTATCATACTCCTTCTTGACCATGCTAGGTAGGTAGGTAGTCAAGGCTGGTCTAATAGCGACGGTGGAGAAGACAGACAGACAGAAAGGGAACTGCGAAAGCAGATTGGGAGAGCTGGCTGAGTGCGGGTAAGCAAGCAGTGGACGCCGGGCCCGCACGATAATTCTTATTCTTATATTGCCCCAAATAGTAGCGGATGATTGATTTTGCAGATTTTTACCCTATATTAGGTGGTGGGCTATCGTTTCGCGGGTGAATATACGTCGAGAGAGGTACCTAATCCAAGCCGCACGTAATCTAATGTTCTCTCTTTTCCAAGCGCCCGGTCCTGCTCCAGGAGCTGTGATTAATCACAGGGATGCATGCAAAATCAAACCCAGCTTTCTTTTTTAGAAAATTTAGGTGCAAAAGAGAAAAGTACCGATTATTTTATTCCTACGCCGGATCCAAAAAAGGAAAGGCGGGGCACATCGAAAGACAGAGGGCGGAGATATGGACATAGAAGGGTAGGTAATTATTATACATAGAAAGGGGCCGGGTGCTGATGTGCATTAGAAGTTTGTCTCGTCAATCATAAGCCCGCAACTTTATATTTTTTGGGGGGGTGGTGCGTCGTTCATCTCCTTCTTACTACTCCATTTATGCAGTCGAGAAGCTGTGGGGATTGTAAGCATGGGATTTGTGTTAGAGAGGGGGAGGAGGGGTGGGAACTTACCCCTTCCGCAACAACGCCCTGGTTGACCAGGTGTTTGCCAAGGCCCTTGACCAGCTCCATTTGCTCCTCCGTACTCAGGCCGGTGATGGCCATCTCGATAACGCCGCCCAAAGAGACCTTGTAGACGGCAATGAAGCTGTGGTAGTACATGTACGCAAAGAAACCCATGATAAACTGGCAGTCCATCCGATCGGTGATACCTCCATGTCCAGGAATCGAATCACCGAAATCCTTAATCTTGAACGTGCGTTTGAGACCCGAGGCAAAGAAACCACCGAATGGTGCGATGAGAGAAGCGAATGTGGCGAAGACGAGGATATGCCCTTGCATTGGTGCCATGGAGAAAGTCTTGACATAAGGGAACCAGATTGGGAGGTGGTAGGTGTGGGGCATGAAGACCGGATTTGGAGTGCACTGGAGACCCGTCCAGATGTTTGCTCCAAGGTCCTTTGACCGTTAGCAATTTTGGTCATGTATCATCACGAGAGGTGAGCCTTACATTAACAGGGCAGATGAAATACTTGTACCGCATCAAAACATTGGTCATTCCAACTCCAAAGATGACAGTCAAGATCCAAGCCCCAACAAATCCTTCAACAGTCTTCTTGGGGGAGAGTTTGATGAGCTGTGTGCGCCCGAATGTGATTCCGCATACATAGGCAAAGATATCGTTGCATATCACCAAGGAGGCAGGCAGGAAGAACCAGATCATTCCTTCAAAGACGTTGTTCATGATGAAATGCGCCTGGACCACGATCAGGTATAGTGCCATGTGCGTCCATGCAAACTGGGTAAACTGGAACTTGTAATGCCCGGCTTGCAAAGATGCGACGAAGAAGACGAATCCTGTTTCTAATTAGCCCTTGATAGCGACATTCATCCGCCATCCCAATATCTTACCAATGACATAGAGCACGAAGCTGATAAATCGGTGATGGGTTGCAAAAGGCAGCAGAACCTTGTCTACCAGCACGATGTGCTTGAAGTAGTAGATCACGCTCTCCCCATACAGGAAGTACATTGTCGTAGCCAACCAGTACCAGTTAAGAGCCTTTGTAAAGCGCAGTCGTCGTGCTCGACTAGGAACGTTTGCAATGGCGATAACCTCCTTGAATGACACGATCTGTACTGCCGTGACGATGCCAATGATGTAGATGTGTCCCATGAACATCGCGCCAAAGAAAGCGCCTATCATGACAAACGTCCATATCGCCCGGGTGATGAAGGTCTGTTTCTTCTTCTCGTACTCGGAGACTGGTGCGGTCTGCTGGCACAGCTCAGCTGTCAGCAAAAGATCGGGCTCTCTTGGTGATTGATCCAGCTTACCTCGACCGGCTGACTGCCATTCTTTGTGGGAGAGCCAGGCTCTGAAGCCGCCTCGCTGATATCCGAGAAGCTACTCCTCCGGCCATCTGAACTCGCGGACTGTCCATTTCTGTGGTTGAACTTGATCCCACGGCGCGGTTTGGCCATCTTGAACCTACTGTGCGTATGTGGGGATCCCCTATTATTTTCCGGTGAAGCCGTCTCTCCGCACGGGGTTTAGACAAGGCGCAACGTCTCCAGGGCCCGAATGAACGAAGATGCCAGGTGAGGAGAGGAGAGGACAGGGCGAGGGGGCGGGATCGAGGAGAGGAAGAAGTTGTCGTTGGGGACAGCTTTTGTCGTGATGCAGATTGTGCAAGTTCAGTTCTTTTTGCTGACGTCCTCAGGAACCACTGGTTTTCTTCTCCGTCTTAGCTTGTGAAAGTCGCGGCGATCGCGGGTGAGGAACAGGGGGGAGCTGAAGAGGGATGATCGGGGGAGTAGGGCGCGTTGGACGTGTTCACAACAGGGCAGGCTTAGAGAGAATTGGTTGCATTTCGCACACGGGCAAGATATCACGGTGAAGGTGAAAAAAGTTTCCAGGGCACATCAAGGGCTCGCAGACGGGATCTTCAATACAGCAACGCAACTGGATTCATCGACAGCAAAGCCTTGCTTGGCGGCTGTATCAAGAAACGGGCGCGCGGCTTTTAGCGAGGCTGCCTTGATGCCTCAGGTTTGCAACACGTGAAGATACTTGTGTACATAGGTACCTAGGTACCTGCCTAGTAATACTAATCCGCGCCGAAGGGCGGTCAGAACCGGCAGAATGGTCCCTCGTCAATATTGATCGATCGACCTTTCACCCTCCTCAGACCAGAGCAAAAGCCTTACTCAATGCCGGCTCCACCGCATGGCTGGCTACGCTCACGGAGAGAACAACTTCTCCGACGATGACCTTGACGCCCTCCCTCCCAACACTCTCGCCGAGCTCGAGAACACTGCCATCCAATTCACACAAGCCACCCAAGCGCGCCCGAAAGCCCCTCCTTCCTCTGATTACGGGGATGATTTCGGGGATGAGGATCTGGACGATGCGGTGGTCATTGACGAGGAAAGGAGCGCCCCTGCGATAGTTCCAGCTCTACGTCAAAACAATCTGGGCCAAGCCTCGCAGAGGGAGCCTTTCCAACCGCAACAACGATATGGGAGCAGTCCAAATTGGGGAAGTCAGCAGCGTAGGGGTCCCCTCCAACAACCAAATCGTGATCGTTTTCGTGTGCCAGTTTCTAGCCCTCGTAATGGCCCAATCGCAGTCAGACAAGCAAATCAATCTGCGGGGACAGACGAGGCTGCTGCTTTGCGCAAGCAACTTGAGGAGGTACTTTCAGCCATCAGACCCATAGAGTCCTGCTAACTTGTTCTATAGATGCGTAGAGAACTGGCTGCACTCAAGCAAGACAACCATATCAAAACGGGCGAGATTGCAATAGTTCGCAGCAAATTGGAGAAGCAAGCAAAGCAACAGGAGCTTGAGCGCGATACATTACTGAAGAATAGTGAGGAGCAGCTGGCCAAGCATCGGAAGGAACTAGAGGCCGCACGGATTGCTGCGAATGCCGCCGCCACGGAACGGGACTTTGTCAAGCAGGATCTCCTAGAGGCAGAGAGGGCCCGAAAGTTGAACAAGGCTGCCGTGACGACCCCGAAAAAGAAGAAAGCGCATCCCCACCGAGATGGGTTCGATGACGGTGAGCTTGCGATTCTGTCACCATCTAAGGCCTCTCCCTCGAAATTATCGAAGCCGACAAGTACTCCTACAAAAGCTGGAAAGAGGAAACGGAAGACTGTTGACAGTCCAATTGCTCCGTTGGAGGTCATACATACCGAAGAGCCTTCCGAGCGACATGAGGAGAAAGTACCCGTGTTTGACGAGGCGATAATAGCGAGATTGGGGATCCAGGATGATCGTTTTGATGTGAGTTTTTTAAGATTATATACCTATCAATAGGCGGACCTGCTGACCATTCTAGTTCCTTGGGGCAATGCTAGACCATCGGCCGCATCAATATCACCTCCGCACAATTGAAGCACTTGGAAATCACGCTCTACCATCTGCCCCAGAAGAGTCATTTGAATCAATTATTCTGGGCAAGATACCTGAGTTGGGGCTCAGGAAACCTGCAACTGATCTCCCAATCGAATTTTGCGAGCTTTTTATCTCTCTATGGACGAAATGTTTCGAGGAGAAATATGTATGGGGACATTCCTACCTGATGAGTCTTTTGCTAATGGCAAGACAGTATACACCAATATATCTTTTCATAGACATGTTGACTTTCGCGTTAGAGCTGAAAACTCTCGCGATCGCACCCCACATCATCGACACCCTCGTACCAATCGCCCAACGTACTGCCGACCTTGTAGCAATCCCTCGCTTCAACACAGAGTCCCCGGAACCGTACGACAAGGACATTGACGTCTCGTCCTGCCTCGCCCTCCTCCACCTCTCAGCACTGGGCTGCATGGGCGAAACCCAACACATCACACGCTTCTGGCGTTTGATTCGCTGGGACTTTGTCCTCCTTACCCTCAGCACGAATCAACCAACGTCGGATTTCGAAATGATGCTAAAGATTCTCAGCACAAGTGTGCTTCGAGATACCTTTGGGACGATTGCGCCCGATGATGTAAATACCCAGCGAGAATACACGAAATACATCATCGACCGTCTCACGTATCCTCTGTTTGAGATTCCATACATGCCTACGAGCATGGAAAAAGTCCCGCCCGATGTCCTTTTGCATCTCCGTCTCGAGATCCTGCATCTGCTATTGGGTATGACGCGCAGTCCATACGCAAGCCTCGCCCTCGCCACGCACCCCAACGCCGTCGGGCGGCTCGTCAGCCTCATGAGTGACGAGCTCGACGTCCTGTACGACTATCGCGCAGGCCACGAGTCCAGCGCCCTGATCCTCAGCCTCTCCACCCGCCTGCTGTACCACCTCGTTACGACGCACGAGCTGGACATGCAAGCAAAGCTAGCGGCGGTCCATGGCGGCAGCCAGAAATACCTGCTGGTGCTCGCGCGGCTCAATTTTGCAGAGGATGACCTCCTGCTCGAGAGCGGGATCGACGTGGATGTCCAGGGCTTGGCGCTCGAGATGCTGAATATGAAAGTTACGCCTGAGGAGGTGGACGAGGTTAATGGCGCGTTCTTTGGGAGTTTGCGGGAATGATATAAAGCCTTGCAAAGGTTCTAGAAATGAAAAGATACCACAGGTTGGGCATTGGGTGCTACACAGCATAGGTGGTTATGGAGTTTGGTTTCTAGTGTGCCGCCGTCTTTGGAGAGCATGCTTGGTTGGGAGTTTTGGCTGGACTGGACTAAATGCGGGTACCGGGTAGGCATCAGCTGTGGGATTGGATTGGACAGGTACCTAGGTAGATATTATATCGTCAAATAGAAACATGTAGCTTATTATTAGATCACCTCGTCGTGGGAAGCTTTGGTTGGTATAAAAGCATTAATTTATCTATCTATCGGTGTCGCTGACCCCTTTCCGCCTCGCTTAAATGAGCTCCTCTCCTCACTCCTACCTAAGTTCCGAGATCTTCTTTTCCACAGCACGTACGGTCGAGATGCGCTCGAATGGATGGACTATTACTGTTGTTCTATTTTGGGGCATTGGTTGTTTTTATTCATGTATATATTCATATATATATACTGTATATTCATGATTGAAGCTGTACCTAGATCTCAATACCCGTAAATAAAAAACTAAAAAAATATACATGATGCCGTCTCGCGGCGACATGCCCGCTCAACCACCACTCTCATCGCCAGTCCAATTCTCATACTCGCCGCCCTCCTCAACCTCCGCGAGGCGCAGCGCCTCTCCGACATCCGCGACCATGTGCGACGGCCCGCCGATGATCTCTAGGATGCCGCTGCGGCGCATGAGCTCGTAGATGGGGCTTCCGGGAGCGGGGCAGCGGCTGAAGAAAACGCGCACGCCGCGATCGCGGTAGCCGCGGACGATGCCCTCGAGGACTTGGGTGCCGGAGCCATCAAGGCCCGTGACGCCGTGGATGTCGAAGATGATGGTCTTGTTGTGTTCGGGGCTGCGGACGCGGGGCAGGGCTGGGTGGGCGTTGGTGGTGCCGTAGAGCTCGAGGCGGCGGAGGCGGTTCTTGAGGTCGCCTGTGTTGGCGAAGGTTAGGGGCTCGGGGATCTTGACGATGAGGAAGCCTTCGATGAATTCGACTTGGTCGGGGTTGTCTTCTGCGTTCTCGAAGCGGTTGGTGCCGGGAATCCGCCCTAGGATCTGGATCCGGGGTCGGGTGCTATGCTTGATTACTGAGAGGAGGGAGAGCCCGACACCGATGGCGATCCCAAGGGTAAGGGAGTAGAAGATGGTGGCTGCGAAGATGATGGTCATGAGACCTAGTTCCGTATATCCCCGGATGCGGATGAAGAATGCAATGTCGTGTGGAGCTTCTTCAATCAAGGACCAGGCTACGACAGTAATCATGGAGGAGAGGACGGCTTTCTTTTCCCGCTGTCAGTAAAAGAAGGCAAGGGGTGTGGGAAGAACTTACAGGCAGGTAATGGAATGCTGGTAGGAGGAAAACAACGCAAATGATAGTGATGATGCTCAAGAATACACTGCTCATGGGTGTCTTGCCTCCTGTACTTGCATTTACCTTACTCCTTCCATAGCCACCAAAAGCCGGCAAAGCGCGGAAGCAAGAGCCCACGATATTTGCGACCCCGAGAGCAACAAGTTCTCGGTTTGCACTGAGTTGGATGCCTTGGATCCCATCCTTCCTTTCTTCGCCCCCGAGACTCTTGGCCGCCACCGAGGACTCGAAGAAGCCAAGGAGGGCGATCATAAATGATGTCCCCATTGCCTCTCGGATATGCTTCATGTGCGAGAGTCGGAATGGCCAGTGGAAGGGAAAGGGATTCCCAGAGGTCGACTTGATCTCGCCGAGAATCTCCAGGCCGTATCGATCCCAACGTAACTGCCATGTCAAGACAGCTGATAGCACGACCACGAGGAAGCGATCTGGGATGTATGCAACCTTGGGAAATCGAGGCTGGAGACGAAGTTTTAGTTCCCTGAAGAATGTTAGTGTCTAGGTAGTTTTCATTTGAGGCATGAAATAGTCACCTGAGAACCATGATTATCAGAAAGCTTATACCAGCAACTGCACACGTAATTTTCTGTGCGTGCCGCGCATTATTGAATAGAAAGTGCAACTTATCGATGCTGCTGCCGTGGCTGGCTCCTGTTTCCTCTGCAAGCTCAGCAAGACCCATTTCAGGGATCAGCTGGTCCACCATAATAACGAACCCAATGGCCGAGATAAATCCTCTCAGGAACGGTCTGCTGAGAACATTATCCAAGAAGCCCAACCGTGCCAAACCCGCCAGGAGAATGGCGGCTCCTGCCATGCCAGTTACGACACCAGCCACTCCCGCGAGCATCTCACCATCCTCCTCTGTCCTTCCACTATCCACACTTGATCTAACCACGCTCCCCACGAGAAGACTGCCTGCAGCCTCTGGACCGACCACCATCTGCGGACAGCTTCCCAGGATTGCATATATAAGCGGGTTGAAAACGAAGGAGTAGAGCCCATGTATGGGCGGGACATGGGCAAGATTTGAGGCATATGAGAGGGCCATGGGGAGGTAGAAAGAGGCCATTGTGAGGGCGGCTACGAGATCGCCTTGCAGATGTGTCCATCTGTATTGACGAATCCACGCAAGGAAGGGAATGTAATAAGAGAAGTACCTGCACAGTCACCGAATATCAGCAGGTGCTCCACGAATGTCAATCTCCCGACATTGAAACGGTAGGGAGCTTCCGGGACGTACATCGAAGTGGTATTCGTGATGCCATGCCTCTCCGCCAACCAGCTCGTGGTACTCATCTTCTTCCTCCCCGCCCCATTCTTCAAGCCCACATTCTCCAGGAAGCTCGAAAGCATGCTCTTGCTGCTGCCGGCCTCCGCATCGCTGCCCTGTGGCGGGCCCCCAACCCCCAAGAGGCTCCCGCTGGGACTCTCGACCCGCGGGCTGAACGTCCCATGGTTGCAAGGCCCCGCATGCGCCGGCGGGAGCACGATCTCAACCGGCTTCTTCAGCAGCGATGTCCTCTCATCCGCAAGCTGCCTCCGCGCCTCTTCGAATCCGCGTGTGCGTCCTTCGCGTTCCGCCGTGTCGCTGGGCATCGCGGTTGTATCTTCAGGAGACCCGACAAACGTATGGGTTTCGCGCAAGCCGCTGGGCGTTAGGGGAGCGTGTTGCAGGACGCTGGGTGAGCTGATTGAGGGCCCGCGCGAAGTCGAGCGCGAGGGTGGGGTGGGCGGTCCGCGAGAGGAGGACATGGTATAGGGGGCAAGGCTATGAGGGCAATCGAGAATGGCGATACATGTGGTGGATGGAGGTGCTTTCGTTGCACCGCGGAGGTACTGTAGGTTGAATTGCTGCGGATGGATGTTCGAGCCAGATACAATACCTCCCTGTGCTAACAATCAGTCGAGCAGGTTGCTCGAGGGCGAAGACACGGCGAGGATTCCAATAAAATCAAGAAATGGAAAATAAAGAAATCTTGCAACTATTTAAATTTCGGATGCTATCCCCGAGATCGAACGAGCCTGTCGCCATGTCTCAGAGGAGCACGCCCCTTCTTTAGACTTCTCCGTTCGGCTTCTCATTAATACATGTTGATTATCCTCGCAATGTATAAATCGAATATCGACGACTTGTCCAGCTCCATTGTTGTCCATTCTAACCACTCATCGCCCTTCGATTTGCAAGCCTGATAAGCCAAATCTGCAAAATGCCTATCAGCACGTGATTGACAATCATCTACCTATTTTGGGCCAGGGATATACAGAGGTAACATCCCTTACCTACGGCTCTCCCGTCTTTGTACAATCTACTATCTACAGAACTCCGGGAAATAAGCAATATCTACCTAGGCGTAGACGTCTAATTTGTCATGTTTCAAGCTCTCTGTCGTTTGCAAACCTTTCGTCCATCAATCGTGTTTTTTTTTTTCCCTTTTTCTCCTCCGTTTCTGATTTCCTCGTTCTGGAAGACAGACAATATGGATACCCCTTCAGATCATCCTATCTGGGTAAATCTTCCCCACCAGCAAGAGCCTCTCTAACTTCTTTAACATGTCTGAGCATTGAGAATCATTGTCAAAGCTGCGCCCAAGTGGAATATTATTTGACAAGGTCACCCAGACGAAGAGAAGCAGCAAAGACTCTGGGGTATGGTGAGTTACTACCACCATGAGGATATCCAAAGCGAGCAAGCCATCTCCAAGATACCACGGTCTAAACCGTCATCCACATATTGTTCAAGGTCTTCTTCTCGCCCCAGAAGCCACCTTTATGCAACGTTTGCCCCACAACCCAAAGGCTCGGCTGAAGACAACATCACCACCATGTCAAAATCATGAGGCTCGATGGATCAAGAGTATCATCGACGGTGTTGCGTGGCTAGAATCGTTGGGTTTGGTTCATGGCGATCTAAGGCCAGAAATAGCTTGCTTGATATGCATGACCACGTCAAGCTTTGCGATTTCGACTGCACAGTGGAACATGGAAAGCGGCTCAGCCTCCACTGTACCCATTTTTTACAGCAAAATAACGGGGAGACCGGACACAAAACGAGCTGTTTGCTGTAGGACCTACCATCTACACTGTTGTAACGAAACACCTGCCTTTCCATGGCCTAGATGATGATGAAATTGAACGGCGGTTTGCAAGGAATTAATTTCCTTCTACAGACGGCTTATTCTATGGCGATCTGATCCACAAGTGCTGGAATAAGGGCTATGAATCTGTCTTGCAGCTATACCAGGACATGGAAGACATACATCGGCAGACGTCTTGCGGTAAGCATAATCATGATACTCGTCCACAGTCGTTAGATGAAGTTATAGTGTCGCTGTTATGTCAACGATGTGAGGCTTTTCGCCAGGAGCAGGACCTGCTGCGATCACAGAAAGTAACCGAGACTTCTCTGTGATCCTCATATGGCTTTGCGTGGCTACAAAGATTGAAGATACGACTTCGTCACGTATGCAAGGTATGTTTGTTTTAAGTGACTCGGTCTTGCCTTGACTCACCAGAATCTTAGGATCAGCACATGAGCTTGCTCTGGACTTTCATCGCGATACCAGCATTCGCTATCGTTGTTTCTGCGGTCCGAAGGAGTAGATGAAATCACTCGCTGGTCAAAGAGTTACCTTATCACATCGTGTGTAGTTCCTTCTGTGAGGCTCGCATTTGAGACATTTTGCCGCCCTCGCAGCGGAGAAAAATATACTCGTTTCTTGCTTGAGGTCGGTGTTTTCAAAATGGATTGTAATTTCACTTTGCTGATTTCAGATGAGACTGACTGTGAGGCTCGGAGGAATGCATTTATGCCACATAAATCCAAAAATGGTCTTACATTTCTGACAAAGACTCTCAGCAGCCAAAGGTAGCTGTTGGTCCATTGAATCATTTCCACATCCATCTAAGCTTCTCGACCTCCTAATTCTGCTATTCAACTGCCTAATCTTGATAAGCGCTGATTGAACTTGTCGACCACAGCCGACAGAGTTGCCAAACCAGAACCCTTTGCCCAGAAATGATATTCCATAGAAACAGCTTCTCTTCGTACTGTCGTCAATCTAGACTCCGGGCTGGTCGTGGAAATAAAGCTCGAGAAGTCTAGCCTGCTAGCTTGATTCGGCTAGCGTCGGTTCTTTCTACAGTACCATTGGTCAAATGCGCATCCGATCCCCATGGTAATTTGGCCTTGTCTTTGACCAGAATCAACGTTAGGACAGGAAGCCATCATATCAACTCTATTTATTCGACGTTCACCATGTCATTGCGCAAATTCTGGCTTACGCGTTCCCTCCAATTCCGACGGCCGCCTACACCAAGAACTTTACCCACAATCCTCCCGGCTGATGTCCTTATAGAAGAGGAGAGGATTCCTGGCTACAACCCGAAGAATTTCTACCCAGTGAACCCAGGGGATCTCCTTAACAACAGATATAGAATCCTGAGCAAAATTGGATGGGGCACTACTTCTACCGTATGGTTAGCTCAAGATACTCAACGGTGCGTGCTCTGGTACTACGGTACTAGCTCAACTAGATCCGTCTTCCTCCTAAATCCTCTATAGGTGGTGCTGGAACTCTAAACGCTATGTGGCTCTAAAAATTGCCGTCTCCGGGTATACCGATGAAGATGTAGCAAAGCATGAGCGAGATATATCTCGGTCCCTTGAGACGAATCCATCGCACAATGGCTTCCCTTTTGTGAGGATTATGCTCGATAATTTTGAAGCTACCGGGCCAGATGGGAATAAACACATATGCTTAGTCTATGAGCCAATGAGAGAGCCCCTTTGGCTACTTCAACAACGCATGCCGAACGGTAAAATCCCGGCACCGCTTCTCAAAGTGTACTTAGGAATCTTCTTACAAGCTCTGGATTATCTTCATTCTGAATGTCACATCATTCACACAGGTGAGTTCCAAAGGACGTTTGAGCTCGTAAGCTTACCATATTATAGATCTCAAAATGGACAACATCTTAGTAGGATTTGAGGACCCGTCTGTGATCGAAGAATACGTCGAAAGACAAGCCAACAATCCTATGCCTCGGAAGGTCAAGAATGGCAGATCGATATATTTATCGCACAATGACTTTGGGCCAATGAAGTCATTCCGTGTTTTGCCGAAGATAGGAGACTTCGGTTTAGCTGTAGCACAATCAGGGGATAGTTCGGAACCTTTGAGATACCCTATTCAACCACCTCTTTTCCATGCTCCAGAAGTCCTATTAGGCACAGGTTGGACCTACAGTGTTGACATTTGGAACCTCGGGGTATTGGTATGTGTCTGCTTCTATTACTAATTTACCTATACAAGTATCTTCACTTACGCGTCGTTATGCAGATTTGGAATATGATAGAAGGCAAGGATTTGTTTCAACATATCCGTTCAATCCAAGGGGATTACGATGTTCGCGCACACCTCGCAGAAATGATTGCATTACTAGGTCCTCCACCGAAAGAGCTTCTTGATCGAGAAAAGTTGTGGAGCGACGTCAAATGGGACCACGCTGTTGAGAATCCAGATGGCAAGCTTTGTCAAACCGCCCGCGAGTATTTTGGAGGACCTTTCTTTAACTCTGAAGGTAAGCTTTCTAGAAGTTGAACAAAGAATAGTGCTAATCCCCCTTCAGGCGAGTTCATGTATAAGGACTTAATTCCGGATGTTAGCTTAGAGGGTTCGGTCCTTTCTCTTGAAGGAGAAGAGAAACAGCTTTTCCTTAATTTCGCAAGGAAGATGCTTCAGTGGTTACCAGAACACCGAAAGACCGCCAAGGAGCTCCTCGAAGATCCATGGCTGGTTCTGTAATTCGGCGAGTGAAAGCACTCTAACGAGAGAGAGAACCTGGCACCTACAACTCACAGCTCTTCGTGTGAACCACAAGTGGGAGGCAAAAGCAGAGCTGCGATATTCCTAGCGACCCCGCGGTAAAACTCGAGACGAAAGCCGGATTGGCATTGGAATGAGGAATCCTTGCCAGGAACTCACGAGAAATGCTTCCTTGTATTGATCTTCGATGCATTTCAGGCTTTCAGCGCTTGACAACTGAGTCCATGCGAATATTAGGTTCCGATTTAACTTATCCGGATCAAGTTTCGCTAGCTGTGACAGAAAGGAATGTTTGGAGAGAACCCACAGTCGTCAGCAGCGTTGACAGCGGGGCCGAGATTTTGGGCGCACAACAATGCGATTTAAGGTTTTCTTGCAGCGTGAGGGGAAGGGGATTGAAATTAAATACAGACAGAGATAGGTGAGTAGAAACGGCTCCTATGATATCTCAGTTCTGTCTAGGATACCAAGTGGGAGGCTAACATTGGAAGACCTACGATTATCAGTGTTTTTTACTTCCATCATTTAAGAACCACTTGAGCAATAATTCTTATCAGCATGATTGACGATACTCTGGTTTGGGTGCTATGATACCTTATACAGAGGTATTTAAGTACATTACCTACGACTCTGCCTCTGACTCTTTGCATCATCTACAGAACTCCGAAAACCAAACAATATCCAGGCCCAAAATATCGGTGCACCAAGGCGGCAATTTGGGTTCACACATGCTAGTTAATCAAAGACATCCAATACTCAGAAAAGGATTGCTATCAATATCAAGACTACGCTTTTTTTATTCCCTACAAGCGGCAAGCCACAACGACTGATCATACAACCCGCCAACCATCCAATCCCCTCACCTCCCCCTCATTTCCGCCATGAATCTCTGAATCGGCGACATATGCTCCACCGCCCTCTCCGTCTTCCGCATCCCCATTCCCAACGTCGCCATCTCAACCCCTAGCTTCTCCAACCTCCCACGCTCCTGGGCCGCCCGCAACTCCGCCTGTTGTCGATTATGCTCCGCCAGGTTCCGAGTCGTCAGCGCCAGCCAGGTAGTGCTGCTAGATGAGCGCCGGCAGCTGCTGAGGGTTCGGGGGGTTGGTTTCTGGGAACGGATCGTGACGGTATCGGGAAGTTTTCTGCTGTGAGAAGAATTTAGTCTGTGGAGTTGAAGTTGGGATTCTTCTTTTCTGGATATACTCACAGTTTGGCCTTCGAGTTCGGATCCCAGGGCCTTCGATCCCTCGCCGGAATCGTATTTTCAATGCCTGCCATTTCGGATCTTGTTTTCTTTCCTTCACCTATTCTGCCCTGTAGGCTGCTGTCTCCCGTCTTATCAAACAAACAACCACCCAAATGATCAAAAACCCGCGTTCCGGTGAAGGTACGTATATCACAATATCGATATTGCACTTAGCTATCCACGTGTATGAATGCTTGCTTCGTTTTCTTCGATTTTGGAATCCGTTCGTCCGTTCGTCTTTCTTTCTTTCCTCTAAACTAGATCCCAGACGCGACAACAAGAAAGAAGAAAGATAGATCGATTATCAAACTAGGGGGGTTGTTCTTACCTACTTTCTACTGTTATGGAAGGAAGGAGCTTCTTTCTTTCTTTCTTTCTTTCTTTCTTTCTTCTAACAGCGAGGCGCGATTATCATACCTAAGATAGGTACCTAGGTAAGGTAGGTAAGCGGACAGGACAGGAAAATAAGGAAAGTAAAATATATCCAGAGTTTCTAAACTCTAATTCCCAGTTTGGGTTTTGCATCTTCTTCTTCTTCCCATTCCTTCACACACCCAAATCGTCGTGAGTCCCATCTTCTATTTCTTTTTGGTTTCAACATGTCTTCTAAGAATTCTCTGGTGAAATCTCTCAAGCTGGTTGGCAACGTGACAATGGCTCACATAAAAGACGTCAACAAATCAGGTGGCTCGCAGTGGCTCTCAGCCATCAACATTAAAGTGACAAATGACCTTCGAGGGACAATACATCCGCGGTTGAAACGTGGTGCCTCTGTAACGAGCCGGAGGGCTCCACAGACGTTGTCGTTTAAGGCGTCAGCCGGTGAACAACACGCACAAACGGAGTGCTTTTACAGACGTTGCGTGGTGCAATAGCTAGCCATACTTCACCGGGATATCTCTGAGAACAACATCACCGACTTTGCCATTGACGGAGGCCCGAGAAGGCAAGACCTTTGGAAGCATCTGGGGAGATATTGGCCCGTGTATGGCATATTTTGAGGAGGGAAGAGCTGTTCAATTGGGGAGTTACAGTGGAATGCAAACAAATAAGATTCAACAGCCTTGTATTGCACATTTTTCATCTCAAATGGCTCTATGACTCTGTGGTAAAAGCCCAATCTTCTAAGGTCAAGGTAAACCTTCATAGCATATGCCAGAATCTGGAAGTTCTGGTCATTCAGAGTTGACGAGAGCTTGTTGTTAACCCTTTTAGTAGCTACAAATCTTGTTACTATTTCTATATATTCCTTCCACTCCCGCCACGTCTGCCTTGTGTCTTTATCTAATGGCTCCCTGTTCTCGTCGTAATTCCAAGATGCATCCCTTGGAAAAGACACCGTCAATGAAAAAAGTAAAAAATTCGACCAACTCCCAAGACACTATACATGCTCCTTCCCAATCATTGATGCCAAGTATCTTATATCTGCAATCGACGATAAGGGTGATGTGAAACAAGTCTCGATGCGAGAGACCTCAGATTGAATCCCTTCCTAGTCATCTTCATCGAGCCCTAGCTTTCTTCTCTTCGCTGCTAGCGCGTGACGGGCCTAGATGGCTGATACTGAAGTCCGGGCGATATCACCCTCGAGAGCTGAAAGGGTTGGAGAGGGGGTCGAACGTAATCTTTTTCGAGATTTCTTCGATTCATTACGACTCAGAATGTATTCATCGTTATCATCGGATGATAGATACTTCAACCAATGGCTGCCCCCACCCCCCCTTTGATGTGCGGGGGTATTAAAGTCTGAACTATTAGTGTTGGCCTCCAGTTCTTACCCAGTAAGTACTTTTCGAAAACGCTCGAATCCAATCAATGGATTATTGGTAACAAGAACCTTCTATTGGAGGAGAACAAATCAAGGGAACGGCCCTGGGTCATATACGCGTCTGTGCAATCGTGATATGCTTTAACCCTATCCTCCTAGGTTTGAATGCTGTGCCTCCCGAGCAGAAGAACGGAGGAAGAGAAATTGACATGGCAAAACACTGCTCCCTGCACATCAAGATCTCTCTCTAAGCCAAGGATGGTGATGAGCTTGCTCGGTCGTGAGCCGCTCTTCTGGGAGCCAGCAGAGCAAACACCGGACGAAGTTGAGGAATTGCTCCCTATCGTCTCCAGCGAGAGTATTGGCAAGAGACTCTAATGTCTTCTCGGTAGGTAAGGGTACGGGACCCCTCCATTTGCCTAGATCAAAGCAAGTTCGTCAGAACAGGCGGGCAGGATAATATTAGGGCTTGCTGCCTGTGGTACTTACCGTCTTCATCCCAGTACTTACTTGTCTCCTTGCTCCTGTTTAGAAATTCGGGCGGTGGCGGACCAAGGAGGGCCGTCATCGTTGCAAGATGATGGGCGTCATTCCGCTCTTCACATTCATGGTCGTAGACGCAGAAGAGATTTTCACGTTCAAGAAGGTCCCAGGCCTGGCGTAAAAGAGGAGTCAGCCTAAAAGAATAAAACGATGAGAAAGATCCCATACTAAGAGTCCCACACTCCAGATATCAACGGCATTTGTCCATTTCATATTGAGAATAACCTCGGGTGCTCGATATTGCACCGGCATGGCGTCCCCGCTGTGCTCGTTACCAATGCGTGCTCGCCCTAAGTCGCAGATGGTGAGCGGCCCTGCACCTCCCAGCATATACCGAGAGACGTAGATGGTGGTGTCGCCGATCTGCTTCCTCGCCGATGGCTTGCAGATCTCGTCGTCTTCGACCTTGGAGAGTACCGAATCATTTGCAAGAGCAATAAGCAGATTGTCCGAGTGGAGGTCTTATTGTTTGCTGGTCAGATGGGAATGTTCCATGCTGAAGTTGGGTAGGTACTTACCAGTATGGATCACGTCTGCCTCATGGAGGAAGTTCAGCCCAGTTAGAACTTGGTCGAGAGCGGGAACAACAAGGGGCTGCTGGAAGACGCCATTCTTCTGCTTTTTCTGCAGAGTTCTCAAACTCATGCCCAGAGGCGTCATGACAAAAACGTCGTGTTCACCACTACGGCTCTTCAGCTTGAATGAATCTTCGAGCCATCGAATGTGTCTCCGCCCCGAGTGCTCCATTGTGATGCCAGCCAAGTGCCGATAGACCTCGAGCTCTTGGTTATGTTCCAGGATATTGACATGCACCTTGAGCACCCAGTATACCCGGTCTCTGAGCCGACGTCGAAGATATTCAGTAATTCGGGCGGTTAACATTGGAGGGAAGCAAAGCATACCTGAGATCACGGCACAACCACACCGTTGAGCTCGTACCGTAGCCAAGCTTGGCAACTACCTGGTAGCGGTCCTTGATGACTGCGCCGATTCGCATAGGATAATACTCGTCGCGGCAATAGAAGGGCAGTCGCTCCTCTTCCACTACTTGAGACGGGTCAATGACCTCGAATCCGCTCGACGGGAACTCGCGTGGTAGGAGCAGTTTTTGTGAGGCCATGACGGGCTGCGATATCAGAGCAGATGAGTAGCGGGACAGCCGCGATGATAGAAATGGACGAAAGAGCCGTTTCGCAAACATGTTTGTGAGGAAGAGTCTCTAAATTTCCGTGTTGACTGAGGTACTATAGAATAAAAGAGCTACCGAAAGGAAAAAAGAGCCTCAAGAAAGAGTAAAAAGAGTAAAAGAGGAAGGCCGTTCTATAGAGGATCTAATATTTCCTATCTACTATCTAGCGGGGTCAGTCGTCAAGGTATATAGTGGAATATTGATATTTTGGATTTCCGGGTCTTAGGTTCATCGGGCACTTGACACTGCTGCTGTCTACGATACAAGAAGTCAGTCACAGCTTGGGTCAGAAGGAGTAGAAGGCACCCGTCGATTATCCTCTCGTTTTAATCTAAAATGCCCTCAAGCTGCGAATCCGCAAGCTGAGCCAGCCATGTGACTATGTCTAGCAAGGAAGCATTATTCCAACAATTGCCTTTCGCATTACAAATTACTCTTCCTCATTGCTAAAAACGACTTTCGCCAACAAAAGCAAAGGCTTCTAGACCGCATCCGTCTCCTTTGCCTCGGTCACTTTTTGACCAGTAACGTCCTCAATGATCTCTGGAGCGAGAGTTCCCTTCTCCGTCAGACCCATGTCGGCCGCGAATGTCGAGTGTGGCACCCATTTCGCTGACGTTCGTGGTGTGGTCTCCTCAAGCATACGGTCAACCTGTTCCAAACTCAAACCCTTGGTCTCAGGGATCAGGAGATAGGCATAAACGAAGCAGGCAGTGCAGAGAGAGCCCCAGATGAAGAAGACTCGCGACTGCAGGTTGGCCTCGCCCTTGTCGGTCCCTACCATGTAGGGGGTGATGACCGCGATGATGCAGTTCCAGAGCCAGTTAGAGGCAGTCGAGAGGGAGACACCACGAGAGCGGATAGGGAGAGGGAAGATCTCCCCGATGAGGACCCATGCGCCTATGACCGTTAGTACAGCTTCTAAGGAGGGTGATACAGAGAAGACTTACCCGGACCCCAGGTGGAAGCGAAGAAGAAGATATAGATACAGATGAATGCAATCTGGGAGGAGACAGCCGCGTTGTTGCCCTTGCTTGGCTGACCAGCGGTCACACCGACAATGGCCACAATAAACTCGCAGATCAACATTCCAAGCGCACCAAAGATAAGAATCGTGCGGCGGCCGAACCTCTCGATCATCCAGAAGGAGAGCGGAGTAGAGCAAACATTGACCAGGGTAGTGATGATACTGATCAAGAAGGGGTTCTTGATGGTTTGTAATTCCTGGAAAAACGTTGTGCCGAAGTAAAAGATGAAGTTGATTCCAGTCCACTGCTGCATCATCTGAAGGGAGGTACCCAGGATCGTGCGGCGTAGGTTGGAGGATGGGTTTCGAAGTCCACCGCGGAAGCAGTTGTACCAGGAGGTGAAATAGCCACTGCCTGGGATAACCGACAGCTCGTATTCGTGGTTAGCGACAACCTCAGCCAGTTCTTGCTGGACGTATTCGGAACCTTCAGGCTGACCGCGAAGCAGGCTCAGGGCGTGCGTTGCCTTTTCCAGGTTGCCCTTCTTGACGTAGTAACGAGGGGACTCGGGGAGGAAGAAGAGACCGACTCCGAGGATCAAGGCCCAAAGCATCTGCACTCCGATGGGGATACGGTAGGAGCCAGTATCGGTTCTGTCCTGGGTGCCGTAGTCGACGCAAGAGGCAAGCAGGATACCGATCGTGACGAAGAATTGGTAGCCAGAAACGAGAGCTCCCCGGATCTTCTTGGGGGCAATCTCAGACATGTAGAGAATGATGATAGCGGAGACGAAGCCAACACCGAAGCCTGCAATGAGACGACCGGCGACGAGAAGACCAAAGCCGTGAGAGGCGGTTTGGAGGATATCACCAATGATGAAGATGATACATCCTGCAATGACAGTCGTACGGCGACCAAACCAATCGGCAAGATCACCAGCAATGAGGGCTCCGAAGAAGGTACCGGCCGAGAGAATAGAGGTGATGAGAGACTTCTTCCAGGCTGGCAGGGTGAAAGCAGCCTTGACAGCGTCGCTGGCACCGGGAGGAGGGATAGGAATACCGGTAATCATATGTATGAAATAGTTCATTCCCATCACACCTGAGACATATCCAGAGTCATAACCAAAGAAGATACCGCCAAAAGAGGCAAATGCACACATCAGGTATGCCTTCAAGGTGACGGGGGCCTCGATGCGCGAGACATCGGCCGTCGCGGCCAACACGGCGCCGCCTGGCATGGTGAGGGAGCTGCGATTGGGTCGGGGAGGGAGGTTTCCTAGGGAAGAGAAGATTGAGTGAGGATAAGTTGAGGAGCAAGAGGTTTGAGGTTAATAGGAGGAGGCAAAGGGAGGAAGGGTCTCCAGGATTGATCGAGGGTTGTCGAGGATCAATGGATCGGAATGGGGGAAGAAGAAGAAGAAGAAGAAGAGACGAAGAAGGCGGGGTGGGGAGATGGAGGGGAATTTGTAGTTCTCGTGGCAGGAGTAGTGGAGTCGTGGAGTGCCGCGGAGAGTTACCTTGAGTTGGGGTCAAAGTCTGGATGGTTCAATTGCAGCAGCATGGGGAGCCAATGCTAACCCAGCAATGTCCAAGGGACGCCTCCGCAACTCTGCACGTAACTCAAAGCATCCTCGTCCCCGTCCTCGTCCTCGTCCCGTCCTGGAGTCGCGTGCTGGCGAGCAAGGGAGCCGTCAACAAAAGCCAACAACGCCAACAGGGAACCACGAGGAGGAGGATTGCTGGGGAATACGGAGTCTCTCCACGCTTTCCAGGGTCGCGCCAACCCCAGCTCGGCGGGTGAGCTGGGGTCGGGGATGCTAAGGTTCTGACGTGCAGGGGATTCCGGGGGGATATGAAGGATGAAGGGTGAATGGTGAATGGTGAATGGCGAATGGATGTATCCCATGTAACGTGTAGTCTCTCGTAGTCTCTCGTAGTCTCTCGTAGTCTCTCGTAGTCGCTCGTAGTCTTTCACCCGTAAGACTGACTGCGCAACTGCAACGCCAACTTCGATAAAACCCGGAAAAGTCCCAGGGGACAGGAGTCAAGAAGCGCCCGCAATATCAAAGCGTCCTTCTAGACGTGCCGCGCCCTGCCCAAACGGACCGATTAATCTGCATGGGTTTGTATTCTTGACTTCTCTTATACGGACGAGGCGTCGTGGGATCCAACGTCCAAGAAGCCATCGTCGACGGTGGCGCTTACCGCGTGGATTGTACTGGAGTCTGGAGTCTGGAGTCTGGAGTCTGATGATGATGACAGAAGACAACGTTCAAACAAGCTTAACCCGAGCCTTGAACCGGTGGCCAGGCAATAGCGATCGCCATTCCGCGCGAGGGGGGAGGTTAGACATTACATGGTCGTCGGCTCAACTCTCGAGGAACTGGATCATTGACCGCTCTGCGATGCGATGCGCTGCGATGCGATGCGCCTCTTGTCAGCTAAACATCACAACATCACAACTGATTCGAACCTCCCTCTCGGCCCTTATTCGGTGAGGCGGTCCGTCGATGTTCCCGAATCTCACGATGCTGGTATTATTGGTGGTGTTTGTTTCGTACAGACCAGGAGGATGGGATCTACGCTACCTTACCTAGCATGGGCTCCCTCGCCAGGGGAGGGTAAATAAGGTACATGCTATAGTATCGCCGGTCTTTTTTAGTATTTTCTTATTTCTCATTTCTCATTCATCTCAAAAAGTACTTCGCAGTCGACTTACAACAATACTCGTGGGTAGTAATTTTTGTAGAATTCTTTCAATTTCTTCGACATAACCTGTCCCCCCTTGGTCCCACGTACGCAAGGTAGACCTGCAAGAAAAAAGTAAAGCCATGGTTGGCGACACAGGACAACCTTGGCTAAAAATCAGTAAAAGCTCTCCCTCGATTTACCTACAAAAAAGGTTCGTTCCCGGCCTCAGTCGCCACTAGTCAGGGGAGCCATGCTACGCCAGATCCCACAATACCCCCGCGACTCCATACAGCTACTCCAGAATCCAAACAAAAGCAACAAAAGTACGGAGGTATTGCGGAGACGACAGAAGCCACCGGCCACTGGTCATGGAACGATACAGTAAAGCGGTAACTCATTGCAATTCGCCCGTATTTGCCCGTCTGGGGAGAGCGTCCTGTGGAGAAGAACGTGGTCCTTGACACATGTTGGACTAACGATGTTCCGAAGCCCAGAGTCCAGACCTGCTTGCTTTCCTTCTCTTTCTCTCTCTCTCCTTGAGCAACTAACAAATAGATATTCCATCACCTATACATCACGCCTCACCACCCCTCATAAACCCTTCCTCAACTTCCCCCAGCTATCACGCCCACAATCCAAGCTGGATGAAGCTGAAGCTGAAGCAACAATACAGATCACGAGGCCCCGTGACGGACGCTCCGCCGCTCCGCCGCAGCGCCGCGAAAACCGCCCCCCCCCCAACTTTCAAGCCTCCACCCCGCGCCCTCGGCTCTTCTCCTCCCAATCACCAAGCCTCCCGAGCCCGCGCGCCGAAGGAGTGGGACCGAGGCTCTCTGGATAATATGGAGGGACCTTCTTTTTTGCGCTGCCTTTTCCCGCTAGGGTTATGAATGAGTCGCCGACTGACCAATTATTAGTTAATCGATATATTTCGGCGGCGGTGGACGGCGTCGAGAGGTCTGGATCATGAGATTGTGAGATCGCGAGGCCGGGTCGTGTCGGCGGCTTTGTAGAGAGCGGCGAGCGGCTGGGAAACTTGGGGTTGGAGGGCACGAGATGCTCGGGTCATGGGAGCGGAGTGTGACCTTCTCCACGGGGCTGACTGCTTGTTGGTACGATGGTGGAGGCTCCAGGACATCATCTATCTGGTTTGCTGCGATGTACTCGATGTCTAGGCACTATACTCACCGTCATACCCAAACCTGGATTCATGTAGAACACGAGACAGACTTACTTTAGAAGCAGCTTGCCCTCTCGGACAGAGACTCCAACAGGCCTCTCCGCATAAACAGAAACAGAAAGCTGCAGTGGCTCCTTCATGAAGGTTCAGATCTCCTTACGATTCCGGGTCTGATTTCATATAGATCACGTGATCGTCCTCAGAAGATGAAGTTTATCCCAGTCAATAATTCTGTATCATCGCGTTGATACGCGTCAACGGCTCAAAACGGGCTGTACGGGCAGCCGTACCTGCCGAGGCATCTTACCTTCTCTTCTGTCACCCTGCGCGCAATTCAGCTTCTCAGATTCCCGATTCGGTGCATTCTCGAGCATATTATCTCATATATCACAGGAACAGCGCGCATATCATGACAATATACCCTACAGTAGTCGATCTCTACCCCGGAACAAGGCCAGAGGCGAAACGTACCTCACCATCTCGACCGGGAGCTTATGGCCAGGCTTCAAGGGACAGTAGCCAGATCCGGCTTTGCTGCTATGCCCCCACGAGATGTTGTATGCTTACACTCTTCCGCAGTCGCGGGGCAACTCTTGAATCTGCACACTATCAAGCAACCGAGCATATCAACCGCGCAGTGATCACCACGCTTGGTATAAAAAGACATGCGGGAAACAGAGCAGAGGAAGGTCCGAAGGTTCAGATCGCATGTGACTCGAGGCTCGAGATTCGATCTGCCCGCTACTTCCTGCACGAACGCAAGCCGTACCAGGATCGCAAGGATCCACAGTAGCCTCCATTCTGCAGGCAGACATTTCTTGGGTCCCCCTGTCTGCAGTCCGGACTGTGAAGGTGCAGTAGACCGTATTATAATTATACAACCAGTGGATAATTGATCGTCTTCACCTACCTTTCGACTCGCACCCCAAAAGGCTCAATTCTCAGGGGCAGAAAATATCTATCTGATAAACATGATACAGGTAATGAATCTCTCATATCTTGCAGGTCATTTAACCGAAGGAGCACGAACTTGCTCTCTTATACTAAAGGAGAGGAGGGATTTCAAGAAAAATGTGTTATAATGGGTGAAATCAGGAAGAAGTGAAAGCCTAGAGTAACTATCACTCTCGACAGACTCCACATGCGTACGCGATACGTAAACGTCAAAGTGTAGAAGACGACCTACTAAATCCGCCAGGCATCGACAGTGATCCCGCGAAAGGCTCCACGAAGTTGAGCCAGGTTTCCTTTCTGTAGCCAATGTGGCTACCAGAGTAGCTGGCACTGCTGGTTTTATCGTCACGCTTCCAAAAAGTCAATCGGGAAGTGCATCGCGAGCATGCTGCACAGAAGCATATTTGTTCACAGCATCTTAATTGGATCCTCGATTATTTTCCGAGAGCTTCCCGTTTGCTTTGTGAAACAGTTTGGATCTCGAAAATTATATCTCTTTCAGACTTGTGGATCTGGCACTGATTTCCTCAACGGCTTTGACAACAGAAGGTATAGTATTTTTGTGGAGATTTCTTCTAAACAGTCTTCAACTTTGGAAGAAAACCTGTAACTAAAAATCAAGCTCTGTTCAGCAGCATGATATGCACCCACTAGGGAGTTATCGCCGCTTCGTGATAGTTCATGGGATCTCATCAAAGCGGATCTTGCGATGAAATTAAAGCTCGAGAAGAAAATTTTATCTTGCATTCAGGTATGGGTCCAGCAAAGGATTTCTGCAGAATTGTGTGTAAATCATCTTAGCAGAATCAAGCTGGAAAGAATTCAAAACAATAAATAGAATCGTGGATGAAGCGATGAGGCAAATGAAGCTGGACATCCGAATCGCGCTAGTTCAATTTGTTATCGCCAAATCACGTGCCTCAGAATTGTAAGCCCAGAAAAATGACAATGCTTACAAACAACACAGCTCCACCATCCAAAGTTCTAATGTCAACACATAATCTTTCCTTTGTCACAACTGTCTGTCAAGCTCATTACTGCGTATAATTCCTGCCTTCACCATGTACAAAAGCGCCATTCGCGCGGCGCCCCGGCGTATCCTGCCGTCCCGATCCCTCCTGAATTCCAGCCCTGCCAGAAGATTCCTTAGCACAGCACCGCCGGCGGAGAAGAAGAGAGGCTGGACGAGCAGCGCTGTGAGATGGGGCTTGGCTATTGCGGGCGTCTACTACTACAACACAAGTAGCGTATTCGCAGAACAACCAGAAGGTGAGTGCTGAATCGGATCTTCATTGCGCGGATGCTGACTGGAGCGGAAGCGGCCATCCACCAACTCGACGACTCATTACACGCGGTTCAAGAATCCGATCAGCCGACCATAGATGCGATCGTGGAGGAGAAACGACGAAGACGCGAACAGCAAGCCGCCGAGGAACAACAGAAAGAGCAGCTGGCCAAGGCAGCGCTGGCCGAGGAGGAACAAGGCCAGGAGGGCGAGCAGGAGGGCGGTATGGATGGGTTAGAAGATGAGGCCAGTTCACAAGGCGCGTTTAACCCGGAGACTGGGGAGATCAACTGGGATTGTCCATGTTTAGGAGGCATGGCGCATGGCCCTTGCGGCGAGGAGTTCAAGGCTGCGTTCAGTTGCTTTGTGTACTCGAACGAGGAGCCCAAGGGTGTGGAGTGCATAGAGAAGTTCAAGTAAGTTTCATTGGCAGGACTCTGTGATCGCAACTAACAACAATCAGGGGTATGCAAGATTGCTTCCGCCAGCATCCCGACATGTACGGCTCCGAGTTAGAAGACGACGAGGATGAGGTTGAGGAAGAGCTCCATGCCAGAGAAAACGCTCAAGCTTCTGAAGAGGCAAAGGAGGCAGCGCCTGCCGAGCGGTCAATCCCAGCTGTACAGAAAGAATTACACCGCGACAGTGAACACACCGAGCCAGGAGATGCGCAAAAGATCGGCGACGAGGGTGGGGAACTGGTTCCAAAGGCAACACACGATGCTACATCATCGAACAAGAATTGATGGTGTCCGGCTTGTATAAGATGTACCATACAAAGATTCCACATGCATACAGAGGCGTTCTATGTAGACTAACGAATAAAGATCTCCTAGTATATAAGAGCACGTTGAGAACGACGTTGATATTATGCCAGTGGGCACTCGGAAGTATGATCTACCTATATTCATGAATTCATGAATACATACGTCAATTCACACAAAGGCACAAAGGGATAATTGGTACCTTTACCATTAGCTGTACCTAAGATGCTTGAGATACCTGCGGCGATTACCTCGGCTGGAAACCGATCAGGTGATCTGCTGATTCAGGATTGTGCCTGCCCTGTGTGACGTAGTTGGGCTACTGAGTTGAGCCGCCTACGTCAGTGTTAAATCCCGCTTGGAGCTGGTTGGATTAGTTCACATGCAAACCAGGCACACGATCTCAACGTCACGATCCCTTCTTTTCCCTCAAACTCTCCTCTTCTTTCTTTAAGAACCGCCTTTATTGCATTCACGACTCCTCATACGAAGAAGACATCTCTCGAATACCAAGATCTCCAAAGAAACCAACATGTCGTACGCTGCTGCTGCTGCCAAGGGCCCCAAGCAGTCCCCCGAGGAGGTACTTTGATCTTTCTCTACCTCTCCCTCTGTCCCTCCCTCTCTTTCTCCCTTCTCTTGAAGCTTTCCTTTCAGATGTTCCAAATATGACAGTAAGGCTCTTGAAAGCTTTATCCGCAGCACATTAAATATCAACACACTCTTCGTTATGACACCCCACTGACGTCAGAGAAATACAGAAACGCGCGCCCACTCCCCCCGAAATCATCCCATCCGCAAGCGCCTCGACCTCCTCCCTGATCGATGTTGATACCCCTTCCGTTCACACCGTCTCCTCCGACTTCTCATCGAAGCCTGTGAAGACAGACACCCAGCAGTCGCGCATCGAGCACGAAGCTGAGCAGGTTAAGGCACGTGCAGAAGCCGAGGCCAAGAAGCTCGCTGAGGAGGAGAAGAAGGCCAAGGCCGAGGCTAAGAAGGGAATCAGCCGCTTGGAGGCCAATGGCGATAACCCTGTAGTTGTCGGTAATGCGATTGCCGTTGTGGCGCTTAGTGCTGGGTTGGGCTTCGGTGCGTACAAGAAGTATGCGGCTGGGGAAATGTCCTGGAAGATCGCCGGTGCCTGGTCTGGTGTGGTAGGATTGTTCGTTATAGCGGATTACTATCTGAGCACGTGAGTCTTTGCTGCCCTTCCCGCCTCTGAAATGGTTTGCTGATCAACTGTGGTGGCAGGTATCTCTTCAAGAACAAATACCCACCGAAGAAGTAGAGGTTGATTGATACCTTTTCTGGGATGGTTTCTTAGGGTGGGGGTTTGTTATTACTGCGTTCTATTATCTTCTTCTGCTTTTGTGGACACTCAGCTCTCGCGTGCCTGGAATCGATTGGTTGGATGAAGGACAGTGGCATTTGACGGTGATAGATTCTAAACTAATTCAAGTGGAACTCTGATATCGCCGCAATTTAAGCTGATGCAAGTGCTTTTATGTCTGCCGATGTCGAATTCTTGAATCTGATCTACTCCGTATACACAAGGGACTTGGAAGGTATATCTTCTCTTGCGTTTATATGATCTTCTTCCCCGCAAGATCACAGTCCCCGCCCTACCCCATGGCGTAATATTCAAAGAAATGATACAGGACAGTCGTAGTCTCGGGTCAAGAATTGTGGTATGTATCAACATTTAAAAACGCGGAATCCAGCCCTGAGAAACCAACGAGGCCATTAACATTCATGAATAGTTCTCTCGATTCATCTTTGTGTTTTCGAAATTTGAGGATTTCCTGAATGTTCTATTTTCTTTTATATCAGAATCGTGATGGAAGCTGAGGATGAGAAACTTTATATATCCTAAGGTGCTTTATTTCGTTCCTTCCCCTATATATGATTTCCTACCTACCTACCTAATCCATGATGTATATATACATCCCCCCTTACCCTTACCTCCCTCTCAAAAGGAAAGAAACAACGATGAGCACATCTCACATACCTACATACCTACTCACCCAACCCGAGAAGAAAGCAACCTAACTCAACTCAACTCATCCAACGCACCAACTACCCCAAAACCGCATCTGCATAGCATACTAGCATCATTCTGGGTATTCTTGCAAGCAAGCATGTCTATGCATTGTTAAGCAGCTCAGAACTCCAGACTCGCGTTCCGAGGATTTGAATGACGCTCCGCGGAAGATTGCGACGGCTGGAACGCAGGATCCGGAGACGGTTCGGAGGGGGAAGAAGAAGAAGACGCCAGACTCAGGATCTTGTGATCGGGAAGACGGAACGTGTTAGGGGTTGGATATGGAGGGTGATCAGGGCTTGCGACCGCGAGACCGTGGGGCGTCTTTAGAGGAGCAGGAGGAGGTGAGGAGGAGAGAGGAAGCGAGGAGGGGAATTGATGGTTTGTTTTCTCTTCCCCCTTTCTTTGTTTCTTCCTTTTCCTTTTAAATGGGAGGATTTGTCTTACTGAGAGCACATACGAAAAGAAGTCCCGAATAACCCCTACTATACCGATCGTCTCGCCCCTCGCATTACGCCTCCCCTGCGCCCTACACGACCAGTAAATCCGGAAGCCTACTATGGCCCTATTCCCGGTTCTCAGCAGGAACCTACACGTCCTAGGACCCCTGTGCTCCCTATCTTCCCTGAACTCCCGCCCCGGCCTGTACTCACGACGCCCCGTAATACCCGGGCGTTGCTAAGTAATCCGCAGCAAGTGCTCGCGTATGAGAGCGTGGATGAGGTGAGGCGCCGGGGAGAGCAGAATGAAGAGCCTGATGATGCTGCGGATTCGCGTTCGCGGACGAGTGGGAACTTTAACGACCCTGGGAACTTGGCGGCGGAGGAAGAGAGGAGAAGGTTGGCGCATGGCATGTATGATGGTGTGGCTCCGGTTGCGATGAACGAGCACTCGAGGGAGCAGCTCTCGATGGATCAAGCCTCGAGGGAGCAGCACCCGATGAACCGGCACTCGATGGATCAAGCCTCAATGAACCAGCACCAGCACCCAATGAACCAGCACCCAATGAACCAGCACCCAATGAACCAGCACCCAATGAACCAGCACCCAATGAACCAGCACCCAATGAACCAGCACTCGATAGATCCAGCCTTAATGAATCAAGCATCGATGAATCAAGCCTCAATGAACCAGCACCCAATGAACCAGCATCCCATGAACCAGCACTCGACGGATCAAGCCTCAATGAACCAGCACCCGATGCACCAGCACCCGATGCATCAGCACCCGATGCATCAGCACCCGATGCACCAGCATCCAATGCACCAGCACCCAATAAACCAGCACTCGATGGAATGCTGGTTCGTCGGGTGCTGGTTCATGGGGTGCTGGTTCATGGGGTGCTGGTTCATGGGGTGCTGGTTCATGGGGTGCTGGTTCATGGGGTGCTGGTTCATGGGGTGCTGGTTCGTCGGGTGCTGGTTCATTAAGGCTTGACCCATGAACCAGCACTCGATGAATTATACTCCGATGAATCAAATTCCAATGGACCAGGTTTCGATAAATCAAATTCCAATGAGCTATATTCCGATGAATCAAACTCCCACGAACCAGGTCCCGGTAAGTCAAGTTCCAATGAACTATATTCCAATGAACCAAATGCCAATGTACCAAGTTCCGGTGAGTCAGTTCCCAACGAATCAGGGGATAGGCCTGGCTCAGGGAACGAGTGGACTGAGGGTGAATGGTTTTTATGGGGGACCTGGCAACGAGAATAGATTTGTGACTCCAGCTGTGAGAATGCCAACAACGGACCAGCAAGGCCTAGGACAAATACAGAGAGGCCCATCTGAGTATCGGGCTGCCGACACTCCAATGTTTCCAAATAACCCCTTGAAGCCGCCGCCGATGACAGGCCAGGGCACCCCGCCACAATATTTGGTAGTTCAAGACCCTGAACCAAGAGCCAAGGGGTTATTCGATGAGAGCGAGAGAAGGAGACAGCACATGATAGCGAAAACTGACCGCCGGGTGAAGCATGCTGAGCGTGAATTGCAGAGCTATCAAGAGTCGGGGATGGCATCACAGAGACACCAGCATCGGGTGCAAGACAGAATACCATTACTCTACCGACAGAGAGCTGAAAGAGCAAGACCAGCCCGAGACGAGCCGGCTTTCAGGAGCAGCCCCATGCCACCGCCCTCCAGTGAGGCATTGCATATGGGATTCGATGGGACAGGGGAACAAAGACAGCAAGAGTTGGAGAGGGGGCATAGCGAGGCAAGATCAAGAGACCAGTCATACATGGAAGAAAGAAGAGAACCAAGAGGATAGGAGAGGGGAAAGAGCAAGTCAGCGAGGCTGGATATTCGTCAGGATGGATACTCGTGGAGAGAATGAGAGGCAAGGCGATTTTTCTTTAAGGGGCATAGAATAAAGTATGGCGGATGGCTCCAGGAATCCGTTCTTGGAGACGGGAGGTTGAAATGAAGGAGTCAGGGGTTTGTTGATTGTGGTATTATGAGGAAGGATACTATAGATTGGTACCACGACTGGAATACACTACGATCCCTTGCATTCAGTCGACTGGGACTGTGTTTGCAGTGACTGATACTGTATTTGGATTCTTGCCACTTGACAGTCTCATAGTGTGAATAAAGAGAGAAAAGAAGGCAAATAAAAAAAGGGCAATAAACCAAGCATTATCGCGATGTGTCAAATCAAACAGCGCAGCGGATGCAGGCGATCAGCGTTTGATCCTCGTCTCCATAATCCAGCGATTAAGAGCATATTAATACTGAGGACTTGTAATTAAAGGGGCTCACTTCGAGTATACCTGCCTTTGTTTGTGAGAGAGCCGGGTGTATGACAGATCATATAACCAACTCTGAGGGTTGATTGTTGCATGTCGATTCTTTGCTTTTTGTTCTCTTCTCTCCGCGGCGGATGGCAAACACCAACAAACCACACGCCGAGAAGGGAATAGAAGGGTCGGAAATCCAAGAGAGAAAGGAAAAGCAGGAAGAGCGAAAGCTAAAGGAGAAGATTACCCACCGCGTATCTCGCCCACTAACTATCCTCGGAATCCGGAATGCATCGACCATGGCGATCTGATCTGTAAGGCTTAAGGCTTCTCCTCTCTCTCCACCACCGGCGCGCCGTCGATATCTTTTAGGAGATCTATCCGGAATGCCCCCCGTTTTTCCAAACAATCCGCGACGCCCGATACGCCGTACACTGTCGCAAACAAAAAGCTTCGGTCGAACGAGCCGGGCGCCAGGGATTTTCTAGCGCACCACGGTTTGGAACGGCGTTGGAGTGGGAACGAGCAACGATCAACGACCAACGAACCATCAGCGATCATTATCATTGGCCCGCAGCTCGCTGGGTCGCAGAGCGTAAGAGCGAGTGTTCTTGTCGGGTGTTGCGTTTCAACACCCAGCTTTAAGTTTCAACAGCCATGCCGGGTCCAATCCGGACCTGTGCGGATCCTGGTGCAGTGCAACTCTGCGACGAGGGGGCGCTTCAGATATAGTAGAGAGCGTACAGTGAGTATCCTTAGGAGGCGTTGTGTTTGGGGACTTGCGGCGGGTGGCGCTGGGAACTTGCTAGGGGAGCTGGACCGACTATGGACTGTCGTGCTATAGGATCCGGTTTCGAGTTTCCCTCTCCGGCTGGATCTCGACGGTTGATGATCTTTTGTCCGCTGTGGATGGGTCAGAGAAGAGGCCGCCCAGAGAAGGGCAAGTCTCGCGATGAGCCAAAGGACAAGAGCCTGTACTAAGAGGAATCAGAGGCTTCTGGACCAGAGACTAAGCACCGCCCATCCATCACTAACACGCGTCGGTACCAGGCAAAACGTCTTTGCACGGTTACAACTTCTGTACGAATATGTACCTCCGCATGTGTTGTGCTGCCGGACAGTACCTCTTCTTCGTTCAGGAAGAGCCACAAGATCATCGCCGCGTCAGCCTCAGCTAGAAGATCTGCCGCCCTCACGATACACCATCACCCCTGGGCCCTGGCTATTTACTCTTGTATACTGGATCCCAGGTATTCATGGCCCATGGAATTCCCCTGGTGCCCCCCTGAGTCCCTGACTACTGAAGCGACAAGCGAAGGCCAGACTCCAGACCTCCAAAACCTCCAACCAACCAACCAAAAACTTCAACTCCCTTCACTTCTTCTTCTCCACTGTCACTTTGTACCCACTGCTCCCTCCAACTTCTCCCGCAGCATGGGCAGCACGGACAACGCCCTGAAGAGGCGCCCCTCCCATATAGCCTCGAGTCCGACGTCTTCTGGTTCGTCCTAGACCCTTCAGTGCATTGAAGCCACCTCCCCCACAATTATGCCGCGCTCTGTGTTTGGTGTCTCTTGCCGGCCATGTTTTGCCTGGGACGGGTAGATCTCGGTAGGTAGTATAAGGAACTCGAGCACTGCATGTGCGGAAAACACTCTCTGTCCTTCTTCTTCTCTTTCTCTTTGAGTCCATCCATTTCCCTTCTGTGTAGCTGGTCTCCCCCCCGTCCTATAGCCAGCTCTCGTCCTTTCACCTCCCCTTCTTTTCGTTGTATTATTTTTTCCCTCAGAAGTTGCATTGGGGCGGGCCATCATTCTTTTTTTATTTATTGTATATGTGCTGAGCATCTATCTGTCTTTCTACGTCGAGCTTTTCCGCAGCTGTCGTTCACGCGGGAAGTCGAACTACCCCTATCCATCCGTACTGAAGAGCTACCACCTGGTGTGGATCATCTTCAACATGCCTTCTTTTCTTCAGACCTTCCTCCTCCTCGCTCTCGTCTCCTTCGTTCTCGCCGCTCCCTTCCCCGAACAGGTCCAAAAGCGAAGCTTCAAAGTCGAGCGGGTAGCAAACCCCCACTTCAAGCGGTCACTGGGCCACAAACGGGCTCCTGGCGCTGGGCCAAGAGCGCTCGTCAGAGCATACAGGAAATTTGGCATGCCCCTCCCGGAGGCCCTGGGTGCCATCATCGCCAATGCGGGCGCGGGTTCTTCAGCAGCTGGGTTAGCTACTGAACTGTCAGACATCCTGGGCGACGGTGGAGAAGCAGGATCAACATCCAAGGGCAAGGAGAAGGGCAAACCCAAGCTGAGGCCGTCCCCAGCGCCTACAGGGCTACCCTCCGCCGCGCCTCCAGCGACTGGCGTACCCAAATTCAGCAACAGTACTGGCGGGGCCGGGAGCGTCGCAAACACGCCTGAGGCCGGCGATGTCGAATACCTCGCGCCAGTCACGATTGGAGGCCAGACAGTGAACATGGACTTCGACAGCGGCTCCTCGGACCTCTGGGTCTTCAACACGCAACTCAGCCTGAACACGCTGTCCGGGCATATGGCCTACAACCCGGCGCAGTCCAGCACCTTCCAGCTGCTCCCAGGCTCGACCTTCAGCATCTCGTACGGCGATGGCTCAGGCGCCGCAGGCAACGTCGGCACTGACACGGTGAACATCGGCGGGGCCACCGTGACAGGGCAGGCCATCGAGCTCGCCACGGACGTGTCCACGAGCTTCGTCACCGACACTCAATCGACGGGCCTCATTGGGCTCGCCTTCAGCAAGCTCAACACGGTCAAGCCGGTGCAGCAAAAGACCTTCTTCGACAACGCCCTCGCGACGCTGCCCGAGCCCGTCTTCACGGCCGACCTCCGCCACAACGCCGCCGGCACCTACGAGTTCGGCGCCATCGACTCGACCAAGTTCTCGGGCCCGCTCGCCTGGACCCCCGTCAACACCACCAGCGGCTTCTGGCAGTTCACGTCGCAGGCCTTCGCGGTCGGCGGCGGCGCCCCGAGCACCAGCGTGCCCGGCGGCCAGGCCATCGCCGACACGGGCACCACGCTCATGCTCGCGGACCAGAGCGTCGTCGATGGCTACTACAGCCAGGTGCAGGGCGCGGTGAACAATGCCACGGTCGGCGGCGTCACGTTCCCGTGCAGTGCGACGCTGCCGGATCTGCAGATCGATGTCGGAGGCACGATGGCTACGGTCCGCGGGGATGATATTAATTTCGCCCCGGTGGATCAGACTGGTACTAGTATGTCCCTCCCCCCCCCAATTCTCTTCCAACCCCTCCCTCTCTCTCTCCAAACAAAACATTCACAAAATTACCCAAGAAAAACAACTAGCTAACATATATCCCCAGCCTGCTTCGGCGGTCTCCAAGCCACGACCGTGCAGCCGCAGATCTACGGCGATATCTTTTTCAAATCAAACTTCGTCGCTTTTAACGGCGGGAATAACAGTCTCGGGGTAGCTCCGCATCAATAGTTTTGTTTCCTCGGGGGGTTTTTTGCTTTTTGTTGGGATGGGTTGGGATGGGATGGGTATGTGTGCGTAGAAAAAGGATGGGAGAAGAAAAGAAGGAGGTGTGATTGATGGATTGATTGATTGGTGATAGATGGGATAAAAAGATGAAGAAGAGGATAGAATAGGAGGGTTGTAGAATCCTATACCATACCATACCATAACATACCATACCATACCAATACCTAAGGTACACAACATATTTATAAAGATATAACCATAAATAAACGTACCTACCTTATGCAATGAAATGCCATACATGAAATGAAATGAATCATCACGACAAATGGATGGCAATCAACAGCTTGCTTGCTAAGGTAAGGTACGCACGGCTCACTCACTCACTCACTCACTCACTCACTGACTTACCTACTTCTTCCACAGACACAGCAAGGAAGCGAAGGAAGGAAGGGAACAGAAATGAGAGAAAACGCGGGTATTGATTTAAAAAAAACCACCACACGCACAAGGCCGAACTGATGATCCAGGCTTTGTAGATGGTAGATGATAATGCAGATGCAGATGCAGATGCAGATGCTTAGTTGAAGATAGGATGGAAAGAAAACCAAGTAAGTAAGGCAAATCCGGACTCCCCTCCCCTCCCCTGCCCACCCAATTTCCAATATATATAGAACTCCGTAACGTGGCGATGGTGATGTTAATGAATCAATCAATCAATCAATCAAATATACAAGATCCCTTGGGGATCGGAACAACGCGGGCTATGCACGCCCAGCAGCGACCCGCGGGGAATAACTCAGCACGACTTCTTCGTCGTCACTGCTCGCGTCACTCATCTCGTCGAGTAGGCGATCGAGCGCGTCCTCCCTGCTTCCGTCGTCTACTCTGTCTAGCTTGCTCGTCCTTTCCACCCGCGTCTCGCTGCTGTCGTCGGTTTCCGTCGTGATCTCTTCAAAACCTACTCTCCTACCCTGAGCTCCGCGCCCTCCTCGTTCCTGCGCGTTGTACTCTACTCTTAGAGGATTCGGCTGCGGACTCGCGAGGTTCGGATTCGGTCTCGCCCCGGGAAAGGGAGCGTGTCCCATGGTCCCTGAATTGCCGGGGCTGCTCATGAACAGCAGCGTCTCGATCGCGTCTTGTTCCTGGATTGTTTTCTGAGTAGGGGTTTGCATCGGCTTCTCTCTCAGATCCGCGCGGATCGGTGTGCGAGGAGTAGAGGTGTTGAGGGGAGAATTGGACCCCTGGCCGGGGATTGCAGGTGGTTTGGCGAATTTCGAAGCGTGTGATCGGCGCGAGTTGGTCGAGGGTCGGATATCGGCCGGGGGTGCGAGGAAGGCTTTGGTGGTGGGTGGAGATGCGATGTAGGAACGGTGAGGGGGGACGCTGGAAGAGTGGTCGCGCCAGAAGGACTCGTATGTCCTTAATGATGGCTCACTTCTGGAGTACAAGTCGAAATCCTCTGTAGGGGCTTGCATTAATGGGTGCATCGGGTTGCGATTCTGGCCTTGGAGAGCAATCATAGTTGCGCGTGGCGACGCAACGTGATTCCTGCGCCCGTGTAATGTCGAAGTCGATGATGTCGGCGATCCAGCCTGGGATGCCAGTGACTCCACCTCTTCAATTGTGTTGGATTGCCATCCATTGTTAACTTTGACCATTGCGTAAGATAAACGCGTCCGCAGTTCCGCAGACAGCTGGGCGGAGTTAGTGAGTGTATGTCATGAAATAGGTAATCCACCGCTCACCTCTCCAATTCTACTACTCGTACCAGAAGATATATTACTGACGGCGCTCGTGGTCCTTGAATGACCACGAACGCGAAATTCGCGGGGGCTGGCTGGTGAAGGCGGCTTCACCTGCCCATCTGCTGTTCTCTTATGCCCCGCAGTTGAAGCAACGGCAATGTTCGGTCGCGCCGCCGGGGGAGTAGCCATCGGTTGCTGAGCAGCAGCAAGCTGCGAGAGTTGCGATAATTGGGAAATCTGACCATCCTGAGTCGTGCCTTGGGAGGAGAAGCCATCGGAGGTCGAGGTCGGCGGCGTCGACACGCCGTCATGTCCATCTGCCGTCGACTGCGAGTTGTTACTACTCGACGTCGACTGCAGCGCTCGAGCTGTGCTGCTCTGGGATTCCTGGCTTCCTCCAGCGTTCGACGTGGTCCCGCCAGATCCTCCCATGTGCTGGGATTGTTCCTGCGCGCCGGCCGCGTTCTCCTCCCTCGCATTGCTCTTCATGTCGACACCCGTCGCGTTCGGATCTGACCGCGATGAGGCGACGTTACCCGCGGAAGGCTGGCGGCGATGCGGAGACTGGGCGACCTGATTGAGGGCAGCAATGGCGACTTCGTGAGGATCCATCAATGATCCGTCTTCCCCGAATGTTCCCTCGTGAATGAAGCGTGCGGCGGATGCCCGTCCAGATGTCAATCCGGCAGAATGCGCTCTCGTCTGGCAGGCCGAATGATCGTGGCGGTACGGTGCCGGGGTGACGGGGCGCGGTCTGGCAAGTCGAGCAGTCGAGGGATTCCCACGCGTTGCTTCGGGGGCACAGAGGTGAAAGGGATGGCCAACTGCTGATGTTTGAGCCGCAAGGGTCTGGCAACAACAGACGGGGCGAGAGACGATTAATGATGCTGCGTTGAGCGGAGAAGTTGTATCTGGACTGGCTGGTCGTGTCGATGCGGGAGAGGTGCGCACGTGATCCCCCACTTGATGCGGCACGCGAAGTCACGGGAATGGGCCGCGATCTGGGCTGACGACGAGACACGGAGAGAGGGCAACGATTTCAAGGGTCGGATGGGAACGGAAGAGCGTTGAAGAGGAAGTGGTTGGGTGTATGAGTACTTCTTTTCAAGTTAAGCATGGCAGAACGGTGGTATAATGGTTCAATTGGCAATACTGCCTCAGCTCCTCTACACAAATCTCCTCGTGCTCCCACCAAGATCTATAGTCCCCCCTCTGCGAGTTGTTCCCACCGTAAAGCTCTAGTCCTCCTTAAAGCAAGATGCCGTTTGAATTCTCGTAGGACGAGGCTCGCGAAAAGGGCCCCATAATTGATCCCTGGCGCCTGATTTCATCCGCTGAATTTCTAAAGCAGCATGGATCGAGAACGTATATGATAACTCCTCAATCTTCAAAACTAGGCAAGCCAGGAATACCTCCTCATGTATAGAGGGGAGTGGTGCATTTTCTATGTGCCGATTAGCAGGAAAGACCGTGATAAACATTAAAGAGAAATGTAGAGAGAGGTCTTTACCATTTGCAGTCCTAGACACGTATATGTTGCCGTCAGAAGAGGCAATATAGATCGCAGTATCTAATCTGCTGCAATCCTTTAAAGCCCATTTCCCGTGACGTTCGTCTCGACCTTCGGCATGGTGAAGGAGCGACGCATTTGCTTGCTTCAGCATGGCACTGGATGATATGGTTCCAGGACCCCAAGTTCATATTCATCAGCCATCAATACCCGTCGACATTTTACCCCCCTTGGCCAACTCAATCAGCTTCTCTACCAACATTCCCGTCGCGCGCCTCTGGACATCACCTCCATCAGAGATGCTCGGCTCTGTCAGCTTCGCCTTGCCTTCCGCACCAAGCACAAAAGAACCACACGCAATCTTCAAGATCTTGACGCTCTCATGGCGCATATCCAAAGCCAGATGCGTATGGACATAGCTCGTCAACGCATCCGTGAACGGCTGAGGGTTCTCCTCACCTCCGTTCCTTGCAATCCTCTTCCCACTCTGCACAAGACGCGGCAGGTCCTCTCTCGCGATCAGAATATCAATAGTCTTGAGCGACTGATTCACAGACGGCAAGTCGAAGCCGATAACGACCTGCACATCCTTCAGGATCTTCCGTAACGCCTGACTACTCTCCGCCAGCTCCACAGCCTCCCCATCTTCCCCTACCAAGCAATTCGTAATATATGACTCGAGAGCTGAAGTCAGGTATCCTCGCCCGAGAGCCAGCGCCGAGACACGCGTATCAAACGTACTAGCCAAGAACCCCGTAAACGTATCTCTCAGCGCGCCCGGCATGCGCGTCAACAGCAGCGGAAAGCGCTGGAACCCCTCCTCTATATCCCGCTCCTCTCTCCCCCGCAGCAAGAAAGCCGCGTATCTCGCCTTCTCATACGAAACCACCACATGTATTCCCCTCCCCTGACCAACAACCTCCATCTGCGTCTCGTCCCCGACATCGCCGTCCCAGAACTCCTCGTCAACTAATACCCGCCAAGTCACGGTCTGTAAAGCGCCCACGCGCGCCAACACGTCCTCGTCTGATCCGAGCCCGACTCGCACTCCGCGCAGCACATCCCCGGCGAGCAGATCGCGAAAGCGTCGCGCGTGCGCGAGCAGAGAGGCGTTGGTCAGAGGTCCGCTGTGGCCGATATACAAGGGCGCGAGACGGTGCAATGTGAATGTCGTGTTGTAGAGGGGATATGGTTCTTGGTATGAAGCGTCCTCGGTCGCCATTGTCTATCCCTGACGACGTTGTGAATGCTCGATGTGCAGGGTAGTATGATAGATTCTGAAGATTACTCTCTTGAAGTCGCGTCGCGTCGAGGGGTAAGTTTGACGCGTTATCTTGCGCGGTAGGTCTGTTGGTTCGTTATTCTGCTGCTGGACATGGCGAGCTGTATATGGAAATGCAGATATGTATCAAGAATCGGTTAATAAGAGACAGCGAAGTTGGGTGTTAGAGGTCCTTCACTCCAGGCGGGGAGTTGGCCATCGTCGATGTGATCTCTCGCTTATTTAGGGGAGGACTAGCGCGAGAAACTACCTAGGTACACAGCGAGCGCAGCTATAGGTACTTCTGCGATCCTGGAGGGGCAAGTGGTTATAGAGTAATATTGGGATATTGTGGGTAACAAACTATTTGGTTGTTGTTAATGATCCTATCGAGGGGTTTCAAGCTTTGTATGTGGTAATTATAAAACTCCCGTTTGGATTCAGCGGATATCAGCGAGTGCTGACCCACGATTCAACTACATGAGATGAAAGGGCCGCATAGACAGGAGTGTTTTCTTCTAAGATCTATGAATTCACCGCTAGCTAATTCAGTCAGCAAGTCCAGTTCCAACCGGCAATCACAAGTCTTCATATTTGCAAACCCCTTCCTCCAAGCCCTTGATCTGCAAGGCCAGCATCTTCGAGTACCATCGGCAAAGCGCCAGATTCCCGCCCATGAACCAGAACCCAGGATGTCCCGTTTTCCTCCACATGGTTCGGATCTCGCCTTCTTCATCAAAGCCCCAGACGTCCTTCACCTTGTCCGCGACCTCGTCGCCAAAGATCTTTCGGCACTGTGTTCGCATGTTCAGATACCCCGTGGCGAAGACGATTTCGTCAGCTTCTAGGATTTCGCCATCGGAGAATTTGAGGCCTGTGGGAAGGACTTCGGTAATCTCCTGGCCCTGCTTGACCTTGATCTTACCGTCGATGATCAGTTGGGAACAGCCGACGTCAAGATAGTAACCGCCCCCACGTTGCAGGTACTTGATCCAGAGACCGCTCCCCTCAGGACCTTTGTCTAGCTTGAATCCCGCTTTCTCGAGACCCTGGAGTAGTTTCTCGTCCGTTTTGTTTTGTCTTTGTGTCATGGCAATATTCATACGCTTGGCAACTTGGTTGGGAATGCTGTGAGAAATCATATCGGCGTCAAAGGTTGGGGGGCTGCCTTCACCATATAAGGGGGACAGGTCCTGGAGATTAGTCTCTGCAGATACGACAAATGTTGATGAGCGCTGTATTATGGTGACGGCGTAGCCGTTCTCATAGAAGTCTTGCGCAATATCGTGGCCGGAGTTGCAGCAGCCGACTACAATTGCTTTTTTGTTTTGTCCTTGAGAAGGAACGGCACCGGTAAATTTCGACGAGTGAACGAGCCGGGCGCCTTTGAATGTGGAGAGCCCTTTAAGGTGCGAGGGAAAGTTAGGCTCTCCACTGTGGCCGGTTGCTTGGATTACGTGCTGACGAATATCAGATCTGGGGTACTGGTGGGGAGGATGGAATTACCTTTGGATGGAAAACGCGAGTCTCTATCTTGCCATTATTAGAACGCTCTAAGGTTATCGTCCACATCCCAGCAACCTCATCCCACGAGGACTTGGTGATATTTGTCTTGGTCCAAGCATTCAGCTCCAGCAGCTTCACGTAAGATTCGAACCAATCACCAAGTTTGTCTTTCGGTGTGAAGATAGGCCAATGTTCTGGAAACGGGAGGTATGGAAGATGGTCGTACCAAACTGGATCATGAAGGACCAACTGATGGTAGCGACTTCGCCAATTATCTCCGATTCGGTCTTCCCGGTCGATAATCAAGGATTTCACACCTAGCATCTTCAGTCTTGCCGCCACCGTGAGACCAGCTTGTCCAGCACCTTCGGAAATCAGTCAGCAAATGTGTAAACAGAGATTGGTCCGCTCACCAAGAATAAGGACTGTCGGCTCCTCTCCATCCTCAAAGTTCTCCTCCGCCTTTCGTCGATCCAACCAATTCTTCCTCGAGACATGCTCCCCATGCTCTACCCCGTTTGGTCTCCTCCTTCCCACCGTCTCCTCAAACCCCTTAAGCCCCTCCAAGAACGTATAAAGCGTGAACGCCTTCCATGACCCACTATCGTGGACCAGCCTCACGATCCCCCTACCGTGTCCGACATCAGTCTCAAGGGTCAGGAAAGCTTGAACAATGTGCACTTTGCCGTCACTACCAAAGGACAATGCCGTAGGAGAGCGGAACGCGGTACTTTTATCGAGGCTCACTGATTTGAGCCGGCATCCATTCTCTGATTCCTTGAGCAGGGAGATGATTTTCTCAGGCCCTTGAAGGCAGTGAAAGTCCCAGGCGAGGCAAAGCTGGTCTCGCCAGTAGGATTCGGGGAGGAAGAGGTCGGAGATGCTGGCGAGCTGAAGAGTTCTGAGGACTTTGTTGAAAGATCCTGCCCATGACTCCGCTATGCTGTTGGCGTCCGTGGGTGGTGGTGATTCGATAGGAAGAGTTGCGGGACGGAGTGGAAAGGAACCAGGCTCAACGCGTTCGGAGGACGGGACGTCGACCGGTGTTTGAGTGGCAACGCTTCCCATTGCGGTAATGTGTTTGCTACAAGTGATTCTTAAAAAGTATGAATCTGATCAGAGTGAGGAAGAGTAGAGAAGAATAGGAAAGGATGAGAAGATGAGAAATGAGAGATGAGATGAGCAGATGAATGATAAGAGTCTGTAGATACGATGAATTTATGAGACGAAGAATAATGGGAGAGAAGGAACGATATGTAATCCACACTGAATGTAGTGTAACTCGATGCACTGCACGACGATAACGGGAAAAAGGAAGCTTTTCCGGAGGTTCACTGAACTATCTGATATTGGGTGGTTTAGCAATATACGATGTGATATCAATCATAATCATATCATGATATGGACCTTCGACGGGATCATGGGGGAAGACGAGGGGAAGCGGGGAGGAATGGGGTTGGCGGGGTTGGTTGATTGGCGAACCTCGGCAGAGTTTCCCTCGTGCTAATGTTATACCGAAAGACAATAAAGTCAACAACTCATTATTGGAGTCGGAGTCCTGAGCCGTTCACTGCGCTTCGTTGGATATCGAATATCCAGAGCGTTGTGGCGTGCGGCCAGACTCATCCATGCTTCTATACACATCAGCACAAACAACTGCACCGCCAGCAAAGGCCGCCCCAGATCTCGTCAGAACTTCCGCCTCTGGCAAACACGTTGCACTCCCCCTGCCCCTCCCCCTCCTCCCCACCACTCCGAGTGTAGTATCGATGGTGTCTCATACTAAGGAAACTCCGTATGGAGTCTAGAATGATTGATAATCTCCTTGCCCAACCCGGAAATAATGGGGTTTAAAGACTTCACTCATCCATAGGTCGGTCCCCGGCAAAACTATCTGATAAACCATGACGTGTCATAGGAGGTATCAAAGAGACTATCAACTCAAGCATACTATTTTGAAATCTATGCATTACATAGATAAATCCCTAATCAATAAAAACAAAGCAGAAGAGGGTGGACGCGGAGGAGTTGTTGCATTGCAAAAGACATGGGTTGATGGCGAATAAGAATCCTTTTAAGTGATTGGTCAGCAGAAGTCACGGCTTTTATACAATCGATGAAGAACTTAAAAGATAACTCCCCGAGAGACCAATGAGTGAAGTACCAGTGTCAAAGAAGTTCATTGCATTTCTCAGATATCTCCTCTAACTCTCTGCCTCCCTAAGAGACTCCAGATCTCTGGAAACAGACTTTTTTTTTCCACATAAATTGGACCCAACTATCAGCCTGATCAGAGAAGTTCCCGTCTTACCCACCGATCTAAATCATCGGGGTAGTTTTGATGCATCCGGAGATTAGGGTTGATTCCGCTTCTTGGGTCAAAGCCCTCCCTCAGATTCTCTCCAACGCGATGTGCATTCTGCCAGAACCAGTCATGCTCATAATTAAATCTCTGAAAGTAATGTCAGCGATTAGTAGCGCCTTTGAAGATATTTCTGGAATCAATACGAACTCTTGGACCCTCATGATGCCAGTCCTTTCCCATCTTCTCCGGGTCAATCTGACCAGTTCGGCGGTACTGTCGTAATAGTTGTCTCGCTTCCCCAGCGGTAAATCTCGGGTAGTTGTGATTCCCATTGAGGGCGATTCGATTGCCAAACCAGTCGTGCGGAATTGCCCAGTCCGTGTAGCGCCGAGTGTGTGGATCGTATCGACGGGTTCCTCTCGAAACATGGTGATTTGCAAGCTCGTCAAAGTGGTAGTCCTGGAAGTGGTAGGAGTCCCTGTCAAAGGTCAACCTTGACTGACGCCTGTCAACAACAATAAGTCCTTACCAGTTACCCCACAAATCTGGTCTGATGGCTTCTCGGCTCCCTCCTCTTTGAAGGAAGACGTCTGGGCCCCTGCCAGTCAAAATATTGTCCAATCTTCCAAAGAAGCCGCGGTGTCCGCTCCGCCCCTTTGGGCCATCTTTTGGCCAAACAAACTGGAGTTTCTTTCCTTTTGCCATTTCTCTCTCTAAATCAGTTCCGCTAGGAGCTGAAATATCAATTTGAAGAAGCTTTAACTGAGTGGCAGCAGAACGTGCCAGCACTGAAATGCCCGTAAAATCCGCACACGCCTTGATGAAATATAGCCACTACTTGATGACTCTTATACAGCACTTTCATCTAAGTTTGACTTCTGTAATAGTTTCCATTGCTTGCTGAGCTGTCGTTGATTCCATAAAGCACACTTAAGCCAGCAAACGGATATGGAAACTACAAAGAACCAATAGAAGTGCACTAACACATCATCCACCACTCCACCAGCAGCGGCAGCGGCTCTGAAACTATATGAGCCTTCTACTGCCTTGAGCCATGCTTCCCGCACCGGGGAGAGGAATTAGACGTTGAGGAGTCAGCGGATCTTCAATCCGATGAAAAGAGCGAATATGCATGATGCAACTTGCCGTGCGGTCTGAGCTAGAGAGTGTGTCACTGTCCGATTTCAGCCTCAGTCTTATATTAGCAATCATTGAAGATATTGGAAGCGATCTTGATATCTTGATATATCTCGATATGTACAGTAAGGTAGGTAGATAGGTACTGAATCGTGAATGTAACATGGAAGCGATCTTGATATCTCGATAGAGAGGGGGCGCGCTAGCGGCCGCCTCACATGGTCTGTGCAGTAAACACTTCCAACAGACGCGACATGATCAAGAACCAATTCCAACGTCTTGCCATTCTCCCTCCAGATATTCCTCAATTACATTGACGTCACGTCTTTGTTGAGTATCCGCACATATTATAGAGTTGGTTTCTCCTTGAAACTATCCAGCAGACCCTCAGGGCGGAAAGAGGCGCAGAATATCCTCGGCGCGTCCACTTCAGCTACCGCTCCTGTCAGAATCTTATATCCAGCTCTGCGACATTATACGACTGCTGTGTGGCATTATCCGCGCGGGCTTAGGCGATCCATGTATTGCAAGAATCTTTACACCGTCAGATTCTCCGAAAAACATACGCTTTCCTAAAGACGGCGGCCGACATCCTCCATACACCAGACCTACAAGACAGGCACATGCCCCTGTATAGTCTCTCCAACATACCGAGAAAACATTCCGCCAGCAATCTTGAGACTTTGAAAAGCCTAAACCCCCCGTCGCATATCTCAATGCCCTGAAAGACTCGGACAGATTTATCCTCTGCTTGAACACACTGGCGGGAAACAGACCAATTCCAGCGTACCAGGAACAACAGACACTGGTACAGTCAGTGTCATTAGGAACTCTGCTATAAGCATTTGATGAAAGATGGCTTGAATCTGGAGCCTTTTGATCAGATTGAGACGCGTTTAGCTGCCCGATCAGTCTATCCGCGAGACTCTAGTAAGGCTACCCGACCTGGAGCACTTTTCAGGTGTTGGAAGCCCAGGAGCTTTTTATATGCAGAGGAATTCTTGGACGGTGTCTCCATCTACTTGATGAGCCATGCCGACTATCAATGTTAAGCCAGGTGAAGACCTGCTGATGCAGGAGGTTGCGGACACAATGGGAAGATCAAAGAAGGTTGTGGTTGTGACAGGGGCAGGAATCAGCACAAACTGTGGCATACCTGTGAGTAGTACACAAATGGACTGCTATCCCGTATCCCTTCTAACATCACACAGGACTTTCGCTCGGAAAATGGGCTGTACTCATTAATCCAAGCTCAATACGACGCTGCAATTCGAAATCCTCCTTGGGAAAAGAAAGACGAGTTTGATATTGATGACAGACCCAAGAAGAAGAGACGTGTTAATGAGAGGTGGTTTTATGAAGTGGTTTATCCTGAAGGAACAGGGCCTGAAGACTTCCAGGATCTTGAACAAGAAGAGACGCAGACGCCACAGTCTCCAGGATCACAACAAACCAGCAAGAGAAATTCTGGCACGCTTCTCGAACAAAAACCTACCGATGCTCCTTCTCGTCAGTCTTCGGTAACACCTCAGGGGTTGAACGAAGAACCCCCCTGCGTCAAAAGTACCTCCATGATAGTGAACGCTAGTTCGTCTCTCGAGACCTCCCTTCGAAGATCTACACGTCAGTCACGACATTGTGACAATAATCTTCCTACAAGCTCCTCCACGCTAGAAGACAAGAGACAGTCAATTCCAACATCCTCTTCTAGGTCGAAACAGGCAGAAATCTCATTAAAGACAGAAGCCGTCACGCCACAGAGATCCCCGCCAACTGATTCCAAGTCTGAGGTGTTTTCAAAAGGTCAATCACAACCTGACAGAACAGGAACTCCTTCAAGACCTGTTGCATTAAGCAGCTCCTCACCACTGAGCACCCCTTCTTCATCTCCCTTGCTATCACCAGAGCATCAGCTGGTGGCACCTCTCACTCAATCAGATAGGACTGGCAAAGACCCAGGCTCTCTATCTACAGAGTCCTGCCCCACGATAAACCCCGAAACCAATCCGCCTCTCGCCCAACAAGCTCAGCAAAGAGACGAGACAACTTCAGCATCCTCCCAGTCAGACAACGAGCCCACCAACCTTGATTCATCACAGACTTCATCACGTCCGCTTCGAAACTTGAAAGGGCGAGATTTGTTTGATTCTATGATCTGGACCGACGCCTACAGTACCTCGATATTTTACATGTTCATTTCGAGTTTTCGGAAAAAGGTTCTTCATGATGTCAAATCCACCAGCCCAACCCACAAATTCCTCCGCACGCTCAGGGATGGTGGCCGTTTGGTACGCAATTACACACAAAACATTGACTGTCTGGAGGAGCGCGAAGGCCTCGCTACTGACCTTACGCTTGGGCCGGGCAGTCGATCCCGATTCCACTCGAAGACGCAGCGCGAGCCCAGACCCTCAGACGTTGGAGGACACAGTCCTCACAGCACAGGAGTCGAGTGCGTTCAACTCCACGGCAGTGTGGTGTCTCTACGGTGCGGACTTTGTAGCAAAATATCGAGATGGGACGAAGCGGAACGAGAATCGACCACCCTAGCGGGGAAGGCTCCAGACTGCCCCTCCTGTACAGAATACAATGCCAAACGTACCGGCCGAGGACGAAGAGGTCTCGCTGTTGGGAGACTCAGACCCGATATCGTGCTCTACGGGGAAGAGCATCCAAATGCCAACCTAGTGGCACCTCTCATCACGCACGACTTGGGGTTGGGTCCGGATGTTCTGCTCATATTGGGTACGAGCTTGAGGGTTCATGGTCTGAAGGTTATGGTCAAAGAATTTGCGAAAGCTGTACACATGAAAGGTGGAAAGGTGATCTTTGTCAACCGGACGAAACCACCGGAGAGTACCTGGGGTGATATAATTGATTATTGGGTGGAGTGGGATTGTGATGCCTGGGTGTTAGATTTGAAAGAGCGAAGGGGAGATATCTGGCTGCCGCAAGGTAGCCAGATGGAGAACCGCAGAGAGTCGGCGGGGGAGCCGAAGCCGAAGCCCGGCACCAAGAAGGCCTCGCGGCCTAAAGCAACGAGGGACGACAAGATGAACGGGGTCTACCAAACGTTTAAGATCCTCGACTTGCTCGGCAGTATCACCGCCGAGCAAGGCCAGCAGTCAGGCCGGCCCATGTACTGGGAGAAGCCGGTAAGGACATCTACAGCTCCCATTCCGAAGACCGAACCAGCCAAGAAGGGGTCGAAAGCTCGGCCGGCACAGAGAGGGACGGATGATGCGACGAAAACAAACAAGAAGCGCAAACCCAAGGCCGGCAGTGTACGGGACGAAAACTATAACCCTGAACACATTGCGATCATCTCCAAGAAATGGGAGGCGCTCCGCGCTACTGCGCCCAGCCTCCCAGCGAAGGTCCCAGAGTCCGTCCTTCGATCTGGCCGCGTCGTTCTAGAAGAATTGAAGGCTAATATTCCGAACCACCTCAAACACTACAACTTCTCTTTCACCCCAGGCGAAAATGCCAAGAATACCTTCAGTTATCTCCCGAACTTGCCAGGCTTGAGTCTGCCGGTCGAGATGAACCTCATTACCCATCCTCCATCGGGCATCTCGCTCCCGCTTCACTCTCCGACCACTTCCCGGGGCCGTACGGCCGATCATCCATCCAATACACGATCCGCCCGCCACTTCTCTTCCGATAGCACGCTCATAGTGGACAGCGAATGTTCGGCCGAGGACACAATCGTCGTTGCGCCTCCTCCGACGCCCAATACAAAGCGAATCAAGCGGATGGGCTCCCTCGGCACTATTCTGTCTAGCCCCCCAGAGATATATCACGATGCGGAGGAGGCACTGGACGAGGGAAGCTCACAGGAATACCATGATGCGCTTGAATGATGATAAAACTTGGATGGAGTGGTTGTTAGGTTACGAAGATCGAATGAATAATGAATGTATAGCTCGAGTTGTCTCGGAATATAAACGCCGAGCGTAGGTCTCCTACCTCTAATGCTTCAATGTAAATATCCTCAGAAGGTACTACCTGGGTAAGACATGGACTCACCTAGCTATGCTATCCTCATCCACATTACATACACACATGCACACACTCTCTTTGTTGCACTTCGCAGTCTGCACCCAAATATAGACAAACGCACCTCTGGCATCCTCTCAAACACCTCTTGAATCCCCCTACCATCCTCCATTCCTCAGCCGTCCCAATCCCACACAGACGTCAAATCAAACCACCTCTTTCATAAGCTCTGGAAACTTTGTTGCACATCGCATTCCAGAGTTATATAAATAACTGCTGTAATGCAGAGAGCTGTTTCGAGGGATCAGCGGGGCGGGCGCGGGGATGGAGAGGGCTTCGTGGTGTGGAGAGGATCGGGTTATATATAGATAAATGAAGGAATGAGTAAATAGATTGATTGTTCTATCGATTGATTGATTAACTAGTTAATCTGACCAAAGTTCTCTCAACACCAAGATACGTTTCTCGTTGGTACTGTACTGTTGTTGTTCATTACCCATCCATCCATCACCTACCTCAATTAACTACCTTACTTGTTCAACAACTTTTAAAAAAACAGCCCTTCTAAATAAAAAAACAACCCATTCGAAAACAAATCAATCCTCCATATCTGCGCAGGAATCGCAGATTGTATATATAAATAGCAAGCGCTCACACAAAACTGGGTTTCACGACGCGACGAAGGATTCGGACGGGTGAGGCGAGTACCGTAAGGCGGGCAAGGGTAGTTTTGGAGGGGAGAGAGAAAGATTAAGAAGGAAAGATTGAATAGATTTAATTAAGATTGAGATTGAGATGGAATTAAATAGGAATCAAATTAACTGAGTACCTACCTATGTAAATTGAATAAACATACATTCATCTGTCTTACATCTGTATGTTTAGACTTCGCGGTAAGGGGCATAGTAGGGTAAGGTACCTTAATTGGTTCACAGTCCCCACCCCGCATATACATACGCTTTTGATCCCCACAACTCCAACAAACATACAATGGGCGTGTGGTTTAGTGGTATAATACCTCTTTAGCAAGCGTGATTTCAAGCACACCTTGCCCAACAAAACAACAGGCATATATGTGGATTATTAATATAAAATTCCTCTTTATTAGCAAGCAAGCGCCCCTCCCCCCCCTCCCCCCAAAAAAATCAAAAAGTAATCAAAAAAAAGCCGGACGAGCGGAAAATCCGCTTGTAAAGATCCACGATCCGCTCCCCCGTACAGTATACAAAAAAAAAAAAAGATGAAAAAAAAAAAGAGGAGGAGTCCAGACAGATTACGTACTGGACGTTGGGAGTTGGACGTGCTGGGAATCGAACCCAGGACCACCTCTACGTTGATGTGAGTAAGGTATGTGTGTAATAAGATATGTGTGGTAGATATGTTTTGTGTACGTTATTATGCATTCTCATCCCAAAGGTCAAGGGGGACGATGCTCAGGTAGAATATCATATGTTCAGATCCTAATTTCTATATACATATACGTACATATATATATACAAGCTTGCCGGCGAAGATATTAAACCCGACGTCTCGATTGATTCTCAAGTCTCTCGCAATGTCTTTCTTTGCCATGGCTCCCCAACTCCAAGATTCGTGAGATCGTGCTGCGAACCAAAAAGAGGACTATAGATACATGTACATGTACAGCGCGCGCGCGCGAGTATGAAAGGCGGCAGGAAAAGAAACGCTCGTATAGATCGCTAGGCAAGAAAAAAGATATTGAAATCATCGGACTCCAGCGCGCTAGAACGAGGTACGTGGCAAAGAGGATGCTCTTCGTTTCCGTGGAAATTTCCAAACATTTCAATCCTTCTGTCTTCGTAAACCAGGAACATGAACATTTGACAGTGGCGTGAACAGTTGGAGAGAGAGGAAGAGGGGGAGAAGGTGTTATACACCCAGACTCAACACCGGCGGGATCAAGATGGTGGCCTTTACGCCAATAAACAACCATCTTAGGAAGATCTACAAGACCAACTCCCTGCAGAGCGGCTAGACTCTTGATGAATCGCATAACCGCTGGTGTATAAACCCATGCCACAGATCGCGCCCCCCATAAGCACCAAGCAAAAGTTCACGAGCATCAGGAACGACTTCCTCTTGGTGCTCGTCCATTTGCGCCAGTTAAGGAAGAGCCAGAAACAGCCCGAGACACCATACGTGAACCAACTGGCGAATAAGCTGGACACGAGAGCCAGCATGTCGTTGAATTCGGGGATACTGGCATGTGTTAGGATAGGTTGCCCTTTGTAAGAGAGGAGCTGGGGAGATATCTACCTTTCGGCAATGATCCATGCGATGGTCCATAAGATCATCGTGATTCCTGCCCACAAGAACCACGCCGTCCAGGTATTTTTCGTGCGCTGTGTAGGGAAGATCCGCCGGTAGACGTAGGTAGAAGACACGTGACCGTAAATGACACCCGCAATAATGATCTAATCCAAAAGTCAGAAGAGCTCCGAGCATGATAGGAGAGTGATGTGACAAACCGTGGGAATTGCAATGCCGTAGGCGATCTTGGAAATGGTCGAACCCGCGGACCCAAGAGCTGGAGATGTGACGTCGGTGCCTGCATAGCGGTACACGATGATCGCAACAACGCAATACATGGAAATATCGGAGATTTGGAGGAGGGCTAGTGATTTGGGGAACTCCGCTGGATTCTTCATCTCATCGATGAAACCAAAGAAAGCCACATGTCCAGCTGTTTGACCGTGTCAGTTAAATCGAGAGATTGTCTTGCGAATGATGATATGGTATGACCTACCATAGGCGAACACGATGTTGGAGACGGAGAGGAATGCTTGTTGGAAAGTGACACCCGGTCTTGGCCAAAGAGTGTATCTTGTTGGGCCTCTCCCGGGTACCTCAATACCCACAGCAATCATGGTGATCATAACAGCAGTGAAAATACTGATGAATGCTATTGCTTGTAAGCATATTTGCCTTTTCTCAGCAAGGAAAGAATACTAACATGCAACAGAGAAGTACGACATCTTTTTCAATGTGCGAGGGAGGTCAAAAATCCAGAAAACGACCAACGCAACGATTCCCCATACAATGTTGCATACCGCATGTTCAGTGAGCACATTGAAACAAATTGTCCAGGTTAATATATGACTGGCCATTGAGAAGATAAGGAAAATAACTTGGGCGGCGCCTCCGACTTCCTTCCCGATGTTCTTCGCCTTCGAGCCCCAGGGCGCAAATAGGATTTCGAAAGCGTCCGCCATACTCTTTACCCAAGGATATTTCATCTTGAATTGAAACATAACATATCCCGAATACGTCGCAAACGCTCCCATGCCAAGAATGAGGAGGAGGCCGGGGATGAGGCCAACCGTGGACATCACTGAGGGAAGCGAGAGGATACCGAGTGAAATGGTCTCAGCAATCATGAGCATGCCCGTCTGCCACCATGTGCAGGTTTTGTATTCGATGTCGGCTTCGCCAGTGTTCTCGTCGCCGAGCGGGTCCGGCCCATGGGGTTGTCCTAACAGCATCGTCTCCCCAGGAATCCTGTGATGTTCTGGATCACCGCTGCTGTCATCGCTGCCGGATTTTTCCTTTTCTCTTGTTTCCTGGCTCTTGTCCTCCTTCTTTTCGTCTCCTGCTTGTCGAGAATGGGCAGATGCCCTGCTGAAGGGCATCCGCATTGCGAACGGCATCTCGAGGGCGGGGGCAGGACCGGCCGGGAGCACCAGGTTGGCAGACGTATGAAAGGATTAAGACTGGGATCGGGGGAGAAGAATGTGAAGAGAAGGAAAAGAAAAACCGGACTTGGGGAACGCGCATAGAGATAAAGCTTATTTTCTTCTGACGCGGTGGCAATTGGACAGGGATCACATGGTAGTTTTCTGACAGTTAGTTTTTGAAAGAACAGAGATAAGATGAGGAATTCAGACCCGGGATTGGACAATTGAAGCTGACAATTCTTATTTGAGCTGGTAGCATGATAGGCCTCCAATCTAGTGGAATTGTGGTTCTGGTGCGAGACGGACGATGTCATGATCGTCTCTCGGTCCCAATATTTTTGCCATCAGGCGGCTTGCTCACCTGCTTGGCATTATTCAGACACCTGCAAGTAATAGAGGCTGATTATTAATGTGAAGGAAGAAAAAATACCTTCTGCCATATCTCTATATGCTTATGTATAGAGATGCTTAATTCTATGAGGAGTTTCAGGGCAAGATAAGGGATGACGTTAAGCTTAAAGATTGAGATTTTTGAGTTTTAAGGTTTAAGGTTTGAAGTTCCAGACCCCGTTAGGGTTAGATGTGTCCTATCGGGATTAGCCCCATATTATAGGGCTGCTGCTACGAAATCCCGTGCTGCCTGATAGCTAAGGCATCTCTCCAAGACTTTTGACAGGCCATGGCAGAACATGAGATAAACTTCCCACTTTCCACCCGCCCTTTTTGTCCCTTGGTGCCTTTTGCGGCTCTTCCACTCCGGCAACCAATCATATTACGGCGATAACGATGAAATATCTCCCTCTGAATTTCATGACACCTCCATGGTGCGAGACGTGAACCATAGATCCACGGACTGTTTCCTGTCAAGCGTGAATCCTGCGCGGAACCCTTCCCCGGACTGAGAATTAAATAAAGCACAGGCTTCATTAACTTGAATCCAATCAGGCCCCCTTGAAAAGCGAGATACACGGCTCGGGCCAATGTCATCCTAGGAAACACATCCCCCCGGAAGAACATACCTAGGGAACCGGGTACGTGGATGACTAGATCTTTAAAGAGACCTCAGCTGATCTGAATCTGGCACAGGGAATTCCCTGACAGCTCATGCAACATCCTAAACGCTCAATCTGTATTGATCAAGATGCGGTCAATGGGGGCTGCGTGCCTTGGGCAGAAAGCCTCGCTTCAAGCGTCCACAGGATGAAAGTCTCCAGCGTCTGGCAAGACCCCAGAAGACGCACAAAGCCGTTTCCCAGTAATGTCTCATGCTGCCTGATCAGGTGTAATGGCAGCCGTCTTTAAAGTTTCTTTATTGTCCTGTGCACACTGCGAAAGCTGTGCCATGCCAGACAGACGACAAACCTGACGCTAGCTGCGTAGATGTATCGGCAGTTAGGCAACAGCTATAAAGCCAACAATCTTTCTCTTCTCGTTTTCAATCTTCTTCTTCCTCTTCTACTATTTGTCTATCAGACTCTCTTCATCTGGAAATCCATCGTTCAGAATTCAATCTTCTAATTTGCTGCGCTTTCGTAACCTCTTATTTTGCCTGGCTCTTTCCCTAGCCCACATACTACCTCCTTGAAAGTATTTTCAGAAAGGCGGCAGAACAGCGACAATCATGGCCGACGCTTCTCACAAACGGGAATTCAAAATTCGCGACTTGAGTACCCGAAGTGTTCTACTCTTCCCTACCCGTGCCCAGATCATTCGCGATATCAAGGACATTGCCCTTCAGGTAATTCCCTATTCAGCTTCCGCAGAAAGTTACTCATTTAGCTAACACAACTAGCCGGGACCCAACCAAATTATCATCCATGGTCTCTCTCCTACTGTTGATGAGCACTCCATCAAAGTTGAAGGATCCGGAGCTGCAACTATTAGTGAGGTTTCAGTCGATCTTCTTCCGAATCGTGAAGTCTATGAAGATGTGTATCCATCCGATTCCGAAGAGGAAGAGGATGAAAACGATGAGGAAAATGGACCGCACGAGGAACCAGAATCTATGAAGGCCATCATGAATAAGATCGAGCAGCTGAATCTGGACCTTCTCGAAGAGAAGGAGAAGATCGATTCTGCAGCATACCGTTTGCAGATTTGTGACCATTTCGGGAGCACTGCCTCTGACAATCACCCTGCGCCTTCTGATCTTGGAAGCATCATCAAAGCCTACACTGATGAGCGTGCAAAGATTTCGGTTGATCGTACCAGGAGCATCGTCGCAGTGAGGAAGATTGAGGAGGAAATCGCCAAGTACGAGAAGGAGAAAGTCAAGCTGAGAAGTGTCCTGGCGAAGGCTCATTACAAGGAACACAAGGAGAAAACCAAATTGAGGATGAAGAAGGCCCGAAAGATGGCTGAGACTCGGAAAGAACGGCAGCGAATTAAGGACGAGAGATCCTCGTTCTGGCCGAAAAAGGTTTATCGGATCACCATCAGCTTGGAGCCTACCATCCAGACCCCTGGCTCGTCTCGGCCCAGTTCAATTGATGGCGACACGATTGTGAATCTTGCCACGACCACCTTTCACAACCCTTCCTCAGAGCATCTTAAGGCCGGAGAAGTCTCCCTTTCGCTGTCATACATCACTTATTCGGCTTCTTGGGCTCCTCGATATGACCTCAGCCTCAACTCCTTGAAATGTACTGGCGTATTGGAGTATGGCGCTGAGCTTAAGAACAATACCTCTGAAACCTGGCGTGATGCCAAAGTCGTCTTGTCAACATCACAAACCACATTCTCTGGACTCAACGAGTCGATTCCTGTTTTGCATCCCTGGCATGTGCGACTTGTGAAAGGTTTGACGGGTACAGATGGTGCTTTGTTCAGTAAGACAGAACTCGAGGCCAAGAGACAGCAAAGGATTGAGTCGACTGAAGTCGGACAGAAACCTCGACACGAAATATTTGGCATAGAGAATTCCCGCGTCCCAGCATGGGCCGCATCTAGGCATCTTTATGCTGAAGCTGCTTACGACCAAGCTTCATCTTCCCTCTTCCGTCGAGAGGACCGTTTGCCACAACCATTCGGCGCTCAGAGTAACTCTAATGTCCAAGATAGTCTTTTCGGATCGTCAGGGACATGGGCTCAGAGTAACTCTAATACCCAAAGTAGTCTTTTTGGATCATCAGGAACATGTCTCCAGAGTAACACTAATATCCAAGGTGGTCTTTTTGGATCCGTAACGCCAGCAACATCAGCACCGATACCTGTTAGTGGAGCAGTATTAATGGCAAGAAGGCGTGTCCAACCATCAGACGAAGCAGAAGAATCAAAGGAAGAGTTAGCCTTTGTCGCCGCAGGTGATAGTGACCCCGATAACTCTATTGTTTTTGAAGAAGGAGCTTGGGAGGAAAGCGGCTTAACAACCACCTATGATGTTCCCGGTCTGAAGACACTCGCGCCTTCAAATTCAACCAGCAAACACAAGATCTCAAAAATTGACTTCAAGAATATTGCCTTCTCGCACATCGTCGTTGGCAAACTTCGCCAAGTCGCCTTCCTTAAAGCTCGTCTTCGCAACGCATCCAGGATCACGCTTCTAAAGGGGCCTCTCAGCCTTACCCTTGATGGGTCTTTTCTCGGCCGATCGACTTTCCCACGCTGTTCTGCCGGCGAGTCATTCACTTTGCCCCTCGGTGTGGACCCTGCGATCCAAATACACTATCTGAAACCAACTGTCCGGCGCAGCCAGTCGGGCATCTTCTCCAAGGAGGACAGCAACACATTTATGCGCACGATGGTCATAACAAACACGAAGCACAACGCACCTGTTGAACTTGTGGCCTTGGACCAAATTCCTGTCTCTGAGGATGAGAGACTCAAGATCGAGATCACGAGTCCACGAGGGTTAAAGATTGACGGAGAGAGTGTCTGTACAGGCGTCGGTTTTAAACAGACAAATTTGGCCCAGGCACCTACGGGAACGACACAGAGCGCGAAAATGAGTTCATATCCATCTAGTGCCAGGCAGGAATCAGGGCCCCAGGGGGGTTGGGGCAAGGCCGAAGCTATGGTGAAAAAGAATGGGGAGGTGACTTGGAATATCAAATTGAAAGCTGGATGTGGGGTCAGGTTGTGCTTAGAGTATGAAGCGTTGTTTCCAGCCGGGGAGGCGGTGGTTAATTAGATACAAGGGGCTAGATTTTCCTGTCCCAAGCAGGATTATTTTATTTGATCTTAATAAATATGAGTCCTACCATATCGGTATTCTCTTTGAACCGCTACTTTTACGATTTTACCAACAAGTACTCAGCCTAGAAAGAGACACCTCTCCTATATATGATTCTACAAGGAAACCAGATACAACCATCCAAGTAATGTCATAAAATCATGAACTGCTTACTTAAAACAAGCAAGTAGTGAATATATGAGCAAGTACCTTAGACAAACCAGAAATAGTTCTTTATATATTGAGTGATGAAGTGACAGTCGAGACCTCTTGAAGATTGAAAAGGGGGCGGGGCTGAAAAGGGGTTCGCTGACTAATCAATGCACCAGGCCATACTTAGCACACCGCCTTCACTGCAGCTATACACCGGCAGAAAAAAAAGTAAAACCCGTTACCCCAAAAGAAAATTCCATCTCGATCAGCCAAAACTTCAAGCAGCCTCCGACGATGCCTAAGCAAAAGGCCCCAAAGGGCGCTGCCTCCGCAGGCTCTACAGAAATCAACGATGCGAGATTCTCCAATTTCGCCACTGATCCACGTTTCCGGCTCCCGTCCAAGAAGCACACGCGCACCACCATCGATAAGCGGTTCTCGAGCCTCCTGCAGGATGAAGATGTCATTAATACAGCGAAGGTCGATCGCTATGGACGGAAGCTGGATTCGAGTGCGAAGAAGAAGGCGCTTGAGAGATTATATATGCCGGAGGAAAGCGAGGGAGAAGAGGACGAAGTCGTGGAGAAGGAATTGAAGAAGGCGGATGCGGCGTATGATCCGGCGCGCGGAGGAGGGTTCTCGTCATCTTCCGAGGACGAAAGTGAAGATGAGGAGGATGGCGGGGTTGAGATTGAGGAGCCTGAGTTTCCTAATCTGCAGACTGAGCAGGCGGGCGTGGAGATGGGGGAGGTCACATCAAGAATCGCGGTTGTGAATATGGATTGGGATCACGTCCGGGCTATTGACCTCATGGCTGTTTTCCAAAGCTTCGTACCCTCTGGAGGGAAGATCCATAAAGTGTCCGTTTACCAGAGCGATTTTGGGACGGAGAGGCTTGCACGAGAGGAGGCGGAGGGTCCAGATTTGGGCCAACCGAAAGGAGAGGAGGCCAACGCTGAGGAAGAGGGCTCCGAGGATAGCGACGATGAAGACGATGACGAGAAGATTAAGAAGGAGTTGCTAAAAGCAGATGACGGTCAGGAAGTTGACTCGACTCGGTACCGACAGTATCAACTGGAGAGGTTACGGTATTACTACGCGGTGGTAGAATGTTCCGACAACGAGACGGCACAAAATATCTACGAATCGACCGATGGTACCGAATACCTCTCTTCGGCCAACTTCTTCGACTTGAGATTTATCCCTGATGGAACAGAATTTGACAATGTGTAAGAATACCCTCAGATGCATCCATGATATCTGCTTCATGTTTGCCACTGCCGTTCTTTCGATTTTACACCTACTGACTCGTCTTTCATTATACAGTCTAAGAGATTCATGTTCCGAAGTCCCAGAAAACTACCGCCCCAACGAATTCGTCACCGATGCCCTCCAACACTCCAAAGTCAAATTAACCTGGGACATGAATCCTGAAGAAACCACACGAAAGGAGGCCATCAAGCGTGCATTTACCGGTAGTCGCGCAGATATAGCAGCCAACGATCTCAACGCCTATGTAGGTAACGACTCCTCCGACTCGGAGGAGGAGCCAGAGACCGAAGAGGCACCAGTAAAGACCAAGAAGCAATTAGAGAGAGAACGAATACGCGCCGCGCTAGGCCTCACCGATGAACCTGCCCCGAACAAGCCATCAGGCCCAGTTGGAGATCTAGAAATCACCTTCACGCCCGGCCTGAGCGCCAAAGAAGCAGCAGGGGGCGTTTTCGAAAATGAGCCCGTCAAAGAGGAGACGACAGCCGAGCGATATATCCGGAAAGAAAAGGAGCGCAAGGCGCGCAGAAGAGAGAAAGCCAGGGCCGCACGTGAAGGACGTGATCCGAACACGCCAGCAGTAGAACAAGAAAAGGCTGCGGAGCCCGAGGATCTCGGCTTCGACGACCCCTTCTTTGCCGACGACAAGACGAAAGAGAAAGCGTCCAAGACGAAGCACAAAGAAGAGCGCCGCAAGAAGCGCGAGCTCAAAGAGCAAGAAGCTCGCGCCGCCGCAGCCCAGAAAGCCGAACTAGAACTCCTAATGCAAGACAATGCCGGCTCGGACGCCGCGCCAGGCGACCACTTCGACATCAACGAGATCGCGCGGGTTGAGAAGCGCAACCGCAAGAAGGGCAAGGGCAAGAAGAAGCTCGACCGCGAGAGCAAGCGCGGTGGCCTGCAAGAGGATTTCGAGATCGATGTGGAGGACCCCCGATTCAGGGGTGTGCATGAGAGTCATGAGTTCGCGATTGATAGCTCGCATCCGCGATTCCAGGGGACGCAGGCGATGAAGAAGTTGTTGGAGGAGGGGAGGAAGAGGAGGAAGGTCGAGGTGGATGTCGAAGAGGAGGAGGCGCCGTCGAGGGTGCAGAAGAAGAAGAGGGTTGTGTAGAGGGGAATTCAATATCATGGTGCGCCTTGTTTATTTTTCCCCCTTATAAAATTGTGAGTTTTAGGAATGGCGTAAGTAGATATTTTCGATATCCCGGAATTCCGAAGAAGTTTCTCACGATCCTTCTCTATATACATCGTCATCACATTCACATCCCATCTTCACCTCTTTTAGGAATCAAGAAAGGAAACTCTTTTCAAGTGTAATAAGTCCATTGCAAAAGCATCGCGCGCGGGTATCCTATCTATCTATATGTCTGTCTGAAATCCTCATATGTTGATTATGCGGTTATGTATGGTTTGTGATGTGTATAGATGAATCGGTCTTTGCAAAAAGCAAAAAAGTCAACGTGAAATGCAATGCAATCTATCTTTGTGTGGATATGTGCGATAGGAGGGGAGAGAGACGGGCTATTGAAGACCGGGAGAGAAGATTATGTTATGTCATGCGGATTCGAGAGGTGGGATGAGATGATGAGGGCATGAGGGCATGAGGGAATTAGCCATCGATATCCATGGCATCTTGGATTGTGCTGCCTTGGGCAGAGTCTGACGTGAGAGGAGCAGGATTGTTCGTGGAGTTCATGAACGGGAGAGTGGGAGAAGGGGGGATATCGGTATCAGAAGTAAGGTCAATAGGGGAAATAGGAGTACCCGCAGTCGTCGGCCCAGCAGCAGCAGTAACACTCTCCACCCCCTGAGTAGCCTGGCTCTCTATACCGCTGACTTCTCGTCCAGAGGACTGATCGCCTTTCACTCGCACGCCGCCCTCGCCTATCCCATTACCCATTGGCAGCTGCACGCCCACGTCCTCTTCGCCCTCGTCATCATAATCCGGCTCGACGCTCAAGATGTTATCGTCCTGGTCGGTACGCAGGAAGCCAAAGAGGCGCGCCAAGTCGGCCAGGCCCAGCGAAGGGCGCTCGCCCGACTCGCCCATAGCCCGGTCACAAGTGCGCATCTTGTACATCTGCATGCTGAGCAGGCGCATGTCGACCGAGTTGCGCACCACCACGCGCGTCATGTACGTCTCCTTCTTCTGGCCGATGCGGAAGATGCGCCCGAAGGCCTGCTGCTCCACGCCGTGGTTCCACCATAGGTCCAGCGAGATGCAGCGGTTGGCCCAGGGGAAGTTGAGCCCGAGCCCGCCACATTTCAGGCCTGCGATCAGGATCTTGACGTCGGGGTTGGAGCGGAAGAGTTTCACGGCTTTGGTGCGGTGATCCAGCGTGCTGTCGCCTGTGAGGTAAAGGAAGCCCCACTTCTCGTTGTGGCAGATGCGGCCAACGATGCGGGCCAGGACCCGAAATTGCACGTATACGACGACCTGTTTTCAGGGGTTAGTTGAGTTAAGTTGCGTGGTGTGGTGTGGGGAGAGAGGGAGGTAGGTAAAACTTACCTTATCCGAAGGCGCATCCTGAAAGCTCTTCAGCAAGATCGCCTTCAGCGTTGCTGTCTTGGCACTTGGCACGAGCGGGAAATCATCATCGAAATCACTCCTGCCAACCCACGTGAAGCCCTCTGTCTGTGGTTCAAACCCCATAGCATCAGCACCCTTGCTTTCGGGAGCGTGGCGGTCGGCCTCACGCTTACTGCGTGAGCGGCGCGAGCCTTGCGATGGTCCGTCGTCGGCTGCCGAGTCCATGTTGTCGTCGTCGTGTAGACGCAGGCCTTCATATGGCTTGGCCTCGGTGAAGCAACGATCGCAGGTCGGGCAGGCGAAGTATCCATCGTCAGATTCTGCCGCGACACGGTGCATATAGCTATGGAGGCACTCTTTGCAGAAAATGTGTCCGCACTTTCCATCGATTGTCAGCTCGAGGAGAAAGGAAAGGAAGGGGGGAAGGAACTCACATCAGTTTGTGTAGGCTGCCCTGGGATATCGCTGCAAACACCACACACAACCCGTTTAAATAACTCTTCTTCACTCAAACTCGCAAGCGCCTTATCCATCTTGAAATTGTGGCCATAATTGCCTCTACCAAAAGGCATGATCTCAGGAGCATCCGGTACCATCTCACCTCTCTCCTTGGCCTCCTTTGCAGCTCGTCGTTCTGCCTCGGACTGCGTAACCCAGAGCTGACACTGCTCGTAGAATGGGGTATTGTTCTTCTGCAGCCCTGCGAGACGGTTGCGCAGTTCTTGCACATCTTCAGAGGTCCATGACTCCTTGATGGTGCGTTCCAACATGAACGGGTGCGAGGTGCATTGGCGCAGACGAAGCAGTTGCACGAGGAAGATAGCATAGTTGGCGACCGCAGTACCCTGGGCAAAACAGCGGTTCATAATCGTTCGGAAACGGCTCTCAGTCTGAATGGAATCTTATTAGTTTTCATGTTGCAAACTCGGTTCAGGGGTAGCGAGAAAATGAAATGGGGAAGCTTACGATTCTATAAATGATTCTCTCCTCAGCTGAGAAGTCAATATATTGGATTTCCGGGTGAGGAGGCGGGAGCGTAATTATCGGGCGGTTGAGAATGGTCGTCTTCATGGTTCGTCTCATCATCGTATAACTGAGAAGCGTAGCAATTCGCTTATGACAGTCCTCTGCCTCGGGATCACAGAAATAGCGCTGGAAAGTCTTCCAATCCAGACTATAATTCGCCTTCAGGAATCTCAAATACGGAAACAACCTTATCAATTATCAGCTTACTCCAATGAGTCCAAGGAGAATAGTTAGTTAAAAAGGCTGAGGGAGGGCTTTGTTGGAAAAGGGGGTATCTTACTCCTCGAGTCGATTCAGCAACGGTGTACCAGTGAGGCACCATCTATAGACGGATTTTAGAGCCTGGCACGCCAGACTTGTTCTCGCCGAGTTGTTCTTAATCGCCTGCGCCTCATCCAAGACAACACGATACCAATGAATACTATGCAGATCGCCCAACTGCGACTCCACCACCTTCTTCCACCACTCGTTGTATCCCATCTTCCCAATCTCCACGCGATCCTTGTGGTTCGGGAATGGGAACTGTCTCATCACCTCGTTATAGCTAGTGACGACGACATCCAGATCCTCAAGCACGGCCCGCGGGATCTTATTCTTAGCCCGATAGTGCATGATCTTCGGGAAGGCGGACTCTTCGGCATGGTAGCGGATCTCGTCCATCCACTGATCGATCACAGCCGATGGGACCACGATCAGCGTAGCTCGGCTGCTGATGCCGCGTTTTCTATCGTCTTCCTGGGCCGGGTTGCCCACCATGCAGGCCAGCGTCTGGACCGTCTTGCCGAGCCCCATGCTGTCGGCGAGCAGGCCCCCGAATGGAGCCCCGCCATTCAGTTCGCGTTGGAGCATCCAGTTGGCTCCAAGGAGCTGATGGTGGTAGAGCGTGCTCTTCATGCCCTTGACAAGCCACTTGCCATCCACAGCGCGGACTTTCGCGTATCCGAAACTTCGCGAAGCTTGTAGGAGCTGTGCTTTGTCGCTCTTCGCTTTAGAAGTGTTGGAGCCTTGCGGGATATTGGCGAAAAGGCGTTGCAGCTGCGTAGCCTTGTTGTTGGCGCCAGAGATTTCTTCTTCCGGGCTAACATCGAAGATGGGATCCGTAATGCGGTCGGTGATGGGGTCGTGGTTGATCAAGTCCTGGATGATCATCTGTGCCACGTCGTCCATTCCATCAGTGCGATTGTATCCCTGAGAACGAAGGAGGGATTCGTTGTTCTTGACCATTCCCTTGTTAACCTTCACGCTCTCGTTGCCTTTCTTCGAAGCTTTGCCTCCTTTGGCAGCCGTCTTTCCACCAGCATGAGCTTTGGCAGCGGGCTGACGGCCCTTTTCCTTCTTCTGCTTCTTGCGCTCCTTGACTTCTCTCTCCCGCTCGTAGAACTCGCGGGCGTTCTTCGCAGCTTTCTTGCGAGGCTTCTTACGCTTGTTGAGTTCCTTCTCACTGGGAACACCATCGAGTCCAGTCCCATCAATCTCCTGCTGCATCATCGCCATAAACCCGGCATCTTCATCCTCGGGCTGATCTTGAGTAGCACCCGGAAATGCGGGCTTCTTAACGTTCTTTTCTGGCTTCTTATCAGCCCAGTTTGGATTCTCGCCAAATAAATCATGCTCCTCATCCCCGTCAAGGGGAGGCTGAGATTCCTGCATGGCAGGCACGCCCATCGAATGGCGCCTCACAACATCCTCCCGCGTCTCCGGCACAAACAAGCTCTCCTCTTCATCATCCTTTGCCTTGGCCATATCCCGCAAGCGTTGCTTCAGCGTAAGATGCTTCTGCAACTTATACAAGTCAACCCTCTGCGCCTCGGTGATCTTTCCATTGAGCTGCCGACGCTTGAGCTTATTCACCGTGCCGAGCAGCTCCTCATACTCATCATCCGAGTCTTGGCCCTCGTTCATCCAACTGTGGTCTTCTTCGCCGTCGCGCATAGCGGCATCCACGTGTGCTGGATCGTCAATGACTACTTGGCTGTCGCTGTGGCGTTTCTGGGAATTGCTACTCTCGGCTTCAGAATTGAGATTATTGGTCCCTGAGAGTGAGGGAGTAGCTTTGGAGGATTTGTGTTTCTTTTCAAGCATGGTGTTAATTGGACCTTTCTTTCCTGTGGGATTGCTCATGGGATCATGCGGGAGGAGATCAAGGATAGATGGCTTGTGATGCGGCATAGGCGTATCTTCCTGGATTCCTTGCATGGTTGGAAGTCCCTCATAGCTGCCTCCGATAGTGGGAGGAGCTTGCTGGCTGTTGAGTTGCTCTCCGCTATCTTTAGTGGAGGTTGAGCCATGGACGGGGCGATTCGTGCCATAGACAGAGTATTGGCGGGGTGGAGACGCGGAATACAGATCATCCTGGGTCTGATTATCTGCACATGCCCCAAAAGCTGAAGTCTGAGTGTCTAGCATAGGAGCAGACATCTTCATATCCCCAGAACCGGGCGTAGGAGAGACATCGATGTCCGGTCTGCCGCAATTACCCACCGCATGACCGTAATTGACCCAATCCGGATTATCGACAGAATTTTCAAATGAATTATCCATCGTAACTTGATAATGCACGTAGTTCCTGTCTGAACTAGTTCGGCGAAAAGCTATTCAATTGATCCCCTTTTCGCTGATATTCAATGTTCTCGTCCAAACACAAAGATTCAGCGAAAAGTCGCCCAACCTATATTCAATATCTGGTTAGCGATTCACTGGATCTCGTCTGAAGGGGGGTCGGTAAAGTGAGGTGAGAAATTCACGTCAATGTCCGAGAACATTTCCGTAATTTGGATGATGTGAGAATATTTGACGGTATGGGGAAAAAAGGGGCCCGGGGGGGGTGTGCGTGGTAACGGGATGTTGGGGACGTACTATGTTTGTATATGTGTATGTAGAGGGATTGAAGGTGAGATTTTGCTGAGATTTTTGATTGGTGGGGATGTCTGTCTGATGTGCTGAAGAGGGATTGGAGGTTGGGGGTTGTGGTGATAAGAGGAGTGGAAGAGGAGTGGAAGAGGAGTGGAAGAGGAGTGGAAGAGGAGTGGAAGAGGAGTGGAAGAGGAGTGGAAGAGGAGTGGAAGAGGAGAGAGGTTGAGATGTGTATTATATTATATGTAAACGCAGTCCTTGACTTGAGGCGCTTAAAGATGAGTCGAGCAGCTTACTTATGTTGTATGTAGACCAATGAATAGGCAAAAAAGATAGATGGACTAGAAAGATGAGAGTAATTTTAAGAGAAGCGCAAGATATGAAGAGTGGCTCTCTTGAGAGCTGCGAGACCTTCTATTGTTGGAGTCCTCAACTTGAGGCTATCGGACTTGATTTGACTTGACTTGACTTGGCATCTAGCCAAGGCGCAAAGAAGTATGAAAGAGATTCAGTGCAAGAGATAGAAGTGAAGGTAGGAGAGTGAGAAGAGGTGGACCTCAGAGAGGCCTGTTGGATTTGTTCTTGTTGTTGAAAGGAAGAAGAAGAGTTGGAAGAGAGGAGAACTGGGTTTATATAGTTAGATGGGATATTAATTCACTCTATTACCCTATACAACACTTCTTTGGCGGGGGGAAGTTTCTCCTTATGCAAAGAAGCAAGATGAGAAGATTGATGAGTAATGTATGCTTACCAAAATCCACTTCTCCTTATTCCAAGTTTCCCAAGTCACTATACGCGTGACGCTGAAGTTAAATGCGCCAAACTTTATTGCCAATCTTAACATTTTCCGGATTGTGAAGAAGATTGGAAACCGTCCAGAAACGAAAAGTTTCGAGGCATCAAGCAACCTTTCCAGAAGGTGGCCGTCCCTTACAACGACTTTCATGGACTCGGAGCTTATGGAAACTCAGAACGAGGGTATAGAATGAATGAGCTCCGGCTTTTGAACGTCAGAGAGATAACCTTTACCGTCGGTGATCTGGCAGCTGGAGGAGCACAGATGCTGCATGTATCAAGACTTGAGAACTACACATCGAATCAAGTCCTGGGGCTCTAATGGATAGGTGGAGACTGCGAGTCGTCAGAGCACTCGTGATTATAGTATATACGGTGTGACTTGGAGGAACTTGTGGCAGTATGTCGCCAACTATATTTAGAGAACGAAAGCCCAGAAATCTTCTCCTCGCTGGAAGGTCACAGAGATCAAGTTTATGGAGCTGGCGACGGAGAGGGAGCTGGCGAAGTTAAAGCCTCGCTGAAAACAGTTTTGATTTAGGTTGGCGAGAAACTGTAGGAGATTTGAATTAACGTTGGAATTTGAAGATAAAAGATTTACCACTCCAAGAGCAATAGTGATTATAATAAGGGTGCCGTTCGAGAAGTTTTATCATTACACACTACGACCTAGATTATTCAAAGTGACTTAGTGCTTGAACTTGAATTCTGCCAGGTATGGCACCTGATTAGAGCACTTAGCCAGAGGGCGGTTTGTAGGTACGTGGTGCTGCTTGCTAACGATCTTGTACATACAAATCAGAAGGACCCCTTTTATGTTATGAGACACGACCCGTCTAAATAACAAACACTTGTTGCGAAACCGGGTTGTTTTGAGAGATTTGGACAATTTCGACTTGAGGCCATAGCTTCCCCTACAATATAGCTCGTAGGCCACAACCGCCACACAATACCGGCTAGTCATGACTATCATGTACCAAGACAACACTACTTTACTTATTGCCGCCCGCCGTTGAATGATGGCAATGGCAAGGAAGCATAGCTAATGTTCGACGACGTGCGTTTGGCTTCTAAACTCGGCAAACTGGACTCAGTTCACAAGTTCACAACCATGTAGAAGATCGAAAGACTAATGTTGTTCTACTGCTTATACTCTGAGGAATGTTTGCGCTCATACTTCAGAATCGAGCCTGTGACGCCACCCACATATCGATGCCATCCAGCATTGTGGAGAAGAAGCAGTTACAGACCAGGCTACAAACCAGACTACAAACCACCATCTGGTTCGGCAACGGAAACCCCTTCTGCATCGTCGTCGAAGAGTGATGTTCCGGAAGATGTGCTATTCTCAAGGACCACTTCTGCACCAGTGTTGCTACGCCCTTTTAGGGGACCAACTACAACATCCGTCTCATCCTCCTTTCTAACAACTAGTCTGACCTCCTTCGCATTGCAGACTAGCCGAATATCTTCCAACACGTATTCAATGGGTGTTACGTAAGTGACGAAGTTTTCGTATTTGCCGCCCCATAACATACCGGCAACGTATCCCTCGGAATCCCAAACAAATGACCCCGAGTCTCCGCCTCTCGAGAAGCTGTAATATTTCCCCTGCTTGTTGTAGTCTTTCACCAATAGCTCATCAGAAACCACATCGTGAGAAGACCGATAGTCTGACTCTATGCTGGAAACGATGCCGAATGTGAAGTGGGTTGTTCTGCCCGACTTCCACACAACATATCTATGGTCGTCTTCTTCGGCGATGGCTACCTTGTTAAGCAACTCCTCGAAGGTAATACCTCTTTTTAAAAACTTCGGCATATCGCCTACTAATTTGTTCACGCCGTCGGCTCTCATCGCATTAGCAACATAAGCCCGATTGGCCGTGTTGTTCAGGGAGTACGAGGGAACCTGTAAATTCATTAGCAATGTACTTTATTGAGTCACAGAGTAATTAATCCATACCTCATTGACGAACTTCTCTTGTTCAGTAAACCTTTCAGGATTCTCCAATTTAATCAAGGCCCAATCTAGGCGGAAACGACGATTCTTAGTTCCGTCACGGGCTCGCAGACCTGAACTCCTCCAAACTTTTCCGAGAACAGATGTTTCAGGCGTCCAAAGCCTTAACTTCTCTAACTCTATAGAGATAGTCGAAATTTTAGCTGCTTGGAGGCTTGTATCTTCCATACTTTTCTGATCGTCAATTAGAATCTGACGGCGGTCCTCCAAGTAGTTGATTCGGGCTTCAAGATCGACCTCTGCTGGTTGAAGAAAGCTATACGAGACGCCGGTAGATGCCTCATCCGCTGTAGGAAAGGCTTCAAGGCGCGATTCTCCGAATGCCACATGGTGGTTAGTTAACCCCATGACTTTGCCGTCTATCAGGACATAGCCTCCGAGGGTCCCGCAGCCGACTTTCAAGGCACTGTGTTTCGAGGATATTGCAATCGAGGCCCCAACACAAGGGTACTTTGTTGGATCTGGTAACGGTTCATCGTCGAAGTAGTATGACCCTGTGAGTCCTACTCGTTGACCCTCCATAACTTCTACCTCTACATCGTCTAAACCAGCCCTAGAAGAATATTAGTCTGGAGCCTAAAGAATAAGTGCGGTTGTCAGAAGGGGACCAGGCAGGAAAAGGCCAAGGCTATTCTTTGTCACTACTATCTCCCACCCCTTTCCCAAAATAAACTCTAGCACCGCCTGTCGTAGGGTGGAATGATGAGGCAGTTGTTCTGGGTGGTTAAGAACACTTGCATAGAGCAAATTACGGTCCGGGTGTCAGACTAGGGGTGGCTCAAAAAGGGACTTCCCTACTGACCAAACGCCCTAGATTCAAGCCCATACCTATACCAAAAACATAGGCGCGAGAGTTCATGTAGGTAGGTGGGGGGATAGTAGGACATTGTGTTGGGACTTCGCGAGTAATAGAAACACCCAAATTTATCGAAACATGTCATCTCGCACAAGGTAGAGCAACTTACTTCTTACACTCTTCGGATAGAGCGTCAACTACTCTCTGCGCTTCCGCTCGTGGCACCTGATCCTTTTCGACGGTAACGAGGATCACCACAGGATTGTTCTGTTCTACTTCGTCATATCCAATCCTCAAGTAGTCCACCGAGATCCATCTGCACGGGCTCATAGTCGCCAGCACGCGTCTAATATTGTCGCGCAGGCCGTTCATAAGCTTTCCGCGAAGAGGGTGGTGCGTGACGACGAAGGCGAGTTTGAAAGCTCCGCTGCGAGGTCCCTCATGTCCACCCGGTGTATCGATAATAGGTCTCTCCCATGGCGCAGTCTTGCTTCGCGCCAATAGTCTAGGATTGCCGGGAAGGCCAAAGTAGTAATTTTTGAAGTCGGTGGGATTGTCAGATAAAAGAGGTTATATATCACTGTAAAGAAGTGGTAATAACAGGCGAATTCAAGTTGGTTAGAAGTAGATTAAATTAAACTAAATTAAATAGAACAGAGGGTAGTCCCTTGTTCTATATACTTAAAAAAAGGGGTTGTTATTTACATGTATAGGCGCCGTATCTACTATAAACAGAGTATGTAGGTACCTAAGTGCCTAAATCCTAACAACACTATAAACTATTAAACAGGGTGTAAGGGATCGATCCCTATATATTAATTAAGGGTCAGTTAGTAATTAGGGGAACAGGTTCTGTATCCTAGTAGTAATTAACCCTACTGTTTGACATACCTCCCTAAGGATTAAGCCGATTCTAGACTTAACTAGAGAGCTAAGTACTAGTACAGCTCTCTCTCTAGCTCTCTCCCTAATTAGGTAATAATAAAGCTATTCTTATACCTAAAGGTGTACTAGTACTTACTAGTACGTCCCTCTCCTTAGGTAGAAGGTTAAAGAATTAAGGAAAGTACGTAATAGTAGGCACTTAATTAAGAAAGGCTTAACGTTTAAGTCCTAAAGCTCTTTAAGGAAGAACCTTAAGGACTCCTAGTACTCTAAGTACTCTAAGTAGCGAGACATGTTAAGTAATAGGGTCGAGTAAGTAGTAGAAATAAATAGAACTAAAGAATATAACTATAGAAACAGTTAAATCTCTAAGAAAAAGGAGTAGACTTCTTAAATAAGAAATATAGCGTAAAAAGTAGACTTCTTAAATAAGAAATTAAGCTTAAGATAAGAACTAGATCCTAGAACTCCTACTTAATCGTTTAAGTAAGAATTGCCTTTAGACTAGCGTAAAAGCTAGTTCTAGGTATTTAGTAGTTAAACAGAAGGGTTTCCTACCTAAATAAAGGGTGTTTAACTGCCCTAATCTGTAGGCTAGCTGTCGTTTAGGTTTAGGGTCTTAATATCTACTAGATTAAGTAATTTAATAAATTTAATGTGTTTCTAGTGTAGTAAGGCCTTAGTTAACCTATCTACTAGTATATTATAGGTTAACAGCTACTATAGACTAAGTCTCCCTTTAGTTACCTCTTAGTGTAGCTAGTGTTAATAGATATCTATATACTTAAGCTTAGTAACTAGGCGTAGAGTTCCTAATTATATAAGGCAGATAGTTTAGGCGTTATCTACGTTAATAGCAAACTCCTTATATAGTTCTAGAGTAATCTTAGTAAAGAAGCGTCACTACTAGTAGAGATCCTTTATAGTATAGAAGAGAGCTAATAACTTAGCCTCTATACTTAATGTAGTAACTGTCTTTTGTTTAGTTAATTTCTAGTTAATAGGTCTTCTAAATAAGTAGAACACGTATCCTTTAGTACTCTTCCGGGTCTCTAGATTATTAGTATATACTATATTACTAGCGTAAGTAAAAGCTTTAGAGCCTCTATTACTACCTCTAAATTAGATCCCTAAGTATTAGGTTTTATAGAGATATTAGATTACTCTATCTACTACTCTTTAGTACTCTTAGGATAGGTTAGTAAAGAACTTAGATAGTTTGTTAGCTAATCTAATAGTGTCTAGCCTAGTGACAACTATAGTATAAAGAATAGATCCTACCTTACGTTAGTAGCTATAGATCTCTTAAGGGAAAGCCTGTCTTGTATTTAAGACAAGCAGCGTACTTTCTAGTAGTATAAGAGGTACTTTCCTGTCTTTTAGGTAAAAGGTTAAAGTAATTAACTTAATATAAGAGTCTTAACTAAGCTATAATCTTTTAGTAGATCTGTCTCTAGTTACCTTAATACCTAAGAACTACTTTAATTCTCTTATATTATATATCTTATAGCTATTAAACAAGCTCTATTTAAAGTTTTAAAGGTATTATTAATCTTTCTTCTTTACTAGGATAGTAATATCGTCTATATAAAAGAAGACAATAAGGTATTTATTTATATAGAGACACTCGGCCTCTAGAACTAGATATAGGCTAAACTTAGCTAGTGTTTTAGTAAAGTAGGTATACTATAAGAGAGGGGAATAGTGTAGCTTATAAAGAGCTTTAAGAAAGAAGAGAACATACTCTAGGTTATTAAAACCCTTAGGATGTTTAATATAGACAGTCTTGTCTATATTACTATTAGTAAAGGCATTTATAGCGTTAAGCTAGTAGATCTCTAGATTAAAGTAGTATACTATTACTATTAAACCTCTAAACACTTATAACGCTAGAGTAGTAGCGTAATTGTCCTAGCTAGTTAGATGTTAAAGATCCTCTCTAACTATAAGTCTTACTTTAAATTTGTCTAAGAAGCTATTAGTATTAAATTTATATATAAACACCTACTTAACTAGGATAGCCGATCCTTTAGATATACTCTTTAGAACAGTCTTAAAGGTCTTACGTCTTTTAAGATCCTTATACTCCTTGTTTACTACTACTATAAATTTATCCTTATATTAGTAGTTTTAAAGCTCTTTTTAGTTGTTAGAGACGCCCGGCAGTTCTGTTCTATAGATCCTTCTTTTAGCGTACTCTATTCTTGTTTAAAAGGTAGTATAGAAGCTACTATAGGCTCTAATTTGTTCTATTTAGATAGCGTAAGCTTTCTTTCTTACTCTTTTATTCTTTGTTCTTATTAGAAGTATATTAGCTAGATTAAGACTAGTAGAGTCAGATCTACGCCGCTAGACCTTTTATTAGGTTTTATCCTCTAGTTACCTTCTTAGTATATCCTTATTTATATCCCTTGTTATAACCTTATTAATATCCCTAGTTACGGTTTTACTAGAGTTAATAAGTAAAAGAGGAGGAGTTGTTAGAACAAGTAAAGCTCTTAGTATTAAAAGAGGGTTAAGAGCCTATAGTACTAATAGATTTGTTAAGTTAGTAGAGGTAGTTCTTTAGGCATATAAGTAGTAAGTTCTAGTCCCCTTCTCTACTTCTTTAGCTAAGGGGTTCTCTATTATTACAAGAGTTGTAATAAGATTAGTTAGATCTATTGTTATTATAGGATCTATTAGATCTACTAGTAGATCAAGTAGCGCGCTATCACTATTCTTAACAAGAGGATTAAAAGGATCGTCTTCTTCTTTAATTTACTAGTTGTATTTACTAATTACTAGTATTTTAATAGCTTTAATTACTTCTTTAGTAGTGTCCTGTTTATCCTAAGGCTAGTACCTTTGTGTTTTATTAAATGTAACGTCTCTATAAGATATTACTCTGTCTCTTACTAAGATCTAGACCTTATAGATATTAGTAAAGTTATATCTTACTAGGTATCTAATAAAAGCTCTTAGTTCTAGCTTGTTAAGACGTACTATATTCTTAATTAGAGCGTAGGCTTTATAGCTAAAGGCGTAAAGGTAAGAGAGGTTCGGTTTAGAGTAGTAAAGACACTTATATAGTGTTTTCTAGCCTAAAGAGGTAATAAGAGATCTGTTTACTAGGTATCTAGCTGTTTTTATTAGTTTAGGCTATAGCTTTAATAGTAAGTTAGATCTTATTTTTAGTACTCTTACTCTACTAAGGAGTACCCTCTTAGATCTTTTAATTAGCCTATTTTAGGCTACTATACATAGTACTAATTGTTTAATAATAAAGCCTTTTACCTCTACCTAATTATTAAAATCCCTTTTAAGAGACGTTTCTTTGTTAAGCTTAATCTAGTAGACTTTAGCGTTAAAGTATCTTTTAATTAAGGAAACAAAGTGTTGTATAGTGGCTAGGGAGCCTTGTTTAGTTATAAGGATATATACAAAGCTTATTCTAGTAAGATCGTTAAGAAAGTAAAGGATATATACCTCTTTAGAGTCTGTTAGGTACATTTAAATAAGATCTAGGTAGATCCTAGTAAACGGTTTGTCTATACACTTAACAAGAGCTCTAGATATAATCTGTTTAGCGTTTGTTAGGTAGTAAACCTTATATAGTAGGATTAGGTACTAATCCTTAGGTACTAACTTAACTCCTTTAGTACTAGTAGCTAGGCGTTAGATTGCCTCTATACGTAAGTGCCTTATCTGTCTGTACTAGAGTTCTACTAACGCTTTTAATAGTGCTCTTAGTAGGTGTAAGTTAGTTAGAAAGGCCGCTAAAACAGCTGTTGATTCGACAGTTAATACATCTGTTACTATTGTCTGTAGCTTATATTTGATTAAAGAAGAGATATCTTAGATTACTAGAAAGGCAGATCTAGTAGTAGAACTGTTATATTTAAGTACCTATTAGTTAAACTTAATAAGAGTATAACAAAAGGTGTTATTCTTATAAGTTAGACAGTTTTCCTTTATATCCTAGTAGACTTCTTTCTAAATTATCTTACGTAAAGAAACTACGCTAGTATAAAAAGAAGGAACAAGGGCTATACTCCTTAGCTCTATACTAAATTTCCCTTTTAGGCTAGTAAGTTAGATCTTAACGTCTCTAAAAGCTTTAATTTAGATATAGTCCTTACTAGCTATTAAAACACTCCTTAGTAAGGCAGGCCTAATAGAGTAGAAGCGTGATCTATCGTTATAGACGTAGATAGTTACTCCTAAGTCTAGAATAAAGCTATCTTTAAGTAGATAGGTAGGTCTAAAGAAAGGGGATTAGACTAATTAGACTATTAAAATTAGAGTTAATATAGAAACTAAGTAGCTAAAGTTAGTTTAACAAGCGTTAGACGTAGCTATAGTAAAGTCTATAGTAAACACTTTTAGGGCGTCTTTATCCTTGTCTTAGTTAGGTTTACTGTTCTTCTTATTACTATTACCTTACTTGTTCTCTTTCTCCTTCCTTCTAATTAACTTAATTAAAGCCTTAAGCCTACTACTTACGTTTAGCTAATCGTTAATCTTCCTTTAGACGTTATTATAGGGTTTCTACTAATTAAGACGCTTAGATAGTATTAAATAGTAGTAATTATAGTAGTAGTAGTAGCTACTATACAGGCACTTAGGCTTACTCTTACTACTACTACTACTACTCCTTCTACTAAGTATAGCCTCTATAGTTAAGAAGGCGCTATAATTACTAGATTAGGTAACTCTAATGTCCTTCTAGCTTCTAAGGTTAAGTTTAAACTTATCTAATACCTCTTTAAACGTTATTACCTCTTTCTTAAGTAGCTTATAGCGTACTATCTTAACAAAGTATAGATTAACTTCTTCTAAGCCGTTAATAAAGGCCTTAATTAGTCTATTACTAGACACCTCTAGTATCTTATTAACCGAACAAGCTAGGTAAGTAGACTTAAAGCGTTTTACCTAGGCTATAACTAACTGTCCCCTTTTTAGTAAGATACTAGCGTTAGTTAGATCTTATAAGAAGAGATCTTATTTAACTTTATTAGAAGGTATAACCTTTTACTAAAGATCTACTAGGATCTTATACACTATGTTCTTAGCGTTAACGTATTTAACGTAGTCTCTCCTTACTAATCTAGTAATTAGAGAGCGTATGTCTCTAACTAATTAAGCTAGGCGCTTATACTCTCTTTAGTGTTTAGAGTAATACCCTTAGTAGATACGATATTATTCTTTCTTATTGTCTATTAGTATAGTATAGGTAACTCTTAAGCTATCTTTAGGGACTCCTTTAATATCTAAAGGATCTAGAAGGCTTAGCTCTACTAGAACAAGGAGTTCTGCTTTTATAGTGTCTAGGTTAACATATATCTAAACTCTAGTACTAAGCGCTTTAGATTTAATAACTTCTATCTAGTAATCCTAGTTACTAGATCTATTAAGAACTAGTATATTTCTAGGCATATTTCTAGTTGTTTTGTATTAACTAAAAGTAGTAATAGAAAGAGGTAAATAAAGGAGGTAACTCTAGTTGTTTAAGAGTAGTCGACGTACTTTTACTAAGTAATAGAGTCTGCTAAAATCGTCGAAATTAGGTGTGATTCTACTGTTGTTAGTAGTGTTAAACAGCTATTAGTAGTGCTTAGAACTAGGTGTTTAAGGGAAGTAGAAAGGGGTCGATATTAATCCCTTTTAACGTTATTTAGCTCTTGTGATTTAAGCTCTCTAATTAGTTAAAAAGGTGTTTTTATATTAAAATAACAGTTACTAAATAGCTATTAAAGTAACCCGGGCTTATAACTGTTAGATAAAAGAGGTTATATATTACTATAAAGAAGTAGTAATAATAGGCGAATTTAAGTTAGTTAGAAGTAGATTAAATTAAACTAAATTAAATAGAACAAAGGGTAGTCCCTTGTTCTATATACTTAAAAAAAGGGGTTGTTATTTATATGTATAGGCGCCGTATCCGCTATAAACAGGGTATGTAGGTACCTAAGTACCTAAATCCTAATAACACTATAAACTATTAAACAGGGTACAAGGGATCGATCCCTGTATATTGATCAAGGGTTAGTTAGTAATTAGGGGAACAGGTTCTGTATCCCGGTGGTAATTGACCCTGCTGTTTGACAGGGATCCTCTGTTCGCGTCGCCATTTCTGTTTGCTTCAACCCTTCCGCTGAGGCGTCTGGTACTTCTGTTGATTCGGTCGAGTTTGATTCGGTTGAAGTCTTTGATTCGGTTGAAGTGTTTGACTCGTCAGAGATACTTTTCTTTCGGCTTGACGATAGTGGGAGCTCTGCGCTCGGGGTACCAGGGGGTTTCGTGGACACCTTGAAATGTTAGTGTAGCCCTTAGAGACAATACGAGGTACCATTTGGTTCGCAAATTTGAAAGACTTCTCAGGTGACCCAACTAAGCACAAGACAATGCCATTACGTGTACCGCTAGAACTCGCAGCAGAAGATTCATTCCGACTACTACTTGTACTAGGTCGGACAGTAATAGCGACGGTAATAGCGAATAGCGGCAGTGACAGTGAATAGCGACAATGACAGCAAATAGCGACAGTGACAGCGACAGTAAAGGACTTGATTCACTTGAATCCTACAGTTCCTACTTACCTATTGGGCCATTGGCTGTGTGACTGTGTCAAAACAGCGGCAAACAGGGAATGTTCAGCTATTAGACATCAGGGCACGGTATGTTAAACTTTTTGTCAAAGCGGAGAAACGGACTCGATTAAAGAGCGAAGGTCTAGGTAGTTTCCAACACTTTTGGCCTCCGGAGAGACTACGTATCGACCTCGCTTAAATGACTACGCTTATCCCTCGCTAGAGGAGCATCCCTTTTTAAGCATTTGACTATCCCTTCTAAAATTTTATTTGATTTACTAACCTTTTGCTTACCTTACTCAGTAGCGGAAGGGCTACCGAAGCTCTGTCGAAGGTCGTCTTGACATAAGGTACCTATAGGTACCCAAGGTAAGGACCGTAAGGTACTTTAGAGAATATCGCTCCTGAGTCCTGCCCCTGTTGTTATCACTATATAGAGTACCTAGTCTTAAGGAGTTGGGGTTGGATTAATTCCGATTCCTTAATATATATATATATATATATATATATATATATCCCCTGAGAAATGGCACATTGATCTAATCCTGTAGAGCTTATCGTGAGCAGCCCCACTCCCCCACTATCCCCGGATTCCCCGCAGTGGGCCCGCACTATATTTTCTCCGCATTTGCTGTATTTATACGGTTATGTATCAGTCAGATATCGAATCGAAATATTCTCTCCATTAACACTTTAATCAGACCAAATGCAGAAACATGACGCCGCAGCTTCTCTCGTACGGGAGGGAAATATATTGATCCCCGACAGCAAGAAAGGGATTACGTAATATACTAATAGTCTAGGGCATCCCGTCTTCTCCTTCCTCTCCTCGCTCTTCTCCTCCTTGTTAAATTCCTCCTGTTTTGATTGCTGCTTCGGTTCCAACCTATATATCCCCTAACCCATCCACCATTCTCGACATGGCGCTTCCATCAATTACTCCCGAGGTGTATCTGTTATCCTTAATAACGTCGAACTCTTCCAAAAAGCGCAAAATCACACCGTCAAGCGAGGCCTCCTCTCCGAAGAGACTCGCCGTCATTGCTGGCCCCGACGCTGCACAAATTCCCGAGCACATCATCCAGCGGTTCTTCCAGGCTGAGTTTGCGCCAAATCGTCGAATTGGTAAGTGATTTAAAGCCCACCCTATTGAGAATTTAATGGTTAATGCTTGTAGATGCGGGGCCTTTACCCATCCCAAATCCGCTGTTCCAGGGAACACTCGCGCAGACTGACCAGCCATGGCAGCTGCTTCGACACATAATTCTGCCCTTCGACCTCAGAACCGACCCGGACGCCTTCTACCAGCCTGAGAATAGGGACATACTGGCAAGTATCTTTCCCGGTAACCACGGCCTGTCGATGGACGGCATGTTTCTGTACTTCCTCCAAAAAGCGGCGCCTCCGAAGCCATGGCCAAGAACAATCGCGGGACTTCCACCCTATTTCGCGCCAGAAATTGGCCCACAGCACACACCAAGACCATTTGGATTCCTTGTCCAGCAAGAGAATGACTCAATCGCTGAAGACCAAAACGGTCGGGACATGGAAGATTGGGAACCTCTCTTTTATATCATTCAAAGCCACTTCCGCGCCCTGGGGATTGGTATCACTGAAGTTATGTACTGGGGCAACTACGTCATTATCGTATTGGAGCATCGTGACACCGATGTCACGAAACTGCCACGGAAGGCGGCGAACATCGCATGTACGTACTTGTATGATGATGAGATTGGAAGGCCTTCAGCACCGCAAGCCCGCCGCATTATGGACCCGACCTTTAATCGAGCCCGTTTCTCCCGTTTGACACCAGGGAACCCTGACGAAAGCGAGTATAAGACTTTACAGCCCGGCGTTCGAGTGACCTCGGCGTGCATGACAAGCAAGCCCAACACCTTTATGTCAACGACGGCCGGAGCTCTAGTAAGTGATCTAGCCGGCAACGAGTTTATGACTGTCGCTTCCCACAGATTCCCGGACGAATGCGGCACGAAGGTCACCCACCCACTCCCCGTGGGTGGCCGGACCGTCGGCGAACTTATAATGGAGGTGACGCATACGGGCATTGGACTCGTGAAGTTAGCAGACACCGAGAGGTTCTCCAACGTTACCTTCCAGAGCGAGTCTATCTCAGAGTCTACCCGGCTGAAAAAGCTAAGCAGTGTTAAGAAGCTGCAGGTGGGGGATTTTGTTTACCTGGACTCCCCCGATACAGGAAGTTTAGAGGGGAGCTTTATGGGCTCATCATTTCAACGAATTCCCGTCGATGACCATAGCAATCCGCAGCAACGAATTCCCGACGATGACCATAGCAATCCGCAGCAACTCTGGGTATTCACTGCTTGGGTATACATGGGGCAGGGGTCAGCAAGCACTCTTCCAGACAGCATGTGCGGCAGTACTATCTGGACCAGCAAGGGGGAGGTTATTGCCTTTTTTAGACACGCTCTAAAGAGTGGGGTTATGAAGGATTGGTGTGTAGGGATAGCTGCAGATGAGTTGATGAAGCGAGGATACAAGCTCGTTGATGGAACTGAATCTTAGAGCAGGGTTATTAGCTTAAGCAAAGCCAGTGAATTAAGTAAAAATCAATAGAGTTATAATAGCTGACAACAAGAAGAACGATAGCCACAGCGACAAGTAATAGCCACAACGACAATAAGAGCCACAACGACAATAATAGCTATAATTTTGGAGCCCAATATCTGAGGTCTTAATGCAAACCTTACTCCCATTAGGGCCAGGATCCAAGCGTTGGATATCTTCCCAATTATACAAACCCTTAAAAACCTGGTCGATGAGACCTAGCACAAGCAGTAGTCGAAACGAATCCTCGGATGCGAGCTCTAGCGGCAGGAGTCGTAAGGGAATGGTCTTGTGCTTGTTTAGATCGCTATTGCTGTCTTTCAAGTTTTCGAAACGAATGGTGCCTCGTAGTGTCACTCCGGCAGGTGTTCGAAAAGCCGTGATGGTGACGTGACGCCAGCACAGAAAGGTAGGCTTCTTCCTCTTTCCGTACGTGTCCAAGAACTCTCCCACGCGGCCGGAGCAGTCCGTGGCCAGCGACAAGTAATAGCCACAACGACAAGTAATAGCCACAGCGACAATAAGAGCCACAACGACAATAATAGCCACAACGACAATAATAGCTATAATTTTGGAGCCCAATATCTGAGTCCTGTCCCTCCGCAATTCGTGCGAAGTTCGCTGGCTCGAGTTCAGGTTGGGATTGCATTGTTCATGCTCGGGCAAGGCTGCTTGCGTCGCTAAGAACTTGGCCTTACGATTACTCTTGAGCGTGGCCGCCCGGCGTTGCTTGTCGGCGTCCGTCTTGCGATGGTTGGGGGGTTGAGACTTTCGAGCTGTCTTGTTAGTGAATTCAATGCCAGACGAGTGGAGTTGAAGTCACCATCGTCCACGTCTGCCATGCTGCTATTTATTGTTAGGATTGGCACCGCCGATTTGGTTCGGGGAGGGGCTAACTCTAGCCACAACGACAATAATAGCTATAATTTTGGAGCCCAATATCTGAGTCCTGTCCCTCCGCAATTCGTGCGAAGTTCGCTGGCTCGAGTTCAGGTTGGGATTGCATTGTTGATTGATTGATGATTCCGTGTCAAAAGAAGTGGAGAGGTCGAGAATAGGTAAATTTGGGGATAGAAGAAGGAAAGGGTGAGAGCCTCCATCTGTCCAAATTATAAAAGCGCTAGGTAGTAATAGCGACAGTAAAAGTGCTAATAGAGTAACCCTCCGAATGGACAACATCATTAATCATCTGGACATAAGATCTGCGAGTTCCGAATCGCTCAAGACTGGATGATCGCTCAACAGTTCATTACCTAGAGCTCAAGTCTCTAAGAGTGACAGGTCTAATGACTGTCTTTCACGGTAGGTAGGTAGGTAAATTCACTGATACCACGTGACTGCAAAATGATCCTATCCATTACATGCATTCATTATATACAGGGAACCTTTAGGGTTTCAGGAGAGAAAAAAAAGGTTCAGTCATGAAGTAGTGGCAACTCTTCATCATCCTCGAGCCAAGTATCAAACCGAAAATCTAGTGCTTGATCAGGCTTCCCAGGTCTCTCTCTCCCGGGGTTCTATGATGTGTACAGCAAGGAGAAGATTGTCCGAGTGGCTGGCGATCAAAGATCTGTATTTCTGCTGGTGCAGACGTGCGTGCGGACATAGGAGAATGTGTTGAGTGCTCGCGTCTCCGGGCACGGGTGTTAATGAGGGTGGAATATGTTGTATATTGAAGGGAACTCCTCGGGCCTGCGAGCGATCTGAGAAATATGTGGAAAGTGGCCGTGTAATGACGGATGTACTCGATGGAGAGCGTGTAAAGAAAGAACATCATGCAGGGTATATTATTTTCGACTCGATCGGAAAGGCTGGTACGGCCGCTGTTTACGCCGAAGCTCGTTCGACCTCTACACCTAAATAAAGAGAGCGTATCTCTATGAACTAACTGTCGATTGACATGTCGGGCTTGTTTGCGGGTAATAAAAGGCACAAACCGCAATTATGCTGAACCCCTGGATCAGTAATCAACCTCAGAACGGAATCGAGGTACTTACATGTATAGGCTCTGTAAAAGCATCCCTTCAAGCCAATGCGAGCTCCCATCTCCAATTAGATAATTGACCAACAAGACAGCAACGAACATAACGGCGACTTGGAAGCCATCAAAGTCAAGCGTCATGCAATCATTGCCCATGATCCATCCGATTATAACCATCAACGGGAGCAGGAGGAGAGAAACCTGCATGCTAGATCCAACGGCGACTCCTATGGCAAGATCCATCTTATCCTTGCAGGCTACGGTCACGGCTGTGGCGTGTTCTGCAGCGTTGCCAACGATGGGAAGTAGGATCAGACCGACAAATTCTACAGAGACGCTCCCGCTGGCGGTAATAGAGCTGATACCATCGACCATAAATTCTATGTCTATCAGCGTAACTCTGAACCACGTGGTGGGATGATACGTACCTGCGCATAGCCCAATGATAGCCGTAGCTCCAGCAAGAGTAGCCCATGCGACGGCAATGTGAAGTTGCGGTTCCTCCGGCTCTTCGTCTTGCGGGTTTGGTTCGAAAAAGTTATTATTCGAAGGTCCATCTTCCGGGAGTGCCCTGCCAATCCCCGCCCCAATGCCACCGGCCGTTGCAAGACCCCTCATCACAGCTCCTTCTTGTAGGGCGTGCTTCCGTGGTTTCATGGCAACTTTCTGACTCTCCTCATTGAACACATCGGAATGCGTCTTGAGCTGGAAGAAGAGGTATCCGGCGTAAACAACAAGCAGAATCACCGAGGTTCCTCTAGAGAGCGCAGCGATCGGAGCAGCACCCGTAGAACTAAATTGATCGAAACAGGTGGGGATGATAACACTGCCTACCGCGAGAGCAAGTAAACTGGCGGCGGTCTGGGCCACGGTCTTGTTGAAGAATTGTTCTTTTCTCCTGAGCCCACCAAAGAAGAAACACATCCCCATGACGAGCAGAAGATTGGACAGGATACTTCCAATCAAGGATGTCTGGACAACCACCACCTCGTTCTTGGCCAATGCGATGATTGCCACGATCATCTCGACCGCATTACTGAGATTGGTTAGCATTGACGTATGAATGGACTAGGAGACATACCCAAAAGAGGCATTCAGAAGACCACCTAAACTTTCACCCACGTGAAGCGCAATCTCCTCGGTCGCAAAGCTCAGCAAGCCTGCCAGGGGAATAATGGCGATGAAGTTGACGACGAAGACCGCCTTCCCGTCAACCCCCACGTAGTTGAGCGCAATGCCAACCGGCGCCGCAATCAGCAAGACATTAACCCAGGAATTGAAGATGGTTGCGCCCAGCTGATTGCGCACTGTGAAGGGTTCCGAGTGATGCAACTCCTTGCCTTTATACCAAGGCCGCTTTTTGGGCCGCTCCTGCTCCTCTTCCGCGCGGGATTCGGCCTTGCGGTGCATGAATCCAGGCACGAACCGACGGCGCGGTTTTTCGATGTCCGCAGGCGATTGCTTCTCCACTATTGTAGTCCCGCTTTGCAGCTCTCTCGTCTCGTTGTTTAAGGGCGTGATCTCGATGTCGTCGGGCTTGGCGGTGGAGCCTCTTCTCGAAGCGTCCAGCTCGCTGAATTCGCGGGGTTGCGCCGTCTCGTGTTCTTCTTGGTCCACTCGCACTGTGGATCGCTGCGACGACGACCGCTGGTCCAAGAGGCCTCCATCTCCAACTCCAGCTCCAGCTCCAGCTCCAGCTCCAGCTCCAGCTCCAGCTCCCGCTCCCGCTCCCGCTCCTTGCTCTTCGTCGCGTGGCTGTTTGGGCGACCAGGTGTTGGATCGCACTTTTCGAAAGGGGTTCCAGGAATCGCCGTACCAGGCCTCCTTGCGCGCGGCGCGCTTGATCGAGTCTAATCCGGCCATTGGTGGTAAGCTACACAGAAGGCAGAGCGGTGTAAGGGGCAGAGAGAGAAGAGGGGGCAGGCATGGTGCTATGCGCGGGAAAAGAACTGACGCATGTTGAAGTTCGACATGATGTCGGTGAAGGGAAGAAATTCGCAGTGAGAAAACGAAGTGTGGCCTGTGTTGTTTTGGGCTTCTCGCGAGGCGTGCCGATCAGGGAGGGCGCTGTCACAGAGGAATGAATGGTAAAAAAAAAATAATAAATAAAGAAAGAGATAGAACAGCCGGTGAGATTATATTGAATATCAATTGCGCTTCGATCTTATCAGATCAGCTGGGCCAGGGCAGCCAGTGGATCGCGGCGTCAGCCTCCTGCTAGAAGACTGGAGATCGTTGCGTGTCTTCAGACTCCGCCTCGTGTAGTCTGGGGGCGATAGTGTTGCGAAGAGCGGCTGAGCATCGCCTTTCCAGGCAAAGCTTTGCGGCTTATGGCGGTCAGGCTTTCTCGCCTTCGAAGCTGTTCAAAGAGGGCGAAATCAGAGTCGAAAAGAAAGACAAAGAGAGAGGACAGGAGAAGAAGAGATTGGGGAGATGAAGCAGTGAGAAACGAAGGCGATCAGCTTGGCATGGCCCTGTCGCATATCCCTCAGCCACGCTTCTTGGCAGAATTCAATGGGGAAAATTAAAATAAATAACAAACAAATAAATAAATAAAAATAAATCAACCTGATATCAGCCTCCGTCGACCCAGCCATTCACACATTCTACACCGCTGTGCCAACGCATTGCCAGCACTCATCACTCCCATCTCACGACTCATGCTGCTGCCGTCTTCCTTGTTTGCGCGCCCAGTTCAACCACTGATTGGAAGCCCTCTTCAAGAACCACGTCGTGCATTCCAGGTTTTCTGGAATGCGCTGCTGTCCGAGCAAAGGCCCAAGGTATAATCTGATATGATATAACATGATATCATTATATATAAAACGTGTCAATCACGCGCACTTTATGTCCCATGATGAAAGCCGATCCCCTCAGTATCACACGCGCGAGAAGCCTCATATCAATACCCTATTCCTGCTGCCCTACCTTATCTCAACGTCTACAAACCATGAAGGAAAAGAGATGAAAGACGAAAATAAAATCCAAATCCAAATTCAAACCCAAATAACCCCCACTTCACAAAAATGCCAGCCTATGCTGAATTCCTAAGACCCAGTCTGAATCTGAACCTACTAAATAAATCCCATCTTGATGCCATTATGATAATATCCAGATATCTGTCCGCGCATGAAATCACCGTCCGCTCCATCCTACCCTTCCAATTCCCTCGAGTCGAACGCCCAAGCCCTCCATCCCGCCAATGTCCAACACGCCACGGCCGTCAAACACCCATTTAGGTTTCTGCAAATGGTATGCTATGCGCGCCCAGTCTAGTCTCTCAGTGCTCCTCACCGCCCCCTCCCCTTTCAACTCACGCTTCTCCATTTCAATTCCACAACGCACACACCCACTCTCGCACTCTGGTTCATCCACGAACCTTTGGAGCGGAGTTGAGGTGGTGGAGAGATGGGACTGCAGACGGAGAACCTCGGATTCGGTGGGCGAGAGGTGCTGGAATGGTCTGGGATCTTGTTGAAGCTTGCGCCGTGGCGTCGCGGATGAGGAGGCAGTGTTGCGGAATTCATCGCAGTCCGTCATGATAATGACCGCATGGCTGCTGTCGCATGCTCGATACGCATCGCTATAGATCTCAATTGGCCCCCCTCCCTCCCTTAGGACCTCCGCTCCTAACAGTCTTCGAATTTCACTTCTTATAATGGTAGGATCACAGAAGAGGTCGAAGACTGCAATCTCCCGGGGGCCGTCTTCAAGAAGGGCCTTGATGCACTCCAGTGCGGGTGATTCCCGTGTATCGGAGGTGTCTTTTTTGAAAGCATATCCCAAAACCGCCAACTTCTTCCCTACAAGTGTGCCATTTAGACAACTTATAATCCTCCGAACATACCTCGTCCTCTGCCATTCATTTATCTCGAGTACCTTGGTCCAATAGTCTGCCACTTCCTCTAACCCCAGATTCTGAGCGAGGTAGACCAGACTCAGGATATCTTTCTTGAAACAACTTCCTCCAAACCCAATTCCCGCCTTTAAATACTTGTTTCCGATCCGAGGATCCAGGCCTATCGACCGGGCGACTTCGTCGATATCCGCTCCTGTCTTTTCGCAGATTGCGGAAATGGAATTGATGCTACTGATCCGCTGAGCAAGCATTGCATTAGCTACCAATTTTGAGAGTTCGGAGGACCAGATGTTCATCGTTACGATCCTGGATAGGGGAACCCAAGAGGCGTATACGGAAGCGAGGGCGGCCGCCGCACGGCGGCCACTGGGGGTGTCTGAGGAGCCAATAATCACACGGTCCGGTGAGAGAAGGTCAGTGACTGCGGTACCCGCAGCAAGGAACTCGGGATTGGAGAGGACCTCAAACGTTAGGTTTGGGCGGTGGGCTTTGAGCTGCGCAACTTAGTTAGAGCTTATTGAAGGGAAATCATATGCGAACCGTGTCTTGTATTAACTGTGCGGTGCGGCAAGGTACTGTGCTTTTCTCCACCAGTATTGCGCCGGGTTTGGCGTGGATTGCGATTTCGCGGGTTACGGCTTCAAGTGCTGTCACGTCTGTTGCCCGTCCTGCCCCTACTCCCCGCATTTTAGTTGGGGTGTTGACTGCGATTAATATGATATCGGCTTCGCTGATGCATTTAGAGACTTCGGTAGAAAAGAAGAGGTTGGGTTGACGAGCAGAGATCACGATCTCGTCCCTGTGCTCTCCGCATTGGCTTTCGCATTCCGAGGTCGCTGAGCTGGCTGAAGACATGCCGTCAATGGATTCAGAGCGGGTCGGTTCGTTGTAGAATGAACAGGCCTTGGATCCATCTCTGGCAATTCTGAGAATTTCGTGCAGGCCGGGCTCGTAGATTGGGGGGTGCTTGGATTCCCACTGTTTAATTCGTGATGAGTCCCGATCAACCACCGTTACGTTGATATGAGGGTTTTGAAAAGCCATGACAGCCGCCGTTGGTCCACCTATTTACCAATTAATGACTTTGACCTGTATAGGATTTTACAGGGAGGCGCGCTCAAAGCGGCCACTTACCAACGTATCCAGCCCCCACACAACAAATATTCTTCACCCCAACGCCACTGGAGCATAGAGTCGCATCCAGTGAGGAAATGCCCTTGATCTCCTGCTCTTTGGTAGAAGCTGCATCTCCGAAGACATCTTGCAATTGCGCAGCTTTCAGGACAGGACTGAAAGTCAGGCTGCCGTCTGGCGTTGTAGGAGCTGTAGAGATGTCGAAAAGGCCTTCTTCTGAATCGACTGTGGAGGGGAGATTTCGAGACATCGTGGTGTATCTTACCGATTCTTACGAAGGAAAGGATTTAGGAAAGACAGAAACCTTTGTACATGCTGAGGGTTTACCTCAGCTTGTCAGCATAAGCGGTAAGTGAAGGTACCGGAGCAAGTGAGGACACCAGGGGAAAATACCGCGGATCATGGAAGATCGCATACACAACTGATAACACTTATCCGGAATGCTGTAGGTGCACACGCTTCGCTATCATCCATAGTGGTGACATCGAAGATCACGAGGCCGAGCTGTTCCGAGACCTTTCCAGCGAAGAAAGCCTTCACTCTGGCCCTGAGGACCACTAGAATGGCACACGTTGCACCCGATGTATGTGCTGAGACCGGCCATCTGTTGATATCTCGAATAGTGAGGAGTCGTGGCGGGGTGGGTTGGCCTCGCGAGGTGCCTTCTCAGCCTTGTGCATGCCCCACGTGGGTCGTTTCGCGGCCGTGGGGCGCTCAACCCATTGGAACGATAGATTCCGCGCAAGGCACGGCCACCAATCAAATTCAATGTTTCGCGCAGCACGCCGAGGGAGATGCTGCGAGGCCAAACATCTCGCGGCTAGTGATGGTCTCGTTGATTGATTTCAAAATGCCGGAATGGTCATGCGGGAACCAGGATAAGAGCAATCTTAGACCCTGCGTCTTTCTCAAGTTGCTCTTATCGCTGGACTATGCCCCCCGCAGGCCGAGGGGTTCGCGTTCAGTATCGCTTCATACATCATGGTCGAATCAACCAGGCTGCCAGCTGCGAAGGCAGGCGAACTCGAGTTTCCTGAGGCGTTGCGAGGAAAGCGGATACTTCTTGCAACTGAATCCTTTGGTCCCATCAATGGCGTCAGTCGAACAACATTGAATCTGGTTGAATATTTGAGGGGGAAAGGCGTGAATGTTGCAGTAGTGGCTCCGGAAATCAGTGTCAGCACCGGTCCGCGAGTAACTTCAACCATCGACGATAACGGCCAAATCGAAGTCAGACTTCAAGGGTACCCTCTGCCATACAATCCTGAACTTTCAGTTGTATATCCCGTCAGGCTATCTGCGTTATACGCCCGCACGTTTAAGTCGCGACCCGATTTGATCTATCTCGCCAGTCCTGCTAGTCTAGGTTTCCAAATCCTATTTCAACTTCGTCAACAACAAAGATCCTCAAGGGTCCCGGTTCTGTTGAATTTCCAGACAGACCTATCGGGATATTGCGAGATCCTTTTCCCATCCCCCCTCGATGCCTGGGCAGTATGGGTCTTCCGATCAGTCCAGGGATATTTATTCCGACACCCTTCTGTGCGAACCGTATTCTATCCATCGTTGTTCGTGAGAAGATACCTCGAGAAGGCAGGGATCCAATCAGATAAAATGATGAATCTTCGACGTGGGGTGGACGCAGAAATGTTCCATCCTTCCAAACGATCTGAGGAAATGAGGAAGAGATTGGCACCAAATAAGGAGCTGATTTTGGTATGCGTTGCAAGACTAGCGCCGGAGAAGGGCTTCGAGTTCTTGGCTGAAGTAGCCAGACAACTGGATGAGAGGAGATTCCCATTCAAACTTGTGATTGTGGGTGGAAATCGAAACCCGCAAGTTGAGGACGATGTGCGGAACATATTCGGTAAATTGAATGACGAGGGAAAGGTTCACTTTACTGGCTTCTTGAAAGGGGAGGAGTTGGCGAGAGCCTATGCTTGTGGGGATGTATTCGTACACTGTTCAATCACCGAGACGTTCGGGCTGGTTGTACTGGAGTCAATGGCGGCTGGTGTTCCAGTAGTTGCCAGAGATGAGGGAGGACCAAGCGAAATTGTTTCTCACGGAAAATCCGGATATTTGGTGCCACCATCGGACGTGGAAGGCTTTGTGGAGAAGGTCATGAGGTTAGGACGCGATTCGGAATTGAGGATGAGGATGAGTATCGAGTCAAGAAAAATGGCCGAGGAAGCCACCTGGGAGAAGATTAACAACAGGGTGGCATGGAAGCTTGCTGAAGCGTTAGAGACTCAGGAAACGGTTCCGGTACAACAAAGCTTCTCCATCCCGATATATAGCTGGCTATTGCTCAGCCAGGAGTTGAGGAGCTTCTTGGGGGGGTTGATCGTTGATGCCAAACTTATGGGAGGTATTGGGATCATATTCGGAGTCTGGTGTGGGTTGGTGATCACGTGGATCCTGGTTCAGATCGCTCTCTTGGTGAGATCCAGAGCGCCTTGGTCCCGTAATGTGCTTCGCGGTTCACAGGACGGGGTTTAGACAGTTTCATCTCATTATCATAATACCCACCATCGATGAATTTGATTAAGCGGGGAAGTAAGGCGGTGTTGCACTTGCGAATCCCATACGGATGTTGCGTCCAATTTAAGCGCAGCGTCGTGATCTGAATGGAAGACTTTTGCACTAGTCTCTTTCGCGAGTTGAGATTCCATGATGGTAGATGCCGTTGCTGGAACACAGCCAACAGAACAAACAATGATAGGGGGTCTTGTATTGATGCGGAATGTGACTGGGAGTATGCTGGGGAGACTGACCGCAGTTGCAAACTGCGCTGAAAAGAAAGGCCAAACTCTCGAGAAACTTGATATATCAAGGCAAATACAAATAAACATAAGGTAAAATATTAGTATAACGCCTGCTAGAATCAAGGATTGGGTCTTCGGATGGCGATAGAAAGCACTGATAAAACATGGTCCAAGAGAAAAGGAATTCGTGGGTAAGAGTTCAGTGCAATAGTGGTTTGCAGCTTTCCTATGTTTATCCAATAAGAATGCTCGGAATGTGGATCTCGATTTCCTATATGAACGACGGTAGAAATCGCGGGCTAGACATCAGGGAAAGAAAACAACGGGAGAACGATTGTGTAAATTGGAATCAGAGCCGAAAGGCTATTCTCAATCTGCAGGCCTGTTACCCCGGACGCACACTTGAAGTGAGGGATATGCCTAGTAACAAGCATGACTTGCCGGAATGTGGTCTCGACTCTCGACTCTCGACACGGGCTGCGTTTCATTGACGGTGCCGAATTCGACTGAAGGGGGGGAAGGCCTCGAGGGAATGACAGAACAATAGAGGTCCATGACGAGAGATAACTTCTTGTGTCTTCATCCCCATTATGTCTCCATACGATACAGTTGAGACAGTTGGGCCCTTGAATAGAGAGCTGAAGCATACATAGACCTCATTGATGCCTTGGCGCTTACAGCGAGGCGGACTGACAAAAGAGCCGCTGAGGAATGCGGATCATGTGGCTCCCTTGCAACGCGTTGCGCCGTGCTTGACGCCGGCCATGATGGCACCACCGTAACAAGGTTCCAAGCCGCCGAGTCAAATGGCCGTATCGCAGACGAAGTCGCTGAGTGGTTGATTTGTGTCGACGAGATCTCTGATGCGGCTGAAGGAACATCGGCGCAGCATCCTGAGTGGCCTCGCTTCGAAGCGGGTAATTAGTCAGCCGAGGACCCCGGGCGAGAATGCTTGGACCGTTACGGCTGAGACATCATCAGCTTCATGTTCACACATCATTGGTATCATTGGTATCATTGGTATCATTGGTATCATTGGTATCATTGGTATCATTGGTATCATTGGTATCATTGGTATCATTGGTATCATTGGTATCAACGGTCTCAACACCAGCGGTCAACCGTCAAGCCCACAGCCCCTACCGATGCTTCATATCCAACGTCGCGTAACTATCCACCGCTTCCTCTCGGCATTTCGGGGTGCCAATCGTTTGAAATGTTATTCCACCAGGGGCCGACCCCCCTGGGACATCCTCTGTGCGCTTCTCTTTCGTCGAGGGACGAGACTCGAAGCTTTGACTTCTTGAGAGCCCCCTCTTCCTTGGCTTCGTTCATGCCGATTCACTGGGCGAGATCGTGACCCACATCGGAAACACCATTCTCCCAGATTCGGCGACACCGCCTGACAGATGTTGTCTGGAGTAGCCGGCCCCTTCGCACTCGACCGTCTGGGCTGTGTCAATAGGTTTGCTCTCTGTATCATCATACCATGAGTGGTCTGACTACATCCTCATGTCCTCCTGTTCCTGATACCTTCTCTCTTCTCCTTCGGAATCTCTCTTCTCATGCCTCTTATTTCACTTCTCTCAGGCCCGCAAACAAAACATTGCCTCGTGCCCTATTCCTATCTTCTTTCTGGGCAGGCCCCTTTCAACCACCTTCTTTTCTTATTAGCTTATTTTTTATATATGCGTGGCTATTGCAGCAGGAACAACGGCCATTCTTTATAGTAACCGCCGGCCGGATTAATAGCCTCCTCGTTCTATTTCGTCTCTGCCGATCGCTCTTCCATCACTCTGATACATCGGCCACACAACGATGATGATGTGGGTTTCCACCCTATCATCCCTACTTCTTCTGAGCCCGGTCTACGCAGATATTCTTGGGGATGCAGCACAATACATTCGAAGGGATGGCTCGGTGGAGGCAAAGATGAGGCGGTATGTGGATTCGATCGTGGAACCTATGGAGAGGAGACAATCGGCGACATCGACGACAACCGGTTTGAACACTACATCCAATTTGAACATGACACAATGGGATGCCCAGACGATGGCTGCTTGCACATCGGCATTAGAGACGTTGAATGGCGTTGCAGATAATCCTTCTGGGATGGCTGCCTGCTACAATCTACCGTATTGGGATAACAGCACTGGAGTTTTCCAAGCCGATCTTCGATTATTCATGATCTCCCCGCCATCTGGAACCTTTGCCAATATCTCGACTCAAAATGTTAAGGTTGGGTTGTCGTATGACGGAGCAACAGTATCTGCTGTAAATACTTCTTCGTTGACACGTCGAAGGGATGAAATCTCTCTGATCTCATGGCCACGCAACGAGATGGATAGGAGAGAATCACCAGCCCCAGTGATGGCTCAATCTTATTCGTTTGTTGGACAAATAAGCCAGAGCTTTCTGGGCTCAAACATGTATGTACCTTCTCTCTATTTGGGAGGTGAAGCTAATCATCGTAGTTCGACTATAAAGAAAGTCCTCGTACCAGTTGTCACATTGAGCGCGGTCGATCCCCAGGGACAACCAGTCAACACCTCACTGCCATCCACCGACGCAACATTCGTCAACGGCGTATTTTCCAAACAAGTAGCGATAACAAAAGCTAGCGTTGTACCTCCGATGCAAACCCTCGTTGTAGCTTCCGATGCCCCATTCGTTGTGCCCGGCCTCCACATCCTAATCTTCCCCATCGGTGGAATCATCACTGGTATTTGGGCCGTTCTCTTCATTAGCACCGTCGCATACGGCACAATTGGACGCCTGCAATTCAAGGATCATTATCGACGGCGAGCAGCACGAGCAGCGAAGGCGGGTTTGGCTAGAATTTAGGGAGGGATGGGGTTATTTTTGTATACAATATAGATTTTTACAATAATGCTTGTTTGTATTCTGGGATGGGCGAGTAAGATATTTGGGCTAGAGAACTTGTCTCCTTGACGGAGTCCTGTGAATCAATGTATCATGATAAGGAGGTATCCATAAACTATTCTGATCTTTACTCTCGTGACAATTAGGTTATTCACTCGTCTACAATAACATGAGCGAATACATAGGTATATTCGTATCAGTCTGCACAGCACCGAATACTTCTCTGTTCTCGGACTTGCTTCCCAGTTTCTTTCCAAGGTCACGTGTTATCTCACGTGACTAACCGCTAAACCCACCACCAAATGGTCGTCTTCAACTTCCATCCCTATCAAGGAGCGAGTTCTCATTTCTAGACACATCCATCAACCTTTCCTACTACTACCCTCGTTCATATTGCCAAGCTTTCCCCTTAGGTTTCAGAGTATCGTCCGTCGCTAAAGTGCCCAATGCGCCCGTGCATAGATATGAAGCAGCGTTGAAACAGTATGAATCAGGCGGCCTGATATCTCCTGGCGACACTTTCGGTTTGTAGCCTTCTCCCTGCTGGTGATTCAATCTGCGAAAGTTGCAGGATGAGTTTCTTCTCTATTCTTTTTCATTGTCGGTGTACGGGGTACTTTCCCGACATGTTTTGCTTTGTTTGGCTTCATTTCCTGGCTTTTGCCCCCTCCTTGATCGATTCAAGTTAGGGGTTCAGAAAAGAATTTGGCTTATTATTATTGTCGTCTGAAGTCTTGTTTCTTTCTCTAGTTGTATATTCTTTGTTCTTAGACGATTATATTCTATCAGGAGAGGATTGTGTTCCTTGATCGCTGTCTGAAGACCAGTTTCTTTTCTCACTTTTTATTCCTTGCCCCTGGAGTTATATTATATTATATCGGTTAAACCTTTTGCGAGAAGATATGCCATAAGGGAGACAAGAATGGCGGAAATCCTGAACGTCTCCGATTTGGTAGTCCACCTACACTCCAACATCGACGCTATCCACTCCGCAATTCAATCCCTCACAGACACCTCTTTCCACGATGCCGAGATCTCACGTTTGGAAGCAGATCGCGAGGCCCAACTTTTGGCACTGAAGATCCAACATGAATCGCTGAGCAAACAGCTGGCAGATCGGAGAAAGAAAGAGGGGGAAGTCTTAGCTGAGAAGAGGAGAAAGGAAGAAGAGGAGAAAGGAAGAAGAGGAGCTAATGGAGAGGCGGAGAATAGAAGATGAAGAGCGTGAAGCTAGATTTCAGAGGGAGCAGCAAGAGAGAGAAGAGGTGTTGAAAGAGGAAAATCGGAAGATGGAGAGGGAGAGGCAAGATAGGGAGAGGGGTGTAATTGAAAGCGCTGAGATAGAAATGGAGAGATTGGAGCAAAAGATGGAGAACAGGGTTGATGAGGGGAAGAGAATTTTGAGGGAACTGGATGAGAAGCGGAAGGTATGCTGCTCTATTCTCTTGTTTTTCCTCTCCCTTTTCCCCATCGAATTTTGCTGATTTGGAGATTCGAATAGCAAATTAATAGACAAATTGATGAAATTCTCAATACACAGTCTGTGTTTCCGAAGGTTCAATTCAAAAGTCGGACCAAGGCAGGAGGATTAGCATCACAAAATGTTAGCGGCATGAACTCTGCGAATGGACCTCCGAATCAGAAAAGGTCTTCCAACAGTCAAACCAGCGAAGGAGAAACTCCCGCGCCGGGTGGGTTTCCTCTTGATCCGGTGCAGCAGGCTGCAACAGAGCCGACTGATGAATCACGACGAGAAGATCCTATGCTCGATCGTTTGTGGAGTATGAAGACATATCGAGAGAGTGGACGGCATCGCGATGACCCGATGATTAATCGTCTGTGGGCTGCCACCAGGTATCGAGACGATCCAATGCTCGATCGTTTATGGAAAGCTACCAGATATCGAGAAGATCCTATGCTCGATCGCCTATGGGCTTTCATCAGGTATCGAGACGACTCGATGCTCGATCGATTATGGAACGGGGAGAAGTATGTGAGCGAGACATACTGTGAACCCGCGAGCAATGATCCCATGATCAGTCGGTTGTGGAATGGCGAAAAGTACGGAAGCCAAGTTTACTTGCATACAGCAACCGTAGTTGATACAATGATCGATCGTCTTTGGAATGGGGAGAGATATACGGAAGAGTTTCGAGCACCTGCTTCTGAGAAAATCCAAAGGACAATTCTATCCCAAGATGACCCCACACTCAGTCGACTATCCAACTGGGACAGATATAGAGACGATCCAATGCTGAGCCGATTATGGAACGGGGACAAATACGGGAGCGAACTACGTAGATCATCTTCGGATGATCCAATGATCAACCGATTATGGAATGGGGATAGATACGAATCCAAGAGTCACACGAGTGAGCTCCACGCTCCAAACCTGGTTCCAGAGGTTCCACTGACACCGGTCAACAAACTCCATCTACAATTTCCAAAGAACGCAAGCACTAGTGAGATCTCTCACCTCGGTCTTGAAGAGTTGCCAAACACTAGTGGCGATACAAATAATCCATTCGAGGATAAAGAATATGAATTTGAGGATGCACGAGACAGTTTTGGAGACAGTAATTTATCCTCCATGCCTGCATCATACGTTGCCGCAAGATCTGGGCAATATCCTGATCCTGGACTACCAACTACAGCCAAAGCCACATCTGGACTCCTTGACTACTCTCAAGATGATGAGACTGACTCTATTCAACTCCCTCAGAGGCATTCCGGACTTTTCACCTCGATCGTTGATGCTTTCAGAGCCGATATTCCTCTCGCCAGTCAATTTCGAAGGAGCCAGGTATATACCAGTGTGCCCGCTGATGATGATTTCGATAGCTACGGGCAGCGTCCCTTAGACTACTATACCCCAATGGGTCGATATGCCCATTTCGAAGAACCACTCCCAGAAAACCCTTACCAAGACTACGAGTCAGAAAGAGGACTTCCCCTCCGCATCGACTCGACAGTCCGTACTTACCCGCATTCTGACGTGGATTCATCACCCGCTACGCCATCAAACGGCCCTTCTAGTCCATTCCAAGAGATTGTACATGAGCCTGCAATTCAAGAATCGTGGTCTCCTCCGCGCGAAGAGCTCCAAGAGCACAGGGAGCTGAAGCCCCAGGCCTCACCCCCGAGGAGGGATTTCAACACGTACCATCCACAAAGCTATCCCTCGTATATCCCTCCTAAATCGAATCTGGCCCATCAAAGTACGGAAGAATCGCCTGCGAGCCTCAGATCATCGCACGACGGGACTTCCCCCTCACCACTCCCTACCCTCCCCAGGTCCACTTTCGGCAGCCGCTCGAACCATACCATGACCCAAAGTCCGAGTTCCCTCTTCCAGAAAACGCGCGGCTTGTTCGAGTCCATAACTACGAAACCCCCGTCTTCGCTGCCTCGCCCTGCGCTGCTCGATGGAGAGGAGATTGTCCCTCGTTCACTAGATTCGGATCCTAAACCGCCGTCGCCGGCTTTTGCACTCCCGGCTTTGGCGAGGTGAGGTTGTGGATGAGGAGGAGAAACCGGGAAGGAGGAGGAGATGATGATAAAGAGCGGTTATCTGTCACAGGTACGGTAAATATAGGTATCTCATAAGGATACCTTCGTCAGACTGTATGATTTCATTTGTTTTGAATTCCAGGAAATCGAAGACTCACGAGACATTATGTATCTTTCGTATCTCTTCACTATATACATCCATATGTATGAATGAAATCCCCCTTTTCCTGGATTCAGGAATCGTGACATGATTCCATAGAAGAGAGGTATTAGGAATCCAGAAAGGGAAAATAAGCCGCTATATACGCCAATACCGGGTCTATATCACGCAACGCCTTTCCTTGCCTTTTATGCATATCCCACCCACCATATCTATCATCAGTACCTATCTATCCCGGTATATATATAATCCCCTCCGCAGCAAATCAATCCCATCCCATCCCCTCACAAACCCAGGCCCAGCACCCCCAAGAGCAGTCCCCATCCCACCCACACCCCAGGCCACCTCGCCGCCGCCGCCGCACTCGGGATATTAGTCGTTGCCTTGCCCCCAAGATACCAGGAGCCGATATCTGTCAGTTGGCCTTTCTGCGTCAGCATCGCGGCGTTGGGGCCCACGTTCGAGTCGTCGGAGCGGAAGGCGCCGAAGTAGGAGTAGCGCTCGATGGAGCTGAGGCGGTCTAGGTACTGCGCGGAGGTGTTGAAGAAGGATTGGGTGGTCGCGAGCGATTGATTGTTCAGCGCGTATTCGGTTACCCAGATGCTGGTGTTTGGGAAGCTGGTACTGTTTAGGGGAAGAGTTTTCTTTTGTTTTGGTTTTTGTGGTGGGTTTTTTTCGGAGGGGGGGAGGTCTTGGTGGAGAAGGGAAAGAGGACAAGAAGGAGAAGGGAACATACGTAGCAGAAACCTGACCCAGATGGCTGGCCAGCCCTTGGAAATCCCCGTACCAATGCACGGGAATGAAGTCCGCGGTGCAGTTCGTGCCCTGGCTTGTACAGTTGGCGAAGAACTGCTGCAGCCACGTGAAGCCCCCCGGGCTGCCAGTGACAGCCGGTGCACCGGTCCTGATACCCATCTTGCGCAGCGGTTCGACTTCCTGGATCCAGGTCTTGGCCGCGGCCGCGGGTTCGATGTTGCTCCCTCCGTAGGCGGACGAACTGTCCGGCTCGTTGAACGTCAGCACGTGGCTGATGTTGGTCCCGGATGTGGTGAGTGTGGTGATCTCGGTGAGGAAGGACGTGTCGGAGAGACCCCACAGCATGGGCACGAATTCGAAGTCGGATTGCGACTTGGCGGATGAGTAGACGGGGGATGGCTGGACGCCGTAGTTGTAGTACCAGGTCAGGTCGCTGCCCGACTCGATCCAGATCTTGTTGTCGTCGGGATACTTGGAGTTGGGGACGAAGACGAGGCCGCGCTTAGAGGAGCGTTGGAAGGTTGCTTGGGCGAGGGCCATGGGGAGACACATGGCGCCGAGAAGGAAGGGAAGCTGCATCGTGAGGATTGAGGACGAAAGTGACGCGACTCGACTGAAGAGCTGGTTTCTTCCAAGTCAAAGCAGGGTTTGCCTTTTCCTCACTCGAGGCTCCAGTGGGATTTATTCGGAATTGAGACAATAGATACTGGCAATGAATAGTTCAGAACTTCAGATGGGGAGACGATGCGGCAACGAACAGAATGCTAGAATTGAACGAGCGACCAAAAAAAATTAGGAAGAATTTCAGAATTAATGGTGGGAAGACGACGAAATGGAGAGGATAAAGAAGTCAGTGGCAGCTGAGCTGCAGCTCGTAAATGCGGTGCAGAAGTGGAAATATGGGAATGCTGGTTGGCATGGCCAGGGCCCAGAGCGCGGGATGTGCCCCGGGGTCCAGGGTTAGACGGGATGGCATGGGAGAGAAATCAAGATAAAAATAGCCACAGAATAGGAGAAAAGGAGAAAAGGAGAAAAGGAGAATAAGATACGAGAACCTTGTCTCTTCGCCGAGAGTGAAAGAGCTGCGTGAACTGCGTGATCCGCATCGAATGAGGGTCGTGCTGTGTCTTTTCATGCATAGCTGTTGCAGGCCGAGGAACAGAATTAATATTCTGATTCCCTTCCGCGACCGTTCTCCGCGGCTCAACAATATAAGGATCATGATCATAGCCAGCCCAGCAGGTATTGTTGACATGCTCGACATGTATATATACATTATAAGGTACCTACCTATACATAATATATCCTCGACATCTAAATTAAATCCGTCCAATCAGCCAGCCTCCAGGTTCACGTGATGTGATAACTAATCCCCGCCCGCTCGGTTCGACGTTGGACCTCGGCATCTCCCCCCGCCAACTCCAGCTCCAACTCCAGCCCTTTTACCCCGAAAGAAAGATCTCAAAGGCCTCAGATTCCCTCCAACTCCTCCTCTCCCTCTCCTTATTCCTATCACCTCGATTATCTTAATCCACCACGATCCACCCCCCCCCCCCCCGTCCTCCAAAATGACCGAAAGACTCAGCTCTATCCTCAAACACCTGACTCCTGGCTCCTCGGGACTAAATGCCATGTAAGTCGTCTACCGTTCCGCTCAGGACATCCCAATATGCTCATCATTACAGCACCTCCAAGAACGCCGATGATATTGTGATCACCCTCGCTATCCGCACTCCCTTAGCCAAGGGCTTCAAGGGGGGATTCAAGGACACCCCGCTCGATTACATCATCTACTCTCTGCTGAAGAAAGTCGTCGAGAAATCAAATCTCGACCCCAGCCTCGTAGAGGATATCTGCTGTGGTAATGTACGTTTCCGTGCCTTCATATCATCACTCGACCAATGCTTATCTACGTAGGTCTCAGAAGGAAAGGCAGCATACGTCCTCCGTGCTGCAGCCCTCGCCGCCGGGTTCCCAAATACAACCGCTGCCTCGACCGTAAATCGTTTCTGCTCCTCCGGTCTTAAGGCCACCCAGGATATCGCGAACCAGATCTCCAACGGCTCGATCGAAATTGGTATTGCCATGGGCGCAGAGTCGATGTCCGCCGGTGGTGACCGTCTGGAGCCATTCCATCCCGAGATTCTGAAGAATCAGGAAGCGGCAGATTGTCTGCAGCCCATGGGACAGACGAGTGAAAATGTTGGCAAGGATTTCAACATCACCCGGGAGATGCAAGATAGATATGCCGCAGAGTCATATAGGAGGGCCGAGATTGCGCAGAAGGCTGGCTGGTTCGATGACGAAATTGTGCCCATCGAGACGGACGTTAAGGATCCAAAGACTGGGGAGGTGAAGAGAGTTACCCTTACAAAGGATGAAGGCCCAAGATGGGGTACTACGTATGAGGGACTCAGCAAGATCCGACCTGCATTCCCAGCCTTCGGAGATAAGTCTACTGGTGGCAACTCCTCTCAAGTCACTGACGGAGGTGAGTTTACACTTTTATCCCTTGTCTGACCCGAGGTACTGATATATGATAGCTGCCGCTGTTTTGCTCATGAAGCGTTCCAAGGCCATCGAACTCGGCCAGCCCATCCTCGCCAAGTTCGTCGGCGCTACCGTTGCTGGTCTCGCCCCACGAATCATGGGAATTGGCCCCTCCATTGCCATCCCCAAGCTCCTCAACAAGTACAACATCACCATCGATGACTGCGACATCATCGAAGTGAACGAGGCTTTTGCCTCCATGGCCGTCTACTGCAGAGATGTCCTGAAGCTTCCATACGAGAAGATGAACCCCAGAGGTGGAGCGATTGCTCTCGGCCACCCGCTGGGAGCAACGGGTGCGCGACAGATCGTTACGGGTCTTAGTGAGGCGAGGAGACAGAAGAAGAAGATCCTCCTGACGAGTATGTGTATCGGGACGGGACAGGGTATGGCGGGGTTGTTTGTCAACGAGCAGTTATAATCTTCTACTCGATATTGAGTTGTATATAAAATGGGTGCAGCCTGCGACGGGAATCAAAAATGTTAGTTTGATGGGTATGGAATCCAATGTTTCCGGCTCCGTTTCCATTCCAGCCCAAGCAGGATAAAAAGCAGTTGAATACAACATTCCCTCTACGCTCCCCCTTTCACATGTTTGAATTCATACATCACTCATGCCCACCTAATATAATATAAATCAATCAGAAAAAGCCCATAGATCCATGTCTTCCCATCCCAAATCTCCTCCAGACCCCTCACCCACCCCGCATCTCCACCGCCTTCCTCATCCGCGCACCGCTTCCTTTCTGCCGAGCCGATGACGACAGGAATGTTCGACTTCACTTCACTTCCATCTCTCTCATAGCACAGCTTCATGAACAGATCCCGACCACCGCGCTATTGGGCGATTTAGATTTCATTCTCCATCTGTTGATTGAGTGATTGACCGGGCGTTATTGAAGAAGCTGAAGTTAAAGAAAGGGCGAAAGAGCTTTAAGACAGAAAGAGTGTGAGAAGGGGATATGGTGCAGAGGGTATGTATTTATTTGATTTCCTGCCCTCTCTTCCTGTTTCTTTTTATTTTTATTTTTATTTTTTTCCATATTTAAAAGTATGGAATCGTTGGAGGCTTGTCGAACTGATGATCATATATAGATTGCATTCCGCGTCCATGGCCGAGTTCAAGGTACGAGGGTCTCGTCTTGTTTGATGCTAGATCAGACGGGAGAATACTGAGAAGTCGCATGGTGATTTCACTGGATAGGCGTTTCGTATCGGTATGTGTACCCGTTTTTCTTTTTCTTTTACGATTCTATGTTCGTCCTGTCTAGGGTACCTATGAAAAAGAGGAGGGGAAAGGAAGGGAATAAAAAGAGGAGAAGGGGCATAATGGATTTATAAACAGAAGAAACAAACCATCTATCTACATAGATACTAATCCAATCCCAGGTATTTCACCCAAAAACGCGCAACCGAATATCGAGTTACGGGCTGGGTACGGAACGCCTCGGGCGGAAAAGTAGGTACCTGCCTATAATAATAAACCCGTTACCCCCGCAAACCAACGGACAAATAGCTTAAAACTCAAAAATCATAGGTAGAAGGCCAAGCCCAAGGATCCGAAGATGCGCTCCAGAGACTATTCAGAGATCTCGAGAAAGGACCTCCGCTCGCGGTCGTCGAGAAGCTAGAGAAAGAGGTTATTGAGCCGAAGGAGGGGGAAAAGGAGTTTGTCGTTACTAGGTGAATGAATGGAACAGGTGGTTTTGAGCTAGTGAGGTTTGAGAGAATATTTAGGTCCGAGCAGAATAATCCTCTCATGTCTTGAATCTCGTATAGCTATCCTGGATTCTTGTGTATAAGGGGTATCAGTCATTCGAACGTTACCGTACCTAATTTATTAGGTCTTATACTTCAGGGAAGGGGGAAAGAAGGAAGGAAAAGTAGGTACACATTGATATACCAGAAAGGAGCAAAGTGCTTGGATGGCTGTGTGTCCTTGAAACATAGTATTATAAGTCTCGTTAAAATCTTCGAAAACTACCATCTTCTTCAACTGGTTGGGAATAAATGGTTCAAATAACCACTTGCTACCTATAATATGGTGAACTCGGTATAGGCCTCATCGTATGCGAGAGTTCCTTGAAGACTTGCTCTCATCAGTTAAATATTGGTCTAGTTATACTGATAGGGGTTTGTGAGAGTAATCAGAATTAGAGACTAGTTATCTCCTGAGCTCCTTCGTCCCCGTAATAGCCACCTAACTGTTCCTTACTATAGACATTTGCTATATATCCAACTGTCAAGACTCAAGCCCGATATAGAACCATACATTATGATCTATTCGCGTTAAGCATCATCTGCGTATAAAACTTCACGGCCTCGATATGCTCCTTCATACCCAATTTCTCATCCACTGTATGCACGCTCTCCCTGCCCTCAATCCTCGACGGCGTAAAGCGATAAATGTTCCTGCTTAGGTCCCAGTAGAACTTCGTGTCCGTATTGCCCGTCATCACACTCGGCGCCACAACTATGTCCTCACCGAAAACCTGTTTGATCGTGCCACTTAGCATCTTGTACGCATCGGTATCGTAAGGACTGGTGGGCGAGGGGTTGAGAGGTTCGTCGAAATTCGAGAGGGTTATCTGGCCTAGGGAGGAAGTGGAGGTGTTGCCGGAGATGTCTCCCCACGCGTTGAGGGACATGGGGAATTCGGGGAGGATTTGCGAGCCTATGAGGGATTGGATGTTGTTCCGGACGGCGGAGACGTGGCTTTCGACTGCGATGCGGTGGTTGATTACGGCGTAGACTTTCTCCGGGAGGGCGTTGATCTTTATGCCTCCTGAGACAATGTCGACTGCTTGAGAGGTTTGCATGAGATAGCGGTTGAAAACGTCTTTGTCCGCGAGGTAGTTGGCTACCTTTTTGGCCGCTTTCTTGCTCTTGAGTGCTTTTTTGATGGTTTTGCGTAGCCAGGAGCTCATTTCTGGGCCATATTCTGCACCGCATTGGAGAGTAGTAAAGTAGGCTGTAAAAGTTAGTAGTGTTTGAGACAAAGGAGGGCGTACTCACGATTGGCGGGGGTTAAGTCGGGTTGATACGGGTGATCTTCGATGGCGGTGACAATCCGAGACAGAATTCCAATACTAGAATGATCTGGTGGAACAGATGAATGTCCTCCAGCTGTTTCAACAGTGACCTTGACATCAAAGTAACCTGTTAATCTTCAGTAAGAGGGTATCTCAACGACCGGAAGACAGTAGAGACTCACCCTTCTCGCCCAACCCAGGCAAAGCGAACATAGCCCCATACATCTCCTGGATTCCCAACCCGCCTTCATCAATTATGAGTTCAATCGAATCCTTCCCTAGAATTTGCAAAAGATAGTCTGCAATATGTTTTGCACCGTGCCATCCAGATATTTCCTCATCAAATCCAAAACCTGCCATTATAGTCCTCTCGGGAATGAAGTCTTTCTCGAGCAAAGTCTCGAACGACTCCAAAATTCCAATAAGATTGTTCTTGCAATCTGCTACCCCACGGCCCCATACGAACTTGCCATCGTAGTGCGCCGAATATGGAGGATACTTCCACTTGTCTGCAGTAGCAGGAAGAACAGGAACCACATCCTGGTGCGCCATGAATAGGTGCGGCTTCAAGGATTCATCTTTGCCCTTCCACTCTATGAGCAAGCCATAGGTATTGATAGTTGTGACGTTAAGCTTGGAGTATCTATGAGATGTCAGTTCTAATCGTTGAGATTTTAGAGCGGGGGTCTTACACAAGAGGGAACGTCTGTTCCAAATATGCATGGAAGTCCTTAAAGATGTCCCATCTCGAATCCTCTCCAACTTCTCCCATATCATCAAAGCTCTCAGTAGGAATCTGGACTGCTCCCTGTAGCCTTTTTAGGCTCTTGTCAAAGAATCCACTGCTGTCAACAACATCCTGGACCTCTTTCTCCAGCTCCCCTCTCTCGATCGACGTGCTATTAAATGCGGGATATTGTGGACAAGCTGGTAGATCAGAATGTGCGTATTGCGCACCTTCATACCTGGTCATATGTGCAACAGTAAATCCTAGAATCAGCGTGGCTAGAATCCCCCAGATTGCCCACTGCCAGGTTCGCCGGCGATTCGATCTGGCATGATGCGAAGCCAATGGAGTGATCTCTCCTCGTGGGAGCAGTGTATAGTCAGTCTTTTCCCCTGCCATCTTGATTGCAGATTGTGTGTCCAAGATCAATACTCGGATTATATGTGAGGGAGAGAATGGAGAGAATGAACTCATGAAAAACGGAATGGTGACATCGTCGATAGCTCCCGATTCGAGCTGCACCCCCACCTTTCACTCTTATCGCCCTATCGACTCACCGACCTACCTATTACAGTACCACATCCTTGCTATCGACCAAATCATTGTCATTTTCACGATTTATAAAGGCATCGAATATGTTCCTTAGACTCTCCTTCACAGCTCGGGTTTCATTTCAATATCTTCCACTTTTCACAGAGCATCAAAGCCCGAATCTACGACCCGAAGCAGTTGCAAGTCATGATGCCAGTTGGAGTGTTATCTCCTTTGAAGGACTTAGTAAAATTTCTTCCTCTTTGTGTGTCTTGTGCTTTGCAAACTTAGACAACGCAGTCATTGTTGAGCTTCCCAGAATGGATGAATTTAGCTAGTATCCTCTTTGTTCATATCCGCATGCGTGTATTCGTTGTGCATTTACCAGAAACCCCGCCACCTTAAAGGACTATATATTATCCTAATGAGAGCGGCGCATTGAGTTGAAGCACCTACCGCGTAAGGTACATATTTCTGTTTTTCAAAATGGTTGAGCTTACCACGTTTGCGAGGAAGTATGGCGTGAGGCCAGAACACGAAGATCAATGGGGACTTTTCTATCTATATGGAAAATCAGGTATATTCCCTCTGGCTAAGGAAGGGTTGTTGTTAAGAAGGCATTCTAGGATATACCCCAACTGTAGCACAGAATATCCTCACCACAGCTTACGAGCAAGACATTGAAGAGAAAAGGGAATTGTACCAACGTGATTGTCTACTTTTCGGTTTCAACGCAAGAGAACTAGAACTTATGGGAGCCCTGCCAGATCCAGATGCGCAACCAACTGTCATCACAGGGCCTATACAGTGCGTATTCCCTCTTCTCAAGGCTCAAGAAGCAGAATTCACTGACAAAATCAGTCCCATTCTTGACCGTGATCGCTGGGAGCCTTACAGGCTTTTTCGATCAGAGTTATTGATGGCACCGCTCAACCTACCAGTCGAACACTATTCCCTTGGAAACGATAACACAGGAATATGGGCTGCGAGCAATCCTGTAGTATGGCGGGTCCTAGACCCTGTTCTTAGATTGGTGACCAAGTTTCTAAGCAATTTCCACGTTCTGCCATGGGTACAATTCCACCCGTGCATTTGGACTATCCTATCTAACCCCCCTTTGTAGCTACATGCCTTCTTAACTGGAGAATTTAAACGGGTGCCCGAGCATCTTGATACCCGATCAATGGAAGATAAGCAGAGGGACGGTCCCGTCTGGACCTTCAATCGTCGAAATCCGCCCCAAATATTTGACCAGACAACCATGCAAAACACATTGAAGTATCTTGAGAATCTGGGGAAAAAATTGTCCCTGGGTATCTCCAAAGGCTTTTGTGATCCAAGGACGAACATAGAAATACCGGGCCAGCGTTTCTTGTGTGCTTGTGCAACTTCATCGAGGTTCCCGAAGCGAGATAAACTCGACGAGTTGGAAAACGTGGAAATATATATGTCCCATGAGGCATTAGAACCGCTTCTTAGAAATGATATGAGCCCCTCTGAGATTCTCGCTGAACAGTTCGTCCTTGCCGCTTCTTTCTTACACGAGATTGGAGTAAGTTGTCCCCCTCCCCCAGCACTTCCTCTACGCTAATAAACATTAGCACGCAACCAATCTGTCACTGGCTGGCACAGCTCCCTGGATTAATAACCACCATGAACCTTATTATGAAAGTGAGGTCTTCTCGGAGCTAGGGGCTTCTTTGGAATTAAATGTGAGTTTCGTAATTTACTCCAGGCTTGACCAACTAACAAATATTCCTAATGTAGCTATTTGGGGGCGTCTTGACTCCGATGGTGCGAGAATTTCCCCGCGTAAACATCCCGCGCCTAGGAATATTTTTAACGTCCTTCCCTAGTAAGGAATTCAAACTCCCGAAGGCATCGGCTTTGGACATGTATATTGGTGGCCTTGATAATTTGCCAGACCATGCGACCTACATCCCTATTATCTCGAAATATTTTGAGCATATACAGCAGGATTCGTTCTGGGATTGTGCGGTGGGGGGCTGGGGATTGGATATTGTCAGACCATACCAGCATTATGGATTTGCGCATACCTCTTCGATATACTCGTTTGGGGGCCAGATTTACTGTGCAACCCCTGGCCTAGCCGACTCTGTCTGGAGGGATAGCATTGAAAGGGTAAATAAAGACGTGACTATGCTCATGAAAATGAACAAGGAAGAGCTTGAGGCTTACACACTAGCTAAGCAGCTCGATGCAGAAGCTAATCGGCGGTCAGAACAAGCAAGATTCCGAACAGAACGGTCGAAACTTGCACAATCGATAATAAAAGCTCTGTCAGACGTCGAAGAGACGTGGCGAACGGGTAATACAGACTTCGAGGTACAAAAGGAAAAAGAGCTCCTCAGTCTGTTATCAAAGGAAGCCGAAGAACAGACCAAGGAAGTGCTCGAATTCGTGAAGGTCAATGGAGTTCATGATCCAAAATATACGGAGCACAAAGCGTTTCTCAGAAGAATGAATCGGCACCTGCGCACAATGCTGTTAAAATTTAGAACGTTTGCAAAGGAGGACAAAGAACAGCCATTTCAAAAACTTGTCGAGAGAATGACGGCGGTCCTCGAAGCATGTTCCGTGGTTCTGCAAGGGGGCTTGAATGGAGTCATGCCGGCAAATATCGAGGAGTTCATTCAAAACCCTACGAACGATGCACAGATATCCGCGGCATCCTCGCTGAACGACCATGAGGATGTTGAGATGCAGGAGGCGGAGATAAATGTGTCAATGGAGCAGGCAAAGACTGCAGTTGAAACAAATGACCAGAAGCTTTGCTCCAGCATTGGGGCAACTCTGCTCCACAGCCTGAGTCTGAATACCTTGAGTCTAGCGATTGCTTGCATCCTTCTGGCTCATGTCCAAACCGATATACGAAGGGCTTCATACGCCGAGAATGGCGCCTCGCTCCTCGAAAAGTTGAAGGGAAGGACGTATGATCGAAATACTCTTGCATTTTGGGGGGATATTGTGAATACGGTACGTGCTAGCATCAAAAACGAGGCAGTTCTGGCACCTTGCGGAAGGTAGAGGAACAAATCGACAACCTTGGCACCTGTCAGTGCTGTCAGCTCCTGTATTTATAGATATAGGATTAAGAGTTTTGTACAGCATTTGGTATAGAGAGAGAAGAGCTATTGTAGTAGATACCTACCTACCTAAGGTAGGTCGGTAGGTAGGTAAGGTAAGGTTAGGTAAGGTAGGTAAGGTATCTTAGGTACACGAAATTAGGAGCTGGTCATGTGACTAGTACATTACATAATAGGGCTCGGCTAGCTAGATATATGCCCACCATGAGGCTTACTTCGCTCTTAATAATACAACCGTTCCACACTCCATCCACCCCTCCTTCTCCACATCCCCGCTCTTCCTGTCTGGGTAATGAACTACAACAACACAACATCTCCATTTAATTCAAGCTCTTCAGACACCATGGACCCCTTTTCCTCTCGAGACTTGCCGGACTTGACACCTCTGCGGTCGCCAATGCCATCATCGTCATCATCATCGTCATCATCATCGTCATCCTCTCGCCCACAGTCCGCAGGATATTTCTCTCGTGCACCCCCACAGCGCGACCTAGGACCCCGCAATCTTCTAACGCCACCCGACTTGTCCGGCGCTTCGATTCCGAGCCCATCTATCAACCCTGTGCGAAAGATCACCCCGCCGGAAGAACATCTTTTAGTAGCAGAGGATCGATTCCGACAAGCAGAGAGATACGTCGAAGAGTACAGAGCCTCGATGAAACCTGGTCCGGGACGGGATCTACCCCGTCCTCTAGAGGACTACGAGACTCCCCTTCGCATCAAGATGCCAGTGGGTGATTGGATCAAGTTAGACCAGAAGTTGAACCCAGAGGAAAACGATGACCCGTAAGACATCTCTTTCTGTGATCAGAATTCTTACTAATTAAGGTAATTACTTTAGATATCCTCGTCTATCGTACAATGCCGCGACATCAACCGTGATTGTGGAATGCATGCCAAGCCCACTTCATCAGTCCATCACTTCACTCCTAATTGATGAATTCATCGAGTCCAGAACAACCCTTTCCCGCGATCTCAAAAGGCAGACACGTGTTTCGTGGGAGACAACCTGCAATAAATTTGGTAGTGAGTGGGCAGGGTCTCGTAAACGACCCGATCTTAGCATTGCAGTACGTGATACGAGTGGAACTCCGAGGCTGAAATGGGTAGTTGAAGCTGGCTTATCAGAGACATACGACCAATTGGTAGAGGATGCGCGACTTTGGTTGGAAGGTCATCTTGAAGTTGCTATGGTTATACTTGTCAAGTTTTGCGAAAGCCCGCGATATCGATGTCCAGTCCCGAAGACTCAAGATCCAGAAGAGCTAGGCATTCCTTTGGACGTACTTGAGATTGATAGAACAGAAGTCACTATGGAAGGACAATTCGGGCCTGCTACGTACAAAGGACATAAGTGGGTGGGAAAGATCTCTGAAGTCTTTATGGAGACCTGGGTTCAGGATGCAGGTGGAAGGGCGGTGCGACGAGGCAATCGGGAAGACCTCTTACAAGCTGGTCAACTTCAACTATCTTTTGGGAATATCTTGCCTCCTGGTTATCCTCAGACGATTACTTTGGACTTGAATGAGTTCCATAATGGGTTGAAAGAAGAGATACAGGAGTTGGCTGCTCACAGATGTAGGGAAATGGTCAATGATTGGGTGAAGAGAATGGGTGACGGACAAAGTATAGGGATTATCAGCCATCACAAATGACTGACTCGGAATAGCTGGTTGCTGTATCCAGAATGAAGAGCGAGGCCAGTGTTCAAGCACTTGGTGAGCAACTTCGCTGATATTTGGCAATGCTCCTTGTTGGACGATTACCTGATCGTGCTTTGCCTTTGTAGATTAGTCTGTAAAGAATAGCTTACCTTGAAATATCTTCCTCTAACAGGATCCATCTATCCTCTGCTGCATCTCACATCACGTGACGCCAAGACTCGGGAGCATTGTGCCAAAAACAGCAACATAGGCGCTATTTTTTTTCAGTCTGTGGTCGTATGTACCTATCTGGGTTTCATTGTTTTGGGTAGATATGGAGAGTGCTGTAATAACGGGGTCAGGAGGAAGATATTTGTATCTGACATTACTCTGTATGTTCACTGGCTATCGTGCTACCACATACCTCACATCTGGCCGAAGTATACTCCTGCTTGACCACAGGACGAGTGTCACCAGTCCTGTAAAGCGAAGCATACCCCGAAGCACAACTTCGAACGTACGAAAATCCCAAAATCCCCGGATTCTGGGCTTTCACTTTCAACGCCATGGGGTAAAGACGACAAGCTTCAGGTGGATTCAGGTACCCGAAAACGTCTCGTCTATCTAAGCGAGGCCGACGATTACCCGGATAATCAGGAATGACACGCAGCCCCTGAGTAGATCACGTGCATCGTTGACGACCTCCCCGCAACTCTCCAACTCCCTCAATCCAGACAATCAACACAATACCTGACAACAAACACGCACAATGGCAACAACACAGGCATACCCACCCGGAGGAACCTTCCTCGACGCCATAAAGAAGTCCTTCGCGGACGTGCCGGTCGACAAAGAGAAAGACAATGCCATAGCCACCACCGAGTTCTTGGAGGCCGCCGAGTCGCTGACCACATTATTCGGTACCTCTTCGTCCTCTGCCGTCCCAGGGACCTGTACTAACGGCAGCAGATGTCCTTGGCTCCATGGCCTTCCAGCCCGTCAAGGCTGACATGCTGGGGAATGTCAAGGTTTGTGTATGCTTGAATCGAGAAGGAGGAAGCCAACTAACGCACGCCCAGAAAATCAGGGACAGACAATTAGCGGCACCAGCCGAGTCCATGACTATCCAAGATCTCGTTCTCAACGAGTTGAAGACCAAGAAACACACCGCCACCGAAGGCCTGGTGTGGCTTGTCCGGTACGCCCCCTCCTTTGCCCTCCCCGGCACACCGCCCCGCTTCAACCATCAAATTCCGTGCTAACTAGCTATTCCTGCAATAATCAGCGGATTGGATTTCACCGCCATTGCGCTCTCCCAGAACATCGCATCCCCGACCGAAGAACTCTCCGTCTCTTTCCGTAATGCCTACGGCAACACCCTCAAACCGCACCACTCCTTCATGGTGAAGCCCATCTTCAGCGCCGCCATGAGCGCGTGTCCTTACCGCAAGGACTTCTACACAAAGCTGGGAGAGGATCTGGAGAAGGTGATTGCCCAGTTGACGGTCTGGTTGGCGGCGCTGGAGAAATTGCTGGCGATTTTGAAGGCCTTTTTGGACAGGAAGGAGGCGAAGTGGTAGATGATATGGGTGGGGTTAAACCATATTTGGTGCGAGTGCATTCATGATGGCATTGAAGAATAGGTACAGAGGGGTTATGGACCAGTGCTCGCAAATACATCCGTGGTTCTGAGCAATTCGGTATAGATTGTCATGCGTAGTAGAGCGAACTATCTTTCTGCCACTGCAGTTTCAATGCCGCAGGGGCAAAATCATGGCTATATAGTAAATCGTACACTCATTATGATATCGGCTGTAAGTATAAAGAAAGCTCTTCCCACATACAGCTCCTCCGAGTCTCAATTGGGTCACTAAACCCACAGACCTTGGGTTTCTCGTCCATTCCATTCCCAATTATAAACGCATGAAAACTCCAGGCGGCCTTACGCCCATAAACGCGCACGTCTTCCTAAACCCATACCTAACATCCCCTCTAATAAACCTCTTTCTCCTCACCCGTGCCAGCTGCACACAGGTATCCAGATCGAGTCCCGGGTACTCCATGACTAGGAACTGGGCCATTGGTTCCAAAACCCTAGCCAACTCATCGCTAGTGCTCTCGACGACCTTTAGACTTGTGCCATTTTCGCCCGGCCAGACACTTGTCCTAAACCTCGTCTTTCCCTTTTTCGTGGTATCCACTGCCAGCGTCAAGACCTTGAGGTCGGGGAATATTTCTCGAAATCGAGGCTTGGGGGCATGGCCTGCCCTGCCAGCAAGCAGTGTGATCAGATGTGCGCGATCGGCATCGAGTGCTATATTATGCCATCCCGTCATAACACCGGCGCGATTCGTCTGGTCGTCGTCTAGGAGCATGAATGCCATGTACAAGCCCATCAGTGTATTCAAGAACAACGTGTCGCGCTCCGGAGAGAAATAGAATTGCCGCACACCCTTCGAGAGGGAGGACCGCGCGACATAGCTCATGAGCTGATAGTGCTGCAATGTAACCCGTCGCGATTCCTGGCAGACGGACAAGAGGACCGGTGGGGTGGAGTGGTTGGATCGGAACATCATCTTGCCATTCTCCAGCAATTTGACGCAGGGGTGCAGTTCATGGACACGCCCATCAGGCAGGGCCGCTTCCCAGATCAGGAGCCGGATCTCGACTGGCAGGTCCATGAGTTTGTGGAAGCGCCGCGTGAATTTGTTGGAGATGGCGGTTTGTAGCTTGGCGAGCGATCTGCTCTGTTTCGGGGGAGGGTTGTGGTGCGGCAGGATTCGAGTCTCGAGGGAGGGCTCGGCGATGGGGAGGATGGCGGGATGGCCTTGCGGTTTGGACATTTCGATCGTGGGCTTCTGGAGGGCGGGCAGTATGGTTAGAGATGGGTACGTACGTACTATCGCGAGAAGCGCTCACCATGTGTGCTTTGCGGCCAGGCAAGGATTGTGGGATCGATCTTGGTAATCTGAAATGCAGCCCACAACGATCAAGACTTTTGAATCCAGAGATGCGATCGGAAGTAGAGGTTGAGACATCGGAGACAAGATCGTTGCTAACGTTGGTGAGGTGGGGTTGGCTTGAGGTTTCTCGCGAGTCGCAAGGCTGCGATGCTTCCTGGCGCCTTAACTAAGCTGACCCCGCCGCCGACGACACAAGGCCGGACATGTTGATACGGGATTTTCTTATTGATAGATATTTGATGAATCGTTTATTTCATTGATTCCTCTGATCTCCTCTTTATCATCCCACAGAAGCTTTCAAACAGCACGCTATCATGGCCTTTTAGCCATCTAACAGTGACTTTGACACCAGCCTCCCCTACTTCTTCTACCTGGATCTTAAAGCCTAGAGCCATATCTTCATCTTCATCGATACCCGTATCTTCGGCCCGTCCAGCTTGCCTTCGGGCGGCACGGGACCATACAGCCTTCTCGCTGAAACCAACTCCCGTAGAGATGTTGGGTTTCCACATCCACTTCAAAGGGAGTTGAGACAGTGCGTCATTCAGATGCCGACCAACTTTCGTGATGTCCGCTCCATCCAGCTGGAAAAGGTCAATCATAATGATTGAAGTCCAAAGTTTCGAGTTGACTTACCATTATCACATATTCCGATGGGAATGGCAGCAATGCTTTCGGCAGACTGTTTAATCCCCTCGCAACGCTCATCTTAGGTCTCAAATCCTCAAAGCTCCAGGCAATTCCCCACCGCCTGGTCTTACTACCCTGGACAAACTCCGTGACGGCGTAATTCCCGACGCCCTTGTCTCTCAGTTTCTGTACCAGGGTAGCCACACTTGATAGTTTCCCTAGCATAGAGGTATACCATTGAACTCTATCTTGGAGAACCAGACTCTCATCTATCATTCTTGAAACAAAGGCAACTTCTCCTCCGGGCGTGACCATCTCGGTCTCTGAACCCGTGCAGGCAGTGAACGCTGGTCTTTGCTTCGCCGTTGCCGAGGTCAGCATATCGGCTTTGGACTCGTAGAATGGTGGATTGCACATGCTGAAGTCGATGCTGAAGAAGTCAGTAGAGGCTTATTGAAGGACTTTAATGTAGCATGTTGTACTTCTCAAATTCCATAGTATCAAGGGGCAATAATGGACCGTCAGGCCGGGTTTTGAGAAGCTTGACCCGATTCTGAAATGCATTTGCATCCACATTTTGCTTCGCAAATTGTAGACTCTTGTCGTCGATGTCTACGAGTCAAATTAGTAGCTGTAGGAAGTATGATTAAGTTGGAAATACCAGTTCCAGCAAATCTCCATTTCGGTCGCTGTGCACAACCTAAAAGGGGATATATGCAACTCGCCCCGGTCCCAATGTCAAGACCAAGAACCTGTCTTTGGGGATCATAGGTGTCGGTGTATGCATCACTGGTCGTGTCCAAGAGGCTTTGGATCCATAGCAAGTAGTTCAGACGATTCGGGACCTGAATTTCATCAGTCACCGGATTCAAATCAAGACGCATGAAGACCTACTGGTGGGCAGAGCCGGTCAGGAGGGAGCTCGATTTTGAGTTTAAAATCTCTTCTGAGTAATGATTTGGTGAGTTGCTGAACAGATTCAGGATTACTGAAATCAAGCTGCCCGTTTGGCTTCAGACTAGCATATGGATCAGCGAACGAGGCAAACGACGAGATATGATATGGGAGAGGTGCGAGAATCACTATCTACCAGACGTATCTTACATACACTCTAGCAAAATCTGCGTCCTGTATCGCCAGGGCTGCAAAATCGATGTCTTCCTTGTAGGGATTACCGACGCTCGTCATGTTGGAGAGAATCGCGGGCTTCACATGGTGCATGCGATGTCAGAGGAAGTCTAAAGTTTAGATAGTGTGCGTTTGATACCTAAATAAGAAGACAATAACTACTCCTCGAACACCTTACGTTGCATACCTGGCCGTTGCAACCTTGAGGCTTCGAGATGACCAAAATTTTGCTTCACTTTATTGGCACGTGATCTATTACACAATGGAAAGCCCAGAATCAAGTAGTTCCTTTCCTTAAGGTATTCATTTGCGTTTCAATACACAGCTAGGAGGCCTTTTTTCATTCATCTCTTTCTTTTCCTAATTATATTCACTTGTTTCCTATTTGCCTAGAATGTTCACCGCCAACTCCATAGCTCGAAAGTGTTATTTTAACTCACCGCTCTTCTCCTTCCTGTGATTTTAGCTTCTTCGTCGCTGGACCTTCGTCATCGGGCTCCGCAGTGGGAATATCAGGCACTTCAACTTTCCTTTTATCCCCCTCAACCTCCACTTTGCTTGTATGGTCGTTAACTTCTGTCTTTTTGGCATTTTCTTCATACTCTACCTTTGTGTCTCCTTTGCTCTCTGGAGCTCCATTCTCTGCAGATTCCCCTCCTTTAACGGTCTCCCACTCTTCGGCTTCAGACTCAGTTGGTGGAAAAAAATGCCTACCATGTGTCAGTTGGATGCAATATCGAGGCCATCGATATACTCACGGCAGCCAATGGTTGTATGCGTCCACATCCTTCTGTGTAAAGGTGCAAAACACCACTTTATCCAACTTATCACCATCCCCACCCTCAAGGAACTCCTTTACTGTTCGGATAGCAACCGGTGCCGCATCATTACTGGGATAGCCATAAACCCCGGTGCTCAAGGCACTGAAGGCAATGCTCTTGCACTCGTTCTCAACAGCTAGTTTCAAACTTGTACTGTAGCACCCAGCCAAATCCTCCTCGCACTCCTTTACGAGATTTGAATCGTAGATTGGGCCGACAGCGTGAATAACCTTTTTGCATGGTAGATTGTAAGCCCCTGTGATCTTGGCTGAGCCAGTGTCACAACCCCTCAATTGACGACACTCCCTCAACAACCCGGAGCCGGCAGCTCGATGGATAGCACCATCAACTCCCCCTCCGCCAAGCAACGAGTTATTAGCAGCATTGACAATGGCATCAATTTGAAGCTTTGTGATATCTCCTCGATAAAGCCCGATGCGATCATTGAATGGTTTGAAGGGTTTCGGGGTTGCGGTGGCGGGGGCAGCAGGAGGCGCGAGCTTGTTGATGCGGTAGAGAAGCGATACCGTTGGTACCTCGGCAGCTGGTATGATCGTCATGATTAGTTTGATGGCAGACGTAACTCCTGTTATATATGTCTCTTCTTCTGGACAACGGAAGATTTCCAGGATTCGTTTCAAGGACTTGTAGAAGTAGAAGGCTACATGGCTGTCATAAGGCTGTCATGCCATTTTGGAGTGGGGCTTTAGCGAGAAGCTCAAAATCCTAGCCTCGTGCTACGTGTAAATACCGTAAACTGTAATAATAAGAAAAGTTATTGCTACAGTATCAGCCTCCTTGACTCACGCCTTTCGCACTCGTACCTCTCTGTCGTTCCGCAACTCAAGATCGAACGCTGCCATAGCATACCGTCAACACTGTCGACAGAACATCTGCGATTCCCCCAGAACCTCGACCACATCCACCGCTCAATTACCCCGCACGTGCCCAATCATGGCGGACGCCGTCGCTGGGCAAGTAGCCAAGCTCCAGCTGGATGAAGAGACTGGCGAGATGGTCTCGAAAGGGGAGCTGAAGAAGAGACTGGCCAAACGGGCAAAGAAGGCAGCTCAAGCCAAAGCCAAGGCAGAAGCACCAGAAAAAGCACCTGTCGCACCCAAACCGAAGACCGAAGAGGCAAAAATTTCCGAACCCACGAACATGTTTGCCCAAGGATGGCTCGATGAGGTATATAAGGAGAGGCCAGTAAAGCCTGTGGTAACGCGGTTTCCACCAGAGCCCAATGGATATCTGCATATCGGCCATGCGAAGGCTATTGCGGTCAACTTTGGTTTCGCGAAATACCATGGTGGGAAGTGCTATTTGCGGTTCGACGATACCAATCCTGAAGCGGAGGAGGAGAAATATTTTACTGCGATCAAGGAGATGGTGGAATGGCTCGGGTTTAAACCTTACGCTGTTACTTACTCGAGCGACAACTTCGATAAACTATACGAAAAGGCGGAGGAGCTTATAAAATTGGGCAAGGCGTATGTTTGCCATTGCGGGGGTAAGGTCACATACAAGTTGGTCATTTGAAGATACTGACAGCTAGCAGATGCTGAGATCAAGGCCCAAAGAGGAGGAGAAGCACGAGGTCCTCGGTTTCGATGCGCACACGCCGACCAAACGCCTGAGCATAACCTAAGTGAGTTCCGAGCAATGCGTGACGGGAAATATAAGCCAAGAGAAGCTTTCCTAAGAATGAAGCAAAACATCGAAGATGGTAACCCTCAAATGTGGGATTTGGCGGCATACAGAATTTTGGATGCCGAACATCATCGAACGGGTCCCAAATGGAAGATCTATCCTACATACGATTTTACGCATTGTCTGTGTGATAGTTTCGAGGGAATTACTCACTCCCTCTGTACCACCGAATTCATCCAATCAAGAGTATCATACGAATGGCTGAATAAGACTCTTGGAGTATATGAGCCTATGCAAAGAGAGTATGGTCGTCTGAACATCACGGGAACCGTCCTGTCGAAGAGGAAGATCATGAAGTTGGTCACTGAGAAGTATGTTCGAGGCTGGGATGACCCAAGGCTTTACACTCTCATTGGAATCAAGAGACGAGGTGTTCCTCCTGGAGCCATTCTTGAGTTTGTCAATGAACTTGGCGTTACGACTGCTCCAACAAACATCCAACTTGCACGCTTCGATCAAACCGTACGAAGATATCTCGAGCGCACCGTTCCTCGTCTTATGGTCGTGCTAGATCCAGTTCCAGTGGTAATCGAGGATGCCGAAGAGATGGAACTTGAGATCCCATTCTCGCCAAAGATTCCAGAAATGGGCAGCCACAAGGTCAAATTTACAAAGACGGTTTATATCGAACGCAACGATTTCCGAGAGGTTGACAGTCCAGAATACTTCCGGCTTGCCCCGGGAAAATCCGTTGGTTTACTTCAAGTCCCCTATCCGGTCAAAGCAGTTTCATTCACGAAAGATGGCGACAAAGTCACAGAAATCAAAGCCGTCTTTGATAAGTCAGGAAAGAAGCCAAAGACATACATTCATTGGGTTGCCGAAGGATCAAGAAATGTCGAGGTCCGGATACACAATTCCCTTTTCAAGTCCGAAAAGCCCGATGATGCGGAAGGTGGTTTCATAAATGACATCAATCCCAACAGCGAGGAAATATGGCCTCATGCCATGATTGAATCGGGATTCGACGAGGTGAAGGCTCGTGCTCCATGGCCAGAAGCCGCTGGAGAATCTGAGCTTGGAAAGGGAGGTCTTGAATCCGTTAGGTTCCAAGCCATGCGTGTGGCGTATATGGTAAGCTCGTTGCCCAATGATAGGAGATATAAAGCTAATTGTTTGTAGGCAATGGATTCGGATAGCACGGATGACAAGGTGATTTTCAATCGCATTGTCAGTCTGAAGGAGGATGCTGGGAAGTAGGATGAATCAAGCGGCCATGTTTCTGCATTGAGGAGTTCTTAGAGCGGAGGCATGTTTGGAAGCCCAATTAGACGATAAAATGAAGACGATATCCGGGTCAACAAGTAGATCAAATGTGCTTGAGTCAACATGTTTTTCAGGCCGTTGACTGGTTCGTAGTCACAACTCCTGTTTGGAAAGTGACGGGGGTCAACCGCCCCGTTTCTCCCGATGCTGAGTTCTTTTTCCCTTCCTCCCTTCCTCCCTTCCTCCCCCCCTTCTCTCTTTGCTTCCACCTTCAACATCTACATAGTAAACCTGTGTTCAAACCCTCCAGAATGACAAAACACGCCGAACAGTTCACTTTCGAGCAACTGTACGTGGATCTTCCAAGTCTGAGAGGTCGATACTTCATCTTGAACGTGCAGAAAGATGGGAGTTATCAAGTTGAACTACGCCAACGACCATGGAATTGTGACAGTCAAGCAACCCTCGATGAAGTACACAGTGTAATTGACCTCTCCTGCAGAGGGAGAGAAAAGACTATCACCCGACCAATAATACCATGCAAGGAAAAGGGGGGGCGCCAATGACACAGTATGCGCGCTCCCACACACTAGCAGAGTTGGATATATTATTGACAGTGATAAAGGAAGACTTCAACTCCGGTTGGTCATATATTGAATGTGAATCAGCAGCAACTGCATGTGAAACAAAAGCGGCTGAGAAGGAAAAGGCAGCAAGGGAACATGCATCATCAGACGGAGGTCACTTCCTTACCGCATGATGCGCCTTTAACTACTAGTCAGCGTAGCGGCCAATGTCATCGCTTTTCTCTCTCTTTCTCTCTTTCTCTCTTTCTCTCTTTCTCTCTTTCTCTCTTTCTCTCTTTCTCTCTTTCTCTCTTTCTCTCTTTCTTTTCTCTCTAGCTTAAAGAAATTCTAATAAGGGCGGCTTGAAGGACGGAGTGGATACTCAATGAATGAAGGCAAAGAAAAAATGGATGTGAACACTCAATATTGATGAGCGGTGAAGGTGGAGGTGAAGGCTGAGAGTGGGTAGAAAGGAAGGACAATGCTCGGAGGGGAGCCTAAAGAGAGAGAGAGGGAGAAGAGGTGTCGAATAACGTCCTGAGTATCAACGTCCCGAGTATCAACGTCCCGAGTAGGGGCCTCGTCTACAGGGAACCACTGTGCTGCTATCCTTGCTTTGGCCTTTGATGCCTTCCGGATTTCGGTCTACGAAGGCATGGTGTCAGACGGGAGAATCGGACTCGATTGAAGAGTGAAGGTAAGGGTCTAGAGAGGCTATATAAGGTATACAAAAGTGGGACCCCTTAACCGATGGCATCATGTGACCTGAATTTCACCGGAGTATATAACGAATGAATGTTAGTAAACATCAGGGATAACGTCCGCAAAAAAAGACATACTGATAGTATCCAAATGTAGCAATGGACAGATAAAGTGAAGTTAAAGTTAAAGTAACTCGGCCGAGTAGGCGATAATGATAACACCACCCTCGACAGCCTTGAGAGCCTTGGACAGCGCAGGTAGCTCTACAGGTAGCTTTACAGGCTCTTAACAGGTTAATAGTATAAGGAAAAGGAGTTCCCCTACAAACGGGTATATAGCGGCGTTTTAAAGGGCATATAACGGGTTGGATTAAGGCTCAAATCAGGGAGTTCTCGAGGGTTCTTTGTGCTAAAGATGATATCGTACCTACCTTAGGTACCTACCTTGGGCTCAATCGTATCGTCAAATTCGAACATTAGGTAAGTAGGTGGTCTTTCTGACATGACTAAGGAAGTCTGGGCCGTTTTAGACAGAAAGCTGACCCCGAGCGGACACCTAGGGAAAAACCACAAGAGAGAGGGACAATTTAACAGGGGTAATGACTGTACGACAGGCTCGAGATAGGTGATAACTAAAGGCGGGAAATAACTGTGAGGGGTTGATTGATTGAATACCGAGGTGCCAATAACCATTAAAAGGGAGTCCTAACAAGTCAACGTGACATGATATCCAAAAGGCTTGAATGCTTCATGATTGCCGAAGTGTAGCTGATATAGTCTATCTTCTTATCTCTTTATATCTGCATAAGAGCGCAAACAGCAAAAACGCCAGACCAAACAACAGGTTCTTCCTAGCCCTTTTATTACGATCTATCTTCTTTCTCCGGCGACCGTTCAATCATCCTCATCAGAGAAGACTTCCTCGCCACGCTTTCTTCGAGCCATACGTTCTTTCTTCTTCTTTCGAAGTTCGGCCGACGTTAATTTCTTCGCCTTCTTTGTAGAGACAATCTTGTTACCCATGGCATCGAATTTCTCTTCTTCCTGTTACGTAGTCAGTATATATCCGGGTCACGTGAAAATAGTTGCATCACGTGGGGGTTCTGATATCACGTGAGGTGTTGTAATCACGTGAATATAAACTGATGTGAACGTACCTCGTCGTCCTCGCCCTTCAATCTTGGTCCAGAACCTTGTCCACTGATCCAGTGGTGTCCACTGGGGGTCATGCGGCCGTCCATCACGGCCCAGACTTCCTCAGTCAAGTCCTTGGTGAACTCGGCAGAGTGGGTGATGATGATGACACCTCCCTCGAACTTCTTGAGAGCCTTGGACAGAGCACCAAGAGAGTCACGGTCGAGGTAGTTGGTGGGCTCGTCAAGGACGATCAAGTGTGGTCGTTGCCATGAGCAAGCAGCTAGGACAACCTTGACACGTTGTCCACCGGAGAGACCCAACATACGTGAGTGAGACACCAACTCGGCATCGAGACCGAAATTGGCGCAGTGAGCCTCAATCTCCTTTCGGACCAGAGGGCGGAATTGACCGCTGGCAAGAGCTTCCTTCTGGTCGATCTCAGCAACCATCTTCTGGTGAGAAGTAATGATCTCATTTCGGGGAATCCAGGCGTTATCAGCAGTCATCATGGGAACCCATCGCTCGTTCTTCATTCCAACGTTCTCTCCGAGAGCGAACGAACACTCGTACTCGTAAGAGTTCTTGAACTTACGACGGGCGTGAATGCCGATGACACGTCTCTGGGTACCCTCAATCTTGTATATCTTGTCCATGGCCTTCTCATCCTCGTCGGTGACGATCTTGTTGGCTCGGTCCATGGTCTCACGATCCTCACCAGTCTGGAAACGCCATTGGATATACTCGGAAGGAGTCTTATCCAAGTGGCTGTCAATGTGGGCGAAAGCGTGTTGCTTGATATAAGCAATACGGATGTTCTCGTGGGTGTAGACTTCACCCTTGGTTGGGATGAGTTCACCGGTCAGGACGTTGATCAGAGTAGATTTACCAGCACCGTTGGGACCGATAACGGCAATACGGGAGCCGAGGGAACATTGGAAGGTGATGTCGGTGATTTGTGGCTTGGGGGTACCTGGGTATTGGAATTCCATCTTGTTAACACGCACAATAGCCTTTGCCTTGGTCTTAACACCCTCGAGATAACCGGGCTCAGGGAACGTGAACTCGAGATCAGAAGCACCAAGCTCGTAGTAGGAGCGGGCACTTGGGCACTTCTTGACAAATTCTTTCAAGTTACCACGGTATCTCTTGAGCTTGAATCGCTCGTAGTGGATGATGTGCTGGCAGACATTATCCAAGAAACCGGAGTCATGAGAAACGATGATGGATGTGCAAGGGGAAGCCTTCAAGTAGTCCTCGAGCCACTTGACGTTCTTCACATCCAAGTGGTTAGTCGGCTCATCGAGCAACAGAATATCAGGAGCCTCGAAGACGGCACGGGCAAGAGCCAGCTTCATCTTCCATCCTCCAGACAGAGCAGTAATCTGGTTGGCGGTCATTTCTGGGGTGAAACCGAACTCGGCCAATTGTTTCTCGACCTCAGCCTGGCTAGTATTAACACCAACCTCAGCAAGCTTCTTCATGGTCCAGGCGATGGTGGTCTGTTCAGTGTCGGCGGAATCGAGATCGTGCTCAACGAAGACGGTCTTGACCTCGCTCTTCTTTGGGAAGCCCTCAACTTGCTCGTTGTTAATGGCGCGCATGAGAGTCGACTTTCCGGAACCGTTAGGACCGCAGAGACCGTAACGTTGGCCACGCTTGAGGCGGAGATGTGTTTGGTTCAGAAGGATCTTAGCACCATAAGCCAAGTTGAAGGTACAGTTGCAGAGATCCTCTCCCTCCTCGTCGTCAGCCTCCTCGGCATCTTCCGCCTCAGCACCTGGAGAAGCACGCTTTCGGAGGTTGTCAACGATTCCTTGTGCATCATTGTCACCAACAACGGCGGCAATGTATGGCTTAATATTAGTGGTCCAAGAGGAGCTATCGGCATCCTTCTCGTCAATAAGTTGACCGGCGATGGCGGAAGCATACTCGAGGACTGGACCGAACTTCTCGGCAGCATCCTTGTGCTTGGAGCCAAGGATGTCCTTGAGAATGGCGAGAACGGTGGAGACATCACCAGCATGTGAGACCTCAGGGATCTTCCCGTCCTTAACGTCACCGACACGGATAAGAGTGTCGAGAGCTTGCTTGGTCTTCTCACGAGCCTCGGGGTCAGCCAAGTTCTCGTAGTTCTTGTTCAGACCGGGCATGAGCTTGGGCAAGAAAGCCGCGACAATTTGGGGGTCCTCGACAAGCTTGCACATGTTGTCGACGATAACGGCAGACTTTCGCTTGATTGCGGTTTCGCGCTCAGCGAGACCACGGTCAAGAAGGGGGACCATGATAGCCAGAGTTGGCTCATGAACGTCGGTAACGAAAGTGGTAGCACCGAGCAGATGGACAGTCTCTGGGACGTTTTCTGGCTTGGCGATACACTTGATGAGCTCGGGAATGAATCGCTCGATATCCTTGTTGACGATAAGACCACAGACCTTCTCCATTGTACCGTAGGCCATCTTCTTGACCTCTGGCTTGGTATCCCACATCGACTCGGAGACGACTGGGATAAGATCTGGTACACGGAGGGCCAGTTGTGCGGGAGCGGAAGCGACAAGGGCCTCGATACAGCTGAGACCAGTGATCTTTTCTTGCCACTTTTGTGCGGTGAGGATGGAGTTGATGATGGGTGGCAAGACGACCTTGACGGCGTTTGCGTTGACGGCCTTGATGATGCTCAAAGCAGTCTCTTGTGCGGCATTCTTGACTGGGACCATCTTGTCACCAACGGCTGCCAGGACGGCTGGGAGGAGAGTGACAAGATATGGCTCAACAGCCGCCGAGGTCTCGCCATGCTCAGCGATAGCCTTGATGGCGTTGAGAGCGCGCTCTCGTACAACGGCATCCTTCTTGTTCGCCAGTTGCTTCTGGAGGGTCTCGACAGTCCTGCAAGGAAGATGTCAGCGTAAATGTTTCCAGGGCAAAATTTTCAAAACGTCGATAGTGGGAGGTGCTGCGACCGTGAGGCGCTGCCCTCAGAGCGCCACAAACAACGGCAAGGCCGCAGAAGAATCCTCTCTCGACTCTTCACTCCCGTCGATAACTGTGATAATAAAATGCGAAAGACTTACTTTGTTGGGGCGTCCTTGGTCTCGATATCGCCGTTAATGAAAACGGCAAGGTTGTGGGTTGCCTCGTTGATCTGATCTTGGTCCTTCGAGATGTTCAACTTGGCCATCAGTTCGTCAAGAACCTTGACCGATCCCTTGTTCTCCTTAGCAGACATGTTGGCAGATGAAGGTGCTGCTGTGGCTGCTGGCATGTTGTGTAAAAGAGAAGGAAGAAAGAATCGATTGTGGGTGGGGATAGGATTTTTTTTCCTCAGCAACGAGGGGCGCGCTAAAGAGATAGGGTATCGATTAGGTGTCGAATCGTATCTTCTATCGGGAATGCGTGTTCCTGTCGACGCAGATACAGGATGTTGCGGTGATGCTCAACCGTATTTCACCGGCGTCTGGTGAAGAGGGGATGAAGGAGAGTGATTATGGGGGGGGAAAGAGGATAGAGCGGAGATGAAGAGAGAGAAAAAGAGAGGAGTGCGATGCAGAAGAGAGATATGTTCATATACTGGACCAGAGGGCGAGGTTATCTAATCCGGACCAAAACACCAGCGCAGGCGGTCGCTTAGGGAAAAAAGAGGAATTAGTGCGAAAAGGTTCACCGCCCTGGAGAGGTACCACATACAAACCGTGCCTTTTGGTCAGCATCCGAGTCTACTCCTCTGTGGCAATCCGTGGCAATCTGTGGCAAATGCTGCACAGTAAAGAACTTGCGGCTAATCAATACGGGGTAACATCTCGAATATTTACCTTGCATTCACGGGCTATTGGTTCTCGAAAGAAGAAAAAAAAAAAAGAAAAGTAAAAAGATCTCACCTTTTCTACCTTTCTTGGCCCGTCTATAATTTGCCCCCTCCCCCTCTTCCCATAGCCAGCCCCCTTCATAATCAACATGACTTGCAGGCGGCAGAGGCCCTCTTCCGAGCACTGTCCTATCCGGGAAGAAGACTCGGCTTGGGCTCGAGTTGTGGGAAGAGATTCAAGTCAAGGGTTGCCTCTTGTACTTCTCTCTTAGTAAGGGGTTGTGAAATCCAGACGGCTCAAACAGCATGGCGAATATCCTGTCGTGTAGCTTTCCTTCAGCCCCAACCCTTCCTCCCCTTACTTGCTTCCCATTTCTATTTTCAACCTCTACGCTTGACCGATAAATGCAAGAATAAGCGCAACATCGAAGCTTATTGAACCCAAGATCAAGTTAAGTACAGAGCACAAAGTACAAAGTACAAAGTACATAGTACCAGCAAGAAAACTCTTCACCGCCCCTCTCGTCCCATCTCACCAACCCCAACAACACCCCGTTCTGCAGTAGGTAGAGTCTGTCCCGTTTACACACGGGAGGGAAACGCCTATACCCCACATTTCGCAACGGAGACCCCGATAAGTTATCGCCAGCACGCTTGTCCGCTTGAGGCTTGAGGCTTGAGGACGAAGATGTGGGGATTGATTGACTGATTGATTCATTCATTCATTCATCAAATCCATAAACCAATCCAGGCCTTTATTACCTACCTAAGATCTAAAGCATCTCCCTCTCGTTATGATTTAACCCTCTTGTCTCGAGTCCTATCAGATGCACAGAAGAAACAACCGCAGGACTGTCACTTTGGGTTCGCATTGGTGGATGAGTTACAAAGTTCGCCTTGCGGATCAGGCTGCAAATCAGTTTGCTTCGGTGTGCCTTAGGCAGCAGTAAGGACTATCTTTAGCACAGCACTGTTAAAAAGGGGGGGGGGGGAGGGGGGTTAAAAGGGGGGGCAGGGTTCTCGTCTCGTGATTCGATCCCTTATTCGCTCTATTGGACAGCAACTTACTGGGCGATGACCAATGGCGGGCTTGAGGAAAGATATTTTCGGTGTGGTCCTGAAGGTGTAGGTGCGAGAACTCGGAGGAGCTGACGGGCCCTAAGAATTGTGATGTGTGTCTAGAAGAGGTCTGCTATGATCAATGACTTCCTGATAGGTGCCGAATGATCAATGGCAACTCGAGCATTATAACTTATAAGGCCTGAGAATCATAGGCTCAGCAACGCTATCGTTATCGTTGAAGTAGATCTTCAGGCAGGTAAGGTAAAGTAGTTGATTTGCGTAGTCAATTTCGTAGTTAGTAAGTAATGGAGTAGTACGTGAGTTGAGTGGGAATAGCTTCGAAATTTCCTATTTAGGACTCCGGCTGCTGCTGAAGGAGAGTGTTGGTGATCAGCATGGCTGGGAGATGAAGGGGTAAACGTGGGTCTGGTTGAATTATATATATGCCCTGATTCTACACAAGTCAGTACTTAATCAAGGAAATCAAGGGGGCCAATATCTGGCCGAGTACCTACCTATCTTTGTGAGGGTAGCGACCACGTGACCCACAACCCCTAGGTACTGTATTTAGATCCCCTTCTCTGGAACTAGACTCAACAAGACCAATGCTACCCATATCATTGTTACTGGTGACAGGGTGACTGGGTCACCACAATCTTCCAATTGAAGTTCCAATAAGCAAAGAAAAATAGCTGTGCAACTTCACGAACTCCCTGCCGTTTTCCGGAGCGTCGTATTCCATGCTCCATTTCCGATACCTCTCCTTAGTCTTCTTGCCGTTAAGAGGTGGAATACCGCGTCTATAAACACAATGCCATGCGTCTCGATTCCAACCTCTCGCATCGATATCCGGGTGCTTGGTTGAATCGAAGGTCTTCGGGAAAGCGCTTCGATATGCAAGCGACAATGGGTTGTGTGCCCTCATGATCCGGTACCGGTCGTTCATTGTTCTTAGTGTATCGTGTCCTTCCACGCCATCAAGTAACAATTTCTTGAGTTCATTCTCGTAAGGCGAGTTGCCATGCAGCTTGTCTGTATACCAAGAGCTAAAGCGGTCCAGGCGGAGCATATTTGCTGTTTTCGACGGCAAAAGATCCAATTTGCGCTCTACCATCATGAAGAGGTGGTTAAGGTACTCCTCGATTCGTTTTCCGTCATACCAATCTGCTGCCCCCGATCCATAAGGTGTTGTTTTCCTCATGATCCTTTGTGCTTTCATAAATGTCTCGCCCATCATCCGGTTCTCCTGTTTTCCCTCGAACATCTCCGTAGAATACATTCTAGCCATCTTCACGTTCCGGATTTGTAAGAACAGCGGGAAGATAAACTCGTAGTCCCATTTTGCCCTTGTCCATGGCAATAGTGCCAATAAATCGGCCTCGATTTTGATCGAGCACTGGGGCTGGGCATTGTCGAACCAGCTCGTGTTCTTCGTATGCCCGAAAACCACCCAGAGAGACAGACATCCCTTCGCCCCCTTGAGTATCTCCACAAGGGCTCGAACTTTCTTGTAAAGACAAAGGATTTGGGCACTGTCTTTTCTATGCGGAGCCCAGATCCAAATTTGAACGTTCAGGTTATGCCAAGGTAGATCACAGAAGCCCCTGGAGATGGCGTCTAGTAGGTCCTCTAGATCCCATTGCACTCCTTTAGTGTTTTTTGCTTTTATCCACGATTTGTATCGATATTCTGGACTGACAGATATTATGATCGTGTTGTCATTGTAACCAGAAGGTACTTCGGCGGCTACTTCTGCGTAGATTTTGCGGCTTGTAAGGAGGATTTCCTGGTCTCGTGAGAGGTGATTTGGTTTCCTGGGAAGCGATCGGCCGACATGCAGCTGGGGTGAGAAGTGCTTCCATATCTCTGTCCGGATCTCTGCTGGTAGAAGGGAGAACATCCCGAGGCTCGGATCAGTTATTTCCATGTTGCAAGTCGAGCAAAGCTCGAAGGTTTTGAATAAGCTCTGATTCAAAGTGTGTTTTGGGGTGCTCGTCGCCCGAGGGCGAGATATTTAGAAAGGCTTAAAAGGTAACTTTGTATCTGGTCTATTTAGTGTTAGAAAGATGTGGATAGCTGTGAAATGCTCTATTGTAAACTGTCGAATGGATGTGTTTGAGTCAAAACTTTGGCGTGGAATGGTTGAAGATTTATGGTTGCCGAGGCACATATATATCGATATGAACTGCGTCGGTGACTCACCTCAGCGGCACTCGGTCAAGCTTTTATACTATAGTAGACTAATTATAAACAAGGCTTTCCCTAAAAGAATGTAATATACTAGCTCTCTATTAAGTTAACGAATTAAGGATATAGTTATAGCTAGATATGCCTAGTTACTATATTACAGCTCTACTAGCTTTGTCTTTAACAAAGACATACACTTATAGCCCATTTTTTGTAGCTGCCACGCTAAGAGCGAGTATTGAGTCAAGCTATCAGCTATAGTAGAATTAGTGAATCTTTCTTGGCTGCATCACTTCATAAGTGTCAACTTGCCATTTGTGATAACAAATTGTCCTACATCATCCTTTGTCCAAAGGGCTAGAACTTCTCGTTCGAACTGGTCCGTATGCCTGATATTTGTTTTACAACAGGATCGAAGCCAAATGCGTAGCGGACACCGAGGTCTTTGATGTGACCTCTATCTGATATACTCGATAGACTGTCAAGATGAGAAGAGCTCACGCAATATAACATAGCCTGTACGTGAGTTCTGCTTAGAATTTATTTGTCATCTTCGTAGAATCTGATATCATGACTTCCATTTTAATTATTTGAAATGTAAGTCATGTAGACATGATTATTGTTTCCACCTTTTAATAGTACTTTGTTGTGCTGCGTTTCTTGTTAGACCTCCAAGAAAGCCTATGGAAGGATGTAACCCCATTCTATTTTGCCACTAGAAACATATGATGATATGCAATGTCCATAGCAGAGACCCACGCATCTCTGATGTCCTGTGGCAAAGTTGTAGTGGCATCACAGCCGACCCAATTCACTAGCTTCTCTGCTTCAATTGTCCACACCAGGGCTTTCAAGAACCGCAAGAGTTCCCGCCGACCGACGAACCAGAATCGAGCGCGACGAAGGAACTCACAGTTCTGAAGCACCATTGCCGGTTAGGTGATTATGCGGGTCACGTCTTCAACAACCTAGAGTTACACAACACCGACGCCCCTTTACCGAAGCTCGCCACGGAACTTGTCGAACTCTTGGAGGAGGAGGATAGTGACGGGCCCATGGCGCTAGCCATCGAGTTTATCACAAATCGCATCCGCAACCAAGGGGGAGACATAGATTCAGCGATGGCCAAGTTCGCGGTACAGGCCTATGCTGCTCGGAATCAGGTCTGCCATAGAGAAGCCGGACACCTTGTGATCGCGGAGAAATGGGACGACCTGGCCCGACGAATTTCTCTGGATCGCGAGGCGCTGCCTGAAATACTCCCCGAAGACCAGATACAGCATCTGGAAACTTGGCGTCGGATACTGTGCTACTATAGAGACAGGTACATCGCCCAGAACTCGAATAGAAAGTGGCAGAAGCGAGATGATGAATCCCTTGTTCAACTTGCTGACACTGTATCTACTCCCGGCGATCGACGACAATCGTAAGGTAGGCAGCGACAGTAGAACTAATAGCGACAGTAGTAGCGACAGTGACAGTGACAGCGACAGCGACAGCGACAGCGACAGCGACAGCGACAGCGACAGCGACAGCGACAGCGACAGCGACAGCGACAGTGAATTTACTACATTCTTTGGATGTCTAAGAGGCCTTTTTCCTCTAGCCTACCTAAGAGCATTTGTCTGTCTCTAGCTTATTGACAACAGTAATCGCTATAGCTTTCTTTTGACACAAGTGTGAATAGAGGGCAGCACGACGATCGGTCAGGGTCAGATAATCTTGGCCACAGAAGCGGCAGTTCCTAGTTCCTAGAAGCGGCTCTTGTCCGGGTTAGAAATAATATGTAGAGTACATATGATTAAAGCTCTTGACCATACCTAAGATCTGCGAGTTCCGAATCGCCTAAGACTGTTATTATTGCTCAACAGTTCATCAGTGATCGAGTCTGTAAGAGTGACAGATCTAATGACTGTCTTTCCGGTCTTGTATTAGGCTATCCTGGCAAGAATTTCCGGATGAGAGTCATGAGATTCGGAATCGTCGATTGGGAGGCTGAGGTCGCTTGCATCAAAGGCCTGCGAAAAAGTCCTGCCTGTCTCACCTAATAGAACAGGATTTATGAAAGCGTCGCTGATTTCATTGGGTGTGGTAGAAGAGCCCGATACGTCTCCGGTCATCTCGTGTTCTCCTTCCTCGTTTTCTTCAAGTGCATCGGTCAACATGGATTCCTCGTCCTAAAACAGCGGCGCGCAGGGTATGTTAAACTTTCGGTCGCTATACCAGGGGATCTCGAGGGAACGGACCATCGCTGCTTGAGATGAGACAAAGAGACAAGGCTGAGGTGGGAGGTTCGAGTGGTCTATTGCGCCCTTAAGTCGCTTTGGAACAGGTCAGCCACTGATCAACGAGGGTGTACCGTGAAAGATTACCTAGAGTGAGGGCGCCCTTAGCGTAAGGTAGGTAGGTAGGTAAGGTAAGGTAAGGTAGGCAAATATCTACCTAGGTAGGTAGCCGAACCCCTATTATTCTAATACCAGTTAGCCGAGAACCGCTTAGCAGACCCTTGAAAAGGCTAGGTAGCTATACGTCGGCGCCCCCCTCTTGATCTATCGGCGCCCCCCCGGGGTAATGGACGCGCATTTCGTGTTTACCTGTAAACATTTAGTAAGGTATCCTTAAACTGACCTCACCGTCACTCACTCGCCGTCGCCTCCCCTTTGTTACCCCCGCTGTTACCCTCTGTTACCCTCGCTGTCGCCCCTCTGTTACGGTAACAGAGCAGTTGGATGTCTGTAACAGGACATCAACCCTGGCTGCGCAATGGGTCCCCATGGGTTGGGTTTTTATATGTGTGGCCTAACCCGCCAAGAACCCAACACGTGATTTGAGCCTCAACAGTATCACGTACCTAGTAACGCGACCATAGTACCTATAGGTACCTTAGGTAGGTAAGTAATCTACCTATAGAGTTGATACTAAATTTTCTACTAATCAACTCCTTACGTTACCTAGGTATCGCGAACGTATCACAACTATGGTACAAAGGTGCCTTAGTGCTTTGGGACCCATGGGTTGGGTCCTAAGTATTCACCCTAGCCTACCCCATGGGGTGCGTACCCAAGCCATTTCGTGGGGACCCATGGGTTTCTGCGCAGCCTAGTGGTATCAAGAGGACTTTATATACTTACCTTATATAACGAGGGGGACTTGCTTCTGTCGACTTGGAGTGAACACGAAAAGAAAATAGCGAAGTCGGAAAAACTAGCACCCACGAGTGACGACCACAACAACTCCCTTTCGCAACCTCCATCCTCATCGTCCTTCTAGAATCAATTTTCAACATGTCCTACGAAAGTGGGTTGATAACTCCCTCAACCACCTCCGACAGTTCGCGAGGTCGACGGGCTGAGGCAAGCTCCACTGGCAGTTCTTCTCGTGGCTTCTTCGGCATCTCTTGCACAAAATACCGGGTTGGAGCACCTCCCCTGCGACCTCTGCCGATAACTACAGTGCGCGATACCGCACATCTTCCCCTCGATGCCGCACACCTTCCCATTTTCGCGCGTTTCGATTCAGAGTTCAAAGAGAGAGCAGAGGCCATTTTAGCCTTGAACAGCATCGTCTACCCTGAGTGTGAGTGTGATTTTGTGACCCGCTGCGTTCCTGGAGAGATCTGGACGGCCGAGCCCACTATCCTCATCATCGCCGAATGGACTCAGGAGTCACCGAACACATGGATGAGAGTTGTCGGGGAGCTCAAGGCATGGATCGATGATAGACTCCATGAATCCGGCTTCGAGGGTAGGAACGTGGCCGTTGAAATGATAGCCCGTCAGCTAACTAGACGAAAGAGAATTGCGCCTGTTCTTAACAAACCAGATCTAGAGAGGGACTGGCCAAGCATCCTGGACTCTGTGTATAGGATTCTCGAATCATTTGACCAGACGAGATCGCGTATGACGTCCATTTCCCTCTTCCGTCTCGGTTTTAGCGTGGTACGCGAGGTGAACCCTATAACGGTCTACATATCTGTCGACTACGACTGTCGGGAGAGTACCTGGCCTCCTGTGATCCGAGCCATCGAAACCTACATCCAGGGCACTATACACGACCTCCACGTCCATATGGAGCACAACTTGCCGCAGAATTGGGCATTCCCTCTGCTGCTGCCAACCGTGAACGACCAGGAGGCAAGATATCCGGATGAGGAACTGCGGCTCATGATCGAAGGGGACTACCAGGCGACCGTGGACATGGGGGCCGAGATTGGCCCTTCCCGATACATCACTAGGGATGATGGCAAGCAGTGCAACCCTGGATACGGAACATTAGGTTGCTATGTCGAGATCAAGACAAAGCAGAAGCAACAATGGGCAAAATTCGGGCTCACAAACTACCACGTCGTCCGCTCGGCTCTCGAAGGCTACCGCTTCAAATCCAAAGTGCCAAAAGCCGTCGAGAATTTGGACCAAAGAGCCATGTCCTCCTGCTTCACTACCGAGCAGATCAACACCATAACGATATCTCAGCTTGACGACCCACCCCAAGGCTCGGATCTGTGGAGATCAGACCGCGATGGGTTTAGCCCCACGGCCCGAGAGCCACGATACCCAATGGAGCATCCTTCTCGGATCTGCCATAACTACACCGTCGACCAGGTGCAGTGCCGTGTTGCATTTCTGCAAGCTGAAGGCCCCGCTAGCCAAACGATGGCCAAGGCTACCGCGCAGCAGCTGAATCGAAAGATCGCTTTCTTTGACGAGAATCGCCAGCATCTGGGAAGAATATGGGCAGGCTCTGGATGGGGAAGACGAACTCCTCAAAATAACCGCCTGGATTGGGCGTTGATCGAGGTTGAGGGAAATCGCCTTGGCAGGAATGCGCTACCGGGATGTGAGACTTGGTGTGAGCAATATGATGCCGGCCTTCTCCCGGCCTTAGTTGGGCGAACTGGCTTCCTCAAGCCACGGACGAAGATGTCGGCGAAGGACGCTGTACCGGGAACAAATGCATACAAGGTTGGCGCTAGGACAGGAGCAACGGCCGGGTACATTAGCCACTACCAATCTCGCATCAGGCTCAAGCAGGACTCGTACATGAACGCCACCGTCTCGGATGAATGGGTTTTTATGGGTCATCCGCCCTTGGCAGTGACCATGTTTCGGCCATTTGCCAACCATGGCGACTCGGGTGCAGTGGTCTACAACTCGCAGGGGTCGGTATTGGGCCTGTTGTTTGCGGGACAGAAACCGCAACAATATCACCCAGAGGCGTTTAGTTACATCACGCGAATTGAGGACGTATTTAAGGACATTATAGACTCTAGTGGAGGGGACATAACAGACATTCGCATTGCAATGTCTTGAATGGCATTGGGGAAATAAGATTGTAGATTAGAAATTCCGTTGCGAATAAGAGGTTATTAAGTGCAAATTATTGTGTATATGTACTAAACCAATTATCCTCCTGATAGCTTGAGTTCACTGTGTTTCTACATTAAGAACTCTAAGTCGTAGCCCCGTAAGAGCGTAACTTTATCTAGAGAGAGCAACACCAAAAGGCTAGAGTAATTAATAAAACTAAGTCAGTCTCCCTATGATTAGGGGTAACTAAAGGGAGTAAGGTAACTAACTCACTACCTTAAGTTGTCATCTTCTGGCCTCGGCCTCCACAATCTGGGCCTACAAGGTGTCCGTCTCTACCTTACCTTCTACTTCTACATTACTAGTTTTAAGGTCAGGTAAAAGTTCTTCTTTACAAAGGGCCTGACCCGAGGTCAGGACTCGCTCTACCGCCGCCGCTGGACAGGGAATTGAATACGACGGTTACGCGCCAGCTACTCGACTGTGATTCTCTGCTATATCGCGAGTGATACCTACCTAGGTAGGTAGTTCCTAATATCCTAATACAAAATCCATTTTCTAAAGATAGGTAAGTTATGTCTGTAAAATTGTTCTAAGCTAAATCTAGGTGTATGCAAAGTCACAGTCCTTGATCGTTTTGTAGTGTAAGTCTGTGGATTGATGAAGCTATTCAGACGTTGCTATATACATGATCTAAGCTAAATGCGATGGTATAAGGCTATGAGTCTATGAGACACCCGATATCTCTCTCTCTTATTTCTCTCTCTTATTCGTGTACCCAAGTTAAGGCCAGCAGCCGTCCCGATACCGAGTGACCAGATCATCCTGCTAAATGCATATTACCGTATCTCCCGAGTCCAAACGTGACATATGCTACGTATCATAGGATGCAGACATGTCGTGGAAAGCATGAGACCACCGAGAGACCTCTATAAGGAACCCGGAGGTACCTTAATGGCTCTGGTATGATATCTGGCACGAAAACCCTCGAAAGCGCCCTGGTTTCAGCCCTGATTCAACCCATTATATGCCCTTAAGGCCGTGTTCAACTGCGCCGTCTCACAAGTACATGCTCTCGTAAGAACATCTATATAGTGGCTCCCAGCACAACCCGTAGAGTTCCTGTTGACGGGATGCTCCAGAACGGATCCCGATCACATGACATCCGAGCAAACCCCGCTTTGCCACTTTTGCACTAGCGACTTTCCCCGAGGCTCGGACAGAAAATCCAACATCCATACCCGTTCATCCGACCTTCTCAAGCATCTACATCTTCAACTCCCTTCCCCTCTACACGCAATCAACCATCATCATGTTCGCTGCACGAAGAGCTTTCACCAGCGCCCTCCAGACCAGAGCCTTCTCGGCCTCTGCCAGAGACGTGAGTAGCCCTGTTGTCATTTCCCCAATTGGCGATCGAGAGCTCAGGTGCTAATGGATATACAATAGCTGTCCAAGGTCACCGTCCTTGGAGCTGCTGGTGGAATCGGTCAACCACTGTCTCTCCTTCTCAAGCTGAACCCGCGCGTTAGTACGTATACACCCAGAGCAACAATTCTTCCTCGGAGCAGGCGAAAACCAGATTTACCTCCCGGCTCATTTTCCGCATCATAGAGCTTCTTCCACATGTTAAAACATTACCTGGATGAGCAATACTGACTCGATCTCTAGCTGACCTTGCCCTGTACGATATCAGACTGGCCCCAGGTTTGTAGACAGCTTCCTCGCTCTTCCAAGCAGCTCTAACAGAAACCTCTAGGTGTCGCCGCCGATATTAGCCACATCAACACCAAGAGCAAGGTCACCGGCTATGAGCCAACCCCCAGCGGACTGGACGCCGCCCTCAAGGGTGCCGAGATCGTTTTGATTCCTGCCGGTGTTCCGCGCAAGCCCGGAATGACTCGTGACGACCTCTTCAACACCAACGCCTCCATCGTCCGCGACCTCGCCAAGGCCGCTGCCAAATCCTCCCCCAACGCCAACATCCTCGTCATCTCCAACCCAGTCAACAGCACCGTCCCTATCGTCGCTGAGGTCTTCAAGAAGGCCGGTGTCTACAACCCCAAGCGTCTCTTCGGTGTCACCACCCTGGATGTCGTTCGTGCCTCTCGATTCGTGAGCGAGCTCAAGGGCACCGACCCCGTCGATGAGAACATCACCGTTGTTGGTGGTCACTCCGGTGTCACCATCGTTCCTCTCTTCTCTCAATCCTCCCACCCTGACTTGGTCGGCAACGCCGCCCTGCTCAAGCGTGTGCAATTCGGTGGTGACGAGGTCGTTCAGGCTAAGGATGGCGCTGGATCCGCCACTCTGTCGATGGCCATGGCTGGTGCCCGTTTCGCCGAGAGCTTGTTGAAGGCTGCCCAGGGCCAGAAGGGTGTCATTGAGCCTACCTTCGTTGAGAGCCCATTGTACAAGGACCAGGGCATCGACTTCTTCGCCTCGAAGGTGGAGCTCGGCCCTAACGGTGCGGAGAAGATCCTCGAGGTTGGCAAGCTGGCTCCTGAGGAGGAGAAGCTCTTGGAAGCTTGCTTGGCGGACTTGAAGAAGGTTTGTTCTCCCGCACATTCCCCCCATGCCACAAAAAAGAGAACCAACGCTAACCATCCCCACTTTAAAATAGAACATCGCCAAGGGTGTCTCATTCGTCGCCCAGAACCCGGGGAACTAGAAGGATGACAGTCTAGAGGAGAGATCGGAAGACCTGCATGTCTAGATTTTTCGATTTATGTATTAAGATTTTCCTTATCTCTTGTCTAATGTCGATATCCTAGTGCATACCTAATCCTCTGAGTCTTGTCTTGCATGTGTGAATGGTGCCAACCATGGAGATGGAGATGGAGATGGAGACGTCGGGAGTCGGCCTTTTCTATCCTCCTTTCTCCATTTTTGATTTTAATTAACAACGTGATGACCACACACACACACCCTTCCATACCTACCTAACCTCCCGTCATTCTTCCCATCGCCTCACTTACCTTACCTTACCTACCTTACCTATCTCAGGAATCTCATCTCAGCAATCTTATCTCATCTCACCACTCACGAAACACTCATAACATAACATAACATAACATACATACACACGTTATAACGAAGCTGGGAATTCTTAAACGAATCGTGTCTGAATTTTGCTTTTCCATTTCCATTTCCATTTTCATTTTCATTTCCCTACCCTGCCAGCTAACTAGCTAACTAGTTATTTTCACCCATCAATCAATCAATGAATGAATAGTCCTTGAAATAAAAAAGTCAAGAAGTTAAATGCCTAAATCACGTATGATAAAGCTCAACCCCTACAAACCCCCTTTCTCTCGCTCGCTCGGTCACTCCATCGCTCAGTTAACTAACATAGCAGCATCGCATTATGAATATGAATTAGATAAATAAAATGAAATAGGCAATACGCCATCTCCAGACCCTGTTTCCCTTGCTTACATGCTTTCTTGCTTACATGAATGAATACCCGAGTTAGAATCAGAGAGAGAGGAAGAGAAAGGAAACCCCAAATTTTGACCCGGCATTAGAAATAACTCCTCATAGCATCGTCAAAGCCGGGACCGCCTTTAAGGTCACGATCGAAAGCGTTGGAGACGTCGAGGACGCGCTTGATGTGGCTCATGCTCAGAGGTTCGTGGTTGTTGACGGCGAGCGCTTGGGCGGTGCGGATGGTGTTTTTGATCTATTGGATGCTTGTTAGATTTGGTTACTAGGGAAGGGGGAAATAGGGGAATTGATTACCTGTCGACCGTTTAGATTGTGGCGTGCGAGGGTATTGTAATCTTCCTCGGTGAAGGGCATGGTATCGACACCCTCCAAGACCCGCACGCGTTCGATGAACATCTTGAAGACGCTCTTCTTGGCTTTGGGGCTCAGCTCGCCGTAGCGCAACGCGATATGGATGCGGGATTGGAAGGCGTCGTCGAAGGTCTCGACGCGGTTGGTGGTCAGGAAGAGGATGCCTTGGAAGTACTCCAGCATGCGGAGGAAGATAGACACTAGGGCATTACGGTGGATATCTTGGATCGTGCGCTTCTCTAGGAAGACATCCGCTTCGTCGAGGAGGAGTAGGGCGCCCCAGGCGTGCGCGATGTCGAGGATCTTCTGGAGTTCGGATTCGAGAGAGCGTGGATCGGTGCCCAGCTCGCCCGCGCTGACCATGTAGAGTGGGCATTTCAGCAACTCCGAAATACCTTCTGCGGTGAGCGTTTTTCCTGTTCCCGGGGGACCGTGGAGAACGGCAACAAGTCCTTTGCCTTTGCCTTGGATAACGTCATCGATGCTTTCGGCGGGATGGTATTTGTGAGATTCGACAAGAGCTTTGACGATGGCTTTGGTGTTGTCTTCAAGGACCAAGGAGTCGTAGGCTCCTTCGTTCCAGACAATGTCCTTGACTCCTGAAACGGTGAATTCGAGCCAGAGCTTCTCGGCGAAGGCGAAGCCGAGAACGACTGGAGATGCAATCAAGTATTCCTCGTCTGTGAAGACTGGGACTTCCTTCTTGTCATCTTCGTCAACGACGGCGTCACCATCATCATTGGCTATCTTGCTCGGGACCTCCTCGAGCTTCTCGACGACGATCTCCTGGCCATCTGCATCGACCGGGACTTGGATGATGTGAGCTTCCTCTTTTTCATCCATAACGATCTTCATCTTCATCTTGGGCTGGTCATCCCCCTTGTCTTTCCCCCTTCTCTCCTCTATAGGCCGGTCTTGGTCATCATCGGAACTGTCTCCGCAGCCACAACCACCCTCATCATCTGAATCAGAATCAAGCAAATCCGGATCTTGTGGCTTGACCGTGCTGACATTGTAATTTGGCAAGATCCGACGATGAATGGCCGGATCAATCATAATCCTGCCATTGATGTTGACCTTGATGATCTGCCTGTTCTTCTTGTAATAGGCTAATCCCTCGTGGCTTCTATAGTTCACACCCTGCAGAGAAACGAACTTTTTACCACGGTCGATCAACTCAGCTCGGATCTTCGCCTCGTTCTTGTGGTATTTCAGAGGGTAGCAGTTCAGACTAGTGATTTTTCTTGCCCCCTTGAAAGCAGGGACGTCGCAATCCATGGTTCCTAGGCTTTGTTAGCAGGGCTTCAGCGGAGATGACTGTGATAATTACCCATTCCCCAAACTTTTCCGTCGTACTCTAGATATCTTCCCTCAATATTGTACCACTCTCCCTTCATGAAACTAAATTCCTTGTCGGCCAACTCGATTTTAAATGCTCGTGGTTCGTTGTAGGAACCATAAGTAGTGGTGTAGGCAAGTGTGTTTGGCTTGTAAAGTGCCCATAGGAGATCAAACGTGATGATGCCAGATTCGAGCATGGGATATAGGGTTTTCTTGGTTGAGGCGTAGTCCTTGTCGAGATATTTCAATAGGACCTTGAGATGCTTTCGCTTGGTCTCGTTCCGCTTCTTGGCTTTCCGCTTCCCCTTCTTGACCGTGACCTTCTTGTTCTTCAGCTCCTTGCAACATTTTCGAAGATCCTCGAGGTAGAGAAAAAGTAAGTTGGGGTCAACGACTGGGGTCTCTTCGACCAAGCTGACGCCCTTAACCCCATCCATTACCTCATTCAAAGCATCCTTGAGCAACTTGCTCTTGATATCAACAACCGTTGTCTATTGTAGATGTCAGTATGAGCTGGGAGCCACAGGAAAACCAAAACCTACCTTGTACTTCCCCTCCCAGTCGAATGTTCTCCGAACATTGAACAAATACTGGTCATATTCGGAGCTCTCTTCATCCTCTGCGGTGTCCGAGAGCTTGTAGTTATGGATCGTGTTGTCCCATAGCTGATCGACTCTCTTGTACTCGAGCTTGCTCCCCCGCTTCTTCTTCTTCTTCTTTGTATCTTTCTTGCTCTTCTTTGAGCCATGAGAATCGAGTTTCGCAGAAGCGCGATGCCTACCACTGCGCGGTGCCTGTCTGCCTAAATCGCGTCGTGATCGAGTTGGCATAGGAGGCTGACGCCACGATGGCCTACCGGCCTGGAGTTGTTGTATTCGCTGTTGCATCTGTAGGAGCTGTTGGAGCTCGGCAGTCTCGTCCAAGTCATCCAGAGGGTCCAATTCTTCTTCGACCTCCGATTGAGTCTCTGCTTCTGACGTTGAATCCGAATCCGATGAGGAATCTGAATCGGAGTCGGAGGAAACCTGTAACTGTTAGGGAAGTCTCGCAACCTGCTACCGGACATCACATACCTCCTTCTTAGCCTTCCGCTTTGACTTGGCATTACGCTTCTCTTTGGCCTTCTGCTTGGCCTTCTTTTTCGCCTTCCGCTTCTTCTTCCTCTCCGTTTCTGTGTCCGTCTCGGAGTCTTCTTCTGATTCGCTTGAGGTTGAATCGTCGCTGTCCGAGTCGTCCAAGCCTTCTGATTTCTCAGTATCGCTACCGACAGCCTCTTTCGCTGCCTTCGACTTTGACTTGCCGCCCATTTCTTTCGACTTGGGCGTCTTGCTCTTTGATTTGGGTAATTTCTCAGGTGATCGCTGCTTCGTCTCTACTCTTGCGCTTGAACTTCCTTTACCGACCTCTGGGGGAGCTTCGTGCCTCTCCGTTGCCTGCACGCTTTGGCTCGTGCTCGTGCTCGTGCTTGGGGTATCCATGATGAATGAACCGACGGAGTAGGAGAGGAAGAGGAAGAGTAGGATCTGGGAGAATTGCAGAGAAGTGCAGAGCTTTTACCCCCAGATCATGCACTATTGGCGGCCGGGTTGCAGAGTGTTCGCCGAGTTGTCGTCGTCCAGTTGATCGGCGTGCCAAATAGAAGAGCTCTGATCAGCTCGAGATCCACAAATGTGACGCGAGAAAGCGGTCCTGCAGTGATGCCAACTGTCTGTGTAATTTCTTTTGGAGAGTGGTGATTTGGCCACAGCTTGGAATCACCAGACACCTTGCAGGTCAGCAGGCACAGCGCCGTCCTCGTGGGTCAGGCTCCCAGCAGATGGAAGGGAAGGGAAGGGAAGGGAGGCACGGGGACGGGAAAGAAAGAAAGGGGGAAGAAGAAGGGCAGAAGAGTAGAAGAGTAGAAGAGCATATGATGGGGGGGGGGGGAGCTCTTAATATAATCCAGAACCGAGGAGAGCTCTCTCGGGGTGATACGGCCGTGAAGAAAAGAGAGAAATAGAAGAAGCCCGTCGCCGTCAATGCGGAGTTGCGTTGTACATTCATCGCCCATTGGAGGGAAGGCTGCGTTGGCGCCTAGCCGCCTGTCCGATCCGAACCCTGCACAGATCAGCGAGGCTGACCGTCGCGCGGGACCCAGAACTCTAGAGACGCCATTAATTGGCCCACGACGGGCACCAAGACTCTCTCCACCAACGGCTGAACAACTTACCCTGGACCCCGCGCCTTGATCCAAGCCCCGGATTGACTCACCCGTGGCAGGGCTCTTTGACGAGGCAGCCTTGAAAGGCTGAAGCCCTGCCAATGACGACCCGTGGGGAGCCGGAGAAAACACCCAGGGCTATGGAGCCGCTGGTTGTGGGAGATGGATATATACGCGGCTGCCTTCGCTCACACACATGCATCGCGGTCTTGGATGAGGGGATTATCACGAGTGCGTGCTCATGGGATCTGTGCAGCCTACGGGTTGTGTGCAATCAAGAGATGCCTATGAGATTTGAAATACCTATGTATAAAGACGGCGTATTGTACTGTCAAAGACTCATCAGTTCCACAGACGGGATCCATCCATTACATTATTCAACTCCCCTTACCAAACTCCGAAACCTATGGAATAACAACCCCTACTCCCAAAGAGAATAGTCAGGAAAGTAACGATCATGGATCGCTCGCGCATAGCTCTCCAACACGGGAAAGCTTTTCACCACTTTCCGGTTCCGAGGGCCCCTGGTACGGATGATTAGCGCAGTCATAATCATTACTGTCGTCAAGGGAAGCCTACGCAGTGCAAACGAGCGCCGAAACGATGAAGCCGAAGAGAGCCGCGTCCGCTTCAGATGGCTTACTACCTCCCAAGATCCAGAACGTGGCGTCCGTGGCGCTCGTTTCTGTCTTCTTCCTCTTCGACTCAATGAGGAGTGCATTAATATTCTCCCATGTCTCCTGCACTAAGGCATGGATCTCTTCCGGTGACAACCGCCCGATGCCCTGGCCCCACGCGGTCTTCATGGTCTTGCGGTAGGCAAGTAGACCTACAAGTACCTGAGCCGGGTAGGGTAGCGCTTCAAAGATCTTCGCTCGCATAGTATAGTAATTCTCGTGCCATCTTTCGTAGGCCTAGCGTTAGGTTAGTTGGCTGCCAACCTTCTTTTTGGAATGGCATAATCCAGCTAGCAGTAAGTATAGGAGGGCTTGGATTAATACACACAACGCAGAAATATAGCTTCTCTTCCAGCAGAGCTCGGATTGCTAGATCGTGTGCTCTCTCCGTTGGGGAGAGGTTGGCATTGAGGTCCTCCGCAAGGCCATCCCCTATTAACTTCCGAGCAATGAGCGTAGAGTCCCCAAGCACCATGGGACCAGAGTCCATCCGAGAAATTGCGACGTAGGGGATCTTGCCCTTCGGTGCCTGCAACAAAGACCCAGCTTCAGTGTGGTAGGAGAGTCCGGCGAAGCGCAGCCGAGCTTCGAGTTTCGTAACAAAAGGAGACCAAGTGTAGGCTCCCGAGCCTCTGAAGCCACGGTAGAGCGTGATGTCTGGCTGGGATTCGTGAGAGGCCATGGTGGACGAGGAACTGCGGGCGCCAGAAGTTTTGAGATGGAAATTGTCACCTATAGAATAGCGACTTGAATCAGGTCGCGACAGCTTCGATTGAGAGCATACCTTAGGACCTTGGGAGGGTAAGGTACCTATATATATGTTACCCGCCGTTATCTTCACGTAACGCCTGTGCACTGCGGTTGCAGGCGAGCGAGCAGGCAGCAGGGCTCGGCGTCCAGATGTCAGCGAGAGCGAACTTCAAAGCATCGGTAGCCAGCAAAAGAGCTTCAAAAACTTCGCGGTCCAAACCACGCCGAAGGCCCGAGGAGCCGAGTGGCTCATTGTCAATAACGCATAAATGAGGCACAGCAGACAGAGCGCGTTTTGCACCCATCTCGGCCGCCCATTCGGCGCCCTACCGCACGAAATAGGCTTTGCAGAAGCTATTCACAGAAGTTTCTTTGTACGTGTTTGCGGACTGCAAGGGTAGGGATCAAGGGATTCGGTATCCAGATTCACGTCGATTCGTACGGCAAAGCTCGACGGATGGTTTTGCTTGTCAATAGCAGAATTATGACGAAGTGGGAAAATTTTACAACCAATAGACAACAATGTTCGCGAAACACAGTGCCTGGGTCGTAAAACCTGAGAAGGGAAATTCTGGACATGCCCAGGGAAAACAGACAGTTATACATGTGCGTACCTTACTTACAAGCGTTAAAATCAAGAGAGCATGGGAATATGGATAACAGCACGCTTCTCCATTAGCACTTGTCCGGGAGGAGATACTTCTGTGTATCGGCCTAGGAAATGCTCATTGAGATGGAGGAACGATGGTCCGAAAGGCGATACATTGCAGACGCATCCACTGTTGCTGTCCATCCAAAGCCAATATCAGACGACCGGCAATATATGCAACCGGTGGTGAACTCCTTGGATGGTTGATTGCGGTGGTGGTCGGAAGCATTGCTTGCACAGGTACGACGTTGAAACGGGTACGGAAAAGGAACAATGGCCACTTTCCAGACACGTGTAGCGGCTAAGGTCGAGTGACAACTACAAGACTCTGGAGCTGAACAATCTGCTGATCGCTGATGGGATTCATGGGAGTAATACTCTTGCTAGGTAGGCACTGTAAAAGGAAAAGAAAAGAACCGTAGTATGGTGCAACAATATATCCACCCCCGGTGTCCCTCTTGGAGAGCAACTCGAAACGAGGCCAAGACTACCGCCTTGCTCCAATGCGAGATCCCTTGGCGACAGATTCCCCAGATTCATCAATGAGCAAATCCTCTGGGCTCTTCAAAGCACATCCCATCATTGGTGCCCGTCCTCTCTGCTTTGGCCCCCCCCCGGTAGCAAGGAAGCTCGACGGATACTTGGCCTGCCAGCTGCATTCGGGCGGTCCCAAGGACAGCAGAGATTCCATTGCCATAGACGACGGGGTCAGCTCGGATACGGCCGAGCGTAGAGGCAAGCTGAGCCTGGCATCTGGGACTCTCATTGATCGGGACAGCAGGGAGGGAGCGTTAGGTCTGGGCCGAGTCTTGTTTCCTGGACCACGCACTTAGGTCGGCTCTAGGAACCAGACTTCGGGACCAGCGCACCTCGACAGCTTCGTGTGGTGCTATTGTGGGATACATCACTTCGTCGCAGACTCGCAGCAATCCTGGCCTTCGTTAGGTCTCCCGGTGGCGCCGATAGATTCCCCATATAATAAACCTGCATCTCACCCCGATATCCGACCAATGGCGCCGTCAACACCATCGACGGTCGCAGGACATGGAACGACTCATGTTGACGCTCTGTCCAGTTCACAACCATCATCCAGCGTCCCGGTCGAGATGAGCGACCTCCAGACTCCGCAGGGCACAGGCGCAGGGTCGCAGGGTCCCCTTCACCATGTTTCAATTTCTACCACCTCTCCTTTAACCTCCATTTTCCCCACATCATCGGCCAGCGGAGCAGGAGTTGTCAGCGAGCATACCATGTCTACAGAACCAAATAAGCTCGCGGTATCTGGGCCAGAATCTCTCTCGACGAATAATGAAACCGCGACAGTGACCTCCACCGCTTCTGCAGCAGTACCTTCCTCAGCCCATTCTACGGTTAATACAAGGCTTGGTTCAGCAACAGCCGAGCCATCGACCGATACGATGCAGACAGCTACCACGACGAATGAACCGGGACCCGTCCTCGTCATTACGCTACTCCTCACATCTGGGGCGCGACATCCATATAAGATTGACGAGAAATACCTGATAAAGCGGAACGTTAATGTGCCAGGCACGACAGAGAGCGGAAGGAAGGACCCCTTCAGTATCAGTGTATATACATTGAAGGAGTTGATACTGAGAGAGTGGAGGGAGGAGTGGGAGGCACAACCAAGCAGCCCAAGCAGCATACGATTAATTTATTTCGGGCGATTATTGGATGATAAGACAGCTTTGAAAGGTATGTCCCTTTCTTTTGGATTGGGCTTGTGCTACGCACCGCTTATCATAGCATCATAGCTAACTTGGATCATCTAGAGTGTAAATTCAACGCCGATGCAGCCAACGTGGTTCATATGACAGTCAGACCGCAAGACATGATTGACGAGGAGGATGCATCGAAAAGCAAGTCATTGGCCAGGGAAAGAGATGCGAGCGAAGACACTGCAGGATGCAGATGCGTCATACTGTAGGGGAATATGCCGGGTATTGCACCGACAGAGATGAATGGATTTGGAGATATCAGCGTCGGCGGAAGAGGAATCAGCAATATCTGAGAACTTAATGACTTTGAGAGGGCGCGTTCCAGATTGCTGTCTAGTCGTTTCATTGGCAACGTAATGGTTTCTGGCATTTTTGCGGCTTACTTTAAATCGGGCGAGTGTGGGTATGGGTGTATACAATCATGGCAGGTCTATGTCGAGGCACAGCGATTCAACTAGGAGATCTGGGTAGAATGGGATCGATACCCTTTCCCTGCACGAGCACTTCTCCAAGTTCCACATTGCGAATTTTCGTGCAGCGATATACCATTCCTGCCTCTGTGCTCAACGCCTCAAGTCCAGTAGTGATCTTACAAGCTCATATCCCGAATCCTTATCCCATCAGCCACCCCATCCTCTACCAAATCCCCTACTGCATCCTGACCTTCCTCTCAACCTCCTCGTGAAAGCCAGGGATAGACCTCAGCTCCTCTCCTGTAAAGACATCCTCCCACTCAATGCTCGTATCCTTGCCCATCAAAATCTCCTCATGGACACCCCTTCGCCCACCCCCAAGCGCCAACGGTCTCCACTCACCCTCCCGCGCAATCTTCAACTCCATACCTCTCCTAATGGGTTCGGCGATGCCAAATGTACGTCTCAGGCCCTCCATCTTCAACTGCTCTTGTGTCTCTTCCCATCTCTTGAGGCGCGATTCCAGGGGGTGCGCTGAGTCTGGGAGGGTGGAGGTGCTGGATGTGCGTGTAGATAGGGAGGGGCCGACACCTGAGCGCAGCGTGTCGTGGATTCCTGGAGCGGAGGGAGCGCCGAGCGACTTTGCCTGGAGATGGCTGTGGGATGTGGAGTGGCCTGCTGGAGGGGCGATTCTCATGGCCTGGTGGAGAGTCAGTTGGGACCTTGGAGCTTGGTTGCAGTGGCAGGAGGAGAATGCCAGGGCCATCTCTGGTTGTCCCAAGGTATCAAAAAGCTTACCATGATGATTTATTGTATTGTGAAGAGAAGGTTTGGGGCGGGAGGGTGAAGTGCTTGATAGAGGAGGTCGTGGTTTTGGGGAAGCTGTTGGAATGATGAACTACCTTACCTGACGAAGCTCCAGGCTGAGAAGACGCGAATCGGCTCGCTAGCGCGGCAACGACATCGGAACGTCTGGGGAAGCTTTATATATGCTTTGAAATCTTCCAAGATGGCAAATATAAATACACAATGCGGACATCGACGGCGAGAAGATTGCAGTGGCCCTTTCAACTGCGTCTATATGGCACATCAACAGCTCGGCCACCGATAGTCCGCATTTCCAACGGCACTTTCTATCGCCACCACCCAAATTCACACCATGCAGCTACGGATGCCAATCCAGCTTTGTTCGAGAACCTCAATTTCGAGCTGCCTTCCTTTAAGCCAGAATACTGGTCAATCGTAGGCCCGTCATTATCTGGAAAGACGACATTCCTGCAGATTTTGCGCGGGCAGCATATATGCATTCCTCCCGCGGCCCGTTCCTATCCATATCTCGAATCCGAAGAAATCGAGCAAAAAGACCATGCACTTCGACAACCAAGCCGAGCTATCAAATATGTGGGATTTGATGGAGAGCAAGGCATTGGTGGCCAAGCACCGACGAGCGCATACCTGAGTGCTAGGTATGAGTCACGAAGAGAAGAAACAGATTTCAGTGTGCTAGATTATCTGAAAGGCAATACGGAGTTGAACCCTTCCCAGAATATAACGGGGAAGACGGTAGATATTGAGAGTCTGGATCGAGTGATCAGGGACTTGCGACTGGGCGATTTGGTGGGCATGCCAGTTTCGAATCTTAGTAATGGGCAAACGAGGCGGGCCAGGATTGCAAAAGCTCTGTTGAGGGATCCTGAGGTCCTGTTGCTTGATGAGCCATTTATGGGCTTAGATCCTCCGACTCTCTTGACTCTGAGTCCGATGTTGTATGGCCTGGCAAAGGCCAGTACTCCAAGACTTCTTTTGACACTTCGGCCACAGGATCCAATCCCTGATTGGATTACGCATCTTGTTTATTTAAAGGGGAACTGTAAGGTCGCTTTTCAAGGACCTAAAGAGAAAGTCCTTGATGATTTGAGGCAGTATGTGGAAGACGTCAAGGGTGGCAATGCCGAACCCGATTCCCACTTGCCCATACATTCCATGCACGAAGTTGGCCGACAGCTCACAAGCCAAGGCATTGTGGAACCGAATACGACAAGGCACCATATGCCAGCGATTGTATCCAATGCTGAGGCTCTTGCGGGAAATAGAGCCAAAGAAGCCGCTGTTGGAGACCCCCAGAACCCTCTAGTATCTATGCGACCTGACAGCGAAACAGATATCTTGAGTCGAGACGGATATAGGTTAAATGACACTGAATCGCCAGAAATCGGTGAACCGCTAGTAGAGATGGAAGGGGTTCGCGTTACCTACGGGACCAAGGCCGTCTTGGGCAATTGGACTCAAGAGGTCAATGGTACATCGAAAGAAGGAGTATTCTGGACTGTTAGACGAGGCGAGAGGTGGGGAATCTTCGGACCAAATGGATCAGGCAAGACCACAATCCTGTCTCTGATCTCTTCGGATCATCCGCAAACTTATTCCCTTCCAATCCGACTTTTCGGACGCTCGCGTCTCCCAGAACCAGGCCAACCCGGAATTTCAATCTTCGATATTCAAAAGCGAATTGGTCATTCCAGCCCCGAAATTCACAACCATATGCCTAAATCGTTAACTCTTCGTCAAGTCTTAGCGAATGCGTGGTCTGACACTTTCAGGGGACGACCGAACCTGGATGACGATGCGAATGCACGGATTGATGCGTGCCTCAGATGGTTTGAAGAGGATCTCAGACCTGGAAGCAACGCCAGCCCAGAAAGTATGACAGACCGGGGAACTTCTTCCAAGCTGGATACTGCCAGACCGGACTGGGCTGATCATCTGGTGTTCGGCGAGTTACCATTCTCAGCACAAAGAGTAGCATTGTTCCTGCGCGCGATTATCAAGCACCCCGATCTTGTCATTCTGGATGAATCTTTCAGTGGTATGGATGACGGCATCAGAGATCGCTGCCTTTTGTTCCTTGCCCATGGCGAGTCCAAGCAGTACATCACCACTGCGCCGAGGGCAGACTCGAAAGTAGGGAGCGGGGAGCGTAGAATCGTCGAGTCCGATATATCGAAAGCTGGACAGGTGAAGGTTGGAGGCTTGAAGAAAGATCAGGCACTTCTCTGCATCAGCCACATCCGCGAAGAGATACCAGGCAGCATCCGAGAGTGGATTTGTCTGCCAGAGGCTAATACGGGGCAGCCTGCGAGGTTTGGTAGATTGGATGGTCCAATTGAAGGGAACTATCGCAGGTGGAATGAGATCTGGGGGATGTAAGAATACACGGCTGGCATGTTGAAATAGACAGAAAATGATAACTAGTCGACCACCTTCTGACAGAATATAAACCTAAATCACAGTGCAGTCCGTCGACGTAATATTCTGACCACAGAAATAGAATATTAGCCTGCTTCAGTGCCAAACCGGTAGAAGAAAGGTACAATCCATTATCAGAGATGAAGGGATCAGGGAGAGCTAGTCCAATGCGGCTACGACTCCTATTCTAAGCGAGACGGGGGTTTCAATTGCCGACGAGATCTTCGAAAACGTGCGCGCGTGTAGTAGCCGATGTCGACGCCGTCTCCCATCACGATGTCCTCCGCACAGGAGGGCATTCATCCTCCCTGCCCATGATCGATATACTCGATGCCTGATCATGGAAACCCGGGCGCATCAACCTCGTGCGCTGAGGACATCGGACGAGATGCCGAGCGCTCAATTGTCGCCCCATTCGAGCTCCACTCGGCTGACGCCCGACTCGGACTCTGAGGACTCGGACCTCGGGATGGGAGAACTTGGCGAGAGCTTCAAGCTGCAGCGTCGCGCGCAAGCTGCTGAGAAGGTGCGGGGAGAAGGTGGGGACGAGGATGAGGCCGACGAAGAGGGATATACTGGGGGTCGCAGATCCAGCGTGTCTACTGTGCATTCATACCAGCTATATACACCGGATGAGGAACGAACAGTTGTCAGGAAATTCGACCGGAGATTGGTGTTGTTTGTGGCTCTGTTATATATGTTGAGCTTTTTGGATAGATCTAGTTCGTCCCCTCATCCAGATAGAGATCCCTACTGACAGTATGGAATAGATATTGGAAATGCGAAAATCGCCGGGCTCGATCACGACCTCAATCTTGATTCTAATAGATATGAATGGGTCATAACGGCATTCTACATTTCATATATCTGCTTTGAATGGATGAGCATATTATGGAAGATTATACCGCCACACGTATACGTGACAGCCATCGTGCTCTCATGGGGAATCGTCGCCTCCTTGCAATCCGTAGCGACATCCTTCGCCGGTCTTCTCGTCCTACGAACACTGTTGGGGATTGGGGAAGCGGGATTCACAGGTATACCCTTCTACCTCTCCTTCTTCTTCAAGCGCGAAGAGCTCGCCCTTCGAACGGGCTTCTTCATCTCCGCCGCACCGCTCTCGACCACCTTCGCAAGCACCTTGGCATGGGCAATCGTCAAGCTGGGCAGAACCGGCCCCATCGCTGCTTGGCGCTTGCTCTTCCTCGTTGAAGGCTTTCCCAGCGTGATCATCGCCGTTATAGCCTGGCACATCATCCCAGACAGCCCAGGCAGCGCATCCTACCTCACTAAGCGCGAGAAGCGGGTCGCCAAACTGCGACTCCGAAAGCAGAAGGATGCCAAAACCAGCGCGTCAAAACCCGGACTGAATTTCAAAGAGATACTAGAGACGCTCACCGACCCCAAGAACTACCTCACCGCATTCATGTTCTTCTGCACCAACATGGCCTTCTCGTCGTTGCCCGTCTTCCTTCCCACCATCCTTCACGAGATGGGCAACACAGTCCTCATCTCGCAAGCCCTCTCCGCCCCACCCTACCTACTCTCCTTCTTCATCGTCATCCTGACCGCCTACCTCTCTGACCGCCTGCGCAACCGCGCCTCCTTCATCGTGTTCCACGCCCTGCTGTCCGCGCTCGGCTACGCCCTCATCGCTGTCGCCAGCGCCAGCAGCTGGGGCATGTGGTGGCGCTACGCCGGCGTCTACCCCGCGGCCGTGGGCTTCTTCAGCGTCATCACCATCATCATCACGTGGACAGTGAATAACCAAGAGTCGGAGAGCAAGCAAGGAACGGGGTTTGCCATGCTGCAGCTGATCGGGCAGTGCGGGCCTTTGGTGGGCACTAGACTGTATCCCGACAGCGACGCCCCGCTCTATACGAGGGGCATGTCGATATGTGCTGCGGCGATGGTGTTGGTGGCTTTGTTGGCGCTGGCGCTGAGATGGTATTTGAAGAGGCTGAATAGGAAGGCCATCCAGGGGTATGGGAAGATTGGGGAGGAGGGGGATACGCTGGTTCCGAAAATGGGAGGAAAATCTACAGCCCCTTTTGAGTTTATGCTTTGAGATCTGGACATCTTGGAAATGTCTTGGAATATTTTGAATACCCAGAAGACGCTTCATGAGACTTGCGAATCGCGATTTATTTGATTTGATAACACGCTGGACTGTGCAACAGTCTATACGACAACCATTAAGAAAATATTGGACGCTCAAAACAACATCGCCCCAGCTGTACACCATTTCATCAGAACTCACCATTCTTTCAACATGGGAGGCATAGGCCACATTGGCCAGCTCCACCGCCGCTGGTTCGGCTCGCACTGTCTTGGCATCCTCAGAAATTGCACTACTCGATCTTCATCCCAATACCAACCCCTCTTGGCCTCGTTCCAATCCCTCACAAGCGTTGGGTGTTTGTCCAGTCCGGTCACTACTAGCCGTTGTCCTGCTGGTATCCATCTCTCCAGCTGCCGTAGGCTTCGGACAATGCCCCTGCGTTGCCAGTCATGGAGATCTTGCTCTGGAAATTTATGGACGTCGTGCTGAAATTTGACCTCCACCTTTCGTAGTTCCGGGAGTGTGGTCGTGAGGTTGTGGATTGCTGATGCTAGTTTGTCGGGGTTAAGACAACTGTTAAGGTTGACTGAAAGTTTGATATTATTCATTCGCTTGACATGGCTTACTCCGACGGCGTCAAAAAATCGCTTGACCTAGACGTTGTCAGCTATTCAAAATCGCAGTGACTTTACACAGTGGGCCATTGATCACTTGCCTTGGTATGATGCGGGCATTTGATTCGAGAGCATCGAGTGTGTACTCCGGCCTTGCTCCTGAATCTGCTCATCTTCCGCTAGTTCCCTTTTGTCAGCTTGTTTCAGAGATTGAGATAGGCACTCACCTTCTTTTCCCAACCTGAAACGCATTTCTTGCAGTATATATTGTCCACGTTGAAGATCCAATACTGACAAGACCGACTGTCTATGAGCCAACGCATGATCACCTTATCATCCTCGTAGTCTTGATAATGGACTTCATTCCATTTCCCCCGACCGTTGATTATGATCTGGTAGTCTTCGCCAGCAGCCATCATGTAGAAAAAAACGTTTGCTTGCGCGATCCTTGGCATGACCCTTAGCTCTGTCGAACCAATCTGATGCAGCTGGCCAATGATGCCTTCCTTTCGGTCAACAATGTCATCTCCAACAACGACACCAAGTCTCCTGGCTCGTGCCACATTGGCCTCAATCGCAGCTAATGATCTATCGGAGATGGAAGGAGTAGGAATCGGGGGATTGTTTTCCATTGAAGAGATGCTGAGCATATCTTCATACTTCTCCCTGATACGTTTGCGGTCGATAAGCTTCCCGAATTTCCTTGTTTCGTTATTGTCCTTTGGTACAGGGTTTGAAACAGGGTGTGGAATAGCCTCGTAGTCAGGTTTCCTCATAGCTATGACATCGTCCCCTCGTCTCCACGAATCCCTTCTCACTAGGTTCAATGCCCTATCTCCCGATTGTGCTGTGACGTACCTTTCTAGTGTTCCACCTGAATGATCTGAACCTCTGTCTGCAGCTTCTTCAATGTAATTCTCACTGAAACCATCAAATGCTTCTCGAGCGACTACATCGCCCTGCCCCGTATTCTTATGTGATGTCTGGCTTCCACAACCGGGTGGATCAGTTGGTCCGTCTTCTGACGGGTTCCAGGGTTCAGTACTGAAATAATCGGAAGATGACTCCTGTACCTGTATCCCATCTATCGAGCTAGGATATTGCAGGTTTGCGAGCAAGTTCGAAACCTTGACATGTTCCAGCGAGAAGTTGGGAATATTCGAGCACGCCTGGAGTAAGATATGTTCCTTCAGATTCTTTGAGTATAATCTGTTATGCTCAGACGGTAGACTACTCTCTTCAAGTGTAGCCATAGGAGTGAAAACTGTGGTTTGCAACTCAGTGATGGCTGGCAAGTCGAGATCTAGTGCTTGTTCTCCAGGTTGGGCTGTACCAGTCTGGTACACCCTCAAACGCGCCTCGGGCGGTTGACCTTCACCCGTAGACGCGGAGTTGGGCCATCCAACTGGACCTAGCGGCGGAAATGGGAAGATAAACTTGGGCATTGTGAACTTTGTCTGGTTATACACGTCGTCTGGCATCTTGTGCTCTTCGTCTGCTGGGCTTTTTGAGTCGTTATAGGGGTTGGGAGACAAAGCCTCTGGACGAATCCCATCAGTTGTCGCGGGTATTTGATCTTCTGGAAGCTCCTGGGTTGGCAATTCCGGCTTGGATTGTGCCTGTTCTCCAGCTTGTGCTAGGACATTGCTCAGCTGGACACCACTATCTGCATTCTTCTCATTCAATGCAGAGACGAGAGTTGATGCCAGAGCATTAGTAGGAGTTGTGTCACTACCTTCGTCGGGTGTCTGAGTAAGCTCCATGTTGAAAGTGTTAACGATAGACTGGAATCAAACAATGATTACTCGATAAGAGTTGGATTAAAGCGAGCGTGTATACAAATAATAGTGGATGTTGATAGAAGATGAAAGGTAGATCTCGAGGGTGAACATGTATAGACATCTCATCGACTTCGGTAGCCTGGGAAGGGGCGATTCCTGAGGGGCTGACTTCACTCCTCATGAAAACAGGTACGTTATTTTAAACTCTGAGAATATAGTACATGACAGTAGTAAACCTTTAACAAAGGGCAAAGTTGATTTCAAAATGGCAGCAGCCTGATCACTTCGTCTATTCAGTACAAATCCCCAATTTCCCCCAATCCCCTTCCCACGCCTCCTATAATCCTATTCACTCCCCGCCCCAAGGACTAAGGCTTTATATCAAAATAAGTAGAAACAATTTAACGCAGAGCGGATGGCTCTGTTGTTAGGTTCCAAGCGTGTTTAGGGTATAGCATCCCGTCCTTCCTAACATCCATCATCTAACGACTCATAAGGCGCCCTCCCTTTTTTTATTTTTATTTTTTATCTTTTCGCCATACCCTCTCTGCCTTAATCTGTATTATTTCTTTATTTTATTTATACTCAATGATCTAAACATGGGAGTTCTAAGGAAATACAGGGCGATGGTTGTATGAGTGAAAGTGAATATAAAAGAGATAAATAAACGCCTAGTACTGCCTTGCTCCAAACTGTCGAAGGCTCTGGCCATTTAACGGCTGGGAAGATACTTTGCGAAACCACATGACCCGAGATACTCACTTATCCCGATGGTACAAAATTGTAGAGATATCAATGTTCTGATGATGCTGATCCGTGTAGATTGATGCAATATGTTCTGACCTATTTAGGAAGGTCTGAGAGCACCTTGTATAACGAACGGGTTGGTCTGATATCAAAACCCCCAACTTGAAATATCCCATTTCCTCCATCCTTCAAACCAACTTTTTGCACGCGGCAAGCCGCGATATAACCATCAGACTTATATTTCCAGTGGCCCGTACTGCATCGTACGAAGCCCCGATGATGGGTTCCCCCACTCTTCCTGGTCCCCAACCTCACCATCGCAAGACCCGCATCAAGTTGCCAACCTCAATCCTCTGTATCGCTGGCATCTTGCTTTATGTTCAGCTCATAATCCTCCCACGCTTCACACCTGGGCCTTCACCCAACGCTTCAAGACTCTCCCAATTTCACTCAGAACGTCTCGAGGCCGGCTTACGTCAGTGCGCCGAGCTCAACACACCGCCGATAAAATATGAACTCCCAGTCTCGCCATCACGTGCCAATCCAAGATGGAACCCCATCAGCGGGCAGAAAGAGACAATAATCCTTCGAAATGCGACGTTATTTGATGGCGAGAGCTTCGTTGGTGCTGTGGATATTGAGTTCAGCAAGGGGGTCGTCGTCTCCGTTACGCCGACATCCTCTACCGAGTCCGGATCGCAAGGTGCTGAGATCGTGGATCTGGAGGGCAAATATGTGACTCCGGGGCTGATAGACATGCATTCGCATCATTTGGTATGGGCATGGCCAGATCTCAAGCCAAGTAAAGACGTGAATGAAGTGCATCCTGACACGGGCCCACTGACACCATTCGTTCGATCCCTTGACGGCATGAAGGTCGATGATTTGGCAACCGCAATAATTGCTTCTGGTGGGGTAACCTCCTCACTGATCCTTCCCGGATCTGCAAATATCATGGGTGGTGAAGGGTTCATGGTCAAGAATGACCCGAACAGTGGACCCTCTGGTGAAGAGAGAGTTGAGGATCTCCTGTTGGAGCATGGTGTACCGCCAGCTGATCGACGACGATATATGAAGATGGCTTGTGGCGAGAACCCCAAACGTGTATACGGTCATACACGGATGGGAAACGCCTGGATCTTTCGGCAGCACATGGAGCGCGCCAGGGAGCTGGTAGAGAAACAAGACGCCTGGTGTTTATCAGCTGCTGCTGCAAAGGAAAGTGGTGATGCTGCAGCCATCGCCGCACTTGTCGCCCCTTCATCGAGTAAGAAAGGAGGTTTCCCTGAGGAACTAGAACTGGATTCTTCGGTAGCGATGTTGAGGGGAAAGATTAACATCAATGTTCACTGCTATGAGCCAGAAGACTTTGAGGATATGCTTTTACACAGCAAAGAATTTGGTTTCAGGATTCGAGCATTTCATCATGCGCTCGGTGCATGGAAAGTGCCGGAGATGATCAAGGAGAGTGGAGAGTAAGTTGAATACATGGTTAATGGACGATACTCATGTCTAATAGGAACATAACCGTCGCAACTTTCGCCTCGTTTGGGCTTTACAAGAAGGAGGCTTACGATGCAAATCTATGGGCTGGTAAGATATTATCTGAGCATGGAGTTCCCGTGGCCTATAAATCTGTATGCCATCTGTCCCGCGCAGCTGCATTATACTCACCTCAATAGGATCACACTGATGGCTCCATGAGCGCCAAATACCTGCTGTGAGTAAGTTGATTCGTGACAAGACTTAGCTAATAACTTCAGATACCAAGCTGCAACAGCACATTCATTTCATCTTCCTGAAGAGCTTGCGCTGCAGTCAGTTACGAGCGTTCCGGCAAAATCTCTGGAGGTAGATCATAGGATAGGTTACGTGAGGGCAGGTTATGACGCTGATATCGTTGTTTATGATTCCCATCCCCTCTCCCTGGGAGCAACGCCTTTGCAAGTCTACATCGATGGGAGAGCGACGCTCGATCCCGAAAAAGTGGCGGAGATCCTCTCGGACAGACTCCCGGAAAGCCGCCAGGACCAACAGAGACCAAAGATGCGTCCAAGTATCAGGGAAGAGACCTATCGTCAAGTCGCCGAAGGCAAGACCATCATTACCGGAATCACCAAGTCCTTTGTACCGATCGACAACCAGACTCCGTCTCCGGGAGTAAATTTGACAATGGTACTCGACAACGGAAAAGTAATATGTTTCAATACGCCTGAGACATGCCTCCCTCACACTGCAGGGGGCACCATCATCCAACTCGAGAATGGCCACGTCCTCCCAGGTCTCACCGCCGCCTTCACCGATCTTGGCCTGAGCGAGATCGCCATGGAAGGCGACACGGGCGACGGATCTCCTAACCACAATCTCAATCCCCTAGACCCGGAGAACGTGGTATATGCCAAGTATGGCGTGCACATGGAAGGCCGTGGCTTCGAGCGGGCTCGAATGGGAGGCGTGACGAGAGTGCTATCGCTCCCGGCGGGCGAGGGATTTTTACGCGGTGTCAGCACGGGGATCAAGACCAGCGGGAAGTCGATTCTGGATGGTGGTGTTTTTCAGGATGATGTGGCGCTGCATTTTACTGTTGGGCAGGGAGCGAAAGGTGCGTCACATTCGAATTCAGCCCCTGAATACCCTAACTCGCCCCAGCCTCCTCATCCACCCCCACGATCTCCAGCGCCATATCCACCCTCCGTCACATCCTCAGCCAAAACATCGAAAAAGACAACGTCTACACGCGCGCCGCGAACGGCACTCTCCCAGTCATCGTCCACGTCGAAAATGAAGTCTTACCCCCTTTTTCTCCCCCTCCAACGAACTAACTAACCATGCTCGATCTCTAGCACGACATCCTGCAACTCATCTCCCTGAAACATGATTTCCCTACATGTAACCTAATCATCTACGGCGGTGCCGAAGCTCCTTCTGTATTTCCCTCTCTTTCCCCATCCCCCCTTTTCTTACACTAACCCGAAAAAGGTCGCGTCCGCCCTAGCAACCTCCCAGATCCCCCTAATTTTCAGCCCCCGCTCCTCCCCCGATACATTCGAGAAACGAAACGCTTTGGCAGGTCCCCCGCTCACTCGCCACCCCGCAGCCGTGCTATGGGATGCTGGTGTTTTCTTTGGACTCGGAGTTCTAGCTTCTGGTACGTCTCCCCCCCACCATTCTCCCCGCCCAACCTTCCTAAACCCCCTCCCCTATCTAACAAATGGAACCCGCAGAAAGCACAGCCTCCTACCTGCACGCCCACTCCCACGAATCCTTACGACTCGCAAAACAAGCTGGATTAACAGAGCAGCAAGGGATTGATTTAGTATCGTCGAGGATAGACGATATCTTAGGGCTTAATGGCGAGGAGAAGAGAGAGATTGTGGTTTGGGAGGGGGATTGGGGGAGGGGTGAGGGGGCCGTTGTTGGGGTTGTTGAGTTGTGAGTTTTGACTTGAGAGGGTTGTTGAGTTGTGGACTTGTGAGGGATTATTGGGGGGGAGGGAGGGGAGTAGATATCAAGGGTGACGACGCCCCGCCCCCTCAGGTGTTGTGTGCGCCCCCTTTTAAAGAGTCTTTCTGTTAGCAACAGGAATACAGCTACTCGTACAAATCAACTAGAAATACAATAGGTAAACAGGTGATAGAAGTCAATAACAGCCCGGATAACAGCTAGGTGGTGGTAGTATCACGTGATGCGCAACCACCGTGACTTCGGATCTGTTCGGTAAGGTTCGGACGAACAGAGCCAGCAGCCTTCTCGCTGCCCTTCGGATATATCGTGCGCCCACCACCACCACCTCGGGAGGCTCGGTGCAACATGGGACTGAAGACATCACGGCGTTGGGTTGAGGTAGTGTACTCTGTACGTTCTCGCTGAGTCTCGGAAAGGCCTTCATGCCTCTCCAGACTCACGTTCCTTGTTCGGAGATAGCGTCAAATCCCGACATTGTGCGAATATGTCAACCGCAGGCTCAACCGCAGACAATCTCTTACGCCGTTCAGACAAAGAAGTGCGGCAGATTCTGCGCCGGCGGAAGAAGAGAAGCCAGACTAGCTGCCTACCTTGTCGGACGAGGAAGGTAAAGTGTGATAGGGGCTCGCCATGCGACAATTGCGCCAAGAGAGGGTATCCTGAGTTGTGCTCTTTTGCTGCTCAAGGTGGTGCTGGAACTGGCACAAGCTCTAGTCCCCCCCAGTCCCCAATCCCCGATTCTCAACCTGCGCTACCTTCTGCCCAATATCCCTCAAGCCAACAGCCTTTGCCCCAGACACAACAACATTTGCAATGTCAAACTACGTCATCCGAAGGCACAGTGGTCTCTGATGTACACAGCACCCACTCGCCTTCTGGCTTCCTACAGCCAGGTGTTGTGTCGGAAGGTTCCTCTCAACAAAGAGCAGGTAGTACTGCTACTGGGCCAGCATCTTCCGGAGGCAGTCATGGGAGTAGTGGCGTTGATCCCGTGGATGACAGGGGAAGACAAGACCGAAGAGAGCCTTTCCTAGGCACGAACTCGATGCGGTCATTTCTAAGGGATCAAGCTTCGCAGGCTGGCCCAACCCAGAACACGCCAAGCAAAACCGTTGAAGATGCGATCCTCCCGATCCTAGGACTTGACGAATCGAGGTCAACTTATCCATTTCTACCGGCTTCGCAAACGTCCTTGGAAAAGATAAATCTAGAGCTTCATCAGGTTCTACCCGTGGATCGCGAAATAATAAGGTAGGGAGACTTACTTTACGCCGCAATAGCATCGTGGAGCGGGTCCAAGTGCTTCGTGGCTTCAGAAATTTGTTATCCAATTTCCGCAGCCATGGATACGTGCACCCATTCTATTTCCGTTATGTCTTGTGTTCATCCTGTCTAAATTGACATCCCGTTATGTCCTGGGGATGCATGTGCTCACGTACGTATAGACTATTTCGGTGCTACCAACAAGAAGCACATCCATTCTCGCCAATCATACCAGATATAGAGCATTTTGAACTCGAACTCTGTGCCTACCTTGAACATCGTGCCCTCGTGAAGCGGCAGTCCCACGATCAGAACCATGATACTGGTCAACCAACAGCTCACAAGTCTGTGTCATGGGTCGGCTCCCTTTTTGCAGTGCTAGCATCTGGGGCACAGTATGCTGACATCTCGTTCAAAGAGAGGCAGACGAAATCTCATCTCTATGGTAAAGATAACGCACCCACTCTGAATCTTCGCATTGCTAACTTTGCTGATCTAGCTCGTTATTCTTTTCAGTGTCTCAGGATGGCGAACTTCCTGCTTCGTCCATCACTGTTATGCATCCAGACATTATTAATTCTCGGCAATGTCTTGCAGAATGATATGAAGCCAGAGGCGGCCTGGATCATGCTAGGCACGACGGCAAGAATGGCGCAAAGCCTTGGTCTACATGAGGAAACTGATGCATCCTCGCCACAAAGAAGGTTATGGTGTGTTTGACTGCCCCTTACTGTCGTAGTCAAGACTTCTCATGCCTAATAGGCTGGCACTCTCCTGGCACGATAGTCTGCTGTCATTGTGCTTTGACAGGCCACCTGTCACAACTCCGGCGAGAACTATTCCAGAGTTGGTTGATGGAATGTCGTATACGGACGCTATGAACTCTCTCGGTGATATAACCCTTCGCAGCATCAACACCAGGGCACATGATGACACGTCCTATTTTACCATGGTTCTAGAAAATGTGGCCAGGATTGAAGACATTTATCTCAAAAGCATAGGCCGCCGCGGCGGAGTAAGTTGCGCCTCGAGCCTACGACAGCGCTGCCAAGACTGTGCTTTGAAGTTGCATCTTTCCTTTGCCATAGCATGGCTGTGTCGTCCAGCACTCCGAAATCGTCACAGCGCCGAATTGAGGCCGGAACTCCAGCTGCAGCTTATTGAAAAATGCACTAAGAATTTACTTGAATGTGTTCGCGCCTTTGTACAACTACATTCATTGAGCATCCTTGCTTCACGATCATGGTCAGTTATTCACAATGGACTCAGCTCGGCCTTGTTATTATGCCTCCTTGGGCAAACAGCAACAAATCCGGAAGTTCGAGAATCACTAGGCGAAATCCTGGAGGTCCTCTCTACAGAGTCTGAAGATGAGGGTAGCCAAGGACATGACAGGGACGGCAATATCGAGCTATCAAGGCCGCACTCGAGAGCAGTTGCTGTTCTCAGGAGGTTGTACAACGATCGCGTGAACAATTCCGCTCAAAATCCTGTGGCTGATGATGGGAGACGGAGTCAAACGGTATCCCATAGCCAATTGCAATCGACAGTGAATGCCACAATGGCACCTTCGTAGGTTTTTACCCTCCTTGGCTCTGTTGAGAGAGAGAACGGCTAACAATCGACGAAGGCCCGTCTCATCTAACGTAAATTTCTCTAATTATGTGGACACGGCCGGGTTGCAGCTCTATGATAATCTAGGCCAAACAGACGTGTCACCGCTTGCTACGCTTGACTCTATTATATGGGGTACGTCTAAAATAATTCCGAATTAATGGAAGGTTTCTCACTTAGCTTGCAGATGTAATGGGAGTTGGAGGATCAATGCCAGATTATAATGCTTTGTCATGCGAAGCATGGATGTTTTGAAGTAAGAGACAACGTACATCAATCTTGTGACATTATCTCGATTCTCGAATCAGGTTGACTTATATGTTGCAGATATAGATACACAATAAGTCGTCGAGCGGCACAGGTTCTGTCGACAGTCGGGCGCCTTAGCAGAAGGGGGTTGTTTTTAATCCTTCCTTGCATAACGTTAGTATTACAGAAAAACAATCCCCCAAAACTCCTTACATAACGCCCAAGAAGCCGTCCTTAATCCTACAAGAAGTCTCATTCCTTCTCAAGTCCATTCCATCGTTGAAAATCCCCCGTATCAACATCAAAAAGATCCAGTATCCTTCCAATCATCTGATCCACCATCTCATCAATCGAATCCGGTTTTGTATAAAACGCAGGCATAGCCGGACATATAATGGCCCCCGCTCTCGTAACCTCCAGCATATTCCTCAGATGGATCTCGCTCAGCGGGGTTTCCCTCACCGCCAGCACCAAGCGCCTCCTCTCCTTCAGCATCACATCGGCCGCTCGCGCGATCAGATCATCGCAATAGCCCGCATGCACCGCGGCCAGCGTCTTCATGCTGCACGGCACGATTATCATGCCATCGGCGCGGAACGAGCCGCTGGAGATAGGCGCGGCTTGGTCGCGGTTGCTGTGCACGTGGTCGGCGAGCGCCCGCACGTTCGCCGGCGTGTAGTCGGTCTCGTAGCGGATCGTGGCTTCGGCCCAGTGGCTGAGCACGAGATGCGTTTCGATGTCGAGACGCCGCAGCGTGGCGAGCATCTTGATGCCCAGGATCGCGCCGGTGGCGCCGGTCATGCCGACGACGATGCGTTTTCGGGGGCGTGAGATGGTGGTGCTGCTTGCGGCTGTTGCTTCGGGCATGTTTTGGCGGATCTTTGACTTTTGAAAGAGAGTCTCGGATACTGTGTCCAAGATCCGGAGGGGCTTCTGCTGGTATAGATATTGCAAGGTGCTATTGTTCACAGCTCAATTTCGGTATAGACAGACTGGTGGATTTTTGTAGATGGAGTCGAATCGAAGCACGATTACCACGATTGAGTGCAAGATTTCTCTCCAAGACTTGCTGAATATATACAACCCCTCCACCAATATGGGGGGTTGATGGATAGTGTGTTCCGAATACGTCCGAGATATTTCCTTCCATTCGATGCGTCCGAAACAGGCTAGCGGCAGCTCGGCTACATTCAGGGGGAACCGAGGGGCTATTGTACGCACAAACATCTCCGCGTGCCATTCTTAAATTTCGACGTTCAAAGCATTACCACGGTTACTCGGAGATACAATACCGTAATCATGGTGTTCTATGAGCCTGGTGTCACTGTCCACAACCTGACTTTCGGCCCTCCTATGTCATGTTCTCTGCCAATCAGACCGACGCCAATTGCCGTTTCCATGGTCGAAGAGTCCCCCATCAGATTTGAGTACACATCCTACACTACTGTACGATTGTCTAGAAACCATCTTATAGGCAGCGTCATTGGCAAAATCCTGGTATTTCACATCTCTGATAAAGTTCTCACCGATGGTATCGTTGATTTGAGCAAGGTTCAGCCCATCGCTTTATACTTGCGCTATTGTGCGTTGCACCTTTAAAGGAAGCCTCCTGGAAATGCAAAGTTGGCTTCTAGGCTAGAAGGGAACGCCGCCCTTAATACGAATAAGAAGCGAGCAAGGATAGCACAGCAGGACTCTCTGACTTGCTACAAGATTCCCGTGTACGTACCTCACTATACGTATGTGAGATCCTATCATCCCTCTCGGAGCGTTCACAGATACTACCTTAGCTAGCGTTAGGTGGATCTCCTTTTTGCAGGTTCGTCCGAAGAGCACCGATTCTCTCCGAGCCAATCTATCTAGCTACCTAGGTAAGTGTTGTCGGCACACGGCATCTGACCTACAAATTAACTTTCACTGACGATGGAGATGCGTGATATATTGCGTGGAAGCACGGTCTGCAAATATAAAAAGATGCTCTCAACTGGCATTTGAGTTTTGTTCAATATCCACATTAGAAACGGAGCAGAATATCTGATAAGACCTGCTGCTGCACATCGTTCTCATCAACTGCCATCACATCAAGATCCTATTCTACCTCGACATCCGTTCCTTAACAACATGTCAGCGGAGAAGAGCTACCACCTGTCCCAGTCCAACCAGGACCTGCCTCACATGAACTTTCGATCCTTCGTCGAAGCGCTAAAGGAAGATGGCGATCTGATCGAGATCAACGAGGAGATCGATCCTCATCTGGAAGCCGGCGCTATCATCCGCAAAGTGTGCGAGACCAACGACAAAGCGCCGCTATTCAACAACATGAAGGGCGCCCAAGCCGGCCTCTGGAGGATCCTCGGAGCCCCCGCATCACTGCGCAGCAACGCAAAGGAGAAATACGGACGCATCGCCCGACATTTAGGACTCCCTCCCACAGCATCCATGAAGGACATCATCGACAAGATGCTATCAGCAGCCCATGCTGAGCCTATTCCACCAAACATTGTCCCTGATGGGCCGGTCAAAGAGAACAAACTCTTCGGCGACGAATTTGACTTAACGACGTTGCCCGCGCCGCTCCTCCACCAGGCTGATGGCGGCAAGTATATCCAGACATACGGGATGCACGTGTTGCAGACACCGGACAAGAAATGGACCAACTGGTCCATCGCGCGTGCCATGGTGCACGACAAGAACCACCTCGTCGGCTTAGTCATGGAGCCTCAGCACATCGGGCAGATCCACCAGATGTGGAAGAAATCAGGAAGGGGGGACATTCCCTGGGCCCTAGCATTCGGCGTTCCGCCCGCTGCCATAATGGCAGCTTCGATGCCCATCCCCGACGGAGTGAGCGAGGCTGGATATATCGGCGCCATGACAGGCTGCGCGCTCGACGTCGTAAAATGCGAGACCAACGACCTGCACGTCCCGGCCAACGCCGAGATCGTTTTCGAAGGCACGCTCTCCATCAGTGAGACCGCGCCTGAAGGACCCTTTGGAGAGATGCACGGCTATGTATTCCCAGGCGACTCTCGACAATGTCCAAAATTCAAAGTCAACGCTATCACGTACCGCAACGGGGCTATCATGCCCGTCTCTAACTGCGGCCGTATCACCGACGAGACACACACACTAATCGGTTCACTCAACGCAGCTGAGATCCGACGCATCTGTCAAGAAGCCGGTCTCCCCATCACCGACGCATTCTCCCCCTTCGAAACACAAGTCACTTGGATCGCTCTCGGCATCGACATTCAAAAACTCTCGCACATGAACACCACACCCTCCGCATTCCGGCAGATGATCGGCGAATTAATATTCTCTCAAAAAGCCGGGGTTACCACACATCGCATCGTATTATGCGGTCCTGATATCAATGTTTATGATGTCAAAGATGTAATGTATGCGTTCACGACGCGCTGTCGTCCGGGCGCCGATGAGACATTGTTTGAGGATTGTAGAGGCTTTCAGTTGATTCCTTTTATGGGTCATGGAACGGGGACGCCGAATAGGGGGGGCAAAGTGGTTTCGGATGCGCTGATGCCGATGGAGTATAAGGGGGTGCAGAATTGGCAGCAGGCGTCGTTTAAGGATTCGTTCCCGGATGAGATAAAGGATAGCGTGAATTGTAGATGGTCGAAAGAGTGGGGATTTGCTGAGGAGATGTAGGTAGGTAGGTAGCTTAGCTTGTGCATATAATCGTGTTATAGGAATCGTAAGAGTAGAGAATTCACAACGTTTTTGAAACACCTGGTGTATCATGTACCTTTTCTCCCCTCCTCCCCTATTCCCTACCCCCTATTCCATCCATCCCTAATAACACAACACAACACAACATAACATACCCTACCTACCTACCTACCTCCCCATCCCCCTTACGCTAACTTCAAATTTTCTCCCCGTTTGTAAATCTAGAATCGCATACCATAGTCTGATATGATTATTCGACTTTTTTTGTGTTTTTGCTTTCTCTTTTCGGTTTTGTTTTTATGTCCTTACGGATTTTACATCTCTCTCCCCCACAGAGGGGTTTGTGATTAGGAGTAGGTAGGGAGGGGTGAAGAGAGTGATTGATTGATTGTGTGTTGAGTTATTAGGTGTGTTGTACGGACTTAAAAAGAAGACACGAAATATCCCTAAACAGGTCCCTCGATCCAAACATACAAAAGAGAATTCGTTACTACTACCTCCACTAAATAAAAAAAACCTCTAAAACTAATCCGAATCATATCCATGCCAACCCAATCTACTCCAATCCACTATCTACTCCAATCCAAACCACTCCAATCCAAATCTCATAGACACAATGAACTTGTTTGTTCCATATGGTGGTATATATAAGGTAAGGTATATATTCATATTTCCTCTTCGCCGCTTTTTATAAAAACCTTCATCCATCCATCCCTCCTCCCATCCATCCAATCCAATCCAATCCAATCCATACAAAAAAACCAACCAACCGACCCCAAAAACCAACTAAAACTAATCAAAAACGACAGATTCGTGAATAAAAAACACACACATAACATACATACATACATAAAACTACGCCATTCGTGGCGCTGAGAAATAATTCAAAAGATTGAACCAAGAAATAGAATAAAATAAAATAAAATGGGAGAGTCGTGAATGTACTTGTAGGTAGTAAAGATAAGATATAGATATAGATATAGATAAAGATGTGGATTGAAAACAACGCCGTCCGGAGTCCGCCTGCCTTGGTTGACCTGACCTGAGTTATTCCTGCCTGCCTGACTGCCTTGCACCAGAGATATCGCCGGATGTACGAGAAGAGAGATATTTCAAGGGAGTTGATGGGGAGAGATCATAGATGACGAGAGGGTATGCAGATGATGCGGGTGATTGATTATCTAGATCGATCGATGCCTTAGGAAAAAAGGCTGGTAGAGATTGAATGATGGAAGAGGTGGGATGTAGGTGAGGAATAATATGATATCATATGATGATGGACGGGGCAGACGTGAGGGTGTCGTGATGAATGCCCTTGCTGCGCGCTCGACCTTCTCGACCGGCGACGTCGTCGGCTGTCGTTTGATTTAAATTTGGCCCGATCCGCAAAGGCGTTAGTGCACCGCGCGGAAGCGACGCGGGCGCAGCGGAAGCCATCCACATCCAGCGAATGGCCGCGGCGGAGGGGAGGGATGTTGTGCAGACAGACGGTGGGCGGTGCATGTGAGGCAATGCGATACGAGATGGGCCATCGGCCGGGGGCTCCGAGATGGCGCTAAGGGCTCACATGTGCGCATGACCAATGGATAGCGACGACACCCACGACACCCTCAACCGTCGAGCCTCTGCGCCCGCTCCAATCACAGCGCACACACCCGCTCACGCCCGCGGCATCTGGTGACTCTGCTGTTGCGAGGTCAGATTTCGCACAATCCGGTTCTCGCCCCCAGCTCCCGCAACGTCCGCAAGGTTGCGCGTCGTCGCGTAGTTCAGCGTCTGGGGAGTCGACGCTCCGCCGGCACTGGCGCTGCCGTCCTCGAGATAGCCCGTCATGTCCCAGGATGGTCGAGCGCTCTGGCTCCCCAGGTGGTACTGCTGGGACCCGGACATGTGATGCCCGACTCCCTGCCAGTGGCTGGGCGTTTCGTGGGGGTGTGGCACGGAGACGCGAAGGTTGGGAGGACCGCCCTGGAGCCCCGCCATGGGCTTCTGGTGGTGAGGCGACCCAACGCGGGCGGGGATGTTCGAGGCGTACGCCGTGGACGTCGTCGAGACCGACATCGAGCGTGGCGATAAGGCGCCGTGGTGATCACCCACGTACGATATCCCGGCTGAGGCATCGGTACTGTAGCCGGTGGAGCTGACGGGAGTCAGCAGCGCAGGCGCAGGTGGCAGTGTGGAGGATGGGCTCGCAGACTATCTGGGATCAGTAGCATTCTCAAGACAGGCGTCGTGTGCACACTTACGTATTTGCCAATGATCTTCTTCAGAGCGCTCGCCAGATCCTTCCAGTGGAAGACCTTGACGTCCTTCTCGATATTGCGGGGCTTGGGATTCGGGAAGGCCATGATGACCTTGAAGAACTCCTCGCTATCGGGCTTCCCCTTGGAAACCGTCAGCGGGCGGAAGCCCTCCAGGTTCCTCCGTATCCGATTCTTCTCCTCTACCGTAAACCGAGCCGCCACCAACTGTTCCAGCAGGTAGATGGTGTCGACGCTGGTCACGAAACACTCGTTCTTCTCCTCCCAGTAAATGCAGCTGATGCAGATGCTCTGGGGGGGCCGGTCTTCCGCTGTAACCGGGTGGAAGCTGGTCGTGATGGTGCTGCCTGACTGTGACCGCTTAAAGTGGACTAGCCGCCTCTTGCAGTCCCATTCCTCCCCGGTCCAGTTCCGGGCCATGGCGTCCAGATCCCCGTTGAGCTCCAATTTGGCCTTGTGCGGGTAAAGTGCGTACGCATTGAAATTCTGCCCGGCGTGGGCACCGTGTGGGGTCGTTGCTGGGCTTGGCGTCTGTTGCAGGGTTGACGTCCGAATGAGCGGGGGGTTCGCAGCGACTGCCGGTGAAGGGAGGGAGGATAACGATGGACGGTGGGGTCCTACATTCGAGGGGACGCCCGGACTTCGCGCCATATTCGAGGGCAGACTCGGATATGCAGGGGTCCAGTTCGAGACCTGTGGTGAGGGGGCCTTGATCGTAGGTGATGAGGATGCCGTCGAGCTCGAGTATTGGAACCCCAGGTGTCTGGAGGAGGGCTGGTAGCTGGGCGCTGCCCGATTGTACTGCGCGATCTGATTCCCGTACGCAGTATTCTGCTGCATATACGGGGAGTAAGGGGGTACGTCGACGGGTGTATAGGGGAAACCGTATTCGTCTTTTGACCGCGTTTGCGACCCGGATATGCGTTTCGCGGGACTCTTCATGAGCTCTGCCGAGTCCATCGATATCTTCCTCTTCCTCGACGGATCCTGGTTCGCGGGATTCTCGCCCGAGAGCTCGCCATCCACGTAGGTAAAGTGGCCCACGTTTACCTTGGCAATCACATCGCCGTCCCCCGTTTCCATGAACATGGAGACCGGGACCTGGGCAGATGACCAACTCGTGGCTGAGAACTGGGGGACCTCTGTCGTAATCTGGTACTGACAAACACCCCCGTGCTGGCTCGCCTTCGTCACGGAGGCCCCGCATTTCCGTTGCCCAAACATCAAGAAGAAGACAGGAGAGTTGGTCGTAATCAGCTCGTACAGCGAAGTAATGTAGACAAAGATCTTGGTCCCCGGTGCACCTCTCGAGGGTGCGTAAGATGTGACCTGCGGGATCGGGGTTGATCCCACGTTGAGGTACGGCCCCGATTGATCATCATATTGGGTACGCGCCGGGTTAGAAGCGTACGCCATCTGTGTTATCTGAGGAGTATTCTGAAAAGACGGAGCGGTTGACGAGGGGACGGAAGACGCAGGTCCATAGCTAGGCGCGACATATGGAAAGGAGCTCTCCGGGAAGGTTCGACTAGCATCATAGCCTGAATCCCGAGTCAGCGAGGGAAGGAGTCCCGTTACATCACAACCACTTGACTGACCATGGAGCGGTGGCGGTTGTGGTTTCCCGTAGGCAGACATGGAAATGAGATCCGTTGGGGAATCTGCCCGGGCCACAAGGGCTCCCTCGTACCCTTCTTCGTGCAAAGCAACAGTCTCGGGCGACTCGTAGGTCTCGTCGAGTATGATAGGTCTATTAGAAGACAGGTGTTCAGGCTGCGAAGGGGTCAGTAAGGGACGAGGGCAGAACGTCCGGCGATCGTGAAGTTTCAAGACGGCCTCCGACTTACTTGGAACAGCCCTAGAGTTGAGTATGCCAGCTTGCCGGTATTCGAAGCAGTTTCGGGAGACCGGTCTAACAGATGACTCCTGGATCAGAGGTCCCGAGTCGGAGTGAGGCGCAAACGTAGGTATGAACAAGCGGTGAGATTCTTGTCATTTGCTCCATGGACAGCGCGAGGGTTCAAGAGTAAACAGCGCCGCCGTCGTACCTCAATGATCTTTCAACCAGTGATAAGCAGGGGAGAGAGGCCGTTGGTTGCGAAGGACGGAAACTCCTGTCAAGACTCGCAAGTGACGAGACTGTCTCTTCTAATATCTTAGAGTTCGGACGGGAGTCGAACTACGAGACGCCGAGAGTAAGTGATGGGGAGGGGGGGGGATACGTGAGCGGGCACGCGTTTAGCAGATGATATACTAGACGGCGGCTCCCCCAGAATAACCAACTAGTGATTAAGATTGCCGTGGTCTAGTATGGGTCGAGTCTCGGGAAGCTGAAACTAGAGGAGTGAGTAGTCCAAACCACGGTGCCTTTTTGCACTGTGAAGAAGGATGGGTCAGTTCCGGAGCAGCTTTCAACAAGGAGGAGAGAGAGAGGCCGTGGGAAGGAGGAGCAGCTGTAGACGGGAACGAGGTGAAGCACGTACCGATGGGGGGGAAAGACAAAGAATTGAAGCTTTTGACGTCCGACCAGACTGGACCGGGATCCCAGAGGTTATGCAGCCACCCGTGACGGCGAACCTGTTCGCATGGGATGTCAATATGGGTTCACGCTGTCATGATCATGCAGAAGAGAGAGCCGGTGACAAAGGGATCAAGAGGATCCTTTCGGGAACCGCGTGGTTGAAGGTTGTAGTGGTGTTAACCGGCAGAGGAGACGTGCGCATGCCGGATGAGGATCCAGGATGGGAAAAGACAGGGTTGAGGAGGGAGGAGGAGGAGGAGGAAGTGGGAGGGGGGGGGGTGGAGCGGGAGGGAGGGGGGGGGGTAAGAGGGCTCCAAGGACAAGACGTCGCGCAACAGGTGACTTTGACGGAGTTTATGTACAAGGATGCAAGGGAGAGAGAAGCTCGATGTATGTATGTGGGTAGATAGATAGATAGAGAGATAGATAGGGAGGGGGCAAGGCTTCACTTACGAGTCAGCAGCGGGTGGCAGGCGTGGGGACGGCGATGCAGCAGAAATGCGCCCCAGGCCCCCCGTCCGGGACTAGAGCGGCCCAGCACTAGAGTCTAGGACGACGGTTTAGACCCGTGCTAGGCAAACGGACAGCGGCAGCGAAAGACGACTGGGCGAGCCGATCTCGTGCGCGGGTGCGGGTTGGCTCTTGGCTCTTGGAAGCGGCGGCTGATGGGTCCGGAGAGTAGAGTGAGAGAGGTGAGAGTGAGTGAGAGAGAGAGAGAGAGAGTTCAGAGGTCTGTCTGTCTGTCTGTCTGCTCTGGGTCTGTCAGTCAAGTCACACGAAGCGAACGACTCGAAGGCGGCCCGCTCTGTCTGGTCTATGTGGTTTTTTAACTTTTGGGGATGGACTCCTTTTTCTTTTTTCTTCTTGCTCGGCTTTCCTCTCTCACCTTTTACTCTCTCAGGCTCAGGCTCGGGTCTCTTTGCTTTTCCTTTTTCTCGCTTTCTGGTTCCGGCAATTATTCCTTTTCCCCTTTTCTTTTCCCCTCGTGTTTTTCCCGGTAGAAGTTTCCGGTATAATGGCAGCTGTAAGGTGGTCAAGATCCAGGTTACGCCGGGAGATACCGCACGAGGAGGATCGCCGCGACTGAGCCCGTTGTCGCCGCGTCGTGCAGCGAGGCGCGCAGGATTGGGGAGAGAGGAACTGGTGCCTGACACGGCTCTGGTATAGATTGCGGCTCTCGCGTATGCGCTGCTGGTGAGTGAAGCTTCTCGAGCCTGGCGTTCACAGTAAGTAAGAAAGGCCGGTCTCCAGGAAGTGGCGGGCGAGGATTGTAGATGTAGAACTGGCACGAGCTGGTGGAAGACTGGCGACGGAGGAAGCGCTTATGCTGCGGTGCTCAGGAAGAAGCGTGGTGATGTCGAGGCCCGAGGTTCCAGTCCGAGGGGAAGCATCAGACGTTGGGATCGGATCTGTTCGCGGGGAGGACGTGCGGGTGGGAGTTGATTGATGTCGACGGGGGGAAGAGGCGTCGAGAGGCGGATCGAGGAAGAGGGAGCTGGCGGGCGTGGTGAAAGAGTCGTGGGGGATACCGAGACGACGGGAGGCAGAGGGCCAAGAGGACATGGACAGGCGCAATCCAGATGAAGATCAAGATTCCCGGTGCAGGAGCAGGCAAGAGATCAGAGATCAGAGATCAGTGATCAGTGATCACAGACATCAGATATCAATCAGTAGTAACCTTAGTCAAGCACCAAGAGGCGAGAGCTCCGCCGTCAAGGGCGATCAGTGCATTTCGCATATCCATGGGGGCGGGCACGAGAGGATAGCTTAGTTAGTAGTCGGGGGGCCAGGGGGGGGAGAGCAGGGCAGGGAAGCAGGGAAGCAGCCGGGAATCAGGGATGGGAGCCGTTATAGACTTGGAGATGTATGTATGATGCTGTTGTATGATATTGTATCCTGTTGTATCATCTGTTGTATCTCTCTCCTCTGTATCTTCTGTATCTTCCGTCTCCTGTTGTCCTCTCCATCCCGCTGTATCTCTCCTGTCTCCCCTCCCGTCCATCCACCGTACCGCAGTCATCGTCTGCAGCAGACGTTGCCGCCTCCACTGCCATGCCCACTACTCACTACCCGCTAGCCCCCTCTGCTCTACATCGCATACACATGTCCTCGCACACCTCTCGGTCGAGTGGTGCTTTTTCTCTTTCTTCTTTTTTTACTTCTTTTTTTTTCTCTTTCTTCTTTTTTTCTCTCTCCTCTCTCTCTCTCTTCTATTTCTTCTTTTTCTTTTTTTTTTTTCTTTTCTTTTTTCTTCTCTTTCTTCCTTTTCTTCTTTCTTCTCCCTCCCCTCGTGTCCTCGCCTGAGTCGACAAGCCCATCATCACCAGCGACTCCGCCCGACCATTTGCCCATCATTTGCCCATCCGCCCCCGCCGAACCGTGACCATCGACCGTGACCATCGAACCATGGCCGCCCGCGCTAACCTGATGCGGCCGCCAGCTCTGCCGCCCGGACCGCACTACCAGTGTCCTCGGCGCCCAGAGCGGCATAGCGGCCCGCCCGCCGTCTTCACCTTGCCCAGCTGGGACAACCAGGGGGGCCAGGGGGGCGCCCAGCGCGGTCTAGCGCAGCGATCCCATCCCCCCCCCCTGCCCGGTCGGTGGCGGTTGGACAGGGATCAGGGATTCAGGGGGGAGAGCGCGCGGTGAGGCGGCCGGGGCGAGCGCGCCGACTAGCGCCGAGGGAGGGGGGGAGGACTGCGAGAGGGCCTGAGTCGGGAGGACACGACGGTCAGGCACTGGCGGCTTCTGCTCTTTACTCTGTCGGGTGTAAGTAAGGTACCTTAGGGAGGATAGCGGGTGTGCCGAGTCTGGATGTGTATGGTGTATATACGAGAAGGCGCTTTCACCCGTTCATCCTAACGCCCATCACAAGAGAGTGTGGAATCAGTGGGATCAGTGGAATAAGTGGAATCAAGGAGGACGGCCGGTATCAAAGCCTCGACGTCGCCGTAACAATCCAATCCAATCCCATCCAATCCAATCCAATCCCATCCATCCCGCTGCAGCAGCCAACATCCATCCACGCCGTCGGGGTCGTCACGTCGTGCCACCGCCAGTCCCGCTGCCGGCAGCCTGCTCTAGTCAGGCGCTGCCGGCACTTGAGCAAGAGTGGAGCGGGGGGGATGGTCGTGCGTAATGATTTCCCGCCGTCTTTTACCATCTTATTGGTATCTACAAGGTCCTTGCCTCTTTGATTTTTATCGCCTTTTACCGAAGAGCATCATCATCAGCGGCATCACCATGGTAAATATGGATATAACTACCTAAAGTATAAATAAATATACATATAAAATCACAATGCTTGCTGTGCCATCGGAGTAATCATCCGAATCCTCTTCGCCATCTCATCGCATCGCATCGCATCGCAAACCCTGATATCATCCATCCCATCCCATCCCTCATCCCCCATCCTCAATTAAGATTCTCGATATTTAAATTTAATAGTGCCCTCCCCGATATACCCATACCCATACACCACACCCATACCCATATCCCTCCCCTACCCCTACCCCTACCCATCCATCCCATCCATCCCATCCTCCCATCCCATCCATCCCATCCTCCCATCCCATTCATCCATTCATCCACTCTACTACTACTGAGTCTACTACTACTCACGCAGCAGCAGCACGAAGATCCCTCACTCACTCACTCAACTCCTCCCACCCATGATCACAGATCATCACTCCCCTCCCCTCCCCTCCCTCGTACTAACCAACCCAACCCCAACCCCAACCCGTTCCCGGCCCCCCCGGCGCACCAGCACCATCAGCACGAGGCTCTCTCTCTCTCTCTCTCCACTCTTCACCTCCCCTACCTTACCTTACCTTACCTTACTTTACCGCCCCCGACCTCCCACCCTGCCGCCTCCGTAATCACTAAATCCCTTGTCCACCTTACTGTAGATTCGCCAAGCCGGTGGTAGGTCAATAATAGATAGATGGATATCTTGAGCTGGTTTTTTTGGGGAGAGGTGCTGGATGTAGACTTTTTTCGATATTTTTTTTTCTTTTTTCTTCTTTTTTTGATCTGGCTCTTGCGATGTAAATCACATCACATCACATCATATCACATTTATGATCCTATAGAGCAAGTTCGGTAGTGATTCCGATTCTACACAGCTTCTCCCCCCCCACCCAGGTAAAGGTAAACCAATCATCACGCTCTCTAATCCAATCCTCTCAGCTCGAGAGCTAAGATACGTACATGAAGGCATTCATTTATTCATTCCTACGAATTCCCAGTACCTAAGGTATACACCTACCCATGTCTCATCACTCATCACTCTTCACTCTATCTATCTCTCTCCCATCCCCATCCCCAGAAACCAAGCTCCCTTCCCCCCATCCCCCCCCCCCCTTCTCTCAAAAAGATAAAAATAAAAATAAAATAACCCACCAACCAAACCCAACCAAACCAACCAAACCCACTTACTTCTCTAATCTCCATCCTCGATCCTCGCTCGGTTCCCCTCTCCCGAAAGAAAGGATAATAAATAACATCATCTGCGTCAGACATTTATTATAATTATTCCGTGCCACGACGCACGAAAGACCGGCGGGCGCACCAACCAACTAACTAGGTAACACCGGGAGCGGACCGCGATCTTTTGGAGATTCTGGAACGTACCTAGGGATAGATCGAGATGAAATGAGATGAAATCTACGGTGATATTTAGAGAAGGGGGGGATCAAATATATTATTCCTTGGATAATACTGTACGAAGAGAGTGATTTTCTTCAAAAAATCCCAACATGCATCTATCTAATCTAAATCTTGCATACCTACCTACCTGAAGGACCTTACCTTGCTCTACCCGCAGCACATACATAATCGTTCCCGGCTGCGTGTCGATAGGCGCGCTCTATAGATAGGTTCATCATCTCGAGATGTCTGTCTTATGGGGTCGAATACCGACGAGTAACGAGAGCTTTATCCCGTCCCGTCCCATCCTCCTCTTCTCCAACCTAATAAATCGAGCTCTCTCTTTCCTCCCACTCGCTCCCTCAACACACCCACCACCCACCCATCCTCAAGCTCCTCCTACCTTACCTCGCACACACACACCACCGCCGATCCGGCACCTGTAGGCTGTCTGTACTCCGTACCTCCCTAAGCAAGGTAAGGTAGACTCCAGACTCCAGTAGCTTCAGTAGCTCCAGTAGCTCCAGTAGTAGACAGTAATAGCCATCCAGCCATCCAGCCAGCCAGCAAGCCAGCTGCAGGTCCCTCCCTCCCTCCCTCCCTCCCTCTCTCCCCAATCAACCACGACGCCCAGCCCAGACTCAGAGTGGAGCACGTCCCAACAAATGCAAAATGCAAATCAATCAAAAAGAGCGCGTCGGCGGCGTAAACGGCGCGTTCGTTTGCCGGTTTTTTGTCTGTCGGGATGGATGATGGATGCCTGAGGTTTGTTTATTTGGGGGGGGGGGATCATCGTGAGATGGGGAGGAAATGAAATGTGTGCATGGAATGGAAGGGGAGTTGTGTAGGTAGGAGAGGGAGAGAGATGGAAAGCTGAGGAAGGTTTTTGGCCTTTTTTTTTTTCTTGATGGGCTTTTTTTCATATGAAAGCTGCTCTTTTTTATTTCCATTTTTATGTTTCCGTCTTTCGTGTTTTCGCTACGAGAAAGAAAGACAGACAGAGGAGAGAGGTACACCTCTCCCCCCTCTCTCTCCCCCTCCCTCCCTACGATACCTAAATAACAATACAATCAATCAATCAATCTCCTCCCATCATCTATTCCCATGCCTTCTCTTTAATCAAACTACTACGCCTGCTACTCAAAGCGCCTACCTACCTACCTATCCAACTAACATATATTATCTCGGGCATACTCGGTTCCTGCATATGATCTCCTGCATATTTACTTTTCTCATTTCCCTCTATTGTCTTTCTTTCTTTCTCTTTCGCTTTCCTTCTTCGCGAAAATTACCTATCGGTGGTGTCTGTCGGTGTCTGTCCACCCAGCAACCGAACGATCGCGCGCGCGTCCCAGTCTCCAGAGGAGATTCCTCATCGACCAGGATCTGTCTCTTTCGAGATCCGGAAAAAAAAAAGACTCGAGATTTCCTGCTCTCTCTCTCTCTCTCTCTCTCTCTCTCTCTCTCGATCGATCGAATAGATTTGTTTGCTGATGAGGACTGACAAGACTTAACTCCCATTTTTTATGATAGAGTAGATATCGGTGGAATGAGAAGTATGGATGTCTGAGATGAGGAAAATGCTCGTGATTGATATCTGTTTCTTTCTCTCTCGTGTGCGTTGGTAGAACGGAAAAAGAAGTTTATGATTATTTATTTAGATCGCTGGTCTTTCTTTCATTCTTTCATTCATTTTCTCCATCATATTATTCATCCATCCATCCAACATCCCACAAACCCCCCTCAAAATCCTCCCTCCTAACCAATCACCTCTTCCCCTCCTCTCTCCCATTCTCTTCCCCGCTCTCGGAAAAGCTCACTCGATCGCTCGCTCGCTCCGCCACGCATCATGACAAATGCGCGGAGTACAGTACGCGGGGAGGAAGGATTGTGTACAGCATCGGGGCCGAGATGCTCCGACGGATATGCTCGCTGGAGCGTACAAGAATGTAATGTATATTTATATAATGCTGCTGACTGAGGAACGAGATGGGATGGGATGGGGATGTTGTATTTTTGGATACTTTATGTAAGATAGGTATGCATATGTATTTTGTGTATGTATGCGGGATTAGAAAAGTTAGTTGATGGGGAGATAGATAGATTGATAGATTGATAGATTGATAGATAGATGTTCAGCAGCTCAAGGATATCTATCTACCTTACATAAGGTAGGTAAGGTACCTTACATACCTTAGCTAAGGTAAGCTACCTTATCGACTTACCTTAGGTACATACTATCTATTGACAGCTAACAATCCAGCTATTTCCCAGTAGTACCTAGGTACTCTATAAATCTATAAAAAGAGAGAAAAATAAAGAAATAACTCACTCAACTCAGCTCTTCCTCTCTTTATTTCTTCTTCCTTTCTTTTCCCAAAAAATACCCAGCAACCAGCAGCCAGCAGCCACACACACAACAACACGACTCATTAACCACATACATAAATACATACATACCTTACCTAACCTAACCTAACCTACATAATCCCCTGCGTAATCTCCGCCCCCCCCATCCCCCATCCATCCATCCATCACGAACGACACGGCACGGCACGGCACGGCAAAGCAAGGCAAGACAAGCCGCAGCTGAGTCGGCGCCCACGATCGGAAGCTGCCGAGAGAGCTGGACGGGCGCGGCTTTTCAGCAGCGCCGAAAATTGGTGTGGTGTGGTGCGGGGCCGGAGGGGCGGGACTGAGTGGTTCGCGGGGGGATTTTGATTTCTGGGGTTTTTTATTGGGGAAGAGAGAGGGGGGTATATATTATTTTGGATTTTTTTTTTTCTTTTCTAGGATCGGTATTAGCATCATCATCATCGTCATTCTTCTTCTTCGTTGTTTTAATTGATATATACCTAGATAAAGAAGAAGAAAAATAATACCTTTATTATTTTCTCATAATTCCTGAACCCCTCCCCCCCTTCTTTCTTCCCTTTCCAACCTCGCGACATGCTTCTATACAGACCACTATATCCAACCCATCCCATCCCATCCTCTTTAATCAACAACAACACCATAATATTCAGCTACCTATCTATACCTCACAGCCCCATTCTCCCCCCCAGAAACTTCTATACCCCATGGTCCCCATCCCACGGTGCGGCTGCCTGACCCGAAAATCTGCACCCCGGTGTCCGAACCCCTCGCATGTCGGGTCTTCTGCATTTTTCATGCATGACATATATACTGTATATCGCCGGTTAGTTGGTTTGTTAGCTGGTTTGTTAGCTGGTTGGTTAGCTGAAGATTTGAAGGAAGGGAGAAATCTGATATATATGAATAATCCCTATCTATATCAGTGATCCATCTTCATAACACCCTATTGATCGCTTTCCTTTCATACCTTACCCCTTACATAGGTACGTTACATACATGTATGTACCTTATATGTACCTACTTATCTAAACCTTCCGATCCCATCCCATCCCATCCCATCTCCGCCCCCCCAAAAAATCCAAGCCAAGAAAACAAGCAAGCCAAAAAACAAGAAACGACAAAAAAGACAGTGTATGTATGTATGTATGTGAACCATGCATTACTGTCTTATACACATACATCTTACCTTGGTGTTCGGATCACGGCTAGGATTCCGATTTCTTGAAACCGTTTTGAGGGTTCGTTTTTTGCGGTTTTTTTAAAGAAGTGTGGGGAGGGGGGGGGTTAATCACGTTACACGTAGATAATCTGATAAGTGATAGTAGAGTAGTAGAGGATGATGATGATGGGGAGTGTACTTACTTATCTAGGTATCTAGACATCTATCTATCTACGTACCTATCAATCAATCTATTATCGACAAAGCACCCTCCCCTCTCTCTCTCTCTCTCGAGGGGCCCAGTGATTCTAGATTTTTCTATCCCTGCTACATACATACATCTACATACATACGTATATATCTAGACTTGGGATAGATGTCATCATAGGAAAATTGATTGATAGACGAATGTAGATTTGAATTAATGGATCAATCAACTAATTCCCTATCCAAGCATGCAGAAACAAGAAATATAAAAATAAACAAATAAATGGGAAATAGAAAATAAAACACGACAGATAAGGTATTTACTTTACAAGGTCCCTTTCCTCCTGAACACCCTGCTTGTTCTCTGCGTGTAACATATGACGATCGGGGGCTAGAGCCTGGGTATGAACACGAAGAGTAGAAAAAAAACTCGTATCTAAAGCCTGAGGTTTATTTATGATTCTTTTATTGTCTTTTCAAAAACTGCTTGGCTTTGAATATTTGTCTGCATTGTAAGTTGGATGTTTGGTAAGGTGAGGTCCTAGGAGTTCAGATATTAAGGGGGGGAGGTTTCGTCTCCTATTTTCTAGGCGAGGGATGATCAGTTGCATACAACCCTTCCTACAATATACCGCTCCACGTATCTTATCTCTAGAATTATTAGTACTTGAAACAAATATTTACGACATTTTGAATCATAGAAGAAGATAGGAGAATAGCATATACATATGTATAGAGAAGTAACTCTCTCCCTACACCCCTAAATAAAACCCCGCCTCCGAACACTAGGCGAAACACATCTATCTCATGTCTCTATATACCACCGAACGCTGACTCGCGCTACATACCCCTGAATCCAAACAAGGAAGCCGTGTCTTCTAGCCCCAACTTGAAAACAGGTAAGAGAGGAGACGGAGGGGCGCCGGGCTCGTATCAGCGTGAGAACCCCCTGAAACATCAAGGACCGCCCGACCTTCTCTTTTCGAGACTAGATGGAGAAGCAGGAGATGATAGAACCTTGATTTGTGAGTGCTGCTGCGGGCGGGGAATGTGTGTGCATGTCCGTCTGAGACGTGGGGGTCTTGGGGGAGCGCTGCATTGCGGTTTCGGGGCAGCTGCGAGGAGGTGGAGTGCTTCTTTCTATCTCTAGGGCTGGTGAATGGTATGGTAGGGCTTGCGAAGTGTTGCTGTGTCTCGGTAAGTGTGGCGATATCTAGGCAGGCCCTTGACTCACCCCTCTCTTGATGCTTCAACGCTTGGCCCAGATCAGACAAACCCCAGTTTCAATCCAAATCATTCGGGGTCTTGGCGCTAGAAGTCCTGACTCCCGCTGGATCGGCCCGGATTGAGAGAGATCCGCACCAGCATGGGACGGTTTGGATGTGGCTTCTCCTCGGGGTTGGTGGGTTCGGGGGTGGTTTCGGGGGTTGATGGCCCCCCTCCTCCTCTTTTCTCGAGAAAGTCTTGCCACATCGAAATCACAGTCTCCCCCGCCAAATCAATTGAGATGATTTCTTTCTGATATAGTCATCGGTATTGTGAAGTACGATAGGCTGCGTGGCTGGGATTATTCGATTCCTCATGCGGACACGCTTCTGGGGTCCAGGGCTATCTATCTCTTGAGGGGCATCTACCAACCTCAAGAGATAACGTGAAGAACAAGATTCTTGTCATCTCCAATAATGAACCCAAGGTTTGTTAGTAAGGAGGCTGTTACTTCTATCGGTAGACTTGGCCTTGCTACGGGTGTAGGTATTTCACCCTTCTCTGCTTCCTGGGAATGCTGAGGCTGATCACTTTTGAACTGCAGACCCCATACTTCGTCGCATACACAGAAGAGACGTGGAAACGACAGAACGACGAATGATCCATTAATAAAGATCTATATTGATGGATAGAAAGACATGCTGCGTAGGTGGATACGAACGGATACTTTAGTTTGAGAAGAGAAGGAAGAGAAAAAGGGGAAGAATAAAGGAGGGGGAGAAAACGAACTCTTAGACCCAGTTTATGGGACTAGAGTGTAAATAGCACCAACATTATGCGTCCAATAGACAAGAACAATTAACTCTGCTACTTGCTTTTACACCCGCTGCCAGAATACAAGGAAGTGAATACTGAACCTGAAATAACGAAAGGTCCATTGGTATGCCAAGGATATTCTGGGCAAGTAATGATGCCACGAAAGGAATAAAGAGATATAAGGCAGAGGTAAGGATAGGGACGGACAGTGTTTAGAAGATGGTTTTGATGTCCTGGAGGACGACTGCTGGATAATATATAGGAGACTGGGGATGAGACGAATAGTTGGAACTGACACACTGATGCCAGCTTGTATCGTTGGAACCTCTTAGAACTAGAATAAGAGAAAGGAGACAAACAGCAATCAGTATTAGGGCACCGAGAGAGAATGAAGGATGGGGGTTCGAGAGACAGCTGTTGTACCGGATGATGGGGCGACGAAGTGGATAAAGGCGATGGCTCCCGAGATCTCTGAGGGGGTTGAGCCATAGAAGCAATAACGTGGAATGTGCTTCTAGTGTTCTCTTTAAATGCTATGGTCTGCGACGATCTTTATATCCAAATCGAGATTTGTCCGGTGACATGCTTGGGTTTAGAGAGTGGAAGAGAAACCGGGAGGCTCGAGATAGAAAAAGACGTTGATAAGAAGAACGAGAAGATGAAGTGCGAAGAATCTTCTATATTGGTGCTGAATCCAATGTACCGGAACCTCCGAGGATGGAGAAGACTCCCAATGCAACACTATTGACAGACTGCAAAAGTCAGCAGATATCGTCCACGCCTGATCGCCTCTAACTTACAGCTAGTAGAATTGTCTATGCTAGAGATAGCCCAATGCTGACAATACAGTAAGCCCCGAAGGCCGACTATCTTCTCATTTTGTCCATAACATATCCAGCACCAATCGATGAAGAAGGAAATTGATGAAAAAGGAGGTCCTATAAGTGTAGAAGTGTCCGAGCTATACAGATAAAGATCGTGGCGGATTTTGGTGAAAGACGCGAATTTGAAGCTACCGGCAGAGGACTAGGATAGTTTAGCAATGTGGTCCAGGTTCTGGAGGCTGAAACTCACAAAGTACTCAGATCAAACCACCAGCCGCAAGCTCTGCAATCAAGTCCCTGTGTTGAAGTTGATCTGTCACCGACAAAATTGACACAATCTGCAGAGCAACTTCATGGCCCTCCTCCAAAAACATAGCCTTGGCAAACTCGTAAAGACCAGCCTGGTCTACAGGAGGGATCGCATATATCATACTCCGGATGATGTCCTGATCATAGCCAGTCATCCTCCACATGTATAGGATCAGATAGAACATAGCTTCCGGCACGTATGCAGCAAGAGGTGCAGCGTGCAAACCCATCTCCTGTACCTCATCATATAGGCCTGGGGAGACTCCTCCATCTCGACCAAAAAGCTTGCTCAGAGCTTCGAAAAACTCCAGGGTCTGCCTAAGTTCGTCGAAGAGCAACCCCTCGTCTCCGGTACGCCAGGCATCTCTCAATCTCTCGACCCGAAGGGTGAACATCTGGTCGTAATTCCCACCACGGTGGTTAGGACAGCCTCTAGTATGCCTAGGCCAGTTCAGAGCTCGATATTTCAGCCACTCTATGGCTTGATTAGAGGTCTCATATTCGTCGGGCGACTCATACGGTCGTCCAAGGACATCTCCAGCACCTAAGACTCGATTCCCCAGCATTCGAGCCCGGTTCATACCGGCAGGCCACAGATTTGAGAGCCGTCGTTGGGAGATTTGAAATGGCCCCGTTTGCGAGAGTATTGTCATCGGAACGCGATGGGCGTCATCCCTTCGTTTGACCAGGCTGACGGAGTTGCAACAACCAGCACGACCCCGGGAATATTTTCGTCCTCCGCATGTTGGGCAGTACATGATTATGATGGTGATGCTGGATTCCACGGAGACTTGGTGGTTACGAGACAAAGCCTTGGGGTTGACCAGGTATATATACCCCGATAGCATGGGTGTGACAGAGCTGCTGGCAGTATCCTGAGAGGAAAGATCACACCAGAGCCTTATACTACAGGTAACTTCCAAAGGCATCAGTTGGATACTCACGTGTTCCGTGGCGCCCTCCCTGTGCAGATATTCTGCAGCTTTCCGTCGTAACACTGACCCATACGGGGTATGGCTGGTCAGCACTGATGGAATATGTGTTGGGACGAGCCCCAAAAACTCATAGGATCTCAGCAGTCAATAAAAGTATCTTCAGGGACCCCAGTGATCACAGCATCAATCTCTCAACCGCCCGGATTGATGTATGTAACGATAAAAGTTCCGAGAAGAAAACGCGTGTGGGAAAGAATGAGGCGGCTGGCATGAGGATCTGGCCACTTGAGCAGAGAAAGAACCACAAACACCCATATCTGGAATATATATGCGAACGAAATGCAATCTCTGCGTCTGTCGTGCTATGAATGAATGACTGCCTCGCGCCAAGGAGGGGGGTTGCAAACTGCGAACCGCTGGCCAACCAATCTGCCGCCCACGAACCACAGCAAGACAACAGAAGCAAACAACACATCTGCAGACATGCATGGATCAACTGGGCACATGCTGATGCCTACCTTCTGTAGTGCTTTTGACTGCCTGATGGGCTTGCAGACATCTTGGAGAGTTGGAGTTGGGCGTCCATGAAAAGGCTGTGATCAGCACTGTGTGATGGTCACCTCATCCATGCTTCTAGGAGAACTCATGTCATGCTCAATCGGCCATCTCCGGTGTCCGAACATATGGAAAAGTTTGCCCAAAATACGGATGGACCAGATATAGGCCTCCGGATGTGAGGATATATTTCCGTGCACGTACCATCGGTCAGCGGCAAAACTTTAAACCGACGACATGCCTTGAAACTCGATCGAAGATTTGGACCTATCAAACCTAGATCCTGCAAGAAACCCGTTTGAGCGGAGACGTGAATGAGGCCATAGTTGACTCTCAAGTAATGATACACATGGCAGTCTTTATTACAAGAAGCTGGATGCAATTTTTACAAGATATATGAACCAATCCCCGGTGAGAAATGAGGCAAGTGCTCATTGCACTTTGTGCTATAATTTCGAAACAATTGCATTTTGGCCTCTATCCTCGAGACTATTTCTCCCAAAAATCATAGTAAATTTCAGAATGCCTCCGTTTCTCCCAATCTTCTCCGCAATCCATCTATTTTGCCGACTCTTTCTTGCTTGTCCCATCTTCGTCGACATCATCCCTATAAATATCCTGCCAGTACATCTCATCGCAGGACTCTTCTTCCCTGTCAACCTTGCCTTCATAAAAGTCTACCTCAGAAAGATTTTCAGTGTACATATCATTGTCAGAGGCGTCTCCCTCGACTAATTCTTCCTCCCACATTTCCTCTTCAGGCCCTTCTCTCAAGCGGTCAGACTTCTCCTGGCGTTCCTTGGCTCGATCCAGTTTTTCCTGTTTATGCCCATCTCGGTCTTCATCTAGTCTCTTTTCTCGAATATCATTTCCTGCCGTAGCCAGCTTGGACCAGCCATGCTGAGCTCGGCTTCGAATATTACCCACCTTCATAGATCTGGGATGCACCTTGTGAGTATATGTTGTTGAAGGCATGATCAGTAGTACGTTTTATATATGATCGACGTTGAGTTCTGATCCTTTGGTATGGCTCTTGTGGAAGTTGTAGCGTCAATGTGAGTAGAATGATGAGGGCTTGATATCGGCAGACTCGAGAGAATTTATACGGTTATACCCATTGGAAAGCCTGGCGCACGGAGTCTACTCTGAGACCCGCGCCAGATCTTGCCTTGTCCTCGACAAGGACAATAACCATTGTTCTTTCCCTCTTATCACGGAGATAGAAGACTATCAAAGCTTGCTCAGCCGCCAGTACTCAACACTGCCATTGTACTGGCTATTCGCTAACAAACAATAATCATTCATGTCCCTCCATTTCTTTATCTGCCAAAGTCACAGTTTGAAACATCATGGCTTGATACGTCCTCGGGGTGAGACTCCTGCCTGCTGATTTGCCGCGATTGGTCCAGTGGGGAGAGCTTGTAGGATACCGAACCTTTGTTCGAGTTTCCCATAGTCCCTGAGTCGCCCACCGGACATCCAGAATGTACGAGCAGAAGCTCTTCTCAGGAAGATTGTTGGCTACGGAAAGGGTTGAGGTTGCCGAGCATCCCTGTGCAAATTTTTGGGATTCCAAGTCGTTAGGCTAGACAGAATATTTAAGAGGGAACGCGGAAGATTTGAGGAATCTCGTTAGGAAAGGATGAACTATCACGATGTATGTTCAACTCCCCTACTCTTTAGAAGTATATCCTGCTGACTTGACTACTGCATGCGATACCATATTTTCTCCCGTCTCTTCCAACGTTGACAGAAACTCAGCGAGACGAAATAGAGGTCCATCTGTGGGTCTGGGAAACCATCCGTTCGAAAACCACAGAAAATCCGTATGGTGACCAACGGGTTGTCTTTGTAGTCGTCATCGCTTCCGTCTCTTAATATATCGTGCCAACTGCCACGATATCACCCGGTTGCTCTAAGCACGACTTCCGGAGAAGAGGAATTGCGAGGCCGATGAGGTACGCATATCGAGTCCTGCACACAAACTCGACTGGATTTCCAGAGCAGGGCTCCCCAGAAAAGGGATTAAGACGGGTATGTGCAAATTCGAGAATAGCTGGTGCTAATATCATACTCCTACGGTCGGTTTTCTTGGGTCAATAAGTCTTATATTGTGGATGGCAAGCATGGAAACATAGGTACAAGAGGTAACCCCATTCATGCCTCTACCCCTACAAGCACCCTCGGAGAATTGGCCAAGGAGAATATGGACGCCGCTCTTCGTCCAAACAGCATCGACCGACGAAGACTCCGATGGCATATTTGCTGATCCGGAGACATTGACAAGCCCACAAAGGAGCACAGAACGAATCTGAAAATACAAAGAATAGATTGGGAATCCTGTTGCCAGGCGAGCTGCTGATGCAGATCGTGTTAGGGTACTGCCAAAACGAAAGTCACTAGGTAATAGAAAGGCAGGCCGGGCGAATGGGAGTTCATCCGATCATATGTGTTGTGGTGAGGTTGGTAGAGTCTCATCGTTTAATGACTTCCTCGTCCTCCCTTCTGTTGCAGGAATAGACATTGACTAACCTGAAATACAGAATGCACTATAACTTCGAAGCACAGCATGGGCGTGATGTCGACTCCTTTGGGGGAAAAAAGAGGAATCCAGTCTTGGTGAGCAATAATCCCTAAAACCGCGAGGTTGACTTCCTAATACCTAAGAATCATCACGAAGGTCCGCATGTGATATGGATCGCACTGTAATTTGGAGCTTGAATATTCAACATTCGGAGACATGCTCTATATTCTGCAATATTATATATAGGCAACGACCACATCCTCCAACTTTCACACTCACGTACTGTGGGAGATTTCATCACGCTGAGCCGCAACACCTTTCTCACTCGTCGCGATATCCTCTGCCTCTGTTGCTTCCCTTTCACGGATTCTCTGCAAGGCGGCTTCAATCGTCTCGTGTCCCGCCGCTTCACCCATATCTGAGTCTTCTCTGATATCGAAGCTCCTCTGCAGATACTCGGGTCCGACGAAGGCGAGGAGGACTACATACGCATAGACACAGCCCATGAAGATGCACATGACAAGACTGTACTTGTAGCGCTCGGTTGTGCCTTTTGGAGGGAGAGGGAAGCGAGCGCCAATGGTAGACTCGATGGTTGATGAGGCGGAAGACACGAGATTGCCAAGTTGGTATGCAGATCCGACGACGAATGTGCGGAAGGAGCCGGGAGAGAGCTCCATGAGATGGATAGGGATAACTCCCCATGCGCCCTGGACGCAGAATTGCTCGAAGAAAGCTGCTGCGATAATTCCCTTGTTGGAGGTGAAGGTGTAAGGGTAGAGAAGCGCTCCCCCAATGACGCAGATGAAGATGATTGAGAATCTTCTTCCAAAGATTTGCGAACAGTATCCGACCACGGTTCCTCCGGTCATCGCTCCCAAGTTCGCTACAACTTGTGTCACAGTGACAGCATTGGCACTGAAATTGTATTGATTGGTCAACATTGTTGGATAGAGATCCTGAGAACCATGAGACTACAGAGTGTAAGCATTACTCCAAAATAAAATCTGATGAATACTTACCATAAAGTTAAACCCGGCCATCAAAAGCACCAGATAGATCAACAGAAGCCAGTGTCTCTTAAGAGCGACTTTTCCTTCCGCAATAAAGGTTGCACTTATGTCACCCCTCTCAGTTCGCACCAGGTCACGTTCTATGTAGGCATCGGTTTCCGGCAAGCACAGTCGGAAAATGATGAACAGGACAGGAGGACAGGCACCGAACCAGTAAAGTGGGCGCCACCCGTGAGAGGTAGTATTGACGAGAGCTCTAGCAAAAGCCGTTGCAAGGAGATAACCAAACGCATAACCCTGTTGCAGCATGCCCGAGACCACACCACGAGCCTCCTCTGGGCAATCTTCGAGTGCAGTCGCCGCGACATTGCCATAGAGCCCACCCATTGCAACACCGAACAGAGCTCGGCAAGCGAGAAACTGTTTGTAGGTCTGGCAAAACCCGGTGCCGAGTTCGAGCACAATGAAGAGGACATTGTTGACAACAAAGGGCCACTTCCGCCCGTAACGATCGGCGGCGATACCAAAGACGATGGAGCCGACGGATCGGAACATCAGCACTAATGTGATGCCCCATGTTATTTGTGTATTGCTTTTGTCGAATGTCTTCCCCAAATCTCCGACTGTCAAACTGACACTGAAGAAATCAAAGGCATCCCAGGTCTGCATGAAGTCAGCAACTGCCCGCACATTACACAAAGCTTGAGACCTACCCATGAGAGGAAGGCAACCAAGAAGAATAGCCACTGCTTCCCATTCAGCATCGCAAGAAGCTTGATTGGGTTTGGGGCCTTGTTCATTGGAGGCTTGAGAGTCGACAGCCGCGTTAAAGCATACTCCTTGATGGTCATCTCAGGTGGGGGCTGGGATTCGGGCATTGCCTCCTCAGGGTTTGCAGCCGCGACCTTCTGGTCGGTGGCATGGTGGTCTGCCATTTTGGGCTGCTTCCTGAAGAACGTGTAAAACTGCAGAGAATATCAGTACCACGACAGAAGATGCGATCGACTTATACTTATTATGACTGCGGATCAGATGGACCAACAGACTTAGGGTTTGCCGACGGTGCGGGGTAGGTACAGTAATGGAATTGGACTCTGGCTTACCTGCCCTGTCGTACCCTGTGTCCCTATATTCGTTGTGTTCCGCGCGCTTGGGCTAGAGCTTACAACGAGGCCAGTTGCTACGGTCCACAGACTGGAGAGAACACAGCAAAGGAAACGATATCGGAGACACTGTCTACCCGAGTACTTATCAACATCATCTTGATCGGCCTCGACATTTCATCGGCGAATGTTTTTTGACCGGAGTATGTCCGTAGTCAACTGCGTGCGGCGTTGCCAGCATGGATCACCATACGAATAGTGCAAAGTCTGGCAGTAAGTCCCCGCCATGCAGACAAGCTTCTGACCAGTTAGCTGCCGTTAGATGGCTGGAGGCTTAAGCCGCTCCGCGTTGTGGCTTGCAAAGTTCCCTACCCCTTGCTCCCCCACCGACAATCCAGGTCTGCGCACCAATCATTATACGGGGGTGTTGGTTCTCCATGGGGATCAAGAAGGATCAAGAAAACCTAGAAAAGTGAAGTTTTCCCTCGCTTGACTACTGTATGAATCTTGATCAACGCTGATCTTTCTAACCTAGACTTCAGATTCTAGTTCCTACAGCTTCGATTTTAGGCATTTAAGCATCTGTACAAGACCTCTCTTCCTAAGCTTTGAAAACCGATGCACAATAGATCCAAAGCGGTATTATCAGCACCCGTGCCTCCTGGTGCTCACCGCCTCTCCCATATGAATCGCGAAGTGTGAATCACTCATGAGTCAATCATCTAACCCAACTTTTCAAACGAGGAGACTCTACCTAAGTCTACCACCATTTTCCCGCTGCCGTATTTCCCACCGGGGTATTCGTTGATAGGAAAGCCAAGCAAGCCAAGCCTTCTCTATTACATGTCACAACTCCAAGTCCATAGTTCAAGCTTCCGCACGGCCGACAGTACATAAGCGATGGTATATACGGAGTAAGCCGTGGACTCTGGAGATACAGATTCCTACCCCAACTCCACTTTCTCAACTGTCAACATCACGGAAGAAGTCACCCGACAGACAGACAGCGCCTCGAGTAATAAGAATCTAGATACAAAATGTTTCCCCATCCTCCCTAAAGCCTTCCCTATATCGGAGATTAAGTATAACAAAGTAAACATCTTTTTCTCACTACCAAATTCTACTTTTTCATTTCCTCTTTTTTTTTTCTCGCTGTCATCCATCCATCCCCGCGCGTAGATCCTTGTTCACCTCGTCCCCATTCCCCACCTTTGACTCCAGAGTTGATATCTTCTATATCAGGTGATCCACGTCCTAGAAATTTAGCTCTATCAAACCCCTCCCTCAAACTTTTCATCACACTTTCAGTGCGCTTCTTTGGTTGGAACTGTATCACATTGTTCTACAGCGAGGGCGCTATGTGGTGGCTTTTAGAAGGCGCGCCAACCTCCCTCGAATTCATGTATTTATCACGATATTACGAGTATGATCTAGCACGTCTCAGAAGACGAAGACACATGGATGGAGGAGAATACTTTAGTATCTCTTGAAATATAGATGCTCCCGCCAACAACCCCTGGTCCTGGAACGATGACTTAATGGGCGTCGACCTAGACTCGTTTCCTACCCACTACTATAGTTCGATAGGAAAAGACCCAGATGAACCTTAATGATGAAGACCGGCTTCCCCTTGCTTGCGGCTCTTGGGCGTTCCAAATCCTAATTGAGGCGCTTACTCGTTTTGTCTTCATCTGCTTCCGCTGAGCCTAGTTGGAATCGCATTTTCCTTCTATCCTCGGCATTCCCCTTAGCATTAGTCGACTCCTTCATACCTAGATACCAAGTAGGTTAGGTAGGTAAGGTAGGTAGGTACCTAGATACCGTCCAGGTCTTCCAGTCTTAGAACAAGAAGCTCGAAAAAGGAAACATGTCAACAAACAGCCTATGTTACCATAGTACTCCATGCTGGTGTATCGGTAACATTTCCGCCTCTCATGTGCTCGCACAGATAGTTCGCGGTAGCGCAGGGTTCGACTCCCTGGCATGGAATCTTCTATTTTTTTCCCTTTTTTTCCTTTTTCTCAATGTCTTCTTTTGATCTTTTTCTTTATCCTTTTCTTTTTCTCTATCTCGCCCTTTCTTTTCCTACCTCCGTATTGGAGCCATGCCATTTTTCTCATTTTTTCTCCTCGTAATCATAATGGGGGCGGCGTCGCAGTGCATTCTTATCGTCTCCTCGCCGTGACATACTATATGGTTGCTAATTTATTATTGCCACTTTATAAAAACCCAATTCAACATACATCCCTATTTTCTTACAGTAAGCTAGCTACACGGCACGAACATGCTAACCTCGTCGTCGATTCTCCCAAACTGTTAAAAGATTGACGGTCCGCCAAATTCAAGTTGATCCATTGCGACTCCGAACATACGCCGTGCCGAACAAGAAATACGGGGGGTGACTTCAGACGGACCTGGATTATGGAGCCAAAGCTTTCTGTGAAGATATTTTTGCAGGAAGGGCGCGGCCTCAAGAGCCTCCTAGGGCGCGTCTTAAACCCATCGCTCGACGGCACCCAATAGAACGGGACGGGTAGTTGAACAACCAGATCCAGAAACTTAAATACAGATATGGTGTGATATCCAGCAGACGAGTCTCGTAAAGAAAAAGCAGAGCTTTTAATGACTATCCCTCCAACTGGGAGAGAGATAGTGGAAGATGGATAGAATATAAGCGTGGAAGCTACTGATTCTTTCAGAGCCATTCATTCATTATCTGTAAATTGAAAAAACTGGAACAATGGATCGTGAAACCCGTAATTTATTTACATATTCAGACTCATAACTCATGATCAGCCATCCTACTTCGAGTTTCTCTGCGCCAACGCATACGCTACGGCCGGGACTTCCTCGTCCTCCCGCAGGATCGGGGGTTGGGGACCGACGGGAGTGATGCTGAAGGGGTTGATCTGCGAAACTTAGTTTTCTATACATATGCGGACTGGGAGGTGATTAGGGACTTACCTGGGTGTGGCTCTTGGTATAATGCCGCATGATATGCGTAAACTCGGTCGTGTCTTTGAAGGCTGGGACATTCCAATACAAGTGTCTTAGCCATTTATGGATATGCGGGTATCCGCTGCGGATATCCCTGATATTCGTCTGTAGGAATCCTTAATTAGCCATCATGCATTGCGCTTACTTCTACTGGACTTCAAACAAGGAGATATATGTACCTTGAAATGCTGCACGTAAACAGGGTCAAATCGGATCAGCGTGGGGTAGAGCCTGATGTCAGCCTCCGTGATCTCCTTCCCGTAGTAATACGGACCCTCTTTCGACTCCGCGAAATGTTTCTCTATTCTGTCGAGGGATTTGAAGAGGGGCACCACGGCCTTCTCGTGGGCTTCTTGAGTCGTGGCGAATCCGGAGCGGTACACCCCGTTGTTTATATCGTTGTACGTCCATTCGTTCGTTTCCTCGATTTGCTTCTGCAGGTTCTCCGGGAACAGGTTGACGTTCTTGTATTTCTCCGGGAGGAGATCATCAAACTATTCAAAATCTCAGTCATGGTTCCCCTCGGATGTCATCTGGGAAAAGAGAGTAACGGACCTCAGTGTAGAACATCCGAATAATCTCACTGCTCTCATTGCTGACAATCTTCTTCTGCTTAACATCGTACAGCGTCGGCACCGTGAACCGCCCCTTATACTCAGGATCCACAGAGAAGTAAATATCTCTCAGATGCGTAAATTTGTTCACCGGGTCCGGCGTTACGTTCTCGCCCGGCGCATCTGTATCCTCTGGTGTCGCGAATCGCCAACCTTTCTCCTGCATATGCCAATGAACACTGGTATATGGTATGATATCCTCGAGGCCTTTGAGTTGGCGCACGATAAGCGTACGGTGTGCCCAGGGACAGGCATAGGAGACCTGTTTTCGAAGAGGTTAGCAGGGAGGGTGAAGGTGGGGGAGGGTCACAAACATAGAGGTGGTATCGGCCTTTCTCTGGGGGAAACTCGCCACCTTTCTTGATGAAGTTGCGGAATTGTGATTGCCCTCTCTTGAACTCGCCCGTTTTGTCGTTGGGCGCTACCCAGTTCGTGATCTTGTCCGCGGCCTGCGATAAATATGTTAGCTATTACCCCGCTGTGGACCGCGGGGAAGCGCGCACCATTTTTGCGGAGTTATTTGAAGAGAAGAGTCGAGTGCTTGATTTCAGGTATACACCGAGCTGCGCAGATAGATGCTGCACTCGAGAAAGCATGAACAAGTCAGAGGGCTTCGTAGGTTTTATGGTGTTGTTGAAGGTCAAGAAGGGATTCTACTGTACATAACTTAAAGCTATCGATTGGTGCTAGAGTGCTTGCTAATGATGACGCGAGGCTATTCAAATTCCAACCCCTGCAAGGACATTACTAAGGATCGATTGATCAACCTCGAGCACGATGCGGATCAAATTCACATGGCATAGAAAGTATATTTCTATTTTACTACTCTTCGCAACTTCAGACTGCGCGAGTGAGTTTCCCGTCTAGTTCTCGTAAACCCCAAAGCGTTCCCCATAAAAAGACAAGCCTGCCGTCATCATTTTGTAATCATCCCTCATCTATGCCATCTTCATCATGATGTAAGGAACCTCAACGTCCTCTCCCGTCGTATCCTCCGCAACAATCTCAAAAATAACATTCTTTTGATGCGCTGGAATTGGCTTCTTTGAAACAGAGGCGACGAGTTCGCTCAGTTTTTGGCCATATCGATCTGCGAGCTTCGCGGGTGGGAAGAAGCTGGCATACAAAAGACTGACCCCGGAGCTCAACATGGTGATTGACAGTCCCTTCTCATCGAAGAGGTCAATAAGTTCTTGCAACGTGATGTCTGCGACTTCAAATCGATCCCATAACTTGTCGAGCGACACATCCCCGTTCTTGCCCTTGTACACAACCTTCTCACTACTGATAGGCTCGCTGAAGCCAAAGAATGGCAATGCAAGGTTGACAAAGCCGTTCTTGTATTGTTCAATGTCTTTCTTGCCATCCAAGACCTTGTAGAGTTCGAGGATAACCAACCCGGTGACAAGAGCTGTGGTCGTAGCAATGGCGGGGATAATTTTGCCTGCAATGAACTTGGTCTTATGTCTATCTGCAAGCTCAATCTTGTAGTTTTCCGCTCTCAAATTGCTTGCTGCCGTAATGAAATCGATGTGATAGTTGGTATCATCGTCTTTTTCGAACTCGACAGGCTGGAGCTTGAAACCGGCCAGCGTCTTTGGAGATGGAAGCTTGTTAATAATCTCTTGAAGTTCGGTGCTGTCATCGAAATTGGAGGAGTTTGCATTTGGATCCTGATACTGTTAGTATTTATCTCAGATACGTATAGAGGCATACTTACGGGCTCGCTATCGTCGGCTTGAATCTTGACGGATGCATTAGGCGAGAAGTCAGGAATGATCATGTTATCCAGGACTTTTTGTATGGTAGCTGCGTCCGCGCCCTTCGTGTTGATGCCATAGTTGTAAGCATGAAGATTGGTGCCAGCAACGATGAATTTCCAATGAAACTCGTTTTGGGGGTCGAATTTTAATGGATCAGGAGCACGCTTAGGTCCAGACCAGAAAGGGGTGCCACTTGAGGTTGTTGAATCTTTGGGGAAGTTATACAGCAACTGCTGGATCGCGTTATTGTACTGCTTCTCGAATTGAAGACGAGCCCACTTGATGCAATCCTCAACACTGAGAGGCTTGTCCTCGACCAAGAAATCCCGAATCGTCTCAAGAGTTGCCTTTTCGTTACCACCCTGCTTCAAGGTAGTCTCGAGATAATTAGGTTGGCTTAGGTACAAGTTGACGGTCTCTGCGGGCTTCACGAAGTATGACTCGAAAAGTTCTCTGGCCCACGCAATGGTGTGCTCAATCTTGTTGGGGAAGCTTCTCAACGTGCACATCGGGAAGGATTGCTCAGGGGGGTCTTGAGAACTGGAGTAGGACTCGGTCATAAAAGGTATGACGACCTGAGTGTTTCCTTTCGTTCCCAAGGTACCACTCTCCAGTAAAGGTTTGCGGAAGAACACGCAACGGCGATCAACGTATGTTCGGGCATCGACATTGTCGAGAGCATTGGTGACACCATCGAGCTCATTCCAAAACTTCTCGTTGAAGATGTGCTCGGTATCTTGTCCAACTCTATCCCGCATCGTGACAATGTGGCCCTTGAGATCAGGATTCATCGCCTGTACTGCAGCAGCAGCACACTCGCTCTTCAGCTGTCCGACATCTTTAGGTCTGAAAAGGAATTGGCGATTGAGATTGCTCTTCTCGATCGAATCCATATCAGTCACGCTAATCTTGCCGTTGGGTCCAGTAGCAAGACCAATCATGGCCCAGTTCTTCAACATCTCACAACCAATAGCACCGGCGCCAACCAAGAATTGCTTGGCATTTGCAATCTTCTCCTGGAATTCTCGGCCGAAAACAGCGATCTGACCATCGTATCTGCTGTTGGTTGGAGCACATAGTTCCTCGGATCTTTTAAAGTTAGAAGGAAGAGATTCCAGAGAGTCAAAGTACAGCCATTGATGGACTGGGTGGAATTTCCCAGAGACAGCTTTGAGGACTTCTTGAGCGGCGAGACCACCGAAGAAAGCCGCCATCGGACTCAGGTCACCCTGCGCCTGGTAGCTAAGCTCTCGTATGAGCTTCTCATCAATTTCAACGTCAAGCCCCTCCTGCTTTACGAAGGCTTGTGCCGCTCCGATTATAATTAGAGCATCCTGCTCATTATGTGGTCGTGGAAGACGGCCATGCTGCTCAGCAAACGCATGCAGGGTTTGGAATCCAACGTGGAGCTGTTGAGGACGGTCGAATTTTGCGTAGTCGGAGATAAGGAACTCTGGTTCTTTCAACGAAGCAGACAGAGTCTTGAAGTCGACCACCTTTGGCATCTTGACCTGTGTGTACATACCACCTCTCTTGTATTGGCCGAGTTGCGAAACATCTCCGATAGAGAATGTGTATGGTCCCTTCACTGTGACCTTCCGGGGCTCTGCAGAGTTCAGCGCCTCCATTCCCTCCAATTCGGTAAAAGTAACATAGTCGCCATCCTCGAGACCGTGTCTTGTCTCATCCAGGGCAGAGACCAATCCTTCTTCATCGATACCAGCAACTATACCACTGACTGGGGTCTCTCCTGTGGGATCGAGGATCTTGAATTGCTTCCCAAAGTCGCAGAATATTGACCCAAACAGACCAAAAGTATCAGCTACGACGAGATAGATCCCCTTCTTGTGTAGATAGTCACCAATCACGATTTGATCCTTGAGTGGGGTATTGGTAAGGACGACGACTTGGTATCGATCGAACTGAGAGAGGTCTGATGTAAGGCTGAGAGCATCGGTTAGCTAGGAACTGACAGATCCATAACCAGCCCTTACCTTGTTGACTTATGCACAGAGACCGGAGTGTAAGCATTCAGCTCAGCAACGCGTGGCGCTGTCACTTCTGCTCTGGGCTTGCCGACATCTTCGACGTGAAGGAAGAATTGTGAGGAGAGGTCAGATATCTGGGTAGGGGCGGGGTCGTAGAGAGTGAGACTCTTGACTCCAGCGAGTGCGATGTTCTTTGCTATCTCAACTCCAAGTCCCTTCATTCCAACAATAAGCACATTAGAGGCAATCATGCGCTTCATAGCTTCATGACCAAGGACATAGAGCTGTCTGCTGTAGAGAGATTCGTCGATGTCGTTCTTGCCCACCACCGACTCGTCGACCTGCATTTCGGTCTCCATGTTGACAGCGTTCGTGCCCTAAGCAATCTAGACGTCAGTATGTACATAGAAGAGGTTGTGCCGGCTTCGTGATGTATAGTTCTTCATCATGTGGTAGTTCGAAGCTCGTATGATAGCTGTTCTGCCGAGGAGGGGGGCTGTTTACTCACCGTCATAGTTTTCTTCTGCGGTTGAGAAGAATCTGCGTCGGACAACTTGCGCTTCCCCAGCTTGCCTTCTCCGTTCGTAGTCACCTGCGCAGGAATTGTGACGTCTGTTCAGAGCCCAAGAGTGTGTTGTTCTGGTCTGTATGAGTACCAGATCGCAACACCGCCTTGGTTATCTCGTACGCTAAAACGATAGGAATGGCTGGTGGTCAAAGGTGAGATGAAGAAGGTTCAAATACGCCTTTGGGTCTTAAATTTAAAGAAGAGAGTGAGAGTTATCAGAAGGCGGGAAGGTAGCCTGGCTGAATGAGCCTCGCAGTTACAGATCGAAGCCTCTAGTGGAGGAACCGAGCCATCTGAGCACGTGACAACTATTGACGTGACATATTTGAAATCAACAACTGCAACAGAGAGGGGTGCTTACAATCTACCTAGTCACAGCTCAAGACACCTTAAATGACGAATCAGATTACGCTACAGAATTTACAGAATCTACAGAGCTCTACATAGGTACCTTAAATGACACAAGAACGTGCTGTTGCTACACGTGCCTGGCATACAAGCTAGGTAGGGCTGGAAGAGGGGCAGCTGTGGCGATTGCACTCCGGGTAATCTTCGGAGTGAGATCAGAGTCGTCAAGACAACAGATTTTCACACTCTCAAACCAGGAGCAAGATTCCAAAACCCAATGGGAATAATACATCATAGACAGCTCTCTGATCCAGGACTGTTCTACGACTTAAGGGTCGTTCCCACAGCTGTCAAACAAGCCGCTAGATGACGTCGTGCCGCTTGTGGGACAACAGGGTAGTCTAGGTATGCACAGTGCTTGCAGATAGAAACCACTTGAGACTCAGCACAATGGAGGGAGAATCAGCATTTCCTTTTATTGGTAGTGACTCCCTTCCCATTCCCAAATTTTAGTCCTAACCTGAGCTATCTAAAGTGGAAATCAACGTATAGAGGGACGAAGAACCCAAGACCGGATCGTTTAGTTGATCTTTTGGAGTTCGACATCGCTGAAAGAATATCAGTGGCTGCTGTGTATGTAAAGAGGCGAACCGCAGGGGACTTACAAGAGAAGGTCGGCGTTGGGTGGGATGTGGCCCGGGAATCCACTATAAGTGAAGATGTCAGTGTGCTGCCTTTCTACTTTTGCGCTCATATATTTGAAAACAGCTTCCAAAATGCCCTCGTGCTTTGTAGCCCAACAATGGGGATGCCGCGATTGAAGGGTCGAGATCTTACCGTGCACCGTATCCGTAGTCGCTTCGATGATGTCAGTATATTTCTACATGGCCTGTTCGAGCAGAAGGAAGCTTACCTGGTGATGTCCAAGGTAGACTTCTCGCCAACCTTCATGGTGGTCACTCCCTCATCCCAACCTGTTGTATGCTGCGGTCAATGATCGATCCAGGCTGGAGTTGCTCATGGTTTGGGGCGAAGGGTACCTTTGATGACCTGACCAACGCCAATGGAGCAGACAAAGGCCCCGCGGCCGACAGAGGAGTCGAATCTAGCAGAAGCCCCAAGTCAGAATCCGAAAGCCACGATCTACAGAAGAAACACTCGGGGGAGAACCTACTGCTTTCCCTTCTGGTCGGGCTTGGAGGCATCCTTGAGGTAGCCGGTGTACTCAATGGTAACGCGGTCGCCGACCTTGGGGACGGGGCCGCTGCCCTCCTTGAGAATGGTCTTGGTCACACCCATTGTTGCTGCTGTAATGGAGAAATAGCGGGTTGCGGGGAGTTGTGCAGAGTGGGGGAGTCTTCTGGTGGCGGCTCGGAGGGAATTGGAGAAGGAGAACATCGGGTTGGCGCGAAAAAGAGCGAGGGGGGAGGTCTTTATGTGAGGGGCTAGGTATGCGCAAACTCGGAGCAAGCAGTCAGTCAGCAGCGGGCAGCGTGGATTCACTTAGAATTGTCTGGTTTGGCACAGTACGGGACCAGATGCTGTAGTCACTACTGTACCTCCCAGCTCAGTGGCCCGTTTACTGGCGCGGATTGGGACCCCGGGCGCGCGAGCATCATCTCATGGTGGGGCGGGGGGCGCTCGAGTCGAGCTGCTCATCCCACACCATGAATTCATGGATTCATGGATATTCGGGGACTCACGGTATCACCATCATCCCATCCCATGTACATGTACATGTACATGTACAAGCGGCAGGACGTCCCTCGAAAATCGATCGATCGAATTTGACGGCCACCCCAGGCCTCCGGCTGGACGCCCAAATACCAGGAATAGCAAGCATTCTGCATCAGAAGAATATGCCTGCTTGATAAGCGGCGGCAAAAGGAGGCAGTGAAGAAGAGAAGGGCAGAGCCAGACAGTCCGCATTCAACCTTGCCAGCGCAAGGCCAGCCACCCACCCAGCAGCCTATCTCGGTGTAGGCAGAGAACACAGATGTCGAGCATCAAGCTTCAAAGAGAGTATATGTGCGGAGGTAGATCCACTACCGGGCTCCGTCCCTCTGATCGACCACGCCGGTTCCTGCTATGACGGCTTCCACAAGGCTTCACTTAGCATGGTTCCATGCACTGTTTCGTCGATCCCCGCAGACAAATGGCAAGTTATATTCAGAACTATGCGGTGAGTGACTCGCTGTGTAGAGGTCAACCGTCAACCGTCAACTCAACAAAGAGGCAGTCGGACGGGCCTTGCACACAACAATAACCCGGCCGGGAACAGACAGTCAAGTCTGGAGGGATTCTGCGGACCTGTCAGCATTCTGAAATCAAGCGCAGCATGGCAATTGACAGCCATTCTGTACTACCTACCTATATTGCACACTCCGGCACCAAATATGGAGACGGCTGCGGTCACGGTCCGGTCCTCCTACCTCATACATGTTCTGCATAGCATCTGAAGGAAAGGGAAGATCGCCAGCTTTTCGCCCGAAGCGATGATGTCGGCTCCAGCTCTTCTATGGCAGCAGTTTGAGGTACCAGCAGCCCGCTGTGGCATCCCACGTCCCAAGCACCATGATTACTACAATATATTACTACAATGTAGTATGTACATGCCATGTAACTAATCTGCGGAGTAGTCCATAGGCGCGTCGCACCCCCACGAGACGACGGGCTATCCGGGGCCATCTCATCCTTGGCCGCGGGGTGCTTTCTGCAGCGTTCCTACCATGCCACGATGTACAAGCACAGAGCTTTGTATTCTCTCGGTACGAACGGGGAGGGGACTGACTCTCACGATTCTACTCAAGAGTCAGAATACTGCTCCTGTAAGTGCAGGAGATTTGACTTATGACTACTGTACGCAGTAGATAACGCGATGACGCTCTGGCGGGCCCTCTATCAATCCAGCCTGCATGTGCCACCAGACTTCGGCTCCTTAGACTACCCTTAAACCCCCCTCCCCCCTCTTTTGTACCTCTGGGAATCCGGGAATATATACCTTTGCCCTGGGAATCTGGGAGCCTCACTCTCACACCCTCACTGCGCTCAACATGCCGACCCAGCACGTCACCCGTACAACTCTCTTCTTTATGCCCCAACCTACCCTATACTCGAGCATCACACCCTTCCGGCTCATAAGGGCTAACACGAGGTATCCACCTAGTACCTTCAATCACATAACCGAGCGATTACAGCACCTCGCGCTTGCTTTTTGTGATGGCACCGATCTCACTCAATCAATGGACTTGATGGCTGTAAAGCTTGTGCTTGATATCTCCACTCTCTTGTGATCTCTGATGCTAAATACATGTGGGCTTGCGTAAGGTGCGGCGCCGGCGCCTGACCTTTCTCGACATCAAAATCTATTTACTGTATTTTGTGTCCAAGCCTTTCCTCTCCTTTCGCTGGTTTACCTACTAGGTGGGTAGGTAGGTATATATCACAATCTGTATTTCGAACTGTCACATCCTTCTATGACGTGTGGCTTAACGCGAAGGACACAACACATGGCCTTTTGAAGAAAGGTAACAGGTGCCACCGCGAGCGCACTATGGTAACATGTTAGCCAGACTACCTAATCTATGACTTTAGTTAGGGGAGCTATACAGAGCCTGATTGACACTCGGTGTGTATCAACTCGCCGTCGAGTATTAAAGCGCAATGCCCACGGTCACATCTCTATACAAGAAACGTTAAAACTAATTAAATGTTAAAAGGGATGAGAATAAGACATACGCCAGATGTAAACGGAGAAGAAGCGGCAGCGCCCATAAACAGGCTGCTGGCAACAGTAAGGAAAGAGATAAACAGAGCGAATTGCATTTTTGCAAGGAAGTGAGAGTGGTACTTGTTTGTTATTGCTGCTGCTGCTGCTGCTGCTTTGTTGCGATTGCTGCGATTCTTGCGATTGATGCGATTGATGTGATTGTTGCAATAAGAGAGTACCTTGGGTAAGTACTTATACTCTTAAAAATTTGAAGATATATAAAAAGGTCATCTACCTTAGGTACCTTCGGTATGAGAGGCGCAAGATGTTTTACGAAATCCTTCTTCAACATAAACAACCAAATATAGAGAGGCGGCGCAAGAGGCGCAAGGTGGTTTTTTTCTTTTACAAAATCCTTCAATCTCGATTCCCCCAATACCTGAATTTAGTAGCTCTGGAATCTGACAGCTTACCTAGCGACAAGGTAGAGTGGCGGTGCCGTGCCTTGTCGTTCGTCGCAATTGTACAAGTCCGACAGATACCTACCTATCTTATCTCACATTGATTGATCGATCTGACGGCCAAATTAAGCTCGATCGGCAAGATTTCTCGTCTCTCCAAAAGCGTCGTCGTACCTGGGCAGTGTCCAGTGTCCAGCAAGAATTATCAATCGACAAATTCTTGACAGGATCGTGGAGAAGAGACTTCTGCCCTATCTCCGCCCTCTGGACACCGACCGCACTTTATGATTCTGCAAGTTTCCTGTTCTCGTTTGATATTATCATTCATGTTCTCGTTAGTCTTGGCCGCGATGCCTGTCGGCCTCAAATGCATCTCAAGCGGGGTGCATTGAAATTGTATCACGTGATATTCTGCAGCTTTCTGTCGCGTGGGCTTGCGCAATTTTGATTCATCATCATAGGAGAACATCTCTAGATAATCGCGATTAGGTATTATCGGTCCCTGGCGCCGTTGGGTCGGTCTGCGACGGTGCGCTGGTATAAGCTTCCCCTCTTACTTAGATGCGATGCGATGCTGACCTCATGTCATGCGATATGCCAGCCGTCGTCGGCAACTCTACCTATTTCCATTTCGAGACTTCACTCACTCCTAGGGGGTGGCCGAGGAGGATATATCAGGCAGCAAGGTTAGTGAAGAATCGTTCCTAGCATAGTACTACTGGGTTCTCTTCATTCACATGTTTCATGAGTTCCTCGATCTTCTTTTTTTTCCCTTTGTTCTATTTGCTGTATGATGTATCCGGCTTCCACAGTCGACTGGTCTTGTCGAATCTATTGACTTGAGAACAGAAGACGGTTTTTTTTTCTGCTTTCGTAAGATCAAAGGGAATCTGTATTCTTGTCTTGTGAACCAGCTATGTAAGGTACCTATGTAAGGTACCTACCTAGTTCTCGAAGCCGAAACCTTCCTTCTCTCCTCTTATTCAATAAAAAAGAAAAGCTTCTTCTTCTTCTTCTTCTTCTTCTTCATCCCATCCAAATAAAAGCAAGCACTCGGCAGGCAATCTTTATAAATCCTTGACGAATTGGACCAAAAATTACGAGAAGGATATCAATGAATGAATGAAATATACGTGGCCTTCCCTTAGATTTGAGATGAAGAGCGAGCGAAGTAACGGGGCTTTGGTTTTATACCAATTGAACATCTCCTCTTCCCTCTTATCTGATCTCCACCTCCCTACCCACAACCTCCAAGGTAGGTAGGTGGATGGATGGATGGATTAATAGATAAAGTAAAGTAAAGTAAAGTAAAGAATTCAACAAAGCGAACAACTACCTCTATTCCCCCCCCCCCCCCCCCCCCCGGGGGCCCCCAAATTCCACCCACCCACCAACCTCCCATCATTCAAGAGTTTTGCCTGCTGTAGAAAGGGAGGTTGGAAGATTGGAGGTTGACTCAAAAATCACCTCTTTACCTCGTCCTAACCATCCTCCCCTCCCCCTCCTAATCCAAGACCCCTTGAAGGCACCATCTCCCATCTCCCATCTCCCATCTCCCATCCCATCTCCCTCACCAAAATCAAAACCCGAAAGGAAAAAAGAAAAAAAAGAAAAACCGACTTTGAAGTCTCCTTCTTGCTTTATAAACATCCTTGATTTAATGTAGAAGTCATAGGTAGGGTAGGTAGATTGCTGTTTTTACTATCTTATCTATACTATCTTATCTATCACCTCTCTCCTTCTTGCTCTTGATATATCTAAAAAAGGGGAAAGGGGGGGGGGGAGTAAGAACTCCTACTCTTTTATGAATATATAGAGGCGGTTAAGACAAATCAAATCATACTCGAAATGAACAAAATTGATTGATTGGTTGATTGATGTTTATTCAGTCGTTCGTTTATGTAAAAGTTCCTTGGAAGTTTTTAAAAGTGTGCATTGGAGTGGGGATGAAGATGGGTAGGAGATGAATGAAGGAAGATGATATACACACATATAGGTATGTACCTACGCGCATACGCACCTATATAGATAGATACTTCAAATAATAGCACGTAGGCACAGTTTAAAACTTGTAGATGAGTGATATTAATGAGTGATCCTGAGCACCTACCTAGCTGAGACCTTTAATAAGGAAGCACGTGGTACTCTGTATAGAAAGAAGAGACATTACGAAGTAGTATGTAGGGTATGCACCTACTTATCATGAGAAAGAATGCGAAACCTTTCACGAAAAGAAAAACTAAGAATGTAAAAGGGGGAAATTGTCCTAGAAAACCCCCGCCCGGTGAGAAAAACGCACATGAAAATTGAAACATTCTACGAATTCATGCACCGCTCCAGAATCCCGTCCTGACCGGGGTCATGTGATTCGGATCTTGGCCTTCGCGGCCAAGAAGAGCCAGTGTGTGCAGTAATATGATAATTTCCCGGATCACGGCGGCCAAGGCCGATATTTCTCTTTTATACGTTTAACCCTCGGTGGTCGAGGGGGGATCAACGCAGGAACCTTGCATGCGTCGGAGGAGCGTGCCAGAAAGCGCACAGCGTGAAACGAACAGGGCGATGGGGGATCGAGTCAGTCCAGCAGTCTGGACTCTGTAGGTGAGGGTTTGTGAGAGAGATGTAGACAAGATGGAGTCTGAGAAACAAATGCTGAGGTAGGACAAGCATTATTGATGATGAATGGATGGATGGTAAGGGAGAAAAAGAGAAGAGAGGCAGATGATGTTTGGATAGTGACGTGAAACCCGTGTGCTACAGTACGCGCCCGGAAAGCTTATCTGGTGGGAGATGGATCCGGGCGGCGATGTGTCGCTGGTTCGCAGCAGCTTCGCTGTGAGAGCGCGCAATGTGCGGGTGGACCGTGAAGCACGAGCAGAAGCAGTGAAGATCTTGAGTTCGTATCTTGTCGTTCTGGGGGAGTCCAGGCGCGCACCTACAGAGTTCGGTACATACAGAGGTATGTGCGTATCCGCCGTGGAGTGCATGGGGCTATGGTATTTGGGCAGCTGTGAGGATGATCTGAGAGGTGTTTCAATATGAGCGTCCAAACATGGAAGATGAAGTTATTGAGTGTGTTGGAAGTTAGGAGTCTCGGACCTGGGTCTCAGCATCCGTCCTTCTGGCCTTGGCGCCGAGTCTTCTCGAGAGCGGGCGGCCTGTTGGCAATTTACGGTAGAATCTTCGTGTCGACTCCTGAGTCCTGAGTCCTGAGGTACTCGGCTCTGCCCGCAGAAGGGTTGTTGCAGACAATGCAGAGGACTGTTGTTGATCAGCAGATAGGAACAGCAGATCCTCATTATATCGTGGTGTTTTCAGTATTGATGTCCGCAGTAGTCGCTGTTCACGGGCGAGGGGTCCTGGGGCGGGTTACATAGCGCGGCAGCCTGAGGCCGGCAATGGTGACTAAGGAAGGTAAGGTTGGCTCCGAGCCTCCGAGGGTGACTAAGGCAACTAGATTCAGGGCAGCCGGCGCTAGGAGAGAAGCGTGAAGACTTGCTCGACTAAGAATAACATCTGCGGTGGCCATGATTGATCGATCGATCGAGAGAAGGCTGAACATGAAGACCTGTGGTGTGCTCCTGGACAAGCTGGCAATAATGCATCATGAGATCGTGCTATATCACATACCGTATTATTGGCATGAGGTGTCTGTCATCTTGGGCATCGCGGGGACGTCCTCTTCAGGTGTCAGCCAGCCATCAGTCAGGCATCGCGTCGGGATATGAGTACGTGCATATTGGCATACTCTGTACCGTAGCCGACCGACCTTTCTATGCCGCCTCTCTACCTTACCTGAGTGAGGCCATTCATACGACAACTGTCTGAGCCTGACTCTGTGTGAGCACGCGTGCGGCTGACGTTGGTGTTGATGGTTCTCACAGAGGGAGAGTCCTCGTACAGGACAACCCAGTTACACCAGAATGTAAAGCTCGGCAGAGTCAGACAGTCAGACTCTAGACCGGCCTCTCATGGTGATGCACTGAGGAGCATTAAGCGATATTACGGAGTGCGCTGTCCAAACCCAGGGCTCGGCTCTAAACACGCCACCAAAAATGACCGCCCTGCCATTGGTCCGCTTAGCCCCCTCCCGCCAATGGCCAGCCACACGGCGAGGCTAAGCCCGGCTCTCGGCTCGACGGCGAATGGGCGGCCACGGCTCGTGCTCGTCTTCCCGTGCCCCTGTGGCGGGTGGGCAAGGGGGGGAAAGGGGGGGGAATGTGAGGGTCTCGGGCATATCGCTCGAATGCGGCAAGATGATGTCTGGCGTGCCAGGGCGAGAGGACGCCAAGCGAAGGGAGACTGGCGCCACGCTGATTGGCCCCGCCCGCTAATGAGTGTCCACTTCCATTCCAACCTTCCATTCCAACACGCATGCCAGTCCTGCACCGGGTAAGGTAGGTAAGGTAATACAGTATACTATACTAAGGTATACTGCTTTGCCTGCTACGGACTACGACCACTCGACCGTCTACGGCCTACGGTCTACCGAGTACGCTCTACTACGGCACCGAGTAGCTCTGTGTAGGTTCCTGTACTGCCAATTTGCCCGTCCCTTAGAGATCTTAGACAACAAGCACTGCGCCCACCGGACCCGCCCTCTGCCCACGCTACTGCTACGCTGCCGTCGCTCATCTCTCCTCCCCCATCCTCCCCCATCGCCCTACTCCCTCCTCCCTCCTCCCTCCCCCCTCCTCTGCTCGCACAAACCCTTCATTTCGCACATTGTACAGCACCCAGTTGTGAGAGCCTCCGGAGGCTCTTGTATAATGGTCGCTCGTTGATGATCAGGATCGATACGAAGTGGTGATCAACTGCCTCCCGCCCCCCCGACGACTTTTCGTCACGACACTCTTTTGAGCCCGCTCTTTACCCCGTTCTACGGACCATATTTTAATATCTCAGAAAGTGAGTCGAATTCACCGTGCGACGCCGTTCTGCTGCCTGTCTGCCACTGCTCTGGCCATTGCTCGTCGCGATCGGGTCGATGCGGCTGCGATCCGTTGTTGGGGAGGAAGATCCTGAGCATCATTCATGCGAACACGAGGAACGAACATCAAGTCCGAATACTGACTGCGCATTGCCCACAGACTCACTCGTTGACATCTTTTGTCAAGTACACTCGTTCATCCAATTATCCCTGACAGTCAGTCCTCCCTGGCAGGTACGCAATCGTCCGCGACCGCTGACTCCTGAGCAGATCCTTCAGCCATTAGCCAAAGCTTTATTCTTCTTTTCTCCCTAAATACAATCGCATACGACCGACGACACCTGCCAATATGCGCTCCTCTTCCGTACTCGTGGCCTCGGTCGCTGCGCTCTCCTCCGTCGCAAGTGCTCAAGAAAGACCCAAGTTCTACTTCCCTCGTCACATCAAGCGCCAGCTATACACGAACTCGACGATAACTACACCTGCGGTTCTGCCAACTTCAGAGGACCTCAGTTCGCATTCGACCAAGCGCGATAGCCTTTCGGATCTCTTGGGTGACCTTACTTCTCCGGGTTCGACTGGCACCGGGTCAGGAGCCGCAGCGAACAGCGATGGGGTAACGACCGTTATTATTTCCGAGACGACTGTGGTGGGATCGAATACCATTGCAACCGCTGTGGCATCAGTGAAGACAACGAAGGGCAATACCGATCCACTTGGCATCCTCACCGATATCATCCCAGGGATCGGTTCGACAGGAGGGATCCCAGCCACGATCGTCCAACCCACCCCGACAACTGCTCTTTCGAGTGAGAGCAGCAGCCCGTCTTCCTCCCCCGCTGCCTCCTCGGGAACCGGCATCACCTTTGGACCAGGAGGAGTTGTGACGAGTTCGAGCCCATCGGCAGTGGCGAGCTCGACCACCGGCGGCAATCTACTGGGCAATCTGCTCGGGGGGCTGACAGGCCCAGGTACTGCGGGCACGACATCAACAGCTACACCTTCGTCCGCAGCTGTCTCGTCCCCGGCTGTCTCGCCCACAGCTGCGGCTTCCTCTACCCCATCGAGTTCTGGCTTGCTCTCCGGTCTTCTCGGCATCCTCTCACCGTCCTCGACCGATTCCTCTACCGCGTTGAGCACACCAGCCACGAACGGCACGGCCTCCAGTGCAGGTTCGGCGGCCGCATCAAGTGCAACACCGACTGATGCCTTTTCCTCGTGGCTGGCCTCAATAACAGGCGCTTCCACGCCTACACCTTCGCCTACAGATGGTATATCTGGAGCTGCTTCTACGGGAGTTCTCGTCTCCCCCACATCTTCCCCGGCTGCCTCTCCGTCTGCTTCCGCCTCATCCACCTACACTGGACTAGGCGGCATGCTTTCCAGCATTCTTGAATCCGGCACCCCCAGTTCTACTCCTCTCTCTACACCCACTGCTACTGAATCAAATTCTACTGCTCTAATTACCTCAGCATGGGACAGCCTTACCTCGGCCTCTGCCACGGGGCTCCTCTCGAGTATCTCGAGCAATGCTACTGGAACCGCGCCATTTTCGCCCACTGGGACAGGAGCAGCCTCGAACGCCACTGCCATTGAGACATCTGGTACGCCCTCAACCCCATTAGCATCTTTGATCACGCCAACTAGTGGATCTCCAACGGGTACTCCAACACATGTTTCTGAGACGGGAACAATTCCCACGAATGGCACGGCAATAATTACTCGTCCTTCGCTGGAACCTACGTCAAGCGTGGTATCGACCCCGTCCTCCACCGTCGTATCTACACCGACGACAACACCGCCAACCACGGCAGCGCCATCGACAACGGTACCAACAACGACAGAGCCGCCTTCTCAAGCTCCCCAGACCATCCTCCCCACTGGTACGGACTCTGCCTCGACGTGGCTTCCACAGACAATTATTGTTGCATCATCGTCAACGATCCTCCCCGGATCTGTGCCCTCTTCAAACCCGACTGAAGCTCCGATGCCGGGTTTCATATCGAATCCTAACGGAACTGCCGCGCAGCCGGAGAGCTCCACCATGATCCAAATCGGTTTCCTCTACCCGTTGAACTACCAATTTATCGTCGCGCATGCAATGTCATTGGCCCAGATCTTCCAGTGGCTTCCCATCGGACTTGCAGATGGGTTGGGACTGCAGCAGCAGCAAGTCGTGGTACAAAGCCTGGTTCCACTAGACACAACACAGACCTTGGGCTATATTACGACTCTCGCCTATGTATACATCCCTGAAAACATGGTCAACACTCTTGCCTTGGATCTACACGTCCCCACGGCCCCGATTTACCACAACCCCTCGACCCCTGTCAACACCCTGATGAACTACATCAACCCTGCCATCCCGCTCACGCCCGGCTCGACGCTCACGGGCTCCGAAGCCACGGGGACCGGGGGTAACAAGGCTGCTACCACCAGTGCCCCCACTGATAACGGTCCCTTCAATGAGGCAGCTCAAAAACCCAGTTCATCCACGGTCAAATCCACTGCTGGGATCGCAACCGGTGTTGTCGGGGCCGCAGCTGCTTATGGTGCCGCCATGTTCTTCATTGCGCGAAGGTACAAGAGACGCAGACAGAGCCACCGCCGGACAAGCTCACTCTTGAATCCATCTGAGATGATGCAATCGGGAAGCCCAGCACTGCCAGGTGGTTCGAATGCCTTCATGGCTGGTGGTCGTACATCCCCAGGCGAAGCCGCCCACGACAGATACAGCAGGGGAAGCGGACGGAGCGCGGGCAACTCGGCACGGACCCAACTCATCTCAGCACCGATGATGGCGGAGAACTCTCTCGGCTGGAACTGATCGACATCTACCAGTCCAGGCGTCGAGTCTCAAGTCATCCATCACACGTTCATGATCTTGCTTCCCCTAACTGTACATTACCACATCATAGCAGCAGCGGCTGATCTAGAGCGACGACGCATACATTCTCCTTGTCATAAATTTTCGTCTCGGCGTTGGACAATGCCATCATACCCCCTCCTGTATCACTGGAGATCTCGTGCCGCTATTTTTGGTAGATGATCTGATCAGAGGCTTTATATTTAGTTGGTGAAGAAAGCTTTTGCGGTTGGAAGAAGAGGAAGATAGGCGGAAGGCTTTGTGGTGTAGCTTTACGATCCAACGAACAAGGATTTTCTCATTTCAAAAGGTTTTTACACGCGGGAGATGGAATGTGAGTAGTGTGATCTATCTTGCCTATGGAGGGAATGGTAATGTGGAGGAATCAATCAAAGATTTAGACCCTATGCTACTACCTCTTATTACCTAGTGTTTGTTGATTGGCTCTGTCCGAATCCCCCCCGCGCACAGGTCTGTATGAAAGTGAGTACGACTGTGAAGAGTGTCTCGAGGCACATGATAGTGATCTACACATTTCAGACAGGTTGAATTACTGCTGTAGGTGTGTTTCAGAGATCCGCGTTGTATGCACGAGGCCGGTCGCTGTATCCAACGAATCTGGAGTACCGAGTAAGGCTGCGGCCGATACGATATTGTTAGCGCCAGGTACCCGAGCCTCCCGTTTACCTCTGTTGCTATGCCAACGAGGAAAGCCCCGCAACAACATCACAAAAGACCCAGCGCGACTGGCATCGAACCTGCACTTCCATCATACTTGCATTCCAGTGTTTGTAAGGTATGCTCTTTAGAAGGACCTAACAACCTACCTATTAACAGACAAACCCTAATCCAAAATTGTTCCTTGATTCTTGCTCGACAGCCTCCTCATCACATCCAAGCTGCAATCTTATGTCGAGATAAGCATATCCCATCTCAGCTGCAGACGCAAGCAGGCAACATTCCAAGATGGACCATTATAATAGCCCTTCGCGGCCTCCAATGTACTCAGAGCCACCATCTTATGGCGACGATGGCATGTCCATGCAGTCAGACGAAATGAACGGCTCAAGAATCAGACTGTTGACATCTCAAGATGAGCCCAACACTCGACCGTATGTACCAGAACACCTTGTACCACGCCCTCTCGCAGTACCGTCGAAGAGACATCACGACGTCTCCACACCGGAACATCTTGCACCTCTCAAGGAAGAGGAAGAGACCATCTCGATCTGCAAGCTGCGGAAGTCACCAGCAACAGACTCAGATAATATTGCCGAGTTGCTGCCAACGATTCCTGATGGTCCCTCGCACAGAAGATCTGCCCAGCATGCGGCCCAATCTCCCCCTACTTATTCTCAATCTCAGTCGCAAAGTAAACCAAGCTTACACCCTAATAGTCCTGTCTCTCCTCGCAGATCATATCAACCGAGCGTATCATCATCACACTCCCGAGCCGCGTCAGTCATCGATACCACACCCTTGATAGCTCCACCAGAGTCCTCATACGTACCATACTCCCCAACTGGCCGCATGTCACCAACGCGACCTTGGACACCATCCAGAGGTTCTTCCGACTTCGGTAGACCTCCCCCAATGAACCTACAATTCGAACCTGCCGATCTCAACGGAAGTCCAAGGCCAGGCACACCTTCCAGCCGGTATGGAGGAAGTCCCAGACGACCATTGCCTCCTGCTCCTCTGTTTTCCGGCCCTCATGTCTCAGCTGCCAACTCTCCCTTTGCAGACGACGCCACAGTTTCAATTCCTCTAGAGGGCGATATTGCAGAGGAAGACGATGTTTTCGGGCCTGACAGTTCGATGGGAAAAGAACCACTACAAAGCTCGCGGTCAAGAGATTCATACATGTCAAATGAAACGCTAACAGAGGACATGGACCGAAAAGAATATGTCGAGCACTATGGTCCAGCCCCTGATGGCAAGCAAGAGAGGAGAGGAGCCCGCCAAGCGCAGATGTCCAAGAAAGAAGTCAGACTCATCAACGGAGAGCTCATTCTTGAGTGTAAGATCCCGACAATCCTCTATAGTTTTTTACCACGAAGGGACGAGGTCGAGTTTACGCATATGCGGTACACTGCCGTCACGTGCGATCCGGACGACTTCGTCTCCAAGGGATATAAGTTACGCCAAAACATCGGACCCACAGCCAGAGAAACTGAGCTCTTTATCTGCATCACGATGTATAATGAGAACGAGATCGATTTCACAAGGACGATGCATGCAGTCATGAAGAATATCTCCCATTTCTGCTCTCGTTCCAAGTCAAGAACCTGGGGTGAGAACGGATGGCAGAAGATTGTCGTCTGCATCGTCTCCGATGGGAGACAAAAGATCCATCCCCGCACGCTGGATGCTTTGGCAGCTATGGGTGTCTATCAGGATGGGATCGCCAAGAACTTGGTGAACCAGAAAGAAGTGCAAGCGCATGTTTACGAATATACAACCCAGGTCTCCCTCGACTCGGACTTGAAGTTTAAGGGAGCAGAAAAGGGAATTGTACCATGTCAGATGATTTTCTGCTTGAAGGAGAAGAATGCGAAGAAGTTGAATTCGCATCGTTGGTTCTTCAACGCTTTTGGACGAGCCTTAACGCCAAACATCTGTATCTTGCTTGATGTGGGAACCAAGCCTGGAAGCAACTCTCTATACCACTTGTGGAAGGCATTCGATACAGACTCGAACGTTGCAGGCGCTTGCGGTGAAATCAAGGCCATGAAAGGAAAATTTGGGACAGGGCTCCTGAACCCCCTAGTTGCTTCTCAAAACTTTGAGTACAAGATGTCCAATATCTTGGATAAGCCGTTGGAGAGTGTATTTGGATATATTACCGTCTTACCTGGTGCCTTGAGTGCCTACCGGTACCACGCCCTGCAGAACGACCATACCGGCCACGGGCCACTAAGCCAATACTTCAAGGGAGAAACTCTCCACGGTCAGAATGCCGATGTGTTTACAGCAAACATGTATTTGGCCGAAGATCGTATTCTTTGTTGGGAGTTGGTTGCCAAGAGAGATGAGAGGTGGGTGCTGAAGTATGTCAAGAGCTGCACCGGAGAGACTGATGTACCTGGTAAGTCATGTGAAGCTGATTGTTAGGGACAAACTGACTCGAAACAGACACTGTCCCTGAACTTGTCTCGCAGCGAAGAAGATGGCTGAACGGAGCTTTCTTCGCAGCTGTCTACTCTCTTGTCCACTTCCGGCAAATCTGGCGTACTGATCACACACTCGGCCGCAAGATCCTCCTGCATATCGAGTTCGTCTATCAATTCATCAGCCTGCTCTTCACGTACTTCTCCCTGGGTAACTTCTACCTTACCTTCTACTTCGTCGCTGGATCCCTCTCGGATCCTAAGGTTGATCCCTTTGGCCATCATATCGGTTTATATATCTTCGTGATCCTTCGGTACACCTGCATTCTCCTCATCTGTACGCAATTCATCCTCTCCATGGGTAACCGGCCACAAGGAGCAAAGAAGCTTTATGTAACCTCCATGGTCCTATATGGCATAATCATGGCATACAACACCTTTGCCTGTATCTATATCGTGGTTCGTCAACTGACATCCAACTCGAAAATTTCTCTCGGAAACAACGTCTTCACCAACCTCATCGTCTCCATGGCCTCCACAATTGGACTCTACTTCCTCATGTCCATCCTCTACCTCGATCCCTGGCACATGATCACCTCCGCCGGCCAATACTTCCTCCTTCTCCCGTCCTACATCTGCACCCTTCAAGTCTACGCATTCTGCAATACGCACGATGTAACCTGGGGTACTAAAGGTGACAACGTGATCCACACGGACTTGGGAGCTGCCAGGAGTCACGGCAAAGATTCCACCGTCGAGCTCGAGATGCCGTCCGAGCAACTCGATATCGATTCGGGCTATGATGAAGCGCTCCGCAACCTCCGCGACCGCATTGAAGTCCCCGCCCCTCAGGTATCCGAGAGTCAGCAGCAGGAAGATTACTACAAGAATGTCCGCACGTACATGGTCCTGTCCTGGATGATTGCGAACGCCATCCTTGCCATGGCCGTTAGTGAGGCGTATGGCGCCACCGCGGTGGGAGACAACTTCTACCTGAAGTTCATCTTGTGGAGCGTGGCATCCCTCGCGTTCTTTAGGGCGATTGGAAGCAGTGCGTTCGGTATCATCAATGGTGTCGAGGCGATCGTGGAAGGTCGGATTCGGATGCGTATGAAGTGGCCGAACTGGATGGAGGGTCTCGGGGGCAAGTTCAAGGAGCGGATGAGTAGCATCGGGAATAACGTGAAGCGTTAAGCTGACCTCTATGTGCATAGTATGTGATACGATGGGTAGTATGTAATGTGGTGTTTTCTAATGGGGGAGTCAGATTGTTGGGTATCTGGGGTGTTAGGGGTACGGGTCATGGTCTGCATTGCAAATTTCGGAGTTCTTGTACATTCATATAGAACGCGTATGTTGGGATAATTCAAGTACCTTGAAGGTTCATAATCTCGGTCCTCGGTGGATGCTTCGTGATATTCCAATACGTTCCCCGACAGAATTGAGCCTCAAACTAGCATTACAGACCCTAACGCCGAGCCATAATCCCACCTATACAAGTGCATCAGAATGCGGGTATTGCAACCTCCAACGGTTCCCTCGCCGTCTCCCACGCCAACCAATCCGATCTCGTCGTCCTAATCACACATTAGCACACCCCTTCTCCCTTACTCAGGGAAGCAAAGAAAACCCACGGCAACAAGCCCATTTTATCGACCTTCCACACGCCCAAAGCCAGCGCCAGCACCTGCATCAGGACATAAACGGCCTTGACCTGGACCAACCTCTGCCTGGTGCCCTCGCTCTCAAACCTCTCAAACGTGGGTCCCGTCGCCACGAGGCCCATGAGCGGATTCTTAAACGCCATCACCACCATCATGATACTAAAGATCTGCAACGAGTTCCCCGACATGTACATCATGATGGCGGTCATAGGCAGCTGTTTTAGTGGCGCGAGCGCGACTTCCCATGCTTTCTTGATCTTCAAAGTGTCGGTTTCTTCGGGGGTCGGCGCGTTGCGCGGGCTGGATGTGATGGAGGGTTTCTGGAGGTGGATGAGGGTTAGATATTGTGTGAGAAGGGGGTTTGGGGAGGGGGGGAGGGGGGAGATGTACTTTGGAGGAATTGGAAGGTGAGACGGATGTGTAGCCTGGTGGATCGGGGATCGAAGAACTGGCTTTGGTACGGGTGGGGGGAGAGTCGAGATCAATGGCCCATTGAGGGGGTGGTGGAGGAGGAGGAGGGGCAGCTAATTCTGACATTCTAGATTCGTGATATGATGTGCAGTGCTGTGATGTCTCTGTGAATTAGGAGGAATGGTAGGTAAGGTAGGTAGTTGATATAGTGGAAGGCAGGGATATGTAGTTCACAAGATTAACCTGAGAACTCAGGTATACACACACACGCGTACCTATCTATGGTATTATCTAAGTGCGGAATAAGCAGGCCGACACTCCGACCTCCGACGTCCCTCAATCAACTTCTCCCGTCCCCAAAACCCCCCAGAGTCTCGCAAGCACCTAATCAATCCCAAGAAAGAAAACCCCCCGGCTATTAAATAATTGCTTATCGCGCAGAAACGATCGATCGATGGACCAGGAGCAGCAACAGCAGCAGCAGCAGCAGCAGATGATCGCAAACCCCAGCAGTCGTCGAGGAGGGCGCATGTGACGGGGCATTCCATCCATCCATCCATTCGAATTCTCTCTCTCACCCCCTCCCTTCCCGGTTGCTTGCTTGCTTGTTACTGCGGCGCTTAGGATTGGTCCATTTTGCTCGCCTTGCTTGGTTGGGTCTCTTGTCTTGCTTGGTCGTCTTTGATCATCCTTGAGGGGTAGCTTTTATCTTGACAGGAGAGCAGGAGAGGAAAGGGAACACACGCACACACATACTAGCGAACGCCCACTTTCTGGGTTTCTGAGGAGGAGACTGATTTAGCTGTCCACTACTATTGATTGCCCATCATGAGCGGTGCGGGTGGAGATGCGAAGCTCTTTGCAAGAGTACGTACTGTTATCTCTTTCTTCTTCTCTCCTTTTTGTCTCTTTCCTCCCCCTTACCTCGCGCGACACAAGGCTGCTATGTGTACTGGCACACCAACTTGCACGTCACGCGTCCTCTTCCTCATCATTGTATCACCTATCCTATATCTGCCATCCTCTCCCTCCCTCCCACTTTGAAATCCTCCCTCTTCGCTGCGACATGCAGATGAATGAAAGCCGGCAGGCCCGACCACCATGTTCCTCCCGTACTACGTCCCGCCGTCAGGCTTTGGCTCACCATATGTTCGTTCTAAACAGGGCAAGGTCGCGGAGCTGCGCCAGGAGCTGAACAGCGGCGGCAAGAAGGACAAGAACCACGCCGCCAAGAAGATCGCCTTGAAGAAGATCGTCGCCAACATGACCATGAGCAATAACGATATGGTGGCGCTGTTCCCGGATATCGTCGCCTGCATGCAGATTCCTAGCCTAGAGATCAAGAAGATGTGCGTGGTCCTCCTGTGTACGGTGTGATGTGTGAAGGGGGAGATGCTGATGCAGTATAGGTGCTTCTTGTTCCTGGTTAATTATGCGCGCATGAAGCCGGAGGTTGCGTTAAAGGCATTGCCAACATTAGAAGATGTATGTGTTCATGACATCCGTCTTTTTGAGTATCTTCAAGCTCACGTCTCTGTGTAGGATATGAACGATTCGAATCCCTTAGTTAGAGCACTGGCGCTGCGGACCATGTCATATATCCATGTCCGAGAATTCGTCGAAGCCAGCGTCCCGCCTACGAAAAAGCTCCTCCGAGATCCAGACCCTTATGTCCGAAAGACAGCTACTTTCTGCGTAGCGAAACTCTACGACCATGATAGAAATCTTGTTGAGCAGTCGGATCTTATTGATAGGCTGAACTCGATGCTCCGGGACGATAACCCCACAGTTGTGGCGAGCGCATTGGCAAGCTTGATGGATATCTGGGAGAGAAGTGATGCTATCAAGCTTACTATTGATTATGGGAATGCTTCCAAAATGGTGCAGATTCTGCCGGATTGCTCTGAGTTCGTATATCTACCCCCTATTATTGCACGTGTCCTAATACCTTAGTAGATGGGGTCAAACATATATCCTTGAGGCATTGATGTGCTATGTTCCTCAGGACCCTTCTGAGGCTCTGCTATTGGCAGAACGAATATCTCCACGGTTATCACATTCGAATTCTGCCGTGGTGCTCACGTGCATAAGAGTCATCCTCTACCTTATGAATTACATTGCGGACCAGAGGCACATATCAGTCCTATGCCGAAAGCTGTCTCCTCCACTCGTAACCCTGCTAGCGAAGGGGCCGGAAGTGCAATACCTGGCTCTTCGAAATGCCTTGCTGATATTGCAGAGGCGACCCGAGGTTCTGCGGAACGACATCAGAGTTTTCTTCTGCAAGTACAACGACCCAATATATGTCAAGGTGACCAAGCTGGAGTTGATCTTCATGCTGGCAACCGAAAAGAACATCGAGGAGGTCCTCACAGAATTGCGAGAGTACGCCACCGAGATCGATGTACACTTCGTTCGCAAATCCGTCCGAGCGATAGGGAAGCTGGCCATCAAAATCGAACCAGCAGCTCGGCAGTGCATCAACACTCTCCTGGAACTAGTGGCTACCAAAGTCACGTACATCGTGCAGGAAGCAACAGTGGTGATCCGCAACATCTTCCGCAAGTACCCCAACCAATACGAATCCATCATCTCGACGCTCTGCGAAAATCTGGATTCTCTCGATGAGCCCGAGGCCAAGGCGGCCATGATATGGGTGATCGGGCAATATGCATCCCGGATCGAGAACTCGGACGTCCTCCTCGAGGATTTCCTCTTTTCGTTTGCCGATGAGCCGGTCGAGGTGCAGCTCGCCCTGCTCACAGCGACGGTGAAGTTATTCATCCAGCGGCCTACCAAGGGTCAAGAACTGGTCCCCAAAGTGCTCAAGTGGGCCACGGAGGACACGGACAATCCCGACCTGCGCGATCGCGGGTATATGTACTGGCGGCTCCTCTCCTCGGACATGGCAACCGCCAAAGCGATCGTCATGGGCGAGAAACCCCCCATCACCGCCGAGGCCGAAAAGCTCGACCCCGTCACCCTCGAAGAGATGTGTCTCAACGTCGGCACCCTCGCCACCGTCTACCTCAAGCCCGTACAACAAGTATTCCGCTCCGCGCGCCCCCGCAAACTCCTCGACAGCCCCGCCCTCCAAAAGCACACCCTCCCGACCTACGCCGACAATGATCTCGACGCCCAGAAATCCCTCTCCACCTTCGGTTTCGACTCGCAAGCCGCCGTGCGCCCGCCGCCCCACCACCACCAGAACAACGGCGATCTCGCCGCCGCCGTCGACGCCGCCGACGCCTTCTTCGCGGGCGTCGGCGCTCACCAGATGGCTAACCTGCACCTCACTCCGGACGATGGCTTCGGTGGTAGCCCCGTCTCTGGAAGGGGAGAGATGCAATACGTCGTGAATCAGAATGCGCCAGAGCAGGTCTATCAACCGACTATGGGCGCGGGCTCGAATGGTGATTTGTTGATGTTGTAGATTGCATGCTTGCATGCATGTATGTATGCATGAAAGGGTGTTTTTAGTTTATTTAGTTGATGGCTGGATGGGTGGCGCGCGTGGGAGCGTTTGATGGACATATATCATATCATTATATATATATAAATATCATGGATCGATGGATTGATGGATGGCTCAGTAAGCTAGCCAACATATCGGGGTTTGTATGTATGTATTTTTTTCTGTTCATGGATGGGTAACCTTTACCTTAGAACTACCCATACCTACCTACCCAAGGTAGTGTGAGTGAAATGAAAATGAAAAATAGAATATGAAAACTTCATGAACACGATCCTCAGTATAACAGCAGCGTCTACAAGAAGTAAAATATGTAGTAGTACTATTAAAAGGTGGTAGTAACTTGTTTTCACCAATTTGATTGATTAAATTAGGTACATGAATGTAAGCTAAGTAAGAGAGGAGTGACGACGCCTTGATCATACAATACATAAGATACATACATACATACATCATACAAGCCAATAGTTCATAAGGAGCTAATTTCATCTATCTAACCGCTAATAAAGAAGTCTGTCTCATCCCATCCATGGTTGGGATCTTGCATCTGCATTTCTCTCTCATACATACACACACGCTTTAGAAAAATTGAAACAAAGGAAAGTAAGAGGGGAAAAAAATTAGATCAAGCAGCTTCTGCCATGATCTGCTCGCCCTCGTCCAGCAGCTCGGTGATCTTGCCGAGGTTCTGGATCATGCTGCGGCCTTGGCCGACGAGCAGGAGCTTCTCCGCGTTGGCTGGCAGGCCGAGATACGTGGGCGGTTCGCGCTCCGGCAGCTTCTGGATCCAGTCCATGAACTCCTTGAGGGACGTGCCGCTGGGGACGACTAGCGAGCCGGCGTTTTCGTCGCTGGGGTCTTGATTGCCCGCAGCTGCTGCTCCTTCGACGAGCTTGTGCCCGATGTCGTATGCGGCTGGGGTGAGGAAGGAGTGGACTAGCTGCGTGAGACGCGCGAAGTCGCCCTCGTCGTCAATCTTGCCACCGTAAGTTTCAACGACTAGGGTACGGATCATATCCCAAGGTAAGTTCTGCGGAGCAACGTTTGTTCGTCCCATGGCGACCGTCTCGACCCAGGTGTCGATAATAAACGCAGAGCATTCATACTATACAATGTCAGTAATTATCCTCGCATTCAGTACATTTTTGCACTTACGTCGCTATCGTTAAACTCCCAGAAACCCTTCCATCCTAGATTTGGAGCGTACCGCAATCTCTCCTGGACTACGGCATGCAAGAAACACAGGAGAAGGTAAAGCCTGGTCCTTTCAACTGGGTTCTTGACTGCTCTTGTTGAAAGGGATGTCATCGAGTCTTTCATGTTGGCCCGCACGCCTGCAGGCTGCTCATACATCAACACGCGGGAAGCTCTCAGTAGGTTGACAGGAATCTTCGGGCTCGACTCCATGGATAAGAACAATCTGAAATTCTCGTGTGGCTTGAGCGAGTCCATCCTTTTTTCGAGACTCTGCAACCAAGTTGGAGCTAGGTGGACGTTCTTGACTAGAACCCATGACCCGTTGGCCGCAGCATTGCTGATGGCTTTGTCTGCGCTCGCAAGACCCTCGTTTGATCCCATGGCAATATTAGTGCAGGTCGTGCGAGATCTTTCAACCAAATTCTCAACCTTGTAGCTTGCATCAAATCCTGGACTTGAGCAAAGAGCAATTGGGCTGCTTGCAGAGACTTGATCAACAGTTTGCTTGAGGTCCTCTGTCGTATCGAGAAGACCGGGACCAAACACGGCAGTGACAAACCGCTCGGCCGCTGGAACAAACCGATCGAGACGGAAGAGCTTGACCAAGAGCAGAGAAATAAGCTCTTGGTCGCGCTTCTCGGTATTCGCATCCCAAATCTGGGGCACGTGATTCTCTCCTATCTCTTCAAACAAGAATCGGTCCCACGCAGCTTGGGAGATCCCTTCTAGTTTACCTTTGAGAGCGGAAACCCTCGATGCTCTTGCCAAAACCTCATCTTTCTTGTTGGCCTCTGTAGAGACATCGGTGCCTTCAACGCTCTCATCCAGAATAATATCAATGAGGCTCTTATCCATCTTGTATGGCGCAGCTTGGGCGAGAAGCATGGCCAAAGTGATACGATCCTTCTGAAGTAGACTGAGTGACGTACGCTGATAAGTGGTCACAAAAAGGTCCTCGATGATAATATCGCGACGGACATTGTGATTGGTTTCATTTGCTAGACGCTTGTTGTTATGCAAGACAAAGTGAAAGATGTCGAGGAAGTACTGCAGTGAGAACTGGTAGAAGTGATTGAGATAATGCAGCTGCTCCAGAACAGCAAATACTGCACTACATGATCGAGCGATGACATTGTACTGGAGGGTGATTTCATCGACTTCTGCCATCACACCTTCTGTATTGCTCATTTTTGTCGAGATTTCTGCGGCTTCCTTCTTCAATGTTTCCAGCGTTTCGATGACATTATCGTCATCGAGGATGTTGCCACGTGATTCGTTCAGCGCTTGAAGCAGTCGCTTTTCCAATTGTCTCAGATGAATCTTGAACTCGCCCTGAAGTTTGATGAGGTTTGATCTTCGCTCATCCACATCTGGACGTTCGGATTTCAAAACGTCGTTTAGGGATTGCGTCTGGAGACTGCTTTGTGTGACGGTGAAATTGACAAAGGTTGTACGACTGCAAATATCAGGTGCAAAGGTAGCAGACGGATCTCTGGTAGATAGGTAGATCTTGAAAGCCGGTGAGAAATCGATTTCCTGTTTTCCGAGCTGAATGAGAACACGCCCACCAGTCTTCTGGTATTCTTTGTTTAGCACGTGGTTGAGGACCGGATCCAGGTACTCGGCATCTTGAATCAAGATCGGGTTTCCGAAACGAAGGGAACTCTCCAGTTGTTTTGTGAACGAGTCATCCAGAAAGCTGGTAACAGTAAGACGTCTATCTTTGCATTCCTTCTGAAGGAATTCGGTCACACGGCCGGAAGGATCTATGATCAACGGGTACCGATTGAAACGCTTCAAGATAATTGCGTTTTCTGTGCAAAGATCATCGACAGGAAGGGAGTTCTGTTGCCATCCGAGTCGTTCGTCTGCTGTAGAGAGATACTCTGTAACAGGGTTGTGCTGTTTGTAATTGATGCCTGAAAGTTCCAGTTGATGCAGCCAATCATCCATCATGTTCTTACGGAATTGTTGATCATAGAGTCCGCTGTATGCTAAAAAGGCAGCTGCAACAAGGACATCGCCAACTAGGGTGCTTATTTGAGTCTCGAATGATTTGCTACCGGCCTCCCAGCGTACCCGTTCAGAAGAAAGACTGTCGAGCAGGCGAACACTTCGATCGACCTTGAATTGTACGCGCGACATCTCTGTCTTAATCGCCTGTGTTTCGCTGATCAAAGCAGCATACTCCGTCTTATATGTGGCGATACTTTGTTCAAGGGTATTGATAGTATTCTCAACGGCTTGTGCTTCGGCTTTGGTTTGAAGAGCCTGCTCCTCGAGCATGGTGACTTCTTCCCTGAGGGGTCCGACGCGGTCAAGGATCTCAGAGTAGTTGACTTGAGCCTGGACCCACTGAACGAGAGGACCACAAGCCTTACTTGCTCGGTTGACCTTCTCATATGTAAAATCTTCATTCGATAGGTACTCGTTGCGCATCTTGATTCGCAAGCTTTTGGTCATCTGCTTCTCGTTGTCGTAGTTGACAATGCTTGCGATGAAATCATCTCTACGAACGATCGCCTGTACAGTCTTCCAGCTATCGACTCTGTGACCAAGTAAAGTGCAAACAGAATCAAGTGCAAGCTTGACACCTTGAGGTGGATTGCCCATGGATCGGACTTCGGTGAGATGCTGCCTTTTGATGTTGCTGACACTCTTCTGTGCTTCAATGACTGCCGGCTCCGCATTGGCTAGATCATTCAACACCAATTCTCTACGCTGCGCAACTTCAGCTTCTTGCTTCTCTAGGGCCGCCTGAATCTCCAACGATGTCGTCTTGCGCTGTTCAGCCTCTCGTTGATCTGCAACCATACGCTGGAGTTTCTCATTGGCTTCTGCATCTTTACGCTCTAGCTGTCCTTTCTTCTCGGCCAGACTAGCTCGCAGATCACGAACCTTGTCGACGGTGTCTCTCAGCTTCTCCAGTCCAACATTGAGATGCCGCTGTTGCTCTTCGAGGTCTTCACGCTTCTCGTTGTACAGTTTTACGTATTGGGCAACGAAGTCCAGAAAATGTCTTGGCGTGAGGAACGTTACTCTCCCCTGCTGCTTGAGGAGCTTCACATTGAAGCGCTGAAGCGAATAATGAATGTAGACCATGGAATTGACGACAGCAGCACGATGCGATGCTGGCAGACTGAGATCCCGATACGCAACAGGGATGCTATCAGGAGCGGTGAAGTTGGGCCGATCAAGATCAACCGATTGTGTGAGCTCCGTACCGACTTGGAAGAGGGCTTGATCGGACCAGTCCCCAAACCAGTTGAGCACGCACCGGTTGAAAAGAGCTGGACTAGTTGCAGCCTTGGAAGACAGTCCATCCTCGGGAGGGTTCATGGTAAACACTACATGGAGATTCTTGACGATCTGTTGTGTAAACCATTTATAAAGTTCTTCTTGAGAGTCCAGAAGAAGGCCTTGACGTTGAGCGCCTTCTTTGCAAGCTGTCATCAACGACGCTAGCTCGTCGCCCTCAAAAAGGCCAGGCACCTCAGCATTCGCTAACAATGTGTTCATTCTCTCGAGGAAGCCAGAATCGAGAACATTCGACTCGTCCATGATGAAACAGATCTTCTCCCCCTTGCAACCACAGCGTCGAAGTACGTCACGAAGATCATCATCGAAATCCTCGGCAGAGTATTTCCCGTGCACTTTGATCTGGAAGACTTTGAGACCGTTCATCCAAGCGACAAATCGAGACAACGTAGTCTTGCCACTGCCACTGACTCCAATCAAAATCAAATGACCTTGAGGCTGTCTAAACACACGATCGATACGAAGTACGTGTTCCAAGACATCATTGAAAAGGATCAACGGGACATCAACTTCTTCTTCGCAGAAAGTCTTAAGTCTCGCTTTGACGAACTCACGCAGTTGTTCTCGATCAACAGGAACATAGTTCTTGGAAAGCCAATTGGAAAAGAGAATCGGGCCACCCAGAGCTTTCTCTTCATCGATTGTAGGGAAGAAATCGAGGGCAATACGACGAACGGCATCGTTAGTCCAATTTCTTTCTTCCTCTGCAACCAGTCGGTCCTGGAATAGTCGCAGAGCCTCATGGGCCCATATACGAACAAGTCCCTCGATAGAAAGCGTTTCAAGCGGTCGAATGGCCTCGTAGATACCTCGCACCCACCTAGTGAGTTCACGAGGACTGTAAACATAGTGAGGTTGGATTTTTGGAGTGAAGCGCTGCTGCGATTCCAGATAGAATTGGACCATTGCTTTGGTGAGTGCCTCAGAATAGCCTCTCAGCGATGGAACAATCTTGAGAACGGCGCTGTTGAAAGTTCCATAAATCTGTTGGAGCGAGAGCTCTCCAGGGTAGTCAACCATGATAAGTGGTGCGTGTCGTAAGAACCGCGCTCCCATTGGAGTTCGGCCAGCATCTGTAGGAGGATTGCATGCACCCACAAACTGAATGCGGTCGAGGGTGACCCAAGTTTTATCCGAGGTTCGCCAGAAACCATTTTGCTCTACGAGCTGTCGCAAAAAGGAGATTGCTCTCTGCGTGCCGTACCTGTCTGGTGCTGGCAAATTTATCTCATCGCAGAATAGCACAAGCCATCGACCAATTTGGGTGGGAGAAAGAATGACTCCGTTCAAGGTCTTCTTGTATTCACAGTACTGCTCGAAGGTCTTGATAAGCAAGTCTGGAGTAGTGGCGCTGGAAAAATTGAGTCCGACTACTTCCATGTTGGGTAACTTTCGAAGAGCACTGAACAATGTCATGGTCTTTCCAGATCCCGGAGGTCCGCATAGAACTAAAGGCTTGTGCTCAGCTAGCCAAGAATACAGAACATCTTCGTGACGAACTGTATCAAGTGTCGGGATAACAACATCCGTCTGAGTAATGGAGTGTGTATTGACCTCAATCGTTGGGACTTGGTTCTGCCACGATGACCACTCGGCTTTTGGTAAAGTAACATCGAAATCGATGAGAGAAGAGTTGTCCGCTAATATCGGCGATCCGAAAGTAGCAAGTCCGGCAAGAGCATCTCCGAAGCGTTTGCGGTCTCCGAGAGGGCAGTCTCCTGTCAATGACCAAACCAAGGCTAGAAGAAGTTTCTTTGCTACATAAGATTCGACTTGTTCCGGGTCAAGGGGAAAGTCCACATGCTGCGCATTGTATTCGATGATATCCCGAACAGACTTGTTGAGCAGAGAGAATAGAGTATTCAAGACTCGAGCAATGGTGAACTCCATGATATGGTTGAAACCTTGTGCACGTTCCAGAGCATTTGAAATGAAGTCGTCCGTGGTGAGGAATTCTTGCAGTAGGTCTGCTACTTGGCTTTGGATAGCAAGGGCCTTGGCAGCGCTCTGCCCTGTTGCAACGGCATCTTCATCAAGATCTTCGAATGCCACTGTTCTCAATGTATCCAAGTAGTTGGTGACCATCATGTTGGATGTCACTGTATCCTCACTGAACCACACCATTCCACAACGACTAACGGTTGCAAGAGTGGCATACTTCAAGGTCTCAACTTCGAACATGATCCGAACATTGGAGGGTAGATTGAGTCGCTCGCCGTTTGGCAGAGTCAAGAGTTTGTTGTCATCAAGCACACTGTTCAAATTCTCGACCCATTCTGGATCCACATCACCATCAAAGACAATCCAGTGTCGCTTGGTCTCCTCGCCACGCAAGTTATCGACAATCTTCCGTAGAATGCTTGTGAAAAGACCATCCGTCCACTCCCGGGTAGTAGAATCCAGGTTTCCGTACAGGGCCTCTTTCGACATTACTTTAGAGTCGATAATATGGCATACCCCTTCAACGCCTTCTACTTGTTGTAGAGCTTGCAGCAGAAGTTTCCAAGCCACAGATTTTCCAGACCCAGAGTCTCCCACCATCATCACACCATGATGGATAGTCTGTATTTGGAAAAGTTGAAGGATCTTCGTCATCCACATGTCATTGATAACGAGGTTTCTTTCCTTCGCGATGCTGCAAATGGCCTCTTGCAACTTTTCTAAGCTAGCGGGCACATATTCAACTCCAGGGAAAGACTCAGCCTCAATGGACCTCATAATTTCCACATCGCTCTTGATCAACTTCGGTGCAATGGTTTCCCGAATACTCTGAACAATGATTTGGGGTTCCACTTCTTCCTCTGGACCAAGATGGCCGCCAGCGTTGGTAAGTCGAGCGCGTTTCAAACCACCAGAGCTGACTAGCACACTTTTCAGTGCACGAAGCCCAAAGTCATAATGGGCCTGCTTTGACAGCCTTGCTGCACATCGATCAAAGAAGGGGACAGTCTGCTTCGATAATTGCTTTGCCTGATTGAAACCTTGCGAGTAGAGCATGACCTCCGCAATGAGTTCTTTGTCAGGTTTCGACATCGCAACACTTCGGAAAAGTTTCTTAAGATTATCGGGAAGATTGGAGCGGCCGGCGTATCCAGGGTTCATAGTAATAAATATCCCAGTGTTGGCATTTACACGCAGTTGACGGCCGACAAGTTCGATCTGGGACTTCTCATCCTCCATACCCTGCTTCAGGCCAAGCTGAATGTTCTGAACTTGCTGCGATACCGCTGATAGAATACGCTCCTCTAGACGATTAAACTCATCAAAACAGCCCCATGCTCCAACTTGACAGATACCTAAGAAAATGCGTCCCATAGCTTGGAAATCAAATGTATCGTCGCAACAGAATACAAGTGTAAATCTCCCAAGCTGAACACCCAAGGCCTTAACAGACTCCGTCTTACCTGTTCCAGCAGGCCCGTAGGGAGATCCACCAAGTCGTTGACAAAGTGCTTGTGTCAGAGTCAAAAAGCAGCGATCTGTCAACGGTGTTCGAACAAGACGTTCTGCAACCCCAAGGTATTCAAAGCCATAATTGAGCTTGGCATTCGCCATCCTGATGTGGAGACGCTGAAGGAAATCACTTTCTGCCTTGTATACATATCTCATTTGCAAGAGCCACATGTAGTGGTTGGGCGTGTTCGCATTCAGGTTGATGAGCTTCTCGATAACATCCCTCTGGTGAACACATTCCGTAATAAGGTGCTCGCATCTCTTTCTTTGGATAGGATCAAGGTCTCCAAGTACTGTTGCTGCGAGGAGACGGAGTACCTTGACCTCTTGATCATAGAGATTCTGCAATGTAGCCCCGCCAGCTTCAAGAGCCTTCTCAACTGACGAAGTCCATACAACCTGCGTAGCCAAAACAACTATCTGGGTGGGAAATGAAGAAATGTATTGGTTCAAAGCGGCTTGGTCGATCTCATCAGCTGCGAATAATGGGTCATATTGCTCAACAGCCTCGGCAAGTAGCTCGGCAAGAGTTGCCTTCATGCTGGTTTCCAGCAAAGCCAGCCAATCATTGATCTTTGGGGTTTTGATCAGTGATATCTCTTTTTTCAGCCTGACCTCTTCGCCTTCTTTAGATGTGAACCCAGATATGATGTGGTCTTCGTCCATGATAAGCCCTGATAGACCAGCAAACATCTTCTTGAAGTGTTTAGCAATTCGTAATGTGTCGTTGCTGTTGCCAATGATTTCAAGAAGGTCCTCATCACCGACAAAGTAGAACCGAGGAAAAGACACACGTTCTCTCTCAAGGTATTCACCAAGTGCTTTTTGAATCTTGTTCAGCAACTCTGCCAGTCGCTCGAGTGACTTCTGCACGCCGGAGATGTTGAGGACGTCTAACACAAATGGCTGTTTGTACACCTTCTTCATCACTGCAAAGAACTCTGAGTTGATGTTCTGAAACCTCGACGACTCGATTGGCAGCAGATGTTTGATGTCTGCATTGCCAGTGAAGACTCCTTCGAGGTAGACCCATTGACGCTGGACATCAATCCAAACATCAAACAGAACGTGGACACGATTCAGTTTATCTTCCCAGGACGAAGCTTCTTCCTCGAATTCTTTGTAGTACGGGGAGTGTCTCATTGCTTGCAAGGAATTAAGGTTTTCGCTGCATTTTGCAAACAAATCATCCCAGCCTCTTATTAGTCGGCATTTGTTTTGGTAGTTGACGAGCTCAAGGGAGTAGTTTGACCAGATTTCGCGAACTTGCTTCAAGAATTCTTCCAGCGCCATCTCACCTTGGGCTTGAGTAATGATATCTCGTATAACAACTTCGCTGGCTGCAAGATTGAGATCCCAAACTTCTCCAAGTGTCATGGCGATAGGGGAGTAGCGCTTTCCTGGCTTTAGGGCTTTGAAGATCTTGTTCCAGTGCCGGTCTCTGACAGCTTCGGATTTCAAGTCCGCGAGAACCGGGTTAACTTTGAGGAACTGCCGAAGAACATTTTGAATATGCTCGAAAGCAGCATACTGCCTCATACGGCTGGGCATCTCTTTCGTCATTTTGATGAGCCCATCTATTGCTGACCTGAGCTTGCGTGGCTGTACGCTATTCCAGAGGGTATCTCGAAGCTCGTTCAAGCTCTTCCAGATAGTAGACAGCGCGGCCCAGACGGATTTGAAGTCTTGTACCTCCTCGAGTATAGCTGTAAGAGCTGTATCCGGACTTGCAGGAAGGTCCAGTGCTTCCTTGGCTTTGGAGACCATCTCAGACTCCTCGTGGAGTTTCGTGATGCGGGTCTCAAAAGACGTCAGTGTTGCAGATGCGACATCAGGAGCAATGGTTCCAGACACAGGCTTCTCCTCGTTCCACTGGTTGATGATTTCTGCGATCTTGTCTCCTACTACCTTGTCTTCAGCGGTTATCTTTGCGCGAAGAGCGTCGGTTTGGTCCTGTACAATCTTGGCTTTCCGATTCAAGATCTCATTGAGAGCGGTCCATTCCATATCGATTTGTTCAACGCCAAGCCAGTCCGTAGGAAACTGGTATCTTTGTCTCACCAGCGTTGTCTGCCCCTGCTTAAAGATTTCCACTTCCGGGCCCCATGCCTTGACCTTGCGTTTGCACACCTGGACAATAGTGATGAATTGAACAGCTTGGGCGGTAGATGTTGCTTCTAAGGATTGTACTTCTAGATCTCTCCGTGACTTCTGAATTTCGGCGCAAACTTCACGTGCACGGCTGCCAAGACGCGTCGCAAACTTTATCAGAATCTCGTGCTGCCACTGGTCGTACTTGGCGTTGACTTTGGTCTGCACCTGATCATAATCGATCGTGAGGTGGCCAAAAGATCGACTGACCTCGGTCGTGTCGAAAGTAGATCTTGTCTTTCTGATCTCTTGAAGTAATTGCAACCATTTCGAAAGCTGCTCCCCAAGTATTTCGTACACTTGGTTGGATTGGAGGTCCCAAAGAGACTGGAACTGCAACCATTTATCGACGTAAATGCTAATATCGTGCAGTTTTTTCTCGATTGATGTGTAAACACGAGACAGGCTCTCGGCACATGAAGCTGGAAGATCTGTAAATCGAGCTTCGGCATCATTTCCTGTAGCTAAACTCATCTCGTATCTTGAAGCCTTCACTTTCCGAAGGTTGCAAACCACCCCAAGCCAATCATGCAGCTGTGAGAACCAACTGGCTCTGGCATATTCCAACGGGGGCTCCAGGTATATGACCTGATTACGCATCGTAATCTCGTGCACCAGAAGTTTCAGGGAAGGAACCTGCTCATTCTCTTCGGTAGTGGTACCGCTGAGATGCTTTCTGCGACTATCGTCATCGACACCTTCCGAACGAGCATTTTCAAAGGTCTCAATCCAAGACTCAATAGCTTTTTGTAATCGCGCAAGGAGAGTCGTCTTGATTCGTCCGTTCATCTCTCTAACCCAATAGGCCAAATTTACGTAGTTCTCGAGGTTCAGTTTATCAACCGCCATCTGTATGGTTTCAAGTCGTGCTTGGAAAGAGTTTGCATCGTATGGACAGGACTCCAGCTCCACTAATGCCTTCTGGACCGTGGCATTGATGGAAGCTAATGCCGAGGTCTTGCTCTGTAACAAAGAGACAGATAAAGCAAATTCCCGGATGAATTGGACATGTTTGCTCTCATTACCGCCACCAGGGATATGGCCGACAGATCCATTGGACAGGAACGAAGTTGGTTTGATATGAAGATCAAATGAATGTAGGAAGGACTCCCATTTCAACGGAATACCTTTCGAAATTAAAGCCTGGACATCATTTTGGTATCCGCTCAAAAGTATTGAAACATCGGACATTTGTGAAATTTGGCGAGTAGTTTGCGCCAGCGTCCGCACGCTCTCCATGAGGCTGACGGCATAAGGATAGACTCGCTTGGCTTCCTTCGAGACGTTGTTGATCTGGTGGGGAACAGCGTAATTAAGCCATAAAAGATTGCGGGTTTCCTTGAAGAGGGCAATAACTTGAGGGTCGAAATTGACAGCTAATTCCAATGCATAATTTGCAGCTCGGACCTTGTTGATATTGAATAGGCGTCCGGAAATAGAGACTTGTTTCCTTTGCACATCATGAAGCCAGGCCTCGAATATAGGGCGCGTATCTAGCTTCTTACGGAAGAGATTACTCTCGCTTTGGAGCTTTTGACCCTCAGAATGAAGAGCCCAGTCATTTCCGAGCACATCCTCAACCCTCTTCATATATCCATCGAGCTGCCGCTCAATCTGACGAGCCCAGATAATGGCTCCTGAAACTGGGGGCAGATCTCGAAGCTGGGCCATCGCATGTGCTTCGGAGTGGCCATATTGCTGCTTAAATCGTTCGTGCAAAGAGGATATGTCGCGCTTCACGTTATCTATCAATTGAGTTTGATATTCAGTGATCGCACCCCGTATCTTTGGTCGAACAAGGAGGGCATTGAACTTCGAAAAGACTCGGAACATCTCGTTGGCGTTCTTAGCCGTAGCTAATCGATCTCGTAATCGTGCGATGATAGAATTCTCCACACGCGATGTTCTTTCATTATAAGTATTCTCTGCAAGGATCCAGATTTGGGTCCCTTCAGGAGTTACATCGAGCAGGTCCACGTTATTCAAAGCAGCCCATGCTTGCTGAACTTCCTCAACGGCATCGACGTCGCCCATCTCTTCGACCAAGATGACTCCGTTGGAACCATCTGCGTGACCCTCCCCAGCCTTTGGTCCTAAAACATTGACCATGGTCCTTTGCAACTGCTCGTGGTTATCGCGAAATGTACCCACATACTTCAATCGGGCTTGCAGATCCGCATGCTTCGGATTAATCTTGATTGGGATGAACTTCTCATTCCTACGACGGGTAACTTCTCGAGCAACATTTGTGAATTCCTTGACATTCTCGTCCCAAGCTCTCCAGATTCCGTCCGCTGTTGCTAGCAGGTCCTTGAAGTCCCGGTAGTCCAGGTGCATCAGCGATCGGCCATGTAGCAAAGAGTGCAACTGAGTATCTAAGTCCGCTGAAATCGCTTCAACCAGAGGCAATGCTCTTCGAATGGGATATGGGCATATTCTAAGCTTCTTGTTGAGGTGCCCAAAAATCATACCGATGGCATCCTGGATCTTTGGTAGGGAGGTAGCAGACAGTAATTCATCCAGCGGGAAATCCCGCATCAACTGGTTGTATTTTTGCACCTTTTCCATGGCCTCTTTCAGACCAGTATCCGCAGCAAAACTAACAGTTGCTTGGAATCGCTTTGCGGTTCGGAGAATATCCAGAGTAAGAGTCACACCTTCGCTCCGCAGTTGAAGTTCAATCTTTTCGAGTGTCGACTCCATTGAAAGCCAAAAGTTAATTTCCTGTGTTGCCGTACCACTCTCAGGATCTCTTGACATCTTCGTGACTGCCTGTATAGATTTGATCCACCCATTCACGTTTGACTGTAAATTGTTCAGGAATGCGCTATCTTGCAGAAGTTCTGCAGGTATAAGCTCCACTGTAGGCTTGATGTTTCGAGCAGCAGCTTCGTCCAATGCATTCTGGACCATGGGGTGAAAGGGCAGGATCAAGTCTGGAATTTCAATATTCTGTTGAAGGTGCAACAAGCTCAACTCCAGCTCAGTTATCCTTTTCTTGGTCACAGGGATCCCCGTCTTTGCCTCCACCTCTGATCTACCTCGAGTACCATTCGTGGTCTGTTGTGTCCGAGTATACGCATCGAAGTATGGCGCCAGCGCTAAGTGCACAACAGAGTGTAATATTTCGAAAGGAGAAACTGACGTTCCAGCTTGGCCATTGCCAGTATTGTTTAACGAGGCCGTGCCGGGCAAATTAATTATTTGGATTTGAGCGGAAATGGGTATCGAAGGGTCCATAGGATGCGGCCGTTTCAAGAAGGCGACGGAGGCAGTCGTCGACGGGGAGAAGGAAATATCGGTAGCCAAGCTGTAAGTATAAGTTATCGAATCTGTGTCCAGATGTTAGCCAAGGTCAAAATGATGAAAGACCAGTGTATACTTGATGTGTCAATAACCCCATCCATCCCATCCCCCGCTGCGATATCTTTCTGGACATAGAGAGCAGCTTGGGATTCAGTTGCGAACCGGGAGCATCGTTGCACGGTCTCAGAGTACCGGGATTTTGAGAGGAGGCTGCCAACATTTTCAAGTTCTCTCCGCGAGGCGCCCAAAGTACTCTCGATGACCGATGCAAGGTACTCGACAACGAGGTTTGGGTCTATCGTGGGGAAAGCGGTAGTAGCAAGCCCATTTGCAGAGGGGCTTGCAGGAGAAGTGACCTCCATAGTTGTTGATTTATGAGTGCGATTTCATCGTTGAAATGCTTGCTTAGGAGGTCGAGAGTCGTCAGGCTGACAGTCACTGATGGCCAAGTGAGCTCAGCTGGGTTATTGGTTTAGTTGTGGAGGTTGTTGATTTTGTCCTGTCCACGTCGCGACCTCGCGTCTGAATCCACGGGAAGTTATTTAGTTTTAGGGAGGTTATTTCGTACCCCTGTATGCAGGCTGCACCCGAAGTGCAGGAGGCGGCGCCGGGACTTCGGTAGTACGTACGCTGATATATTATTATAATGATGGTAGACATAGAATTCACCGGGTTTATTATTTAACATCAGTTAAAGACGGTACGCAAAATAACATATTGATCGCGATCATCAACATCGGCTCCACTGATTATGGTGTCGTAAAGTCTACTTCGACTTACAACACAGCCTCTTCGAGCCGAGAAGTATGTAGCCAAGCTCAAGTAGAAGAATCAAACGGAGCACAGGTCTGTTGATGAGAACATTCTAATGGGGTCATGTAAATTACATATTCATACTGTCGTAGGTATTGCTAGACCTCCATAATACAATGTACATTTAGAACGAGAATCGATGGTTGCGGCAGTGATGTACAGTGGGCTGCGGAGAACCCGTGGAGAACTTTCAGGTCGGTCGACAGAACCTTTGCGGGTAGAGTATGGGTGTCGAGTCCAGGAGAGGGGAGAGGAGTGTAAGTGTCTAGCGGGCGGACGTCTAATCAAGTCCAACACCTGGTATTCCGCTGTCAGAGCTTGCAAATGGCCCGACGTTCAGTCCGGCATCAGCTGCAATCATCTCAGCAAGAATATCGAGTACAGGCTTCGGAACGGTTTTATCTGTTCTCCAAGTCAGCAGTAATCAGTTTAATAGGCGGAAGGACTGACCGTAAATTGTAATCAGATCTGATGGTTGAGGGTAGACTTTGAGTGCCTTGTAAAAGCAAAGGGCCGCTTCAATATTGTCGACACCTATAATCAACTGGTCAGATCGATGTTGTTTTCCAGATAAAACTTCAAGAAATTTCACCTTCTCCACTTAAGGCTTCGCCTCTCGACACCTCTTGCATGAAGAATGCCTCCTTCTCTTCCACGTCCGTAGGGAACCCTTCAGCCTGTGCATCTTTGACTGCGCTCTTTATAGCCGCCCTCGTGTGCAGCCTCTCTTGCTCGGCCTCTTCTCGTGCCAAGCGCGCTTGCCTCTTACTTTCCTTCCTGATCTGTTTCCTGAATGCTGGATCCGTTCTCCCTACAACAACATCTCAAAATCAGTATGGCTTGTATCATGCAACGCCAAGGCATCATTTGGAGCCGAATATTGTCCAACAGCTTACGATACTGCCTAGAAAGGAAGAGACTGGTGCGCACTTTTGTGGTCAAAGTAGAATGCGTATGCTGCGAAGAATGCGGTTAGCACGCGTTCATACAGTTGTAAATTTGACCACCAGCTCAAGTACTTACCAATGAAGCCCGTCGCGACAGTGCCCACCGTAGCGGCAACAATTGTCGATGTTGAAACCATTATGGAGTGTGATTTGTATCTTCTGGGCTGCGCGGTGCAAGAGGCCGATGAGGAGGCGATGGCGTCTGAAGGAGCAGCTGGAGATAGGTAGGTAGCTATCTTCGATTATTTTTTTGTATTTGAAGATGTTGATCCCTGAGGCATTTTAGCGTGGAACGTCAGTCGGGCCTGAGCTCTACCCACCTCATCCAGTCCTACCTACCGGCACTGAAGGAGAGCCAACATTTCCGCAATTATTCCTCGATATGTCTGAAGGGAAGGGCGATAAGGGGCTGTCCCTGCGGACTAACAGAAAAGCTCGAGCCCCGACAATTGCAAAACAGATCTCTGGCCCATTTCTGAGGGCAGGTGATGGACTACGGAGCGCGGGTGGAAAGGCCCCGTTTGGCTCATCACAACGACCACAGGGTGGAGGAAAGGTAAGCTTTGATTCTATGTTCTATAATTTTGTGACTAACAGGCATGATAGACGTCTGATCTTGTCAAACGACGATATTCTACTCGATTCAACAATCTACCGTCTGATTTCGACCCGACCGTGCCTCCTATCCCATCTCTACCCACTATCCCGAGCCAATATGCTTCGCCCGGAGATCAAGGACGCGGCACTTTACCTGCGAAAGGTCCTGGCTTATCCGTCGATATTAAAGCATTGAGAGATCCGAATCTACGTCCCGAACAGTATCTTGCTGGCCTTTTGAGTGGTGCCTCGGAGCAGGATCTCGATGACTACCAACAAGCATTACAGAAGCTGCGCAATCGAGCGTCAACTGACCTCCAGCAAAGCATCTACCAAAACCGAACTCAGTTTATTAAAATAAGCAAGGAAGCCGAGAAGCTCAAAGCGGAAATGAGGGCCCTAAGAAATCTAATGTCAGAGCTCAAGACTAATACGACAGCACTCAGGGCTGCATCTTCACGGGGTTCTGAAGGTGTGAATGATTTCGACTCAGGTTTTCCAACAACTTTGAGCAAGAGAGATAGAAGAAGTTCGGTAGCGGACCGAACTGTGATGTGGAATGCACAGCTTCAGGTAGGCAGCTCGAACAACGTTTCTTTTGTATGCCATTCCGCTAAGAGAAAATAGGCGTTATGGAAGACTGTTGAAGGCTCTCAGAAGTTCTTACCTGCCCTTTCAGGCCGCCACGTGGTACAGAATGCCGGACTATGGATTGAGTTGGACAATGCAACCTGGAAATCAAGAAGAGCTATGCAGATCATTTTACTCAATGACCATCTTCTTGTCGCATCAAGAAAGAAGAAGAAGGTCGATGGAAATGGAGCAGACCAAAGGCAAGCTCCCGTCAAGCTTGTGGCTGATCGCTGTTGGCCCTTGCTAGATATCGAAATGGTCGATTTGGCAAGGACTGGCGAGGCCAGTAGTGGGCGAAACAAGGTTGCGGATGCTATTATGATTAGAGGTGTTGGCCAGGAGTCTTTTACTTATCGTACTGAAAAGCCAGACGACAGTGAAAAGTCAACCTTGTTGATCAATTTCAGGAAGGCTGTCGAACAACTTCGGAAAGGGCTTAGGTCTGAGATGGAGAATAGCAACAAAGCAAAAGAGACGATCAACTACTTTGCATCACGCGATCCAGGTCTTCTCAAGAAGACCGAGTTACTTGAAACCCTGTCAGATATCAAGGACATGCTGATTGAGGTTGACGGAAAGCAGCAAAATTTGCGTTGGGTAGAGGGCCAGGTCGACGAGCTGGATATTGATATCGCTCTTCAACGTTTTGATGTGGCTGTGTCACGCGTTGAAAAGCTCAACGCGTTGGCCAAAGGTCTCAAAAGCAATGTGGTAGCACAGGATTTCATCAGCTTCAAGGCTGATGAGAGAGCAACGAAGCTTGCCAGTCTCATCACCCGCGAACTTGTTGAGACACATAACGAACTTAAGAAAACGAAGCGCAATGTTAACTGGCTGGCGCGCCTTGGTTTCGAGGATCGTGCGAGAGAAGCTTACCTAGAAGCACGAGGCAATGTCATACATAAGAGATCAAGGTACGTAATACAACTAACGTCTAGAGATGAGCTCTACTAATAGTCCCAGACAATGTATTTTTGAGGGTGACCTCCACCAATATATTTGGGCAGTGTCCTTTGTGTACTTCACCATTATACGAAATACTGTCTCGACGTTCCAGACTTGCTTTCCACCCTTGCTCATGAGCGCCTGTGTCAAATGGGCTAAAGAGCAGGTGGATGCATTCAATGTCATTCTAGTTCGACAACTTAGCAGCACTGATCGAGGTGGACCAGTTTGGACTGAATGTATGAATCAAGCAAAAGAGCATGCTAAGATGTTATCTGAGGTCGGATTGGATTTTGAGAGTTTGATAGGTCGTGATCCCGTCCCGGGTCAAGGTCAAGATGGACCAGTAGGGTTGGGATTGGCTTAATGAGACAAATATGAAAATCATATTAATTATAACATAATCGTCCGTAATCAAGTCAACAGAAACCTTTGATGAGATCGAATTTCAACTTCTGTGCCCTCACACACGCCTTCTTGCCCAGTCCATCCTCCAAATTTAAGCGAGATGGCGGTTCTGCCCACCGCTATCGAAAGCCGCCGTTGAACACGTCTTGTTTAGACATCCAAACAACTTCTTGTGATACCCATAGGCGCAATAACTAACGACCATATCTTTGCGGTCTCACGTGTCATCGAATCACGCTCGGCGATATTCGACTCCCTCCAGAGTCTCCCCAACAGCCTTGCCGGAACCTCAGCGCGCGCCCCTGGTCGTCATTGAGCCAAAGCTCCCCACCAACAACGAGACATCCTGATCGCCACAGCAGAGCAGGAACAATATGGATACCAATATGGAGGATGTTAGCAGGACACCTGAGCCGTCGAGGTTATCTCCAACATCAGAGCCAGCCACGATTCCGACCCTCGATGGATGGATTGAGAGCTTGATGACGTGCAAACAATTGGCCGAGGTCGACGTGCAAAGGCTCTGCGAGAAGGTATGTGCCCTTCGCAGGTCTCAATAACATTGGGACAATGGAAAGCATTAGGTGTACTTTTGATCGATTTCTGACGGTTCATTCCCCAGGCGCGAGAGGTCTTGCAAGACGAGTCGAATGTGCAACCGGTGGTAAGATGTTCTCGACCACTGATCCTTGGTTCATGTGCTAAGATGGTATTAAGAAATGCCCTGTAACAGTCTGCGGGGATATTCATGGTCAATTCCATGACTTGATGGAGCTCTTTAGAATTGGTGGTCCAAACCCAGATACAAACTACCTGTTCATGGGTATGTAATTCCTTGGGACGACGCGCGAGCAGAAGACATGGCTAAACATAGTTTCCAGGCGACTACGTTGATCGAGGATACTACTCTGTAGAGACGGTCACCCTCCTCGTTGCTCTCAAAATACGATATCCCCAACGCATCACAATCCTCCGCGGTAACCATGAGTCCCGCCAAATCACCCAAGTTTATGGCTTCTACGATGAATGCCTCCGAAAATACGGCAATGCCAACGTATGGAAATACTTCACAGATCTCTTCGATTATCTTCCTCTCACTGCACTCATCGACAACCAAATCTTCTGCCTCCACGGAGGTCTTTCCCCAAGTATCGATACTCTTGATAACATCAGAGCGCTTGACCGCATACAAGAAGTCCCACACGAGGGTCCGATGTGCGATCTTCTCTGGTCCGATCCTGATGATAGATGCGGGTGGGGGATATCACCAAGAGGAGCGGGGTACACCTTTGGGCAAGATATCTCGGAGGCGTTTAATCACAATAATGGCTTGACTCTTGTTGCAAGAGCCCATCAGTTAGTCATGGAGGGGTATAATTGGTCTCAAGATAGGAACGTTGTGACCATTTTCTCAGGTTCGTGTTGATTAGCTATCCACGCCGATCAAGCTAACAGTCGCAGCTCCCAACTATTGCTACAGATGTGGCAATCAAGCAGCTATCATGGAGATTGATGAGCATCTGAAATATACATTGTATGTTACGACACTGATCCGCGTCTATGGTACTCGCTGACGATTTATAGCCTCCAATTTGACCCATGCCCGAGAGCGGGTGAGCCGATGGTATCACGCCGTAAGTTAGCAAGACCCCGTCAGACAAAACTCCCGGCTCACATATTTAGGCACTCCCGATTACTTCCTCTAGGCGTGCCATGCCGAGATGGATGTCCTATACTCTACCTGCGCCGGGTAATGAAGCGCTGCAGGAGTGAAAATCCTGTTTATGTACGAGTAGCCTTGCGGCATACCTTGGGTCTGAGCTGGAGGTTGCCTGGGAGCCAGCAATGGGCAGCTCGGCGCGCTTTCTGTAGAATTGCATTAGACTCTTATACGAATGCAAAAACGGTTTGACATGGGTCATGACAGCGTCTACAGGTGCAATGCCCCCTACCTGGCTGTGGTCTCTTCTCGTGTAATTCTGCGCCAGATCTATTTGTTCGTTGGGGATTGAGTTGTACAGCAGGCGGGTGAGAATAGTAGAATATCCCTTGTCTAGTACATCCCTAGAAGTGGAGATGGCCACCCTTGGCCGGTACCCCGTGCTGCTAGTTGACAGACGGGGTTTTATGCGCCAGCGCTTTCCCCAAGTAGAGACGATCGTCGGGGCCTCCCGATCTACAGTAGAATCCTGTGCTTCTGTACCTCTCTATCGACGATGGGACATGAACATACTTATATTGTGGCTTAGGTAGGCAGAGTCATCTCTACGGAGTAAAGAGTATTTCTTTCCTCCATCTTTCCATCTCCCACCAAATTTCTCAACGTCCCAGCTGCAAACAAAGAACGTCCTTGGTCTATTGAGAGTGTTGAAAATCAAGGATACATAAGTCAGTTACGCATCAGAAGAGCCGCATTGTATCTACAATGCCTTCGCCAATGGCAGTGTGTTATTAGTGTCTCCATCATGATAATCAAACACTGATCTCTTGATTCAGGTGCTGCCACCACACAAACCCAATCGACCTGGTTTAGGAGGAGAGCCTACGAGGATTCTAGAAGACCCATCAGCTGCGTTTTCCTCGTCCTCTCCCTGCGACCCTTGAGGCTAGTTTTCTGGACGGAATAGGATACGTTACGCAGCCTGTCACTAAACCTGCGTGGTACCATTCGAAGGAATGCTTTTACCTGTCCGGTTTCACTATTGAACGGACTGTCGTTGCTCCATATGCTGTGGTCACAGTCAACAAGAAATTCATTCTTCCGAACAAAACTCATGGTCCTGGGCATTACTCGCGTGGAGAAACTGATGGCACCACAGAGGAGAAAAAAATCCAATGTGTTGAATAAGGATGGTTGTCTCAGCCCTAGCATCAAAGGTTGCGGCAACGGCTCAGTCTGGACTAAGGAGGACAAAGGATGATTTGGAGACTGTCCTTCCGCTAGATAATTCTGTTGATACTCCAGCTCCATCCCGATCCCCAGCCCCAGCTCATCCTTCTGGTCTTGCTCCAACTCCCGAGATCGAGTATCCTCCCGCAGAAAACGAAACTCGAATCTCCATCGCTGAGGAGGCTATGTATGACAGATAGGCCGTTTGGTCAGAGCCCACCAGCGCCTGTTGAGAGTGAAATCTCCTCCCACCGAAGACGAAACTCCAGCTTTTATCGCGGAGGGTGCCAAAATGGGATAAGCCAGTTGATCAGATCGCACCAGGAGCTACCGAGAGTGGAGTTATCAAAGAATATCCTGATCCTTCTCAAGCTCTACCTCGGTTATTTGAAGCGTTAAGGCATGCGGTTAGGTGTGTCCAAATGGTTATAAAAGTTATGAAGTGCCTCATGTTCGCATGACATAGCTTGGTATAAGGTAGCATAGCATAGCCTAGCATGGCATGGCGTCTAGGTCTTATACCCAAGAAAAATTCGCTGGTTCGAAACTGAGATTTCTGGTCTCATAAACCACAAATAATAGTAGTAGTAGTAGTAAAAAGCTCACTTTCTCTGTAATTTACGGTTTGCCTGCCCAGGTATTGAAATTAACATAGCCTGTTGATATATCACGTGACCAACCCGCTTGCCCAACTTTCGCTTACGGCATACACACCGGCGTCGAAATTGATCAATCCGCACTCCTCCTCGATCACCAATTCATTGCGCAAGTGATAGGTTTACCCAGCCATTATTTGAAGCATTTCGCAGATCGAGTCGACAAGATGTCTTTGACTCCACAAGACAGCGCGAGGTCCGCCTATCCGCAGACAAACCCGTCACGACACGTTTTTCAAAGCCAGCCAAACGTGTCGACCCCATCACCCGTGCAGCAGCAACAGCAGCAGCAGCAGCAGCAACAACAGCAGCAACAGCAACAGCAGCAGCGTGCAAGCTTTCCTCGACCAACCCAAGGCGGAATCCGTCCTCCAGGACAGCATCAGTCACCTTACTCTACCCCATATACCCCGAACAATCCTCAACCAGGGCCTCCTAGACAGAATGGAACTCCAAGTGTATCTGCGGAACAGCAGATTGCCCAAGGTGTCCTGAGCAATGCGCCTGTTGGCTCCAGCTCCAACACCCCTCAACGCCGACCTCCACCACTGGGAGCAACAATCCATATACCTCCTCATGGCACTCCTCAACCGCAGTCGATGACTATGAATAATACTATTAACGCAACTGTTTCTGCGAATCAAAACCGCGACTTTGCCACCCAGAGACAGTCACAGAATGCGTCTCCAGCCCATCAAACCCTTGGTTCACAGAGACCATCGATGAACGCTACTTCTCCTGTCAATGGAAGTCTCATACCAAGACCTGAAGAATCGTCTCCAGGAGAGTCAATGGATACCACACAGGATATGTCTATGATCGACCCACAGCTCGCTATCGATCAACAGCTCATCAGCAGCTCCAATAATTCTTTGATCAGCCAACCCAGCCCTGCACCACCCCAAGTCACTCAAGGGGAGATGCTGTCCCCGCCACCGGGAGGCAGCTACCCTACCTTCGAAGCCCTCTTTGCTGCAGCACAAGCTCATGCACTGGCCCACGGCTATGCATTCGTTATCGGAAGATCGAAGCGTGACAATAGGGGTCTCAAAAAGGTGTTTTTGATATGTGATAGAGGAGGGAGCAATAAGGAGAAGGTCGTTGGAGAGCAACGTCAGCGTAAGACCAAGTCACGCAAGTGTGGCTGCGAGTTTGGTGTCTTTGGCCTGGAGAACAAGACCTCGTGGCTTCTCAGAGGCCGTATTGACGGCGAGCATCTGACACATAATCATCCGCCAAGTGAGAGTCCTACCGAGCATCCAGGAGCGAGAAAGCTGGATCCTAAGGCTATTGCTGCTGTGAAAGCTTTAGAGGAAAATGGTCAGTACCCTTTTTCCATTTACCTTCAAAAGACTATTGATTAACAGAAAACAGGTGTCTCCGTAAAAGAAACCCTTGAAATCCTCCATCGTGAAAACCCCAACGTCCGCTATCTCCCCCGAGACATTTACAATGCTCGTGCGGCCATCAAGCGTGACCCCTCGCGGGTCGAGGCGACTGCCATGGACTCCCTGCCCACATTCTACAAGAAGCCCCCTATGACCTTCGAGGAGAAGCTTCGAGCCGAGCTGAGGACAGAAGTAGCCAACGCCCAAGCGGAGAACGAGAGGATCAGGGCGGAGTGGAAAAAGGAAGTCGAGGAACTAAAGGAGCAATTGAGGAATAAAGACAAGATGATCCAGAAGTTCGAGATGTTTATCGACATTTGCAATGAGAGGGTTATGGTGCAGAGAGAAAGATTGGCGGAGGGAGAGAGCAGTGCAAATGCAAGTGGTTAAGACATGAATGGGCCATGTGGCTGTATGGGACTGGAATCGTTTGCTCTTTGCTATCAGGGGCGGCGTCCCCATGGAAAGGAGAACGAGGTGTATTGGATTCAGGGGCTGGGGACTGTAACAAGGGAATTTGCAACAGGACAGGTTTTTCCTCTTTTTTTTTTCGCTTTCTTCTTCTCCTCTTACGTCCGATATTGCTCTAGCGTACCTCGAGGTAGGCATAATAGAAACATGAGCTTGTAATCCTAACGAGATAATCTTTCATGACTTTTATCTCCGCATGGTCCTCGATAGAGACTACTTACTTACTTATATGTACACTAATCGTATCCTCATGAGTCTATCTCAACCACCTCCTTCTCCCCCATAACCTCCCCCTGACTCCCCGTCAACGCAACCTTATTCTTCCCCTTCCTGAACACCCTCTCATCCCTCGGATCAAAACCGCCCTTGCCCCACGTGGCCCACTCGGGCGTCTCAGGGCCCATATAATCCTCAGGCGTGAAGCTCTTGCCGCTCTCCAGACACTCAAAGAACTTCTCGTAATCGATGCGCGTGTGCCATTTGCCGTTCTTCTTGAACCGGTCGCTCGCGATCAGGATGCAGCAGCTGTGGGCGTGCTCGGCCGCGATGCCGTAGGCCAGGCCGCGGCGGGCGAGCGCCGCATTCAGGGCTTCGACGAAGGCGCACACTTCTTCGTAGAAGGGCACGTTTTGCATGGTGAGCCCGGCGCCCGCGGACGAGGAGGTGCCGCAGTAGGTTACGCCTTTGACTTCGACGAAGCAGGGGAGGCCTTTCTCGACGAGGTCCGCGTAGCCCTCGGCCTCATCCTCGATATTGAAGCCTTTGACGAGGGTCAAGCGGAAGACGGTGCGCTGCTGGAAGCGCTTCTCGCGGAGAATGTCGAGGCAGCGCTGGAACCGCTCCCAGAAATCGCGGTGCAGCGGCCGGTCGATCTTGCGCAGCGATTCGCGGTTCGAGGCGTCGATGCTGACATATAGTTGAGTGACGGGCTTCAGGGCTGCGAGCTGGTCTGGATGCTGAGCGTTGCAGACTAGGAAGGATGAGATGTGCTCTTTATGCAGCATGGCTGTGAACTCATTGATATGGGGGTAGAAGATGGGCTCGCCCACGAGAGACAGCGCGCAATGGCGAATCTGCATAGCCTCTGCGAAACGCTCAGCGCGGACACCAGGCACGCCACGCATCATTTTGATTTTCTTGTAGTGGCCAGCCTTCACTCCGTTAAAGATCAGATCGGGAGGGTCAACGACCCAGCGCCAGGTAGTGCCAACAGGGTTGGTCCCATGACGCCAGCAGAAGACGCACTTGTTGGAGCAAGAGAGGGAGGGTGTCGTTTCCATACATTGGTGGGAGGCGATGCCGTAGAAGGAGTATTTGTAACAGGACCCTCTGCCGCGGAGGGCGGACTTGGTCCAGCGACAGATCTTGACCCCTGAGTGGGATCCAACTATTGAATAGCCTTGTTTTGTAAGAGCAGTGTAGGTAGGGGAATTTTTAGGAACCATCTCTTTGGTTACTGCGGGAGCTGTAGGTGGAGCTGTAGGTCGACCTCCCTTGCTATAAGTGGTGAAGTCTACCTCGAGAGGTGCAGACGATTCGACATTCTGCGCGGATGGAGTCTTGTTTAGAGTACCGCCAATGTCTTCCAGGTCATTTAATGTATCCTTCTTCTGGAGTCTTGACTTTCGTTTTGCGACCTCTTGCTCTTCAAACAAGACCTCCCCATCATCCTCATCCACGTCTTCAACGTCACTTTCAACAGCATCTCCACTCCCAACGACGCCCTCTCCTAGACTTCCAGTTTCGGCAATATGGGCTAAAACGTCCTCCACCCCTTCTTTCCACTCCTTTAGACGCTCAGTAGCATCTCTCTTGGGGTCGCCCAGGCCCAAGGGGAATGCTCTCTTCCTTGCGGTCAGTTTGGCCATCCATTTGTCCACTTCTCTCGCCTGCGAGCAGAACCCCTCTTCTTCCGTCGGCCAGCCCTCTCGATCCCCAAATCCAAACACGGAGTACCCCAGTAATGGGGACAGAGGCGCAGTATCTATCCTGAAATCATGGTGCGTCTCTTGCAGATGCTCGAGGAAATTGTCCAGCACCGTGTCAATGTTATACGTTGGCAGGAGCAGAAGGTAGAAGTAGCTAATTCCAGGTTCGCCTTTTGGTGGGGTAATGAAGTATTCGTCGTAGTCTATATATGACAAATCAAGTAATTGAGGTTCGAGGAAGATGGCCGAATCTGCCTGGCTCTTGGCCAGTTGTTCCGTGAATACCTTGGCTGTCTTCTCGGTGGTGCCAGTCAAGGACGAGAAGAAGATCAACACCTGAATCTTTTGCTCTCTGGGTCTAGCATCTTCTTGTGACGAACTCCGCTTTTTAAGACCACCCACAATTCTTCGGGGGGCCTTCGCCACGGGTATCTTCGAGTCTACTACCAAGAGTTTCTCTTTCTCGGCAGGCAGGTTTGGAGAGGACGGAGGCGGCGAGTCAGATAGCTTTTCCCGGGGTGCTCGGATATGGAGAATGGTTCGAAAAACTATAAGGATCGTGAAGGTCGAGAGAATAATTGGGATCCGATATGTGTGCCAAAGGGCCACAATATCTTCTGCGCGTTAGTAAGAGCGCATAGCTAAAAAAAAAGATTCCAAGCGCAAAGATGTAGGTAGAGGTAGGCATACCAGTGATCTCTACGGGCCACAAAGCCTTCTGAGGCCAATTTTCGTGGGCCATAGTGAAGATATAGAAACGATGTTCGCAAAGGTTGGACCAAAGAAAGTATCCAGTGGAGGGGCATTTTCCCTCTGTGATCGTCGGTAACCTCCGTAGAAGCCCCACTTCAGCCTCGAACTTCGACAACCTCCTTACATCTTGCCTTACCTTACTTTACTGAATTACCAAGTTCAAAGGCTTAACGTACCACGCTCTGGAATATAATACTCTAACCTTCCCTGTTTGCCGCTGTTTTAATAACCATTACTTCTATCTCCTTTGTCAATTCTTCATATCATCCCAGTTTCTTCTCCATGTCCCAGCAACAGGCCATCCTTTCCTAAGATTTATCCTCCATTCCAGGACATACTTGATGGGAGGTTAATGCCTAGACTCTCTAGCGCCGAAGAGCACGGGGCTTCGCGATAGCAAGAGAATCCCGAAGGGAAAGCAGACAGGGCTCTGAGCAGCCGGCATAAGGCTGTGATCAAAAGTCACCACTCTTGCACAGAAATATCTAGCATTTCAACCTGGACTAAACAACACAATAGAGAACCGATGGGCTTACAGTATATCCAACGATCTAATCAGAGGTTCTCTAGAAGAACTCCGAGTTGTTGAATATGCTCTCATATCGACTATACAAGATAAATATATTAGAGCCGAGAAACTTCTCAGAGGGATGGGGACATTGTAATAGACAAGTATAAGATATACCCCTCGAAGAAAAAAAAACTGCGGCCACACTCTATTGAATATCTTGGTCGGGTACTATGGGAGTTCTAGTCTAATATCTATTTTACACACATGGGGGTACAGATTACTCGATAGGATGGAGTGATGGTTCTAGGACAATGCCGCAGTTACGGTGGGACCTAACGGTCTTCAGTACTGCTTGTCTGCTGGCGCTGAAGAGATGTTCTACACTTCGCAACAGCCTCAAGTTTTTGTTGCATTAAGGCGCGGGCGGGGGGGGGGGGGGTTGCGAGTTGAAGGCTCTTAAGGTATCAAATTCCATAGCTGGTGACTCGTCTTATCCTTTGTAGGGGACGAGACATGGTGATTCCTGCTAGCTGGGTAATATTGGGGAAATAGAATCTTTTAATTCCATTGATCAAAGAGCTACCTACGTATCAGGACCGTTCACCACTGAAGAACCTCTTTCCGCACCATGTGACTTTTGGAGTACATGTGAAAAAGAGGCTGATCACATAAAGCCCAGCCCTCCAAATTCAACATCAGCCCATCATAATGCAAAGTAGGTAACAAACCCGGGTATCTTCCAGTCCGCACCAACCGAAAAGAAAAGAAAAAGGAAAGAAGCGCCACGAAGGCAGGGTATCTCCATGCACAAACCACAAAAGCAAAATCCTCCTCACAGCTGGTGATGATGCAGATGTCCGTGCCTATGTTGATGTCGATGCTTCAACTTGTGGCTCGGGATCACATTTGCACAGCTTCCAAATCGAGACTGGCAGCCCATACCACAATAGAGATCGTTGAGGCCACACCAGCCATGAGCAGAGCAGCAATCACCGAAGAAGCTTCCCAGACAAGTCCAAGTGCCCTCAGCCAGCAGTCCACACTTTCCATCTCGCGACATTTGCGTTGGCATGGGTAGCTTAGCGGAGGAGGTGGTGGTGGTGGGCATGGATACGATGATCTGAGAAAAGGAGGTAGCGGGGTTATCGGACACGGTGCCGGTAGTGAGGTGAGTAGGCTCGGGCTCCGGGAGCGTGGTGTGTTCGGTGCTGTAGATGATGGTGGGCAGGGGAAGGACGAGCTCCGTGCGTGTGAGAGGCGGGCCGGTGAGGTTACCAGCGCTGCAGGCGTTTTGGATCCCGTCACATTTGGCTTCCCAGATGCGGCAGTTTTGAGAGCCGGTGGGTGGTGCCGTGTCATAGCAGGTCTTGCATTGCGCGTAACATGCTGCGCTTGCCTGTGGACTTTGTCAATACCGGCGGGGAAGGGATGGGAGAGGGGATGGAATGGCATTACGTACGTTCCAGCAACCGGTTGCGGTTGTGTAAGGGTCTAATTCAACGCCCCACCAGTTGGCATTCGTCAAGATGGCATTACCTGGGAGAAGACCTTCGGATTGAGTTTGGGGTCGCAGCGCAGCTTTGATCTTGATTGCGGGCGAGGAGCCACCAACATATGGTGTTGGACCGGGCATTGGATATGGCCATTTCGGGGTGTAGATATTGAAGAGAACCGACGGGTCGTTGATATTGACATATCCGGGAATGCTGACCGTCTGGGCCGGGTGCGCGGCTCCTGTCGAGTTGAGGAAGATCTGGGCACACCCAACATAGAACTGCGGATTCGGGGGCGTCTTGTCGGCCTGGTGAAGAGCAAGTAGTTCCGGTCGAACGAGATAGTATCCACCAGCCAAGTCATCAGGGATATCGACCGAGAGGTAACCGTCGTTGGCGATGAGCTTCTCAGTGCACCACTTGGAAGACTTTGAATCGTAGCCCTCGTCCCAGATCTTGAACCAGCCAGCTCCAACAGCCGGGTCGTCGATTGCTGACTGGACAGACTTCATGTAGACGGCGCAAGGGCCTTTGTGAGAAGGGTCAAGCGCTCCGGGGTAAGAGTTATCAGCATACTCTCGAAACTGAAAGGTCAATTGAGATGCTCGATTGGCAGAGCAAACGCGGGGGACGCCAGCAGTACCATCATATCCTGTGAAGTATTTAGTATGCGTGAGAGATCTCTTGGGTTCCAGTCCTCTTCAAACATACCACAAGCCATGGCGCTGCTCTCAAGATCGTTGACAGGGAATGTAGCGTTGGACGGAGTCATGGGCATACGAACACAGGTGCCATCACCTTGGTCGACATCGTTCATGAACAGAGTCGTAAAGACAGTGTGCGCGGCAACGGCTTGAAGGATTGCGAGAGCAACCGCGAATACAAATAGCTTCATTTTCGCGGTCCTCTCGTGCTTCCTTCGGGATGTGCGATATGGGATTTCGTTGACAGTTTAATGGCTTTCGAAGAAAGAGAAGGTATGAGATCTAAGATCTCAAAGAGATTTGAGGGAACGATTCTGTTGTTGTGTTGTTGTGAATGGGAAGACGCGTTGTCAAGACGAACGTGATCCGAAGCAGATGAATCCATAAACAAAACAAGCCGAATGGAAAAAAGACCCTCACAATTCACCTCTTGCTCAGCTAAAGTGAATGAACTTCAGCAATCAACAACCTTCATTCCCTCCACGCTAAAGTGATATTATACACAAGTAGGTCTCTTCTAGCTAAAGGACAGACTTCTGGTCCTCAAGTCCCATGCCGGAGGCGACACATGAACCTCACAATTTACTCCATAGATATGGACACGAAAGATCTTGCTGACTGTCCTCCAGGCTATACCGAACTTTGGTCAGATGGAAGCCAGAGCGGAGAAGGACTGGTTTGTAAGAGTAGCTCTGAACTTCTTGAGCAACCCAAATCTTGGATCCAGATCCCAAGCACCAAGAGCATCCATCACGAATTTCCAGGCAACGAAAGTAAGATATCTTCGGAACTGCAGAGAGGAGATTCATTTCATGTACAGCAGATAGCTGGCCAATGTAAAGGCAGACACACAAAATCTCATCCCCATATATGCAAATCAACCATCACTCCCCGCAATCATTATTCGCTATGCTGGATTTTTTTTTACAGGTATAGTACATTTTTCCCTATTCCTCTTGTGAAACGGGTTGATCATTATCTATTCGTTGATCTTGGCAAGGATACTGGATATTATGTTAGACCGTATAGGTTGATGGCATATGAGGGTTGAGCTTACTCGTGATCTCTGAACAGAGAGTATTCTTCGTCTCCAACCTTAACGGGCGATCCACCGTACTATAATGAACATGTTAGACACTGTACCTCGGACCCAGGTGTCTCAAAAGGTTCTTTCTCCATCCAACTCGAGACCTATGTCTCTCTCCAAACATCCCCCACTCATCATAATGCAGAACAACTCACCTGTGGGATCAAAACCTTGTCACCAGGCGCCACACTAGGGGTAATTCTCTTTCCATCCTTGTCCAGGCCACCGGGACCAACAGCCAAAACTCTCGCCTCGTTGAGTTCCTTGACGCTCGACTCCGGGAGATAGATACCAGACGCGGTTCTGGCCTCTGCCTTGATGCGCTGGACCAGGACGCGGTCGAGGAGAGGGGCGAGGGACTTGATGGACTTGAGTGCGGTAGTCTGTTTTCGTGCTCCTGTAAGTATGTGTTGTACATTGTTGTCGGAGAGCTCTCGGGCGACGGGGTGGTATGCTTGTCCATATGATACCCGGAACAGATGATGCTCGAAAGAAAGGGACTAAATGCTTACCATCTTGAAAGCTTTTGTGGAATTTGAACCGGAGGTGGTTTGGTAGAGCGGTTGGATGTGTTTTTGAGCGGATTGGAGAAAGCAAGGGGGTTTATGTACTTGTTAAGTGAATGTTTCTATTCGCGGTTCATCGAGCTTCGAAGACATTCCGACACTTTTTTTGCCGAGCTTTCGGTCAAGCCACACCGGACCATACCGCAACGGGTACAGTCACATGATTCCCCCTTTTCCTACTTCTGGATTAGGCAGGCATGAGGATATCCTACAGATCACTTGCTTTATCTCAGCGTTTTGATTGATTGAGGCTGCTAAAAACCAAATGTACTGCATTAGAAAGACGTAAGTCCCATTCATCTAGTCTGCCCAGGAGGATACACGCTTCCCAAAACTCTGATCATTCTTGACCTCCAGTATACAAATTACAGTAGCTTGTCTACCGTAGAATATAAAGTTTCTACAAAACCGCAGATGCATGCGCGAAACAATATGAACAATTAGAAGGTTATCCCGGATACTCCGTAAGCCCAAAACACCACCAGCCAATGCAATCACCAACCTTATACCCCGCCCTGTCTAAAATTCAGATGAACCCATCTACTTCCCATTTGTAGGCTGTGGTGCTGGTGGTTCTAGGGTATGGGTATGACCGGGAGCGCGGAAAACTTTGCCATGGTCTTCCTGTCGACAAATAACTGTCCCAGAGACCCACGGGTCCTCCAGAATTTCTGCCAAGACGGCCCTTTTCTTCGGATCAATCTCCAGCATACGCCCAATAATGTGTCTACTCTCTCTGGGAAGAAGTCGTAGAAGGCGCCATGGTCCTTTAATGACCTCGGGTTTCTTTTCCCCTTCCGTGGTCCGATTGTTGGCGGTAGCGACAGTTGATGGAGGGAATTCACTGATGGGTGTGGTTGGTTTGGAGTTTGCCGGGGAAGCAGTTGGAGATTTAGAGGGCACGCCATCAGACATTCTTCTCATCTCCGTGCCAGGTGTTGGGGGTGAAGCGAAGAGTTTGTAAGAATTATCTGTCATTCGTGGCATCTTCCAGGGGAATCTCCGCAGCGACATGCAGCAGAAAATGATGGCGAGTGACCAGACATCGGTAGGCTGGGGATCGTATTTGCGCTCATCGTAGACCTCTGGAGCAAGATAGGGGTCAGATCCAACGATACCTGGAGACAGTTAGAAAGACCTATTTTAAACAAGGCAGGGTCATGCTTACCACTTGCTAACGTGATCCCGTTTTCAAAAGGATACTTGAAGACGCTAGCACTTCCGAAATCGATGATCTTCATAATCCCATACTCATTGACGACCACATTATCAAGCTTCAAATCGCGATGAGCGAGTCCCATACTATGTAAGTAGGTGACACCGCTGAGGATCTGCAAGAAGGAGCAGCTGATCTCCTCCCGAGACATCTTTCCGGTCATGACAATTGCGAACAAGTCAAAAGGCGCGTATTCCATAACTTCATACCACTTCCCTTTCTCATGTACGATATCCAGCGTCTCAACGATGTTGCCGTGGTGGAGAGTAGACCCAATACAGAATTCCGCCGTTACTTTCTTCGCATACTCTTTCTCGGTTTCATAGGAATGCCTGGCTCGGAACTCCTTGACGGCAAAAGTTGTTCCATCACTACTCCGCTTCATCAAACGTACGGAACCGCCAGCTCCTGCTCCCAGAACCTTTCCAAACTTTCCATACTTTGATGTCAACCCGTGATTGTCATCGAAAGGAAGCTGTTGTGGGGTCTTGTGATGAGGGGGAGTCTTGGTCCCTGACTTAGAAGAAGGTGTGGGCGAAGCCGCCCTTTTCGATTTATTACTCCCGATTTTCAGAAATCGCTTTAATTCTGACATAGATCCATGCTTGCTATGCAGGGTCGATGAACTGTCATTGTTCAAATGGGCATGGTGATCTTTATGGCCGCCGAAAATGAGCGAATGTCTCTTATCTTGTGTACTCATATCTGCAGTACTTCGAGATGATCGCGGGAGGGTAGCGAAGGAGGCGCTAGGTGAGGGTCGGTGTTTGGAACCTAGTGCAGTGAACTTGAACCTTTGATCAATGGAATCAAGATTCCTCGACTGTGGAGGGCGCTTGTGAGCAGCATAGGGGTCATTGGCATCCCCTGCTGGCGTGAATGGCCTGCTGTAGACTGGACGAGACGGACTTGGATCGCGAGAAACAGGAGCAGAGGCAATCCCAGGGCCAATCGAAAATGTAGGGTGATGCTTTGGCCGTGTCTCCCTGTGATCTTTCAAGTCGGCTGTAGTTTTAGACGTCTCTCCTTTCGATCTTGGTCGGGACTCATCTACGGGCGCAGTCGACGAAGAGGTTCTAGGTGGGGAGATCTGTGGAGTAATCGCTGTGGGATCTTCGTCTGCTGGGACCTTTTGAAGAGGGGCGCCTTTGATCTGTGCCTCGACTTCCCTGGATCGTGTCGCCGCGGGGGTAATAGGAGGTGAGTGCATTGAAGGTACTCGAGGACTCTGGCGTGGGGAGGGCCTACTGGAAGAAGTGTGTGTGTGTTGTCGGGTGGTTTCGCGGGAGCTATCTTCGAATGAAGGAACCTACAAGACTAGTTAGTATCTTTCGAAGCTTATGACAGAAGAGGCTCCATGAAAGGAGCCTCGTAGTTCAGTGCAAGGAGACATGAATGTGGGGTATATTCGGCAGGCCCTTCGATTAGCGCGTAGTGTGGGATCCCCCCCATGCAACTTGCGGGAGAGAAACCCATGCCAGCACTGATTGATGGGGAAAAGAATAGGTATTTTGCCATTGAGGATAGAATGTTCCCATCAACGTAGCATTCAACCAATTGCTCAGTCGCCTCTTTTTCAATTTTTCCGGATTTAGACAATATAGAAAGGAAAGCGACAAACGTACTCGTGAGGCCGGAAGAGACACAGGTTCAAATGCAAACTGACTCATTCGTCGTTCTTGGAGCTGTGTTCCTTGCAGCGTCTTCGACAATTCGTTCAGTTGTTGTTCCTCATTCCCGGATATCTGATCCTCCAAAGGCACAGCATCGAAGTAGCCCGCGGGGCTTTTCACCCGCACTGGTTCGGCCCCTGCCACCTGGGTGACGGAGGCAAATCGTACAGTTGGAGACCCTCCTTCCTCCTTCTTCCCAGCAATGCTGGGTGTGGGCGTTTTCTGTTCTGAGTCTGCGTGTCTCCATTTGTCAGATGCGGCTTATGTACGGGTCGGGGCGAATGGTCCTGTGAACACATACCAGGCAGACCAGTTGCGGAATCGGGTTTCTGAGGCGACATGGTGAGGATGGGCGAGGCGGCCGAAGTTATCCTCTGCGAGAAGACGCTAGGACAGGGCAAATCCCCTTGAGAGGAGGTTGTGGGTTGAACGATGAGGGAATGGGAATTTGGAGGTTGTGGCGGGGCTAAGTCTGAAGTCTCTTTGCTAGGGAGGTGAGGCAGGTGAGGCAGGTGAGGCAGGTATGGACCATGGGTATCTCAAAGATGGGACAAGACACGGCGGGCAGATAAGAGCTGCGCCGATCGGCACGGGGGGTGGCAGCGAACAGCAAAGAAGGGGCAGAGAAGCACGCAGCGAGATACGGGATGGGGGGGAGGGATTGCAGCAGAACCGGGGGAGGGTTCAGTTTTGGCAGAAGAAAAGAAGGGCGTTTGAGTTCAGTGACCCGTGGCGGTATGGACGAGGATGAGCAAGGGGAGCGTCTCTGTATCAACGAATATAAAGCTTTACGTCGGTCCCGTCGTAGCGAGAAAGCCGGGCGACGAGGGGCGAGGTCGACTCAGCAGCCGAGCATCGAGGAGAGAGAGGCGCTTGGGAAGACGCGGAAGCGATGACGATGAGGTAAGCTGGGCGGGAGGCAAAGAAAAAGAAGAAAAAGAAGAAAAGAAAAAAAAGAAAAGAAAATAGCGCTGTGATTGGGTCGCGTCTAGGTCTACGGGTAGAAGAAGAAATAAGGTCCCTAAGAAGAGCAAGAGCTCAGAACCAGAGTCAAAAGGGCCCCAAAAACGCAGAAGCGTGGGCGAGGATGAACGTCGGGGTTCCAGCAAACGCCGTGTTCAGCTGTAAAATGTCCGATGTGTGTGGTTCGGATGCATCCAGGCGTGGATACCCGACTCCCGAGATCTGGGCACCAGAGGGGCAGACGAGACACGCATGGGGGGCGCACACATACGCAAACTTGGGCTCTGGGCGCTGGGGGCCTGGCACATGCACTAAGGTTCCCGGGTCATATTGGGCATTTATTGGGCATTTATGGGCATTTTATGGGCATCCTATGGCCATCCTCTGGGCTCGGCCACTCGGATAAGTCGGACTGGAATTGTGCCGGCCGCCGCGTCGAGGCCTTGGTCTTTGGTCGGCGTGCGTCGTATTCCTACGCCCGTCGTCTGGATATAAACACGGACGAGAGGGTATGGGGGATCCGGGACGTTGTACTTGCCACAGCTCACTGCGGTACAGTAAGATGCTTCAAGTGTGAGGCCTTTCAAAAGGTACCGACTATTGCTTAAGTACTATTGGCCCTTTCAACGCTCCCGACTCATCATTTTCCCTCGTTGGTCATTGTGACGCGTGCCAAGATGCCTGCGTCATTGTAGCTACCGAAATACCCTATTATAGTACCTAGGTACGTACCTACTATTATCACATGGCTTGAACTTTGAAGGCTTGAAGGCCTTACTCCGTACTACTCCGTAGTACCTTGGTTCCTGAGCCTTCTTGTTGTTGAATGTTCACGTGAGAACTGCCCTGTCGGGGGGCTTGACCAGGGCGGGAAGAGCCGCAATCTTTGAGGCTTACTTCACCTATAGATAGAGACAAGCTGTTCCCCAGGTTGTGAGTACCGTGCCCACGCATATATCCATCAACTGGGGAAAGGGATCGATTTATGACTCGGCTATCAGTACTAGGCCCTTATGATGGCATCTTCCACTCGCTTTGTGCAGACCTTTCCATGGCCAGATAATAAACTCCAATAGTTCGGAAGAGCCATAGTAATATTTTGATACAGTTGAAGCCTCTCCTATTATACAATGTGCCTCGCCTTGGTCTCCTACCAAGCCAACACTGATATACACCCTTTAGCCCAACGCCGTTGCAATGTTGATGATGGGTTGATGATGGGCACATGCCCAAGCATGAAATAACATCTTCCCACCCCCTTCTGCAGTCTTCCGACCACCCTTCCACTACTCCCCTCTCCAGCGAAATATGGCCCAGCTCTCTGCCCTCTTTTATACACCTCCAACCTACGGCCTGATCTCCACCCCCACCGTCTTCGCCTGCGCAATAATACTCTTGCAGATACCCTGCAAGCTCAGCCCGCTCAATCTCAACTCAGACTGCTTAATCTTCGCAATCTCGTAGACATGCTTCAGACTAATCCAGCCCACCGTCTCCTTGCCCGGATTGTTCGCGCCCTTAAGTTTCCCCTTCACCAATTCGACGCCCGCAGCTTTCAGTAATAGGTAGGAGGTCGTGGGAGTGCGGATCTCGAAATGGAAAGATCGGTCGGGGCGGACAGTGACGCGGGCTGGGATGGGGACCCCGGGGGTGATGTGGGCTGTCCTGGCATTGAACTCCTGAGATATGTGTTAGAGTAAGATATTCAAACATCCTGCGAGCACTGGGAGACCAATTGAGAGGTCTGGCGATGTAGTATGAGCGTGACAGTACCTTGCAGAAATCCATCGACTTCACTCCTTTACTTCCCAGCGCAGGACCGACGGGCGGGCTGGGGCTTGCCTGCCCTGCCCCCACTATTAACTTCACAATTTGATCTGCTGCTGCTCGTCCTTTAGACATGTTGAGTTGGCTTGTCAAAAGAGGTTGCTCTGCTCGTTCGCAGTCGATTTCGGGCCCTTGGAGAAATTTATTGATGCCTGAGGATATACGTACCTCGGAATCAGTTTTTGCACGCGCGTTCCCTCCCTACCTATCTAGTTTCTGAGAAGTTCAATAACTCCCCATAGAATCCATATCCTTGTTCTTAGACAGTAACAAAGTCCTTTATGTTTTCTATCCATCTAAATCATAATAATGATACGGTAGTCGCCATACTGTAATGTAAAGTCTGAACTCTCGTCTACCTTACCAAAGGCAGGTACAGTAAGCGAGCGTCATCCCTTAACTTGACTCGAGCGCAGTCGATTTGTGAGCAAGAGATTACTTGAGCTTTAAACTTCCGCCCGCACTCTGTTCTCGAGTCTGATAGAAATATTTATAATACCTCAAACCTCGGACGAGATACAAAACCTTCCATTGATAGATTTTACTCTTAACCTTCAGAACGGGCGGAGAAACAATCATCGCCGTCGGACAGAGGTGCTCTACATCCAGTATGAGGCACAACCTAGCTCAAGCTCGAATCCTGGCTGAGAAAGCTGCTGAAGCTGGTGCGAAGGTGGTTATTTGCCTCTTTTTAAGTTACCGAGAATGATTTTCACATATTCCTGTGAAAATGCGTAGGCCGTCTTCCTTCCCGAAGCCTCCGACTATATCAATCACTCCCCAGAGGAAACGATTTCTCTAGTCCAGGAGCGCGATTTTGTAACGGGGTTGCAAAAGGAGGCCAAAACGCATAAAATTGCGATTAACTTTGGCATTCATGAACCGGGTCAAAAGAGCCCAAAGAAGGTAAGGAATATGTCGATATGGATCGATGAGGATGGAGAGATCGTACAGAGGTATCAGAAATTACACCTTTTTGATATAAACATCGAAGATGGCCCTAGAGCACGAGCGAGTAGGTTTTCTTGCTATCCCCCTCTTGTTCTCAAGGGAACCTCCCTTCGTATCTTCTCCACGATTGAAAGATCAATTATCGCTGTCGCTATCATGTTTTCTTTTTTTTAATTTCCCTTTTACTTTGTGCCACCATTCTTCTCTGGCTTTCTGCACATCCCTTTCAGGTGTGTATACAGAAGAAATATGATTGATGACCTCGGTATAACGGCGAATTTTGAATGCAAGATACCAGTTAGGGCTATCATTTCAATAGTCCCTGCATTAACCACTGCCACCTTTTGATGATGGAATAAAAACCTGGAGGTAGTCACACAGCCGGCTGAAGAGGCTCTAGAAATTAACTATATTTCAATGACGACCAATGTTTGTTATCGTCATTGCCAGAGTATTCTACAACTAGAACAATCCTAAACAAAAGTCATACCCACTCAACACCTTTACTCGTAAATGAAGCAACCGGGAGAAAGGTAGGTACCTACTTTCAGTATGCTGATTATTGTTCGTTATAAAGCGGATCAAACTTGATGGTAGCAGCAGAGATTCGTGCGCCTTCAGGTTACGATAGCCGCGTGTTTGCGGAGCCTTTGACGTAGGCTGGCCGCGAGGCGAGCGAGAACAAGCGCGGTGGAGGGGTCGTTGGGAAAACTTAAGGGTTCGCCTTCTTCGCAAACATTACCTCTCCACAACCCACGAACAACCCCCCCAAGAACAATCCTTCAAGATGATGAACTGGGCGAAACAACAGTACGTAAATAAACGCCTTCCTGAAGGTTTGATAAATCTGACAGTCTTGTAACACAGGATGGCCAATGTGGTCGGCACCCAAGAACCAATCTATGGGCCATCTGCGATCCAATCTGTCGCTGTCCAAGCCAAGACCACACCCTACTCGGAGCTGACAACAAAGGATGTGAAATGGGCTGCTATGGACTCGACATGTGTGGAAACACAGAGCTTCTATCTTTTCGCGGAGACTGGACATATTGCCCTCGCGCAGGTCATTTACAGCAACGTTGCGTATGGTTCCTTACGTGCGCACGCACAATCAACTGCTGACATGATATAAAGCGGACTCCGGACAACTTGCCAATTTAACACGAAAATATTCTACCCTAAGAGCGAAAACAAACCAAACCTCTGGTCCTCTGACCAACTCCATGACGTTGACATCAGCGAAGACAGGCTGAACTTCTACGCTGAGAATTGCGCCGTCGAGCTTTCTAAGGATGGCACAGCTTACTCGATCAAGTCCATGACCAACGAGAAATCTATTGTCAATGTCACTGTCACTCGAGTCGCACCAGGCTTTCAAGTTGGAAAGGATGGAACAACGTATTTCGGCACAGACCCCAAGGCACCTTGGGGCTCCATGAGACATGCTTTCTGGCCTAGAAACACTGTTGAAGGCACAATTGTGACGGAAGATGGACCAATAGACTTCAAGGGGACGGCATTGTTCATCCATGCTCTTCAAGGAATGAAACCGCACCATGCTGCCGCAAAATGGACCTTTGCCGATTACCAAGGCCCGCATTTCTCTGCCATCATGATGGAATTCACGACTCCACCATCCTACGGATCAACTGTCGTCAATGTTGGTGGTCTTGTCAAAGATAACGAGATCATATGTGCTGGATCCTTGAATTCCGCCGCCCATAGCAAGGTCAAAGGGGATCCCGAAAATGATTGGCCAGAGCCCGAGGAAATAAAATTTCAGTGGTCAGGTACAACAAAAGACGGCAAAACTGTTGAAGCTGTTCTAGAAGGGCCTTTAGACGAAAGACTTGACAGAGTCGATGTTATGGCCGAAGTGCCAGGCTTCGTGAAGAAGATCGTTGCTGGAGCTGCTGGAACAAAACCCTATATCTACCAGGTTCGTGAAGATCACCCTTTACATTATTATATTCTAATAAAGCGCCCAGTACTCCCCACATGCAAGCCCAACCACGTTGAAGGTGAAGATTGGCGATGAAGAGACGACTGAGCAGGGAACTCTCTTCAGCGAGGCTACCTTCATCTCTGCATGATTATAATCGATTGGAATTCTCGTCGTTGGTTTATGACAATTATGGCGTTCAGCAGAGGAGAGATCACACTCGTTGGATAGGCATCGTGGCTTATGTTTCGCCCGTAGCACTCTAATAATAGAGCCTCGGATTATTAATGAGGCTTGGATGGCTTAAGTTGATTTAATGCCTTAGACCGATCAATAATAACTCTTCTTCCTTTACGACTGCACAACCTCTATATCCTAAATATGTTTGATTAAAACAGTTCACTTTTCGTCGATTATAATGGTGTTTGATATTTGATACATACCTTGTTTATACAGGCACTCTCTTTAAACGAAGCGAGGGACCCTTGATAATCACGCTAGTAGATAACAAGCGCGGACGCGTTTTCTTAATCCTCTAGGAAGTTGAACTCAAACCTCGCGCATCGTACTCATTCCAGAGTACACCACAGTGCACCCCCTACTAATACCGGTTGATTCATTTCTTTGACCATCCTCATCCACGATGGTGTCTCCCCTGAATTCCGCGCGTCGTCCTCACATCGGAGGTAAGTCGATCTATCCGACCGGTCGAGGCAAAGCCGCCGCTCTTGGTCGTGGTAAAGGCGGGGAGGGTTTGGGTGTTGGAGTCAAGAGACAACGGTAACTGTTCTTTGTTCCTTCCTCTGGCTCACTCTAATACCAAGTTATAGCAAGTTGCTCAAAGAGACTATCGACGGTATCAGTAAGTTTGACATCCCGATCTTATAGCTAACATCTGGGCTTACAAAGTTCTAGCTCGTAGTGACATTCGGTATGTGCTCTTCTCTGTCTAGCACCTGGATAATCTACCTTGAGGTATATGGAATTAATATAAGATCTAGTCGTCTTGCGCGCCGTGGTGGGGTCAAGCGGATCTCTGCCCCGATCTATTCTGACACTCGCTCTGCTCTCAAGGAGTATCTGGCAAACGTTTGTCAACCCCTATCTCTACAAACAATTTGTCTTGCTAAATATAACAGATTATCAAGAACTGTGTTGCCATATCTGACCACTGCCATCGCAAGACAGTGACTGTCGATGATGTATGCTTTTCCTTATGATCGCTAGTAAAGATAGTGGAACTGACATGTCACAGGTCATCTTTGCATTGAAGGGAATCGGTCGTCCTATCTATGGCTTTGGTACTCCGAAGATGCTGACATGATTCCCATGCTGTCACTGTGTCAACACTTTACGAAAGCATACACGAATCTTCTCTTTACGAATTCCTCGACTTTTTTCGCGTCATACGGTATGGGCGTTAGGATACAGTCAAAGATACCCGGGGGGATAGTTAGATCAGGAGCGATGTGCTGGGGCGTCTTGTGCGGGTTTGTTATGCCCTGGGAAATGTCAAACAGGGTGCAATAACTAGCAGATCATACACTACTGGTACCAAGGTAGCTCATGAAGAAATGATCTCTTGATGCAGTTCTCCATTTGAGATAAAGCTTCTCTCGTGTCAAGCTACTGCTGTTAATGCACTGCTAGGTGACGTGCAATTTGCCCATCCTATAATCTTCCATTGAATTCCCTTAAGACCCATGGAAGATGTTTAATTGCAGGTGGTATTCATCCCTTTGTCACGAGAAACCATTATTGTCAACTCGATGCCCAGTGTTTTACTAACTGAACTTCTCCAGCTATTGAACGCCGTCTCACTCTTCTTACTCTCTCCTACCGCTACTCCTTTGCACATGTGCATTTCTCATGTTGATATTCCATATCTCTGTCTCCTTAACAGGATACATATATCCCTCTCCTTACTTTGTACTTGCTGGGGAAATGGGTGCAGGCTACTTGGCTTACGTCAATGGCTGTGGATGTAGGCCTATCTCACCGGCAACCAAGGAGAGCTGTTGTTTACTATCTAAGTATGTACCTGGTCTTGCGATCTAGTGGGGCTTACGAGTTTAAAAGGAGGGGTGGGGTGCGGGGTATAAAGCAGCCACCAGCATGGTGATATTAGCAGGCCTTGAAGTTTTAAATACTAACAGTCGACTCAGACGCTCGAGACATTCAATGCAGAAATATATCGCCCGAGATAACTGATCATTCCAGACCTTTTAACGCGGAGTTCTTGATATTCTCTACCTCTATGTGTACAATCTAAAAGCAATGAAAAACTTCAAGCTTGGTTTAAGAACTTTAAGACACCAAATACCTCAGGCATAAGACATCTACGGAGTATATAGGCTATATCTCTATCTTATCCTGTGGCAGATCTCAAAAGCTCAGGGTCCTGCAGGGATCCGGACCTAGGTACGATGGAGATGGGTTCAGATGTTTGAGACATGGGGGAGGCGAGGGGGGATGCTTGAGGAATCCCTGCCAGGTAAGTCATGTAAGGGCTTATCAGATCGTGGCTAAAGATATCCATCCGTATGTGGACTTGATGTTGTTTCTATAGAGGGGGAGTATAGAAATAGGGTATTTGATTGCTTTCTTCTAGGATGTACTCCGTAGTGGTGCTAAGCTTGGTTTCCTTTTTTGGGTTGGGGGGGGGGAGGGGGTCGGAGACAGAGGATATCGAAGGGGTTGAAGCTGTGTAAGTCCAACTGGCTATAGCCTGAAGGCCATGAGTTTCAAGAGAGCTTAAGATAGGTATGTAAACATCCGACGAATGCAGTAAACAGGCGCAAAATATCGAAACTTCAAAGTAATTATCCAAACCATCACGTGATCAACAGTCCCTGTCCGCCGTGTCGTGTCTCGAAATGTCCTCGACGCGACTGCCATCTTCCACTTTGGGCGTCTTTTCGATTACAAAAATCCCATGAACTAACCATCATGCCGCGTATCGGGAAACGCCCCTCTGAGTCGATTGACCTCACCAGCGGCTCGCCACCACCGGTGCGCAAGCAGATACGCGTCAACGATTCCAACTCGCCTCTAACCTCCCAAGCCACATCGAGTCAGTCCTTCAATTCACGTGACTCATGGGGTATCGACAACGAGGAGAACGATATCATTGATCTCAGTCAAGATGTAGATGAAGGCTTTGGATGGACTTGCGTTGGTGCTATTGATGGGAAGATAGTTGGCGTCCGATATTACGATGGCTACGCGACTCCTGGAGAGCAAGTCATGGTCAAGAGAGAGCCAGGGAACCCCTACGATTCGAATGCTATCAGAATCAATAACGTTCAGGGCACTCAGATTGGCCATCTTCCTCGCCAGTTAGCGGCCAAGCTGGCACCCTACCTCGTTAGTCGTATCATCTCGCCCCTGACGGATACCGACTAACAGTTGTCGAAGGATTCTAGAATGCTTGTCATTGAAGGTGTTCTCGCGGGCGAGAAAGGTCCCTTCGACTGCCCAATTCTTCTCAAAGTTTTTGGCCCCTCTGAGCCTGTTGCTCGAGCTCAGCTTGAAGCTCGGATGAAAGCGGACAGGTTGCCTCTCAAGAAACAGGGTTATGCAACACCCAAAAAGCCAACCAAGCCGATTCAGCCTTCCTCGAGAAAGAAGTTGGGCTTCCAGAGCTCGCAACCATCAGGCAGTCAGACAAGCAGTCAGGCAGAACCGGAGCCTATGCCGGAATTGTCTATCCAAGACTTCGTCCAGAATAGTGAACGCTTCAGACCCCGCGATGTGCAGGAGATTGTCGAGGCATGGGGGGTTGGTGAAGAGGCCTTGTCCAAAATGCCAATGGCCGATCAGCCTGAGGGTTTAGTCTCGACGCTTCTTCCTTATCAGCGTCAAGGTTTGAAATGGATGTTGGAGAAGGAGAACCCAACTCTCCCAGCCGTAGGATCCAAGGACGTCGTTCAACTCTGGAAAAGATCTGCCCAGCGACAAAATGTATTCCAGAATGTCGCTACCAACTTCAGCACCTCGACTCCACCGAAGCTGGCTAGAGGAGGCATACTTGCTGATGATATGGGACTCGGCAAGACTCTTCAAGTCATCAGTGTCATCCTGCAAGGTGGCCCGGGAACGACTTTGATTATGGCTCCTGTCAGTGTAATGTCTAACTGGGCTCAACAGATCGAGAGACACGTCAAGAAAGAAAATGCTTTGAAGGTCTTGACATATCATGGCAGCAACCGGAAGAGGATGACTCACGAACAATTCTCTGAATATGATGTCGTGATCACGACATACGGTACGTTAAGCACCGAATATTTACCACGAGGTACCGCAACTGCTGCGAAGGTCCCCAGGAAAGATGGTCTTTTCTCCATGAATTGGGCTAGAATCGTTCTCGACGAAGGGCACACCATCCGCAACGCTTCTACGAAATCAGCTGTGGCAGCGTGTAATCTCCTGGCTACATCACGATGGGTACTTACAGGCACTCCAATCGTCAACACGATCAAAGATTTATATTCAATGGTCAAGTTTCTGGGGATAAGTGGTGGTCTCGAACGAGCCGAACTCTTCAATGCCGTTCTTACGAGACCCCTGGCACTAGGCGACCAGAATGCCGAGCTTCTGCTGCAATCAATCATGCGCACTTTCTGCTTGAGGCGAAAGAAGGACATGAGCTTTGTCGACTTGAAATTGCCAGAGCTATCTGAGTTTGTGCACAGAATTCCATTCCGCAAGGATGAGCGGGAGAAATATGATGCTTTAACGCAAGTCCTCTCTCTATCACTTATATATTTCAATTTCTGACCATCTACAGATCCGAAGCAAAGGGCATGGTCAAGGACATTCAGGCAGGAGAAGGTGCGAAGGGCCTTGCTGGTTATCGACACCTCCTCGAGGTTCTTCTTCGACTCCGACAAGTGTGCTGCCACTGGAAGCTCACTGGCTCCCGTGTCACAGATCTTCTCGCCATTTTGGAGAAGGACGAGGTCGTCGCCCTTAACAAGGAGAATATAGCAGCCCTCCAAGTTCTTCTCCAGCTCAGCATTGACAGTCGTGATGAATGCTCCATCTGTCTCGAGGAACTACATAATCCGGTCATAACGGCCTGTAAACATGTCTTCGGCAGAGAATGCATTGAACGGACCATTGAACTGCAACACAAATGTCCCATGTGTCGCGCGGAGCTCATTGATAAGGACTGCCTCGTTCATCCAGCAGTTGAGGAGAAAGCCACCGTAGATGAAGAGATCGACGTGGAGACCAAAAGCAGCAAAACCGAGGCTTTGATGAGTATCCTGAAAGCTAGCCGTCGCGACCCGAAATCCAAAGTTGTGATCTTTTCTCAATGGACGAGCTTCCTCGATATTATCCAGCGTCAACTTGCTGAGGCGGATATGAAGTATGCTCGGATCGATGGAACGATGCCAGCTCATGTTCGAGATGCGAATATGAACGCGCTGGAATCAGATCCAGAAACGAGAATTCTCCTTGCCAGTTTGTCGGTGGCCAGTGTTGGCCTAAACCTCGTTGCAGCGGACACTGTCATCCTAGCCGATTCCTGGTGGGCGCCGGCGATCGAAGACCAAGCTGTCGATCGAGTGCATCGACTTGGTCAGACTAGGCCGTGTACAGTATGGAGACTCGTCATGGAAGATAGTATTGAGGAGCGAGTGCTCGAGATCCAAGCTGAGAAGAGGAAGTTGGTGGGCAAGGCGTTCCAGGAAAAGGCCAAGCGTGGGAAGGAAACGACTACTAGAATGGGTGACATATTGAAGCTGCTGGCTTAATTGGGCATATAGCTGTATTGTATAGAGAGAGGGTTGGACCCAGCTTATGTTGATTGTAATGTATGGAGGCTTTCTGGATGGGACTACAAAAGGTATGGTTGATGGATGGACGCTGTCTTGATTTTCTGACGTCAAAAGAGTTGTATAAATAGTTTCTAGAAGAAGAGCATGAGCTCAAAGACTTCAAGATCTTGGGGTAGAATTATCCACCAAAGGACCTGAATTCCAGCTTGAGTCTGGTTGATTAGACAACACCTTGTTTGTTGTATAATTAGTCCGGTAGCCCAGGAACCTTTGACAGAATGAAAAGAGACGTTACTTAAGGTTAAGCGGGAGTACAGGGGTGACTGCACGTGGTGGTTCGTGAGGAGAAAGGGGTTGCTTGCTGCTTTCAAAGCGCACAAATAATGGTCAAGCGCAAGGGCAAGGCCAGGTGTTATTTATTAGTTGGCTTCGCAGGAACCAGATGGATGATTATTCATTCTCATCCTCATATCAAAATATACATACACTCCAGGGCTGCAGCACATTGTTCCCTGACTGGGCCAGCACAGAAGTGCGTGCATAAGTTCGCAGGTGCATAAGCACAAGTGGCACAAAACCTCCTCCAAGCGGCCCAGCCCCCGGGATAAAGTTACTTTCTGGCATTTCTGCTCTAGCCTCGTGGGTCGTCGCTCGCTCTGCCAAAATATCCTCCTCCTCCTCCTCCTCCGTCCCAAGTCCCAACCCTGGAACCCTTGACTCTCCGAACTGTACTATACTAAGGGATACTATTATTCGATTCGCATCGCATCGCTGCGCATCGCACCGCACCGCACCGCATCTCGTCTGCGCTCCAGTCGTATTATTCATCTTATCGCTCTCCATTCCCGGTGGGGGCCTCAACTTGATCCTGGCGCCGCGTCCGCTGGAAGCTCAGAGCCCAATCGTTTTCGATAACGTTTTGCGCGACCACGAAATCGCGTCTCGTTCTCGTTCCTCTCTCCACCGGTCGAACTTTCCCTCCCTCCATCTACTGTCTCGAGCGCATCGCCGATAATATACCCCCAGGTGAGTCCCCAACGGCTGCGACTGCATCCATCTCGGTGTCCTCGCGACGCGCAAATTATGGCTACTCTTCTGGATCGTTGACGGCTGATTCGAATGCTTTCTCACGACAGTTCGCACGTCGGGCCGCACAGTACCTTGATTTCCGAGGACTTCATACATTCCACCTCGACAGCACCGATTCTCACGTCTCCTTATTCGCCCGCATCGACTGCGAACACAGATACAATGGCTCCCAATCGCCATCTGCCCGCGAAGGTCAATCCTCTGATGACCGAGGAGATCCCAGCATGTAAGACGCGCCACCGCGCCAATTTTCTCCACGTCACTGATAATCATAGATGAGGTTCTCGTCGCCCGCCGACGCCTGGGCCAGACAGACCTCTCCTCCAAGGCTGGTCAAGTCGGAACGTCCAGTGCTACGAAGCCAAAGAATTTGGGTACATTCGACTACGCGCACCTGCGTGCCCCGCTTCCTAAGAACATCGTGTCTGGGATTTTTAAGCCGTCGCCTACGTCGTATTTCCTCATGCGCCGCAGTCGCGATGGATATATCAGTGCTACAGGAATGTTCAAGGCAACTTTCCCATGGGCCGAGGTTGCCGAGGAAGAGATGGAACGCAAGTACATCAAGAGCCTCGAGTCGACAAGCCCGGACGAGACGGCTGGTAATGTATGGATTCCCCCGCAACATGCGCTCGAGCTCGCTGCAGAGTATGGCATCCTCCCCTGGATCCAGGCTCTCCTGGACCATGCGCCTATTGAGGTGAATCCTACGAAGGACGCTACGCCGAAGTCGATATCCCCGCCTCCAAAATTCCTCATGCCACAAGAAACGTTTGCTGCGCCTTCCCCAACCCGTCGCTCACGCCGATCTGCATCGCCAAGCAAAATGGCATCCCCAAGGAAGACAGCTGGAGCAACTCGACCTCGAAGGACCAAGGCAGGCTCAGTAGAGCCCTCTACCAAGGCTGCCACCAAGGACCTAGAGCAGGCTATTGCTGACACTGATGGCTCTGAGGTTGACCTCAAGACGTCTGAGAAGGTGGTAGAGAAGATCGAAGAGACGACAGAAGAGAAGACGGAGGAGAAGCCAGAAGAGAAGAGAGAGGAGGTAGAGGAGAAGACGGAAGAGAAGGCTGAGGAAGCTGTTGCTCGCGTCACTGTTGATACGGATGTCGAAGTCAAGGGTGACGTCGAGACTACTCACACACACGTGGAAGTTGAGATGCCAGCTGGTTTGCCCGAGGCGCCATCGCCAGAGGATACGCAAGCCATGATTGCTAAAGCGAAGGAGATGGTCGCAGAAGCTACAAAGAGCTCGAACGCTGCAGGCCCGAGTAATGTTGTTAGGAAGCGAAAGGCAGAAGAAGTCGAGGAAGACGAGGACGAGGAGAAGGACGAAAGTGCGGACAAAGCCGCCCCAGCAAAGAAAGCCAAGGTAGAATCAGAACTCAAGAAGGAGAAAGTGAAGACGCGGGCTCTGATTGGAATCAGTGCCACTCTAGCAATTGGGTATGCGCATCCGTTTCTGGTCCATATATGTTATTCATGCTGACACCAACACTAGTGCTGCCATCCAATACGCGTTTACCATAATTTGAGCTGGCTAGGTTGTTCAAACTGGGCGCAGTTTCTATTTGTACACTCGTTTTGCTCTTTCGGCGTTATTCATGAGTATCTGGCTAAGTTCTCGCTCTATTGAGAGATGCCAAATTCTTGCTGGATACCCTGTCTGGATTGACACAGTTTCAAGTATATATGACAAGCCTCATTGTACTTGAGAAAAGGGACTATTTCCTAATTCTCACGGGGTGGATTGATAAGAAGTTTTAATCGAAAGAATGATAAAGCACACCAACCTCCAATATTCCATTTCATTTCATTTTGTCCCCATTTAAAATCTCTTTTGGTCTTCAATGTCAAGGGGAAATTTGGAGATTGAGGTATTTGATCATGTGATTGAAATACCGTTGATGTTGCCCCTGCCCTTCCTGTTGAGCCTCTACGGACCTAGCCTCTTTGGGACGATACTTCATCACAGCAAGGGACGATGTGTTTTTCTTAATGGGACCCCAGTGTATTATGCCTCAATGGATCTCCATCCAATGTTTATCATGGATCCAGAGAGGTCTAGGAAGAAGCAGAGGAGGCATCCAAAGCCCGTTCCACCCAATGTGTCAGTTGAAGCAATCAAGCGTTCTTTGAAGACGACTCCCAGCCCCCGACGATTCAGAGAACAGCGTCTGCGCCGTCTTCAAGAGAGACTGCAGCAGCGCGAGCAGGCTCCTTGCCAGGCCCCAGAAACGAACGTCAGCCTGGCATTACAGGGAATGGATTCGGCAATCAACCAGGGTCAAGAGGACGAGGGTGTGAGTATTCAGCAGTGAGTTGCCGCGCTACTATTACTCATCTGCTGCTCCTTAGGGTGGACGGTTGTCTTCTTTTATAATAACTCTCAATGCTAACCCGAACATCACTACAGAGATGATGAAGAGGAGCAACTAGATGAGCTGGACCTGGAGGTTTTGCATATGGGCCGGAATGCGGACTACGTGCTAGCAGACGGCGAATCTCTCGTCCGGAATGACACTCCTTCTTGGGGTTCCAAACTTACCCTAGAATCGCCAAACAGAGATTCACCGGATCCAGATGAACTTAGATATCAGGAAGATGGTGCTGACCCTGAGGATTATGAGGAGCCGTTGTCAAAAAGGCGGCGATGCTATGGTCGAAAGAATCATAACGCGAACGTTCGCCGGATCTCTCTTCAAGGACTGGACGGCCGGAGAGGCTCGAAACATGGGGAAATGCCTGATGATGCACAGAGTGATAGCTCGCAGAGGAGGATAGGACATGCAAACCCGAAACCACGAAAGAAGAAAAAGCAGTCTCGAAGGCTTCCTGTTGATGAGCTAGCATTGGTCTCGGAGAGAATAAATGCTCCAGACTTGGAGGTTGATGATGGTCAGTCCCCTATATACACTCCATACTGAAATGTATACTCATATTCTCCTTTTATTTAAGATGAAGCTAGAGATCTATCGCAGGATCCAATTTCTCAGTTATCTTCTGACAATAGAAGTCCCAAACGCCGGAAACCCACCTCTAAACAGCACACAAAAGTTCGCAGGCGCAGAACCTTTAGCGATATTGATATCTTGGATTTTCGTCTGCCAAAGCCTCGGGATCTATCCCCACGATCTCGATATCGCCTTCAGCGAAGCCCGACATACTCTGACGGTTTTGAAGGCAAGGAAGCAGACCCAATTGGGAAGCCGATGCTGGTTCCGCAAAAGCGCCGGCCGCAAGAGAAGTTCAATATCATCACGGTCCGGATGGATGAGTTGACATTAGTGGCCGAAAAGCATTTTGGGGGAGATACGCAAGGGTTGAAGCATCTGTCTCGCAATCGACATCCTCTGCGACGCAATATCAAAAGACGGCCTGTAGTTCTAGAAGACAATGAGAATGGGGTAGGTGGAAATGATACCATGTTTTCTGGTCCTCAACCTGAGGAGAAAGCTCGGCATAGTCTGGAGCATACGAGGGGGCTGCTGCCACGGAGCGAGAATTCGAACCTTCAGATCCCTAGAACCCCGACACTCCCTCTCAAGCGCAAGCAGTCGCTCAACCGGAAGGTAACATTCAGCGAGGAAGTGGACGTGCATCAACTCTCGACCATGGATACGACGCAGACAGAAACGAGGGATTTGTCTAGATGCAATGGGCACCGTAAAAGTGAGGGCTCACAGCAAACGAACAGGACAGCGCCCGAGATGCAGTCTCCTAAGTTGCCTAAATGGGATGAACTTTCTGTACTGCAACAACTATCGATGGTCTCTGTACAAAGAAGAATAGATTCAAGTGACAGTGATGATAGCGATCATAGTGAGTTCTGTACGGACGAGGAAGAAAGTTCAGACGAAGCTTCGGAAGGTGAAGAAGAGAAACAGGATGGAGTTGACATCCTTCCAGATATAGATTCTGGTGAAGACGATGATGCTAAACTGGAAGATAATATGGACCATCGTGAAATTGAGCTCAAGTTGGAGAAGGAAATCCCGGATAGCATGGATGCTGAAATTAACAAGACACTGCGCTGTATGCACGAGCGTCAACCTTCTTCGGGAAATGATTATAGGAATTGGAAAACTCAACAACTCGAGAGACCCGGTAGCATTCGGTACCAACATAACCCTAATATCCCCAGAACAGCGACCAGAAAATCGAGCTTGCTGGTTGATGCAGAGACCCCGACAACCGGCGCTGTTGAAAGGCCTCCACAACATACCCCGCAAAGAGTTTACCAAGAAAGACAAATCTCTACGGAAAACCAACAAGCAAAAGATTCATGGAGACCCCGAAAACCTAGGACTAGTAACATTGCCATGGAGGTAGATGATGAGATAGTCGATAGCCCAGAAATACCCACCCCCAGCAACAAAACTCTGAGAAGGGGTAGCTACGCAAGACGTCTTTCATCAAGTGCGAGCCAGGCATTGACCTTGGTCAAATCGAGGCCCACGACCCCGGAGGGCGAATTACAACCATCGTTGTCGTATGATTCTCAAGGTTCGATTGAGCTTGGAGACCCACAAAGAATGTTCAGAGGATCTCCGGAGCCATGCATCCCCGAGACCCAGATGGAAGAGGAACCAGAGGAGTCTGTAATGAAGCATCCATCCTTGCGCTACTTTACACCAGAAAGCAGTTACTTCTCTCGGGCATCTCAGCAGCTAGAAGAGCCAACACAAAGGTCCAACCTTGTTCGTCTGAAGTCCATGCCGGAGCATGCACACGCGGCAAGACGAACAGAACGAGTTGTTGGCTTGCGGTATTAAGAGGTCTGAAGTATTCCGGCACACTGTGTCGCCTGGGGGATCTATGCTTCAATTTCTGACCTTTTCGAAATCGACTCCCCGTCAAGAAAAGAGTCTGCAAGTGTTGACTCGACAAGCTAGTATCGGCCTAGGCACAATCCCAAGCAGCAGTGTCAGACGCAGAATGGTATCTTTGCCGTTCAATCCACCATTCAAGAGGCAGCAGTATGGAGGAACTGATAGATAGTATCCTGGGGTGAATTTGCTATTTGTTGTTCGAAGATTTCACCGAGTATCAGTATTTGTGGCTAGATAGGGGTAAGATATATACGCTTTACTAGGAGAATAGCGGTGTTTGCTAGGATTATGATAGTAACATCAGGCAGCTTGGTTCTCTTTAGAAGCCCCTACATATATTTAGCTGAAAAGATTTATTCACCTTATGTCTCTCCATTTTGACTACTCTTTCCTTGAAGACTTTCCAACACTTCCGCTGCATTTTCAGGGAAAGAAAGTAGAAGAAAAGAATACCTATACGGACAGCCACACACACGTTGTTGGATATCCATCCGAACTTTGCGTGCGCCAGCAGCTCTGTATAATGAGGTATGTACTGTATGAGCTATAACATACATACATAGCCACGCCAAATGCAGCAGCGAAAAAATGGCACTGCCTGGCAAGACTTCAATTACCAAATTTTGGTTGATATCGTGGATTAAATATCGTGGTCAGAGCGAGACTCTTTCTTACTCGTTCTGTATCCATGCCATGTTTTTTTTCGTCATACTCATACACATAAAAACGCCTTGCTAAAGGGACCTACCTACTCACTGAACCCATGCATGCACCATCCCATTCCATCCCATCCAAAGATCACTTCGCGCCCTTGCCCTTGGCCTCCGTCTCCGAGAGCTCGCGGATATACACTTTAGTTGCACCCTCACCGCTGTAATCCTCCTGGCCCGTCTCGAAGCCCGGGCAGATACCCACAGCCAGATACTTGCCATCGCAGGAGAAAGCGAGCGCGGCGACGCTCGCGGGGTATTTCTGATACTGGCGGATGCGGCGCTTGGCGACGGCGTCCCACAGGGCGACGACGCCGTCCCCGCCGCCCGACGCGAAGGTGCCGAACGTCGGGTGGAAGGCGAGCGCGTTGACCGGGTACACGATATCCGTGCCCTCGTTCTCCGGGTCGGGCTGCCGGTGGCATTTGAAGGCGTATTTGCGCGCCTGCGAGTCGCTGGATGGGTCGAACCACTCGACGGCTACGCGCCCTTCGATACTGCTCGTGGCGTAGCCGTCGTCGTTCGGCATGCATGCCACGGCCCGCGTCATGAATTTTAGGGACGATTCGCGTTGCTGCCACGGCTTGAGCTCGGCGGCTGTCCCGTTGGCTTGGGATGCGAGCATCATCGTGCTTTGGAGTTGGTAGATGTAGAGCAGGCGTGCGGACATGGCTACCACGAGCTTGGAGGCGGTTATTGAGAGCGAGTGGGGTTTCTGGGGGAGTGGGATGGTCGTCGGTTCTTTTTCAGGGTTGCTGAGATAATGGAAATGGAGCGTCGAGTCCCATGATGCTGATACTAGCAGTGCTAGAACGGAGGGTTAGCAAGGTTGTATATACCACTGGACCAGGCAGGTGTCCTCGGGACTGACAATGCTCTTTGCTGTACACCACCGACTTGACTGGAGCGGTATGCGTGCTCAAAACTGTCTGCTCGCCCGTCTCGAGATTTATCCTGAAAACCGGTTCGTCAGTTCCGGGCTAACACAAAAGGGTCTCTGTTAATTCCTCCCTACCTCTTGACCTGCCAATCCATCCCGGCGCTGAAGGCCTCGTTGTCGTCCGCCCCGAAGCATACATCGAGGACCGGCGCGCGATGTTCATACTTCTCGATCAGCCTTCCGCCCGCCTCTTCTCCATGTGTTTCATACAAGTAAACATGTTTATCCCAAGAAGACACCAGTAGTCTCGTTGGAGAATTGGGCGCGAATTGGAGGGAAGAAACCGCGTCGGTGGGTGGGTTCGATAGCTCGAATTGGATTGCTGTGCAACTGTCAGCTTTTTTGATACTTGAAATAACAATTCTCAACAACTGAGATTAAATACATACCTGGAGCCATTTTAGAGCGCTCAAAGGAAAGATTAAGGATGTGTGAGAAGTTGGGATGGTTTGGAGACAATGTTGTTCCTCGACCAGACATTCATGCGAAATTATTCTGCCGCGACTACACCGCCTTCGCCGGCCGAAAAAGATATCGAAGCTCGTAGAGCTCGAATGCACTCGTACGTGCCTTAAGACCCATTTTACCGATTCAAAACAAGATACGAGAACTTTTACAGCGGTCTATTCATACACTCTCGAATCTGACTATAGCTTCTAAGTACGAGGACAAGATCAGAAGTGTCTAGAGCAGCGACCTGCTTCGATCATTACAACACCCCGCTTCCCCGCCATAGCCTGCCTGGTCGATTTGGAAAACAACGAGTCCGTGTTAGGGATCTCTGATCGCTGCAATGCCATTCGCGCAGCTTGTGCTAGGTAGTCCAGGTGCTGGCAAAAGCACATACTGCAATGGAAGTATGATGTTTGAAGTCTCCCCTTATCGAAGATGATAACTTACACTATCTTCAGTGCATCAGTTCATGTCAGCCATAGGACGGAAATGCTCCGTGGTGAACCTCGACCCTGCAAATGATCGTACAACCTACCCATGCGCATTAGACGTTCGAGACCTCATAAAGCTAGAAGAGATTATGGATGAGGATAACCTTGGTCCAAACGGCGGCGTGCTATACGCTCTCGAAGAACTGGAAGAGAATATCGAATGGCTGGAACAGGGACTGAGTGAACTGGGCGAAGACTATGTACTATTTGATTGTCCTGGTCAAGTCGAGCTCTACACACATCACTCGTCATTGCGGAACATCTTCTTCAAAATACAGAAAATGGGCTACAGAGTGCGCTTCCTTCCACCTTGTAAGGTCGCTTTGGCTAACTCTTCACATAGCTTGTAGTTATGCATCTGTCCGATTCATATTGCCTCACGCTCCCCTCCCTCTACATCTCCAATCTAATCCTTTCTCTGCGCGCTATGCTGCAGATGGACCTCCCACATCTCAACGTCTTGACAAAGATCGACAAACTTTCTCAATACGGTCCCTTGCCCTTCAATCTTGATTTCTATACCGAAGTCCACGATCTCTCATACCTACTCCCACACCTACGAGACGAATCTCCGGTAATCAGCGCTAAATTCGAAGGCCTAAATGCGGCAATTGTCGACCTTGTGGAAGGTTTTGGGTTGGTAGGATTCGAAACTTTAGCGGTGGAAGACAAAAGGAGTATGATGCATTTACTCCAAGTCATAGACCGAGCCGGTGGTTACGCATTCGGTGGCGCTGAAGGAGCAAACGATACCGTTTGGCAAGTCGCGATGCGGGAGGGAGTGACAACTATGGATATAAAGGACGTTCAAGAAAGGTGGCTTGACGCGAAGGACGAGTATGACGAGCAGGAGAGAAAGGAGTGGGCAGAGCAGGCCAAGATTCGAGATGAAGCCGAGAAGGCGAAGGAGGCTGAGCTTGCCGGGGATGACGACGATGACGATCTGGAAAGCATGCCGTTGCCTGCTGGTGGGAGTGGTATAAAGATTGTTAGAAAGAATCAATGATACCCTCATCAATCTCCATCACTGAGTTCATCCTCTTCCTCGGTATCACTTCTATCCGCCATTTCAATATCCTTCGTAGAATCTGGTTGATCCGGTCCCTTGCCGAATATGCTGTCGAGTGTTGCATCGCCTTGTTCACCCGTCTCTTGTTGCGCTTTCAATATCATTTCCCTAGCCTTGCGAATGAGTTCTTGCTGTGCCTTTCTCATTGTGCCGCTGACTCGAACAACCCGGAAAACACAGTCCCTGCCATTCTGGACTGGCACACTGTTCATGAGCGTTAGTGCAGTCCATGCAATCCTGTAATGATCGCGTGAGACCCGGAGAATGAAGGTCGAGGTCGCAGGCGACAAATATTTAACTGAAGTTTACTTAGCATGTCAACTACTTGAATACCTAGAGACTGGACTTACTAGCAAGGCTATCCGCAATAGCACCAGAGCCATAATCCCCGAATATATTCGCAACTTCTGCCTTCAACCCTCTTAACAGGGCTTGTGCTGTGAGGCCGCCCGTCGTTGGCTGGTTGAAAAGCACCACATCTGGGATCTTAGAATTCGTGGTTGCATTATCCAAACCAGGATATAGGATATCGACCAGCAAGTAGCGGTTCTTAATGCGAACCATGGCCCCTACGAGATCTCGAGGTTCAACGAAGATTTTCGGGACGAGAGTTTGGGGACGCGCTTGTCAGAAAAAGAAAAGAACGGGACGGGAAGACGCGACGGCTCGGAGACGAGAGATGACGTTGACTTGGCGATAGCGGCACGACTGGATAAACCTCAAGCAGACAACATGTCAGCCCCAACTTTGAAAGCTGCAATTCTCGTAGTGTCAACGACTGCTTCGAGAGATCCGTCGACGGACTCTTCGGGCGGGCTCTTGAAGGATGTGTTTGAAAAGGAGGGAGGAGACAAATGGGAGGTGGTAGATACCAAGATCGTGAGCGATGAGGTTTTGGATATTCAGCGGAGTATCATGGGCTGGACCGATGGAGATAGCCCGCTGAATGTTATAATTACTACCGGAGGTACGGGATTTGCAACCAAGGATATTACTCCTGAGGTATGTGACTCTGAGCTACTAATTTATGGGGAAACACACTCAGGTGTTGCAGGCTGTCACTCCTCTCTTACACAAGCAAGCGCCAGGTCTTGTACATGGCATGCTTGCTGCCTCATTGGAGGTCACGCCGTGTATGTTTGACAGACATCTATTTCCATTTGCAATCAGCTGACTTTATAAGTTGCCCTCATGTCACGGCCTGTAGCTGGAGTTCGTAGGAATACTATAATTCTTACACTCCCCGGCTCTCCCAAAGGAGCAAAGGAGAATCTTCAATCCGTTATAAAGCTACTTCCTCATGCATGCCTGCAAGCATCTGGAGCAGACTCCAGGTCACTTCATGCAGGAGGTGTCAAGAAACTGGAAAAGGACTCAGGACTAAGCTCCGGATCAGGTCATCAATCACATTCACACAGTCACGATCATTCTCACGGACACTCTCATGGTCATGGTCATGGTCACAGTCATGGGCATGCAATGCCGGTGCGGCATACGGCACCAAGTGAGAATCCTCGATCAAATGATCCCACTCTCGGACCGACACGGCGCAATCGATCGTCCCCCTATCCGATGTTATCAGTTGAAGATGCCCTCAAGCTTGTGGAACGCCATACACCACAGCCGCGTGTAGTAAAGGCAAAGGTTGACGGGAACTTGGTAGGCTCTGTCCTTGCTGAAGATGTCACGGCCACAGAGGCTGTTCCAGCGTACCGTGCGAGTATTGTAGATGGCTATGCGGTGATTGCACCAGAAGATGGCTCTTCGAGTAAAGGAGTATTTCCGGTAGCGTCCATCTCCCATGCGGCGCCGGGCGAGATCCCCCCTTTGAAAGCAGGACAGATTGCTCGCGTTACTACCGGCGCTCCTCTGCCGCCGGGCGCTACGTCCGTGGTCATGGTTGAAGATACAGTGTTGAAGACGATGACTGAAGATGGCAAGGAGGAAAAGGACGTCGAAATCCTGGCAGAAGGCGTTAAGCCCGGGGAGAATATTCGAGAAATCGGGAGCGATATCAAGATCGGCGAGGTTATTCTTCGGAAAGGAGAAGAAATATCTGCTACTGGCGGTGAATTAGGCTTGCTAGCATCTGTTGGTAAAGCAGAAGTTACGGTCTATAAAAAACCAGTTGTTGGGGTATTATCAACTGGCGATGAGATTGTGCAACACAATAGGCCTGGATCTTTACGTCTGGGAGAAGTCCGAGATTGTAATAGACCTACGCTTATGTCTGCTGTTCGTGGCTGCGGATTTGAAGCAGTTGATTTTGGCATTGCACGAGACAAGCCAGGAGACCTGGAACAGAACTTACGGGATGCACTACGTGAAGTTGATGTTATCATCACTTCAGGTGGCGTGTCAATGGGCGAGTTGGACCTCCTGAAACCAACAATTGAGCGATCTTTGGGCGGGACAATCCATTTCGGACGTGTTTCCATGAAGCCGGGCAAGCCAACAACATTCGCAACCGTTCCAGTTAAAGACAATGCGGGGGAGAGGGCCTCGAAGGTTATATTTTCATTGCCCGGGAATCCAGTGTCGGCTGTAGTCACGTTCCACCTCTTCGTATTGCCGTCTCTGCATTACGCTTCCGGAGTCTCTCCTGCAGGGCTGCCCAAAATACTGGTGACTTTGGCGCATGACTTCCGTCCTGACCCGCAAAGAGATGACTATCACCGCGCAATAGTCACTCTTGGTAAAGATGGCTTGATATATGCTAGCAGCACTGGCGGTCAGAGGAGCTCGAGGGTTGGAAGCTTGAAGAGTGCGAATGCTTTGTTACGCTTACCGGCCGGGAAAGAAACTCTGAGCAAGGGATCCAAAGTTGAAGCGTTGTTGATGGGCAAATTAGGCAGCGACCTTGCTCTGTAGTTTTCTAGCATTTAATAAGTGAGGTTCTAATGATTATGAACTGTTAACCATCCACTTTCTTGCAGTAATTCCAAGAATCTGCAAACTGTGAGCAGCAGTCATCACATATCCTAATAATGAACCGGGTTTGGCGAATTCAGGGATGTATGACAACCACAACTGAGCCTTCCTGTACGGCTACAATAACACCATCCAGCTGATTTCCCAATTGACTTGGAAGACTTTAGCTGCCAGTTTCTACTAGAATGGATTGTACCGGAGCTATTGGGGCTTGGCTCCGGATTCTGGATTACTTATCTGCTTGGTTTGAACTTGAATATGGGATGAAATAGCGCCTGGTCTGAACCTTATAACTTCCATGGAAAACTGAATATTGAGGGTCTTTTTGATTGTTGATATGATACATGATACGTGCGTCTGGCACCACTATGCCATTTAATGCAATGCTCCCAAAACCTAACCTAAGCTTCCGCATCGACCTGAACGCCTGGATCGGCTTCCTCGTGCATGTGTATGCACTACTACGTGGCACATTGGGCCTATAAAATCTGAAGTCTTGATACCCCACAATCTCACTTACTGGAAGTCATTAGCCTTCCCAGCTACCAATAAGCCAATGATAAGCCCGAAGAGTCCAAGGACTGAACTGAAAATTTCAATGACCAGAATCTTGACAAACCTGCCATACCTATTAGTTGCGTGCCTCCACTGCTTAGAAATGAAAATACTCACAAACTTGCATCTGCAGCATCGGCCAAAGCAGCACCACTTCCATTGATACCCACGGATACACCACAGACCAAATTACACAGCCCCACGGTTAAGCCTGCCCAGAACAACGCGTACCCGGTGTAATAATTGCTCGCAGTGTATGCCGGGTCATCACTCATGACACCAACTTTCGCAGAGAATACAATCGACATGATGACACCGTAGATGGCAACTACTTCGCAAAAGATGATGGAGATTAGGTTCTTCGTTCGGATGCGTGGAGCTTTGACTCCTCCACCGAGGATTGAGGATCCTGTTATAAAGATACCCCTATTTGCACATCAGCCGTGAGGTCCGAAATAAACAGGAGGCCGTTCGTACCATGCTGCTCCAACGACTGATAATCCTATGCACAAGCCGATACCCAAATCTGCCCACGCGTATGGTGATACATCCTCAAGGAATTGTCCAACCTGTGTATCACGTCAATTCGATTCCTCCTATGGTTTCAATCTGTCGAACGTACATTGAAAGCTTCGCCATCGCCGGTGAAGAGCATATCTAACAGATGTCAGTTCCAGGCAAAGTAGCAGAAACATTTCGACCTTACAAGCTCCAATCACCGCCAGCGCCGTTGTCGCGCCACCAAGGCCATAGCGGAGACTCATATTGCCAAAACAATTGAACGCAGGTCACTGAGCCGAAGGTGAGTGGTTGCTGCGATGGAAGCTATCGTTCATTGAATTGAGCTTCAATCGTCGGGTTCAAGCGAGACGTCCCCAGCAGGTAGGCTACCGTACGAAGCTAGCGTTCCTTTGCGGCTTAAACCACCATGCTGAGTCATCTACAGGCGTATCGACTTATCAAATCGACAAACAGACATTGTCTCATACAACGTCGTTTCCCCACGCATAGTCACCATGGCGACGACCGGACAGTCCTTTTACGAGCTCTATCGCCGTAGCAGGTACTGTGCCTTTGCTCTATATGCGCTCTTGCCATCCGAATACTGACTGTACTGTGCTCTAGCATCGGCATGGCTCTGACGGACACCCTCGACGACCTGATCAGCGAGCGTCGTATCGAGCCCCAGCTTGCGATGAAGATCCTTGCGAACTTTGATCGCAGCATTACAGAAGTACTAGCGGACAAGGTGAAGGCGAGGTTGACGTTCAAGGTACATCACACAAGGCCGAAGCAAGGGGAGAGATAGGACAACGGGCTAACGTGATATCTTCGAAGGGTCATCTCGATACCTACCGCTTTTGCGACGAGGTTTGGACCTTTCTTATCAAAGACGTTACATTCAAGATGGACAACTCTAGCCAAACGGTGGTGGCGGATAAAGTCAAGATCGTGAGCTGCAACAGCAAGAGGCCGGGCGACCCTCAATGATGTGTGCCACCTTCTGCTGCTCTGCGCACTGTGTGCAAATGCTTAGCTATTTTGAGACGGACTCTTACTTCGAAAGCGCATATTTAGGGTGCGGGTGCAATACAGGGTCTGAGGCTCCGCGAAATGCGGTTACGTATTGAGGTTACGGCTGGATGTTTTACGATGCATTGGGGTTGGAGAGGGGAGTGATAGGCGTTGGTGAGATTCGCGGGCGTTCATAAATTGCGGGGATTGATCAGAGGCATCTTCATCCTTAAGGCACAAAAGACCGAGTAACGTATGAAGACTGCAATATCACATACGTTGTCTCATACGCACGGCTTACTTGATGATTCGGCAGGGTGAAATAACTCTGTTGAAAATCGCTACAAAGCATAGGTGATTATTTGCAAATCAACCACCAGATTAACTGGAGATGACTGCAAAACAGGTAACTTATAGGTTGTCTCCCGAATATAAAGCTTGGATCTATAAGTAGCCCGTGAAGTTACCACAGTTACCCTGGCACTTTATCCTAGTGGCCCTAGGAATCCGAGAGGCAATGTTCCGCACGGAGTACGTTTGATACCGGATATTCGAGGCATAGACTAAGGTAGGTACCTTATCGTGTTCACACGCTCCTATTGATCCTTCCAGCCTTCCCGAGGGACGCGCCTGGCGGTTAGAACTTTGAAACAAAGAGCATCTCATTGAGACGCCTCTTACTCAAAATGCTGCGCCAACGCCAGCACGAAACCCCTGGAACTAAGAAACCCGAACTCTCTGCTAGCAAAGCGCCCTCCCCGTCTGCATATCGCACCTCCTCCAAGACTGGAATCTCAACCGCGATGGTTGGATCGGATAGTCTGCGCGAGCCTCTGCTAAAAGCCGATCCGCGTGACGCCGCACCTTTATCTGGACGTCCCCCTTCTCCGACTTCCCCTCCTCAACCCCCGTCGCCGGCTGTACAGGAAGACGCGGCAAAGATGAATATGCAGAATATGAGCCGCAAATCCCAATGGATTGTCCTTGCAGTCGCCAGCGGAGCCTGCGCGGCTTTCAATGGAGTTTTTGCCAAACTGTACGTTTACGTCATTCCTCCCTATGATCCCTTTCTCCATCTACCCCGAAGCAAGAAAAGCCAGATTTCACAGCAAAGTGAACCGGAGGTCGATGGCGCAAAGGCATCAAATGTTATAGAGTGTTTCGGATAATTGTTTTCCCATTCTATTCAGGCTCTCCTCCAAGGCTTGATAGCAACTGCGCGCGAGTGACATGCTCCTAAGGCCCGCGTAGCTGACCCCTTTCCTAGTACAACGACGGAGCTCACGACTAGCTTTGCGACGGGAATTGCGAATATTCTCGGCCTCGGAAAAGGGGAGAAGGTTGTCGAGGTTGTTATTCGAGGCGTAAGTTCTATTTCTTCTAACCTCAGCTAGTCATTCGCAATCTGGTGCGAAGTGAGCGTCTTCCATTCGGATTTCTGGGCTTGGGAAGCTGCACCGGGTGGCTAGCGGAGGATTTCATGAGTTCCAGACCAGAACTAACTATTTTTAGATGTTCTTTGGGTTAAATCTTATTTTCAATGGCATCGTGAGTCTCTTTTGTTTTATATACCCTTACTCCACCGTAAGTCAAATATTGACGATATAGATGTGGGCACTCTTCACCAAAGCCCTGGCACGTGGGACATCCACCACCCAAGTCAGTATCATCAACACGTCATCCAACTTCATGATTACTGCTGTCCTTGGCTTCATCATCTTCAGCGAGTCACTGCCTCCTCTTTGGTGGCTCGGTGCGGCTATGTTGGTAGCTGGGAACGTCATCATTGGGCGAAGAGAAGAGGACGAGCCAGCTAAAGATGGGGATGATCATGTGAGGGCAGAGAATGGGGATGGAGCGTACACTGACGAGGGTGGGGAGTTGCTGACCAACGAAGATGTGGAATTGGATGAAGGCATGGATGCAAGGAGAGGAAAACAAGATGAGGACGATGTTTTGCAGTTGGATTTGGATGATGAAGAGGGGAAAACTGTGTCCTAGATTCCATGACTAAAATGTGCAGAAAAGCTGATCGTGTTATAGAAAAGTGCAGTTACATCTACCTACCTATGGAGTATCTTGCTCTCGGTCATATTTTAGAAAAGACATACTATAACCAGTTGAGGATAAGAACAAAGGGGTTCCCTAATGTATATTTCTTATTTAGGTTCTCATTGCTTACATATATATACTAGTACTTCAGTATTGAGCTTGTTACAAATCATAAATATCATGAAATGCAATTGGGTTAGAAACATCGATGCCTTCCTTTTTTTCAAATAGAAAAGGTTACATATAGCCTAGCTTCAACAACCGCGTTTCTATTTAAGTCATTCAGCAAGTATACAAGAGGCTATATGTAAACAAAAGTTGAGAAAGAAAAACACATTATGTCTAGTAGGCAGGTGGTTGTCCGAATTCTGTAATATCGTTCTTATATATGTCCGTGACTGACCGCCAGCCACTTGTAAGTATTGAGGCCATTGCCAAGATATGTAAAATTTGAAAGGAAAAAAGAATTCAAAAGAAAAAAAGATCCAGACATTCTTGGAGAAAATAAGAAATCCAGCTTTCATACGCTTCTAGGATAGGAGATGGTCGTGCATTCAACAAGCATGTGGTAGTTGGTCAGCACGTTGTGGTGTTCTCTAATTCATCTACCTCCTGATCTGTGACCTGCGCGAGAACCCGAGGTTATGAAAAATGGGATTGGCTTAGAATTAAGCTTCTGCATCATCACGGATCCTTCCAGAAGAAAGAAAATCAAGAAACTGTGCAGATTATTAGCTGGCCACATCCAAGTTCCTGGCACTTTCGGAGATATAAGCCACGTGATTTATGGGTCTGCATGAAAGGCGGTGAGATTGATTCCGACAGGGGATGTGCCGATATCTCCAACAACCCCACCACTACTTTACCTAAACGAAATACCTCAAAATCAGGACACCATCAACGTTCTTTGGTCCTTACACTCTTTGAGAGAGACATTTACAACATAGATCCTGCTAAAAGAATCACTACATCAGCAAAGATGGCGTCCAACGAGATCGACAATGAGCAGGATCTCCTGCCTGAGCAGACTGAGGGCTACAAAGTGGGAGAGAAGAGAACTCTTGATGAATACCATAAGATGGGTACGTTCGCTTTTGTTTTGATAATGACTCATATAATACCTCTAGTCCACTGTTTCCTCACCAGATTCATTCTTGTTCTATGTTGCTCGCTTCTGTTGGGCCAATTCTCCAAGTGAGAGCTTCTCAAAAAGACACATCATCAGTTTGATGTGACGCCCTTAAATAACAGCATAAACCCTCCATCAACACTGCCAAGATCACTGCAGGGCTTTCTATAAGTATGGCTTGTCCACGAATCTTGATTGGGCGGTATTTGGACTACGAATTTGGGAGGCTGCCCAAAAAAACACAACCTTGGCTGGCCGTTATGTGCAGTGCAGTCCCACATCGGACTGACAACTGCACAAGAGATGACTTATTTCGAGCACATTTCTTTTAGACTAGGGACTCCATCTGCCTGTCAATAAATAGAACCCCTATATTTCCCACCTCCACTATCCTTGTCAAGATGTCTGCGTTCAGGTCATTTGCGTTCCAAGCATTCTATATCTTGTCAGTTACATGGTGGAGCAGCTCGAAAGCCCCAAGAGCTGAATATATCTCTTTGGGAAGCAATCTTCTTAGTGTTTCAAATGGCTTACATTTTCTCTCTACAGATGCAAACGACGAGTCCTTGCAACGCTACAAGGAATCTCTCGGCATTGGCGCTGGTGGAAAGAGCATCTCGGACCCCAATGACCCGCGTCAATGCATCATCTTATCCTTGACGATGTCCTCGGAAGGTCGTGAACCGGTCACAATCGATCTCGCTACTCCAGGATCAGAGAAGACGCTCAAGGACCATCCATTCAGAATCAAGGAGGGCGCCAAGTTCACAATGAGCGCTAAGTTCAAGGTGCAGCATCAAATCCTCAGTGGACTTCATTACGTTCAGGTTGTGAAGAGAAAGGGCATCCGAGTATCAAAGGATCAAGAAATGCTGGTAGGTTTCTAGCTTGCACAGACCAAGTCCTAATTATTTACATCTCGGTTCACTAACACTATCAACAGGGTAGCTACGCTCCGAATACTGAGCAGAACCCTGTTTACGAGAAGAGATGTAAGCTCCCATTAATTATCTCTTGCCTATTCAAGTATAGCTGACGTATTTCAGTCGCCGAGGAAGATGCCCCAAGTGGAATGATTGCCCGTGGCCATTACACAGCAATCTCTACGTTTGTCGATGATGACCACAAGACCCATCTGACATTCGAGTGGTCCTTCGACATTACTAAAGACTGGTAGAGCATACATTGACTTGGCTAGGATCGGAGGCTTCCAGCTATTCGACCTTGCTGTACATTGTCGTGGGGCTGAATGGAGGATCGATAGAATCTAGGCCATGGCGACTTGAGAATCTATTATGGTCAAGGCACATTCAAAAGCATGGGGATGATGTTACGGTTTACGAGACATGATGATGATCACAAGGAAGACTTTATCTTCGTCTTCGCTCCTTTCCAGTAATTACAAGAAGTAATCAGGCAGAGTACTGCCATCCGCGATCTTATCCTGTCCACCCTGCTGGGCATCTCCCTTGTGAAGATCATTCTCCGGCGCCGCTGCAAATACATTGAAGAACCTCTCCCCCATATCACTGACTTCAAGTACACTAGCCATATTCCCACATCTGTAGCAGTAATTTGGAGCGCTCCAAACTGTGCTTAAACGATCATCATATAGCACTTGATATCCTTCTTGGCAGAGCTGATGGGCCCTTAGGATGTGTGACATGTTGTTTACTTCCAGGAACTTCTTGACGACTTGGGCACCAAAGGTATAACCTGCTCCTCGTGGAGAAAGGGAGAATTCGTCTCGCTCGGGGTCGGGATCAGACCAGACAAGGTCCGCCATCGGTCCTTCGTGGGGAATTTCGCGGAAGCGATCTATTATTTTGATTTGATCGATTGAATGGATAGAAGGTGATAGACCTTATAGAAGGGTTAATTATCAACCAATACAAGGGGAGGGATAGCCCTAAACATACCTCCATGAACGCAGAATATCTGGTCATTGATGACAACACTCAGTGTAAGAAAATCGAACATATCCGTAAAGTAGTGCCAAACATTTGCATTTCCATACTTCCTCGAGCATTCCGTATAGAAACCGTATGACTGCGTAACTCCTCTCGATTCATGGTTCCCACGAATCAAATGCACGCGATGAGGGTATCGAAGCTTTAGACAAACAAGAAGAGAAATAGTTTCGACGCTAAACATGCCTCGATCGACATAGTCGCCTGCAGAGCCATTAGATTATCGCGATCTTCGGAGAAAACTGGTCTGCTTACCTAGGAAAAGGTAATTCGTATCTGGGCACCATCCTCCTATCTTGAAGATCTCGATCAGATCAAAGAACTGGCCATGGATATCTCCAACTACTGTGACAGGTGCTTGCACATGCACAACGTTGCTCTCTTGCATCAAAAGTTCCTTTGTTTTGGCACATATGGCTTCGATAACGGATTCTGCAAGGAGATTCTTCTTGTAGAGGCTTTCTATACATTGATCAAGGTCGACAGATGCTAGAGTAAACATAACTCGTGTTAGAGAGCGCATGGAGATGATCTGGAAGATGTTCAGCTTACAAGGCAGGCCGGGCATATTGCAGTCTTGCAAAGATTGCCGTCGGCGACAGGCGCCCAGGAGCTATGGGTTTCAAGGAAAGTTGTTGCTTGCGCATGCGGTTTCTTTCGTGGATGGTTGCCGGTGAAACAGCATGGTCGCCCCTAGATGTACCTCCAACTCATATAAGAAACTGGAATCCAAAGCGGCAACTAGATCTCATGTTGTTGTTCATACCGATCAATTAGGAACGGGGCGTTGTCGTCGCCAGGTCCTCGCTTCGAAATCCATATGGATCGCTTATTATATAAAATCCCGTGATTTCTCGCGCGCATTATTCCCGTATCCACCTAGCGCGCCGCTCCTCGCTTTCGCTCCGTTCAATTTATTCTCACGTTATCTTGACCACGAACATCCATCCCTTTCCCATCCTGTCCTAAAGCAATTCATTTCCTCACTACAGACTGTCCAAGTCTTTCTTTCTCTTGCATTCGGATCAGTTAATTACAACAGTACATAGCTCTGCTTCTCTTTTGCTTGTACCTTTGAGCGTTACGCGGTCGTGCGGGAAAAAACAAAGCTGTGGAAAGAAGTACCCCTGTTTTGATTCGGGCAAGCACAGAATACGTTTTGCAACCTCTTTGACTTATTCACTTCGGACAAGCCCTCTTTTCCTCGCTCCTCGCTCTTCTTTCTCGCGATCTGCGTCGAAGGTGAATTGCTCGGTCTTTCCAAACCTCATGTTTGTCACGTTTGCGTTGGATCTCTTCCTAACGTGAAGTAATTTCATGTGTTCAGATCGATGAATTCCTAGAAGGCTTCATTCGACAGAGACAATGTCGACAAGCTGGTCCCAAGGCGGCCAGCCTTCGGGCCCGATCCAGAATAATGGCAACCGTCACCAGGCAGGTTCTCCTAATCGCGTTGGCGGCCCTCCTCCTATATGCTTCAAATGTGGAAACGAAGGTCACTATGTAGTTGACTGTCCTCAAACAATACGCTCGACTCCAGAGTAAGTCAAGCCTGTCTTCCCTTTTGTTATTTCTTTGTTTTCCTCTTATGGACTCAGCAGAGCTAAACTAACGATGGCTCAGTGGTCTGGCGGCGTCTCGTGCTAGTGATCCAAATCAATTAAGTGGCAATGGGGCAACTGATGGCGGGGCGCCATCCAGGGCACAATGGTCAAACGGCCAAGATGGTTCTGTAGTCAACAATTACCAGAATACCAAAAATCCCCCTGTGGTCACGCGATATGCAGTCCCGGGTCAGCCCCAGCAGTATGGCAATTTTCAAGGCCCTTACGGCCCACCTACAGCACCTCCACCGTATCAGCAATTTTCAGGCCCAGCACCCGCTTCTCAATCTTACCCACCACCTCAACAGGCATCATATCCTCCTCATCAAAACCAGCAATACGGACCGTCCGGAGCATCTTACAGCTACAATCAACCGCCCCAACAATTGTACGGCGCTCCGCCTCCTAACCCACAGTATGGTAACCAAGGATACCAAGCACCACAGTACAATAATTATCCACAGCCAAACGGACCTCCGCCATATGGTGGCCCAGGGTACCAGACACAACACTACGCACATTCCCCATCGGTACCTCCCTATCACGAGGCGCCAAATCAATATCCACCACAACCAGCCTACGGCGGGCCACAGCAACCCCCGCATTGGAACTATACGCCGCCGGTCTCGTCGCCTTATAGCGCTTCGCCGTTTCAGCAGTCAAGGAAGTCGAAATACAATCCTCACTTCAAAAGGGAATTCTCTGGAGCTTCTCGACAACAGTCTCAGTCCCAGCCGGGTTCACAACCAGATTATGGATCGGGAAACTATCAAATGAATCCCCAGGCTACTTCCTCTAACTCTAATCTCACCCAATATGGGCCAAACCAAACCTCGCAGAATCTCCCTACCAGTGATGTACATTTCTCAGGCAGTGAAAATGTTGAAAACATGAACGAATCGAATGCATCCAGCCGTACTAGCACGCCTTACGCGCGACGCGGATCTACCTCTGGCAACTTTCGCAAGGGTCGAATTGGAGCTTTCACTCCATTCAATGGTAATGCAACAATAGATCAGCAGAGTGACGAAAATGAGCAGAGGGAGGAAGGCGAACTCTCCGAAGAAGATCTGTTGGAGCAGGAATTCAACTGGGAGCTCGAGAAGATTTTCAAGGAAGATCCGCCAACTGAAAACGTTATTCTTGCGCAACCATTAGCAACTACCTTTGATATGACACCTGTTCCTTTGCTGCACCTAAACTCGGCGCCCTCAGTATCAAGGTATGCAAGAAAGGATAACCTGAACGAGTTCACCAGACAAATTCGGAGCCAACCCCAATGGACTTATTTGCAGGAGGATCCCGCCTTTTCGGATGCCAATATGAAGGGTGAATTGATTCCTCTACAAGAGGTTCCAGCTTGGATGGCAAAACGCCACGGCACGGTTCTCCCTTCGCTTTCTAGAAAACGAGAGTGGTCTGATGAGGAAGATCGACAAGACAATGTAGGCATACAGGTCAAGGACGACCCAGACTCAGAGTATCCACTTGAAACTGTACCAAACAAGCGACAAAAGAAGGAGACCGATTGTGATATGTCTGATACTATACCTGTTAAAGCACCTGGAACACCAACGGGCGCTCCTGGTACCCCGATTCTAAAAAGGACTGGTACTCCATCATTCGATGCTGGTGCTGATACTGATGCTGATGATGTTTGGGCTCCTCAACCAGGCGAAGGTGCTCTCTCTGCTCCTGTAAATGAAGATCCGACCGAGGCATTGCTTGCGTCTCTAGGGGTTTCTGGTTCTCCTAAACCTGTGCGAAAAGGATCAATCCCGCCTGTCCTAATGCCAGCAAATGATCAATCTATTTCTCCACATGGGAAGTTACCGAAAAGCATGTCCCCGCAGGAAAACCTGGGTTACAACATGGCCCTACAGAACAATCCTAGTCATAGCAACTCCCCACATGGAATTCCTCCACAGGGCCAGTATAACAATGGTGGCATCCCGACTAGACAGTCCATTCCATATGGCGGCCCGCCGCAGGGAACTCCGCCTTACAACATGCGTCCACAGAAGAAGCCGTCCTATGGCAACGGGCGATACAGCATACCCCGGCAAAATTCGTATGGCAATGGCATACCTATGCAGAGCAAAACCCCCTACAGCAATGCCCCCTATTCTGGACCTCCGCAACCTCAATATGCCAACAGTCCTCCATATGGAAATGGCCCCTACGGAGTGCAGCAGCAAGGCATGGCTCCTCATGGTAATCCACCTCATGGAACATTATCACAAGGTCATAACGCTCCCTGCAGCAATGATCCTTCCGGAGTGCTGCAATATAACAATCCTACTTATGGCACCCAACCTCATGGAATGAGTCCACAAGGAAATCCAGCTTACGGCGTTCCCCCACAAGGGCAATATGGCAATGGTGTCCCTCCGCCAGGCAACCCTGCCTACGGAATGCCACCGCAAGGTCAACCCCCTTACAGTAATCCTGCACATGACATATCTCCACAAGGCAATGCATATCGACCACCCAACAACCGTGTCCGTGGCAATCAACCAGCTCGTAACGATTCTGGTTATGCTAGCTCCCGTGGATCAAACAGCAATGGCTTGGTTGTCAATGCCTCTAACCAGCCTCATTCCTCCTATTCCCAGCCACGGGTTGATGGCAGCATTGATACGCCTTCTCCCCAAGAGGAGACACCAGTTTTGTCGGAATGCCAGAACAGCAAGAGCGATGAGAACAACGAGTCAGGCGAATCTCCGTTGACTCCAACATCAGCAGAGATACTTGGCAAATTGATCCAACCGGCACGTAAGACTAGTAATGGGAAGAAGGCCGAATCTCTGCGTCAAGCAGATGACACGGTGCGGAAACCCAAGAGGCCGCAGCCAGTCGTAGCGGAAGCTTATAGGTAAGCTAAAAGTATTGAGATATCTAAAATCTCAAATGCTGATTGTTTGAAAATAGCCGTCGCTGGTGAACAACCTGTTCGTTGTGCATCATTCTAAGACCCCTCTCGAACCCATCACCAGGCCGCATAAGTGTTGCAGCTGAGCCTCTCCGATCCATCAGTGAAGCCTTCAAGTTGTTGGTTGGCCTTTCATCATCTTTCATTCCTCTGTACAATTACATTCGACAACACGGCGTTCAATCTCATATCGATGGGGGTGCATGGTTCATTAGCGTTTTCCATTTGGGGCCAGTCAGATTCTACGTTTTCATTGGGCCTCTTCAATTGGCTTCTGTACAAGTAAATTCTATTTTGCACGATTGCTTTGCCACAGGATCGGCTGGAAGATGATTCTAAAAGGCTTCACCTAGGAATCCCCAGTCTTGTCCAACAGTTCTCGGCCAAAAGTTTCTGCACATGCCAGGGGATGAATCCACAATTGTAGGAAAATCAGATAGTAATGTGCCATGCTGCAAGCTTTGGCTAATAGTTAATGCCGCAGGCTTCTTTCCTGGCCGTATCAGATTTCTTGTGACCCAGTATACGTGTAAAACACATGCCTCCTAGTTCGGGCTATATCTGTAAATTTGCAGACTCACTTGACTAGTCTGTCGTGTTCATCATCGTCGTCGCTCTCCTCATCTTCTTCCTCTGATTCCTCCTCGCTGGATTCCTCTTCGGTTTCTTCTGCGTCCTCGTCACTTTCTTGCTCATCGCTATCTGCTTCTTCTGCCTCTTCCTCCGCAAGCCAATCATCGAGCGTCTTCTTGCTCCCTGGAGCACCAAAGCCATTAGTTTTCGATGGCGAACCTGCAACCATCTTGCTTTCCCTAATTGCACTGTCAAGTTTTTCACCTGCCGGCATAAGCCGCTGGGCATCATACTCCATCTTTACATCGGTATCTCTCAAGGAGGGATCAGGCTCTTTGCCAGCTTCCACCCAATCCGGCAGCGCTTCATATCCTCGCAATCCGTGCAAACCACCATCTTCGCCCACCACTAAACTTGCAGATCCGAGTGTGAAACCCGTCCGGCTTTCGGATGGGCTGGGTGTGTGTGGAACAGGTTTTGGGGCGAGGAGCATGAGGCTTGCCAGTTGGGTGGAAGACGGGATGGCCAAAAGCGCTTTGTAAAGTCGTGTGCGGTCGCGAAGGTCATAGGAAGTGTCGTAGCGTGCAAGCATGAGGATGTAATTCCATAAGGCGACGATTGGGTGTTCGGGCTCGGGTTCTGGTGGTGAGTAGGTTGAATGCTGAGGTGAACCGAGCTCGGCGAAACCTTCGTTTTCTTCAGGTAAGTAATTGTGTGATGATTCTTGAACAGGAGCTGCTGTTGCATTGTCCGCCCCAACGTCTGAACGGTTTAGGTGATGGAGGTAGACCTTCGCGGCCAAGAGGACAATTTGCAACTTCGCTGGTTCTGCTTCATCCGCAAAGCCTTTGGCAAGGATACGTAGCACATCCGCAGCAACATTATCCTCTCCATTAACACCGGCGAACTCCCCAACGAGCCAGATAATTGTTGCTCGTGCTCGAGGATTCGTCGCAGTGTCTAGATTCTTTGCTAGACGGATGACGGTATTTGTATGGGATCCTGGATCCTGTTGTATCAGATGTCTGATGACAGTCAAGGACTCTGCTACCAAGTTTCCATCCAGACTCGTGATTTGCTTCAAGAGTAGGCGCAAACATCGTCCAGATGTTCTGGAATCGCTCTGAGCACATCTGCCAATAGCTCTGACTGCTTCCCGGACAAGCTCTTTGTCGGAACCGCGGGAGAAGTGCTCGAGCTCGTTGAGGATGAGACTCTTCATGTAAAGATCGCAATGGGGGAATATTAGTGTAAGTAGCTCGAGCTTTAGTTCCCAAATTTGTGGGGGATCCGTAGAATGAACCAGAAAATGTGACGCATATTTGACGAAAGCCTCCGGCCGCATGAGACATACCGAGACAATATTGTATAATGCAATATGCTGGATATCTTGTGGTCCTCGTAATAATGCTATTAAAGGGCCGACCGAAGCATTGATGTACTCCGGGGTGCCCAGGTTGATGTAGCATCGAACAACGGCTACCACGACAGCTGAATTTCGACTTTGCAGTAGAGGCTTGATACTCCTCAGAAGCAGCTCGAGATCGGGGTCGAGCACCTGAACCACTTCGCCAGTATCTTCTTCCTCAGCTTCCTCCTCCTCACCGTAGAATCCTTGGTTACCATTGCTCTTTTTCACTCTCCGTGTCCTTTTTGGGAAACACTTTCTTGAATATATGGTCATCAACCTCAAAGTTGCCAGCTGACTCCATTCATCCATATCCACCAGCTTCTTGACTAAGCTCCGGTAATGTTTATGAACGAGGTCGATTCGGTCTGGACAAATCTCCATGAAGGCTTTGACTGCTGCCCCTGCTACATAGTACTGTCGGTCGCCTAGCAAAGTCGATAGATATTCCAGGAGCTGTGGGAGTGTGTTCGGATCCAGCCTATAACATTTAGGTATTGCCGACGCAGCAGCCTTCCTGACATATGGACTCATATCCCCCAGGCCTCTCTTGATAGCCAAAGACACAATTTGGCTGATGGCCGGGACGCGAATCCCTGACATGGTTTTGAGCGCCAAGGCTCGTACCTGTGGATTGCCATCTGAGAGCGACTTTTGTATGGTATTGATGGAGAGGAGGGCTAGGTCTGGTTCTTGTTCGGCATGGAAGAGGAGGTAGATGTAGACTAGCTTCTTGATTTCGATGTTAGGAGAGGCAACATTCTTAACAATGGACGAGAAGAAGGTAAGGCATGGTTGCGACCGGTACATCATCTAGGATCTCTGCGTCAGTCTGATACCGCTATGAGTGTGCCGGAGCCGCAAGGAGGAGTCCTGAGAGTGGACAAATAAGCCCAGGACGGGTATAAGAGACGTACAGAGATGACCTTCCTCAATCCGTCCAGCACCTCTCGATCATTTCGACTATCAAGCAACTTCTTAATCTGTGCTGGCGGTAAGGTTCTCACGGAGGTGCGAGAGCTACGGGCTGATTGAGCCGCATCGAGGGTGAGTTCTCGAGCTGTTAGAAAGGTTAGCATGCGCTACATGGCGCAAGCACAATTCAAAAAGGAATCAAGTAGCATACCACTCTCCAGCAACGTGGATATCCTAGATATCGACTCCATGACTGAACATGAGAGTATAGAGGCGCATCGTCATTTGAAGCTCGTAGTGGGGCTAAGCGACTACATCTTTCATCGCTGGTAATCACACACACGACTCTTATCACACGACGCAACGCCATACTCAACACGCAATATTTCCCACTCTGTCTACGAAGATTTCCAAAAACACCTAACTTTGATATTCAAATGATCTTTCTTTATTAACATTCAGCACTAATTTGTAGGTCCAATCGATTTTCTACAATGTACGAGACCATAGCCAACACCAAGTGAAGCATTTGGCAAAGGACCTCTCAACATCCACCACAAGGACCGTTCACGAAATGGCATCAATCCCAATCGCCCTTCCACCTGCCCTCCCATCTGAGCTCCTCAGCTACGTCCTATCCCACCAAGCCTACCCCACCACGCTCATCATCTGCCAACCGCGCGCCACATTCCTCTCTTCTCTTCTCGAGTGCATCAATAACACACCTGCACCCCCGCCGCCTCAGACCAGAGAAGCCGATGATACCTCAGCATCGCCATCATCTCCAGCGCACCCCGCCAACAATCCTCAAGAGCCACCAGAGCGCCATCCGCTTCTGATCCCCACACTCCACCAAGTCGCGACTTCGCGATATATCAACCTCGTCTTCATACCCACCGTCACTCACCTGCGCGCCTATCTCGCGGTCTTCCCGCCCCGGGACACGAGAGAGCCGCCAGAGCAGAGGTTCGATAAGCCAGGGAAGAATAAGCCGTTGGTGGTGGTGTATGGGCTGGTGGGGTTGCATCGCGATACGAGCGAGTGGAGCGCACAAGGGCTGGGGAGTAGTTTGGCGGGGCTGGTGGAGGCGGGGTGGAGGGCTGGACGGAGGGTTGTAGTTATAGAGGAGAGGAAGGTGGAGAGTAGTGGTTATGAGGAGGGGGAAGGGGATTCAGGAGGGGGGGGCGAGACGAGAAAGAGAGCATGGAAGGTTTGGGAGGAGAAGGTACCAATGTTGAATGGGAGTGTGAGACGCGCTGCGCTTGAGAGCGAGGATGGCGGGTGGAGTGGAAGGACTGTTGAGGTGGGACGAATATTGGGGAGATGGTTTAGGTTTGGCAAAGGTGATTGGTGTGATGAAAAGGGTTGATTGGCATAAAATAATTCAAAGGTCGTAAACTCATTCCCAGGTATACCCAAACGCCGACTGCTAGCCGCCCTGTTCCATCCTAGACCCAAACATGAATACAGACAAAACTCACATGGACTGTTCCATCTCTGTAATGTACAGTTTGATGTGCGAGTCCATCTTCAGGAATTCCTCCTTCGCATTATGAATCTCGTTTTCGATATTCTCCTTCAAATCCCCCATCTGTGAAATATTAGCACGTGCTCTAATCATCAGTAACAAAGAAAGCATACCTTTTTCTCCGTCTGCTCTATCCTTACTCTCCTCTTCTCCATTTCTCTTCCCTTTTCGGCCCGCTCTTCCGTCAGCTGTCTATGCACTGCTCTCAACTCCTCCATTCTCTCCTTCGCGCTCAAGGCCTTCTCCCTGCTATTTTCTCGGAGCTTCTCCGTTCGCTCCATCCACTTCGACAATTGGCGCTGCAGCAATGATTCCGTTCTTTCTACCTCCCGGACATTGTTGCTCTTATCTCCCAGTGCGTCTCTCTGCTTCGAAATACGTATGCTCTCCTCTTCTTCCTTGGCCAACTCGGCTGAGATATCCTCTAGTAGTTTTATACATGAAGCTACATCTGAAGTGACGATAGAAAATGTATCTGTCGACGTCTGCAGTGCTCGAGCTCGGCGGTCCATGGCATCGATCTGGGCCTTTTCCGCATTTAATTCATTTGTCAGCTCGGTCAGGGAGGCCTGAAGTGCAGCAGGTGATTGCAGCACATAAGGTCGCAACTTGGCGCTTTCCTGTCTCAAAGCGATTGTTGCAGCAGTCTTGTCCTCTAATATCGCCGTCATCTCACTTTTCTTGGCTTTGACGTTTTCAAAGCGCCGAGTGACCTTCTCCTGACTTTGTCGAAGCTCAAGAAGCCGCTTCTTGAGCTCTTCGTTGCGCCTCATCTTTTCTGCGATATGTGCTTCCATGGCTTTTCGATTGCGCTTCATCTCCTCGAGGCGCGCCTCCATATCCTGGTTCTCCATGTATAATGTTTCAATCCTGACCTTGGTCCTTTCAGCTTTGTTGAAATGCTCATCAATAACTGCAGTCTGACTCTCTCGGAACCGCACAAAGTTTATGATGTAGGAGAATATCTTGACCAGGCGATCATGTGTCGGCTTGTACAGATCCTGGAACGAAAAGTCTTTAATCCCACACTCGTACAGCAGCTTGCGTAGACTGCCATAAAACCCCAGAAGGTTGCGCGCTTCGGCAGGTATTATTTCCATGTACTCTCCACAGATATCTTCTGCTGCCGCGCGCATTGCTGGTTCGACCGTCTCGCGAGTCGCGTTCACAAGAAGTTCCGCAAACCATTCGAAGATCATTTGGATTTGGAGTGGATTTGGTTTCTGGAGGTCTGCGACCGTAAATGGAACACCAATATCACTGATGCATCCTACGATTTCTTTGTCGGGCTGATTTGGTTAGCTACTCGATTTTGAGAGGGGTGAGGACGGTCCCTCACCAGGCGCATAAACGCATCGCTTTCCTCTTCTTTCTTCCTGCCGCGATTTTGCTGCTGAGTATTCGGGACCATGCTCATTCGCGGATTATAAGACATTTTGAGCTCTTGGAAGTGCTTTTAACAGGTTTGATGGAGTATCGCAAAATTGTATGAAAGGTGACTGTCGCATGATACCGCAAGAGGTTGCCGAGTAAACAAACGATAGCAAAGTAAACACAAGGAATGAATGCGCTAATCTATAATTGGCACGTAACCACGTGATGCAAACCAAAATCAAGCATACCTACAACTATTTGAGTCCTGGCTGAATAAATAGTTCTACCATATTTGCCAAGTAGGTACTATATGCAGTCCTCTTTTTTGGAGAATTTAACCTCATGAAAAACCACAATTTGGTAAAGACATCAGGTGACTTGGCCCCTTCTCGCGAAAAATAGGAGGTTAGGGTGCCGCTGAGAAGCTCACAGGTAGCTACGGCCAAGACGCCGTTCCAATGGCCTGTGCACCATGTCTATATACTCTTGGTTCAGTATGGCCCAATTTCTCGTCCTGTATAGATAGAGAACCTCTGCAGGGAAGGCTTAAAGGATTAGGACGTACAAGTGTTGTCAGATGTCGGCATAAAATTGACAAGATTCCTCGAAGAGCTAACGCCACAAGCATGAAATGGACACATAGCTTAACAGAGGAGGACTTAACACAGCTTAATCGTGAAAGTATAGAAAATGAAATACCAGTATGTTAGCACCTTGGCTATTACTACAGCTTTCTCGTAGTTGAGATCTCTTGACAAGTATCGGACACCTCACTCAACGAACGGAACCCTATGGTAGTATCTCCAAAAAACATGAAGTCGATTAGAGCTTATGGCAAGCTCTATCAGACCCAAGTAGCTGCCGATTCCCACCTACATCCAACCGCCCAGCCCATGGATTCTGATTTCGCTGGCTGGGCGTCAAATGGAGGACCAGCCGTATTAATTCCAGAGAAGAGAGAAGGGGGGGTTGTTGTAACAGTAAGCGTAGGTCATGAGATGCATTCCACGTACATGTATGAGGTACAGTAGTATTGTATGTACTGGTCCATCACGGCGAGTTGCATATACATTGTACAGAGGAGGTACTTCAAGTACTTCAACTTCCGAGATGCCTGTCGTCCGATGACCTTTGGAAATTTGTCAACGAAAGCAAATCAGCCGTACCACACTGCCAGGGCCAACCATCCCTACCAGGTCATGGAACGCCACCTTTTCCCCCGCAATCGGGTGTTCCTTTCGGGTTCACAAGGATCCAAATATCCTCATAATTTCTCGAGTTTACAACCTCACAAGGACGAGAGGACAAGGGTTCGATTAGAGGCGGGAAGCTTACAGGGTAACGGAGTGCGGAGTAGTCGGTACCTCATCAATTGATGCCTTATAATTGTGGCAATAACTATGCAACCCACCGGGCACCTCCTGAATGCTGATATCATGCCTGGTAATCATGCGCGGAAATGTCACATTATCCCTCATTCCTCCAGGAACACTTATCAAACTTATCAGATCTTCAGATCTTCGGGTCTCCTTCCTTATGACATCTCGACGATCGACTTGCATTTTGCACACTGCCCTGAGCCTAGAAATAAGTCAATTTCAACGACATGAGGGACGCAGATCGGGAAATCCCACCCCCATTTTCCCTCAGGCCCGGGCATCCGACGTGCTGTATTATAAACTGGTCCGACGCCCACATTAAAGTCTTCCTATTCGGTGGGAGCATACAGCCTGTTAATAATCGTGAGGTCACGCCCGCTCATCACTGGCGTGGGGGGCCATCCTGTTGCTTGGTGCGAGGACGCCCCCTGGCCTATGATCATGGTTGCTGACTGCGGGGCGAGGCTTCTGCAACCCAGAACCATCATTCCAGGTACCAAGCCTTGAGCCATTACTCAAGTTCACAGTAGTCGAAACATTTCCGCGCGGTGCTGGTTGATTCCCCAGCAGTATTGGATATTAATAACTCCGGGGCAAGATGGGCCCTTTGCCTATGCAAAACCTCATCAATCCCTTGATTCCCTTCCAACACATTCGAGGCGTCTGACGGGCACTAGATTCCCTAGCGTCTGGTCCTTTGCTCAGCATCACATATATAATACTTGCTACCTTACTATACGTGCTTACCCCAGATTTTATCTTTACCCATTTCAGCATTCCTCACCTGCTCTGAATCATGACGATTCCCAGCACCTCGAATACCACTGTCGAGCTATCCCCATCAGTCAAAGTCTTGGCCAGCAAAGAGACAAAAAGAATGGGATCCGTTTCTAATATTGATATTATTGACATACGTCATGATGCTGTGGAAGTCAGTCTGAAAGACGAAATCCTAAGTTCATTGAGACCTGAGACCGGGCCTAAAAAACTACCGACGCTCCTTCTTTATGATGAGCGAGGCCTACAGATTTTTGAGGAGGTAAGCATCACTGCAGAGATCGGGACATGTCTGTGACCGCGCTAAACCGAGGCAGATTACGTATTTGCAAGAATACTTCCTCACTAATGCGGAAATTGATGTCCTAGAGCGCTCTGCTGACAGCATTGCGAAAGCTATCCCATCTGGTGCCATGGTGATGGAGTTGGGAAGCGGGTTTGTGATTGTCAGCGGGCATCGTCAAGGTCTGGGAACTAACAAAAAACAGTAATCTTCGGAAGGTGAGTCTTTTGTTGAAGGCCTTGGATGCTGCTGGCAAAAACATCGACTACTATGCGTTGGATCTCTCCGTGGAAGAACTGAGACGGACACTGGAACAAGTGCCTGCGTTCAAACACGTTAAATGTCATGGGCTCCATGGCACATATGATGATGGTCTCGACTGGCTGAAAATGCCCGAAAATCAATCGAGGCCAAAATGTGTTATGTCCCTTGGATCCAGCATAGGTCAGTCTCCATTTGACTCATTCATATCTCTTATTTATATCTATCTCATCAGGTAACTTCCATCGCCATGAGGCTGCCTCTTTCTTACGAGGATTTGCCGACGTCTTGCAATCGTCCGATCTTATGCTCATCGGATTGGATGCAACCGATGACCCTGCGAAGGTTTTGTAAGTCTTCAATTCTGCTTATGACTATACTGTTGTGGCTAACAAAATTACAGCTACGCATATAATGGTAACTTCTTGTTTCTCCTTTCAATAATTTCGCTGACAACCTATGAATAGACCGGAAAGGAGTCACGCATAAGTATGAAAGCTGTAGTGAAGTCGGTTTACTCATATTTTAACTGATACCTGGATAGATTTATCCTTAATGGACTCATACACGCCAACGCAATATTAGGCGAACCCGTCTTCAATATTGATGATTGGAAGGTGATTGGGGAATATGTCTACGATGGCGAGGGTGGTCGGCACCAGGCGTTCTACTCTCCAACACGTGATATTGATTACAAGGACATTCATTTCAAAGCCGGAGAGCGAATTCAAGTTGAACAAAGCTTGAAATATTCAGCAGAAGAGGCTGAACAGCTGTGGAAAGCTTCGGGTTTGAACGAAGTTGGTCGATGGTCAGCCTCGTCTGAAAGTTACAGTATGTCCCACATCGCTTGTCAAACTCGTTTCCTTACCCTGGCAATCACGTCAACGAGACCTACACCAGTGTGAGGCTCTCGTCCCCCACGAGGCCGGTCGCATGACCTCTTTACCCCACACAACGTGGGGCTTTCTGATTGAAGTGTGTGGCGCAAGGGCCACCATGCTGCTTTCTTGGAATCATTGCCACGAAAGGATAAGAACAAGGCTGGTGGTCCATGCTGCTCTAACTTCATATCCAGACTTGTCTCCTGTTCTCTATCCAGTATTCGTGGTTATCATACAGCTTACTATCTGCTTGCTAAACCATTCTAATACATGTTGTAGACGTCCATCTCTTAACGAAACAAAATATGGCGTTCAATTTAGAACCCTCAGTGTATGCTGCTAAGACAGTTCCTAGCCTTGAAGACTGGCAGGGGCTTTGGGCGGTATGGGATACTGTGACCAGGCAAATGATCCCAGATGAGGAATTGCTGGAAAAGCCAATCAAGCTTCGAAATGCTTGTATCTTCTACCTTGGCCATATTCCCACATTCTTGGACATCCAACTCACCAAGGTCACAAGCTTGCCCCCCTGTGAACCGTCCTATTATCCTCAAATCTTTGAAAGAGGAATTGATCCAGATGTTGATAACCCTGAGCAATGTCACTCCCACTCGGAAATTCCGGATGAATGGCCGCCACTCGACGAAATTCTTGGTTATCAAGATAAAGTTCGAGAAAAGGTTCAAAAACTCTGTGAGATGCAAGATATTCCCCGTCAAATTGGCCGTGCGCTTTGGATAGGTTTTGAACACGAGATCATGCATCTTGAGACCCTGCTTTACATGCTATTGCAAAGCGATAAAACTCGGCCACCGACTGCTGTTACCCCTGACTTTGAAGCCCAGGCCAAGCTGGCAGAGGCTGCTCGAGTACCGAATGAATGGTTCCAAATCCCAGAGCAAACGATCACCATCGGACTGGATGATCCAGAGGACAACTCTGGCCCAGATCATCACTTTGGATGGCAAGTACCCTTACTTGAACCCAGGAATTTTAGCTAAGGAGTCAACAGGGATAATGAGAAGCCTCCTCGGCAGGTCGTTGTCCCTGCGTTCAGCGCTCAGGCACGAGCAATCTCAAACGAAGATGTAGGTTCATAACCAACTTCGGGTTTATTTATACTAATTACGCATAAGTATGCTCGGTACCTTGAGCATACACACAACCCAAAGATACCAGCATCATGGTCTGAGTTGAAAGCTCATTCGAATGGCTATACCAATGGAAATGGCAATGGCTCTGTAAACGGTCATTCGAATAACTTTGCTCCTCTAAGCAATGCTTATCTGGAGGGAAAGGCCGTTCGGACGGTCTTTGGCCTTGTTCCTTTGAAATATGCACTGGACTGGCCAGTTTTTGCTTCTTACGACGAATTGGCTGGTTGTGCAAAATGGATGGGCGGAAGAATTCCCACTTTCGAAGAGGTGCGAAGTATTTATAGCCATGTAGATGGCCTGAAGCAGAAGGAGGCTGAAAGGCAACTTGGAAAATTTGTCCCAGCTGTCAATGGGTACGGTTGCGAGTTAGACAGTCACTGGGTTGTTGCTAATGGAACACAGGCATCTTCTCAATGATGGAGTAGAAGAAAGCCCCCCATCAAATGTTTTGCAAAACGGTGAGAGCGCGCAAGCGCTCTTCACAGACCTCAGGGGCGCCAATGTTGGCTTCAACAACTGGCATCCTGTTGCGGTGACAGCAAATGGTAATAAGCTTGCTGGCCAAGGTGAAATGGGTGGCGTCTGGGAGTGGACAAGCTCTCCCCTCACAAAGCATGAGGGCTTTGAGCCTATGCCAATGTACCCAGCTTATACAGGTACTTCCACAGTTGAAGCTATTCAGGTAGAGACTAACTGTTGACAGCTGATTTCTTTGATGGGAAGCACAACATTGTCCTGGGAGGCTCTTGGGCAACCCACCCTCGAATTGCTGGACGAAAGACTTTGTAAGCCAGCCATGACTTGCATACAATCTCATGCAACGCAGAAGACTGACTGATCCCAAATAGCGTCAACTGGTACCAACGCAATTACCCTTACGCTTGGGCTGGTGCACGTCTTGTCCGCGACTTGTAACCGACAAGCTGCAAAGCATCCAGAAAGTAAGTGTTACCTACCGACTTTCAACAGTTGGGCAACAAGGGAGCAATTGTTTTAGGCAGGTTACCAATCAACTTGGTGTCAGGGGCTAAACAAAGAAGTGCTTAGGTGGGGTCTGTTTTTAATCACATCTGATTGTAACTACCCAGTGCAGAATTATACGTCCCAAGTTCAGTAGTCAGACATCAGTGATAAGATCCGTTTCTCAAAGATGTAGGTACTTCAGGTGGCCGGTAGCAGACAAGTGTTTGCTTTGATGTCCGTAGCCAGTTGGAATGAGCAATGATATTTATGCAAATAAAAGTCAAAAGTCTAGGTCATAGCTATTCCAAGTTCCCTTCTGCGGGCTTCCTCGTTTCAAATCCCTCCTGATATTTCACTCAATAGGCCTCCTCTAGTACAGTTAGCACGTGCTCTCATAAGACGCGTGGTCTTACCTTGCCCCTGAAAGGTCTTGTCGAGGTTTAAGCGACCTCGTGATACAGGTGCCAACGCGCGCCTAGCCGTCTCAACTGGGAAATATATCAATGATGGAAGTCAACACAAATGTCTACTATCATCCATCAAAGGCAAGAATATCAGCTTCATCTAATTGCCAATTGAACAGCCAATCCAACAGACAACTTCCAGTCCAATAGCAAATCCGACAACCAGCTCTCGCCAAGTCAAGCCTTTGCTACAGTCTGACGCGTTGACTTGGAGCCATCTACTGACTGACGCGCTCCTCTATTCACGTAAGTTTTCTTGCAAGCTCTTCCCCATAAGTCTTGTCATCCACTCCCTCACAATCCTCCTATTACGATCGATGTCTGGATCTGGATATCAATAGATTGACTGCGTGGTGTTGCCCGCCCCAGTCCAAGACCATGACAATTTACGCGTTACATCTGCTGTTTCTAGCGCTTTAAGATGTATAACGTGATTACTGACTCCATATCAGACAAAACAGTAGCACCACTAGATACGCTTTTGTCTTGCCCCGAGATGAATTGGTCGGTTATCAGGCCAGAGCAGCGGCTCTACAAGGGGAAGAGTATCTTCAAGTGGGATGACTCCCCAGGACTAGGTACGAATTTTGAATTGAGACCCTAGGTTTATATGCTGACGCGTAAGACCATCATTGTGGCATCTGTGCAACTCCTTTACATAGTAAGTTAAATCAATTCCACTCCTCTGCTCCGTTGTGCTCATATCTTTCGAGACGCCCGGGCCAAGAATTCCTGTATTGGGAAACACGTTGAGCCATGCTATCGATTCCACCAGCAGTTACATATCATAGGTAGACGCTCTACATCCCATTGAGCTTCTTTATTGATGTCCTTACTAATCTATCTCCATCTTAAGGAAAAGCTCACGAGTGCTTCAGGTAAGAGGAATCCAATACAGCATACTAGCCATATTCAATCACTGACTTGCTTCAGCTGCAATCATTCCGACGAGATGCATCACATGCGTCACAAAGAGATCCTCAAGTTAGTGAGGAAGATTTCTGCACTTGACGATGCAGAATCCATTTATCCAACAAAGAAGACCGCTGCTTCCACACCCAATAACAAGAATCAACAGAGCTCCACGCTTCTACTGGCCAATCACGCTACGGACACTGCTGGTGAACCTGTAGAAGTACCGAAATTGAGACGAAGTGAACGAAAAAAAGCGAAGAAGATGGGTGGTACAAGCGCTTCGAAGAAACTGTTAGAGATCGAGGCATTCCCTCTCGAGGATACAAATTTCATAAGCGAGGCGATCCACCTTAGCATTCATGATACCAGAGGAGCCTGGGAAGGCACACACAATTACGGAGACATGTCTCACGAAGCAGAAGAAGAGATTGCGGAGGAATCCGACGTCGAAGAGATCGGCGGATCTGCTGCTGCGCTCTGCGTCAAGCCAATGTATTGCCTGACTCCAACGCAGAGGAGGCTGGCCAAGAAAGTCTCGACCCCTTTGAAAGCCCGAAAGATCAGTGGCAACTCGAGAAGATCCTCTCCAAAGGATGTCTCGAAGGCCGATCCCTATGATGGTCTTGACCCACAGATATTCTCTCGCCTTAATATCAAAATCATTGATCCGCCCAAGAATTCAGTCTCTCGAAAAGATCTTGTTGCCAAGCTGATTGCTGAAATCAAAAACGACCTTGTCGCCATTGCTCAAGAGGACGAAGAGTCGAATATGAGACAGGAGGGTTTCTGGAGATGGGCTGGTCGAGCGGCATATCATACAATTGTGAAGACCAGGGAAGAGATTGACTGGGCGACTGGGGTGAAAAAGGGCGACCCCAGAGAGTCTTTCGTAGACGAGGAGTTGGAAGATGGACCATCTAGGGAGGTCGGGGAAGCCGAAGAAGACGTATTCGCCAATGTTATCCCAGACAACGATATCTCTTACGATGATCCCGCTATACTTGGGGAGAAAATCAATTTTGAGGTCAAGGAACCGGCGACCAGAGCACGAAAGGATGAGAAAGCCCCAGTCAAGAAGCCGGAGATGAAGCTCAAGGCACGAAAGGCCAACAAAGCTCTAGATGTCGAAAATGCCACATACGACGAATTTGGGTTTCTCTCAATATCTAGATAAATGCCTCCTCTACCATAAGGTGAGCTTGTTGCATGACTCCGAAGCTTCATTACCTTCGTCTTGGAAGACAGGGTCCAAACTTCCAGAATCTTGGCGCTAGGTTTTCGTGGGGGATGGTGTTCAGGAATTGTTCTGAGTTAACCGTATTTGTTTCGAGTTACTTTCTCTTCTTTAATTTCGCATTTTCTTTTCGATTTTCGATTTTCTCTTGTGCGACTACTACATTGCACAGGTTCGGGGAGGGGTTGGGTTGAAGGACGGTACTAAAACGGAATTCTCTCTTCATAATCGATTCACGAGATTATGACCAAGACGGCAGTGGGATCTTCCAGATTGGTAAGGAATGGACTTTCTTTCGAGAAAGCCATCCGCTGTTGTTATAGGATCCTTGTTTTTTTGTAAAGATTACTTTATTTTCATTTCTTTGTCATAATGAATAGACTCCATAATGAGAACTTTGCTGGGCTCAGCATGGTGAGTAAAACAAAATACCGGTATTATGAACCGGTACTAATAGAATCAGATTCACGGCCTGGAACCATCAATCTCTGAGTCACATGCTCTTTTTTTGTTTTCTCAAGAAGCAAATTTTTTTCTTGAGAAATACAAATCTTTAAAGGAAAAAACATTCTGCATTCCATTTTCCATGCCGGCTTAACCCATACACGTAGATCCGTACCTTAGATATCCCTCGCTTAAAAAAGGGGTAAACTACCTACCTAAGGTACCTATCGAAGCCCACCTACCTAGACCAAAAACCAACCTTTTCTTCCCCCAGTACTAAACCCAAATGAATGAAGCAACCCTTGCAAGAACCCTTCGCAAAAGACCTATTCATCATCGAATATCTATATGCTTTTTCGTGTCGAGTGCTAGATCGTTTGTTTCGGATTTCTATTTTTTTTTAAAACCTTTGAATTTTTAATGGGACATTGGTTTGATCTAGCAGGAGGTTAAGGTAGCGAGGGTAAGGTGAATATTCCTTGCTCCGTTCTTCATACCTAGGTACCAAGGCTGGGTGGGGATGGTGTGGGGAGGAATGAAAAGCAGCGTTGAGGGGCGCGGAATCGTTTTTGTCCTCTGACTGAATTATATGAGGAAATCTGAGGCGCGTGGAAGAAGCCTCTTCGAGTGATTATCTTTTCTCAGAGATGCGATCTCGAATGATGCTGTCGTGGAGTTGTTTATCGGCTAGTACCTACCTGGCTTCGAGTGCTTCTTGTTCTGTGTTTCTTATTTAGATTTGCCCGCGTCTTCTATGTTTTGAGTACGAGGAGAGGTTTCGTATTTCTAACAGTATCGGTATTAATTCCTATAACAATGCAAATGGTAACTGTCTGTCAAGATCCACATCCAGGAAGTGTTTCATAGTTTGAGTTCCACGTCTGTGAAACGGGCAGCGGAAGACTTCTCACGTCCCCATTCTCATGACCCCCTCTTGGCTCTGCATTGGTCTTTTCCATGCCGAGCTCCCTCTCATATTTTCCATTGCAGTTCATCCATACCCCAGGTCGCGTCTTCCAATCTTCAACTCTGCGTGGAAATAGCCTCTTGTAAAGTTAGTTTCTCATGACTCCGAGGTGATCTCTTTTGATCTCTATTTCGGGAAAGACGTAAAGACAGATGCAGACGATATAAGTTTGCTGTCAAATTTTTAGAGACAGTGTATTGGTGGTGTTGTTCACTGCGTTAGTCCCAATTAGGAGTCGCCTCTGGATGAGTACTGCTTTCCAACATGGAGCAGGTAGATAAAATTGCATCATATTCTTCAATAGTATGCTGTTGAAGAAAAGATACCTGGTTTTCGTGACTCGAAAAGGGCAATAGGATGACTTCCATGTTCGTTGTACTTCAATAGGTAGACTTACTAACTGTCCGTCAATAGGAGTCTTTGCTATTGAGGATCTGATGTATAGGGTGATCGTGACATTGACGGGCTCTTTGTGAATAGGTGTTGCTACTCGCGTCTTCTTCAATAGTTAGATGGAGGGAGCTATCTTATTGAGAAACGCCGCAGTAACTAACGAGAAAGCTTCTGATGGAGTATAGAAGGAGAGCAATCCAACTCTTCTTCCTCTCGATTACACTCTCCTCGATCTCTACAAACTCCACCCACACACAGATCGATCGTCAAGATGAGCACCCAGGAAGTGTGGATCAAGGCCCTGCCTCCGCCCACCGCCACGGTTGATGAAGTCAGAAAATGGCTTGGCAATTGGTTCACGGAAAGAGATGTGAGAACACCAACCAACGTTTCCGACATCGATCTCCTCCGAGCGCTCCTTGAGTGGAATGTCGATGGAAAAGAGATCAGAGAACTCGGCATTGAGGTCTTACAGCTGATCTTGGCCATCAATTGCAAGATCGCAAATTACACGGCCGAGCGATTGACTGGAGACATCGAAATGGCTCTGCAGTACGAGGTGATTTACCCTTCTTCATCAATGCTTCCTTGGACGTTATCGCTGACATAAGGGAATAGAAAGAAGTTCTTCTTTTCTCTACTACTTACCGTGACGGGTTCATCAACCGGATCCCAATGTCAAAAAAGCCCAAAACTATCGCCAATTGGATCCGGAGCTGGTTCGTAGATGTCGGAATCGAATTTCCCGCCGACTTCGGAAAAGTCTTTGTCAAAGAGCTCGCTTGGGGTACTGCAGATCTGGAAAAGCAGAACGCAAAGACTATCTTCGCAAGCTTCTATGGAAAGGGTTTGACTTTCGCCCAACTGGAGTTCTTATCCCGAGACATCAACCTCGCCATCGAATATATTGTATGTCTGGACAGAAGAAACTCTCCTTGAACACTTGTCACTTGTTCTGTTGCTGACTTAAATGGTACAATAGCATCGAGTGAGGAAAGAGGCACAGGAGAGAGTAGCTGCATTAAGGGCTCAGGATGCAGAGATGAACGCATAGGGTTGCATTTTTCTGAAGTTGCTGAAGGTTGGCAGAGGAGTTTGTGAATTGCAGGAGACACATTCGTTCACTGTAACATAACAAAGAGAGCTACTATGCCAACGAGAGCTTTTCACCCAGACCTGTAAAGCTCGTATAGCGTGTATGATGACCGACAAATTTAGGAAAATCTTGCTCTCGAACACATGGCTTGTCATGAGCAATTAGCGCTGAACAGATTGCACTTCACCTGGATGCCATATCCCAACCATTTGCGGAACGTGAGCGGTAACTTGCCACTCCATCATGTCCATAGCTCTACGTGAAGTCCAATGAAGCTCAGGCTTGCGAGCATTTCGCCGCACCATCTGACAGAGGCTCGATGCTGATGTGTCCTCGCCACAGATGCTGGCAACTTTGGGTAAACAACAAGGCGGTAAGCACTGAGCAGTGACATTCTGGAGCCGCATCCATGCAAAAGCCTCGGATTCTTGTTAAAAGACCCGCGGTCAGCCAAAATTGCCAAATCATGTTGAAGCTATTTATAATACCACTTGGCACGTTGGGCCCGGCGCGATAAAGTTGTCACTGGGGCTAAACTATAGGCCAGCCGTTGCTATCGATACGTCGCCCCCCGGCCCGTTTGAGATGCGCCGCTGGGAATCTGGATGTGGTGGTTATTATCCCGTATTACGTTGTATTTATGAGGCCAAGACAACACCTTGGCGTCGAGAAACTCTACCCGGTCTCCGGAGGTACAGCATCTGCAGAGTCTCAACAATTGCTACATTATGATTATAATACAGATATATACAGATACAGCATGATTACTGTATTCGCACCGTATAATCGACTACCGGCAACAACAAGGAAGGCGCGCGCTAGTACGCGTCAGGAACTCTCAGGGTTCGCATCAACTAAGCTACTTGCGGCATAAACCGTTTAAAAGCCGGAGAATCTATCTTCCTCGCTGGCCTGGGGTACCTGATAGCCAATCAGAGCGCGTATATAAGTAATGGGAAACGAACCAGCGGTCTGCTGACAAATGCAGGCATCGAGGCGGCCCCTGCCTTACAGACTCTCAGCGATCTGGGAGACGTGGGATCCAGATCTCTCCACCCCACCAAGGAGATTCGAGAATTGGCCACTTTGCGGAAATATTGGAGAGAAAGAGGCCTGTCTGTGTTGTCTGTGGCTGCGCTGCGATAGACCACCATCCCGCGATCACAGTATCACCATATCAGATAGCAATCCTAGCTTGGGTGACGAGGGAAGAAACGTGGAGCGGGGGGCGAAGGAGCAGCAGCCAGCCTCACCTGTCATTCGAGCACTCCCTACGTTGTACAGTCACGGGCAATCCGAGAAGGATCCAGGACGGGCAAGGAGACGACTGAGGAAAAGGAGAACTTGAAGAAGATCTTTGCATCGGAGCCCTCAAGTCACGATACCAGGCGTCACGTCATATCAACCCGTTGCCTCGCAAGAAGACTTTCAAGACTCGAGCTTCAACACAGGCACGCCTCACGGCAACGATCCACGACAGCTTAACCCAGTAAGCAACGGCATTACAGGAATACCATAAGGAAGCGCCTAGACCGCCGCATCACTTGGAGCTCTATTGCTTGAGGAAGCCCCGAAGCGCTGTTAGTAAGACGGGACTCGGGGGGAATGAGTGTGGCTTTCTTTGGCTTCTGATATCTCCCCATCTGATACCGGACATCGGGTGCTTGCTTGCTGCGCGAACGTTGGGTCAGATCTGGATAGGCATCTTCTGTTAAGCCGCTTAATCTGGGACTTGCTGCATCCTTTCCAATGGGATCAGATATCATACCTCGACATCTAACCTGGTAACCAAACTCGCTATTTCGCTCCAACTTTTCACCACTTTCAACCTTACCAAACTACCTACCTATCTATGTGCTGCGCGCTTCGACACTTACCGGTGACTGACTTCATGTCGGATCACCCTTTCCGCGCCATGAGTGGTAGACGATCTCCATCACCTCAAAAACGGTGGGAAGGAACCTTCCCCGCCAGACCTACTCTCCCTTCGAGGGAACCTTCTAAAGAGGACATTGAGATGGCCCAGCATTTACTCGGGCATTCTCAAGCAGCAAGAAATACCAATCAGAAACATGACGAGCAGAAATCTACCGATACTCCATCGCCGACTTGTCAGCTTCCCAGTCCGAATTTAACCATGTCTCCATCCACGGAGCAAATGCGCCAGATCACACCGACATCAAGCTCAGCAGACCAAAGACAGAGAGAGAACCCCCAATCATATGCACCGGTGTCTTCTCAACCCGATTCTGTTCCCAGTGGCCAAGTGTGCAGGTAAATCAGAACTTTCGTTGACAGAAGACACTTACTAACATCCTTCAGCAATTGCGGTACAAGCAGAACACCACTTTGGCGGCGTTCACCACAAGGAGCTACTATCTGCAATGCCTGCGGTCTCTACTTAAAGGCTCGAAATGCTTCTCGACCAACCAACTTCAGACCATCGAAGCGGCCTCCATCCACCGTGGCTTCTCCCGGACAGCAGTCACCGGAGCAAAGAACATCATCACCTGCAAGAACAGTGTCCGCACATCACACGTCCACGGGGGCTACATATGTAGCGGCAGACCAGACACCTGTAGGATCTTGTCCCGGCGGTGGACGATGCAATGGGACTGGAGGAGCCGAGGGCTGCAGTGGATGCCCTGCGTTCAACAACAGGGTATCTAAGAGCGCCCACTTTACAGTTTCCCAAGACAGACAATCATCTTCAGCATCTCAAAATGACCAACCTACAGATGCGCCTTCACCTATTGACGTCGCTTCTCTCCAAATCCAAGCCTCAAACACAACAGTCGTCGTAGCCTGCCAGAATTGTGGGACCACAATTACCCCATTATGGCGCAGAGATGAGAGCGGTCATACCATCTGCAACGCGTGTGGTGCGTGGGTTCCTGAAACATTCATCGCTTTCTAGTACTGACTCTTCCAGGTTTATACTACAAACTCCACGGCGCTCATCGCCCCGTAACCATGAAGAAGTCCGTCATCAAACGCCGAAAACGAGTGGTGCCAGCTGCGCAAGGTACACAAGCATCGGGCATCGACGTCGCAAGCAATTCCATGGGATCACCCGAATCCGACCGCCAGTCTCCCACTGTTGACAACATCCCAGAACATCGGGGAACTGTCAATCCAGATGGATCTGTAAACCTCGGCTTCCGGCTCCGAAATGAGCGAGCTCTCCTCCCTGAACCAATATCCACAAGCCGCGCACAGAACGGCCAGCAACAACTAGCAACCTCCGATCTCACAGCCTACGCCTCAAATTTTAATACCCAAAGCCAATCATCACAACACCTCGAGTCTCTTAATAACGAGAACCGTCTCCCACCAATGACTTCCTACCCTTCCCCCATACCGAGGCGACCCTCATTATCACCCAATTCCTTCCTCTCACCCTCCCGCAAACGTTCTTTCTCCTCTACAGAGATGAAGGCGCGAGACGAGCTCCCTCCTCTCTCTGAGCCGACGCCCTCCGCACAACCCAAACGTCTCAGCTCTATTAAATCAATCCTGAACCCAGGCGTCTCGGATTCTGAAGCCAGCAACGTTGATCCTAGCTTACGCCTTGCGCAGATATCAGGCCCAGGGCGATACCCTGGGGTCGGCAGCCCAATGGGCAATGGGTATGCGACGAATCAGGCGAATAGCGCTGTAGGGAGTGCGCCGAGCAGTGGACGCGATGCGCAGAGCGAGAGTGAGCGGGCGAAAATAGAACGCAGAGAAATGCTGCAACGCGAGGCGGAAAAGATGCGAGAGGCGTTGAAGGCGAAGGAGAGGGAATTGGCGGAGTTGGGAGAGGGCGAGTGACAATCCACGGTCTTCAATGACCGAAGAGTTTGGCTCACGAACTGATGATTATGGCTTGATTGATCAACGATTGTTTACAGTTAGCGTGGCATACATGGCGTTCTCGGCGGATTTCTGAGATCTGTGTTAAGAGGGGCACGGATCGTGTAAATGCTGGTAAACAGGACAGTGTAGAATAGCAGCAAGGTGTTGTCGCGTAGGAGCATTAATTAAGATATTCACATTATTACTTTCCTGCTTCCTATGATTTGTTTTTTGTGGTAGCCTAGTAGAAAGTCGACATCGAGTTTTCTTCATTCTCAATGCAGGGGATGGGAAAAGAGGTGTAGTGCGGTATGGCTCCGTGTCACCCGCATCTCCCAATCCTTGATGAACGCACTTCCTATAGATTGAGCGAGTTAATGACTCCAGAATCTCCAGTCATTAAGAGGCATGCAAGTACACAAAGACCGGAATTTGGGTATTTTCCTTGTATTCTTTGAAAAGATGCTGATGTACATGAAAAACAGAAGCCGAATCATTCTTCTATGATATCACAACGTTACCATCGTACACTGCATGCCTGCTTCACCCAAACAGGAATACAAAGAGGCACAGGGAGATTCGAGAGGTGATAGCAAGGTCGAGAAAAAAGTCGTTCTCCTTGGAAACCCGGATGGTAAATCCTTGGGGGAGCTGAGGACGGGATTTTGGGCGGGATGGCGAGGGGTGAGAGATAAGGCATGGGTTGACTAGACTTGTTCGGCGCCCCAGCCGGCGTCTGCTTCTCTGTTGCACAAAAAAAAAAGAGAGGTTAGCTTGTTTCGTCGGGGTTCTGGGGAGAAATGGTCCAACGTACCTCATGTTCTGGGGTGGCTCGATAGAAGGCACGAACTCGAGGACTGCGTATGCAAGACCTATTATCCCGATAATTGATCCAAACACGATATCCAAGGTGTGCACGTCGAGAAGAATGGATCCGACAAAGATGTAGACTACCATTGATGTTAATAGTCGAGACTCCCAGCTACAGCTAGGTAGGAAGCGGGATGGATCAACATACAAAGTCCTCGTCCGAGAAAGGAGAACAGGAAAGAGGCGTAGCGAGACACCTGTGGAGGGATTTGGAACTCTGGATTTCGATATCAGTATTGTTGTAGAATCGAGGTCTAGGGGAAGGTTTGGGGGTATGGGGTGGAACGGACCGAGGAGAGCGGTAGCTGTTGCATCACATTATTAGCATTGGTTAACACGAAGAATAGGAGAGCGAGTACATACTGAGACCAAATAGAATGACGTATAACCCAGTGATGACATTGGACCTGCAAGTCAATCAGTGAGTTGAGCTTGAAACTAGCTGTCGCAAAGCACTTACATGCCGATTGGGAAGAAGTGGAAGATACCACTAACAACCATAAGGGCACCCACGCCTAAATTGACAATCCGGCTGTAAGAAGAATACATCAGTCAGACAGAGATTCCTCGGCGGGAGAGGGGGTAGACAGGCGCATTGAGAGAAAGCAGATGCTTCTCTCCATAAGTAACGCGCGGGTCTGAAGCTGGGCGGGCTCACAAAGCGTCGGAGAAATCCATTGCGCACGATCTGATCGCTGAACGGAGAAGAGGGGATAGCGGACTCGAAGAGGATCGGTGACTAGGAGTTTAAGTTAAGGGGGAGGACCAGATGAAGTTATTGCGAAACTTGTCGAAAGCTCGAGGGGGGGTTGGGCCTGTTGCTGTACGAACACGCCCCCCGTCGTCTGGCCTTGCTTGGCCTTGGTTGACAGGGATTATTAATATGGGCGGCACCATGCTGCTTTTGGCAACTTTCAACCTCGACACAGACGACAGAGGCAGAAGATGCGATATCTCAAGGCGGATGCTATGTCGAATCCCATTCGAGAACCCCTGGAAACTGTACGAAATGGAATGACAGCCCTGTATCTGATATCTTGGCAAACGCCTTCTTACCTGGTCCTGTGTTGTCCGGAATTCAGCTGCCTAAAGTATCGACGCGGCCTATTGTCTTGTGACGAGTTCAGAAGCCTGGAGAATAGGCTACTACTTTATTCAGAGGTATCTCTTATGTTTGGAAATAATCTGCTTGAGATGGTTGTGGCGAAGTTTTGCTTCCGTTGTTCAGGATCTAAAGCCATTCAGAATACTCCTCTTTGCAGGACGAAGCTCCAGGCCCTGGAACCACTGGGTTATTGGACTTCACTTTGAGTTCACTTTTTATCCCCTTACTTCCGCTTGCGTTTCTCTGAAATTGTATTATAACGGTTTTGCATAATTGCTTGGTGCTTTGCGGGGTGATGTATTGGAGTTTTTCACATCTTGACTTGAGCGAGCCGACCCAGGGGCGGTAACACACTCTTGCGCGTCATAATCGATTCAAGGTGGTATCAAGAGCACAGCAGCCCCAAGAAAAGAGAGAAATAATAAAACGGCAAACCTCGGAGATGTCAGGGTCAACATGGCATCTCATAGATCAACCAGACGGGACTGGTTGTCTGAAGGGAGCAGAAACTAAACCATGCAGTTTTTCTCTCTGAAAACCAAAACCCTTATTTTGATATATGACATTGCTATGATCCTTTGCGCTGCAAAAATGACGTCTAAACTCCCAACCCTGCCAAAAGTAGTAACACAAATGTTCGAGCATAAAATCGCAGGTTTCTCCAAAATCATGCCCCGGATTAATGCGTTATGTTCTATCGTTCCTATGCCAGCCCTGTATACATCGGAAGAGCTTTCTGTAATTAGATTCAAACGCCTAGCGGTTGCAGGAACATAATTTGATATGGGGTGTTTGACGTAGGGAAGTCGAGTGAAGCTCTTTACATGTTGCAAAGGGGCTTGGTATGGTCTATGATGAGGGGTGTTTATACTTGTGCTGCGGTCGAGTTGTTTTCTAGAAAAGTCTCATATAACGACGCGACGCCTATTCTATTACATTTGCAGCTGGGTGATTATGGTTCAAGATATGTTCCAAGGATATCACAGCTTCGACTTTGGAGCCAAAACTTCATCTACCAGCTCCTTAGCTCCCTCTGAGCATCCATATGAAGCTTGGTATCCCCAGCCCCCATGGCCATAATTATGCACAACCCACGTCGACCCAATCTTTTCCTTCTCAATCCTGACACCACTCAGTCTCAAGGGGCGCAATCCAACAGCATGCCGAATAACACTCAGTGCTTCAATACCTTTGCCTCCAGTCAAAGCGGGACAAAGCTCAACGGCTCTCTTCATAATCCGCAAGGCTTGGTTGGGATCTGGCTGGGATTCCCATTTTCCCTTCTGATAAGTCCCACCAAGAATAGTCCCACCACCCGCCGCTCGTTTCATGATGTAGAGGACCTCATCCTCGCCATCATCAGTGCCAGAAACAGTCAACATGACTCCGGGATCATTGCGCACGACAACAATCTGGCCGCGAACGGGAATAACCTCCTTGTCCATCACGCCTCCGAGTTTAGAGGCCAGAAGACCTGTGCAATTGACAACCACGTCTGCTTTTGCGCCTGAGTGGTGCAGATCTGCAGCTTCGGAGATGTGGGTCAGTACTGCGCGTTGGAGGACAGCGCCATTCTTCAAACATTGGCTGATGAGGTAGGGGAGGTAGACTGCAACGTTGATGCACACTGACGTGAACGCCGTGCCAGAATCAACTCCAGCCGGGAGCTCTGACTCTGGGAGCACCCGAAAATCGGGGACTACATCTTTGAACCAAGGGGTTGTGGAATTGAGCTCTTTCATCCATTGGCCGGTGACGGTATCTGTGTCTTTCTTGCGAGAATAGCTAACGGTGTCTATCGAGATCTCAGCGCAGTTCACATGTATGTCTTTCTGTTTGGGACGTCCTAGAGGGCTGGCAAGGGGGTTTTACTTTGGAAATGTATGCCTGCTTCTGGAACATCTTTTGCAAGACGGGCGAGTTCAGGCCATGTATTTTTCTCCCACCTATTGCCTGACTCAGGGGCCACACTGTTGAAACCATGTCAGAATTACACATCATGTGAGAGAGGTTGGTGTTCCTAACGGCAGATAATTTGCTCCAGCCCAGGGCGACGTGTATTCGATGTCATAGTCCCCAGGCATATGTTTGGCGACAATGGTCACGCTGTACGCTGGGTTCTTGGAGAGCAACAGGGCTGTGGTCAAGCCAGACACGCCAGCCCTGTAATGACGGGAATTAGTCTAGAGCTTCAGGTGGAATTGATTGTGAGTTTGTACGTACCCGACAACCACGATGTTCGGCATGTTTAGGAATTGAGATCTTCGCTGAAGAGACGATGGTAACTTATCCGCGGTCGATTCTACGGGCCTAGGGAGCACTCCACGCAACGGCGAACAGGCGGACGGTTTGTATATATATAATTGGATTGCAAATGCATCTATAGAAAGGGAGAAGCAATGACAATCTTCCGATTCGCAGATTGAGTCGGCCTATCTGGCTCTACACCGTATGTCCATCCACCTCCCACTCTTGCTCCCTTGTGCTTGAGGCTTGAGCTCTCTTCCAGCTTGGGAGCCGCTTTTACGGGTCAAGTGACAAGCGAGCACGTGAGGGAGGAATCCTGCTACACGGGCGTGTGGAGCACTCCGTAGCGCCTAGCACGGCAAGGCTGAAGTCGCGCGTGATCCCGTCTTGGTCGAGATCGAAATCCAATGCCGCTTTTTGCTGAGCGGTAAGCCATTGAGCTGCCATTGTTTGGGGATGCTCTATTGCTAAGGTGGTGGGACAATAGCAAGCTTGTATTGTGCTCAGGCGAGGGCAGAATATTGAATAGGAATATCAATCTGATTCGGGACCGCCGCCCGCAGCCTTGCGGGTAGCCTTGCGCTACGGTGTAGCGAGAACGGTTCCCAGCTCTGTCCCTGCAGTTGTAGATTGCCAATTGGACTGGGATCAAACTACTGTACATGTTCAACTTTATTTCACCTCCCACATCCTCTCTCCCCTCCAACACAACACTTCATCTTTCATTCTCTGCTTCTTCAACTTCACTTCATCTTCCTCGCAAAGCATAAACCCCCTCTCCCTTCACAATGACGCGCTCACGCGCCAATGAATTCCCCCTGCTCAAGCAGTTCGGCTTGAAGGCCTGCCAGATCCGTGGTGATGGTAAGTACACGGGACCGCCCACCACCCACTACGCCCCCCATTCCCCCATTCCCCCCGTTCCCCCGCTACCCTTCTCGTCCCGAGCCATTGGAGCTGACCCTCTGTAGGCAATTGCTTGTTCAATGCCTTGTCCGACCAGATCTTCGGCTCCCAGGCCAAGCATTCTGAGATCCGCGGCAGCGTCATCCAGTACATGCGCGAGAACCCCGAAAAGTTCAAGCCCTTTATCTGCGTCAGCGGAACCCAACGACGTAACCCCAAGAGAAAGAACGCCGGCGCGTTGTCGTCGTCCTTCTCATTCACTGCTGCAACTGAGAGCGAGACCGATGCTGCATACGAAGCCCATCTCAAGTCAATGGCCCAAGGTGGCACATACGGAGACAACCTGGAGATCATAGCCTTCTCTCAGGCATATAACACCGACGTGAAGATCTACCGCAGCGCCTACTCCTACTACATTAGAGCGGCCGAGGATGGCATCCAGAGACCGGTCGCACATATTGCATACCATGTACGTGTCCCGTCCCCTCCCTCTTCCTCTTCCCCTTCCCCTTCCCCTTCCCCTTTCCCTTCCCAGTCTCTGTCCCCGTCTCTGTCCCCATTCCTGTCCCCGTCCCCGTCCCTGTCTCAGTCTCAATTCCCATCCCCCTCCTCTCCCCTTCCCTTCCCTTAGTTCAAGCTTCCTTTTTGCATTGGCTTACAGTTCTCTACAGGATTGGGAGCATTACTCCTCGGTCCGAAATATCAATGGTCCATTTACAGGCCTTCCTCATGTTCAGGTCACAGAACCATCCTCTGCAGACAACGCAAAGGTTACGGATTCACTTCCAAAGAACCAAGTCATTCACGACTGGATGATCAAGGCTGTCACAACCTCCCTTCCTCATCTTATCGACCAAGCCACAATTAGAAAGACCCTTGAAGAATGCAAGGGCAATGTCGACGACGCTGTTAGCAAGTTGTTAGACTCCGATTATCTTAGTAGCCAACCAAGCAGCCCGGGCGCTCTGTCGTCCCCCGGCAGCTCCAGTGTTGAGCGCGAGCCAGACAGCGATGATGATGAGATCTATGGTCCAAACAAGAGACAAAACCGTCGCATTATCAAGGCCAAGGCCATACGCAAAGAGAAGGCACGTAGTGCAAAGCAAGAAGAAGATGAATTGAGCGCCATCCCCACCACCATTGCCTCCATCGAACTCTCTCAGTCAGATGCCCAAGTCGCGTCCGAGATTCCTGCTCAGCACCGTGGCACCAACACCAAATCGAATACTCGCAAGGCCAAGAAGGGCGATGATGATGACGAGTTTGTACCATCTGATGATGACATCCGATCTTACCAACAAGACGATGCCGTCTCTAAATCTACTGGCAGCAGCCGCAACACCTCCGTTTCTCTCAGCTCCACCGCTCCCAGCTCCATCACTCCCAACTCCGCTACCCCCAGCTCCACTACTTCACACCCTCAACCAAAGATCATCCTTCGCACCAAAAGCGTGCAGAAGCAAGCCGGACCTCAGACTCAGACGAAACGCCTTCCTGCTCGTGAGCGCAAGGAACTGAAGAAGGCCGCTCAAAAGCAGGCTCGCAAGGAGACCAAGCGCACCACGGCTAAGAAAGCTTCCCCCAAACCCCAAACCTCGACCGCCAAGGTCGTTAAACGCAGCTCACCACCCATGGAGCAAGTTATGACCACTCTGTACATTTGAACTTCACACGATCGCATATCACGACTGTTTAATACCCGCATGTCACACCCACCGATGGGGCGATTCATGACCACTCTACATTTAGACATCACACGATGCCGCATATCACGACTCTTGAATACCTGCACGTCACACCACTACAAGCGTTGTCTTGGATAGCATAGCGATGGCGTACGGGAGGGGTCATCTATGATCTATATCGCCGAAGTGCTCGGGATATACCAACAATGATGACCAGGCGTTTTTTGTATTACAGGAGGCATTGCATAGCGAAGGCCGGTTCCCTTTGCATGGTTATACACATTACAACTAGAGAGTTGTACATTTAAAAGCATTAGAAGCGAATTGTAAAAAAGAATTGAGCGAATTTGCCCATTGCTACTTCCAGTGATGTGTGTCTGTTCCCAACCTGGATCTCTAATTCCCCCTGAACAGACACCGCCATAAAACAGGACCCCAGTCATTTTGACGATCTTCTCGTGGGCTATGGCCCTGGACATGGGGATCGGATCCTTACCAAGCTCCTTGGGGTGGCTGATGATGAGGGTCGACCGCACCAGCAGGGTGGTAAGTTGATAACCATATAGTCTGGTCCATGTGTCCTCGCCACCAACCCCCCGGGCTTGAGAAGAACAGCTTTTTACATCCATCCCAAGAGATTACCAAATCTAGAACTCCCTCCCGTTCATGCATACATACCCGGGGGAATCGGGCCTCTACCAACGTGTCATGATAAGAGAGGAGATGAAAAGCTGAAAAACATTGATTGATGCGAGAGATTGATGGGATGCAAACATGGGTAGTGCTTGATTGATTGATGCATGGAGCTGACAACAACTACGCGGTATACGATCCATGTCTTTTTTAACGATGTTGATTGATTAGTTGGAAAGATAGGTACGGTAAGGCGAAGTAAGAAGTGGTTTTTTTTTTTGTGTGGGAATGGCTTTGAAGATGTGAAGATATATACATTCACTTCTCCACTGCACACAGGATTCGAGGCGCGAAAGGTTCAATGAGGAGCTTTGCTTCTATGTACCTACTGCACCTAGATAACAACTCAAGAGTTCCCCCGGACAGAGCACGGCCAACAAACCCAGCTCTTGGGGAACGACTCGGCGTTCATGTCCAAAAAGCCAATGCAGGAGAGGAGGGGCCGCCGGGCCGCGGGTACAGGAATTCTCGCGATTCCGACTGGACCCCTGGGCAGAACTCGGTTAAGCAAGCACTTGGCGGCTGCATATTTGTTGGTGCCTTATAAGGCATCGACGTGATGAGGAGTGTTTTTTGCCCTTGCATCTATCTGGATCGGCAATGCACGACCGACTTTTCCTTAGTTACATTATCCGTATGCTGGATGTACATATCAGGGGCCGCCCCCTCTCGGTCGCAGGCGGTGTGAAGTGTGACACTCAGTCCCAGAGTAAGTACTAAGTTCCCAGTTGCCAATTTTTTTTACTTTTTTTTTTTTTTTTAAGACGGGGCCTGGCCCGCCTTGCAATGTGCCGATTAGTTGCTAGCCTTTCCCTGTCGGTTGCGGGAGAGGGCTCTTGTCCCTGATGGCTCGATTGTAAGAGGGCACTATGTACTGTACTGTACTGTAGTCTGTACTTTACTTGCAAGGGCGGGAGAGACGGGTCTCGGATCAGGGGTTCATGGAGTGCTCTGTACGGTGTATACTGTATAGCATCATCTACCGTCTATGAGACTCGAGGAATAGGGGAGTAAAGACTCAACACGACTATGAGTCTCGAACAGCCGACTGTCTTGAAACATCTTTCTAGTGAGCCAGTTAGCTGCCGCATCTCACACCGGTCTGAAACATCGAAACACGTTACTGAAGGAATCTGATAAGGAGTCAAGGAGTCCAGCCTTACTGGAGGTACAGAGTACGTACCACCGTCCCTCGAACAACATCTTGCTTTACAGCTATGGGCCTCATTATTAATCGACTCTCGGAAGCTTACGAAAGACATGATGGCATGCCAAGGGAGAGGAGCTCCAGTGACAGCCACGAATTGATGCCATAGGCCACAGAACACGGGGACAGGAGCGGCAATGCAGCATGCGTCGGTCGGAGTGCTTTTCGATTATTAAGGCTCCTCCTCCACTCACAAAGGGTCATCATCGAGTAGTGGCAGGCTGACAGCATGATGTGGCTGATGAACAGGTTATTCTGCACCCCTCAAGTACGAGATCGCCCATCTACACAGCCGGCAGAGAAGACCCTGTAGGTCTCTCTCAATTGAGAGACGGGAGCGAGAAAGTGCCGCTACGAAGAGCGCGTGGGAACTCGTTACAGGACCACGCGTGCTGTGCTCCGGCGTAGCAGTGGTTCGTGCCTGCGCTGCTCCCTACGTGTCAGGATGCAATTCGGGATTGTCCTCCCCTTGGTTGAAAAGGGCGAGTGGAAAGTAGCGACCGTTTGAACTTTGCTCCGGCTGTCCCCGCCAGAAGGCCAGAAAGCCAGATATCTGATGGCCGATCATACCTGGACCGCGTATGGACCCGTGTCGGATATACGACTCCGTGGGGACTGGGTAGACAATTAGCAGAGTTAGCAGGCTAACTAGGCGACTTAGCACGGCTAGGAGTAGACTACGCAGTGCCAGCCCAGGCACCGTCGGGGAATCTGGCGAAGAATCTTTTTCAGGGTCCCTGGGGCATGGCTTGTCTAGTCGGCCAGGCCCTGTCCAGTGTCCCATCTTCTGACGGAAAGATCTAATAATATCTCAAGTTGCCATAATACTACGCGTTCCGAACGGTAAGACGGTAAGACGGTAGGTCTAAAGAGACGTACCTATGTGTGGCTGGCTTCGGCTTCGTGACTTGTGACTCGCAACTTCACAACCTTCAATCCTCCCTCCCTCCCTCTCACCCTCCCTCTCTTTTTCCCCCTCTCTCTGTTGCCAACGCCACTCTCTCGCTCGTCTCCAATTATATCCCACCCCTTACGCTCGCTCCCTGCTGCAATAATACATACTACACGACACTCAGCATTCCACTCGTCCATCCTTCCATCCATCTTTCCTACTCCCCAAACGCTCTCTCCGCCACTCGCATCCCTCGCGCCTGACTTCCGGAGTCATGCGAACGCAGACGAAGCCCATTACCTCACAGCTGTCGGCCATCTCAATCGCGACCAGAAGGTTCTCTTAAGCCGCGCATTACTCCGGTACAGACCCTTGCGCGAGCTCTGGCGATTTGATGGCGATTATCAACGCGTATACGAGATAAGGAAACACGTTATTGGTTGCGCCGCCGCTGCGCTCAGACTGGCACGATTGTTTGCCTGGCGACCTCGCGGATGAAGATGAGCATCTGGCCCTTTCGAAGGAAACGCAGTCGACGATCCCCACCCCGTGGGGCAAACCCACGATCGGAGAGAGAAATCATGCATGATGCAGCGACTCAGCGGGACCTCGCTAGGGGCAATGCGCCTGAATCGACATCGCTGAGCCAAAGGAGGAGGAGCAGAAGCAGAAGCAGGAGCAGGAGCAGGAGAGACCCTCAAGGAAACCGCAAGCCGGTCAGAGACCCGAAGAAATTAGAAAAGCGACGCACATATAGCTTCTCCTCCGGTCAGAATGATAGTATCGTGGTCGCTCGCGACACCAATCGGCCTCCTGTGCCACCGATACCCGCAAATATCAAAGGGAAGGGGAGAGCAGACATGCAGAGGCCAGAAGGCTATCCTGCTGGCCAGACACCATTGCAATCAAGTGCTCAACATCCAGAGAGTACGCAGGATTGGCAGCGCGTGCCAACACTACACAAAAGGAGCGGCCAGGAAATGTCGCGGCGGAAATCGAGTAAGAAACGAAAGGAGGAACACGATAGAGAAGCAGAGATCAAAGCCATGGTCGCCAGCGTGCCTGTACGGCCTGCAACTGATGCCGATTTGTCTGGCAGGCCGATGAAGAAGGAAAGCAAAAAGATGCATGAAGGGCTGAATCGCAATCTGCAAAACCCGTCTTCTGACATCTCCCTACCCATGGCGGACTCAATCCACTCGTCGCTGTCCACGGACTCTGGACAGTCAACAACCTTCAAAGTGTCCGTGCTCGATATGCTCGCCCCTCGACCTACCATTCGATACGCCGAAAATCCTCGATACGGGCCAGGCGCCAGCTTTACTTCTGACCGGCCCGAGTCGCGGAAACGGAAGGCTTCGGAGCGAATCACAATTCCGGAGGAAACATTGAAGGCCAATAAGAGGGTCGATGATCTTGCAGATGACCTGAGTTCCGGAGAATTACGAGAACTCATGGAGCGGGATCAGAAGAGGAGGGAAAATAAGAAGATTGCAGAGAAGATCAGGATGGAGCAGAAGATTGCGAGGCGTCAAGCGCAGCAGAGAGAAGATGAGGCTACTGCGGAACGGACTGGCACGCCGCCACCAGCGAATATGGAGCGAGGCGTTCTTGGAAGAGAGGTTGTGGGCCTGGGCATCGAATCGTCTGCCGTAGTCACTTCAAGTGAGAGGAAGAGCTCGACCGCATCTGAGAGTGGGAATGGAAAGCAACCAGCGGAGGCGTCTAGAGCAGATTCTGCCAGCAAGGCTCATTTCCCGAATGATACTTCCAGACACAGTCCCAACCCGGGTACCAAAAACACGGCATCTGGGCCTGAGCACCCAGAACCTGTCATTGAAGTCACTCACGCTGCACCGGTGGTCAGAGGGAACATCTCGCCCCCCTCATCACCAACAGTAAGAGCTCATACTCGCCGAGTGTCGAGCATATCTCAGATGATAGAGCGAGCGCCGACGCCAACACCATCAGTAACTCGATTAGCTTCAGTAGCACCAAGCCAGTCTGATCTTATGAGGAAGGCTTCGGTGAGCAGCAATCTTATGAGGAAGGCTTCGGTAAACAGCAATCGGGGGGCACAATCGTGGACGTCAATTTTTAGAAGGGGCACAAAGTCCAAACACAGTCATACACCATCATCCTTCTCCAATACATCGCGAGACTCGGTACAGAACGGTCAAGTTCCGCAAATGGGATACACACCCATCAGGATAGTATCCAATGCTCCCAAACGGACAATGTCGAAATTTCGGGAAGATCTTCCGGAATTCCCAATGTCACCGCCAGAGTCTAGGGTACAATCTCCTGAGGCTGATGTTGTTCCACCCATACGGGAGGAGTATCTTGACAAGAAATCCGGCCCCCGAGAGTCAATCGATGAGCCTCATGTGCGGTACGATACCCCTACAAGCGGGTATAGGTCTCTTGATACTGGACGGTTACGTGATGACCGATCGATCGATGCCCCTTCGCCAGAGCCAGTGGCGGTCTTATCACAATCGCTTGCATCTATTGATTCAGAAGGCTCGTGGCTTTCGGGCCGGCATAACTCAACAAAACGAGGAGGATCTATACGACTACCCTCTCATCCGCTGCGTGATAGTGTCAGCTCTTTACACAAAAGATACATGGGATATTCGGAGTCTGCCGAGGAGCTTGGTATTGTCGAAGATGAGTACTTCAGTCGTCTAACGCCTGGGCCTGAAAGTCAATATAGAATCAAGAGGCAATCAATGGGGAATCCCATGCCATCAAGCGATGAGGAGGATGGTAGCAGTCTTGCAAGTCCAGTCTCGCCTGAGAAGACGAAATGGGGTGCGGTAGCAAGACACCCCACCGTGGTCCATCGCGAGCCTCGAATCCGATCCAGGGAAGGATTACTCAATGATTTTGAGTTTGATTCCAGTAGTGACCCGCCTGGAGAAACCTCGGTGGATATCGAGCGGGAAGGCTATGGATTCAAAGACTCGGGCGAGAGCGATGCACCCGGTGTTCACAGGGCGACGAGTGTTAATCTGAGCGAGAAGCATGCGAGGCATATCAGTGCAGGCAGCGCGAGGCTTTTAGAATTGAAGGCAAAAGCTTCAGGAGACGGAACTCGACCAAGTTTTAGCTCGGACAGGGCATGATGACTAGGACTGTGTATCTCTGGAGAAGTGACGACGACCACGACATGACGAGGACGAGCACCACACTCATTTGAACCTTTTTCCTTTCCTTTCCTTATCCCGTAGCTATTGGTCCGTATCGACACCCACCCTCGTTTGGACATTTCATTGGACCTGATGACCTACGACTCACGATTTACGATATAAATCACTCGTTTGGTATCTCTTTCCAACAACCGCTCCGTCCCTCGTCTGTTCATGGATACGTCGTCTAGTCTCCAGGTTGCACTAATATCCACGGTCAAAACGTTCCGTCGTCCACTACAGTCAGTCACTTGTACTCACAAGTTTCATTTTTACACATACACGATTTGCTTCAAGTTGTTCTTGACGGTTGATTCCCCCACCTAGCAGATAGACTTGTTACTTTTCTTCGGGTGGTTGTACTTGAAGTGCGGGATTCAAAAGGGATGGTTTTGGGGAACGGAAGGGAGCAAAGGACGGCGTTGCTCCCCCTTGGCTTCCCTTGGGTCCGGATTTCAATGGTGGGAAAGGGCAGGACTGTGTAATGTTGTACAGGAACAGGCACTTGCGGATGAGCACAGCAGGCTGGGCACATATTTGGCTCTGGAAGGTCCATGAAATAGATGAATAGCACATGTGAAGATAGCAAAATGAAGACTTGTGCTCATCTAGACGAGGTAGAGTTGACGTGAAACGTGAGACGCCTTGCCAGATACTGTCTGGTATATTCATGATCCGACGGGTACTGTATAAGAGGTATACGGGGTATGCCTCTCTCCCAGCCCCTTTATATTACCCAGGAGCCCCTCGGTGGAGCCCAATTACGGCCCCTCGGCGGGTAGGGGCGATCATAGATAGACAGAACTTAGAAGATTACCAGATACCAGATACCCAGGACGCAGGTACGATACGGCGTCAATCGTGGTCCCTTGCTTTGCGGCAGCCAATGATGATGTCCCCGGACGGCGGCGAAGGGATGAAATCCAACGAGGCAATAGGCCCGTGGACTGATCAACGCCCGTATTTGCATCGAAGGAGTTGGACCATGGGAAAATCAAATCAGCCGCTGATCGGCCGGAGGGATAATTTGAGATTTCCAAATAATGATTTGAATTAGAGACGATGGCAGAGTAGTCGTTCACTCCTTGAGGCGTTGTAAATTACAGCCCTGAGGATTCCAAATCCCGCCCGCGAACCGGATCGACTCCGCCGCCTCCGCCCCGGCCCATAGTAGAAGGGGGGGCGGAGCTTACTCAGCCAAGGCCCGTCATCAGTTTGGCGGTCCAGCCCGGGTTCTCGCGTCATCGAAGACTCCCTCTTGCCTTCGATCCCTTAGAAATCAAATCCGCCCTGCGACTACTTCGTGTCCAGCGAATCCCAAACGAAACCAGACAAAACATCCCCCGACCCCTCGCCCTCTCTCTACAAAACCAACAACCCCAACCGTCTTGAATGTCCCTCTTCTTCCGCTCTTCGAAGCTTTCAGCACCAACCCTCAGATTCACATCTGCACCTATTCGCCGCACTACTACTCCCTTTCCTCGCGCTTTCAGCAGTACCGCTATCAACATGGGTGTCCACAACATCGCAAAGTGAGAATTTTCCCCCTTCCCCCTCGCCACCGTGCAACGCAGAGATCAAGATGCAGATGCTGACCCGTGTATGAATGTAACAGCAAGGCCGAATTCGAGTCCGCCATCAAGGACAACAAGATCGTCGTCCTCGACGCTTTCGCAACCTGGTGCGGACCCTGCAAAGTCATCGCCCCTCAGGTCGTCACGTCAGTCCCTCCCTCCCCTTCCCCCCGACCGCTCAACACCATAGGAATAAATGATCAGTCCGGAGAGGACAGACAATGCTGACATGGCGATGCGTGGATTAGATTCTCGGAGAAGTTCACAGGCGCACACTTCGTCAAGCTCGACGTCGACGAGGTCCCTGACGTCGCTCAGGACCTTGGCATCCGTGCCATGCCCACCTTTATCATCTTCAAGGACGCAGAGAAGGTCAACGAGATTGTCGGCGCCAACCCTAAGGCGCTGGAGGCCGCCATCGAGAGTGCTGTTTCTTCTACGTGAGAATCAGTGAGGGGTTTCGAAATCGACCCCTCCTCGGAAAAAGACCCCTCTCTTAAAGCAGGCTCTGTTAAAGCGGGAAGGACATGCTGGGATGCTTGGACTCGCATGTGGTGGCCACGCCCCTATGACTATACGGATAGTTGAAGAAATGCAATTAATGATATGACTTTTTGTTTTCGGGCTTGCATTCTGATACTCCTGCTTCATTATCTTTTGTGGTCTCGTGAGGATCGTTTTTCCCCTTATCCCTGGTTGCCGATACCCCTCATCCCACCTGCCAAGTGGCTCTATCGCAGACCAAGCAATCGACCATTGAGAAATTGTCAACAATGGAGCACTCCTTCCTCGTTACCCCCTCCTTAAGCCCTAAATTCACAAATATCCAAGTCCGCCCGATCTCTCCCTGCGCTTAACTCCTCCCGAGAAAAACCATCTCCAAGCAAACATCCCACCGCCCCACTACCCACCTAATCGCCGAGGCTGATTAGTCATCGTCATATCGCGGATGATACACTGCACAGGGATTCCCTGAATTTCACCTCGGGAGGGAGGAAAGATTTGAAAGAAGCGGAATTGATTCCAAGAAGGTGGTGCTAGACAGCCGGTGTACATCGTGAAGGGGGAGAGCTATTTCTATCACCAAGATATCATCAAGATAAGAGCATAATAAGGGGTCAGATCCGCAATCTATCGGCCTGAGACAATAGGGGAGTAGTGGACCGTCGGGGTATAGGTATGTCAAAAGCAATCAATTCGAGACCGTGAATAATTAACCGGCTCACTCCTTTTCAAGACCGTGAATATAGCTCTTGTAACGTACCTTACATCCTGTACCGCAGTCTCGCTTAACAATATATATAAACACTTTCACAGAGTACAGTAGACAATTTTGATGGTCAAAGAAAGGCAGCAAAGCAAGAAACCAACGACAAGATAATCACGAGTAGAGGTGTTATTGTGTTTATCTAAGTCCTAGGTAGGCGTGAATGAATGAACGACGCTTTCGTGACAGCCTAGACAAGAAACGACGTATGTATAGTTTTGTAGCAGAGATATCGATTTAGTAACAGAAGGATATTCGCAACAAAGGTATTTATAACGATAATCCTGTTTCGTAACGATTATCTCTCGTTCTTTTGTAATAGACAAGATGAAACTAGGGGTGGAATCGTTAAGGTAAGGTAGGTGACTTGTCTTAGTACAACAGAATTACCTACCTACCTTAACCTTTAAGGACATGCTAACAAGTGTAAGGCCTTTAAGGTAAATTCGACTTCTAGGTTCTACTTTAAAAGTATACCTAGATAGTATTAAATTTATAGGAATTTCTGCTTTTCTACTATACAGATATTGTTTTGTTTTGTTACACAACTTGAGTTCTGTTTATAACAAACAACGACAATCTATCCGGACAAAAACATACTTTCGTAACGATAATATACATTTCACAACAAGAATCTAGTTCGCAACAACTACCTTACTCTCAAAAGAAAAATAGAAACCAAAATAACTAAAATAACCAAAAGATAAACAATCACTTACTTAAGGGATAGAGCATAGACACATATCGCGGAACTCGACTAGGTACGCCTGTCTCAGAGTTTCGACTTTGGTAGTCTGCTACTGTAAATGTTTAGAAAGCTTGGGGGTTCTTCTGGATATAGTTTTTGTAGGAGCTTTTATACCCCCTCTTGACGACAGAAGATCTAAGATTGAATGTTGGGATACTCGCTTGTTGTTTGTTTGTTTTTTTCTAAAAGAATGAGTTGTTTATTGTCCTCTGTTTGTGGTTCATGGCTGGAGATGGTATAAGGCTGTATATATTTCGAGGGACATTTGAAGGGATGATAGTGTACCTAGCCCCTCCCTACCCTGAGATCGTGTAAGTACTTGAGAATAGGTAAGTGTTTAGAATAGAGTATTTGCTCAGGATAGAGTAATTGGTTAGGATAGAGTAATTGATTAGGACAAAGTAATTGTTTAGCACAGAGTAATTGTTTAAGATCAACTTCCCCCCCGCCTCTAAATCAAGTAAGACGTCGTTAAATTCCTCTTACGAACATAGATATAGGCTTAGTTGTACGCTGCATGACTGTTTTTTATCATGCCTCATTTGCATATCTGGACCAGTCCTCCTACATCTATGGCTTTCCATTTATTTCCGAAAGAACAGTCAAGCAACATATATTCCCTGATTCCCATCTGTAACCGCCTAGTTGTAAAAGATAAACGCCATGGGTATCTCCTATCCATATATATACATACACGCGCCCTTCACAGATCCTCATCCCCATCCTCACTTCCCAGCCCCTCATCACCACCACGCCTCCCCCCATTAAACCAGCTCCCAAAATCCAACTTCATCAGCAGACGATCCACACGACCGACCTTCGCGGGGACATACGCGCCCTCGTGTCCCAGAACCAATTCCTCGAACCCGGTAGCCCAGCCCTCTTTGTCGTGATCCAGGTGACGGAGGGCGTTGACGAGTTCCTCGATGGCGCTTTTCACGCGGGACGCGATGATGGAGAGTTGGGCCTTGACGTCGGTTTCTTCCTGGTGGAAGTCGGAGAAGGCGTCGATGACGCCCTCGTCGGCTTCGAGATCGAGGGATTGCCAGATGGAGTGGATGCGGTGGACGAGGGCCACGAGGTGGTCGATTTGCTGGAGGAGGTGGTAGAGCGGATCGGTGAAGGAGGGCGTTGTTAGGAGGAGACTGGTGGATAACGCGGCTAGGTATCTTCGGTGGGCGTCTGCGAGGGTTTGCGGATCATGGGCATTGCTGATGCCAGTCTGGGTCTGAGTTGGCTCCCTCGCCGCTTTCAGCCAGATATCCTCGTCGTCGTCGTCCTCGTCATGGCTCTTCGAGGTCGTCGGACGCGAGGGCGATTCATTCGTGAGCCAAGCTTTGAAGCCCGTCCAGGTTCCCTGCACAACTTCGCCTTGGAGATAGGCTTCGGTTTCGCTAAGGAAGAAGACAGCTGCGCTGCTGGTGGCCCAGACACTGCGCATCGCTTTGGAGCGTTCCTTCGCTCTCCGTCGCAAGGTATGCACTTTGTTTCGGCCTGCTGTTGAGCTTCCATAGGGTGGTCCTGGAGGTGCTGGATGATCACGGCGCAACGATGTGATCTTCCATAGATCCGTCAGGCGCAGGTGAGCCCGGTGGATAGATAGAAGATATGCGTTGATGCTAGAATAGATCTGCACGTCCGAAGGTGTGAGAAATAGGTCCAGCGGCGATGGAATGTGTAGGGTTAGTGCCACAGGGACCGATAAGAGTAAGTTCCTGAAGGGTGTTGAAGCGATGGATGGAGTCGACTTTGAAGGGCTACTGTTGACCTTGGACGGCGTAGAAGAGTTATTCTTTAAGATGACCAGCTGCACAAGGTCTCTGGCAAGTTCGAGCTGTTCATCCTCGTCCTGCTCGTACTGGCCCTGCAGAGATCCCATAGCTGCCCAAGTGCGTGCAAGGACAGCTGAGACCTCGCCCTCCTTTACAACAATATTCCCTAAGCCATCGCGTTTGTCGTAGCCTAGATTGTCCGATCGACGCCATCGTGATCGGATTTTCTCATCTGCCTCGGTAATCAATGCTATAGAAAATTCTCCACGGCCGAGTAGAAAGAACTCGCGGAGAAGAGATAATATCTCCACAACCCTGCTCAAGGGCAAGAGCTTCTGGAGAGTGGTCTGGGAGAGGGACAGCCGTATTGAGGCTATCACCTGCGAGAAGGTCGCACTATTGATTGGGAACTTCAGAGCTGATAGCTGTTGGAGATGAGACGATAATAAACCCAGCTCGGGCGAGGTGGCACTCGATATCCCCTTGACCCTGATATGGTTCCAAGAACGCCCTATAAAGAGCAACGAGGCTGCTGTCGACGCAGACACAAACGCAGGTAATAATTCACGCTTGCTCTGGTATTCCTGTAATAAGTCAGTAGGTAAACCTTTAGCCGTACATGAAAAGGGAGAATAGACCTCTACATCATCCTCTATAGCCTGCACGAAGAAGTCCCCCCTCCCAAAACTCGGCAGGCGTCCGTACAGAATCCAGGCCGAGACCTGCTTCAACCAAGCCGTCTCGGCGACCGTCACCAGGCTCAGTGCCGCCTGCTCGATATCAACGTAGCCGGTCTGCATGGCATCACACAGCCTATCGATGACCATGGCGCCGCTGCACTTCCGGCCCTCGGCCCCGCGCATCATGAACTCCACGATCTCGAGAAACCATTCCATGCGGCGCGTCCAGCCCGAGAACTCGCCCACGATCGCTGTCAGCGGCACGATGTTGTACGCACCGACGCTGCCGGCGTCTTTCCGGAGTATGCCATGTTCAACGTCGACGACCTTTTGCTGGAAGCGCGCGAGATGCGTGGAGCTGATGGCGATGGCGACGGCTTGGCAGATGCTGGACGGGTGGGTGGAGATGATGGTCGAGGTGTGCGAGAGCAGCTTGCAGTGGAGATCGCTCAGGTGGGCGATGGAGGAGAGGAGGGCTTTCTCGGGAGGGGACAGGATCGAGGTTGGGGATGAGTGGTCGGCGGTGAGGAGTGGGGAGGGGTGGCCGGAGAGAGACAGGAGGATCTCGTGGAGCATGTTTGTTGCTGGGGACTATATAGAGTATCAGTACTTGACCCTTTACTGTACAGACGATTCGCAATTGTGTTCATACAGTGTTGTAGTATCCCTCTTCTTGAACTTGTCAACCAGGCCTTGGATTAGCAAAATAAAGGCTCCCAGAAGTTCAAAGCGGCACATTGATTCACAACATAGCGAGGACGTTATCTTCTTGGAAAGTTCGTGTATGCGGGGGAAGGAAGATTCCCAATGCGGCAAATGTGAGGTCAAGGGAAACGCGTGCGGTCTAGAGTCGCGTGTTTAGATGACGCGCCGACAAAATTTCACGTCAATGTTTTCAGGACCATGAACACAGAAAGCCACTACCAATATAAAGCAAATCTCATGGAAAGCCGCGACTTTGTCTAGAAATTCAGATGGGAGTATATCTGCAACTGAGGAATTAGTGCATGTCAAGATATTATAAATACTGTAATTGCGTCAAGTTCTTCAACAATAAGAGCAATATAGCGCAGAGGAAGCGCGCCGGGCTCATAACCCGGAGGTCCCTTGATCGAAACAAGGTATTGCTATGACTCAAACATCATTTTTGAACCTTTTTTTTCCACCTTTACAACCCAACACTTACGGCACCATTATACTCTCTTTTTTTTCTTATTTTAACTCGGAATTCTTCAGGTATATATAGCAATAACTTGACAGCAACTCAACAACAAGAGCAATATAGCGCAGAGGAAGCGCGCCGGGCTCATAACCCGGAGGTCCCTTGATCGAAACAAGGTATTGCTAAGATTCAAATATCTTTTTTTGCCTTTACTTTTTATTTTTCCACTTTTCTTCTTTGTTGCTCCTCACTCCAACAACCAAAATGATTCCAAAGAAAGTATCGAATTCTTTTGCACAACTCGAGGAAATCATACAGCTATAGCAAGGAGCGGCGTCTGGGACATCTGCACACTCAATCCCCACCCCCCTTAATCCAAGAAAAGATATCCAGGTCTCTTGACCCCCAAGTACTTTACTCTCAAATAACCCCCCTCCCCTCTTTTTCAGACCTTTTCTAAGGAACAGCCTAAGCTCCTACCTTGTCAGTTGACTCAGATTGGAGAACTGATCAGGCTGCTTCTGGATCTTACTAGCAGAGGTATACACTTTTTTCTCCCCTTCACTTCTAGAGCTTGAAGATATTCTACGGTAAAAGAGAATTTTAGAAAATCAGCTTCCAAAAAAGAAAAAAATAGACCATAGTTTTCGAAGAAAAAATCCGGATATTGGTCATTTCTCGTTAGATAGATAACGACGCCGCGTTCGAGTCATAGCCAACATGCTCGTTACATATATGGTATGAAAAAAAGTAAAGAAAATCGAGGTAAAAAAAAACTCCCATATAATGCCCGTCCCCCCACCCCTTTATCCAATCCCTAGTGTTTGGTATCTCTCGCGGCCCTCTGTCCTTCAATCGTCTCCCCTACACCAGTGGCATACGATGGTGGTGCCGCTCTCCCATAACCAACTACCTCGGGGCTTGCTCTGCCACCGCTCATGATCGAAGCGTCATCCGTGTACCTGCCCTCGGAAGCTTCTCTCTCTTTCCAGTTCATTGGCTTCTCGGTTGCAGATGGCACGGGGCTCGCACGACCACCGTCTCCGCCGCCAACAATCAGGTCGCCGCCTCCCCTGACTTTCCCGACCACCATGCCCTTAGCCACGGACTTGACGATCGCCCGCCGCGATACTCCAGCGGCGTCGATATACACCAGCCCGACGTTCTTGAAGCCGCCGCCGATACTCCGCGAGATCGCTCCCGCTTCGGGGCCGTACTTGTGGCTTACGACGGTCGTCGCGGCCGTGGAAGTAGAGGCTAGGAGATTGCGCCCCGCTTGGTCGATACCATCCGCAATCGTGGAGAAGGCCATCATGCTCTTGTTCAACAGACCGGGCTTGTAGTCCTCTATCGGTTTGCCATCGGGACCAATGCCTCGCGTTCCTCTCTGGCTCTGGCCGCGCTTGGCCAACGTAGCACCGAGATTCTGCGCGTACTTCGTTACCTGACCCACGGTCTTGGCGCTCAAGCCAGCGGCGCCTTCGGAGAAGGTGTGCACCTTGCGGATTCGCGCATGAGTGGTCGGTGTGAATGTCAAGGGCTTAGAAGCCGGTTTTGTCTTTTGCGTGAAGTTATCGGCTTGCGTTTGGAGAGTCTTGGATACGTAACCGGAGGTGGTGACGATGAGGCGGGAGGCCACAGCAGCTTTGGAGACAAGTGTGGAGTTTTTGTAGGCGGGGTGCATGGCCATTTCGAGGTATTTGGCTGAGGCGGGCGCAACACTGATATTTTGCGATCCGTCTTCAGGGAGTGTGATCTCCACAGGATCTGGCACGGTATTAGGATCGAGTGATAGAGAGATAAGGCGAGGCAAACCAACCTTTCGACCCAGATTTCATCTTGCTGTCTTCAACCACGTTGAAGCCTTCACCCAGCTCACCAACCACACTCCCATTTTCCTCATCAACCAGGACTATCTGCCCCCCCGCATGAGAGCTCGAGCTGCCCTGAACATATCCCTCTCCCGGTTTGAAAGCCGACGGATCATACGGGGGAATACTTTCCTCCGCACTCTTCGACTTGCTGGGGCGCGCGCCTCTCGGAGGCGGCGCCCGCTCCAAGAACGCCGTGCATTGCGCGAGGATCGTCTCGAAGGTATCCACGTCCTCCTGCGAAACCCTCCCCTCGCCAATACTGGGGAACTCTATCCTGGTAAACGCGCCACTCTCTGGGCCTATGTCCCACCGCGGGATGAGATAGCTGCTCGGCGGTTGGTGGTATATCTGGGTGGTGGCAGGTAGGGGCAGATCCAGCTCGGGCGGTAGATGTAGGTGAAGGTAGAAGTCCTCTTCTGGAGTCTGCGATTGTGGATCGGCGGAGGACAGACCGGCAAATGGCGATGAGGTCGGGACCATCAAGAGCGACAGCGTCTGGGGCCCGGACGGGGTAAGGCATTCTTCCTTGCCATTCTCGATATGGTAGGCGTTGATGCCTTTGATAGCGTATAGAAGTTTAGGATCCTGCAGAATGTCAGTCGAGAATTGGGTTATTCAGGGACAGGGCCCTGTTACATTATATCCTGCCATAGTGATTTGTTCTCGACTCCTACTCAGAAAAACATCAAATGCTCAAGCGCACGATAAGGGCGTGGGGTACAGAAGGACTGCAGGTAGGAACAAAGCACAATCACCAACAGGAGCGATTGCGATGATGGAGATGAGATCGAGAGTAGGAGACAAGAAGAAAAGGAAAAAAGTATCACACCTTACAATAATCACCAGATTGGCCAAGTGGGCGGCTATTCACGCGCAGCAGCCTCCCTCTTTTCGCGCTTCGATCGAGGATGTTGGTCGCCAAGAACCATTCCAGCCAATGACGTAGGCGTAGCCTGAGCCACGGCGCTGGAGAATGGCTTATGTAATCAACCCCAACCACGGGTGGGCGTGTGGCTGTGCAAGAGAAAGCGCGGGTCAATGCATATCTGCGAGTCGTGAGTGAGAAAGAACTTCACTTTTATCTACAGAGTCATGATTCTATGGCCACGCCGCCGATACGCTTTTATGCAAGATGAAAGCATGGCTTATATCTATCAAGTTGAGAGCGAGTAAATTTTATATACCTAAGGTATGGTCCAGATGGTCATGACAAGCGAACCGCTCCTGATTATTAGGATATCCTTTGAAACACGGCATATTTGTTACACCGGCTCATAGAGCTCAACATAGATTACTTTAACAGAAGTACCTAGGCATCTCATACTACGATTCCTGTAATTCACAAGCTCCCGTAATTCCAATATAATTCTGGAGTACTTATAGACTTGTCTGGCTATACGGATGAAGAGATATCCCAGGCAGTCTTCGAGGTTTGAGTTGTAGGGACGATGCACGCCTCATCATTAGCTAAATAGGGAGACGGCGGATTCAGGCAATGATAATAGTTTTCATTTCACTAGAAGAGTTTAAAAGTACTATGTATAGAGTGTTTCCCTCATCCTCAACCATCCCTAATGCAATGCAACTTCAGTAATAAGAACAATGACTTCCATCCGCCCACTCAGGACTTAAAAGTAAAACTCCATTCCGTATACTAATGCAGTCGAAACAGTTCTCAACGCCGGTCTTATGATCAAATCAACAATGCGAGGCTGGGACGCCTCAACTCCAAGCAGAAGCCTGTATTGGATTGTTCGGAGTGTAGGGACCCACGATCTCGAAGAAATTCGGAACCGACTGGGAATTCCCCTCTGTATATCCATTCCAATCCATAGGCAAGTCCTGCGCATAATTATCGAACCGAGAGTTGGCCATGCTGATTGATTCGTGCCAAGTGATCCACGCCTCATTCTTATCTTCCGGATAGCCAGATGCTCCAATCTGCGTGTTGGGTGGCCCCATAGTGTGGTGAGGGATAGAGGGATAAGTGGCCGTGAGACTTTGCCCCTGGTACGGTTGATTATATGGTGAGTTGACGCTCGGAGTAGAGTCGCCGTTGCTGGGGCTGATTGCACTTGTTGGATTCGAACTTTGGCCAGGCGACTGTTGATAACTGCCGCTGTACTGGTGGTGTCCTTGACCTTGACTGTATCTGGAACGGTCTTCTGCTTCGACGGGAGGACTGGTAGCGTTTATTGGCGCCCATGCATTATTTCGCGGTGTTGGCGCCGCTTCGATACCTTGCATCTGCTCTCCATTCACAGAGCCCTGTCCGATGTCATTTGGGCTCGCGCGGGAGGGGGGCTGGTCGACGACGTCGGATCCATCAGAGTGGACGCTCTTGTCATTGTCCTCGAGACTCCCAAACTCTTTCAGCTCCTTCTCGAGCGTTTTATATTGTTCCAGGCCACCACCAACCCACCCGAGGGGCTTGCGCTTGAATCGATCGTAGTAATCGTTCTTGACCCCCTGGAAGTAGTCGTGCATCTTGCGGAGTGACCTGACATAACCCTTGGCCATTTTCAGCCTCGGGACCATCTCCTTCAAGATTTTCACGGTCAACGCTTCGTAACCTCTGCTACCAGCTTCTGTATTCGTCTGGTCTCCTTCGTGGGGTTTGCGTAGATAGCAGCGAGTGTCCATGTGCTCGAAATGAGCCACGTAGACACAGACGAAGGCGGCTTGCCAAACCGCAAATCCAATCTGGGGGGATTCGGGAAGGGCATTGTTGTCCTGGCAAGTCCGCACAATCTCCACGATGTCTCTCGCGGCTCTGAAGATTGTTTCTGCGCTCTCCTCCCAGAATCCCTCGGGTATGTCGAACTTATCCTTTGGGAAGGTCGGTTCATCGAGCGGGCCTAGCGGCTTTTGGCATCGGAGGGGGATGAAGGGGATATACTCTCTATGCAGCATGATCTGGCACAAGAAATACAGCGTGTGCAACGAGGCATAAGTGGTCGCGTTGCGCTTCTCGATGTGAGCAGACAGATTGGCTTCGGTGAAGGTGAGGCTGGCCGGTAACGCGTCGTGGAACTCTTTGAGCTCCTGGCGCAGCTTGTAGAACGCAGTTGAGCTATCCCACGGGGGCAGTTTCTCCGTCCTTCGACCTCCAGCATAACTCCACTCGGAGAACCGGCCGAATATCTCGACTAGGCGTATATACCGGCCGAGGACCCCATCGTCATTGACCGCCTGTGACTTGTCCCCTTCCATCCAGTCTGAGGTCAGAAAACCGGTCTGCACATTGTGGACGAAGAGGAACTGGTCGTCAGTGCAGGGCAGTTGAACGCGTAACTTCCCCACCGCGATCATCGTAGGTCTGTATTTCCCCGCGGAGAGCATCCGGTCCATAATGAAGCAGCTCCAGAAGGTGCGGCGTCGGACCTCCTTCTCAATTGCCAGCTCGCGGGGAGACAGTTGCTGCTTTGACCCGATCCGGAGGATGGCGGGCTTCAGGGTGCGATCATCAGGGTCGTCCTCATACGCCAATCCCATCGACTGCGCCAACCGCATCGCGATGCCCACATACAGCCAGGCGCTCAAGCCTCTCGTCTGTCCCCACTCGTAGAGGCCAAGCATCAGCAGTGCCTGGATCCCGTCCAGCGACGGTCTGGTGATTCCCGCGGGACCAAAGGTCGCCTTGAGCGCGGTGGCATAATATTCGCTGGCGTCAATTGGATCCGCCGCTTTCCCTGGCTGAGAGTGGTAGGCGACCAACTCGGGGTGGAATCGAGCCGTGAGCGTCAGGACCCCGAGCAGCAGGGCTTTCTCATCCTCGGAATCGACCGTCGCGGCCGCAGGATCGCGGGGGAAGGAGGCCTGGCGCATGCGATTCCTGAACGTGGGCGGGTGAAGGAAGGGCATCTCGGTTGAGAAGTGCAGCTTGAAGATCTCATAGATCTCATCCCACACCTTCCTCGTCAGGATGTGGGCGCCCAGCGCATCCTCGATGCGGCTGCTCCCTCTCCTCCCCGTGTCCTCGATCTTCCGGATCTTCTTCTTGCTCTCCGCCTCCCCCTCCTGTTTGATCCCCGTGGCCTCGGGCCGCTTCGGTGTCGCCGTGACGCCGGAGGGCGGGTACGTACACTCTCTGCTGCTCTGGAAGCAGGCCTTGCACGTCGAGTTGACGCCGGTATTCACGCCTATCGAAGGATCAGCTAGCTATCACAACACACACGCGCGCGCACGCGCACACACACAGGGCCCGGCCCGCACGAGGTTGCGGCCTTACATTTGACCTTGCTCCGCCTGCAGCGTGCGCAAGCGATGGAGCTCCGAACCATCTTCTGCGGCTTCTTCTCCTCCTGTCCTCCTAGCATGGCTCCGCTCCCCCCGTCATCCGGGGCCCGCGCACCAGGGCTGGGCAGCGTCGAGGCGATGCTCACGCGATGGTGCTGGGAGGGCGAGGCGGGATGGAGATAGGGGTGTCGGGGGGCGGAGAAGGCCTCGTCGTGGGAGCGCTTGGGGGTAGTCGGGCGCGAGATGGCAGGCGCTGAATCTTCAGGAGCCGGCGCTGAGGGCGACAGAATCGCAGCGAGCGAATGCGGGGAGGGAATCGTGGCGGTTGGGGTCCCTCTTGAGACCCGAGACGGCTGGGGGAAGCTTTGTAGGGAGTGAGTGGGGTGGGGAATTGCGGTGAAGAGAAGACAAGCGGGGGGGGATTGCCAGAGAAAAGAGGAAAAAGAGGGATGGATCTCTGTAGATGTGGGCGGGGAGGAGGAAAGGCAGAGAGGTAGAGAGAGAGGAGGACGGAGGGAGGACGGAGGGTTGCTGCAGTTCTTGAAATTGGAGTGGGCGGGCTGGTGGTGAGGCTTACAAGGTGTGTCGAGCGCGGGAGTGAGGGAGGGATGGCTGTTTGTGCGCCGGGCGGGAAGACATGCGCTGTGGCTTGCCGGGCGCGATGAAAGAAGCGGACGGGGGGGATTTTCAATCAAAGCTCGGGACAAGCGCAGGAGGAAGAAGAAGAAGAGGGCGAGTTGGCGATTGTGGGATTGAGAGATTGAGGGACTGAGCGACGGAGGAGTGAAATGGGGAGGGTGATGATGGTCGTGGTCGTGGTCGTGGTCCTGGTCGCGGTCGTAGTCGTGGGTGGCCGAGAGCGAGAGCGAGCGCGAGGTTGAAGTTGTCGTACGGGCACCGTACTCTCTGTCTGGTCAGTCCTGTCGCTCCGTAGATTTGGCGCGAGCGGGCCGAAGACGTGAGGGCAGATGGATTCATATATTCATGTATTAATAGCATCGGATAGCGGTACGGCAAGAGGACAACGCTCGCGGGGTTCTTGGGTCCTGGGTACTACATAAGCCTAGATCAAGGTCGGGAGACTGCGAGCCTGCGACTGGTAACTTTCACTCCCCTTTCTCCGGGCCGTGTTGGCAATGGCCGCCTCTGTCTGTCTGTACAAAGAGCGGGGCAGAGCAGAGCAGAGCGAAGCAGAGAGAAGCAAAGCAGAGCAGAAAAAGAACAAGACAAGACAAGACAAGACAAGACAAGACAAGAGACAACCATCTCTTCATCAGGAACATACCTCCAGATACAGGGACAGTGTCTAACTCTCCTCTCCTCTCTACGGTCTCTCTACGCTGATTGGCCAGGAACTGTGCTTCCGTGGGAGAAGACCCTCGGCCACTTTGGATTTTATTGCCGCCGACTTCCCGACGTCCCTGGTACTTCCGTGGTACTTCCATGGTACTTCTGTTCCCTGCAGAAGTGGGCTGCCTGTCCATGTACCCCTCGGGTACCAACGGTTCCCTGTCGCCTGTAGTACTACGGAGCACTGGAGTCTGGAGTCCGGTGTTCCCGTTACCCGTATCACCCGTGCCTCTGCCCCGACGGCCAACTCTCTTGTCTTCGTCACGGTGAGATGATGAGATGAATAAGAGCCCTGCACACGGAACCAATGCCCATAATGCAAAGAGCCGCGCCGCGCCTTTCACCTCATCCTTCCCGTTTGTGGCCTGAGAAATCAGACCAGCCCGGAGCCTCGCGCCATTCCCGACCCGATGGCCCTTCATACCTAAGGTATGCAGAGACAGAAATCCTGGGCCCATTCTCTTCATTGCTATCAACGACAAGCTTTCAGGAATGCGGAAAACTGCTTGGGAGTTGGGATAAAGCCTTAATAACATGCAACGACAAAGACATCAATCCGAGGAAATGACACTGCTATGCGTAGGATAATACCACAGTATGCTCCCCTCTTCTTCTTCTTCTTCTTCATTCATCAAGATATCCTCTCTGCCTCCACTCCGCCTTCCCCCCTTCTACTCACTCTCACGGTCACCCCTCGCTTGGAAAAACAACCCCCCCCCCACCCTTAATTCTGACCTGACCATCCCACCCAACTTCGCGGCATAACTCTCCAGATCTTCACTTCCCCGCTCCTGAGATCATCCAGTTTGAAGCTCTCGAGTTTGACCTTCTTGCTCTCCCGGCCTTGCTCCCAGGCCCGCACTTTCTTCTTGGTGCCATCCCACTCGGCTACCACTGCTACGTGATCCGGCTTGCCGACTTCCACACTGTACTTCGCATGCATGGGGCCGTGCTTCCCTTGGAATTTGGCATTCCGCAGCGAAATGATATCTCCCGGTCTGATCTCGTCGTTCTGCTGAGTGGAGGCATTGGCAAGATTGGCGTAGACGACAGCGCCGTACGCACGTGTGCCGATAGGCTGGAGAGCATCCGCGAGGGGCTTGAGAAGCTCCTGGATCAAGCCCTGGGGTGTCCCATCGCCAACCACCGTCTCCTTCTTGGCTGTCACGGCTTCGTAGATGCGGCGCCCAAACTTGTCATGTGCTTGTTCGAGTTGGTCTTGACGCAAGCGGGATGGCGGTGGCTCCTGTCTTTGTTCCAGTTTGACATCCCCGGGATCTTGAGCATCGAATTGGGCCGTGATGATGGTTTGGGAGTAATCCTGGAACAGAATGTAGAGCTCCTTCGTCACAGTAGTCCTTCCACCCCGGCTTGACGAAGTGGACTCCTCAAACTCATATAGAATATCCTTTCTGCCAAAGTACGCGGGCGGAGTACCATTGGGCTGTGTCCACCATAGGGAGCCTCTCGCCAGATCCACTTCATTGGCTACATACCCGTGATCCATGGACATTCTACTAAGGTCTACAGATCTCCTTGAAGGAGCTGCTGACCGACTGATATCGAGAGACTGTCGAGCCGGCGCCCGACTGGCACTAGCAGCTGGCGCTTCGCGGGGTGGTGGTGGAGCGACGCGATCATGAGGCGGTGGCACAGGAGATCTTGGCGGCGACGATGAGTACAGATCTTCCTCCCGTCTTTCGTTCTGAGGTATTGGCCCGCCAAAGGTAGGAGCGCTAGTGGTAGTGTATCTGAAAGGGTCATATTCGTCATCTTCCTGCTCCCGAGGGGTCGGTATCTTTGCATGCGGCGGAGGAGGTGGGGGAGCAGCTCTCGGCATCTCAGATGATTGTCGTGCATTGGGCGGTGGTTGTGATGGCAACGGCGGAGGCGCCCCGCGTGGAGCAGAGACCGAAGGAATGGAAGGTGGCGCCGTTGGGGCTGAACCAACTGAAGAGTGGCCAGAGGTAACGTCATCGAAGCTTGACTCTTTTGCGTGGGCCTTTAGAGCATCCTTATGCAGCGCGGTAGGGGCAATATCAGTATCGTAATCGCCTTCGTATTCTGTAACTTCTCCCTCGTCGCTTGGTTCTTGAGGTACATGCTTTGGAGACGACAAAACTTGCTGGTCACCAGTTGATGATCGACTCAAAGGTCCTGTGGGAGGTGGAGGTGGTGGCGCCCGACTCTGAGGAGCAGCGACAGGCGTAGCGGCTCCGGGAATTGGAGGTATTCTGCTGGCCCGTTTTTCTTTATTACCCCCTGGTACCGTGGGAGACGAAGGAATAGGGGGATCGGCTGAAAAGTAAGATACTCTTTTTGAAGTTGGAGACCCCGGTCCTTCGGGGGCTCTTGTTGGAGGACGAGGCGCTTCCGCTGTGGGCGTTATCAAAGACAGGTTGTGAGCATGTTCAGATAGCTCATCATCTGATTCGGATCCAGCGCTTGGGTTCGTAGGCTGTGGAGGAGGCGGAGCAACAGGCCGTGCTAATAGAATCAGTACGATGATAGAAGAGGAGCTTGAACAAGGAACTTACATTCTTTTGGTACCGGAGGAGGTGCGGGTCTTCCTCCTGGTACCGGCGGCGGGGGAGCACCTCTTTCAGGAACAACCTCTTCAACGTCCGCTATCTCGCTAGCCGGTCTAGCCTTGACAACAGGGGTTTGATCATCATCGTCCTCGAGCTTTTTGTCGATCTCCTCTGGACTACGAACTCTAGTCATCCCCGGCATAGACAACCCAGGCAGTGGAATCATAGGGACAGGAGGTGCGCGTGTGGTTGGGGATGGTACATCTTCTCCCTGTTCGCTGGAGCGCCTCTCGCTGGTACCAGTGGATTTCTTCTTTTTGGGCAATGCCGGACCTGGCATTGGCATGCCTATAGGTGGTCCAAACATGCCATGCATTCCCATCCCGCCACTCATCTTGGCCATACGTGCCCGTAATTCTTCCTTTCGTCGAATTTCGGGGTCGATGTCATCTTCCTCTTCATCCTCGTCAGCTTCGTCTTCCGGTTCCTCAGAAGCCCCCTCTTCTTCCCCAACGTCGGGCTCACGGGGCGGAGGAGCCCTGCTTTTGGGCCTTTCGTCGCTGTCATCCCGGCCCGTAGACATTTCTTCGGGCTCTTCAGTTGTATCACCGGCTCCTGACATATCTGCGTCATTGCCATCGGCCGATGACTTCCGATTGTGACCGGGAGTAGCAGCACTTCTTGAAGACTTGGTTCTTCTAGGCAGATTGGGCTCCTCCCTCAACGAATCCATTGAATGCTTCCCAGCAGTCTCTTCAGTGTCTCGTCTTTCCAATGTAGATCCCTCACCCTCCTCAGCCCCCTCCGTGTTGTTCGATTCTGTTTTCTTCTTGGCTGGGCGTTTTGGCTTTTCCTTCTTCTGTGCTGCGTCTGCATGTCGAGCAGCTTGCTCTGCTTGCTGCTTCTGCAATAGTGCAATTCGCTCTTTGAGGCTGGTGGGTTTAGGCTGTTCCTCAGCATCGGCATCGTTAGATGAAGGTGCCAATCCCGCCTTTTCTGCCTGCTCAAGATTTTCCGATTCTCTGGCTGCTATCTCGGGATCCTCCTCTCGTTTGTATATTAACTGCGGCGGGGGTTCGCGAGGTATCGGTACGTATGCATTCTTACTCGGAGGTGGCGCAACGAAAGGTTTCTTGATAAAGCTGTTTGATCCTCCGGAGCTCAATCCGCCAGGTTTAAATGGAGCAACAGGTGGTGCTGCTTTGTTAAATGCTGCAATACGATCTCTGAAGGAGCTGCCACTGGGCTTTTCGGATACGGGTGGAGGAGCTGGCTTCGAGGAGGATGCAGGCTTAGGAGCAGTTGGGGGAGAAGCTTCTGCAGGCTTAGGAACCACCGGAGCTGATACCGCCTCAGGTTTGGGACTTGGCTCCCTGGCAATGGGAGGAGCTTGTACTTGAGGCTCTGGTTCCTCTGGCTCGAGTGCAGGCTCGGGTGCTGGTACAGGTGCGGGTGCGGGTTCAGGAGGGTCGGCCTCTTTCTTTGGACGGCTAATACGAGTCGGCCTCGGAGGAGCAGTAGGTTCATATTTCTCCACGAAATTCCTAGGGAAAATGCCCTCCTGCTTCACGCCGGAAGCGTCAACGTATTCGCCATTGTACCAGTCCTCATCTTCCTCATCCGTCACTGTGATTATCTGTCCGCTCGCGAAGTGAAGATCATCTTCGTGTGGAGAGGTGTATTCGAATATTGCCTTGACTTTGAATGGTGGAATTGACATGTTGGGCGCTGGAAGGTGCGAATTCGAGCTTCGCCCTCACGCAGTTTGGTGCCTACGACAGGAGCTGACGTGGAAGGGCCAGAGGTCGCCCAAGGGCTGGGCGGTGATGGTATTCGCAAATTGGCCCTCGTTCAATGGTCCTGAACGTTGTGTATAGGTCGCAGGATAAGCCCGGAGGCAATCTAGAGGTTGCAGAGGTAGGTATGAGCGGGGTGTAGATTCCTGCGTAGTCTACGTCAGCGCATGGCACGACAAATAAAACGGCGGCGGCCTGGCGGATAAACCCCCGAAGCTATCAATCAAATCTTCAAATTGGAGCAGCCTACCAGTCTAGATTGTGTAGATAGCCCCATGCAGGAAGAAGCAAATCCACGCGTTGGTGAGTAGGTTGCACCGTGAGGCGGTGGAGTAATGAGAGGTTGATCCGGGTACAGTAGTGGGAAGCAGCAGAGACGAGCATTTGCAGAACAGGGATCTTCCGCCTGTCCCGCATCTGACATAGAACACATACAAGACGTCTGACAAATTTACCTTATATCTACGGATTTACCACAACTCAAGAGTTCCATTTTATTCCTCAGATGCCTAGAATCTAGCACATACAGCGGCATAGCAAAATGGCAAGCGCTACGACGCCCAAATCTATTTTGAAGAAACCTTCCTACCCCGCCACCGGCTCGTCCAAAGCAGATCGAGACCGCGAAGTGGCTCTGTACCATGCAAACCTTATTCAGCAACGGAAAGATATCGAGCTCAAAATCCTCCTCTCGACCGAAACTCTCATCGACTACCCACTGGCCGCCGCTCCCTACGATGCCTCGAACCCTTCTCCCGCTGACGCGCGGTCCTTCAAGGACCTCCTCCGTCCCTTTCAACCAAGCGATTACGATGCTTTGATCGTGGAACGCAATATCAATGAACACTGCGGGTATGCATTATGTCCGAAGCCAAGAGTCAAAGATGGCGGAGGAGGGAAATATAGGATTGTTGGCAAATACGGCAAGGCGAAAGATTTCCGAGTCGTGGACAAAGAGGAGTTGGAGAAATGGTGCTCAGAGGCATGTGCCAAGAGGGCATTGTATGTGAGGGTTCAACTGAGTGAAACCCCAGCTTGGGAGAGAGAAGGTTTCAATAGCGTGAATATCGATCTTTTAGATGAGCCAAAATCCGAGGAGGGCAAGTCTAAGGAGCGCCAATCCGAAGAAGACCAGGTCGTGGAAGCGCTCGGAGAGCTGAATTTGAGAGGAACGGAGGATCAGGTCAAGAAGCAAGATGCAGCTGACCTGGCTTTGGAAAGGGGTGATAGGGGCTACGCAACCAAAAATGGTTTGGTGGACGTCAAGATACATGACAAGGAAGTTACAGAACCAGTTCAGGCTCCATCCTTGGACACAGACGACCTCAGCAGTAGGCTAGGTACCATGCATCTGACCTTGGAAGGCCACACACCGAGCTTCGGTAGTCGAAAGCAGAGGCGGCATCACGAGGAACTAGGGGACATTGAAGGGGAGAATAGTGATGAGGATACGGATTGGAAACTTTGAAGTACTTTATCTATATGGCGTTGAGAGGGTTGGCAAAAGGGCTTTCGGAGTCAGGATACTATGATACCCCCTCTAATGTGATCTTTCATCCGAGTAAATCGAACGCCATTCTTTCAAAGTCTCCAAATATTGATCCTCTTAGCATCTCTGCTTTCTCCATAGCTCTTGTAGCATCATTTCTCGTCATGGCTGTTTGTCAGTGTCTTACAAAGTTCCACGTTGGTTGAGGGGCAGCGATCCACGGGTAATCACACATAGAGTGGGCAGAGGAAAGAGGAAAATGGCAATCAAGCGTCATCTCCAGAGGAGAATCAGCGACACCTTGGTGGAATATGATCTCACATTGATCTAATGTGCCTATCCTGCCAGCAATACGCCCAGTAGCAACCTGATCCTTGCGAGTCCATTTTAACCACGTTCCCAAAAATCCAAAGCTTAGTTTCGTGGAGGGCGGTCTCCGAAGCGACGAGGGCGCTCGACGGTCTGTTGTTGTGCGACAGGGACGACATTGACTGGGATAGAATCGAACTGCGGATAGCATCAGAATTTGTCCAAAAGTCTAACAGTTTGTAAAAACGTACACCAAGGCTCTTGAGGAGATCCTTTGTCTCGGCATCGACATCGAGTTGTCCGCTCTCGGTGTTGACAGTGAAGTCGAGGGCAGAGACTTCGGGGACGTATTGATCCTTACGCTCTCTCTCTTCTTCTTGCAGCTTGAAGGAGATACCGCGGACAGGACCACGCTGAATACGCTTCATTAAATGCGTAGTGTAACCGGCAATCTGGTCAAGCCATTGTATTAGCATGCATATCGCACTGAGTTCACGCAATGTGCTGTTCAGGTCGTACCTTGTTGCGGAGACGCTTCGAGGCAATGATGGCGATCTCATCGCAGATTCTCTTGTTGGTCTCGAAGTCCAGGGTCAACTTGGGGTAGTACCGCTCAATGATGACCTTGGCGGACTTCTTGACTGTCTTGGTACGAACGCGACCCATGATTGCGACGGTTGAAGAATTGTCGAGATGTGGTTGTCGATTGTCGATTCGAAGCGGTTTGAATTTCCTCTGAAACTTTTGTGTGGTGTGCGATATTCGCTTAGCACCGTACTAGCGCAATGTTCCATTTGTGTATCACATGATCTAGGAACTTGCCAGTTTCGTCTGTCAAATTGGATCTGCCTTCTATTGTCATCTAGTTCCTATGATGCTTCTAGGAACTGATGATTTAGATGATTATCATGAAGCTCCCCCCTTCATATTTTCATAATTTTGTCTGATTCAACCCTGGTAACCACTCACGAAAAAAGCAACTTGTTATCACGTGATACCACGATGTCCCTTTCTTCCCAGGTAGGCATTAAAAGGGATGGATGGACATAGGTACCTTAGGTAAGGCGAAGCTTTTCAGACAAAATGATGGCCGGTGAGATGTGCTAAAAGCATTCGTCAGGTTCTATCCTCTAAGTTCAAAATTCAAGAATAATTGAGGCCTTCTTAGTAATTGAGATGGTTCCTCAACTTAAGCTTCGGGCTTCTTTTGAATGTCCGATTAAGTTCCAGTGGTTTAGGGGTTGAAGATGGACTCAACGAATTCCAAGTTTGACCTGCAGAGCAGTATCAAGCATCATTCAGAAGGGGGTAGACAAGTAGGGATACCAATGAACGTGCCCTTGCAGAGTATGGTGTTACATGTTCCTTTCTATACTACAGCCATTTACATTCATATGTAGCCCCATAACCTACTTGTACATGTCGAGGCCCGTGCCCTTGACAGTATTTCTGCTCCCTCGGGAATCCAACGGACATAGTATCACAATCTTGACCTTGCTAAAGCTTTCTAGCCGGATCGGCCATCTTCCCAAAATCGCTGGAACTCAGGCCGTACCCCTCACTTGAACGGGTAGGCGGCTTTGTCGAAAGTCCCTTGCTATATAGAAGCTCCTGTCGCGGAATCTCATCAACCTTCCCCTCCAAAACAGCAACCGCCTCCGGATCCGCCTGCTCAACCTTCAGAATAATCCTGCCCTTGGGATCCACACTTGCGCTCTTTGGATGCACGTAAGCTTTTGAGCCACCAACTTTGTGGGGCTCAATATTTTGGAGACCGGGCGTGAGAGGCTCGAGCCCTGGTCGGTTCTTGGTTCGTACGTTGAAGGAAGCTTCTCCAGCGGGAACATCGACGACGAATCCTCCTACTCCCAAAAGTGGCGCAAAGTTGCCAGTTGCTGCTCCCTTGGGCATGACGACTCTAGCTTGGACGGGGGGCTTCTTGTTCTGAGGGCCATACAGAGGATGGTTGAAAGTGTGGGCTGATGTGCGGCCATAAGACAGACCGGCTGAAGGATGCGTGCGTGGAGGGCCTGAATCAGCATATGGTGATTCGGAGGTTGGCTGGTAGTCCTTCGGGTTGATAGGTGGCGTGGACGAAGCCCGTGGTCCGCCAAGCATGTTGCTAATCCAAGCTTCTCCAAGAGGCAAAGATGGGTTGGGTGCGGGAGGTAGGTCCAGGAACCTGCGTATATGTCTATACAACTCGGTGCGGTCTTCACGGAGAGACTTGATATATTTTGAGAGCTGTTCATCGGTGATATCGCTTGCTTGCACAGTTTCGCCGACTCCGCCCTCTTCCTCAAGTGCTGCGCGCTGATTCTCTTTTGTGAGGGCTTCCGCGCAAGCTGTTCGTAGGTACTTGTTGAAATCAAGCTTCTTTTTGCGAACCTCTTTCTTGATATATTCATTGAAAGCTCCCTCATTGAGACCCGCAAGCCACGGTCCAGTGAACTTCCACCGTGCATCTTCCTTGGTTATGCTAGCACCCTCGGATGTAGTAGTCGAGTCAATCGCATCTTCGAAAACACTTTTCTCGCCCCTTCTGTCGAGATCAGTAGCGCCAAAGGTAGACTTTGAACTTGGAGGAGGAGGAGTCGATAGATGTACATCCATTTCCTGCCATTTTTGGAGCGTCAGAGAATGATCAGCAGCAGAGCCGAATTCTGTGATGTGCTCTAAGGTGTCAACAGATTCCACACGTATTATAGGCGTCGATGTCTTCGTAGTCGCTCGTAGTGGCAAGGGCCGTTTGAACCCCCAATCTCCCCGTGCTCGTGATGATTGAGGAGTCGTGATCGACTGGTAGATAGGGTGTGGAAGGGTCGCTGTGTCGGAGTTGAAGATCGCGGTTGACGAGAGGTCGGGCGCAGGCCGTGGCAGAGGAGGCGGTATTGCGAACACTCTAGAAGCTCGCAAAAGAGCACCGCCTGGAGATACACTTCGTGAGGCCATCGTGGGTTTCTTGGGCTCGATGGTCGAGGTGAGGCTCGGAATGGCAAACTAGAGCCACGAGAGGAGGTACGGCGTATGGATCTCGAAAACGAGCCTTCAATGCTCTTTATCGACTCCAGTTACCGGTATTTAGCCCTTGCGAGCTCCTTGGGCCGTAATGGTGCGATTGGTACCCTTAGAGATGAGTTGAGCTCGAACGTTTGGGGACCGCGAGAAATTGTGAAGTTTGCGCTAGTGCGGGAACTTCCGCCGTGAGGCTATTACCGAGTATCTGAGGTACCTTACCTCAAGTTACCTTGAATGGCTAACCAAATACCTTGATTGCACTTCTATCTTGAATACCTAGGTGGATTGGGACGTTTATTACTACAGAACGAAATTTTCCAAATCGTATACGGTTTCTGTCTTTGCTACACTGCAGCCGGATGGAGTGCAACGGCATGGCTATCTTCATAAAGGTTCACATGAGACCAGATGAAAGGGTTTGAGAGAAGTATTGCGGCGCTAGCGATGATTATCAGACTTGACGATACAGTGATGAAGGCACAAGGCTGTGCTAGTATACACTTTGCAATGTTGGCCGATATTGCTTGAGTTTATATTAGTGTTCCTGCTGATTTGATCGAGCTCGGAGTGTGAGAAATCCATCACCCATCCCAAGTGCTACTCCCATCTAGGTAACCAAAATGTCCTAGGAACTGCTAACTGCAAGTCATTGTATATATACGTCATGATCAAAACCAAGACCGCATGACTATAGCACATAAGAAGACATCTCAAGGCGAGTAGACCAAAACTACGTGGTATATTGGGAAATTCTGTGTCTCTGATTGTCGACCTCGTAATGTTCCCAAAGAACATCGGTCATGCTCAAAATGGCCAGTCAAGGATACTTGACACCACTAGGTGCCGCTCTCTGCTTCTCGAAGACTTTAGGAGTGTAGCCATGCAGCCAGCATCGGTGAAAGCATTTACTATGCCGAAGGCCGAAATCATCCTCAACATTCTCTCTTTAGGGAATAATTGTAAACTATCACAATAGAGAGATATACGAGAAGCGGAACGTACCGCCACGGGGTCATTAAATACCACGAGTTCGACAATCTGGAGTTGACAACAATCTGACCAGAAGTAATGAATAACAATGAGATGCCTGCTTCCTGATGCAACAGGCCAAATGGGAATGAATGACGTTTTCATAACATGCTACTGTACCAGGAAGATGTGGATACCACTCAGTAGTGTGGAAAGTTATGCGATTTATAGATGATCGACTTGCTCAGCCCCACTGTGGTACAGTGTGCGAGTATGCCAACATGGTAGCTACTTGACATTGTTTCACCAGGTCTATCAAGTGATACACGGAATATTGCGCGTCTCCCACTACGCCACTTGATCTGCGCACTTTTGGTTATGGACGGTTGAGGCATAACCGGGGGAGCCTACGGATGAAAATCCTTCAACTCAACTTTTTGACTCCAGTATGGGAAGGGGGTAAGCTTCTGGCTTGGGATAGCTGGACGTGGAGTGTACTTCCATTAGATAAAATATGACACTGGAATCAAGGTTTAGGCAGAGGATGCACTAGTCCAACTTCCAAACGAGATTGGGCAGCAATGTAATGGGGTGACAGAGGCTGTACATTGTGGATGAAGAATTAGAGAATTGAGAAAGAAGCCTCGTGCATTTGGAGATAGAAAGAATTCGCTGAGCCCCAAAAGCAGGTTTGCAACAGCGGCTATTGTTGACTACTCTCCAAAAACAAGGAAATCGTCTTCTAGAACTGACAATGCAAAGACTCAAGTATAGAAAGCCCACCAATGAAAAATGAAGAGAGATACATATTCCGCTGCACCGCACCAACGGTTTGAGGGATCTGTTGTGGCTTGCATGATCTAGTCGAGCTGGCGTGTTGTAGCGCCCTAATGGCCTTTCATGCCCGGAATTCATGGTACAAATAATAGGAAAGAACTTTGGGCTCAAGGCGACCTTGATGGTGGATCATTTGGGCTCCCAAATAATCCTACAGGTTGATCGACTATTATCGAGAGGTTAATGACCAGCGACTAGATGCGACGGCAGAGGCTCCTGAAGCAGTCGAGACTCTCCTTTAATCTGGGCACTCGGCCGCCAGCTACAGATGCTCCGATACGTGGATGCTATATCGCTGCTGGTGCCGAGGACGAATTGAAATCTGCCACAGATAGGAAATATGTCGAAGTCGCAGTCTCAACGACCATAGGGAAAAGAGGATATCGTCGATTCGTTGTAATTCCATGATGCCCGTGGCCCTGTTTGAGGCTCGAGGCAACGCGGGGTAGCGCTAGCAATAGCCAACCTCGTGCGCAGCCTTCTGCAGATGGCATATTTATGTGCTGCGGATGAGTTCACAGACGAGGCACTGGAGACAGCTTTGGCGGAACGAAACACTCGTAACGATTACCATAAGAGGTATGAACGCAAGGAAATTTCTTCACGATCACGGTAACCCTCAGGCACATGTGAGGAGCAGTATTGAACAGAGTAAAACGTGGAAAAACGTGGAAAGTCCACACACCTGCATAGAAAGCCGGTGGGGTCTGAAAAGCTAAAGTGCGAGATCTGAACCATGATCTCACTGGGCATCTGAGAGAGGAGCTTCATATGCAGGCGCCGGCAGCTTTGCAGCCAATTAGAGTACGGAGTCTTCTCTGGCATATGAATGGTCTGTCCCACAGAGTCGCAGAGTCGCAGCGTCGCAGCGTCAAGCCGCTGCCACCCTCACGTTTTGGGGGTTCCCAACCATGTCCTCTGTGGAAGGCTGCAAAGAGATCCTACCAACATACATGATCGGAGTGAGGCTGAAGAGGTGACTCGATCGGATGGGCGTACGAAGTGAGCGATGAGATCGTTGGGCCGCATCGAGGCTGACGGTAGCAGGTAGCAGGTAGCGTGCCTTGTCCGACGTTCTCTTCTTCGGGGCTATGTAAAGCAATCGAACCTGTCATCGTAACCCATAGGTGGCGAGCCTCTTGTAGGGTTTACAGGTGTCCAGTCACTCCTTGAGGGCGTACCGACGAGATGGGGGGTTGGGACGCCCTAGGAATCTCGATCAGATGCTCGTACGAATAGTTGCAGTGGTCATGCGAAACTCTCGCGGTCATATGTCCCAGGCGTTTTTTTCCTTTCCTTGGCCGCGGTCTGAGGAGAAGCCTGATACTACAGAAGCCTCATAGCCTGTAAGATGCGCAAAACTCTTCCCTTGTCCATGGATTCTCGCTGTCCAGCGTAACGTAACTGCGCTGCAACTCGCGAGCGCCGGGTCTCACTGGAGGCGCGGTGAAGTCCTAGCGTGTGTTTTTTTTTTTTTTTTTCTTTTCTTCTTTTTCTTTTTCGCTTCTTTTTATTTGCCATTTTATTTTCATTTGTTTCTTCAACGAGGCTTTTGGCTTCTTTTTTCTTGTCGTGTGGCAACGTAATAACCCTTGGGCAAGGCTTCTGATTTTGACAGTTGAACCAGTTGAACCAGTTGAACCTTCCCCAATGATGAGTAATCACCCGCCGTGTCCGTGTTCCCGCCCCGCCCCGCCGGGCAAATGCTCCGAACGGACTACTCCGCCAAGTTCCAAGATCCAACCCCTCGTATGGGCCAAGGCGCGCTGGGGCAGGGATAAGCATAGGTATACGTACCTCCGTATTCTAGGTACGTTGTACAATACGTACCTATCTTCTTATGTGTCTGCTGTGCCAATTACGAAGCGTCGTATCGACACATACAGAGTACTAATATGCCAATCCGCCCCCCCTTTTCCACCCCTCCAGCCATCCCATCCTCGCCATCTCTCCACCTCTCCAAGACATCCCACGTCCATCCTCCTCGCAAGAGCGAACCATTATTATATATACGCCGCCCCCCTCATTTTTAACTCCGCTAACCGAGATCCTTCGACATATCGATGTGCCACCTGTATCCAAGCTTCAACCTCACCATGTCGAATCCCACACCCCGCGTCGACCGTTGTTGAATGTTTGCTTTTCTTGATACCAAGTCATTTATCCGTCAATTTATCCATCTTATTTATTAATCTTCTATTATTCACATCGTCGTTATAATACCTAACTCATCTATACCTCCTTTGAATTACTCCTCCACCGCCCTCATCTAGTACCTTCTCGAAGCAAGACATAACCACGACGCAACCTCAAGATGCCTTCATCAACCCAAGGTTACTACGACGAGCTCAATACGAGCATCAAAGCCTCTCGTCGAAGTGATGATTCCCAGGACTCGCGGAGTACTGCTACCACCACATCAGCTCACCGCAGTCCTAGACCGTCAATTCATCATGCCGTCACGGACAAGCCCATGTACGCCGAGCCATACGACGTTTCACCTGCCACAACCTACTATCCTCGATCGTCTACAGAGACCTACCTCTCGGGAGCATCACAAGACGACTTATCCGAAGAGAATTACGACCCCGAGTACGAAGTGCCGGAGTACAAGTGGAGAAACGAGGCTCAGATCGACCTAAGACCGTCAACGCCTCATGACTTTGCCCAATTGTTCCCTACATCAAAACGACTATACATCCGCCACGATGACACTACATATGATGGGAACATGAATCTGCGAGTTGATACCGAGGACCCATTCAGTGGGCGGAAAGCCAATGTCCAGCTGTTCCACATGCGCATGCACGATCTGAAGAAGAGGGAGTTTTCTCTCCGCCGCTACGAGCGTTCATCTGGCCGAGAGGTCTGCCACTCGAGTAGGAAATACGCGAAGCCAGCGTCCGAGCGACGGCCTAAGCTGACCCGATCTATGAGCAACGCTTTTGCTAGCATCCGAGGAGCCAAACCAGAGCTGGAGCGAACGAACTCTGGCATATCAAATCACGGCTCGAAACCCGTTAGGGCAGCCAGGAGACAAGATAGCGGATATGGGTCGCAAGAGGATGAGGATGAGATTGAATCATTCAAGCCTGGAACCCAGGTACCTACCAACACCTTGAAGCTGGAGTTCTCGAACTACGCCCAGGTAGAAGTTAGGCGTCGTGGAGCCAAATCGTCGAAGCGATATGACTTTGAATACTGGGGCCAGACCTATACCTGGAAGCGTGTGATTGAGAAGGACGGCCTAGGCAAGGCGGTGTCGTATCATCTGCAGAAGAGTGATGGGCACGCAGTGGCTCACATTGTCCCCGAGATGCGTTCTCCGAGTCAGGTGAAAGATGAAGAAGCGGCTGGTGGCTGGGTGCCCCCTTGCTCAATGTGGATCAGCGATGAGAGCGTTTTGGGGGCACTCACTGACGTTGCCGAGTAAGTCTATGTTCCTCAATGGAATTTGACCCCATCTAACAAAATCCAGTGTCATCATCGCCACAGGCCTCATCGCCCTCATCGACGACTGCATCAAGCGTCACTTCCACACGGAGACCAAGCACCACCAGGTCGGACTCCCACTCACACCCCTGAAGATGGATTTCGTGGGACCGAAAGCCATGGCCGAGCACATGTTCAAGCGTAGGAACTCAGCCGCATCGGCCAAGGAGAAAGAGCACAAGGGATCACCACTCCGGCACGAGAGCCCAATTGCGGCTTTCAGCGCAGCTTCATATCGACAGTCGTAAACAGGCCGGAGGAGCACACAGGACGACGCGTCTCTCAGCTGGCGTCGGTTACGGCTACACAGGACCTGCCACTGCAGCTAGGCAGGGTGTACGTACATAGCTGGACAGGTAGGGAGCTTTTCGGTTGGGTACCTTATCATGGGCATGGAATTGGCGTTTTGGGTAATGAGATACGTGTTTGATGATCTTTTCACTCTTGTTCTGTACACAGCCACCTTTTTTAGGCTTTCCCCTCTAACGCACGAATGAATGAATGAACGATTTAATATGACCCACTAGTGCTTCCTCTCCTCCGTTGAGCTTGCTCTGATTAACGCTGGACAAAATGCAAAGGCATTCTACAAGTGCTGAATTTATAAATAAAAGATTAATGCTCTGCAGAGTGGGCCACGTCCATTAATTAATCTAACAATAGCAGCAATACATACGCGCGGCAGCCACCTTGCCCCCAAGTTCCAAAGGGTATCATAAACGAAACAATACATAGATAACCGTCGTCAGGACGACATAGAAAAAGAAGAAGATGGGGCTCCAACCAACTCGTACGTACTCGTACCACATATTAAGACATTATTACAAGGAAAAGAAGGTCAGGGCTGATATCGAGCCTACGTGCCATTTGGGATACAAAGTCAGAGAGAGAGAGATAAGGGGCTCCAGCTTCGTGGTTTTATTTGTTCCGTGGAGGCGTTTCCGGAACCTCCCAGACCGAGTCGTCATTGGCCTTTGAAGCTTGTGCAGATTTCGAGTCGACATTTGTCTTTGGAGCCTGCCCCAGATTCGGGTTGGCCCCGAATGGGATGGTAGAAGTAGATGTGAAGACTGGGAGATCGGCCTTCTTCATAGGCGCAGGAGTGCCGGAATTCGGGGGTAGCCATTGGAGTGGTTCTTGTTGGACAGTCGTGTTTTGAGTGGGACCTTCGGGTTGATAAGCAATGAACACGTCAGGTCCGGAAGACGAAGGGGGTGGCGCCAGAGTAGGTTGACCGGAGGGGGCTTCAGGGGGTGAGCTGGCGGGCAAAGGGACTTGAGGAGCTTCTTGAGCATGCGCTGGAAGAGGCGTTGGTGGGGACGTTTGTGGAGTGGATGGTGTAGGAGGGATGCTCTCAGCTAACGGTTCAGGCTTCGCTGGCTGACTGTTATCCGAGGCCTGATCATGTTGGGAGACTGGGGCTTCGATTGTCACATTGCTTGATAGCGATTCAATTGGAAGAGGCTTCACCGGCTCAGTCCGGGTTGTATTAGTTGTTGCTGTGTTCGTGGGAGCAGGCTGTGACGCAAGCTTCGCCTTTTCCCTTGCCTCTCTTTGAGCCTTGGTTGTCAAACTGAGTTTGATCTTCTTCATGCCAGCGGTCAGGTTGTCAATATCAGAGCTTTGCGAATTAGAAGTCTGGCTGGTCGGGGGTGCAACGCTACCAGACTTCGGTGGTGGTGCTGCTGCAACTGTTGCATCGTTTCTTGCCGCTGGAAGTCTTTCATCACTCAGTGGAGACTTTCGACGGACGCGAGGCTTTGGGGCCTCGTTCCGAGGTTGAGCTGGAGCCCTCGTCTTCTTCACTACGATAGGAGGAACTGAATGGCTTCGGGAGCTCATAGATGAATCCGCTCTAGCAGTTTGAGAGGTGCCGGGCCTTGTTACATTTGCTGCTCCATTTGGTGGGATTTTATTCTGTCCAGTTGATGGTAATGAAAGGCTTTCAGATGTGACCGATCCTACATTAGAAGCAACACTGAGACGGCGACTTGTTTGTTTGGTAGGCTGCGTATGAGTTGGTTCTGTCTTTGGAGTTGTGCTTCTGACAGTTGCCTACAAAAAAAGTTAGCTTCTATAATATCATCAAACTGAGGCGTGTGAGTGCGGAAAAGGGATCCAGACCTTCTCAACCCCCGAAACAGCTGCCCCAGCGACAGTTTTCCGACGGCTTGCTTTCGCGGCAGGTCTCTTATTTTGATCCTCTTCTATACTCTCCGTCAGAGCTTTAGAGGGCTTCCGTACTCTCAAAGCCATTCGAGAAGGCTCTGGTTGTTCCGCTCCTGCGGTCGAAGTAGGAGGCGTAAGAATCGATTGACGGTCTCTTCTTGCCCGTGTAGCTTCTGCGGAAAGGTCTTCCGGTCTGCAACTCATAGTTTGCCTATCGGCTGGAATGAGCAGCTTACTTAACTCGTGAGCTGCTACAGTCCAAAGAACCTCGGGAGGTGGAGGGGATGCCGGCCGAGTCATAGTTTTTGGGCTCATGCTTGACGTAGCTGACACAGAACGCTGTACTTTAGGCGTGGTAACTTTTGCAATAAAGGATTGCGTCGGTGATGAATAAGTAGATGAAACCTCTCTCGATTTCTTTGGTTCGGGAATGGGAAGAGGGTTGACAACTGCATCGAGCTGCTCGAGATGCGGTAGAGACCACCATGAAGGATCGTAGCCTGGAGCTGCTGGTTGTGCAACTGAGTCGTCACTACCGTCAAAAGCACCGATCTTTTGTCCCATCTCATAATTGAGACCTTTGTTCTTGGCCTCCGTCTTGAAAACTGTAGGATCACCACCAGCAAGACCGCTTATATGACTGAGCACCCCGGAGTACAGAGCTCTGTCGCTATAGCCACCCTCAAGCACACTGATGATTCTCCCGTCAACGGCAGTCCCATCCTCGGCAGCAAGCCTGGTCACATCCCGAGTCAAGCGGGCGTAGAATTCTGTTGGAACATTCACCTTATGGCGTTGCATTCCAGAGCTTTCCCATTCGCTAGCATCGAATCCAGCAGATATGAAGATGGCGGCTTTCGGCTTGGGCCCATTTGGTATCGATCTAAGGCGGTCAGTTTGTGTACGAAGGAAGTTGCGTGTCTTCTCTAAAAGGATCGAGTATTTGTTTTCATAGAGGTCCCAAAATTCGGTCTCGGTCTTCCATGGCTGTAAATGAACGTTCCAAATGTTTTGCCCGTGAGCGTTTTCGATGCAGAGGCTAGCATTCTTGACCTTTTCTTCGTCACCCATCTCGCACGGGTAGGAGTTGATATCGTGGAGACTGAAGTACCCAATCGATGTCTTCTTCCAAGGTAAAGCGTTCTTTGGTAGGCTCGTAGCACGAGCATTATGCGCCCATGCGATGGCCTGAGATCCATCCCCGTGGTGAAGGTCAAAGTCTATGATGGCCGCATGGGTCAAGCCATGAGTAAGTGCGGCATGAGAAATGCCAACGTGGACATTGTTCAGCCAACAAAATCCGGAAGGATAGCTAGCTGAGCAGTGGTGTCCTGGTGGTCTTATGGCAACGAAGGTTCGGTGCGGTCCCTTACCGTTTGTGGACCCCTGAAATACAGCGTCCACCCCTTCACACACTGCCCCTAAAGCTCCCTCCATAGCATCGAGTGATTCCGCACACAGGTAAAGATCACCTTCGTGCAGTTTCGCCGGCACTCCTTGTTCAGGACTGCGGTTCATCTCTGGTCGAGCCAATTCCTTCCCATTCATAGCTAACTTGGCCTCCGCAGTGTCGCACATGATTTTCAATTCCTCCATCCATTTCGTCCCATGTACATTTGTGACTGCTTGCGATGAAAGAGTAAGCCGACGGGTCGTCTTCCTAATCCTGAAAGGTATAGTAGGAATTTCAGAGGGGCCTTTCTTCGGGTGGAGCGGGTATTGTCCTTCCGCGTGCCTCTCCCCGAGCCGCACATAGGCAACCGATAGGCCAAGTATACTCGCACGTATTCGTTCCGGTCTCTCGACAATCGTGCTCAAAGAAGCTTTTGAGGTTCGCGGTCTAGAATAGCGGTGCCCATAGCAAGAATCGTGGAGGATGACGAGAGTATCGGCGGGCCGAGCCTCCTCGTCCGATTGATCCAGGTCCAACTCTGCCTTGAAGTAATTGCTGGCGATAGATTCTGCTGTATATTTTGGAGGGGCCTCGGCCGAATCTCCAATCCCTGAGAGTGGTGACTTGCCCACCATAGTAGATGCATTTAAAAATGATGCCGAAGACGATCTACGAGATGGTGACGCCTGAGATGGAGATCGGGGCATCCCACCGCCCACTCCATGGAGGGAATTCATTGATGCTTTTTTGTGCAAGGTCGGCGTCGATGAGCGCGCGTCGAGGCTCATAGAACTTGCGCTTCGACGGAGGGGACTTCGCGATGGTGCTCTTCCATTTGGCGACGACGTAGGGTTGTTTCGCTGCCCTAGTCTTCTTGGTGAAGGTGAAGCTGGCTGCGGCGATGGAGGAAGAGCAGTTGACGAGGCTGCGCTGATTGAAAGGTGTTTCAGCGCATGTGAAAGTGAGGCATCGTTGTTGTTTATTGACGGGGGCAAAGGTGCTGGTGAAGTTGTTTCCTTCACCACGCCGTTTTGCGATGGGTGTTCCATTGCGCCTTCAAGCTCTGATGAGCTCGTGCTCAGTGGCCACAGTTAACAATCGAGGATGTTGAATATTCTTTTCGATGCGGATTGCCCAACTGTGGTGAAGCTTGACAACGGGCGGAGATCCCATTTGAAGCTATCCCTATAATACGCGTGCCACTAAAGTATGTAAATATTTAATATTTAACGCGCACCCCTGCAACTTCAGCCTTCTGTGGCTCAGTAGCCGCAGGAATACTCCGCAGTCTCCGCTGGGCCGTATCTAGATATATCCACTTCATGACATCAAACTAGGTATACCTACGGAGGTATTTTCACCAGTATGGGGATTGAAAGGTTCCTCTATGTCCGCGCTCAACTACTGAACATAAAGTCGTTGCTTATATTGGGTATCTTATTCTATCAGTTCACAACCATCTTGAACTCCTACGGCTCCATCAGATCCACTCCGACCGTTCTCAACGCCTCGACCGCCCAATCTGGGTACTTCGTCTTGTCGCCGTCATGGCGGTCCGCGAAGAATTGCTTCAGGAAAGCTGGAAACCTGTCCTCGATAATAGAATCTCTGACACTTCTCATTAAGGCCAGTTGATAATGAACATTGTGCATCGTCAGGAGATGGGCTCCAACGGTCTCCTTAGCAGCAATATGATGAATGAATGCTTTGGTGACCCCTAAGCCTCCCTCTCCTTCCCGGCAACAAACACATCCACAGCCTTCCTCAATAGGCCCAAAGTCGTTTGCATATCTTGCATGCCTTAAGTTCAAGACTCCGTACTTCGTAATCGCATTTCCAAATCTCGCGGTTCTTGTCGGCCAGACACAATCGAACATATCCGCGCCGAGAGCGACACTGACAACCAAATCCTCAGGATAGCCAATACCCATAACATATCTTGGCTTCATCTCGGGCAAGAGACTCGTACATGTGCTTACCACACGACAATAGTCCGCCTTGGCTTCGCCACCACTTAATCCTCCTATTGCAATTCCAGGAGTACCCCTTGCAACCATCTCCTTACAACATCTCGCCCTCAATTCGAGATCAAGACCTCCCTGTATTATACAGAACAGATTTTGTTTCGTGGGATTCTTGTGCGCGGCTATACAGCGGTCGAGCCACCGAACGCTCCTCTCCATAGCTTCCCGCATTCGTTCCATATCAGGAGAGGTTGTGACGATGACATCGTCAAGTTGCATAATGATATCGCTACCTATGGTATTCTGCAGACTGATTGAGTGTTCCGGGGTCAGGAGCATCGGCGTTCCATCGTGAGGGCTGAGGAAGCGAACGCCCTCTTCCGTTACGTTCGCCAGTTTTAACAAACTGACCATCTGGAAACTGACCCAGGCAGTGAGCCCCTGTAACAGATATATCAAAGGGAATAGACTTACCCTCCACTGTCTGTCAGGATGTTGTGATTCCATCCTTGTAGCTTGTGGGCTCCCCCGAGCTTTTCCAGCACCTCTTGCCCAGGTTTCAGTCCCAAGTGGTACGTGTTGTTTAGACAGAGTCTGCAGCCAGTCTCCTCTAACTGCTGCGGCGTCAGTCCTTTGAGAGAGGCTTGGGTTGCAACTGGCATGAACAGCGGCAGTTGCACCGGGCCATGAGGGAGGGTAAGGATGGCAGCTCGCGCTTTAGTGGTCTAGTTGCAGTGAGATGGGATGTCGCACGCCAATTTGGGGAACTAGGTAGGCTTACAGAGCAACGAGCTACCAATTCGTATTTCAGTGCCGAAGGCATCGGGGTTTCTGGCACCGGCACCATGATTGGGACAGAGGAACGGCGAGAAGGTGGGGTAGAGGGGAGGAATGAATGAGGGTGTGACAGGGCCTGCGCAAGTATCTCGTGGTTTATTTGCTGTTAAACACCACTCATATAAAGCTTTAGATAGTGTGTCGGCAGGAGTAGCATCATTCCAAAAAGAGAAAAAGTAAACAGGCACTGATGAGAAGTGCGACGTCGTAGAGCTTTTTTCAACTCTCGAGGGCATTCACGGTAGTGTATGCGGTGGTAATTATGTATCATCTGGGAGGGTGTTACTATCACCGGCGGCTCCAAGTTCTCCCGACGACGGACGAGGCTAGGCTCTACGCGGCATCTGTGTCAGAATAAGCAATGGCCAGCCTTCAGCCTCTTCTCCAAAGTCACGCCACTCCGACAGCTGGCGCCAAATAGTCGGGTCGATATCCCCACCCGGGGTATCGTATCCCCATCCTTCATCGCCCGCTAGTCTTCGTTTTTCTTCTCTTCGGTCTTTTCTGGGGCCCAAAGTTATTTTCTTCTTTGCCTCTTGGCAGCTCAAAGAGGAAAGGGTTTAGAAAAAGGTACGTGTCTCTTGGCTTCCACATGGCAGACCGAGACATCGACCCGGCCCGAAACACCACAACACCATAGGAGCAGGTAGATCTATAACCCCAGGCTTCTCTTATTCTTGTTTCTTCTCTTCTTCTTCTTCCTGTCTATCTTTCATCTTCTTTCCCTATCGGATTAATCAATCCTTGGCACTCTTTATCTCCCAAGTCCAGTGCTTCAAGGAGTTCAGCTTCGTGCACGCCAAGCACATCCCAACCCATGAACCACAGCTCCCCAATCTCAGCCCCAGATTGCACTTATGTCAAACCACCCTCAAGACACGAGCTTTATATAAATTTTCTCCCTTGTTTCCCCGGAAATCCTGGGCTTCATCCAAAGACAATTCCGAGCTTTGCCCCGTCATCTATGATGCCATCAAGTCCCGCCAGTGAGACAACGACCCCACAAACGACCTTCTCTTTATTCTCCTCCTTGGCACCTGAGCTGCGCCTGAAGATCTGGCAGTATGCAGCCTGCACGCCGCGCCTAGTCCCGATCATCCACGACCTCGAGCGCGACATCTGTCTCACGTCTTCGCGACCGCCCGCCATCTTGCAAGTATGCCACGAGGCGCGCGATGAGGCCTTGAGGGCGTACACGCTGTCCTTCGGGACGCGGAGTGCGCCCGCGCGCATCTATTTCAATCCCTGCTCTGACACGCTGTACCTCCCGAGACATAGGATAATGGGGTATGATGATACGTTGCGGGACTTCCGCTCCTTTATCATCGAGGGAGAGAGGGCGTGCATGGATGAGGTAACCAGCGTTGCTATCGATCATGTGGATGTGGAAGCCAAGAGGCCGTGGGAAGCATATAACAAAGCGGCATTCCTGCGCAGCTTCCCAAAACTGAAGGAGGTGATATTGGTCCTCCGTGAAGGGAGGAGGCAAGCGGCGCTAGAAGCAGACCTGGAGCTGGTGGAGCCGCGACGGCCCCCCGAGCAACTGATGGATATCTGGGATGAGTTTTGGCAGGGCTTCAATATGGAGGAGAAGCTGCTGGAGGATGCGTGTAGGGCGATGGGGAAGAAGTATACCAAGTGGAAGGTGCCGACTTTCCAGATCAAGGCGCGGCCTTCGAAGGCGCTGATAGTGGACAATGGACCTAGGACGCACAATATATAACGCATCATCTAGGGATACGCATATCCCTCCTCCCTCACGACGACACCCCCTTGTGTAGGTACTATGAGACCGATGCACGAAATAGCTGTGCAGTGCACATACCTTACGTAACCGCCATAATCTCAAAAACGATCCACAGTTACATACCCCAGAAATTGCCAATGATAGGGATGAAACGCAATCGTAGTACCCCAGATCCCTCCCGCTTTGGCCCTTGAGTCAATAAACAAGGTGCAGATGATACCTACCTACCTACCTACCTACCTTCTCTACCTGTACAACACCCACCCAGCAAATCACCTACCAAACAAAGCACGCAATCCAAGAATCCAGAAAGAAAGTGGCTCTCCGGCCCCGGGAAAGAAAGGAGAATGGAATATGGGTATAGAGATTGGTTGAGAGTTGAGGATGGAGCAACGTCTGGATGGATATGTGTGGGAGATAGGTAGCTATATAATAAGCTCGAAGGAGGTATTGTGTTGGTAGATGGCTTGCGTTGAAGGTTGTGTTGTATAGGTAGGTATGTATATATGTACATTTACTCTTCTGTGTCCTTATGTACAGATAATAAGATATTAAGACAGGGTATCAAGCTACTCGTCTAGGACCGAAGTACGGTCGCCGTCCCATCAAAAGGTTATCAACGCCTTCTGCATGCATATGTTCCCATCGTCCAAATAACAGGCCCATCCGTTGCGCCGCTCACAAAGAGCCACCGGTTAAAACATGCCGCCCATCGCCTTCTTCCCTCTCAATTGCCCGGGGGTGTGGAGGACTTGTACCCCATCTTGAGGCGGTTCATCCACCAGCTCGTACCTCTGCGGACTATTCGGCGCCCGTTTTGTCGGTCTCAGTTCCCTCGGCGTCCAGCCTTCCATCCTCACATTTTCGCTGCGGAACCCGCGCGCCTCGTATAGAGGGAAGGGTTCAGTGGCTTGATCTTCTGGCCATACATCGGAATTATCTCTTCTCCTGGTTGGATTCACACCAACGCCCATTCCCATCCCCAGTTCACTATCGCGCAGATGCCCGGGTCCCATAGGGGCGACGCGTCTATTCCCCGTTTGCGCGGCTTGCGGGGGAGTAGGGGGTGACATCTCGCCGACCGCTGCCATATATGCTCCGGAGAAGTTTTCTAACTCGGAATTGCGCACATTGTTATTGGGCTGTGAAGAAAATGACTCTTCTGGCATCGCGTAGGGGTTCGCGTAAGGGTTATCCGCATGAGAGTCATCCATATAAGGGTTACCCGCATAAGGGTTATCCGCACTCGCATTCATACGCTCTTGGATCCCACGGTATTCGCTCGCTGGGGAGAACACATATGGATTCAAGGGAGGTGATGATTTGTTGGCCCTTTCGGACATTGGGGAGACAAAGTCGTCCGGAACAGGGGCCTGTGCTGGAGGAGCCTGTGTTGGAGGGGCTTGTGTGAACTCTTCTTGGCTGCTCTCTGGTGAGACACTCTTGAATGCGCTTGAATGTATGTTAGTAATTTGATCTTGAGGGGAAAGAGGCATTGTATATTTACCCTGTAAATGAGCTAGGCCTCCGCGCAATTTTCTCGTTTTGTCTTCGGCGCCAGAAGAAATATATAACCCCAATGATAACTGATATGAAGACCAAGGGAAGAATTACTGCTGCCGCAATAACACCTCCGCTGACCTCAGACTTATTCTTTGCACCCCCAGTTGCACTAGATGTTGCTGAACTTGAGCTCGAAGTTCCGCCTGAAGTCGTGGAAGCGGCTGAACTCGAGGATGATGTTGAAGTGGAGGTTGAAGAAGTTGTGGTTGGCGCTGCAGACATAGGGCCAAAGTTCACCCCCGTAAACACAACTTGTAGTAAGAAATCTGATGGTTGGCCACTGAATGTTGTTTCAATACTCGTGGCATCTGATGAAGCCCCGCATGCCCATTGCAAATAGCCTCCGGGGTAAGTATTTTGATAGCATTCCATACTGCCAGGGCTACAAGAAGAATTAGTAAATGTTCCTCGACACAATTCGGCGCATAGAGTTACCAAGTATAAACGCCATTATTCTCCCACGTTGGATTCGAATTCCAACCGCTGCTATGATAATCCACACAACTTGAATAAACACCTGCTGTACACGGCCCTGATGTTGTGCAGCACCCTACATATCCATGTATCGTGTCATGTATACACGAGGAGCCGCTTGGACAAACTGCTGCATCCGCCGAATTTCCACCTATCCATCCACAAACGTTCGTGTCCACAGAATTTCTCTTGAAAAGCTTCGCTGGGTCTGGAGGGATATTGGTCGGGCGCGGCGACCACTCGTCCGCCTTGTAAGCAACAGTTTTCTCCGGTAGAGGCGACGGGAAAGCATTCGATCTACTAAAGGCGATAGAGAGGAGGAGGAGGATAGAGGACGAGGGCATAGCAAAGATATTGATAGCCATCGGAGAGGACTATTAGTCTTGGCAACAGAAGGAAAAAGTCAACGACACGAAACGACGGAAAACAGGCGCATGCGGGCAGGATTGATGTATATAAGCCATTGAGAATAATAGGATCAATCGCAAAGGCTCAAAAACGTGCGACTACTACGCCGCAGAGGCTGTGGGTGGGGACCTGCCAGAGGCACCACATGGTCATCTTGGGGAACGCATCACTATGCCGGGCACCTGAACCATGTCAAGATGGGAAATGTAAAATATAATTGGAAACCACGATAATAGGATGAGGATTGAAAGACCGCGAAGTGCGCAGGGGAGGGAGGCAGCCACTTGGGAGTTGGGACTTGGAATCCATCGCGTCCAGACTGGCTCAAAGTCGCCAACTTCTGAGGTTATCCGGGGCTGAGGGACAACAGGAGCTTCGCCACCTGCGCACAGGAGTCCAGAAGAGAGCGCGACCAGGGAACATCGCTGATGGAGTAAGGTGAAGAACGTGGCCACAGAAAATAGCGTTCAAGCACGGAGATGAAGTGGGAACCGTCACTGCGGCCATACATTGTAGACTCTGTCGTCTCGGAGAGAGAAAGGGATTCCATTGTCGAGAATGTGAATTCGGAATATGTTGTCTCGCTTATGGCTTGTATAAGTTGTCGATATTACGGTATTATATGGTACTGGTAAGACTGTGAGCAGCCCGGATTACAGTAAGGTAGTTACTACCGTAGTACGGAGCTGGTTTATTGCGAACGTACTCGCCGCACCACTGCATGGTTTGGCTTGAGATGGAGAGGGCCAGACTCTGATGAGAGACGGAGTAAGCATCGACCATCCACGAACATCGGGACTCTGTACAATGGGTGCAGTTCGTGGGGCTATTTCCCATCTCTCTTCTCTAGCGGAACGTCAAATCCTCCATCCTCCACCCTGCAGGAATGATCCCCCCCATCCTCGCATCCTGATACCTTATCCTCCGTCCACCAGCGCGAATCATCACTGCCATGTGGATTGTTTCGCCTTCCTCTCGACTATTATTACCTATTGACCCGTCTCGTCAAGTGCGCGGCTGAGCCTCATCCGCATCCGCACCCGCATCCTCAGCATCCCATCCTCTGGGGCCCAAGCTTTCCTCTCAGACGCTGGACTTGCCAACGTCAAGGGCTCGCCGCTTGCCCTCACAACGTAGGTATGTTGTAACATGGCCCGCAACGTTTTCAATACAAAGTCTTTTCATGCGGACCTACTGGTAAGATAGGTAGGTAGACAAGAATCCGAAGATAATGTAGAGCAATGCGTCGTCTCCGCTCCTCATCTCACAGAGCCCCCTCCCCCACCGTTGATCTCCGCAACCAACATACTACTTCTCAAGCCACACGAAGACGCATTCCTGCTGATCAATCTACGCGCCCACGAGCGGACGACGACCGGGTTGTCGTCCTAAAGAAGTCAGGCTTGCAGTCGGCTTTGATCACCCGGCCACGCGTGTCTGGTTCGGTCTCTTGGCAATGTAGCTGCCATGTGGCATGCTGGCTCCTGTGCAGGGCTTCTTTTCAAGGGAACTCGCGGAATAGATGCTGCACACGAGCCTGGCACTTCAGTCGTAGGTGCATATAGATATCTACCTACTTCCCCGCGGATGGAGCCATTAAGGTATACCAATCGAGTGGAGTATATATGCTCTGATAACTGAGTGGACGAGCATAAATATATACATCGTAGAAGTCACCTCCAGTTGAACAGATGTGAGCATAGAAAAGCACAACAACCCCGCTTGTAGATGGATATAATTCCTCAGAAATGGAATCAAGGACGTCTCATTCCTTCTTTAGCTATCTCTAGGGATCTTCGTCCCAGCAGAAAAGCTAAAATGGGTCCAAAACGATGCAAGTGATCAAAGTGGATTCTCGAAGCGCAAGGGACTCGGGAATAGCTCAGATCGGCGCCATCCACTTGAAGACAAGGCCACAAGGTAAGGTCGTACAAGTTCACTTTGCCAACAGCGTCTAAATCTCTTAGTCCCCTCCCTCAAACGAAGCTAAAAACTTCGACGTGCAACGAAAACCTCGAGACTGGAGATGGCATGGCCCAGGTGGCCGTGGCCGTTACACAGCGACTTGCGCGAATCAGGAAGGGCCAGGAACCGGCCAGCCTAGGGGACGCCCCCATTGGCCCGCGGACGGGACGGGACGGGGTATGGGTATGGGTATATATGCAATGTGCTTGCTGCTATGCGGCCTGCTCTATTGATCCAACAGAAGACTCCCTCTTTGCCAAGACACGCTCCTACCTAGGTACAGTATACAGTATACTACATACCGTCTTCCAGTCTCTGGCTCCGCGATTTCTGCCAGGACTCCTTCTCTTCCTTGCCTCCATCCTTCTCGAGTCCCATGCCCCTTTCTACCCACTCCTTGCTGCCCATCTCGCTCAATCTGCTCAACGCTCTTGCGAATGCGAATCTTTCCTCATCACCGCTGAATATTGATGAATTCTTGAGCGTCGTCATGTTCAGTCCCAAATCATCCATCAGGTTTCTCATCGTGTCATCAATTGCCTCCTCCTGCTCTCCCTGTCCTTTCTTATCTTCCCTATCATTTTGAACCGACTCCTTCAGCTCATCTTTCGAGAGAAAGAGTTGTGTCAGTGGAACGGCAGAAGTGAGCACGAGCTTTGCTCTCGACTCGTAGACCGCATCAATGAATGTGATGAATCGCCGTGCCAGATCGCGCTCTCGGTGCGTCATGCCCGGCACGTTGGTAACAACAAAGGCATCATAACTCCTCATCAACTCGATGTAGTCAGCCGCGCTCGTTGGTTTCCCGATCAACTCATCAAACGTGAACATAGCAGCCCTCCCACTGACTTTCGGCACGCGGATCTCTCGTCCCCATACTGTTTGCGTTTCAGGGTGCGGTTTGTCGTTAGGATCGCCCAGGAAGTTGAACCATTTCTCAGCATGGGAGACAGCATGCTTATCCAGTGGTGAGTGATATACACCAGACGGAGGACGCGGGATCTTCCTATAGTCGGTCGGGGAATCGAGGTTTATCACGTGAAGGCGGTTTTTCAGGAGGTTGATACAGGGGATAAACGACTCGCGCTGGATGCCGTTTTTGTAGAGCTCATCTGGATGACGGTTGGAAGTAGTGACTAGAACCACTCCGTGAGACATGAGAGATTCCAGAAGTCTGCACACATGTCAGTTCGAATGTCAAAACCTAGGGAAAAGGACGTACCGTCGCAAGATCATGGCATCGGCAACATCAGTACATTGAAACTCATCGAAACAAAGTACATTCCCTTGCTCCGCGATATCAGCCGCAACGAAAGGTACACCATCGATATCATTGCCATGCTCCATCTTTAACTTATGCAACCGTTTATGGACATCCTGCATGAAGTTATGGAAATGGATCCGTGTCTTCGACGCCACGCTACTGGGTAACGTCTCGTAAAACAGATCCATGAGCATAGTCTTCCCGCTTCCAACATCTCCATACAAATACAAGCCCCGCGGCAAGTTATCTGGTATTTCTTGTATGGGCTTCTCCTTTTTCGCACTTCCGAAGAAACGCCCTAAGACTGATCGAGGTTCTGGTTGAAGAGATTCCAAAGTGGGATGCACGATGGGAGGTGCGTGGTAGTTGCGAAGCTCATCGTGGAGGTTCTGCAGATTTACTATGATACCTAGAAGTCCATCAGTATCGGGACTGCTGGAATTAAATCGGTTCGCTGACCTCTCTGGTGTTCATCGTCCCTCAATCGTCCTGATGCCACCCGGTCATCGTACTCCTTCAATGGGCCTCGATCATCTGAATTGACTGTGCCACTTGATTAGCATTTGCCCATTAGCTCTCCTGAGACTGATCCATACCATTTCCGACAGTGGCCAAAGTCCTTCTCTGGCCAGCAACGAACGTGGCAGGAAGAACGAGTGTCTTTGGTGTTGGCAGGTTCCAACTTGTTGGCGCCGAGTTCGATCGCCGCGCAGTCGTTGTGATTGATCTAGTTCCAACTCTCGCACGGGATTGCTGATGACATTGCATGCAAACCCCCCTTCTAAAGCTCCGTCTTGTGTATGCTCTCGAGATGTCGGTGGGGACGAAGCGCCGCAGAGAGCGGGAAGGGGACGTTCGAAGCTTCATTTTCTCTTAAAAATCGTAAAGAATGCTGCTTCAAATAACGATAGTTCTATTGGCGCATCATGTTCAGTAAAGAAAGTCATATAACATTAGGGATGCTCCACCCGTATATGCAAAAATATACCCATTATGGGGTCGGAGGGACGTCTTGGGCTTCTCGGAGTTGCATCGGGCCCAGATGCCGAGAAAGGCGAAAATCACGGGAGCAGCCGGGAATACTTCGTGCCGATAAACAACCTTAATAATCGCGGGTCTTCAGATCAGACCACTTTCATACTCGCTAGAAAGTCGTCTGAAGACCCCTGATCAGAAGAAGAGTGCTCCTAAAAGACCAGGTACAGAATTTCTAAAAATCTGTCAATAATTCACAAAGGTGGATATTTTACTCTATCAGAGCTTGCAAATTCGGCCTTTCGAGACAAAGAACTCCTGTTGAAATACAGCGCTCCCAAGCCGTTCTTGCTCAAGGCAACTCCGGATAGAATGCTCGCCCTAGGTAACTACGAAATACTTGTTCTCTGCTCCAGCTGGATCTCCTGGCATACTAAGCGAATTGGCTTCATTGTTTAAGTCTACAGCTTCGAAGTTGACATCCTTTATGACAATTACACAGAGTATGAAGCTCAGAATCCTGCCGGCTTAAAATCGAGGCCAAAGCGAGTGCCTTGAAATAGGGGTCCAGATGGGAGAGATCTCTGACGAAGTTACTGAAAGGTCCTCATACTTCGAGATCATATACACCTATATTCTGATGAGATTATTTCCCCATTAATCTTGTAATCTAGGGAAACAATAATCAAGATTGTTCTTGTATGAATATTACATTAAAAGCAGGAATAAGTCCTCAACAGGTTCATTTAGAAGTCTTGCCAATATCGAGTGACAGCAGCAACTGCCAGCTACATGTGTCAAGTTACGCATTTCCCTCATCGTCGACAGCTTGAGTCTTTTATAGCAGATCCTTAGATACTGACTTTAGCCACGACAGTCCCCCAGGCATTGGATGGATAATACATAATTAACAAGGCCAAGGTGATCTCGCGGAGTGCAGAACAGCAACATATGTTAGGGCCTATGATCTAGAGAACCTATGCATTGCATGGCCTAAGGTACCCTCTTATACCTCGTTCGAAGGGTCCATAACCCAAAAGTAGAAAACACAATAATAGTAAAATGAAAGCCAAAGATATGTATCAAACACAATAAGGTGAAAGAGAAGTTTGTACGGCAAGCCTAATAGGCACCGATAGCCAGAGCACACCTGATTCAGATCATGCCCCACAAAGGCCGTGGCAGCTCTGTCTGGGCAACAGGGAGACCTCCGCCCGTTTTGATCTCTTTGATGCCAACATATGCCTCCCTTCTCGCGGGATTTCCAACGGTGACAGAGCGGGAGGTGAGACCATAGTAAGCTGCAATGGAATGAACGAGCCAGCGTCTAGACCAAGTTAGCAAGACCTCGATTCTCCATGGTACAGCCACATACCCAAAACTGGCTCCGTGATCGTCGGCCAACGAATCAAACACCAGCTTTTCTCTCTCAAGCTCCTCTTCTACAGTCTTGCGCTGCTCATCGCTCATCGTGCCATTCCTTCCCACAAACACGATCTCCTCATCCTCACTGTCAATTTCCGGTTCATCATTTCCATTCTCTAGACTCTGTTTCCTCTCCCACTCTCTCACAAAATTCCTCACCTCCTCCTCCAAATCCTGTAAGAGGGTCTTGGCCCCCTTACTCTTCTTCAGCTTCTGTCTCAAATCCTGGGGAATCCGCCCCTTCTGTCCCTGTATACCATTGCGCTTCTCCAATTCCCTCTTCTTTGCCGCGGCAGCTTCCTCCGCACGGTGACGAACGCCCTTTTCCCAGAGCGGAGCAAGGTAATACGGGACCGTGTGCACGGGGTAGGTCGGATGCACCGCCCAATCACTGGGAAGTGGAGGCTGTACGTTCGGGACATGAAGAAGACGATCTGCGAGCCACTTATCAGCATCATGCCCGCTCGCTTTGCGAGTATCATGTTCACGGCATTGGCGTGCAAGTTTTGCTAAGCCTATGTGCCGGGCGAGCGACTCAAGCGGCTGACTTGCATATGCCACTTACCATTTTCCCATCGTTGCCGGCGACGACTGCCTTCCTTGCCCTTCAAGAGCGCATCTCTGCGCTTCAGGCTGTCGCGTCGCAAGGGCTCCTTGCGCGGCTTGTAGGCGGGTCTGGAAGGTGTTCTGTCCGCATCATCGGAACCGTCCGGGCTATCGAGGGGAATTGACAGGGTGACTCCTGTGTCGCGCGCAGATGGGGAGACGCTGAGAGATTCCAAGGCAGACACGGCCCAGGTTTCAATGTCCACTGCAGCTGGGGTTGTAGGTGCCGCGGGCTGCTGCGATGGTGGGGGAACAGAAGAGTAGATTGCCATATTGGACAGTGATGACTGGGATGTCTTTGGAGGTTTTGGACGAGTACAGACAGGTCTCTCCCGGGAAGGAAATTTATGAGATGGGCTGCGATGAGGATGTAGAACAGAGATGAGGAGAGGAGAGGATAAGAGGTCCTGTAGCAAGCATGTTCGGCGTGTGCGCGATAAGGCGGGACCGAATGCGTACTCCGTATGTAATCATTCTTAAATTCCGATTTGGCCAATTAACGTCTAGACTCCGGGATCGTGTCTGGCTGATTGACCTTCGGAAACGACCCGGAAAGACCTCACGATTCCGTATGGTGTCAGTATTGCGGCCATTATTACCGTCGTTTTCCAATTGAGAATCCATATTTTAAGGGTATTCAAAGAGACCCCCTCGGGGGTATACCATTTTTCCCTTCGCTAGGTACATGTGTATCAGCACAGAACTTTTCTAGAATTTCAGCGTTGAAGGCTGCTCTATGTAGTTATCCATCTAACTTCAGTGATTGACAAACATATGGAACTCCCAAGTTATAATTATATTGTTACTTTCTCATACGCCGTCCCGGCTAGTGGCCATGCGGAGCTTCTGTGCTAAATACAGGGCGAAGCCAACTTCACAGCGGCCACTGAAACTCCTATATAGGATTTCATTGTCCTAAGGAAAACCGCCCGGGTGAAAACCCTTGGAGTTATAATTGTATATTAGCAGGTCGATTTCAATAGTTCATGGACCTAGAGAGGGCTGACTTGATTTTGCCACGTAGCCTGTCGTATACATTGGCAAAATCCCGCGCGGAGATATAACTAGGTAGATGGTTTCAACCCCAAGATAAATATGGTCCTTCGCCCGAGGATAATAAGGAAAGACTCGAGACACTGCCCCTCCCCTCCCCTTCACCCCCACCTGTAGGAATCTTCAGTTCCGAGAAATAAGGCTATCTCTTTCCTAAAACCCCTCTAAGATCACAGTTTTGCAAAGGCAAGCTCATAGACAAATGCCAAGGTCAAACGAGCATGCTGAAGCATGTGGTCAAAGGAAAGATACTTGATACTGTCATCAGATGTATGGATTTTCTGGTCAGAATCAGAGAACGCCGACTCGATCACAAAGGCAGACGGATATCCAGCCTTTGAGGCCGATGCATGGTCCGAACAGGCATATCCGCACTGCGTCTCCACGAACGGAATTTCGCAGTACTAGATAGGGGTCAGTAAGGCAAAATACGAATGAGACTCTTACTTACCTTGGTGACGACCTTCTTGATAAAGTCAGTCAACGATGGGTCCACAAAGTCGGTTATAACGCCAACCGATTCTTTCTTGCCCTTATCAAGTGTGCCTTGGACATAGCCGGTCATATCCTGCTGCAACATGGCCTTGACATCTCGACCACTCTTCTCGTATTCGGAGAAGATAGCCTGACTGCCCAGCAGCCCGCCTTCCTCTGCAGAGTACCAGTGGAACTCGATTGTGTTTTCTGCCTTGCCCTTAATAATGTCTTCGGAGGTAAGAAGAACACGCAGGGCCTCCAGAATCGTGACGGTTCCACTTCCATCGTCATCTGCACCAGGTGCAGAGAGAATGGGGGGAAGGAATAGGTTGATGCTATCCTGGTGTGCTCCAACAACAACTGTCGATTCACTCTTCCCCGGGATCGTGGCGATAATGCTATTCTGACCCCAGGGGTGCGTGAAATGTTTGGCATGCACCCCGTATTTATCCGCCCCGGCATCTCTGATGACCGTCTGAACGTTCTCGAGTAACCACTCGGATGATTGTCTACCGTAGTCTGACCTGTAGTATCGAGTGTGGAAGCTCGTAAAGGTCTCCAGATTTTCCTGCATATTCGTCTTTGACAGATTCTTTATCATCGGGAATAACTCCTTCTCAAGAGTTGGCTTCGCTGGGTAGCTGGGCTCCTTCTTCGATGTAGTAGCTGCGAATGCGCCGAGGTCACGCGCGTCTGTGATGTCCATAAAGTTTTGGCCATTCTACACCCGTTATTAGCCATGTGTTAAGCTCTCGACAACCACCACTTACTCGTCGCAACTCCCATTTCTCGTCTTCGGTCACCCATCGTGTCTTTCCGGGAGCAAGCTCGATAAGGAATCTCTCAGCGTCCGCGGTAGCGACATCCAGCACAACTTGATCCTTCTCATGGCGCTCGATAAAGCGGGCGTTTACGAGTGAAGCCGAGAGAGCCAGCACAGACAAGTTGGTGAGCTTCATGATGGATGCAGGAGGCGGGTCAATATGTAGATTGCAGAGTTGAGGTTGCAAGCCTGGGGTGCTCCTATGTACGCAGTACCTGCCCGGGGTAAGACGGGCCTCGGATGGGTCCGTTGTGGGGCGTGGCTGGGCCTGCACGTGGCTGGTGAAGATGACGTGAGTAAAGCCACGGTCTTTCAGAGATTTCGACGTCTAATTGAGGAGCATAACCTTGCAAGACTAGAATTAAGTTATAAGACAGATGCGACTCCTTAAAACTGGGTAAGGAGGTTATTCTGGGTTTACCTACCCACGGAGATAATCCCAAGGTTAAACCGGAAATCAGTAGTCAAAGGGAGACACAAAACCTTGGTAGGTAGCCCAAAACCTCCGGGAATTCCAAGTACTTGGCCTTGTATGCTCTCAGGAGTCAATCAGCATGATCCTCATGCATTCGAGTCTGCAGAAGACCGGGGTTAGACCATACGGATTGCTCGATTCCCTCGATTCTCTCTGGCCGTCGATCATCGATGGGAGGTCCGGGGAGGGGTAACAGAGGGTAACAGCTCAATCCTCTGTCGATACCCTGGACTTACAGGAAAGGCTGCACATTCCTGCATCGAGCATCAGTGGCGGTGGTGAAACCAATACCTTGTAGTCTCGTCCTGTATTCTGTAACTGGTGGTGTCCGGGTGAGGATGTGCCATTTCTTACCTATAGGTACTTTTACCTTACCTATCCCTCACCTACCTTAGGTAAGGTACCTTGCTCCATAACCTGCTCCGCATATCCTTATATAATGCCGTCAATATTATCGTATAATATGTGTCCAGGATTGGCTGTAGCTCTGGATTGGTTAATGCTTTTTGCCCTTCGAATTTCATCCTAGAGCTCATACGTCACCAAATCGGGATGGTCGTGTCCCCCTCTCTTGGATTTGCCTCCTCTCCTCCTCTCCTCCCTTCTCCTCTTCTCCCCTCCTCCCCTCTTCCTCTCTTCTCATCGGATCCCACTGACATCGAGCTTCCCAATTTCTGCCCTCTCCCATTTCTTGCGGAATCTCACATATCTCGGTACAGAGAACGTCGACCGACCTGACTTCTGGCTGACTAGTAGCTCTCCACCAGTCGTGGGTCTCGAATGACGTGAGCTACTCGTCCTCAGCCTGCCAAATAAAGCAAAGAACCCCTTGCACAGAACCAGCCTCTAGACTTCCATCCAAGCTACAAATTCAGACCCTTTCACACTTTCACATACTTCACAGATCTGCCAAAATGCCTGCTGGTATGTTCCCCCAGCTTCAGAACTTAAATGCTGGCCACCGATCATTTACTCAATTACTGACACTGTCGTCAACCTCAGTTCTAAACCCGTTCACGAAGCGGGAATCCTACCCCGCCCAAAGCGTGTTGACCTACAAGATCTTGACGATTATCTCCTGGCTAGTTATGGTCATTCCCACCATCTACTATACTTTCAATGCCCCGCACGATGATAATAAGCATTGGCGGGATACAATCTGGGGACATAATATCTCAACTCCCTTCGCTATGAATAGCGTAATCACATCCATTTACTGGTATGTCCTTGCGTCTCCTGAACTCGAAGCTTCACGCTAACAGCGGGCAGGATTGTCCTCTTCATCATGCAAATCGGCTACGTGTGGCATCTTTTCTCGGGTAACCTTGATTATGTGACCGCTGCTGCGGGAGTCGGAAGTCATTTCATTCTCAGCAACCTATTGCTATTTGCATTCGTAATGCTCTTCGTTCGCGGCCATTCCATATGGGGTGAGATCATCTTGATCATCAACTTCTTTAACCTCTCTTCTTTATACTTCCGCCACACCACCCTCCCAAGCTTCATCCATATCCCAGTAGTTTCTGGGCCACTCGCCTGGAATTTCGTTGCTTTATACTGGAACGGTGCGATTGCGGTCAATGCTACGGGGCTTGCAGCTCGAATCCTGGCGAATGTTGCTATTTGGGCTATATTAGCCTATGGGTTCTTCTTCTTGGTCACGTACAAGGTTAGTTGAATCAAATACAAGTCCAGCCACCACTTACACTTTATAGGACTATACAATGGGTTTCGCACTCAGTATCTTGACTGCTTCCATCGGCGTGAAACAGTTCTTCATCAAGATCATTGCATTCCAATGGATCTTTGCTTTCGTCATCATGGGCCTTCTATTCCTCGCAACCCTGGCCATTGCTGTGCCAGGACTTTTTGGAAAGGAGATCAGCTTCAGGAGAGAAGGCCAAGTCGTCCCTACCGACCAAGAGAGAGCTCCTCTTTTGGACGAGCACTAAGTGCACATCTTACCAAAGGTCACCGATTAGTTCAAAAATCTGAACACAGCAGTACTCCCGCAGAACATAAATGTGGCATGGAAGGCGTTTTCTGGGATAATGATTTTTGGGACAGCGGTTGGAGGTTGGAACTTGTTCTCCTTTGCTTCTCTTGATGCAACTTCGCTCTGTTGTTTTGAAGGATGGTTCATTTACTTCTTCGAATGTCCTCCGAAGTATGATGTGTCGATCTATTCCGGCTTGCTTCTTGATGGCTCACCTAGGTAGTAAATTATATGATGCTCATGAACAGAGAATAATGAATTGCGTGTGCCGTCCGAACCTTGGAAATGCAAGTTTGAATTCCATGGTGAAGTTGCAGTTTAGCGTACCCGAGATCCCTGTCAGTATGGTCCAAGCTCCATAAAATATCTCCCCTGTTCTGTACGGAGTAGAGTACTCGCCCGAACCACGAAATTGTACCAAAACCTACGAGCAGACCACTGAACAGCAATGCCGCGGCCGTTTCCTCTCCCCATTAGTATCGGTACTGATTTGTGCTCCGTGCACCGTATCTTCAAGATCATCAGGGATGGCGGTAAAAAGAGCGATTTGTTTTTGAAACGGCTACTGACGGATAAGGAGAGGGAAGAGTTCGGGAAGAGACGACATTACGAATCGATACAGTCGTGGCAGAACCTTCAAAATTGTCGGGTTGAATTGCATAAAAAAAGGGTAGCATTGGGGATCCCGAAGTCATTTGCGAAAGAAAGGAAGCTCATGGCGGAGGCCAAGGCAGGGAAGGTGGAGGAGAGCGGCACCGAAGTGAACACGACGATTAAGAGAAGCTTGTCTCAAGATGGCAACCCTGGTTCTGTAGAGTCAGTGGCTTATAAGGATATAATAGGGGAGGAGGAAAATGGCAACGGTGTGGGCGACATAACGACTGAGAAAGCAACGTCTGGCGAGAACAAGCCTGCTCCTGTAGAATCCTTGGTTTCTGAGGACAGCGCTCACACCGGGAAGGTGGTTGTCAAAGATGCTACCAATGATAATAGCTCTCTGGAAGATCGTATTGCAGAGATAGACAGTAAGGAAAGGCTACAATCGATAGAGGGAGAAATCAGTGGACAACAGATTTATATCGAACAAAGACTGAGCAAAGCTGCTGAATTTCTGGCAGGCAGGCTAGTTAACCCTCTCGATTTCTGACATCTTACGCTAACTATGACTGCATTATAGATTCGCAGCTAAAGAAGCAGCCACTAAGGCATACAGCTCTCTACGACGGCTCACATTCCAAGATATCTGGATCCGCGCCCCACAACCGCTGGACGGGAGGACGCAGGCACCAGAGGCTCTCATTTTACCTGAGAATGGAAATTGGGAAGATGCGCAGATTATACCGATGAGCATTAGCCATGACCAAGGTTTTGCAACTGCCGTCTGCCTGGCTTACAACGATAAAAGCAGTCCCTGACGCATTGTTCCCAGAAGATGAAGATGTTGTCAAATGCGGTACTCAGGTTAGAGGGGCATATTCAAAGCCACACCCATCTACTCAGGATGCCATAAGCCCCCCAATATAGCTAAGGATTTTAAAGGGCTCGATCCGTTCAGCCAGAGGTGGGTGATCCAAGGACTCCAAGGTACCTGAAATGCATATCCAGAGGTGAAAGATTCTGTCACCACATTCAATTTAGCTGAACCAAGGTCTGATCTGGATGTGTTAGAATAAAATTTGGTGTGAACGGCTTCCAACCTCAGAGCTCTGCTCCCTTTTACAAGGTTTGTCTGGAGAACCTGGCACTTTGTCTACATGTACTATATAGTAAACAGACGAATAGATCTACTTTACACTACTGATTTTTAGGAAAGTTACTTTAGAAGTTGTTGGTTGGGAGAAGTGACGGCTAGGTGAATGCTCGGAGGTCATGAATAAGTAGTACGAATTCAGGAGTTGGGAGGGACCTAGAGTTCGAAAGGGAGCATGTGTAAGATACCTAGGTAGACAGAGAGCGAGTTATAACCCAATCAAAACCATTCCAAATGAGCCTACGTGTTCCGCGCAAATTTCCCTCCTGATAATTCGCAGGAGATATCAATATACCGGAAATCACCACCCACGATTGTTTATGCTTTGCCAATTGTGTCTGGAATTTTTAAGGGGGGGTTAGTGACGAAAGGAAGCATGAAATGAAAAGTTATGCATTTATGCCAATATAAGCATGATTTCGTCAAAGGGTTCCAAACAGCCCACTAAGGCGCACACACAATCGGGTGCTTGGCGCAATGGTAGCGCGCGGTCCTCCTACTGCAGAGATGCTGTAAGACTGAGGTTGAGGGTTCGAGTCCCTTGGTGCTCGTGCAATTATTCCTTTTTTTTTTGTCCTTTATATATTTTTGTTTTATTTTATTCTTTTTTTTTTGCCAAATGTTTTGACGCTCTTCATATTCGGGACGAGAATTATGTAGAATAAGGCGGGCTCTGACGTGCTCTCTCCTTTGTTCTGATAAGATTGCCGAGGAGTAAACAAGCCCGGGTCGGAATCAGGGGAGCTGAACGGGAGGCTGGGAAGGCATAGTACGGAATCCGAGTAAGGGTTTTGCAGCTGAGGAAACTCGGGTAGAGTAGGATTCAAGTCCGTTGTATCCGGAAAACGGAGTTTGGAATTGATGATGATGTATGAAGAAATAGAAATAGTCATGAAGTTGCATAGATTAGCACGAAATTTTGGAAACATGAATTGTTGTTAAACCTATTAGAGGAAGGACTCTTAGTGGATGAAAGCTGTAGATCTACGTAGAAATCAATTCTCTTCATATGTCAACAATGTCAAAAACCAGGTACAGAAATGAAAGGTATTGTCTGTAGCATATAGTTACAGTCTGCTAAACTTACGGTCAAGTAGTAACTACCTACCTTGGTAGGTAAGGTATAGAATGCAGTTAGTAAGAAAGTGATTTACTTGGCGGTAGCTTAGGAACCAGGGATCAAAACAAAACTATTTATCTTGTGCTGCTATAGATTCTAAAGCTGGTACCAAAGCCGTCCATACCTTACCTTAGATGATGACGGCTTCTTAACGGGACCGATGCGACTAGACATGACAGGGGGGTTGCGATCTGCAACAAAACAGGTACAATCTGCAGATTTCCATCCGGAATTTCGGATACATCTAAGATTCTTGCTTGTAGGGCTAGCACTCATCATCCAAGTAGTCCTTCGGGAAAGGCCCGGGCCTACCAACCATGGTCGTGGATGAGCCTGGACCCACCTCGTGAGGTCCACGATACCCGGACATGACGGTCTGCTTCGACTAGAGGGGGTTGCGGTGTAAAACAGAAGAAGTGCGCCTTCAGTCCAATCCTCTTACCTTGCCTAGATCTAGGTATAGCGCAGTATGTACACCTCAGCAACAGGCCTCCCCACCAAGGTACTAGGACAAATGAGGATACAACCAAGGGGCATTTGCAGTTTCTAACACCCCTGAGTGGAACGTAGGAGACGAGAAAAGCCCAAGAAGAATAATAAGTATGGGCTGAAGGAGAAGGGATCTGTACGATGATGAGTTCTGATATGGCTAGAAACAGCAAGATGGTCTTCGAGCCAATGACAGAGAAAAGGCCTTAGAGCGTATGCTGTTCAGATAGACCATCTTCAACCCTTAGCTAAGGCTTCAAGAATGCATATCGAAATCTTTCACTATTGGAATAGATCAAAAGTTGAATGATAGACGTAGATAGGTACTTCAGCGGTACCTACATTACCTAAGGTACCTTAGGTTCTCAGCGCTACTACCGTTTCACCGTTTCATAGACCGACCACAAAACCAAACGGGTGGAAAGCTAGACAGGGAACGAATGATTGACAGGGGGGATGCGATGTGCAACAATACTCCTTCCATATAAGAGTTGCCCTTGCGTCACACGATGATATATAAAGCGAGGACTAGCTGCTTCTCATAGCCATGGATCGAGTCAAAATTAACTTTGTACTAAAAGTGACAGGGGATGACAGACGTGCAACAAAACATTAAAGAGTTGAAGTTGAAGTCTAGCTTGACTTTGTTGTACTTGTGAACTAGGATATAAACCATGCTGATTGGGTGCAAGGTGGCCAGCTGGACTGTGGAGGACGCAATGCACAGGGATTTTTAGAAGAAGCATTTAGAACATCAGGAAGAACGGCTAGGGTAAACGAGAGAGATAATGCCTTACATAACAAAAGGAGTCTTCAAGGGTGAAGTCAGAAACTACCTCTGTAGTAGAATCGTGAGGGCTCCAAATAGATGGCTGCCAGCTGAAGTTCGTAAAACCCACTATAGACCGAGGGATGAAGCATCGGATTGACGTTCCAAGAAGCCCAACAACAACTGCGTGTGTTTCTAAGAGGGTTCATACATTGATTATGGCTGTAGTCGTAAACTGCCAAGGGATATCTTATGCTTCTTGGTAGGAAGTTGACTGATCTTGAAAACTGCAATTAATCAGCACTGATGATCACGTGACGTCTTATCGCTGATAAGCAGGGTGAGAAATCGAAGCCGACCTCGGGGACCGACATTAATGGAGCTTATGCCATTGGCCAGCAGGTTTTGCAACCCTGAGAAGTCTGATCGTGACTCTATCAGGTCGATTGATATCTCTCTTTTATATTCGAGTCAATTTGAGAATCAATCATCTGAAGATGACGCCTCAAAGTCCTGGTGTGGTCCCTGCTACGTCTAAGATGGATCCTGATGGGGCCCCCAGACTTGTAACTGGGGCCCCAGATGTTTCAAAGCCACTGGCAGAACAAAAAGTATGGAACACCAAGCATCTGGGTTTGCGGTTGGCATCAGACTTCACATCTGGGTTTCTAGCTGCTGGAATGGTTGCTCCATTCATTACTATTATTGACAAGTTTCGTCGCTCTTCCTGTTTTAAAAATCTTAATACTGACTGTTATGCAGAGCAATTATGCAAAATGCTTCTGGCCAAAATACGCTCAAAAACTCTCTGAAGACCTCCATCACTTCCTTCCTCCTGAGGCCACATAATCTCCTCTTCTCGAAACCTTTTGGATTGATCTGTATGCTGTATGGCGGTACATATTTCACGGCCAACACACTCGACACCATTACCTCCACGGTTCAAAACAAACCCTCTTCACTCGTCACAAGCGGTACCACGAAATTTGCAGCCTCCTCGACAGCCAACATTGGTCTATGCCTGTTCAAGGACCAAGCTTTTGCTCGACTCTTCGGTCCTGGCGGGCCGCCCCGTCCGGTGCCCCTACCCTCCTACGTCCTATTCGCATTCCGTGACTGCCTCACGATCTTTGCCTCGTTCAACGTACCTCCAATCCTTGGCCCCGTCATCAGTCGCAACATGAGCACTGAGATCCAGAAGAGTCTCAGTGGGCAAACCATTGCTCAATTTCTGGCTCCTGCTTCGGTGCAGATCATCTCAACACCAATGCATTTGCTGGGCTTGGATTTGTATAACCGGGGTGGAAAGGAAATCACTTGGGGAGATAGGTGGGCAATTATCAAAAAGAATTGGTCCGTTAGCGCAGTGGCTAGGATATGTAGGATTGTGCCTGCGTTTGGCTGTGGAGGAGTGGTGAATGCGAAGGTTAGAAAAGGTTTGATGGGGAGACTGGAATGAGTCTTCAGTGAGACTTGTCTGTTATTTCCACTAAGTGGTTATAAGATAGCTATCTCTCCTGGCGGCTATATCTCTACATTTTCACTTTTGATAGACGACATTTGGATGGCGTTATGCGCGTAACGATATCATGGGCGAGGGAGTCCGGAGACAATTGTACAAGTACTAATGTATTATGACTGTACCATTTAACTTGTTGCAAAGCTTAGGCTTCGAGATTTGTTTCCATCCCGAATCATATCCTGCATTCATCAGGGGTCAAACTTGGAAGGCTAGATTTTTGCTTCTTAGTTTATGTTGTCTTAATCTCTATGCTCGTCGTGTGTCACCTTGTGGTCATCATACTTCCATCTTTCGTAAGTCAAGTGAATAAGAAGTGGTCGGATATTGTGGATGGATGTTTATGATATTTCAATGTCGTTCATATCCCAAATGTACTCGCGCCTCCATTCTAGAGCATGAATTAGAACCTCACCGTGAGATTGTGCGGACGCCAAAACTGACCGTATAGATCGGGATCATTGAGAGGGTTCTGGAGATGTTCTGGGTATTTCACGTTCCCAGTACCTTCAAGTAAGCCGGTAATAGAAGAAAAATTACTGTTCATAGGTAGACAAAACTTTGCAGTCTCATCTGACTCCAAAAAGCGCATCGTGTGAATCTCTTTCGTTATGTGCGCTATGCTAGCCCAGCGCAATGATCCATATATCTCATTGATTCATATGACATTATATGGTTGATCTGAGGAGGGGGACTGATCCGGGTCGATCCAGTTCTCCCAAAATTTGAGACCCTCATCACTTTCTTCTCTGCAAAGAGCCCCTCTATCCTCGGCCATCTCCAGTTCTTCCTCCGCAACACCAATACTCCAGCCAAAGTGTTCCGCAGTGTCATGAGCAGTTACGCCTCTACCAAATGTTTGCCAGTCCCACGCAAGCTCTTTATCAGGCGGGACCGAATGAAGGCTACTAAGCCAAGCCAACAACGCCTTGATAGTCTTCTCATCCGTCCGATCGCTACCCTGGACCACTAGCACACCACTTTTGAACTGCCTCAACCTTACTGGAAGCTTTAGCTTCTCCCATAACCTCGCCGCCTTCTCAAAATCCGAGGGACTGACGAGTTCAACTCCTCCGCGCGCACGGTTGAACATGGCCCAAAGATCGACAAGGCTAATGATTCCTCCCGCCTTTCGCAAGACCCCTCTGGCATCGTCCGTCAAAAATTCAGCCAGGTTCCTTGACAGTTCGGTAATATACAAGGATTCAGAGTTGCTTCCTCCGCCTAACATATCTTTTGTAGTAACGAGGCCCAGGGCGTTCGCGACTGCGCTAGATTCAGAACTTGTATTGCCGTTACTACTAGCGAATGATTCTGCAAGGGCAACAATCTCTTTGGCCGAAGCCATCAAAGCCTCAAGGTCTTCAAAGGCGTTCCCTATGATGATTTCATTGTTCTTCTGCACTTCAAGACGCCTTTGCTCAAGACCTGCGATCCCGACTGTCTTCATCCGTTCACCCGTGGGAGTTGAGGTACCCGACCAAGATATCCCGCTTTCTGTTCCGCTTGCTCGATTTGGTCTTGGAACTGGTGGTGCTCCCTGCAAGAGCCATTTCCGCTGTGTCATGCATCCCTTTAACCGTTCATAGAAAATCTTTTCACCTCCAGCTCGAAAAGATAACTTGATACTCTCGTTCTCAATGCCAGGGAGTTGTAGATGGCTCAGGGTTGGACCAGGGGATTCTGCCCGTAGAGTAGAGTTATCTAACCCGCTAGAGGGGTCTTGCGAAATCAAAGGAGCACCGCAAAGCTCACACGAGAGCAGAGAAGGATGATTTTCAAAAGTGCATCGAGGACACTGAAAGGAGGCTCTGGTATTGCTCTGCAATGCCCCATTTGAATTAGATATTGGGCTCTGCGAATGGGGACGAGTAGATGTATCTGACGGCGACAAAGGAAGATCAGTGCGACCTCGTATGGGTAAAGGGGCTCCCGAGAACTGCGAGGAAGAAGGCGGCGGTCTATTCGTAACACTTGAGATTGCCGCTTTAAGAACGAGGGCCAGCGGTGGCTTTATACCACAGGCTAAACATGGTGCCAACGGGGTGTGTGCGCTCGCAGTCGCCGGGTCAAAGTTAGAAGGTACAGGATTTGAGAAAGAACATATAGGACATATCCAGGTCGCAGTACTCGCAGGGGGAGGCTCAGTTGTAGGTACACGAAACGGACTGTCTGTACGGGACAACGGAGAAGAAGTGGCGCTTCTAGATGGGCTGCCGAGACTGGATACGGCGCGGCTTTGTACTGATGATCGTTTGGACGGCTTTGGGATGAGGGTTATTTTTGGAGAAGACTTTAGAAAGCCTGCCTGCCATAAAGTTAGGATGCATGATAAGATAAGAAGATGGAACAGACATACATAGAACTCAAAACGATCAATGTCCTTCAGATCAATTGCAGCAGAGTTCTTTCGTGGATCGGCATTGTCGACATAACAAATTCGGTGTGATGTCAAGTAGACTGAACCATTCTGGTGATCTGGGATTTTGGATTTCCTGGCACCTCTTTATGAGCTTCTCCTCTCTGAGTATGGTACCACCACCGCCTATAGGACACCAAAGCAACGTACCCCTCGTAGAGACCGACATTGTCCTGGACAAACAAGAGGACCTCATCTGGTAAATAGGACGGCCTCAACGCAGTAGTGAGGTCTATGCTTTTTAGAAACATCCGGCCGGGCCATGTACCGAGATGTTCCTCACAGTCGGTCTTAAAGACAATATGTTGATATGTTGATATCCATTTGCATCAGAGGATGGATCAAAAGACGAAGAGGACTGCAGTTTGCTGTGTCGTGCCGTATCTTGCCTTGATGCTCCGGCTCCCTGCAATCGTGCTTATCGCAGTTTCACCTAATGATCAGAAGTACGCTAGGCCGTGTTTATCTAAGAACGCTAAAACGCTAGAACTCTATCCACCCGAGTAATTACCTAAGCGAGCTTTTTTGTCTGTCTCGATTCACCGACTCAGCTTCGTCTGTCTTTGAACCACTTCATACTCCGTTCATAATATCTATTCCCGGCGAACATTCCGGTGATCATACTCTCGCGTCACTAACACTTCTCGACTCCGAAAGGGAGAAGCTCTGGATGTTCAACGCGATGGCTTCACCATGGGCGATCCCCCCTCCCCCGGGAACCCAGGGGCAATATGGCTACCAGCAAAGTGAGTTGGTCCGATCTATCGCGACATTCCCTCGAGCCGTTCCTTTTAACGCGACCCCAGGTGTCCCGGCCTACCACCCAGTTCAAGTACGCCAAACCTTTAATCAACAACCGCTTTCATATGCCCCGATGACTACACAGCAAGCACCGCAAGCACCGCAACCAGCCGCAGAAGCCCCTTCACAAAGGAAGAAAATAGAGTGGCCACAGCCTGTGCGGAATTATGTGCAACGATCATTTGACCCTAGCAACCTTATTGCTGATATTCCAAGACCCGAAATGGAGGCCAGGCTCAAGCAGACCATTTCTGCTGCCACTGATAGCAATTCACTTCACACTATCGACTGGGATAACCTACCACTTCCCCAAGTAATGATCCAACAAGAGAGGGCTCAAAACGCGCTGTTATGGCGACAGGAGTCAGTGGATCTACACTTAGCTGGAAGTGGCTCTGTCAACTCCGCTAGGGATATGACGTCGAGGAAGAGGAAATCCCAGGATGTGGGCCGTGATGAGGATTCCAGTTCAACCCCACCTTGGCGTACCACTAACAACCGCAACGGATTCGAAGATCGTGTTACCTTTCAGGCTACCAACGAACGTCTCGACAGGCGACAGCAACCATCATCCCCAGACGATAGTCCCCAAAGAAATATAAGTAAGTTCCAGAAGAACCTGGAGAAGCGACAGCGCCGATTTGATGGTGGCTATAAATCCTCATATCAAGCATCTGCATCACCAGAGCCTACGTCAGGCCCGGTTGTGGGGACGTGTCAAAATCTCGAAAAGAAGTATTTCCGCCTTACTTCAGCCCCTATTCCGTCACAAGTTCGTCCGGAGCCCATCTTGAGGCAGACCTTGGAGTTATTGAAGAAGAAGTGGAAGAAGGAAGGGAACTACTCTTACATATGCGATCAGTTCAAATCCATGCGACAGGATCTCACAGTGCAACGAATCAAGAACGAATTCACTGTTACTGTTTATGAAATCCATGCCCGGATCGCCCTCGAGAAGGGAGATCTTGGTGAGTATAACCAATGCCAAACCCAGCTTCGAGCTCTTTATGCTCAGAATCTTGGGGGAAACCCAGTGGAATTCAAGGCGTATCGTATCCTGTATTTCATTCACACTTGTAACCGCACAGCGTTGAACGACGTTATGGCGGATCTAACCCCAGCAGAAAAGGAAGAGAAAGCCATCAAGCATGCTCTTGATGTTCGTTCGTCTTTGGCTTTGGGCAACTACCACAGATTTTTCAGACTTTACCTCGACACACCTAACATGGGCGCCTATCTTATGGATATGTTCATCGTTCGAGAACGTTTGGCTGCTCTATCAAATATATGCAAAGCGTATGTCGTACCCTTGAATATATTAGAAAACTTTGCTAACCTTTTGTAGATATAAGCCCGATGTCAAATTAAGGTTTATCACCGAGGAACTAGGGTTCGAATCAGATGGCGATGCAGCACAGTTTATTTTTGATCACAACGGTCAGGATCTTCTCGTGGAGCAGAGCGACGAGCTTCGTCTTCTTACCGGCAAGGCGGGCTCAATCTTCGATTCCGCAAAGAAAGATGCCTTCAGCACGGTCGATATCAAAGGACAAATCTAACCAATTTCGTTGCAAGTCGCATTAGCCGTAGCTTGCGATTTTTGTGTAGCTTCGTTTTCGGATCTCCTTCCTCTAATTTTCTTACCTTCCAGTGGTCACTGTGCGCTTCACCTCTGCCTGGTCACTTCTGGTATCGCGGTTGCCTTCGAATCAATGATTGTTCCACTGGTCGTTGGTGACGAAGTTGGCGGAACTGACTGCGGTTCATCCATCATCTATCAACTCGCGCTATTGCTTGTTCCAGACCTTGGACGCAACTTGCGTGGAGCGACTGCTTTCCCCCTCTTTCCCCCCTTTCTCGATCTCGATACGACCCTGAGCTCTTAATTATGTCTTTTCTTTTTCGGCAGAACATTCAGCGAGATTTGTCATTGCGGGCGTTGGTGGTAGGCTGCATGCATGAGCGAGGGGTTCTTGTTTCGGACATGGCGGACATGGCGTGGGCGGTTGATTGCGTTGCATTGCACACATGTTTTCGTGATACATACCTCGCCGCTGAATCCTCAGCGGAAAGTGGTTTTAACGGCGAAGAATTTATCACAAATTCAAGATACTTGATATCTCTGATGCAACTGACGATGTGACATCGAACTAGCTGATCTGCTATTCGAGTAGTTACTTGAACAACCTCAACCCTTCCCAGAACTTCCCACCTTCCATGGGGCTCACGGGCGCCGTTCCCGTTTCACCCTCCCACAACCCCGCCCTATACATACCTAGGTATAGTTGCGCCCAATTTTAAGCAAAGGCCTATTTTGTGAGGCAACCCATGAGCAATGACGCGCTCGCATTAGATTGCACACTGCACGATCTTGCAGGCGCTCTGGCTGTAACGATCATGCGCATCATAGGACGGTCGATTTGACAGGACTTCCCAGTTACGCGATAGCTGTTCTACGTGGCCTTTGATCTAAGTGGTGATCACTGAATGCATTTTTGTGTGGTCGCTACTGGTATGCAGGGCATTTATGCTGGGTTTTGGAGTGATCTATTATTCCCTCCTTGTGCACCCAAGGATCAGTGAACTTTGCATTTCAGCCACGCATAATGGCTGCTGATGCCGGCTTGAACGATGGGATTAATTAAGCTTTTCGCGATCCTTGAGAGAGGGGTACAAAATGCAATACCGCGTTTTTCCGCCTTACATACTTACTGTACAGGTGGCTCTCACCGAGAGAGGGGGCCGTCGATAGACTCGATAACGGGCATCTTGGCACGAGCGCTGTAGGGTAGGGGCACTGCGCGTCTCAGCAGCACGTGAAGAACCCTGAGACTCGCGTTGCGGCGCAGTGGGATAGAGACGATCTGCTGGATTTGGTTGTCTTCGTTGCATTTCCAGCGCCCCGCTGCCGCCTTCGTAGGATCAGCTGCCTTCGTTGGGTCGAGGGGCATTGGGCATACGAAGTGTCCGAGAGGCGCTCTTGGGAGGGGAGGTCACCCACATGATGGGATTTGCCGCTGAGACCGCTCTTGGATGGGCCCACGAATCGTACTCCGGAAGCTGGATCGTGGTGCCATGGCCCATAAGGTAGCCTTCGTAGACGCGCCCCTCTTAGAGCAGAACCGTGCCGCTGGGAAGGATGCGCGGTTGATAGGGCACACCAGGGAGACTCGGGACCAGAGGCCACTGAGAAGTCTTCAGGACCTGCAGTCTGCGCGCTGCAAAGGTGCGCAGCAGTTAAACATCCATCCATCATAGAGCAGCTGATATGAATCAACAACTAATGTGCCAGGAGGGGCTAAAATACACTGTACTTACTCGCGGACATGACAGAGTTGGATAACACAACGGAACTGTCTGTTTGACCTGTTATATTCCGTACGGAGTCAGGCTCCACCACGTGTGGCAGTACGGAGTGACTGCAAGGCGAGCTTTGATGTTAGTTTGCTTGTGAGGCTGGGCAACGATGATTATCCCAGCTGTTTTCTTTTTTCCTTACTTTTTTTTTTCTTTTTGTCTGCTCGTAAAGCGTCATGAAGCGTCAAGAATTGAGGTGGGCTGCAGTTGAGTCGTGTATCTCGTTAGGCACCTTATATATACCTACCTTACCAATTACCTGAAGTGGTATATTCCATCATGTTTTATTGGAAGTACGGTAATAAGTCACGATTTACCAGAAACAATAAATATTACCTTAGGCATTATCCATCTCTACACACAACATTCCAGTTGCTTATCCCTTTCACGCGTTCCCCCACCATCCGGTGCATCCTGTCAGGACATCCTATCCGCAGTCTGTCCTGTTCGTGCTTCTCGTTCTCTCGTTCTTTCATTCGATCGATATTGAAACCTCCCGCTGTCCGGCTGCCATTTAATTTGTACCTCCCAGGTATCCGGAGTCTCACAGAGCCAGGGGTCGAGACCAGCGTTCATTGTCGCTCGGCGTTTGTTTCGAATGAACGGGGCGCTACTCTGTAGTGAGCCCTCCAATCCTTGCTGCGTCCCCCCTCCTCCTCAATAATCTCTCGTCCCAAGGAGGGATCCCTCGACCCCCATCGCATTTTATTCTGTTCTCCCGCAACCACCGCGCCCGCTACTCTTCGTGCACTTTGTCCAGGGAACCCCTTCCCCCTCAGTCTGAATCCTGCTGGATCATCGGCGCCGCTTCATCTCATCATCGTACTTGTCCCGCCGACGGCATCTTATCTATCGAGCGATCCAGCCATCTATCCATTGTTGCCGCCGCCCGATCTCCTTGCGAACAAACCATCCCACACCCGACCCAAACCCCCCCCTTTCTCCCGCCACTGCGACTTCCATCCGCGCGAACGTCAAAGGGCGGAGAGCTCAATCATTTTCGCATCTGCCCTTCTCTAGAGTTAATTGCGTGAGGCACGTATACATTATGAAGGTCAGTGCTTTCCCCTCCTCGAGCCTCGAGGCCCGCCAAGGAAGGCTTGTTGCTCACAAAGATATCCCCGCAGGCCCTTCGCAGGTCGATCAAGGGCGAAAAGGAATCCAAAGTCCAACACATCTCGATAACGCCGAAGTCAGCCGTCGCGATAATCCCGCCCAAAAAGGTGCGTACCCATTGTTTTGGCTCGTGCGGCAGTTGAATGGTTGCTGATGGCACCGTCGTCGGTCTAGGTTATTCGCGCACTGTACGATTATGAGGCTCAATCAAACCAAGAGCTGGGTTTTCAAAAGGGCGACTTCTTCCATGTGATCGGCCGGGAGAACGATACGGATTGGTACGAAGCATGTAACCCCGCGTTGGAGAATGTTCGGGGCTTGGTACCGGTTGCGTATTTCCAGATTCTGGGTAAGACTGAAAGAGACAGTGGGCAATCGGACAAGTCTCCCCAGCCGATCAGACAACCGGATCACGACTCAGGATATTCCGATACATCAGGATCAGGGACTCTGGTAGGAACAGACAATGGCCCGCGGACGTCGAAGTCAAGCAAGGGTACTGGCGCGATGGTTTACGGTGTTGTGATGTATGATTTCGCTGCGGAGCGGCCTGACGAACTCGAGGCAAGGGCTGGAGAGGCAATCATAGTCATTGCGCAATCGAACCCGGAATGGTTTGTGGCCAAGCCAATTGGAAGGTTGGGAGGACCAGGATTGATTCCAGTGTCCTTTATTGAGATTAGGGATATGACAACTGGCCAGGCCGTGCCAGATCCGCATGAGGCTGTCCAGAAAGCGGGTGTGCCAAAGGTAGAGGAGTGGAAGAAGATGGCAGCGGATTATAAGAATAGCAGTATTACGCTAGGGAAGTTCGAAGCGCCAACTTCTCAGCAGCAACAGCAGCTGGAGCAGGGCATGGATCGACTGAGTTTGCAGCAGGGTGGCCGCCAAAATCAGGCCAATGGTCAAGGCTATGTGAGTTCGGTGCTCCTGATTTAGGGGGATGTTGACTAATTGTTCAGCAGCAGCAAGGCAGACAATCTCAACAAGCCAGGTCTGTCCAGCAAATGCCGCAAAACCCGTATTTCCAGAAATCAGCATCACAACTCTATGCTCCTATCTCTGCTCGAATACCTCGATACTGTTTTGCAGAAGACAAATATTGGTTTGTCATTGAAGCAGTACTGGAAGATGGACGACATTGGGAGCTGTCTCGTTACTATGAGGACTTTTATGACTTCCAAATTGCGCTTCTAACAGAGTTTCCAGCAGAGGCCGGCAACACTGGCACTCAGAAGAGGACGCTGCCCTATATGCCAGGGCCTGTCAACTATGTCACAGATGCGATTACTGAAGGCAGACAACATAATCTCGACGCTTACGTTAAGAATCTCCTCACCCAGCCGCCTTACATATCCAGATGTACCCTGGTAAAGCAATTCTTCGCACCTCGGGAAGGAGACTACGAAATAGACCCAAATGCTGTTAACGAGGAGTATCGATTGTCAGGAGGGTCCCAGCAATCTTCAAATGGGTCTCCAACACACGCTGCATCGCGGCAATCATCACGTGGCAATCTGAATGGTGCTGCTAATTCTGGTCTCTCAGCTGCCCCTGCGCGTAATCCTGCCCATCAAAAGGGCCAACCTTCACTCTCCGCAAATGGAAATGGCGGAAGCAATGCCCCGTCGCGCCAGAACTCATCTCTTTCTCAACCATCGAGTAACTCTCTCTCCCTTGCCGGTCAGAACGGCCAACAACAACCCTCAGCCATGAAAGTCAAGATCTATTACGGTGATGATCTCATTGCTATCCGGGTGCCAACAGACATCAGATACCCACAACTTTATGAGAAGATCCGGGAGCGTCTGAAGATCCCTCAAGGGGAAGAGATGGCTTTATACTATAAGGATGAACCCAGTGGAGAACGGCCAAGCCTGATGAGCAACAATGATCTGGACTTCGCCCTCAGGAGGAACGAAAAACTCATCGTTTACGTCGAGTATAACTGAGTTCCAAGTCGGCTTTTTTGAAATGGCCCAGAGCTCATGGACTGCAGGCAGTAGATTCCGCCGGACGATGTCCATCTAAGATGAGCTGAACTGGGCGGGATACCCTACTCGCTCCTTTTATCTATTTTCTTTTTATCGTTACCTACACTTCTTAATCTGCTTTAACGTACATACCTTTTGGTGTGGAGTGGTTATGGCTGTTCCAATGAAGGTCAGGCTGGCCACACTCATTTGAGGCGGATTCCTTCCTATGCAACCGATATTGGAGCGACGAAGAAGAGGATATAGCAGAATATCGGCGTTTCAAGGAGTCATACTTCGGTCATACGACATGCGTTTTCTTTAGCTCTGATGGATTGCATATTAACTGGACGACTGGACATACCTGGTTTCTTTTGTGGGATGAATTAGCAATCATTGTTTGCAGATGACGGGAAGCTGGGCGATGCGCGAACCGAGCAATGATGGGAGGATAACTCAAAAGCAATATTTATATATACATATAAATGAAATGCGCAATTTAGAGTGATTGTAAGGTTCTTCAAGGAGTGTCGCAAACATGCCCCACGAACCAGCCGCCCCCGCATGACATGACTCCCGTGACCCCGGTCAACCCCAGCTGCTTATCTAACCTGCCCCAACTTCCTAACGACGACGTCCAGACGCCAAGTTCAACTGCCCCTTCTCCCCCATGCCCCTCCGTCTCCACCAAGCACTTAACGCTCTACACCCCGCGCACTAACGCGAACCTCGTCCGTATCCCATCCTCCGCGAAAGCGACATCATGCCACCGCTGTACCTGCGGCAAGAGTTTCCAACTCTTAAAGCATTCAAGGAAGCGCTGCACGCTTGGGCCATCGAGGCGCACTTCGAGCCACGCATTCTCAAGTCGGACACGGGCCGGGTCCGCGTGGGCTGCAAGAGGGATCCCAACTGCCCATTCGTCATCCGATGCAATTGGGAACGGCGAGGGGGCCGAGAGCCGCTGGCGCGAGTCACCGTCATGAGGGAGAAGCATACGTGCCTGAATGGTGTGGAGTGGTTAGCTGCAGCTCAGGGCGGCGGCAGCGCTGCCGGGGCTGTTCATAATGGTATGGGAGGGCAGAATCCGGGGAGTGGGCCGGCGCAGATGAGCAACGACATGAATGCGATCAACAGAATGGGGACGGTGGAGATCCGCCAGGACGAGGCTGGGAACATTGTTGGTGGAGCGAGGGTGTTGGGGCCTGTGGATCCCAGGCCCAGGGAAAGCGTTGGTGGCCAGCAACAGATTGCGCCAGTCTTGCCAAAGGTGCAGAGGAACAGTGCTTCACGGCTGCCATTCTTGATGGATATCCTACCACGGCTTATGAATATCACCAGAGCGACGACACCGGCCGAAATTAGGGACTGTCTGTTGAGGGAGTATGGCGCCGAGGTACACTTGCAGCAATGTCGAAGGGCCAAGACGGAAATTCTGAAGAAACGGGCTGCGGAGGCGGAGACAGAAAGAGGACCGGATGTGGGTCAACCACAAGGACAAAATGGAGGCCAACAAAGCCTGGATCGTATGAGCAGTGAGGGTGCGAATAGTTCCAACCAACAGCTTTTTGGGGACATGAATGGTTCGCCAAGCCAGAGCCCGCACACGTTTACATTACACACGGCACAAGGTGTGGTCACTCCAGTAATGGCCGATCGGTCAACATCTGCCCTAAGGGCAGTGGGCGAGGCACCAGTTCGATGTCCATACTGCATCAATCATCGATGGATGCGGAGCATCAAGGATGCTGTAGAGCACATGTCGATGCATGTTGTTGTGTAGGGTTGATGTGAAGTGATGCCTGGATTAAGGGACCACGACGATAGGGTCAACAACTAATACTGGTTGGTCGTTACCTCCAAAACGATATCCGCGACAGACCCCGCTCAAGACGAGGTTACAGCTTCGCTCGAGGGTCGGCCTAGGAGGTGAAGAGAAGGATCAATGAATTGATTCTTCTTGGCTACAAGGTATGTTGGGGGCACTATCTTCTGAGTACGTCCTATTGACCCGTTTTCTAGATTCAGCATACAGAAATGCTGGGAAGACCTGCAAAGGAGGTATGGTGAGAGGCCATTAAACTGATTGCAATATGTCCCAGCCACGAAACAACAATCGTGCATCCAAGTAAAGGTTGGTATGAGAACTTATATTCTCAAGCAGCATTTGCTATACCAGTGGGTCAATACGTGTCGCAGTAGTCGCTACTTCTTGGGCTTGATGAGAGGTGATTTGATTCAGGCCTGGTAAGACAGCCTCTGCATTCTCAAAGTGTTCACAGGCCCAGGAATGGTAGACGAAGTAAATCCAAATCCTGAATCCTGAATTCTGAATCTAATAATAATATCGTTCTAATCCTGAGCGCACCGCTGAGCAAAACATCTTCAATCCTAAGTCATTAGACCGACATCTTCATAGCAATTCCCTTGTGGGGATCGTAGCCTTTTTACAAGGAAATCTTCCACCTTCCACCCGTCAATACTGCCCCCCACCTCCCTCGTGATTAGATGATAGCCTTGCGGACCCCTCGACCGCGTTATGCATAGCGCGAACCCATTCCGCAGAGGCTCTAGTAGAGCCTTGTCACATGATATCTTCATGAGGCTCTGAGGCCCCTGGTTGCAACGAACCGGGCCGTCGGGGCGAGCATAAACTGCCGATATGTAGCCATGCGCAACGCCGTCCAAAAAGTCTACGAGCACGTATCTTTTCTCTGGGGCTGCAACACACCTTCGCTCCTTGTAATAATGTCACTAATTATTGTACTTGGATTTCAATAGCACTAGGTTGTCGTATTGTCTTTGGATCACTTTTCAGTATCGCCGTGGCAAACGCTATGATAAGATGTTCTTCGTCCGGACGGCCACAAGTCCTGTCGAGTGTGTATCTCTCAAGAGCGGCTTTCAAGGACTCTAGAATTTTAGATAAATACTGTTTCGATTCGATCAGAAGTGCATATGCTCGGAATTTTCAGATGGGTCGCCACAGGTCTTCTCATATTCTCACCTCTTTTTCTCATTTCAGAATGCTCATTTCAAAAGAGTCTTAAACTCCCATCTCAAAAATGCATTCCTCCTGTCCTTGAGATGGCTCAGAAGACTGTTTTAACCATGGGCTGCGATGAGGATGGAAATAGGAATGCATGCGTCAAAGGATTCCACCGAAAAGGCCTTGGGATCTTTGCCACAGCAAGAAATCTTGCCAAAGTCGAGCACCTCAAGTCTCTTGGCATAGAAATCCTACTCTACCTCTAGGTTTCATAGATGAGACTTCAGTCAAGAGGAAAATAGGGGCGCCTCAAAAATCCAAACGAGAGGGTTTCTATTTCGATGTTTTTGCTAAATCTGGTTAACTGGAACGCATCTTTTTATATTCCTGCTTTCAGTGCTTGGAATTAGTAGAGTAAGTTTTCTATAGTCTTGTTGTGCGTTTCTCCCCAATCAATCCTAGTAGCGAGGAGTATTTCTCGCCATCTCCTCATAGCCCACTATTAAGATCAAGCCTAGCTTTTGCAAGAGTGCTAGATTGCGTGATTGAGAACTCTATGCGGCGGTTAGTTCCCGTGACTACAATGACAAGAGTCGCGGATATATTGGTTGGTAATGTTTAGATTCAAGGAGACAGAGTGAGATAATTGCAATAAAATATTTTCCCAAAACTTATTCCAGAATCTAGGTTTGAAGTTGGGTGTGCGATTCAAGTGAGGGCAGAACCTGCTCTGCTGATCTCGAGCAATGAAAGCAGTGGATATCTTCCAAGAATGAGAGGGGTCATCGAGCTTTTTGCATCTGGAATCAAGTGTTTCGTTATTCGTATGCAGCCTTATTTCAAATACCAAGTAATGCACCTTTGGTTGACTGAGCCAGTTGCAACCTCCAGAGACTCTGCTCAGCGCAGAGAAACATCTCTCCATCTCTTCCAAAGCAGAAGTTGGCAACCCCGCCAGGGACCAGAATCCTGCCAATGAGAGTCCCAGAGGGATTCCAAACCTCGACTCCGTCGCCACACCCGGAATAGACGTTGCCGAAGATATCACATTTTATTCCATCGGGAAAGCCAACTGCTGCATATGCGAAGACTCTTCGGTTGGCAAGGAAGGGAGCACTTCCTCTTGTTATAACATCGTACGCGTAAATAGTTGCAGATCTTGAGAGGGTTCAGTGAAATTGTCAAAGATGTCATCGGCAAGAGAGACCTACCTTGTTGAATCTTTATTCCCGTCACCATGAAATGCATCTGTATCCGTGATATACACAACATCTTCGTCCGGACTAAAGCAAATACCATTTGGTCTCCCAAAGCCATCAGCTACAACTCTGAGGTCCCCATTCTCCGGGTTAAACCTATAAACTAGGTTCGGGAGCTTTGGTTTCTGTCTGAAGTCTTGCTCGTTGCCATAGCACGGATCCGTAAACCAGATACTGCCGTCCTTGGCCACAACCACATCGTTCACAGAGTTGAAGTCTCGCCCGTGGAAATTGGTTACCATAGGTACGGGCGGCGTCCTTCGAGGCATGTAGTATATACCGCCTGTGCCTGATCTTGGTGAGCCTTGCGCACAGAATAAGATCCCATCTTTGTAGTTGACCCCTCCATTCGGCATATCAATACCTGGCGGGGGCCGCAGCTTTGCCCATTGGACAGTGTGGACACTGTTGTCCCCGCTCAAGCGATCCGTGCGGAGAAGCTTCACTCTAGATATGAGAATGGTGGGGAAATTGGCGGTGCTGACGGCCTGCAGGAGGTTTGAGGTTATGTACAGCTCGTCGTGCTCCGGAATGAACACGCATGCTTCGTGAAAGAATGGATTGTTAGAGTTCCCAGCTGTGGAGAGGAGAAGAGAATGTGTTGGCGAGGCACCGACGATATCCCTAAATGAGGCGTCATACTGGACAAGGCTCACTTGGTCTGCTGGTGCGGCGGGTTGGATCCTGGGGACCGTATCAGACCTGGTGTTGGTATCCTGATAAGATTGATGGCAATGACTAACTTGATTGTGCCATTACTTTCAGACAAACGGTTGATGACCTTTTGAAAATCAGTATCTGAATGATAAAGTCTAGAAGAGAGCCTACCCGCACTTCAGTCGGAGACACGGGAATGTCTGCATTTGTTACAGCGGCCATTATTGCGCGTAGATGTTGCTGACCAGCAGCTGTGTTGCCTCTATCGAGGATTTATACAACGTTCAAGGAGGAGGGCTTGGCAAATCGACGATTCACAGTAAAAGAATGAACCAACAAGATTACGGGCGAGCGCCGAAATTTTGGGACGCTATCTACTGGAGTCGTTGGAATTTTTCTGTGGACAAGCTTTTATCATTATATCTGTGCTTTGAAAGACTTCAAATGGCCCCTGCTATTAGGTGATATTCACCCAAGAATCACGTGCGTTGTATCTCAGGGACTTGTATACGGAGCTGATGGCTAACTGGTCTGCTACTAGGTACTATCTCTCAAAGACTGCTATGTCGAGCTACGAGATTGAATCCAACTACGAGATGTTCTCTCGTGGTCATTGGAACGAACTATAGGCGAAGTAGGCCACAAATTAAAATATTGTACAAATAACTATCAATTCCTAGATGGCCTTGTGTGAATTTGTAATTGAAGAAATTTGTCTCTATGAGAGACTCGGCCGAGGTTTCTTCTGTTGTTCGTTAAAATACTGAATTGGATTTGATGCTTGCATTTCGACCTTTATCATATTAAGTCCTGTACATCGGTGTTCCAATTCCTGCAAGGAAACTAGAGCTCATCTTGATGTAAGCTCTGTACGCCAGTGAAAATCCCTTATTTTCTGCTGCCAGAAAAACTTCAATCTTACCATGAGTAGGTATGCCATTCCTTGCGTAGAATTGGGAAATATTGCGAGAGATTCATAACATAATCGACTGCTCGGAGGCCGGAAATTATCATATGCACCGGCACGGAGTACGGAGTAGATGAAAAGAAGAGGGGAGGTTACAGAAACTCCCCCAAGCCTCGTGTTGAGGATCCAGTCATTCACATGGTGCTTGTCAAGGAAATCGAACCCCATCAACTCGTCCATTGTGTAGCGTCTTCATATATTTACATATCGGGGGATGGTCTGCTGCATAGCTGACCTCCCTATTCCAAGCTTTACCACATCACTGCTTTATGGTCCGGCACCTTATTTGGATGCATGCGCTTCCGTCTTTTCGTCGCCTCCATCAGCGTTCTTCAGGAAATCCCTTTGTATCATGTCAGCAAGGCTCCTAGGCAACAAGGGCTTAACTGCTCCTCTCATAACGAGCATCCATCAGCCAACGTACTTGATGAACTTCTCCTCATCGGGACTTGAAGCGTTGATGGGTGGTGTTTGAGTCTTCTTGACGGCTGATGACCCTCCTGAAGAGACGAAAGTGAGCGCGGTAATCGTTCCGAGAGTCGCCATCGCAAGCTATGCATAAAACAAATCGTTAGCTATGGGCTCCAAGGCGTATATAGATCCAGAATTGGTCAACTAAAGTTGCCAGGATTTGAACAGCTTTCTCAGGCACACAGGGGATTATTCATACCCAGTGGGAGGCAATCTGGCGACCAGCAATGTTGTATAATTGAACCATCTTGACGGATTGGTGCTTCGAAGCGGTATGGAGGCTAGGGTTGCGGGTCAATTGAGCTTTGAAGAGGTGTTGAAGTCTTGTTCGGGTCAATCTTGAACTGGAGCTTCCGGCTCAGGCGAAGGTCTTGGCGAAAGTCCGGACTCAGGAGTCAGGCCAAAAACAACAAGCGCAGCCGCGCGTGAATGGAAAGCTGTAAGCGTCATTGTTTTCCCGGTCGCAACCGAATCGTACCGGGCAGATGGCGAGACTGGGAGTGAGCTATGAATACAGCACTCCTTGACAGTTCTCACCATTCCCTCGTCTTTTGCTATCTTCCGCTCTAATAACATTCCCAGGTATCCCCAGATCTTGAGATGTCGGACAAGGACTCGGCCTCGGCCAACTTACCAGGTCCCCCTCCAGCATGGCAGAAGACTGTGGGCAAAGCTGACAAGGAAAGCTTATATGATGAGCTCTACGATGGAAAGTAAGTCCTTTTTACAGCAATCCAGACTCGATTGAAGACTTCTCTCTTCGCAACACTCGAGTCTCAAGATCAATGCGCGTGCTCATATCTTCACAGAGCTCCACAATCTACTGAGAGCAATATACGATATGCAGCTTATGCTTCTCGTATACGGACGGCCTTGCTATCTGCACATCGATATGTAGCTTACACGTCAGACATCGGCGAATCCTTTCGGCCAGTTGCACATCCAACTCTTGTCCGAACAGCATACGGAATCTCGTGGGCATACTTAGTTGGAGATGTGGCATATGAAGGATACAAGGCATATTGCAGCAATCAGCGAATACTGCATCCAGAACTCCCTCGCGAAGCCGCTCACCAGCGATATAACGATGCAAAGGCGGATATTCCCACCATACCTAGCGATGACGGGCTAGCGCCAGCATCGGGCAAGGTTTGCCCCCTCGAAGACTACCGCACAGTTATGGTACAACGAGCTCTATTTCAGGGAATTGCCTCAATGGGACTTCCTGCGCTCACAATCCACTCCATCGTCCGCTATTCTGGCCAAGCGTTGAAGGGTGTGAAGAATGTGAAGCTCCGAACGTATGGCCCCATAGGGCTGGGGTTGGCGGCTGTGCCGGCGTTGCCATATCTGTTTGATAAACCTGTTGAACAGGGTGTGGAGTGGATATTCCACGAAGGATTCAGGGCTTTCGGGGGACGGACCTATGTTGGGGACACTCCTTTAACCGGACGTGAGGCCGCCCTGGAGCGACAAGACCCGAAGATATCCAAGAAGGAGAAAGAGTTGTAAGATATTGAACATAAGGGAGAGATGGCGAACAATACGGAGGAGTATAACGTAAGCATGGCATTGCGGGTACTCGCGTTCCTCCTCGACTTGATGTGCATTCTTGACCGCAAGGAATAAACCAACACTGGAATGTGATATCAAAGGGGCCAATAATCAGCGAGTTTAAAAGCCAATTTCTTACATTCATGCCTAATTTGGCATTCCTCTCCACCTCGGTACCAAGACGCCTTGGTGACCAGGAAACTGCAAGGCCTCTTTGAGCTCGTTCTCTATTTTGCCCGGGAAGAGATGCATTCGGCTTCTAGGGTGATTTCAACTCTGACTTCCCAACTACTATTGGTTCCTATGAGGACTTTGCCTTTCAAGCCCCAAACCCATTCATCTTCGGGGTAACCTGGATATTTGCCGGCACTGGCATAGAATACCTTGTCTGTTATTCCCCGGAATCGAAGTGTTTGTTTGCATTTGTGGGTTTCCTTGAATCTGACTTGTTGGCCGAGGGCCTCTCCAATGCGTTCCAACGTGAAAGGGTTGTTTCGCGAATCTGATTTCGAGCAAGTCAGCTCCCTCCTAATAGTTCCTGCTTTCGGCGCCGCAACCTGCAAGGCTCTGGTCGAGGACACAAAGAGATAATTATTCAGATGTAACAGTGAATCGAATCTGTCGTTATTTAAACTCGCTACGATGTATGAGATAGATGTTCTTAAGGCCAGTCAGTTTCTTCGGGCTTCCTCTCCATCTCTGTCTGCTACTTGCTTTGCCTTCCTATCGCACTCACCGACATGGCAGCGACGTCAAAGAATGCCCGCATCATTGCGCAGGTCTGGCAAAGCGGCGTACCCGTGCCGTGGTGTGACGAGTTTGAGAAGATGATCTCCGGCATGAAGTATGACCATCGAGCTTCGATTGCACTTTCTAGGCCATGGCTGATATAGTTGTCAAGTTTCAAAGCCGCAAATTCCCAGCTCATGCTGGACCACAAATTGGTTACCCGCAGACGCCTGAAAGCGTTCAATGATGATTCCATCCCGGATGGCAGTACGCTCGATTCGCTGAAGAGCCACCGCATGTCATTTGCCAGGCAAATCTTTGGGCGGCTTGGAAGTGACACCAATATTGAGCCATTGCTCTTCTGTACCTGGGGCTGCAATACTTTCATCGGTGATGACTGTTATATCAATCGCAAGTCAGTTTCAGAACGGAGTCATCCGCGGTAGCCGACGCTGACCCTGTCCTAGCATATCAATCTTCGACAGTGCTCCAGTCACGATTGGCAATCGAGTTCTCATCGGGCCAGGTACATGCATCTGCACCGACACTCATGAGGTGGGTTCCAGCTCTCAACTACTTACAGTCGTCGAGCAGCGCATCTGAACACTCGCGTTAACCGCAACAGGTCGAGTATGCGTCAAGAATGGAAAGCAACAGCGGGTCATTTGCCAAGGCAATCAAAATTTGCGATGACTGCTGGATCGGAGCTCGTAAGTACAGCGAAGCGGAGTGAAATATTTTTCTTGACACCGATGGATTCATGAGTTGTGGATGCTTCTATTCCTCAGCTAAGTTCAGGAGTAGATGGCATGTCACCGCTCATGGATAAGTTGCTCTGTCCCTTTTTCTAGCTTGGTTTAGGGGCTAATAACTGTTTTGCCGTTCTTTTTAGGTGTGACTATCCTTCCAGGAGTAACCATTGGACGTGGATGTACTATCGCTTCTGGTGCCGTGATTACAAAGGATGTTGAAGAGAACTGTCTCGTCGGTGGTGTTCCCGCGAAGCTGATCAAGAAGCTGAATGGCCTTAATCCTGTTGTTAAGTCTGAGGAATGAAATAATGGTTGCGAAAACGGGTCGGGCAAATAATGTTTCGCGGTGTTATGGCATTTCATTTGGGGGGATATCATAGGTAGGTTCTGGATGCAAGTTACCAGGCATTGGCCTCGCACCCACTCAGAACGGAGGGTCCTCTCGAGAAGGTGACTTTGGTGCAAGGGCTTTGGCGTTTATGACTTCAGACTGGTTTCCTTAGATTGAAATCCACCTATTGCTTCCAAAACTCCTTTCAAGAATCTCTCGGGCCTAGACTCCTTTTCCGTGGAGTAAGATTCCTGCTCGTTCCTCGGGGTTTCATTTAAATTTCGTATATTACTCTGCTGCGGAATAATTTCAATTCAGACTGGTTTTGAATGCATCGGGAGATCTCAGAATACCACGTAGTAAATTGCCATGCAGGAGTCGAGATGTTTGCCCATGGTGGTGATACCTTATGGCGAAGGGAGTCGAGAGCCTGTCGGGAGCTCAGGGGTTGGCCGCTAACCCCTTAGCGGCAAGGCTGTGTGCCTTCTCGAATCCTCCAGAGGTCCCGAGGATCTCGGTCAGCAAAGCTCCAGCCTCGCCATCCACCTACCATCATCCGCCTCCAGACCACTGAGTAATAGGTCCATTCCTTAGCAATACGGCTTCTGTATATATAACTGCTCCGTGAAGTCAATCATGGCATCGTCATCCTCATCTGCTTCTCGCTCAGAGCCGCCCGAAGACTCGAGCTTCGTGAAAATGGACGAAAGAGACCCCACCCTAATCGGCGCCCATTGCCAATACACCTATTGCAACCAACTCGATTTCCTCCCGTTCCGCTGCGAATCGTGCGGCGGAACCTTCTGTCTCGAACATCGATCTGAAACTGCCCACCATTGTCCGAAGGCGGGGGAATGGGCAGCGCGGCGGCGGAAAGCGAATCTATCCACAACTTCAGTCGGCGCAGGCAAATCTGCGCCACGAGAAACGGAAAAGCCGTGTGCATCTCCAAAATGTAAGACGATCATTGGCACAAGTTTATCCACTGCGGTGCACTGCGCAACCTGCAATCGAGATTACTGCCTGAAACATCGTTTGAAAGAGGACCACGACTGCAAGAACCTCATACCCATCGGAGCAAGAGTCGGCATTATTGGCGGGGAAGCGGAAAAGGCAAAACACGCATTTGCGAGATTAAGAGCTTGGGGGACTGCTCAGAAAGCCAACGTTCAGAGATCATTACCGCAACCGAAGCCCACGTCCGCGGCAGCGAGGCTGGTGGCTGTGAACAATTTGAAGAAGACGGCGAAAGGGGACAGTAAACTGCCGCCAGAGAAGAGGGTTTATTTATCCGTTGAGGCCGAAGCTGCGACAACAACTTCTAAATTTCCCTCTGGCGCTTTCTTCTACTCGAAAGACTGGGTGATAGGTCGAGTATTGGACGCGGCCGCCAGAAGCTTGCAGGTCGAAAATGTGAACAATCAAACAACAGACGAGAAGGACAAGCTGCGGGTTTTTCACGTTGAAGGAGGGAGACTATTGGAATTCAACGAGAAGGTTGGAGATGCCCTTGTGAGCGGCAATAGAATAGTTCTCTTGAGAGGAGTTGGACCCGCCGTTCCAGATCTCATTGAGGCATGAGCTAGGCGATGGCGATTACATTACTCGATCCTTGGTTAGTTAGTCTTCACCGGAGTATGGCATAGATCCAGGATTGCCAAGGTTGGTCAATTTGGTTTCATGGCCTGGGATTTATCGGGATTATGACTCAATTGCATAGCGACGGCGTTCGGATTGCAGATTCTGAAGCTATATGTTGACAAAAGGCTGGGCCATATTCGATGTTACGAATTAAAACTCATGAGTCCATTCAAAATCGCTTGATCTGGCTACGTGACAATTGGTCGAGCTTTGCAAAGCTAAGTATTACAAGAAATCTTTTTGTCTTCCGACTCTAGCACTATGGACTAAGGACCAGCTTTGCCGTAGGATTTGCAGGCCTTCCAACCATCACTTGACCTTTCTTATTACCCAGGTCCATGACAATACCGAAGAGAGTCGCTAGGTCATCCTTCAACGGTGTTCTGCAAATAGCAGCACCATCCCCCTCCGTCTCGTCTCTCAGGAACCTCTCCAAACCCTCTTGGCTGGGCTGTTCCTCCTTTGCCGCATTCAACAGTTCTCCGATTCTCCTCAACCGGAACCTCGTATCTGGTAGCCAGTCCGGCGCTTCTATGACGCCTTGCTTATGTTCCAGCACATAATGATTGGTGTGAGTAACGGCACCCTGCTTGTTCATCTCCAACTTCACAATATCCTCACTGCTACATTCGAGACCTGTTCCACCAGTCACATCAGCGACCAGAATATGGCAAGCGCTTGCCACACCCGCTTTCTCCAACGTTGACATAGCGGCCGCTCGAGACTCGCTTTCCATAACGGTTCTCAGAGCCAAATGGCACGGCAGCTTTGAAAAAGAAACCCCTTTTGCTTTGATGGCATTCAGCGTGCAGCCAACCCCTTTCCCATTCATTCCGATCTTGCCGATGATTCCAGCTTCGGTGACCATCTGAATGCTCAATCCAGTCTCCAGCTTGATCTTCAGGCAAATGAGATTCTGCGCTTGCCTATTCATGATCAGTAAAGTTCAAATCGAATGATGGCTGCATACATACTCAGTATTCCAATCCCAATTCTGGCCCAGCAGCGAGGCTTCTGATCCTTTCCATGAGATAGCAGTACATCCATCACTGAAAGCCCCAAACGCGATCTCCGTCCGCACATTAAGAGCGAGGATATCCTCGTACGAGACTCCCGCCCCTTCCGCCACGCCTTTCATTTCGTCGACATATCTTTGCCAGTTGGCTTCTAGGAATGGCTGGTATTTCAAAGCAAAACCTTTGACTTCCTCCCAGTCCATTTTGCTCTTTGTCTGGAAGAGTTTCTGGTAGAATTTGATGCACCGGCCAATTTGTTCCTTGGCCGCGGAGCCATGGTCCAATCCGACCTGGCGAGGAGACCCTGAGCAGAGAACTTCGATCATTTTGTATAGTTATCAATGATCAGAGCCACCTCTATCAGCAAAGTAGTCAAGAACCTATACAGGGAGGAGTCGAGAGAAAGTCAATATAAACTCAAGCCCCCGCTGCCATATAAATATGGACCGTATCCAAGATACCCCACTCTCGGATATACACTTCCATCATATACTGTTCGCCTACCTCCGAACATATATTTCCAAAGCTTATCATGTATACCTTCTATTAAACCTTTCTCTCCTACTTTCCATGATCCGCGGAAATCAAACAGCGCCGGTACCTAAGGTAGATGACTGCAGTTTGAGGTCACGTGAAATATATCAATGTCAGTATTTGCAATGCCGTACCTATGTGACAGCCTTGCCATATAGGTGAGGCTTGAAGCCTGTCTTTATAGCCCGGCTCCAGGACCAAGGTTAGAGGCGGCCTATTCCTTCGGAAAGCCGGGAGGGGTGCATATTTGCCACGTGATTCCTGTGTCACAATGCTCTCTTTCGCAGTTGAAGCATGTTCATCCGACCAGGGGTAGAGCTACCCTACTTAGTGAGTTCCGTGTTTAAGAATACGCTAAAAGATGTCATAAAGCTTGGCACGCCTTTAAAGATCGTAGGTTTACCTGGGTAGGTGATGACCTTATGCCTTGAGGGGGGTTTAGGGGTTTAGCGAGCGGGAAGCGGGAGATGGGATGCTGACTTGGATGTAAAGAGGTTATATTGCATTAACATAGCTGGGCCTGCTGGTCTTGTATTTGCCAAATCACTAAGCCCGCCCAATCTAAAGTAAAGTACATTATGACATGTGCAGACTTGCTCCATGTTAACTTCCCGTGCTTTTAGTGGAATCGAATGGCCTCAATCACCCTTTGCAATAACGCCCTCCAAAACCGGTCCCATGTGCGCGTCTTCACCGTCATCAGTCATTGCCTGTGGACCAACATAATTGCTACCTCTGAGCATCCACCAGACTGCCGCAAAAATGGTCATCGCGCCGGTGATCAAACAAGAGTAATTCATATTGGCCGGGGTGACGGGCAATGAATAAGGGAAGCAATAAATGACCACAAAAACAACAATGTATGCGCAAGAGATGGCGTTTACGCAGTAGCCAACTTTGTTGCCCATCTTGTAGACTCCTGGTCTCATACCGTTATTGTAAGGCCCTGGTGCTTCGGACGCCCGGGAGAAGCGCCCAGTGAACATGAAGGGCAGTATGGCGGCGAGATAGGAAAGTGTAGAGAGGACAATGAATGAGCCGACAAAGGCATTGAATGCGGTGGTTGAGCCGACGTAGATGGCTCCTAGGACTGTGGAAAAGGCACCGCAGAAGAGGGTGGCAGTGAAGGGGTTCTTGAAGCGGGGCGAGATGGCTCCGAGGGAACCAGAAAAAGGAACTGCCTTGTCGCGTGCAAGAGTCCAGAGCGATCGACCTGCAGTAATGTAGGTCCCAATACAGGTGCAGAAGATAGGGAAGAAGATCACGAGCAGGAGACCGATGGTGCCCCCCCTAGAAGAGGTAGCTTGGGCGTATATCTGAGCCAAGGGGAAATATGGAGCAGCGAGGACGGAATCGAGATCTCGAGTAGCGTAAAAGATTGCGATCATGTAGAAGAAGGCTGTAAAGAATCCGATAACCATCTGGGCTGCTATGGCCAGAGGGATGTTGCGCTTCGGGTTGGGAATTTCTTCTGCCATATGGCTGACGCAATCCGGAGTGCCTACAGAATATGCGCCATTAAGCATACCGGCTAGGAAGACGAAGCCATTGCTACCGTAGCCGGTTTGATTATTCCACTCCGCCCAGACAAAAGAGGATGAGGCATAACCCGCTCCTGTTGTATGTGGCATTACTGCACAGACTATGATAGTAATGAGAACGCCAGCGAGGATGAAGACTAGTCCTAATCATGGGTTAGAAAAGATCCAAAAAGGTAGTGATATAAATACCAATGGTATTGATCATAGGAAGTGCGCGATTGGCGAAGAGAACGATAGAACAGCAGGTCCAAGAAGCTATCAGGTACCCGATGAAGATATGCCATCGCTGAGGCACGTACTCGGGCCGGTATAATCCGTACATGGCAACTGCAATGTTGGAGCTAATGTTTGCCATTGTAGCTATGATTTGTTAAACCTTCACCTCTCAAAACGTTGAGTTGTGAACTTCACCAGAGGCGCATATCCACGCAAATGTATTCCACCATCCAGCAAACCAACCGCAGATACGTCCATACTTAGGCCCTGGAGTAATAGATGCCCAGTGATAGACTCCGGCACTACTAGGCATTGAAGATGCAAGCTCCTAATAAAGAGTGTTAGCATGAGATACTTCAGTGAGGGACACATCGGCATCCATACAGCGAGAGAAGCCGCCACAAGCCAATAGAAGACTGAAACCACAATGAACTCGTACATCACACCTGGTGGCCCTCCATTACTATTCGTACGTTAGTGATTGACTTTTGAACCTAGAATGCCACTTACTAAATGGCTACCGCAATACTGCCACCCAGAGCTGACAGTGTCAATTGCAATACTTTCTCTCATTCTCTCGGGATCCGTACCTGCCCACGTATTGCCTGTAACCACTCCTAAACTTAGGATCGAAAGAAACGAGAAGTTCCGCTCCAATTCCTGGACATGTCCAGTCTCATTGATTTCCATAAAGTTACGTTCTTGCTCTTGGCCGGCCATTGTGACTTGTTCCGAATTAGATGATGGAACTGAGGTCTTGCCCGTGGTAGTCATTGGGGCCATGTTAATGGAGGGTGAGATAAGGCTATCTCGAAACTAAAACAACTGGAATCCAGATTGAAGTGAAAGCAATGGTCGCTACACTTGACAAAGTCCAAGCGGAGACGACTGCGCTCCTGTATAAAAGAAGCTGCGCAGATGCCTGGCTTTAGACTTGAGGCCCAAATCTGAGACACCACAGCTGGAACTCACAATTTCGAGAAAGAAGAGAGGAGAGCTGGTTATCTTTACCTAAACAAGCTTGATCGGGTCGAGATATGAGTTAATTGCATGGTTATGTGGGGGCAAGTGTTCTGGAGCAGCTTGTCAACTCAAGCTCCTGGGAATTTGCCCTCATGATGTTTCGATATGGAGTAGTTCTATCGATGGCAATTGGGTAAGACCGCACAAGATCCGGAGCTTGATCCTAACCAGTCTGCTCGAGTCCCTGCTGAAGCTTTAATCCTTGCACATGCAGGGAACGCGTGTAAGTACAGAGACGATGCATTGTCCTGATAAGAGATCCATAACCCGACACCCTGTATTGTCACTATCAGGATGGCAGGCCGAATGAATAATGAGAAACACAAACGGTACTTATCGATCTCGATGATATTTTTCAGAGTAGTAGTCAACATAAGGATCTGCGGGGACTTCCTATGGCAGTCTCCACCTCCCTAAATTGGCCTAAGGGCATGATAAGTAGTACTACGAGATATAAAGTCTCTACTTCTGTCCTCCTTCAGATATTCAACGGATTCTCCCACCAGTATATCCTCAACCCATCCCAGCGGGTTTTCGCCGCTTGATAAATCTGTCACACCTGACCAAGAAGTGTTAGAGCAGATTCCAAATATTGGCTCTAGATGCGAGAGTACCCGGGTACCCCGCGAGAAGAGCTGCATTTTAACTGGGAAAGATGATAGGGACCTTGTTCTACGACAGGAGCATGGCGTTTCTGTTCCGGGATCTCAAACGATGTAGACGATGCGGGCACAAGCCCTAGAGAACGAGATCGTCCATGCTTGGTTCCAGGTAGACCAACCATCTCCCCTTGGTAGTCCTCAGCTATGGCCCCAAAAATCCGATACCAAGACTCTGGGGCAGTGAGGGGAACGGGAGAGAAGAGGAATAATGGAGTCGAAGCAGGTCCAGTAAATCAAAGGCTTTTTCTCATCACACATCGGGAAGCCATGTCGTGGCCGTGCTGGCTTTCCACGTCCCATATTTTCAGATATTCCTTTCCCATTTCCTCTGCTGTCACTTCTTGGAATCCCAATTTTTTATACCAAGGGCCATTCCAAGCAACATTTCTGTATGTGGTCAATGTCATTACCATGAATTTCTCTTCCTTGACCTGACGCGTCATTTCTGCCATCAAGGCGCTCCCAACTCCCTTCCCTTGGACAGCCTGCGCAACAGATATCTCGACAATATGGAAGTTGCCATCAATATTCATACCTCCGACGAAACCGATGGGCTGATCCGACTCGTTGACAGCAACCAGAAGGTGATTTGAATCCGCCATTGTTGCCAGAATGGACGGGGCCACAGTCGTCTCATCATCGGCAAGAGAACCGAGGTTAACTGTTCTAAATATCTCTGCTGCAGAGCGCTCCACTGGCCCTAGCAATGGTATATCTTCGCTTCGAGCTTTCCGGATGCTGAAATTGGGCACAGAGTGGGGCACCTGGGATCGAGGGGCAGCAGCAGCAGCCATTGCAAGTACAGAGAGCGAGTCCATTGTTCTCGCAGAGGAAGCAAAGGAATTACCCGATCGATACTGACACCAAGGAGCCTCTTATGTGCTCACTCAGACTGTTGTCCGTCTAGGCAGTGATTGTGGGTGATGACTGACTTGACGTGAAAGTCTCAGAATGGAAGGGATGTCTCGGGTCAAATCAAGAATTAAAATCTAGCGATTAAATGATATAATACGATAACGCGCGGACTTGTAGAGACAGAGAGAGCGGCGCTTCAGAAGCTGTGTCGAGGAGCGAAGTGAAAGATAGAAGAGAAGATAAGAGGTGCTAGGAAGTTGGAAATAAATATCACCAACTAGAACTCGGTAGGAATGACGCGCATTCGCTAGAGAAGAATGCCAGCCTTGTCCGCCTCGACGCCTTGCCAGTTTTTTAGATCCATCAACAGCTTCCTCCTCCAGCAAAAGCACGATCGCTGTCGGGAGCCTTAAAAACGGCTCGCACACTCATTGTTATCCTCTGCACGAGAATGGTCAAGAAGTCTGGCAAAAGCACGCCGGAAGGCTCCTCCCTCTCCATATCTGCGCCATCCACCTTCACCGACTCCCTCGCTCTCCCCAAACTCATCGTCTTCGATCTCGATTATACGTTATGGCCCTTTTGGGTAGATACACACGTCACTCCACCGCTGAAACCATCGGCAACACACGACTCTGCAAAAGATCGCTTTGGGGAGACGTTCGCATTTTATAGCGACGTCCCGTCGATTCTCTTCTCACTCCGAGAACGAGGTATAAAGGTAGCCGCTGCATCAAGAACATCTGCGCCAGACCTCGGGCGGGAAATGCTACGTCTGCTGCACATAGCAGATGGGGAGGGGAAGAAGAAGAAAGCGATTGACTACTTCGACCATTTGGAGATATACCCGGGAAGCAAGATTACACATTTCGTGAAGTTGCAGAAGGCAACGGGTTTGAGATATGAGGACATGCTATTCTTTGATGATGAGTCGAGGAATAGAAATGTAGAGAGCTTGGGGGTGTATATGTACTTGGTAAGTACTGACAGACTTTTATCAGCAAAAGTCTGACTGACGGGCTATAGGTGAGAGACGGTGTTACGATTGATGAGCTAGATAACGGCATTAGAGAATGGAGGAAGAAGCATGGACATGAGCACGAAAAGAAATAGACCACCGAAGAAGTTCGGATGAAGACATGAACATACGATACCAGTAAGAGTGGAAGATGGAAGATCACATATATACACGGAGATCCTTCTCAGTATCAAGGGCAGGTTCCGTTTTGATATTTACTGTTAAATCCGTGAAGGAATCTTCCTTGATAGCCTAGGTAGAATGAGGGGGCGGGGTGGAGGGGGGTATTCTGGAAAACCGGCCCTTGTTACCTTATGTTTATTCGATGCCCTTGTCGCGCTACTTTTAGAAGTGATCGGGGACCTCCCGAGAAGGCTGCAGCCGTGGCAGTCTTCCCATCAACACGTCCAAGTACACCAACCAGTGGAATGCAATGCGTGCTTCACATCGTGAATATTCCTCATAGTGATATGTATCGAAATGCCCCCATTTCTCCCACGAAAACGTTTGCGTTCTTCACCAGAGGCTGGCCCTTCCAACCCGAGCCCCAAAGAGAAAGGCAAATCCATCTCGACACCCCCTAGAAAGCCAACCCTCTTCGACGCTCTAGATGCTGGAACAGGCACAAAAACCACCGCCGAACGTTCCAAAGCTCTACTCGAAAAGCTTGCAGCTACCGACGACGACGATAGCTCTCTTACCTCCTTGGAAGAAGAATTCGAAGATGTACCCGCAGTGAAGCGGCAGAAAACGACTGACGATTCTGAAGATGATGACATCGAATTTGAAGATGTCGAAACGCCCACACTGCCAGGCCCATCCGCACCTCCTCCTTCCGGCGATCTCGAATTGACATTGCGAAAAGATACGAGGATCTCTTTGACAAATCCGCTGGGGACGAAGAAAGGGCCAAGTAAGATTGAGCGGGGGATCCGAATCGCAACACATCAAGTCCACGTACAAATGTTGATGTGGCATAATGCGATTAGGAATTCATGGTTATGCGACAAAGAATTGCAGGAAATACTGGTGAAGCAGTTGCCTCCTTCTGTCCAGAAGCAAGTCGAGAGATGGAGACGTGATAGTGGCCTCAAACAGAAGGAAGAAGAAACTCCGAAGTCAAAGGGGAAGGGCAAAGAAAAGAAGACTAATGGTGAGAAGCCAGTTGCTCGGGGTCAGAGGGATTGGGGTAAACCGGCAGAGAGTCTGGCCTCCGGTGAAGTCAACATGAGCAGTGGCGATCCGCTATATAAGCTATTGAGGATGTTGATGAGTTATTGGAAACAAAGATTTAGAATTACGGCGCCAGGATTACGGAAATTGGGGTACATGTCTCTCGAGAGGCTTGACGCGGAGATGAAGAGCTATAATAACGATGAACATGACCCTGAGCTGCATGGCGAGCGAATCAGAGACCTGACGGAATTCAGAGAATGTGCCAAGTCTTTGGAGGGAAGTCGAGATGTCGGTGCACAGTTATTCACTGCTCTCCTGAGAGGCTTAGGTATCGAGACAAGAATGGTAGCCAGTCTACAGCCTGTAGGATTTGGATGGAGCCAAAACGAAGAGGCGTCTGAAAAGAATCCTCGAAAGTTGAGGAAGATGCGGCAGGAGGATACGAAAGATGAGGAGTCTTCGGAGAATGGAGAGGATGATAGTGCGGATGACACAATACCTGTGAAACCTGCAAAAAGGGGCAAAGGGGAGGCCAAGGCAAATGCAAAGAAAGATTCCAGAACCGGTAAGAAACCAGCCAGACGAAGGTCCAGAGCTAGCGGCCTCAAGGAGTCTCCCATTGCTTCCCCCGAAATGGAGGAAGAGGCATCAGAGAGTGATGATTCGGATGACGAATCGGTCATTGACGTTACGCCGGGAAAACAGAGTGTTCAACCGTCGAAGCCGTATGACAAAGACCTTCTCTTTCCTCATTACTGGAGTGAGGTTCTATCCCCCGTAACGAATACCTATACTCCTGTGGATGCCATGGTGCTTCATATTTTAGCCACTAATGCACAGCTTCTTGCAAAATTCGAACCTAGAGGTGCCAAGGCAGATAAAGCTAAGCAAGTAACTGCATATATCATCGGGCATTCACCTGATGGTACAGCCAAAGATGTTACGACGAGATACCTCAAACGTCAAATGTGGCCTGGCCGTACGAAGGGGAACCGGATACCAGTTGAGAAGGTGCCAGTGTATAATCGCCACGGCAAAGTCAAGCATTACGAGAAGTACGACTGGTTCAAAACTGTTATGAGTGGCTACGTTCGAGGTAGCAAAGATTGTCCAATCACCGAGATTGACGAGTATGAAGAAGCGACAAGCCTCAAGCCCGCCAAACCCGAAAAGAAGGTGGTCGAGGAGGGGAAAGAGACTTTGCAGTACTACAAGACATCGCCAGAGTTTGTGCTTGAGAGGCACCTGAGAAGAGAAGAAGCACTTTTACCCGGAGCAAAGCACGTGAGAATGTTTACGGTCAAAGGTAAGGGCAATAGTTCGGTCGAAGAGAAAGTATTCCTGCGAAAGGACGTTGTGAATTGCAAAACCATAGAGACTTGGCATAAGGAAGGCCGAGCTCCTATTGAAGGCGAAGAGCCACTGAAACGTGTACCCTACCGCGCCGCGACCACAAACCGAAGACGAGAACTTGCCGAGGCGGAACAGGCCAGCGGCGAGAAAGTTCTTCAGGGCCTATACAGTTGGGACCAGACAGACTGGATCATTCCGCCTCCGATACAGAACGGGATCATACCCAAGAACAGCTTTGGAAACATCGATTTATATGTCCCAAGCATGCTTCCTGAGGGTGCTGTTCATATACCAATGCGAGGAACAGTGAAGATCTGCAAACGCCTTGGGATTGACTACGCAGAAGCAGTCACAGGGTTTGAGTTTGGACACAGGATGGCAGTTCCCATCATCACAGGAGTAGTTGTTGCCCAGGAGAATCTTGAGGCGGTGATGGCGGAATGGGAGAAAGACGAAGCAGAACGAGTGAGAAAGGAGGACGAGAAAAGGAAGAAGGCTGCAATTGGTATGTGGAGGAAGATGCTGATGGGATTGAGGATCATTGAGAGGGTCAGAGAAGAATATGGGGATGAAGCTGGAGATGAAGTCGATGCGTTTAATCCTTGGACAAATAAGAAGAAGGCCAAGGAGATTGACAGGGACGCGGAGGCACAGAGAAGAATAATGGACCAGAGAGATGAGGACATGGCAGGTGGATTCCTTCCAGAAGGTCACGATGAAGAAGATCCAGATCCTCACCACACATCGAGCTTCTTCCCAGTGGTTCACGAAGACGACGATGAACATAGTGATGGGTTTGTTATTGAAGGACAAGACGACGAAGTGACAAAACCAACGATCGGTCAATATGCTACTTCTCAGCCACTTCAAAATAGTACAAAAGCCGGTGTAGTCCCAGATTCGGATGATGAAGAAGAAGAAATGGATGATGCGGAACCTGAAGTCAAAGCTCCACCAGCAAAGAGACGAGGGAGACCTCCCGGATCAGGGAGAAAGCCCGCACAACCAAAGAATCAAGCCAAAACACCCGCCAGACGGTCCGCAACTCGGAACGCAGGGAAATCGAAACGCAAGATTGCGGACTCAGAAGAAGATGAAGATGATAATACATCATCTTTATCCGATGAAGATGAAGACGATGATACATCCTCTTTATCTGATATTGAATCCGACGATCTAGATTCCGCGATCGAAGAATCCTCAAAGAAAGCAACGAACAGGGGAGCGGGTAGCAAAGCCCGGATACCTCCGCAAACGAGTGAAAGCCCCAGGAAAACGCCACGGAGAAATGCGGCGAGGAAGAGTCAGAGTGCGCTGAGATCTCATTACTTTGCGCATAGTGACGAAGAGGACGAATGAATGAATGCCTTTTACCAAAATTAGGTAGGTTAGTTGTATTATATTTTGCTGGAAGGTGGCACCTGTCTGGAAAAGGCTTGCTTTTTAAAAGATTACACCATAGCTATCTCACAGCTTGGTTAGAATAATAGAGGTTAGTTCTAGACTAAATAATTAAACTTCATGAACAAAACCACATAACAAACCAAGAAAATCTGTATTATTATTACACGCCGGTAAACAAGGACAACCCCTTCTCACTTTCCGGTCAAGCGAGCTGGAATAGGGGGGGGGGGGGGGCCGCTAGCCTCAAATCTACCTATCCCGCGGGTACTGCGTCCTCCGCACCGGAGAACCTAGGCGGGTAACTACCAACTCGGATGGGATATCTCCGCTCCTCCTTGCCAAGGATGGGCCAGAATTTGCTTCGGAGAGGAAGTTGGTTTTTATTGTCGTCGGTCGAGGTACAGTACCTACCTACCTAGGTAGGTAGGTACGCGGATCAGATGACTGGAGTCAGCAATCACAAAGTATAACATTGTGTTAATTAACAGTCTAAGAGTGGTTCTAAGGATAACATCTTCATCCCATCGTGGAATCTAGATACTCTTTCTTTTTTTGTTTCTCCTTTTCTCTCTTTCTTTCTTTCTTATCTTCTTTCTTTCTTTCAAACCATGCAACGCTCTCGCGCTAATAATATACATACCAAACCACCAAGCACCCTTTTTTTGGTTTGATTTACCAGTCTCACTCGAGCATCTGTAAACCCGGTTGTCTACCTGTTTATCCACCTCCCATCTTTGTAGACTATCTACAACCTCCATTTCCTTATGTCCTTTCAATACTTCGCTCCAGTCGGTGTTGACGTTCCCCTTGAATGCGACATACTGTATGGTGCCTAGCAAGAGTCGATTAGTCGACGGTCTGATACCTTATGTATATCTGATAATAAATGGCAAGTAAATGTTTATCGTACCAAAACCTGCTTAGCATTGCAAATCCTCCAAGCCAAGTTCCTCACGTTGCCATCGGCAAGCACCACACCGGGTGCGAACTCGATACCGAACATCTGGTGGACCGCAAAGATGACCCTCTTCGCATACTTGGGATCCCTCTCGACGAGGCTACCAAAGCTCTCTTCCACGGTATTTGGCGCAATATCCGGGTCACGGTCGAAGCAGTTCCTAACAACAGGTAGTAAGGCCTTTTCGACTGCAGTGCGGATCAGTCCGTTGGAATCGACTTCTACGTCATCTTCGTCGAATCGGGCGACGCGGATCTCAAATGGAAGAGAGATTGCCATCACGTTGTGCTTGCCGTCGTGGTGGTATCGGAATTCGAAGACTCCCTGAGTCCACCAGAGCTTATCACCTTCGAAGATCATCTCTCCTTCGACATAGTCATACGTAGAGCCATCTTCGCGCTTAGCACCCGACACGAGTCGGTCGGAAACCAGAATACTTTTTTCTGAGGGAGAAGATTCATACTCATTTGGAACTGTGGGCACCCAACGTCCAGCGGATGAAACGCGAGTTACTTCACGAGAAGCGTTGTCGGCAACCATGTACAGACCTACCCAGTCTGATTTGCTGTGGTTTACGGGTGCTGTCCATTTAACCTTAATAGGTGCGCCATATTCAAACACCAATCGTCTGTAGGAGTCGTTTGTTTGGCTTTCCTTAACAGCACCTCCACTGGCAGCCGTAGCCGAGGAAGGCGTACCCTCAATGGAGACGGAGTAATCCCGTGGATCAATGCCGGCCAGGTCGGGAGCGAGACGTGTCAAGGTGATTCGAGCCGGATATTGTTTGAAGAGAGCAGTGGTATCCCGTACAACAGTTGAGACGCCAGCTGCAAGTTTGGGTCGAGCAGTTTCGAGGAATTCCTCGACGAAATGGCCCGTCTCGCCCAGAACCTTGTCAACATTTCCTTGGAACTTCTTCAAAGGAGGAGGCAGTGATCTCCTGATGCTCTTGGAAAGTCCGGCTTCCTGCCTGAGGTGACCACCGTACAACTTCTGCATGTGTGGCTTCTCCACAAACTCGATAAACGCGAGGGTCAATATGTGACTCAGGAGAGCCAAGCAGAAGATCGCCTTGCTTCCGGTTATGAAGACAGCTCCCCAAATGCCAGCCAGTCCAATGATGCGTTCCGGATTGTTGAGGTAACGGTAGATACCGCTATACGTCAGTTTTGGGGAATGGTCGAAGAAAAAGTCGCCGAAGAACCATCCGAATTCCCCGAGTGACTCGTAAATGCTGACTGCTGTCCAAACCTGAAGTGCTACAAGACTGGCACCAATAACATGTTTCAAGAGCACGAGTCCGTATCCCCAATCGGATGGCACAGAGTACATCTTCCAGGTAGCGGCGATGAAGCTTGCGTGACACATGGTCAAACTCAGGTGATACATCCCTTTCCATTGTCTCCATGCCTCTTCGGTGCTATCGCCAAACTTGACAAAATGACGGGTCCACATCTTCTGGTTCGACTGCCTGTCTAAGATAATGCCCAGGCCAACCGAATACCATAAACGCCATACCAATGCATTCAAGACGAAGAAGAATTGGAACGTAGGTGTTGACGGGGTGAAGGCGGTAATGAGGAACATATAAGCTTGCAGAAGCAGGACAGCAACATCAGTAATTCGGAAAAAATCGAAATTACCGAAACCCATCAAATTATGAACAGCCGATGGTTGCTTGGAGATAGTTGGAGAGTATATCATCCCATCGATTTGTTCTGCGTACTCGATACCTTCTTTACGTGCTGCAGTAATGTTTGCATGTTCGATATCGCTATGTGTTGGATTGTCTTCTCGCTTCCTCGGTGGTGGGGGGTTGTACGTCCTGTCGATATGGGGATTCTCCACGCAGACCAGGAAGATAAACTGGGCAGCATGGGCAATAATGGAGATGAATAAGACAGAATAGCTTGCGGCCATCAACGAGATACCGTAGTATCCCACATAGCCGACAGAATACATGGGGTGGGGAGCCATTTCGAAGACCCCATCGAAAGTAAGTTCTTGGTCGATCAGGTAGAAGAAATCTCCCCAGTACCAAGCATAATCCTTTACTACTCGGTGGGCATCCAACTTCACCCAAAGATTGAAGCCTACGAGACCCCAGCCTGCTGCCCAACGAAGCACAGACATCGCGAGGCCTTCGCCTGTAGGACGGTTTGTACACGCGATGGCAAACAAGCAATATGATGTGAAATCACACATCAAGATGAGGTCCACCACCCTTCGAAAGACAAGCCATGTGTTGTACTCGATTGGAGCCTCCTCGAATTTATAGTCCTTGGGGATTTTTGTCTCCAATTCATGCTTGAGGTGTTTATACAGCCAGGGTCTGGGGTTCTTGCCAGTGTTGGGGTTTTCGAAGAGATTCCATTTCTTGGCCCATGCGACCAGTCGTCGATGATGTGATTGTATGTGGAGCAGGTATCCGATCCCGACATTGTAACAGCATCGCCAGAAGAGAAAGACAATGGCGAATACCGGTTGTTTGAGGGAGGATGGCAGGAGGTAGATGCCCAGCACGTGGAGGGCAAGAATTGCTATCACTATGGCATCGGCCAAGTTCTTTGGATGTCGAGGGTCGAGAAGCTGAGAGACCATGTCGTGGGTTACGGGGACCATGAATACTTCAGCTGCCAGTTAGCCCAGTCTCGTAATGAAGAGGGTACGCTCCACGTCTCCGCCAGCTCAGGACTCACTGGTGCCATCCGGCGTTCTGCCAAACGTCTTCTTCTTCTTCCCCTTCTCTGGTTCATTCTCAACCGGGGGTGTATCCAGTTCGCGGGGTGTGCTAGAGTCACTCTCCACATTGTTCACGGATCCAACATTTCGTTCTCGAAGGCCTCCGTCCGGCATGGCCGGAGTCGTGGACGCACTCATGGCGAGAGTCGTGAGGTTGAGCTCGCTTTAGAATGACGTTGAGACTCGGGGTCTCGAGTGCCAACTACGCTCCTCCACACAGGCACACAATTCACACGGGGCGGAAGTTGGCAGCAGCGTCGTCGAGTGGGAGTCTAGCAATCTATCGAAGATTTGCGGATTCCAGGGCAGCATCCATATATGGGGGCTATACGGAACGGTGGGTTCTGTTGAAGGATGGGTGACCCAGGAACGGGGAAGCGCTTCGCGTGGGGAAGAAGCGACGTTGAAGTGGGCCAATTGGCCAATAAGTAGAGAATTGGCATGTGACAGAGGCCATGGTGTCTTCACCGTTACTTTGCTCTATTATCATAGGCGCGATCATTGCCCATTTCTACGTGGTTGTGAATCTGTGCTCCGGGAGAACCCTTTGATATGTGGTTGTGGTTATTGGCGGATACCTAGATAGCATCGATAGGTAGGTACGTACAGCACGTTATCTATGTGGCACGCGGCATTGTAACAGCATCGACACGAATCTCCCCGGAATCTACCTAGTCAATAGAGGCAGCTATTGCAATACAAAGCACACGATCTCTTGCCCTATTCGCAAAAAGCCCTTGTGAACAAATTCCTCTTTGAAGAGACGAGATTAACACAGCAATAATGGGGGAAGAAACCGCAACGAAAACGTTTTCCCTCCGCATTCGGGAAGATCCGTCTCGATATTCCGTCATCGGATCCGGCCCCTCACCGCCTTCCGGTTGCGGGTAAACTTCGGCCATTAGCCACAGGAATCTGCCCGCCCCTCACCATGTGACTTTCGCCTCTTTTCTGCTTTGTAAACATGCTGAGTACTGCGTAGAAATCGATCAACTCTATATACCTCCTGTCCTCCCCTCTTCGCTCTCGAAGAGAAACCCCCCATTAGGAGCATCTCCAGATCATCGCTATCATGGCGCCCTCTCTCGAAGTCCCCGAACCGGTCGAGGAGGTCCTCTCCCACCCTATCAAAGCCGCTCCTAAACTCGTCGCCCCCGAACCTGAGCATTGCCCCGGTCCCGAATCCGAGACTGCTGGCAAAGCCGACTCCTGTGCCGGCTGTCCCAATCAAGCCATATGTGCCTCCGCTCCTAAGGGTCCCGATCCCGACATTCCAGCCATCACAGCGCGCCTATCTGGCATCAAACACAAGGTTCTGGTCTTATCGGGCAAGGGCGGCGTGGGCAAGAGCACATTCACATCGTTACTCGCACATGCGTTTGCAACGAATCCTGATAACACGGTAGGAATCATGGACACTGATATCTGTGGGCCGAGTATCCCCAAGATGATGGGCGTTGAGGCCGAGACCATACATGTCAGTGGAGGCGGATGGAGCCCGGTTTGGGTCCTGGACAACCTGGGTGTCATGAGTGTACAGTTCATGCTGCCGAACCGGGACGATGCGGTTATTTGGAGAGGGCCGAAGAAAAACGGATTGATCAAACAATTCTTGAAGGACGTGGAATGGGGAGATATGGATTTCCTGCTAGTCGATACCCCTCCGGGAACGAGTGACGAGCATTTGAGTGTCAACTCGTTCTTGAAAGAGAGTGGGGTTGATGGTGCGGTAGTGTTGACCACTCCTCAGGAGGTTGCACTTCTCGATGTCCGGAAAGAGATCGACTTCTGCCGCAAGGCTGGCATTAAAGTCTTGGGCATCGTGGAAAATATGTCGGGCTTCGTCTGCCCAAAGTGTACACATGAAAGTCAGATATTCCAAGCTACGACTGGAGGAGCAAGAGCCTTGGCAAAGGAGATGAACATCCCATTCCTTGGGGCCGTGCCTTTGGATCCAAGAATAGGCATGGCATCAGACTACGGTGAGAGCTTCTTCGATGCCTGGCCAGATAGCCCGGCTTGTACAGCCTTGAAAGGTGTTGTCAGGAGAGTTGGCGAGGAAATGGGACTAAAAGCTGGGAGTGTCTTGCCAGAAGATTGAGGTAGATCAATTTTTCTGATAGCAATGCCGATGAAGCTATGAAGCTGCCACCCAGACGGACACCATTTGTGCCCGGTCTCAATCACCCACGCTCAAGACCCGTCTATAAGCCGGTGTCTTTGGGGAACCGATGGTGGTACTGTAACGACTGATGAATTATGATCTTCAGCGTTGTGAGAGAGGAAGTCTTCAGCGCGGTAGTTAGTTTTCGTATGAGAAAGGGGTGAAGGCACGGAGTAAGCCGAGATGGCTTAAGCAGAATACATGGTGATGCAGTTGGTTCACCAGAAGTGAAATCTAGATAGCCTTGATCCATAATATAGTCATTTCAACGAGGTTGCATTCTATACATTCTCTATTTTCAATGAGTCTGTATCCGGTGTGCTGCGCTTGGACTCTTAGTATTCCTCCAGATGTCGAGACTTGTTCCATATCTCTCTTACATTAGATCCTGGATATAAATATCATTTCAAAATGGCATGCAATTCTTGAAGACTAAAAACTTGATTGCAAAAGCTATTGTACACACACAGCTAGTCCCAACCCATCTAGTCAGTATGAGCATCCACAAAGCAATCCCCACACCTACAGGCATTATCAACACTTCGCAGCTACTTTAGCCCAAACCTACAGGACCAGATTCATCTCTAATGATCAATATGCATACAAGTTGAATATCCATGATTCTATTTCTTCAACGCTCTCATTATTCCATCGCTAACCTGAGATATCACTATATCTCCATTTTCACTATCTCTTCCTCTTCCGCTCGAAGGGTTCGGTTTGCCAATAGTCGGGTAGTAGTGATGAACACAGCACAAATATCCTCGAACGTGAGTGCGGCAGCCAATTACTTCGGATCTGGTGGTTGGACAGGCAAACTGTTGGGAAATGGGCGTATTTGTTCAGGTCTTGGCCACTTTCCACAATACGCTCCTTCCTACCTAGGAACATGCATTCTTCGCTTTCATGGAGACACCTCTTCTGATGTACCGTCGCATGTTTAAACAGACCGCGACGTTTTGTCCCTTCTGCGATATGGCCATAATTTCACCATGCCGTAGGCACGCCTAAAACCTACCCAAACCTTAGTTCCTAGGTAGTTTCCTGAGATATTCGCCGTGCGATTTATGGCTTCAAGCTCCCTCAGTCACCGTTATAGTGCAGCGCCCCGCATCGTCTTATTCCGCCCACTCTTCTATCGTTAGCCGTTGAGTTCCTATATTTGGATTGCATGTAAAAGTAGTCAAGGTTCGATGTACAAGAAACTAACGGCTGGTTGAAGACCAAGAATCCCCGCATTGGCGGTATATACCGCTGAATGAAGCTCGGAGCAAGGATGATCCCGACATTCAAGTAGTACCAAAACAGGAGAAATGGGAGCTCAATAACTAAATATGAAGGAGGCTGGTGGGTATAATCTAGATAGAATGAAAATCTCTAAACTCACTTGAGACTTGGAATCTTTGAATCCACGTGACATCAAATGAATCAAGGCTCATCATCATCTTTCACATATCCCATGTTAACCCTCCACCACCGACATATTTCCTCATCTTGAGACAAAAAAGCGCCTAGCTCTTTCATCGAAGTCAATTCCTTGACCGTCCCCGCCGGAATATCAAGCCGTTGATCCTGGACCGGCTCCTTCTTCAATAAATGGTAATCCTTGTATCTCAGCTTCTATATACCGACTATCAATATAGCTATTTAGCATCAATTGGGGGTTCTTAGACGTACTCTTACAATCTCCATCCATTCTAGGGCCTCTTGACCTTCAGCTATCATGATGCCGGGTGGCCCCCCTGTCTTGAGCAATACTGAACATGACAAGCGTTTCGCGGCTTTGGTGATAGTTTGGATCTTTGATCGAGAGGTCATATGATGTGTTTTTATCAAGATGCGGTAGAGTGATGCCATGGGCTGTTAGCTTTGGATGTGCAGTTGAGAGAGGTTTAAGGTTGATGGGTGGCGCTAGCGTGTTCAGGGACAAGGAGGCACGTGGTTTGAAAATGCAATATTGTCACATGACTTATTTCTTAAAACTTCATTTCCTTTGGACATATCTTATAGAGGGCAAACTGGGAATCATACGCATTGCGAAATGCCTTGGATTTCATTTCGAAGAGGCTAGGAACCGGGACGGGGCGTGCTGAATTTGCGTATGGTCAAGCGCCAAGGTACGGGTCCTACTTCACACGGCCCCCAGTTTTTGCGGTAATTCTTCTAGATCCTCCGTGGACTCAATCTCAATGACCTTTCCCACTTCCGCCGTGTTCCTCATCAACTCCTTAGCGGACGCGTAGAGCATTCTCAACTCTGAGTTGCATGTTGGCGGCAGGTAGAAGAGCATCACATACGGTACAGACAGGCGTCCAGAAGGCTGCACCATATATCAGTTAAGGCCCTTCTATTTAGGCACCCAACTCACCAAGGTTAAGGGATAACTCAACAACACGAATCTTGGCGAATTGTCCGGTAAGTCCTCCCCTATATCCTCCAGATTCTTGTAGACGGTTTTTTCATCATCCTGCCTGATTTCCAAGGTGGCTTTATCGATCATATCTGTGGCGCCCCGCGTTAGATTAAGCTTCGAAGTTAGGAAGTAGAATGCCCATTCAGAGGCCGGCCAGTATAGTGAGACGGACATACAGATCACGGCTTGTGGGTCATTGGAACGTGAGGTCCCCAGGCGGAATTTGCGAAGGTGGTCTTTTGTCTCCTGACTGAATGTGTAGAGTCTGGCTTCGGAAGACTGTTGTGAAATATTAGTTCGTGGTACTCCAGTGTCGTTGAGAGAGGCAGAAAGCTACCATGGTTAAGCTCCAATTAGGCGTCACAGCACAGCTGCGACTACTACTCTTCGAATGGGGTAACCAAAGAATCACTCCTCGAGTCGACTGTCGCAGCCTTGCGTGTGGACGTTGCCCCTCGCTTAAAGGTACGGCGGGCGGCGGGGCAGCAAAGAACAATCTTATCTAATCGATCAAGTACGTCATGTAGTAGGTACAGTAAGGTATTTGGATGGTCGAATATGCCATGCCTACCTTACCTACGGTACCTTTGGTAGTAAAAGCTTAACATAAGGTACCCTTTTTGCCGCTGTTTCAATTTAGCCAATAAAAGCGTAAGGATTCAGGGCCAGACTCTACCAAGCCAGATGCTCTCGAAAGGGAAGGTCATCGAGAAGTAGGCCGAGACGAGGGTGTCTTAGGGATAGCCGACCTCTACAGCTCGACACCTCAGCCGTCACAGCTGTCTCGCTATCCGCTGTGAAATGGCACACACACCCAGCACCCCCGCCGACCTCCCTACCGAACTCACCAATATCATACCTTCGGAGGTCACATTCATACGGGAATTCAGACGACATCCGCGCAGCAGGATTACAGTGGTCTTCTTGGTTATCATCCGCAATATCAAATGTGTTATGAAAGTGGTATGTAGCGTGATCCGCCTTTGAATCGTTATTGCCCTTAATTAAGAGACACTGCAGTTCCATAGCGAATCGAGCGAATTTTACGAACTTGAGGCCACTGCATATCGTCGATTGACCGAACGAGGCGTATACCAGACAGGATTCGTACCCATGTTCTACGGGTGTATCGAGCATATGGATCAGAGGGATTGGCAACCCCATCTCCACAGATTTCTAGACGAGGGTCCACCTAACGCGATTCTCATCGAGTATATCCCTGGAATCGAACCACTCAGCATAGAAACTGCCACAAAGGAGCGCATGGCCAAGTTCACTGAGGGCCTGCAGGCGATCCATGATGCTGGTATCATACACTACGATACGTACGCTAGGAATATGATGGTTGATCCAAGCAAGTTAGACAAAGTAGTCTGGCTGGATTTTGACAGAGCCCGAACACTTGATGATACACGACTATCTGACAGAGAGAAGGAGCTTATATACGACGAACAGGCATGTATGAGGGCGTTTCAGTCACTTGTTGTATGTAATCCTTTGCATGCTGAATTTTTCCCGGTACTAATCCTGACTTTAAAAGGCGGAGGATCATGAAAAGAAGGTAATAAATCGAAGCATCAGGTGCTGGTGATTTTGATAATGGACGGAGTCACGGTTTCCCAAAGAGAGGGGGCAAGGGGCAAAGGGGCGTTTACCAGACGTGTGTTTTCGTATACCAGGAAATGGAAAATTTTGTTCCAATTCAGTCGATTAGAGATGTAGCGATGCATTTATACTCGAGGTCGGATGAACACCACGGCTCGGGTAAGTAGCGGGTATGCTCGGGTCGGATGAGGAGAGAAGGGGCGCCGTATAATTCTGACGTCTTGGCACAGTTACACAGTACTACTATCTTAGCTCCCGTAATGCCAAAAAGCTTAGCTTGGCCATACCCCTGTCTACACTTTCGTCATCCTCGTCATCGCCCCTTACCTCCGTCCTGTTCCCCAAGGTCAATAAAACCCTAGAACTGTACTGTAGATACTACAAAATATCATCAATCCTGCTGGCCTCCTTTGCCTGCTATGGCCTTGACTCAAGACATTGGAGCTATACTGAATCTTATGATCCAGGTCCTTGTCATCCTCCCTTACAGCGCCCTCACGATACCACGACAACGACAATTGCCTTCTACCCATTCAAATAACAGGACCACTCCTACCCAAGGGGCGAAATCAGGAGCCATGATTTCAGACAAGGTCTACAAGCTCTGCACGAACAACGAGAGTGTATCTGCACTCCTCGCCAAGGATCCTACCATGGCGCCTGGAGACGCATGGAAGAAGCTATATGGTGGTCATGCAGCAGGAGAAAAGGAGAGCAAAGCAACAGCGAGGGCTCACAGAGACCAAATTACCCCGGATAATCTGAAGAGGGCTTTGGAATGTGGAAATTGGGGTCCATCACAACCCAGCGATCTCTTCCTGCAAGCAAGTACTTCGTCCTGCAATTCATTATCCAAGGCTAACATTGGCAGATGTATCACGATGCCTTGTGCACCCTGGATAAGAGCGTGTCTGGATGTATGGTCAGCCCGTCATTGATGGGGAGCTGCGGGGTCATTCCCTTGACTATCATCTCTGTGTAAGTATGAACGAATTGCGTGACTCCAGAGTTCGAAATTGCTAACAAGTCTCCTTGTGCAGTGTCCCCGATATCATGCGACATATGTCTAACCTCATTGTTCGCGCGGAAAAGGAAGTAATTCTAGCTACAAATTACTGGCAGAATTCAGTCGCTTCTAAATACATCACAAACGCAATGAAAGAACTATCCCGAAGAGCCGGCGAGCGGGGTGAAAAGATAGTATTCAAGTTGGAATATGATCGAGGAAGTGCAAAGCAGTTGCTTGAAAATCACTATGTTGTACCAGAGAAGGAATATCTAGGGAAGGCTGTTGCTCTTCCACGCCCAGATGAGATCCCGCATCTCGACATCCAAGTCATCAATTATCACAAGCCTATGCTGGGAACTTTCCATTGCAAATATATGATCGTGGATAGGAAATACGCTGTTCTTCAGAGCAATAACATCCAAGATAATGACAATCTTGAGATGATGACCCATCTCGAGGGTCCCATTGTGGACTCTCTTTATGACATGGCTTTGATTTCCTGGCACAAGAAGTTGGAACCACCGCTACCAAGTCACAACTCACCGGCGGTCCAAGGTGGGCTTGGATCATTTGGAAACAAAAATCATGATGAAATATACGATCGAGATGGATCAATCAGGGGACACTCGGCCATTGTCCATCCCGAGAGGATGAAAGAGCAAAAAGCATATTCCTATGAATCTCGGGCCATCAATCAACCGAGTGTCATCCCACCGCAAACTACAAATGACGGCACTAATAGTGCCGACATCTTGACCGGGCCAAGTACGACTGATAGTGTCACTCGACCCATGGGAGTATCTCAGGCGCCCGAAACAGGCGTTAACGAAGCCGCGCAGGAGGTGGGACAGAGACAAGGGAATGTTCAACCTCTCCCTGAGAGTACTCAGCATGGATTCGAGAATAAAGACTTGGGCAGAATCGAGATGCTACGTGAAAATGCGAAAGCCGCTGCCACAACTGGGGATATGGAGCACATCGTTCATACCAGACGCGGCGACAAGAAGACCACCCCGGATGATCCCACAGACGGAAGTGCGAACGCAGATCAAAGTGCTACAGCAACGATTGGCATACATGGTCCGGATGCTAAGACCCAAGAATTCTTGAGTGCGGGGGAAGCAACCGTTCCACAGTCACAAATCGAGCATCCTTCACAAGCCAAGAAACCCCTCCCTGAGCATACAGCCGACAACCCTCACTATGACGATGATATCGCTGCAGAGGTAGCTCGAGTCCAGACAGCTGTGTCGCCAAGGGAGGGCGAGACTCGCGTCCAGGCCGTGACACGCCATCTCAACCATACCAAGAACGTCGACTTCAAAGGAGATGCTCCTGAGTATGCTCCACATGAGGAGATGACTCCTTACATCCCGCACCCTGTCCATGAGCCTTTTCCAATCGCTATGGTCTGCCGCGAGCCACATGGAACGCCCAACCATAACTCTGTGTATAATCCACAGAACGAAGTTTGGCTCTCTGCTCTGAGGAACGCAAAGCAGAATGTCTTCATTCAATTACCAACGTTGAACGCTGAGCCGCTCATACCAGCGATCATCGAAGCTTGTGAAAGAGGGATTGATGTCTACTGTTATATCTGTCTCGGCTACAATGACACTGTAAGCCATTCATCCGCTGCTCATAAAAATTGATACTGATGATCGATATGGTAGGGCGAGCTTCTCCCTATGCAGGGCGGAACCAACGAAATGATTGCCCACAAAATGTACACCACTCTCTCAGATGCAGGCAAGCAAAAGCTTCACTACTTCTTTTACGTCGCCAAAGACCAAAGCAAGCCCATCGTAGCGAAGAAAAAGAAGCGCGACTGCCACGTCAAAGTCATGATTGTCGACGAACACATTGGCATCCAAGGCAACGGAAACCAAGACACGCAATCCTGGTACCATAGTCAGGAGATCAACGTGATGTTTGACAGCGCCACAGTATGTAAGGCGTGGATCGATGGCATCAGGAGAAACCAGAACACCCATATCTATGGGGAGGTTAGTAAGGAAGATGGCATCTGGAGAGATGACCAGGGCAACACAGCGGCGGATGTTATTGGTGTTGATCCTGGGAAGTTCAGTTGGGCCAAGGGATTTATCGGCGCTATTAATCGGGTCAGGGGCACTGGCGATTTTTAAGATGGGCGAATGTGTAAGATACCAATGCCAGATTCGCAGGACGGCGGCGTTCAGGAGGGAATGATACCATGACTGGATGTGATGCTATCACGAACGTTGTTTTGTACTTTAAAATTGAAAAAGTAATTGCTTTCGCCCTTTGTTCCACGCTTGACAAGGCAATTCGGAGCTAACTTCACATCACCTTGTAATGCTGACACATGTCTGATGTGAAAGGGTCGCGGTCGTTAATAGATAGGAGAGGGGTGGTTGATCTTCGATCAGTTGGGCAAATCGAGTTCTTTCATCACAAGCTTGAGCCATCTCCTTTGAATATTCGTCAACTACCTTTCCTCGCCTGCACTTTCAGGGATAGGAATCAAGGCCACTGCTTAGTAGTTCAGTTTGGATTTTCTCAATTGAGCCCATGTTACTCTATCTTTGGATAGCAGTCCTCATCATCGGTGCGACTTGCTTTCGACTGTTCTCGACTCTGTGCTGCCACCAGCAGCGCCGCCATTGCTTGCCACCATCAAGATCAAGCAACCCATCACTCCATTGTTGAAGCCCTAGTTCCTCTCTGGAACTTGCTTCGAACTTTTTAGCAGCTTCCACGCCTCGTTCACCGAGGCCCCAGACGAAAAGTTCTCGTTGAAATTTGCCGTCCTTTTGTGATGTTGTCATTATGGAACAGACTGAAAGATCCCGCTCCCTAGAAAAGTCCTCTAGGGCCGTAAAGAATTTCTCTTCATTGCCTGCTTTGTCGATCAAAAATTGCATATCCTTGACGACAGAGCTGATACCGAGCTTCACATCTCCAGCCTCGTTCCACTGCTTGTAATCCTTCCTGAGGATATCGGGTAGGCTGAGACCCCCAATATCACTCTTGGCAGCAGAAACTACCTTGAAATGTTCCTCCGAATTGAATTTAATAGCTGGCTCGGCCCGGATCTTCGATTCGAGATATTCAACTGCCTCGATATCGGTTGGTGTGACCTTGTTTTTGTCTGTAAGGTTTGTAGTATCAATGAGAACGGGCGCAAGAGCGAGCTGTGCCAGTTCTGCATCCCATGACACTGATTCTTTGTCCTCGGACTTCTTGGACAAAGCGTCCCATGCTTCCCTGCAGTGTTCCACGACTAGACTTGAGCAGCTCCCGCTCTTCCGCACAACCCTTGGTTCTTCCCCGCAATCTCGAGGGACCTTTCCTTCCTCGTCATGATGATCAATACAGCCAACTACGCGTGTTCCATATATCCTCCCCAGCTCGCCTTGTAAAGCATTATGGTCAACAAGAATCCATCTCGTCTTCTCTGCTGGAAGCTTGGAGGATATCTGACTAAGACGAGGGAGGTCGGAGAGTGTCAGTAGGTCGCTAGGCTTAAGATTTGCTCTTGAGAGAACAGGTATCAGCTCTGGGCGTAGTGCGAGGTCGGCGTGTGGGAGGTTCGAGAGCGGGATGTAGAGGGTGTTGTGTTTGGAGCTCGACGCATAGGTACGAAGATACGCAAGGACAATTGCGGAGCAGAGCGAGTCGAGATCTATCGTAAACGGGTCAGTTGGTCGTACGGTTTGATCATCCATTCGTCGTCTGCGCACTTACCGGCGGATTCGTTTCCAATAACAAAGGTAACGGGTGAGGTTTGTTGAACGGACGTGGCGAGAGCGCTCTTGGCGGAGGAGAGAAAAGATTGGAGCGATACTCTAGGTAAAGGCATGTTGCTCAAAGCGAGGGTATGATAAACCCCTAGCCGCCGACACTCCTTGGCGCTTGGGACGGGCGATTGATGTTGCGGTTACAATTTCTCGCGATTGACGTCATTGAAGCACTACCCCTTTTCCGGCTTGACGACGACGGCGTTCCATTTCACGGAGGGCACTACTCAACCCCAATTCATCTCAGGAACCGACTTTTCAGACATTCCTCGATATAAACTGAGCCGCAGAAAAGTGCACCCTGGCCGTGTGACGATGATGATGTCGATGACTTCGTTTTTGTCCAGTGGCTGCCTGCCATCGGTTCTAGCCATCCGGTTCAAGGGGTTTCCACACAAAGAACCGCCTTTCATTCCAGAGTGTGTATGAGCCTTTGAAGCCAGTGCTTCGAGAGATGCTATTATTGGGCCAGCGCTCTAATATCAATGTTCTTCGATTCGTGGCGAGCGAATGCGACCGAGCCAGACAGATTTGCGCAGCTGGCATCCGCATCCACATTGGAGTGAGCCATCGTCACGTCGACACAATGGCCATTCTCCCTTGCCGCTGTTCATGTCTTCTGCCTTTTCTCCCCAACTCGAAGATATGAAAGCGATCCTCGTTATTGACGTTTCTGGCGTCTTTTTGTTCTTTGTTCCTTCACTGGCCACTCTTTCCTTTTCCCCCGTTACCGCAGCTGCCAACACCTCGCACGCCGGGTGCAGCGCACTTTACCTCAAACCCCCATCTCTAAATTCGCACATTCACATACGCAAACGAATTATCAACTCATAAACGATATAATCACCGCCGACATCGACCTCCGCAACTGTGCAATTCGATACTCAGGGGGTAGAGACTACCGTACATTAAAAGGTTCGACCATGTGGTCATTACAAAGTACCTACAGTGAAGATTCGGATACTTGACCTCAAGCCTGGCCTGTCCAGCCTGAGAAGTCTAGGGACCTCCAGCCAATGCCTATACGACCCAGACATCTCGATGGCGCCCTTCCCAACACACATTGTTCATACAGTGTGGGAAGTTGAGGCCGAAACGAGAAACTTTGACAGAGAGAACTATACCAGCTGGGTCCCTCTGGTGTCTTCGCAAGAAAATACCATACAATGTCTTGCATTGACTTTTGCAACAATCAGTATGGCGTCTGCCATTCTAGCAATCTACTGGTTTGTAAAAATGCGAAGGAGCTTCAGGCACGAGTAAGTCTCAAATCAAGAAAATAGACGTCAAATTCTGAAACACCACAGCCTCATCATGTTAGTGATTCAGAGTGACATGTTCAAAGCATTCTGGTTTATGCTCTACCCAATTGTTACCTTTGCACACGGTCCCATCCAAGATAGTTCGGTTTTCTGTCAAGTCAATGGCTTTTTCTTATCTGTGGGGATTGAGGCATCAGGTTTGAGTGCATCATCCACAGTACAAAGGCAAGGGCTGAATTGGAACTGCAGATATTTCCATCCTCATGATCGCCATTCATTCCGCATTGTACATTTTCAAAGCCAGAAGCTCGGGCGAAGGGGGTCTATACCCATACCGCCGAATAGCTTATACAATCTGGGCAACCTTTCCTGTTGCCATGGCTTCACTGGCCTTTATCAATGACAGTAATGCATACACTGGAGTGGGAACTTACTGCTATACTCCTGTCAGGCCACTTTGGTACCGACTTGCCCTGAGTTGGATTCCTCGATATTTGATTTTTATAACCATTGTCAGTATATACGCATCGATATACTTTTATGTCCGGCGCAAGTTTTCCGGCTTCACCAAGTTAAGCAAGGATAACTCCATAGGCTCGATCGAGCTTGAAGATCATTCTGATAGATCACCGAGGTCCTCAAGGTTGCACACTGCTCCCGCGATGCCAGCCCTAGCTCGTCATGGCTTGATACTGGATTCCAGACACCCTTCGCTAACTGGCACTGAAAGTGAAAGATATCTGGCGTTAACCGTGGGCTCACATAAACACTTGCCTATTAGTCCGCAGACAAACGTCCATCGTTTTATGTGGGCAAGCTTCATAGCTAGAAGCGACCGGACACCAATTCAAACGAAGTCTCCTCCTACCCAGGACCCATATCCACTTACTGTCGCCTCTGGTGCTTGGCCTTCTTACCGGCCGGACAATCTTGACCATGTTCCCTCCAACTCAGGTCGTCCACCAATCACCAAACGCTCAATGGTCGACATATTCACTGTCTTGAGCCACAAGTCAACTGAATTCGAAGTGCCCATGCCGATCTCAAAGCTGCGATTTGTCAACTCTAGTGGTCAAAATGTAGCTGTCGGCGATATGATTCATACGCGTGACAATATACAGCGCCAGCTACGGTTTCTTTTTATCTATCCTTTAGTTTATCTTGCAATGTGGATCGTCCCCTTCGTCTATCATGCTCTTCAATATGACGATAGATTCGCAACGAACCTCCCTTTCGGCCTACGCTGCGTCACGACGGTTTTTCTCTGCTCACAAGCGGCTGTCGACAGCTGGCTGTTCTCCAGTAGAGAGAAGCCATGGAGATATATCCAAGGAACAAACGGGAGTTTTCTCGCGAGCCTGAAGTTTTGGTCGGGATGGAAGAACATAAGTGAAAACAAGACCGCTCATGGACCTGGGAGAACCAGGGATGAGATGGTTCGGGATGCAAGAGCTGCATATCAGAGAAGGGACGAGGAATTGGCAGAAAGAAGGACTGATGCCAGTCAGACGGAGCAAGTTGGAGATGGCACCACGAGCGAAGTTGAGATGGCGTGGTGGGAGAGCATGGCGTTGGATGGAACGATGAGGAATTCTGTCGCAGATGAGCTCTCGAATTTAAGGGACGATGTGGTCACAGCAGACTCTTCGTCAGTGGATAGCGAAGCACCATTAAATGGGCCTGTGATGGCACATCTTCAAGAACAATATATACGGGAAGAAGAATGAGGACCTGGTGCATCTATGAAGACCGACAGCATAAGAAGTGAATGTGTCAAGTATATGATATAAGGATATGGAGGCACTGGGCATCGAGATTTGACATTCTCTGACCGCTATACGATGGGCATAGCTACGCATATGGGAGGGACTCCCCTTCCAGCTTCTTCCGGTGAATCCACGGACCCGGATAGCATTTTGCTAGCGTCTTGCTTGGGCTGAGATGCTGCGACAGCGAAGAATCATATCTTGCACTAGCTGAAGAAAACTTCGACACTTAAAAAGTAATAATATAGCAAATAAGAAGAAGAAAAAAACCACATTTGTCAACAATCCCTTTAGTGATTCACACTACCTTGATTGCTGAAATTCAGTCTCCCGTTCATGCCTCCAGAATATGTTTCCTGAACCCAAGAAAAAAAAGTATTTCAGATGGTTGGGGTTAGATGTAAAAGTCTTGAGGTCATATTTGGGGAGGTGGGGTTGAAAGGTAATGGCGGGAGCTCTGACCGGATTCTTAATAAAAAAGGAAGGTAAGACAGAAATTGTGTTGTAGATCATCACTTCCTCCTTCTACCACGAGTAATCAGTCCTCTTCTCTCCCTTTCCCTCCAACATTTCCTTTTTTATGATGACCCACAGCGATCTCTGGATTTCCGTATGATGTTGGGGGCTTTTCGTCACTCTTCGTCGTCATTCAACTTCATCTCGCTAGATTCAGGGGGGTCTGGAGGGCCTTAGGGCCGCCATCTACCGATCTTACTTGGCGAACCACAACACATCTTTTACTTGGTGAACTACAACACATCTATCTCATCATTTTTCATCAAAGATACCATTCTCCATGAACTCCTATTATCAATCTTATAAATTTTTCAATTGATAGCCGTCCCGCCCAAAGAAAAGGATGCCTAGGTGCTTTTGGTTTATATTTATACCTCTCTATCATCTCTATCTCTATTCAACAATCTAAATTCTCTTCAATACCGTCGATGTATGTTCGCTCACCCGCTCGCTCATTTCTTCCTGTGGCCTAGACGGGGGAGCTGAACGCGTCCGATGATCAACACGGTGGTGACGGAGAGGATGGCTGCCATGATGAAGACGGCCCTCAATGATGACGCGTAGGCGTCGATGACCTGCTCGCGGTAGATGGGCGCCAGGTCCACAATGGCCTTGACGGATTTGCGGACTTTTTGAATGATCTATTATGCAGGTCAGTTTCGAGCTACCTAGAGTCGCTGGGGGCAGTGGGGGGGGGGCTTTTCTTACCTCGTCTTTCTCAGGCCCGGTGACTTTTTGGTTCAGGTAGATGAAGAGAGCGTTCTGAAGGACTAGACTACTGGATGCAACACCAAGCACCATACCGAGTGAGCGCCATAAGATCAGGGTGCTCGTCACGACGGCTTGCTCGGATTGGTCAGACACGGCTAGCACCGACATGAAGGTAGCCGGGAACATGAATCCGATACCGACGTTTGAAGGGATCAAGAAGAGCAGGAACGACCAGTCGGGCAATCCCCTCTGCATGAGAGAGAGCGAAGTGGTGCCGATGACCAGGAAGACGGTGCCTGTCGCCAACGGGAATTTGAGGCGCCGGGTCCACGTGATGAGGAATCCGGTCGCGGTCCCGACGGCGGATGAGAAGAGGGTGGGGACGACGAGGCGCAGGCCGGAATTGGTCGCACTCTCGAGTAAGACGGCCTGGAAGTAGAGAGGGATGTTGAACGTGACCGAGTTCTGGATGATCGCCCCGATGAAGTTGCCGAGGATGAGACCGGCCCGGGGATTGTGGAGGATCAGTTTGAGGGGCATGATGGGGAGGGCCACTCGCGCTTCGACCCAGATGAAGAGGGGGAAGCAGATGCCGAAGATGACAAGCGACGTGACGACCAAGGGATGAGACCAGGGGTAAACGTTTCCACCCAGGTTCTACCTCACTGCGTTAGCGTATTCCTGGAAATTCAGCTTTGCGAGAAGTAGGCAGGTACTTACAATTCCGAGAATGAAAAAGGTTATGGAGGTAGTAAGGAGGATGGAGCCCCTGAAGTCGAATACCTTCATAGCTTCCAAGACAGTTTTCCGCTCCGCGCCTTCTTGCAGACCGAGCCTCGTTGGAACGGTCACCCAGGCCAATACGAAGCAGATGAACACAGCAGGCACCTGCACGCCGAATTCCCATCTCCATCCTAAGTGGTCTGCAATCGCCCCTCCCAGTGCAGCCCCTAAAGCAGAGCCCAATCCGAACACGATGTTGATGTATGACTGATACGCACCACGAATCTCGATGGGAACGAGATCACTCGTGATGATCGACCCTAGACTCATCACTCCACCAGCTCCGAGTCCACACAAAGCTCGTGCGGCAATGAAGCTCGTCATGCTTTGGGCCAGGCCACACCAAATCGTGGCTACCAAGAAGATTGACAGGCAGAAGACATACGGTGCTTTCCGCCCAATGGTGTCCGAAAGGCGTCCAAAGAGTGGCTGGAAACTCGTCGACGTCAGGAGAAATGCTGTCGATAACCATGAGGCACTGTTCGCACTGTGGAAATAGGATGTGATGACCGGATGACTGGAGACCATGATCGTCGAGTCGAAGCACGCCACAAAGTAGTTGAACAGAACGCCGCCAAAAATGAGCCAGAATCTCACAACACCGACGCCTCCGAGAAAGGGACTTTTGGAAGTCGAGTCTTCCTCGTCCTCTGGTTCGCTTATATTCCTGCTGGCAGAACTCGCTCTACGTCCATTCCCATTGATGGTCCCGTACTTTCGGGGACCTCGAAGCATTGCGGTCTCTTGCGATTCCGGCTCGACGCCGATCCCCGTATTGATGGACTCCGATCTTGAAAGCATGACATCGAATTCATTGGGGTCGATATCACCCTGGGGCTCGTGGTTCCCGTGAGCATCCCCGTTCGAAGCTGTGCCATGATGATATGGAGCACCATTGGATGGGGGCGCTAGCAGAGATGTCCGCTCATTTACTTCGGCGTGGCTGCTCGAGGCTCGTCCTTCATCGTGATTTCTCGCCATGACTTGTTTTCAAGGGTTGGGAACAGATTAAGAGAGACGTGTGTCCAATGAAAGCGATAGATATACGGAGTTGAGCAAAGATCAAGCTATGATACGTGACTTCTTGGACTGGTCATCAACATGCAATCAAGAGTCAAGGTTTGAAGGTGTCGTCAGAAATCATCAAACTCGCTCCGTTATAGATAGGAGCCACTTGAGGGAAGTCAATCACTCCAAAATCGGCCAAAATGAGTCCTACTTAGAGCTCCTGTACCTAAACAGTCTGTGTATATATAGGGCTATCAGGAACCCAAAGGGAACAGAGGGGCCAGAGGGAGAGGGGGAGAGGAAGAGGGAGAGGTGAGAGATAAAGAGAAAAAGAAAAGACTCTCTCTCGATATACGGGTTCCTTGATTAGTAAGAGTCAGCGCGCGATCGGCAGAACCTTGGAGGGACCCGCATCGCATCTACGCCGCCGTCGCCCGCTACGACGCGGTACTTATTAATGGTGGGGTCCTTCATCAGACCCTTCACAGTGAGCTCTAATCGTCGACTCGCTTAATTTGTCGTCTTTTTGCATTCGCTATAAGTCGACAAAAGCGAAATAGGCTAGCAAGCGAAATAGGCCAGATTAAATTTTATAGTATTTTACATAGAAATACTATCTTTTTGATTACTAACTACAACTACTACATCTACTGTTTTCTTTATAAAATTAACATCTACGACCTTACGCACTATAAACAATACTATAAACAACACTATAAACAACACTACTACTAACACTATTATACTAGGCACCCCTAATACTAGCTATAGTAAAAAGGAACGCCTTAACGCCGCTAAACAGTTCTTACTTAAGTATCCTAAAGAGAAGATATCTATAGTAGCGAGGATATATAAGATTAACCGTAAGACGCTAAGTAACGCGATTAATAGGGGTACGCTAAATTAATACTATAGGGGCTAGAATAGGATCTTATCCCTTAGCTAAGAACAGGCTATTTATAACTTTATTTGATCTTATCTTTAACATAACTAAAAGCCTACCTAAGATATTATATTTAGCGCTATCTACTGTCTTAAGAGGCTTAAGAACAAGTAGCCCCCTTCTTTTAGGTAGTTTATACTCTAGTAGTAAGCTTAGCCTTTATACAAAATTAAGACTAAGCTAATCGCTTATAATCGACTAACGGCACAAGACTTAAAGGAGGTGACGTAATAGTTTAATAGCTATAAGGAGGTAGTTAAAAAGTATAGGTTTAAATAGAAAGATATATATAACTTTAATAAGACTAGATTCCGGGTTAGCTACCTAAGGAGAGTCGAGGTTATTATACTAATTAATGTTAGAGAGGTAAGTAAACACGTCTTTTTATACCTAATTAACGCGTTTCTAATATAGTATAACTATAGCTATACTCGCTAAGTCTAGACGATCGCTAGTTAATTACGATTATTAAGGCTATATACGCTAAGGGCTATACAATACCGCCGGTTATAATTATATAAGGGAAACACTATATAGAGTCTTAGTACTAGGACAGGCTCTTAAGGGATAAGCTAGTATTACTCTTAGAGAACGGGTTTACTATAGATAAGCTATTACTACGTTATTTAAAGTACTTTATCTAATATATAGAGGCCAGCCCTAACAAGCCTTACAAGCTATTATTAATAGATAACTATAGGAGCTACTAGAGTCCTAAGTTTATTTTATTAGCACGTAAGAACAACGTCGTCCTCTTTTTATTCCCTACTTACCTTACTTACTATATGTAGCCCTTAGACGTCTGCGTTTTTTAGCTATATAAGTACTAGTATAACAAGGCTATAGAATACGCTATAGAGAACCTAGACTTTAAATATAGTATATCTTCTTTTCTATAAGATCTACCTAAAATACGCGCTAAAACCTTTGCTAGAAGGACAATTAGAGACTCCTTTAAGGAGGTAAGGATATAGCTAATTAGTGTCGACAAAGTAAAGGACATAATAAAGAAATATATTAAGGAAGCCTCTCCTACTAATCCCCTCTCTAATCCTAGCCTCCTAGAGCCCTGTACGCCTAGAACGGCGCGTTAAGTTAAGCTAAAGCTAACTAATTAGAGTATAAAGGTAGCTAATCGATTTAGTAGTCCTACCTAGTAGGAGTTTGATTCTATAGCGTATAGTACTATAAGTGTCCTTTTTAAGGGAGAGATATATAAGGTTAAGAGGGATATGTTATAGAGAAAAGTTAAGGGACATACTAAGAGGTTGCTTACTAACAGAAAACGCCTATAAAAAGAGGGTAAATTAACTAAATAGTATACCTAAGAGCTTATTAAAATAAAGGATAGGAAAGAGGCTAAAAAGAAGCGTAAATGTCAGGTACACTAACACGTAAAATTACAATAGCTTAGAAATTAAGTACAGGGTAACTACGTACTATAACTAAGGTAATAGTAGGCATTAAGGAGTATAAGAATAGAGGGTAGAGAGGAAAAAGAAGAGAGGTTTAGAGATTAGTCTATAGTTAAAGTAGTAATATACCTTTAAATATACTACAACTGTCTATCGACTCTTACCTCTTTTACTCTATAGAAATATACCTAACATTCTAATCTCTCTCCTTTACTAAAAGGTTATAGACTATTAGAGTAAGAAGTAATAACGTAGATATAACAAATAAACCTTAACAAGACACAGGCCTCTTCTTAAGTAACTCTTTAGAATACCTCTTTGTAAGTAGATAGTAACGAACCTAGTACGACCTTCTAAATGTCGACAGAAATCCTTTCCTTAAGTAAGACTAAGTTAAACAAGAGGATTGCCTAAGTAAGGGTAGAGTAGCGCCTTAAGTAAAAGTAAGACTACCTTATAGCGCTTAAGAAGAGAGAGGCTCCCTTAATAAACCTATACGAATTTAATAACCTTCTTAAAGTAAAACAGCCTTTCTAGTAAACCTATATTAAAGAAACAAGGAAGAGCTATTATAACACTCCTTTTATTCTACTAAAAAACGAGATATATACTAGTATTACGACCTTCTTATTTGACTAGAAAACAAAGTTTGATACCTATCTAGAGAGTTATCTAACAGATACTAAACGCGTTAGCGCTATAGTAGTAGTACTAAAGGATTATATTAAAGAGCGTTAAAAGTCTTTTATTTTCTTAGAAAAAGGCAGATTAGTTCTTAATATAACTTAGAGAGAAATAAAGGCGTAGCTCCTTTATAGTATTATAGATAAGGGTACCTACTCTCTTAAAGTAGTATTAAAACTCTAAATATTAACTTAAAACTAAAACAAGACCTTTAGGAATTTCCTTTAATAGTATAACTCTCTAGTTATTAAACTTAGCTACGCCCTTCTAGAGATGTTCTATATCTACCTTCTTATTAATTATTTAAAGCCTAAGTTAAGGGCCTATATAGTAAGTAGTAAGGTCTTAGATACTTTTAAGGTAGTTAAGGTAGTAGCGTTAAGAAAGGAAACTCTTATTTAGACAAGGTAATAAGAAGGCTCTTGTAAAGCCCTTTTAATACTATACTATACTAGGAGAGGCTCTTCTTATAATCTAAAGACCTTATCTACGCTAGTAAACACGTAAGGGACATCTAGTAGCTAAACTTTAAACACGTAAGAGGACTCTCCTAGTATTACGAAAACCCCTTTAGTAAGTAAGGTATAAGGTAACTACTACTAATACTAGTAGCCTAGTTATTAGGTAAATTGTGCCTACTATATAAATAC